AAAGAGTTCTTAAAAGAGAGAATAGAATAGAAGAACTTACTAAAAAGTAGAAGTTTAATATAATATTAGACTACTATAATAAGTAACTAGAACTATAGTATCTTATTAAGTAGAAGAACTATACTATAATATAGTAACTAGCGTTAGATCTAAAGAGTTAGAATAATACATTACTAAGATTCTATACCTAGCACCTAGATAAGCTAGACCTACCACAATAAATAAAAAGGCTATAGACGCTAGTTAGTCTAAATTTTTTATTATTTTATAAGCTATCTAAGACGTATAGCTATTTAGAAGAGAGGTACTATTATAGCACTAACCTATCTACGCAGCTACGTAACCTTAGCTATCTTAGCGCCTTAGCGTAGTAGATATCTTCTCTACGCCTTCGCACCTTTATAGCTTAATATTATATAACTTATTATATACCTCGAATTCTTATTTCTTATCTACGCCGTAATATATAAAAAGATAGAAATATACTAAAACTATATTAAAATTATTACTTCTAAATATATAGAAGACTTATAATATATAACTTTATATAGCTAGATTATTAATATATATCTATAGTTAGAGAAGAAAAGTCTAAAAAGAGTTTTTTAAAGTTCTATCTCTTATTACGCTATACCTAGAAGAGCTAGCTCTATAGAAGTTTTCTAGAAACCTTTACTAGGTTATAGATACTATATACTATAAGTTTTATAGATTATTATAGAGATATAATAGTACTTACTAGAAGAAAAGTAGATTTTTTCTTAAAAGTTAGTTAAATATGTATAGCTTTTAAATTACGTAATATATCTTAGTGCAACTTTAGTAGCAGGTGTAATACACTATAAAGAATATATATATACATTTTTATAGAAAAATATTAAAGTTTCGCTTAGTTATTTAAGAAAAACGGGTTAATTTTCGTTAATTTTTCTTGCCAAGAAATCGTAGGGGGTTCGCCCGTGTAGGGCTTTCGCCTATAAAGTACGTTACTCTTCTAAAAAATCTTATAATAATTAGATCTATATAGAGCTGTATAGCTTTAAAAGTAGTAGTAGTTAACATGTTAAAAGTAGGCGTTAGATGAGCCCGAGCGCTAGATAACTAATTACGATACTAGGCTAGTAAAACGTGGGGACAGACACCACGCGTCGGGTCTTAGTGAAATGTTGTGCGTTACTCTCAGGAAATAGCTCCTCGGATTGTGGATCACTCGTGGGACTCTATCGGCACAGCCCAGGTTAGAGGAGTCGAAGTGCTTTTGTGGAGGTTGAATTTCAAGATATCCGGAGCCATCACCTATCGGGATGACGAGTTAGTCAGCATTGAAGCTTTGACGCCTGAGGCTCGCCGGCATTCTAGAAATGTCTGAGCGAAGCTTCCACAACCGTCCGCTCCTCTACCATTGAAGGCATAAGATGGCTTCTCCCATCATCAGGAATACCCCATGACGCCAATCCGACGACTTTTCCTATACCACCGTGCGCAATTGTCGCATCCACGCCGAATCCCTTTCCACAAAGCCTGTCCCAACAGCCCCTACTACCGAGCAATGGGCACCGAGATTAACGCCTCGAACGCTCCCGCGCAGCGTAACAATGCGGCTCCAGCAGGTCCCGAACAGACTGCGCAGGGTCCACTCCCCCTTCCCGAACCGCCGACGGACGGCGCAGCCATCGAGCTCGACGTGAGCAGCGGACAAGGCATCAAGCTCGATCATCTGGGGCCCATGGTCGTCAACCGCGATGGCACCCTTAGTCGCATAGCCAACTGGGAGCATATGGCGGACATTGAGAGGCGGAACACACTGAGGATACTGGGCAAGAGGAACCAGCTGCGGATGGAGACGCTGAAGGCTGCAGATGGAGACTCGGCTGCGCGGTAATGCACACGACTTCTCTAGTCTGCTATATAGCAGCACCTTGCAGCACCTCTGTACGGTCGTGTTATCTAGCATGGTATGGGGATGTGTGGGAGTCTGAATGAAGATGCTGGAGCTTGAGAGGATACCGAGAGATCCAAGCCATTGGAGGCATGATACCCACAGCAAAGAACTTTACAGCATGTACACTAGAATGTACAGGAAAAAAATATTAAGATATCCTGCAGTCACGCGCTCGGTCCTGCTTGCAAGGTGCGCGTGCCCAGAGTGACGTCAAGTTGCACCACCCCGCCGCCGCCAAAAGCTCCAAACTTCGCAGCCTTCCGTCCCAACCTACCTCGAGCGACTCGCAGCGGCCTTCGCACGTCACCACCGTCCCATACGCAACTTAGTAGTATATCGAATCAATAAACGCCTCACTATGGCCCCTACCGAGACCAAGCCCGCGGGTCCAAAAGACCAAGACCCCGCAAAGCTGCCCGACGAAGGCCAACTCAAAGAGGCGGCTGCGGCGGCCGAAAAAGCCCTCGCCGCGCAGAGCATGGCCAACTCGCTGAAGGAGACCGCCAAGTCCATCACCGATTCGAAGAAGCGCGAGAAGATGCTCACAGACGCGTATAACAAGGAGGTCGAAGCCCACGGCAACAGCAAGAAGGCCCGGATGCTGCAGAGCGGCGCGTTCCAAGGGACTATGGGCGGCGCTGGCATTGGTGGTGCCGTTGGCATCGGGGTGGGTACGGTAGTTGGCACGGTGGTTGGAGGATTGACAGCTATACCGACGACAGGGCTGGGTGCTCTCGTTGGGACCGGTGTCGGCGCGATACATGGACCCTTCATCAAGCTGGGGTCGCTCGCGAGCGGCGGCGGCAAGGGCGAGAAGAGCAAGAAGGGCGAAGAGAATAAAGAAAACGCGAAGGAGGCCGCTGAAGGTTCGCCGGACGACGAGGACGCTGTGCCTGACCCCAAGGCATTGCGGCAGGCTGCGGATGTGCTGGCCGAAGAGAGGGCGAAGCAGGGCCTCGACAGCGAAGGCTCAAAGCAGGATCAAGCCGGAGCGGGAAATCAGAAGAAGAAGCCAAGGAAAATCGAGATACGTTCTGGACAGCAGCCGGTCAAGACGCAGTGAAGTGCGATCCAGACGAGCGGTCCAGGTATGATCCCCAAAATGGAGTACGCGGCGAGCAAGCGAGCCTGTTATCACCATCAGCAAATTGGAGAAGGGCACGGTACGGTCGGCAGGTAGGCCCCGAGGATTTCGGGGCCTGGAGCGGGAGGAGGCAATGACTGACTAACATTGGGGGATATAAAGTAGGCTGGCCGTGCACGCCATGGCCGGCTATTACATACGACACTTGTCTGCGAACCGGACAACCTATCCCCAAAAGGGCGCATATGGTTGGGTCATACATATAATAAGAGGATCGAGGAAATTGGCCGAATCGTCCGGTGTCGTTCAGCATTGGGAGCCTCGCGGGGCGGAATGTAAGACGCACTTGAACGAATGTGCAAATGAGGGCCAGAAGATAGTTATGGCAAATTGCGCTCCTCGGGCGAGTTGTATCGGATTGTTCGGTATCCTCGCGTTTCTCTTCTCCTCGCATCCCTTTAAGTTTCAGTGCTCTTCGTTCTACTATCCTCTTCCACTACCATTCCGCTACCTCCACCCCCTCTTCCTCCACCCCACCACACAGGCTCCTTTCTCTTCTCCACCTGCTCCTCACAATAACCCCTCAACTTTGCCACCAGTATCGGCGCCTCCAACGTCGTCTCAGTCTCCAATCTCTCAAGCAGCTCCTTCAGCTCCTCTCTCCCCAGCATATCAACATCCCACTGCAACCGCTCAGGCAGCTCCCACTCCTCCGTCAGCGTCCCCGCCTGATCCGCCAACACGTACTCGGCAAGAAAGCACTGCAACCTCACGCACCGTCGGCTCGACAGGAACGTATGCAGCACCGTGCCTGCAACATCGCGCTGCTTCCCCGATACATACAACACTGTCCGTCCTGTATGCCCATCCCGCTCAAAAAGCCCCCACACCTGCCCCGCTGTACTGCTCAACCGCGTCGAATCTGGAAACGCGTAGATCGTCAACTCCCGTGCTCCGCTCTCCAGCCCCTCCAGTAGTTCCCCTACAGCCGCCGCTTGCTGCGCATCCCGCGCACGGCTCCAGAAGCCCCGCGCTGCCCGCAAGGGCGCGAGTTGCGCTTTGATGTCTGAGAAGAGGCTGGGAGAGATGGGTTGCAGCATGCGCCGTTCGCGGAGACGGCGCAGCGTTTGCACGAGGTCGCTGGTTTCGGCGGAGGTGGTGTGGCGGCCCAGCGGGAAGCAGCCGAGTCCTGTGTAGGAGTCGCCGGAGGGGGAGTGGGAGAGCGGGTTTTGGGCGTGCAGGTGCGTGGTGGAGTGTGGCATTTTTGTTTCGGGGTGGGGGTGTGAGACTGTTGGACGGGATGCCTGGGTGGGTTAAAGGGTAGTGCGGGAATGTCTTGGGATTGGAGACAAAGAAAGCGGACTTGTTGAGGGACGTTCCGTTTGCGGTTTCAGTGTCGGACTACGCTCATGCTTCCCTTTACCATCCCCATACTGAGATGTGCTCGCGGAGCCTGCAGCCCCCGCGCAAATCACTGCACATTACACTACCCCTATCCGCCCGGATCCATTCTCCACCCTCGATTAGCCACTTCGCCAGCCAACACACACTTCCTCCCCCGCCCGACATGCTTCACTCACTCTCACCCTTCCTCCCTCCCATTGCCCCATCATCACCCCGTAAGAAACTCCCCAACAACCTCCATATACCTCTCGCGCTCCTCCCAATGCGGCATATGGCTCGAATCCCCGTACGTCACCCATCTGACCCTGGGAATCTTGTCGAACCACGGCTTCATGCACACATCCTGCACCTCGTCGTAGCGCCCGTTCGTGAGCAGCGTCGGCACTTCGATGAGATGCGCTTGGGACCAGCCCTCCCAGTCCTTCAGCGAGCCAGTGATGTGGAACTCGGAGGGGCCTTGCCTGTGCGAGTATGAGTTGAGATATCGCAGGGCAGGGAAGAAAAGGAGCGGAGGGACTGAAATACGGTACGGTACGGATATGAATGAAGAGCGGAAAATGCGCGAAGCGTGCGTGCAAAACGAGAAAAAGAAACCACACTCACATCGTCAAATACGCCGTCGGATCCTCCCTCAACGCCCCCATCGTCCTCTCCACATCCGCGGGCCACTCCTCCAGCCTCAGCACATGTCTCCTCATCCACACCCCACTCGCCCACTGATACCTCTCGCTCTCAAAATCGCCCTCCCTTTCACACTCCTCAATCACCGCGCGCACATCCTCCGGCAGCCCCCCTAGCAACGCCCTCGCCGCCTGCGCATAAAGTCCAATATCCGCAGGCCCGCTCGCGATAACGACCCTCCTCAGCCCGCGTGGCCGCGTCGTCGCATACGCCCCCGCGAGCAGGCCGCCCCAGCTGCTGCCTAGGATAAAGAAGCCGCGGTCGCGCAGGTCGAGGTGGTCGATCAGGTTGTCCAGCTCGGCGATGAACAACGCGACGGTCCAGAAGCCCGCATCGCCCATCTTTTCGCGGAAGTGCGTGGAGGCGCCGCAGCCGATCTGGTCGTAGAAGATGATGGGTATGCCGTGCTGGGCGTGCAGGTCTGTGAGCGGGGAGAGGTAGGCGTGGGTGGCGCCGGGCCCGCCGTGGAGGGCGATGAGTGGTGGTGGGGTAGTGGAAGAGGAGGAGGAGAGGTCGCCGACGATTTTGTACCATGTTTCTGCTGGTTTGTCTGTGTTGGGGGCGGCGAAGGGAATGCGGCCTTCTTTCACTGGGGGCGCGTTTTGCGTAGCCATGTCTAATGTGGTATGAGTTTTAATCCCCCGCGGAGAATTATTGGGGACGAGTGGTGCGGTGTAGTTGGAGTCCAAATCGAGGAGGGGATGCTCAAATACGCCCGTCCGAGCCGAGAGATAGAATAGATGGGTGGCACAGTCGCGCAAACAACCTACATACGCCGCAATATATTAATTTTGCGGTTTACCCGCCAAGGTGCTTCACTGTGCAAGGATGAAAGGGTAGTAGTGCTGACGCCGGTGGAGACTCGACAAGCTAGGAAGTTCTGCGAAGAACAGTCAGCCAGGGCATTCCCACACAGGATAGTGATAACTGGCTGGACCACGAGAACATGCTCTCATACGTACGTAGTGCACCTCCCAAATCTAGTCATGAGACGCGACGATTTTTCCCTAGCTTCTTCTCCACTGATCAAGTATGCCATCACGACACGGGCTGGTATACCTGTAAACTGTAAAAATATCCATTCCCATGCATTCATCATATGCTACATACAACAGGGGTATACATACAAGCCAACTCCCCCCTGCCTCGCTGTACTCTTCGCATCCAGCCCAAAAATGTTCACAGGAAAAAGTCTAAAGCCCATGTACGAGCCCCTAACTCCAGAACTCCCTGCAAAAAGACCCCACAATGCTGGAAAACTCGAGCCCGTCGCCTTTACTCCATGTCCATTCACTGGTTAAACCGCCAACTTGGCTTCTCGCATTGGCCCCATTCCTCCGTCACCTTCTTGATGCGATCAACCATCCATCCGCTTGTCCAGCTGTCTCGTCCCTCTCTCTTTTCAAACTTCCTGCCCAGGCGCATCGTCTTGCCAAGATGACACTCGCCATCGCCCTTGGGCGTGTACTTCCATTGCACACAGTCTTCTGTTCTCTTGCAGACCGATTGGCAGTGCTCGGCACTGTCGGCGGCGTCCTTGATCGTTTCGCCAATCTTGTCCCAGTCGATGGTGTCTCTCCTCAGGTACTTGTCGCCTTGGGCTTTTGCACGTCTTCGTAGTCGGGAGCTTGGTGGCTCAGGCTTCGAAGTGGGCGCTGGCGCATCTTTTGTCTTGGCCTCTTGCTCCGCCTTTTCCTTGGCCAGACGCTCTCTTCTACCCTGTTCTGCCACGATTTTGGTGTCCGATGATATATTATCCCAATCCTCTTTCTTCTCTTCCAAATGCGGCGATATAAACTCCTCGAAAGCGTTCCGGATAAGGTACGGCACTTCCCAGCCATACTTGTGGGTCCAGTTCCGCTGGAAGCCCCACAGCAGATCGATCTCGTCGGCCGTCATGTGGTGCCACGAGACAATGGGCGCGCACCAATGTCGCTTCGTCCAGTCAAGTGTGCTCGGTGTCTCGCCCTGTAGGAGGGGAAAGGCGGAGTAGAACTCGACGTGCGACTCGGTCATCGCATTCGCTAGAACCATATCGCCACAACATTCCTTTCCTACTTGCGACTCCCACTCTGAGACATAGCGCTCGTTGTACGATTTCGCATACTGCCGGAGAGCGCCATTGGAGAGCAGGATGCCCGGACCTCGCTGCGCGTATTTCGTAGAGCCCTGGAACATGGGCGCGCCGCTGTAATACGGGATGCGGTAGTCCAGTCTATCCATCCACTGCAGCAGATTGGTCCAGCTCAAGCTGGTATCTGCCTCGATGAAGATGTAAAACTTCTGGTGGGGCCGCATCTTGTACGCCTTGTATACCATGGGCAAGAACTTCCACTTGTCTAGCGCCTTGGTCTTGCCGGCATCCGGTTTGTACTCTGGGTCCGCTTGTATCTTGTCATACTCGCGGAACTCGTCGTTCAGCGTTCTGCTAGTATTCGAGACGGAGTCGAGCGCGTCGTGCACCGTGAAGCCGTCGATTGTGCCTGCGTGGTCGCTGAAGATGGCGAAGTTGGGGACGCATGAGAGCAGTGTGAGGAGTTGGTTGGGGATCTTCTCGGAGATTTCTGCCTTGCTGGTCTTTACAATAACCATGACGTTCGGCGCGCCATGAACGTCCTTGCAAAACTTGGTCGAGCCAACGGGCGTGGGCGAAGGCGAGGCGCTCGCAGCGGTTCCGTTGCTTCCGGATGGGACGGGCGCTGCGGTCTCTTTGGGCAGCACACTGCCCTCTTGCTGCCCCTGGCCATCTCCTGGTCTGCCTTTGCCACCCTCTCCGCTCACAGGCGGCTTGCTTTCCACAGGAGCGGGTGCAGCCGTCTCCTCAACCCCATCGGCCCCTTGTACCGTTGTGGAATCGACTCTGGCGGGCTGCTCCGCATGCGATGAAAGCGCAGGCCTCGGGGTGGGTATAGTCTCTTGTGTGCTCTGCGTGGTGCTTTCAATGAGGGGCTGCGGGATCAGCGGCTCTGTGAGCGGTTTGCCCTTTGGAGGGTCGTGACTGATGATGGGCAGCGAGGGCGACGCGAGCTGGTGCGGGAGGCCAAAGGTCCAGAGGAAGCTCATGAGCGATAGGGAGAGCACCAAGACGGCGACGCGCGAGGGCGTAATGGGCGGCATTGTGGCGGGCTACTCGTCGCGTGGCGGTCGAAGAGGAGAGAGAAGGGCCAGAGGGCTACATCGGACGCCGAGTGCTAGCTTCTCATGGCGGGACTGACGAGCGCTGGGCAATTGCAGCTTGGGTGTGTTGCGAGTGCAGGAGACGTGGGCCATGGCATCTGCCCGCTTCCGCTTTCCGTCTTGGCCGGGGCTGGTGCGTGTGGCGCTTGCGTAGCCTGGTGCCGTCTGCTGGCCCAGGCAGGCCTCCGGCCTTTGAACGACGTGTTGGCAGATGCAGCATTCTGGCCTAGAGAAAGAGGAGGAGAGCACGAATTATCAAGCGAGCAGACGTGGAGTGGTACGGTTAAGTACTGTCTTAACGTGGACTGTAACCAGCCACTTGGCGCCGCCATTCGGCACGCGACACCAATATCGACCAGATGAAACGGACCTTGGTTTGCCATAGCCGGCCGGTCGCATATCGACAATGCCATATCGCAATTCAATATTCGCATGGGCGCCATTATTGGCCTCTTATGACAAGAGGGCGCTCGATCATGGCATGCGCTCCGCTGTCACCAGCCCTTCACGTCGTTCTCCCACCTCAACCCCTCCCCCATCCAAACCTTCATGACCCAACAGCTTACCGCTAGATCCCTCCTCCACCCCTCTCGCCCTACCGCCTCACAAACCTCAAACTCTCCGGGCCGCGCCTCTCTCGCGACCTCCCTGCCCTCGCCGTCCTCCCAAATCCCCTTCCTCACGCAGAACAGCAACCGCCTATCCCACTCTTCGTTGGCGTGGTATCCATACTTCTGCATGCGCGCCTCGTTCTCCGGGTTCAGGCTATCCTTCTGCGCGTTCTTCGTAACATGCCATACCTTCGTCCATTTCCCGCCCAACAGGCCTATCCCCGATTCTATCTTTATGCGTCCGCCGAGGGTGCTGGAGCGGTGACCCCGCATTTCGAAAACGTAGCTGGTCATCGAGTACATCGTCGCGTCTTCGTCGTATCGGATTTGCGGCCCGAAGAAGGGTGCGAGGTTCGAGGAGGGCAATGAATGCGCACGCGATTCGTTCGGCATCAAGCGCCTGATGCTGAGTTTCCGCGGCCGGCCGCTCCGCGAAAACTCCTGCTGCAGTTGGTATCGTGGCAGAGTGCTTGTCTTGGTTGTGTATACAAAGGGCGCCTCGAGCCGGAAGCTTCGCGCCAGCTCGTCGACGGGCGCATATTCGGGAGGGAGTTCGAAGGGGGACGCGAACGGGTCGTGGAAAGGAGGGACGCCGGTCGTAGCGGGGGCGGTAGATATAGGTTGGAGCGCGTTAGCGCCCGAGGATGTGGAGGCCTGCGATGAGTGTCTATGATGTGGTGATCGAGGACTCGTGGGTGTTTTCGCTTCGCTCTTCCTCGCCCTTCTCAAAAGACTTTCTAGTGGGTCTTCCTCGTCGTCTCTTCTTTGCGCAACCCGATAGCTATCGGGTAGCCGTCGCTCGCTCGAAGTAGCGGTTGGAGAGTATGGGGGTGCATCCATTACGTCGTCGAAGCTTGTCGTAAAGCTTGGTCTAGAGCCTGAGCACCGGGTGGGTAGATGTATAGATGTACCGGATGTGTTCAAGAGGACAGCGAGAAAGGTGAAGCCATCCTCCTCGAGGACTTCGTTAGGGTAGTGAATTTAGTGCTCGATTCCTATAGAATAGTTCTCGTCATCCGCGCGGTTTTCGAGTGGCTGAGCTGCGAGCGATGTGCGAATGCATCATCCTACTTTCGGTGGTGCGCCAATATGTACTCGCTGAGTGGGACTCTCGTCGGAGGCGGAGTAGGTCAGATGATATGGTGCGATACATGAAGTCGCTCAGCTGAATGGCGATTTGCGAGCGTGCGGATATCGGCACGAGGTGGGGTAAAGCTTCGGATATGCTTCCAAGGTTGTTTGCAAGCACACCGTATCAACACCATGACGATTGTTACAGCAGGCATCCCGAGCTTGTATTGCCTAGCGAAGTCATGTATAAATAATCGTACTAGGTGATCTGTGCCTTGTTGATGGCCTCGTCTTGTAAACTGGATCTGTACTTCCTCTGGCCTGGTGAGAGAGTTGATAGGAGGACAAGCTCTTTTGTAGCATTATTGTATCCGCGTGCTGTCCTCTTAAAGCTTCATATAATATGACCTGTGCAAGATTGAGGTCCCTTAGGGGCTCCTGCGTACGTGCTCTGTATTTGTGTCCCTGGTAGCGATTTCGCACATGCGTGAATCAGGACCCGGTGCATCGCCTATCCTAGAGTTCTTCAAGGCCGTTTGTATTAGCCAAAGTGTTCTGGATTGCCCCTTGAAGCACCCTGGGCTACCCTCTGCACATGCCTACTAATCTATACTCCTTGCCTTATCTTAACGGCCTTCAGGGTGCGCTTTTCATGCTCCAAGACATCAAAACCCTGAGCAAGAGGCCAGCGGATCCGCACTCCGAAACTAGAGAATCGGGTCTATGTAGAAGACGAGGTGCTTAGCGAGCGAGCGATGAAGCAGGAGTGGGCAGAAGATACGGCGTTTTCTCGTTGCGTGGAGTCGGCTCCGCCGGTCGCCATTGATCTGATACCTCAAAACTCCGAAAGTGAGCCGATCGTCATCGCGAGGGGCGAAGGTAATGATAACGGGAGCTAGTGAACTATGAATGGACCGACGAATTGGAACCTTGGAAGCCAGATATTGAGAAGCCGGTCTAGTCCTTTTCTAGCTAGGTGGCTGTGAATCGCCTTAGTACCGATCAAACTCCAGGGATTTATCTCAACGCTCATCGACCTTCCTCTTCTCGTCAGTGTCGTTGTAACAGTATATTCGTATGCGAAGCCCGCGGCGTTTCCCTTCGATGACGTCGCTGCCCGCAGCAGTCCCACCGGAAGGTCCGGCGGCCCCACGCCGCGATCGAAAGCACACTGATTCGAGCGTTGTGAATACTCACTGCCATTATAAAGACTCCCGCAGAATTAATCACCACGCATTTCCTGACCTAGACCACCCTCACACGTCTCCCACGAAATCTCTCCGGCTTTTGCCCGCTTTCGACGCTAGGAGCCGTTGTCATTGGGCGGTATGCAGTGCCGCTTTTCGACCTTCACCTAAACCATCATGGTGACGCACTCGTCCTGACTTTTGCACGACCCGCGGCTCCGGTTTGCTCCTTGTTTTTCGCAGCCATCGCACCAATTGATACGCTGTAGTGGAGCAATGTTGATGACATGCATCACCCCGTTCCCCAATCCCTACAGCCCCTCCCGCGGAAACATGACGAATGATTAGCCCAGCAAGGTCTTGATAGCACGGCACATACGGTTGCGGACTTTAAGCTCTGAAATAGAAGGCAGCCCCGCATCAACTCGCGATAATCGTTGAGCATACTCGCACAGCTATCATGGCGCCCGCGGAACCAAACGCAAAAGTCTTCCAGCAACAAGGCGAAGAACCGAACTTCCCGGAAGAGCTGCCTGGATGGAAGGGCTATATTGAGTGGGAAAAGGTCTGATTCTTACTGAATAACCTCCATCGACTCGACTAACTACCTCCGAGTACCCCGAGAAGAAGAAGCAGGCCGCCGAGGTCCTTGCGAAGTATGACTTCCCCGTTGTAAGTGGCATCCCGCGTTCCCATGTCCTCGCCATATGGTGTCACTCTCAACACCCCACTCATCGCGTTTCCCTCTTTCTTCTGTCGATCCTTGGATGGGAAAGAGACACCAGGGCGGATTTTGTCGCACTTGGCTGACATTGACAGCCACCGGAATTCCAATTGGCGCCACTGCCCAAAACGAATCCGATCCTTGAGGGTGTCCGCTGGAAGTACTATCACTATGCGATGGGACCCACACTGAAAGATGTGCCCGATATTTCGTGGGAGTACGTAAAGAAGGAGAAGAGTTCGGATATGATTCATGTCCTACAGTTCCCATACAATGGTGAACCACCCAGAGTGAGTAAGCATCTCCTGTTGCTTAGCAGGAGGCTAATCGGTGTTTAGGATAGACTGGTCAAGGCGCGTGTTTCTCTTGCCACACCTGGATGATGTCAAACTAACCCTTTCAGACCGAGATCACGCCCAACGCAGACCACTTCGTCCGGAACCATGGCGGAATCCCTGAGATCGACGCTGAGCAGTTCTTCCTCGAAGTCGAGGGGCTCGTCAATAATCCCAAGAAGATCACGCTCAAGGAGCTCCAGGATGAATCAATCTTTCCTCGCATGACGAAAACGGTCACGCTGCAGTGCTCTGGCACCCGTCGCATTGAGCAGATCCATGAGTACCCCGGCGATGGCGATGAGCTGATCAACGCCCCATGGGCTGAGGGCGCTATTGGTACCTCGGTCTGGACTGGAGTTAGCCTCAAGAAAGTCATCAAGTACTGCGGTGGTCTTAAGGACGGCGGAAAGCACGTTGAATTCTTCGGCGCCGACACATACTTCAAGAAGGGCGCCGTCTACAACTACGCCGTCTCTGTCCCTCTGAGGAAGGTAAAGGTCCACGAAGTGATGCTGGCCTGGGAGATGAATGGCGAGCCGCTTCCAAAGATCCATGGCTATCCACTCCGCGTCGTCGTCTTCGGATATATTGGTGCACGCAGCTGCAAATGGCTGTACAGGATCAATGTCATTGGGGAGCCCAGTCTGGCGCCCGTGCAGATGAAGGAATACCTCTACTACTCACCCCAGATTGGGAAGCATAACGCCACCTACAGCAACGGCTTTAGCATTCAGACCATGCCCGTTTCGAGTGCCATCATGACGCCACTCAACCATGATCAGATCATCCATGATGGCACGATCAAGCTGACTGGCTGGGCCTACAGCGGCAGCAGTTGGCCCGAACGAGTTGAGGTCAGCGCGGATGGCGGAAGCGTCTGGTATGAGGTTCCGTACGATAAGATGAGCAAGAAGTATTTCCATGCGTGGAGGGTTTGGGAGATGGAGATGCCGGTTGATGCAGAGGGTTGGATAGAATTCTGCGTCAGGACTTGGGACGAAGCTCTGAATGCAAGTGCCCTGGAGCAATTCCCGTTGCCGATGCTATGTGCTGACCTTGCTCATAGACGCAACCTACGTTCGTGCGGAGTGCATGGTATGCGGTGTCCTAAGCTGGCCGGGCAATAGATGCGCTAACCGAACGCAGGAACTGGGACCTCCATGTTACGTCGTCATGCCAGTATGTAGGCCCTGCGCAACAGTTGGCGTAATATTATAGCGAGTGGCGCTAACTTCTTCTAGTCGCATCAAGGTCTATAGCATAAACAAGAGCAAACCCATGACCGCGCGACGGCTCAAGCAACTGGAGGAGCATGGGCTACCGATGATCCCGATCACGCATCCGATCGAATTCGATCTTGAGACTGAGGAAGAGTATATGCGCGCGATGAAGCTGAGGGAAGGCCGCGATCCGGAGGAGTAAAGTCAGTACGATTGCTATTGAGGTACGCAACTCTTGCGGCAGAGAATTCTCTGGATCTAAGGGCTCCCCGCACTTATAATAGGATTACTCCTACAGCTAACTATGTGCCATTGTACGCACCCGCGAAGGCCTCCAGGGTGGCTGTTACGTTATATCCGGAGCAATCTCCACCGTGAGCGCGCAGTTTCGAAATGAGCGCCCGCAGGGTTCCACTTTCCTTTGCACAGAATGCATTCCCACAGCTCCAGAATATTCTTTGCTCCGCATTGCCAGGTCTGGTCGGCCCGACTTGACCTATGGGCTTTGGTGAGTCCGAGACACTTTACCCGAAGCAGCGTCCAGAGCTACCAGCAGCTACCTGACTGCCCAACCATAAGCCACCGAAAATCGTACGAAACCGCTTCTAGAACGAAGTAGCTCTCGGTACCCCACGATTACCCCAGCACGTGGTCGCGGCTAATGTTGAACCTGCGACATCGGATGTTCTCGATGGCGCAAACCCGTGTTCATGCATCCACTTTACCCCAGATTTGCGCTTTTTCCGGCAGGAGCCGAGAACATTCTTCCGACTGTGGAAGAATCTTCCCCAGCCAGGAAATGGACCGAGCGGCCTTAACTGAACTGGGGTGCAGGCTCCTGGCTGATCATGATTCAGGGTGCGGCTCTTTTGCAGACGATATGCGGCTGTGGTTCAGATGGGCTCGGAGCCGTGGATGGCGGATAGCGGCTACTGTTATTTTGCCAGTATGCCTCGAGACTTAGAGAGGGTGATGCTCTCATGACCCCTTTGCTCTCCTTCATTTCATTCATATTGAATGGTCGCGGCCATAGTTTTGTGATTCTTTTCCGCACTTTGAACGCTTCTCCCGAAAACGGCTAGAGCAGTTCAGTTCCTGAACTCTATCGCAATGTACCCTTGGCGCCGTTTCAGATCGGCACACGCCTCTTGCGTGAGTGGCTCGGAGAAGGGCGTGAATTACACATCTCATCACCTCCGGTGTGAGAGGATCGATTCGACGGCTTCTCGAAGGTTACGGCAGGGACCATCAGAGCTGGCATCATCGAAGTACGATCATCCTCTTAAAAACTCGGATACAGTTACTCACGCGTCCCAGATCATGGCCCGGCACTACACCACCTCAAGAGGAAGAGGACGACTCGTATTCGAACGTCTTCACACCACAGCCAGAGCTCCGATATACACATCACGATGATGCGAAAGAGCCCTCAAGAAAACCCCAGCAATCACCAGCATCAACGCACCTCCAACTCCTCAGAGCCCCTCCGCAATGTCGACTACCAACATCGATGCGATTTACCACCCTCCTCCTCTACATCACACTCGCCCTCCTCTTCATCTCACGAACCGCAGCAGCACCACTCTCAAACTCCCACGCCCACCTCCACAAGCGACAAGCCGTCCCCGATAGGTTCGGCAACACAGGCAACGAACCCGCCCCAGTAGCCTCACTCCCACCCCCACAAACCCTCACACCATCCCCTACCTCCAGCCTTTCCGCCACCGCCTTCGCAAGCTCCACCTCCACCCCTTCCTCTACTACCCTAATGCCCTCCACCACCCCGCAGCCCACCACAACCGTAACCACCGGCTCCAACGGCAACGGCAACTCAAACCCCAACAACAACGGCGACGGGCTCGGCCTGAACCCGGGCGAAAACGGCAACAACCCGCCCGCCGAAGAACTCACGCGCATCGCGCCGCAGCTCAGCATGTCCCCCGGCGCGCTGGCGGGCATAATCGGCGGCGGCGTCGCCGTGCTATCCATCGTCATCGGCCTAATCGTCTACTTCTACCGGCGCGCGCGCCGGCCAGACATCGCAGAGATCCCGATCCGGCGCTCGAAGCTGGGCAGCCGGCTGGGGCGGCGCATCTTCGGATCGCCGTTGCCGTCGCGCTCGGGTTCGCGGTCGTCGTCGCGGCGGACGAGCGCGTCGTCGGCGCGGAGCGAGAAGAGAGAGAAGCAGATTGAGGCGGGGGCGGTGGACAAGGGGACGATTAGTAAGCCCAAGGCTGCGTGGCTGGAGAATGGGCTGTTGAGTGTGCCGCGGCCGGCGTTTGTGCGGGAGGAGAGGGAGCGGGCCAGCGGTGTGGATGAGGGCGCGCCGTGGGTGCAGGTCGATAAGGGGACGATTAGTGCGCCGAGGCCCGGGAGGCCGGCGAGTGCGGAGCCGTTGGGGAGGTTGAGTGGGATGGGGTTGGGGATGGGGTATTTGAAGTGAGGTTGTGGTGTGTTGTTTGTGGGTTTTTGTTTTCCTTTGGCTCGATACCCTGTTTTCGTTTGTGATGTTGTACTGTATGTAATCGGACCTTGTCGCGTCGGGGTACGCGGCTGGGATAATATGTACATAGTTTCTTCTTACTCTCGTTCAATTGAAGCTGAAGAGTATGTCATCATGACGCTGTTGGGATCCGCAAGCAACAATATGCCTTATGCTCTGACTAAGACACGGTTTCTCAAGCTGGGGAGGCAAAAGTGCAAGGTGTTGCGTGAGATTAAGCATCTAAGAGGCCGTGTACAAATTCATAACAACTCTCATGTAGCCTTCATTACTCTTCGGCGCACTCACTGTTTGGCATTACCATTGTACGCCAACAGGTTCGCCGATCCCTTCGGATCCTGAACACGTCCAGGAGTAGCCAACTCATAGACGCGCTTCTTCACGTCCGCAGCACTCATGGGGCCTTCGAGGCCGCGAATGTATGAAACGAGGCCTGCGACGTGCGGGGAGGCCATTGATGTTCCGGTCATGCTCGTGGTCGCACTGTCTGAAGTGTAGTACGAGGAGAGGATGCTTGTTCCGGGGGCGAAAATATCGACAGCGGAGCCGTAGTTAGAGCCCGTGGAGCCCTGACGTCTCACGTCATCCGACTGAATGTTGCCCACGCAGATGGTTTCGGGCGAGCGAGCAGGAGACACCAAGGAAGCGTCCCGATTCTCGTTGCCGGCAGCGACAACAGCGAGGACGCCCTGGTTCCATGCGGCAGTGACGGCGGCGTCCCAGGTTGCTGAAGCTGCGCCTCCGAGAGACATGTTGATCACTGCGTTGTTCGTACGGTTCTTAGCGACAATGTCGTTGACGGCCCAGTTGAAGCCACTAATCACGGTAGAGCTGGAGCCCGAGCTGCCCTCGAAGATCTTGACGGCGACGACAGTGGCCTTCTTGGCCACGCCGTACGTGGAACCGACCATTGTTCCAGCGACGTGACTTGGACATGCGTCAGAATCTATATCTTTGAGAAGGGCGGCAGAAGGGTACTCACGTGCCGTGACCTGCGTTGTCCGTGTTCTGGTTATTCACCGCATTGTAGCCCCAGACCGCACGGCCACCACTGAATTCTTTGTGGGTGATGCGGACACCGGTATCCACGAGATAGTTGAACATGCCCTGTCCGCCGCTCTCGTCGTAGACGTAGTCGACTGCGCCCTTCTGGCGGGAGGAAATACTTGCGAGACCCCATGGAGCAGCGCTTTCTGTTGCAAATATTAGCGCAATCGATTTTGCTGCAATTTGCGGATTCTCACCCGTCACAAGCCCGAGAGTCGTCATGATAGTGTCCATCTCAACATTAAGAACCTGGTGACCATGTTAGTATCTTTTCTCCCCACATCTTTCGCGTGTTTGCATACCTCAGGCATGGCCTTCAGTTCTTCGATGGTAGCCGCATCGAAAGAGCCGGAATAGGCTTTGAAATCACCGAATCCAAACTCGCGCTCGATTCCCCCAGTCTCTTCGTCCGCAATATCACGTCGTGCAATATTGCGGGCGTGAATCTCGCGGACCTTGACCTTGTGGGCCGCGATAGTCGCAATATCAGCTTCCGGTGTCAGTTGAATGATCCATTTTCCAGGAATCACTTGGCCAGCCACGGCGGTGGACACCGGAGCAGCCTGAGCCAGGAACGGCACCGCGGCCGCTGCGAGAGCGAGGAATCGAGTGAGGAACTGCATGATGGCGGAGGAGACGAAGCGCGAGCGGGATCGACTGGCTCGGGCGAATACCAGAGATGCGATAGCCCACCGTACTTATACCTCCTCAGCTCTCGATAAGCACCCATGATCCTTGGGCCTGTCAACATGGTGGAGTCACTTCTGAGCGCCCCATCCTCCGCAATAGCAATAAGCATCTCTTGCCCTTTCTTGTGCTGTGCGACCTTGGGGATTCGTTCCGATTCGAACTGCACATATGAGGCCAAGGCGCCCGATAGCACTACCGGGAGTGATCAATTAATGCTGCGGCAACGAGCCATGACAATTAGATTATTGATGAGCCAAATAGAGAGGGAAATGGAGATGAGCTTGGGATGGGTGCGTGTCTTGGGGCTGAAAGGCCGGATGAGTGCATTTTATCCTGGCGTCGCTCCTTCCCGCTTTGGCACTCCAAGCGCTCGCTTGAAATGTGCCGAATGGAACCGTGGAAGTCTGCGTGTCTTGTCGTTCTTGGTCATTTCTTAAATCCTTCTGCTCGGGCTTTAATGAGCCCCTCACACGATAAGTGCTCGCGCGGGGCTTAGGATGCCAGGCATGTGAATGATCGGTGGAGTTGACTAGTACCCCGCGCGGTTCGAGGCCTGCTATAAGATCAAACGGTGTGGCCATAGACTTGAAACGCGATCTTCTCCCTGAAGAATGTAGGAAATTGCGCGCTCCGCAGCAAGGCAAAATGCGAGGATCATCCATCCCCGCAAAGAGCACGCGGCGCGGAGTTTACCGAACTGTATCGAGGACGGAACGAATATGAAGGGGGTACCCGAATACGGGCAGCAGCCAAGAGATGAATGTAGAACAGGCCAACTCGTATTAGTATGCACTCGGCACTCGAGAGTACAATACGGGGTAGAAGCCGAATGCGATCGCGTAGGAGCGTCGCTTCCAGGAGGCCATGACTGGCGGAGATTTCACTCATTGAATGGAGCGTCAAGGTCGACTAAGCGCGTTCGGACCTCCCTGGACAGCAAAGGACAGGTGTTGGTTGAGGCATCTCTTTGAGGCGCGGCTTCGGAAGCGCATAGTCAGTGTTTTGGGAGAGCAGATATACATGGAGTGTTTCCAATCGGAGATGATAGATCGTGGGTACGTTCTCGAAGAATCCGGAGAGCGCTTTGCGAATGTTGTGTGTCTGGGAGAGGTTGAACGACGCGTCAATGCTTCGATCAGACCAAAAGCTTCAGGACCCTAAACTAGCGGCGTATTACGTCAGCACGCCTCACCTCGCCCCTTCTGTTCCGTCAAGCTTCAAAGCTTCCTCCTATCTATTTAACCCATCTCACCGCTTTACCCTTCGAATTTCGACAAACTACCAATTGCTCGCCGCTTCTGTGTAACGCGCGGGAATGGGCGCCGGCAGACTAGAACACCCTCCTCTTTTTGCTGCATTTCATGCCGCTGGGACAGAGGAAATTCGGATGGAGACGGACCTTCCTCCCTGATTTTGCGCCAGGCTCCTCTTTCAAGGCGCGCCAAACTCGTACGCTATGGATTGAAGCGCGGCGCTCAATTATTACGTGCTTCGGCCTCGCCGCATCCCGGAGCCAGAGGAGACAGGAGCCCTTCGGATGAAAAAGTACGCCCAGGGAGATTTCAAGGTCAAGCCCGCCATTTCCTCAAATGGGCGTAAGGGTTTGCCTATGGGAGGAAGGAATGCCTATAGCCCAGTACTCCTTCTTTGTATAACATGGGAGGGGCACCTTTGTACCTCATCCTAGCGACCCCCTCTAAACACCACTCGCTCCGCATTATTCCCGCGATCGCATCTAGCCATCGTCCTCGTCGCTCGCTCACCGATCATGCCCGGCATCCTATCCTCTGTCGCTAATCTCGGCTGGAGAGCAACCTTGCGCAGACTCTTAGACCCTGACAGCCAAGTCATCGAACGCCCATCCAGCCAACGACCCAAATATGTGCACGTCCGCCGACGGACTATAGCGGGACGAAAGACGCGAGGATCCGCGTATCGGCAAACCACTGAGGTTGACGAGGGCGGAAAGAAAGTGAAACATTACCAGCGCATCAACGATGGAGGCCCGCTCGCTGAAGACGAAGTGCAAGAATATGTTACAGTAAAGAAATCAGTGCTCAAAGGGACAGGGCGAACGGTGCGACTGGCGCGCAAGAAGAATGAGAAGAGGCGGGAAACCAGGGAGTCTAGATTACGAGGCGTAGTAGGACTCAACCTCCCACGCACTTCGCTGGAGATTCCGTGTAATATTGTTGAACTTATACTAATGCACATTCTAAGGAATTCGCACGGTCAGGAGCGCGTGTAGAAGCTGGGCATAAGCGCAGTTCGGCGCAACGAAGAGGCCACTTTCATACTCAAGACAATCCGTCAAGTAGAGAGAATAGGAGAGCAAGGATGGCTAAGGCAGCGCAAGTACGAAATGCTCCGATACAGTCTCCGCAGCACACTATCAACCTGCGCTCCAGGAAAGCATTCTCTTCAAAAACAGCTGGAGCCGCCCCTAAAGGATCCGTCCCATCACGATCGCCTGGTCAGCGCCCCAGTCCGGATTCTCAAGAGACTGCCCATGCTATTCAACAGAAACGTGCTCGCGGGGAGCCCCATATAAGTCCTCTTACGGCACCAACCGGCGCTTCAAAAAGTCCACAGCACGACTCCTCCCAACGTCATGGAATGGACACCAACGCCGTGATCGATCATCCCGCCTACGTTGCAGCACAAGAGCACAAGACCCACACTCTACAGACACCTAAAGCTGCCACTAAACACCCTATCCACGCACCCGAATACGATGCACGTGCGGGGCCGAGCGTGCCCACGATAAGGCAAGTACCGCGTCAAGCATTCGCCGAAGAGGAAGCATCATCCCACGCGGAGAGTGTTGTATCGGCCGGAGGACAGGGGAGTCCAGTATTTAATCAGCCCGCATTGGATCCTTGCGAATCTCGCCGCTTTGTATTTGGAAATATGCGTGCCGCTCTTCCTCAGACAACGGAAGTACCTCCGGAGACTTTTGGCGGCGTAGTTCCACTACCCGAATCTATTCATGAGAATCCATTAAACACCCCGGCCCAAGGCCTCGGACCCGGACGCGTTCATGAGAATGCATTTAGTGCCATATTTCGGCAGCCACAACCCGCTGCTGGAAGCCCCTTCCAGGGTTCTCCGAATCCGGCGTTGATGCAGCCACCCGGCGGAACCGCCAGACATGTTCCTTCACAGGCAGGATCGTCTCAACACTCTTCTCATCATTCTGAATTCCAAGTACCCATGCAACATGGGCAGGTATTTGGACAGCAGGCATCCACTCCTGGCGGAAACCTCGGACAATGTCGCGCGCAGTCCCATACCTCGCATTCAGGAAGAAGCGTGCAGTGGTCCGCCCGGCAGGAACAAGTCATTGGAAATAGCACCGCGATGCAAGGTCAGAGTGAGAGGCGCAATTACGCCGCCATTCCGATGACTATAGGGAGAGGTTCGAAGCAGTTCCAAGATATGAGGTGCTATCTTGCGCAGCTGCAGCATGATGAGGAAGATGAGGCATCTGGTTGGGGCGGTTAATTTGCCTTGGATCCAAGACAGTATTGGCTAGGAGTAGAATTTCACAAACAGCTCGATCGTGCGGTCGCTCGTGAGAGCTTGGTACGAGAATGAAGTATTCCATCAGGTGTCGGAGACCCGCGTCATGCGCCCACTGATGCCTCCGCTTTCATTTATCTCCTAATGTCTATCCGTGTCCTCACTCCCCAAGATAATCCCCTTTTCGCTCTCGGTCAGCTTCCACACCCACTTCACGCCCTCGTCACCCTTTCGCCTTTTGACCTGGACATCGATATCGTAATCTGGAGCCGGCATCACGCTGGTCAAACGCGCCTTATCTGTTGTGGGCATCTCCCACTCCCCGCCCTTGGGTACCATCTCGAACCGCAGCATGAGCATTGCAGCGAAAGTCATGATTTCCGTGGTCGCGAAATGGCGCCCTGGACAAAGAGTGGTGCCGCCGCCGAAAGCGCGGTACGAGATGTTGTTCACGCGCGGGCGTGCCTTATCGGTGAAGCGGTCATGGTGGTATTCCGTGGCATCGGCGCCCCAGCGTTCGCGGTCGAAGTGCTGGACAGTCGAAGGCATGAAGATAGTCGTGTCCTTCTTGACCAGCCATTTCCCATCGAGGAGATGGTCTTGCATGACGCCTCGAATCCCGACGCCTTTGCCGTGAACGCGCATTGCTTCCTTGAAGACCGACAGCAAGAGTGGGCAGGACGCCTTCAGCGCCATCACGTCGAGAGTCCGGATCGGCGTCCCGTCAGCATCCTTCGAATCCACGACGTACGCAAGGACCTCCTCGCGGCACGCTTTGAGGATCTCGGGGTCGGAGAAAATATGCAGGACAAACCAGAAGGTCGTGGGTACCGTGTTCCCGAGAATCGCAACGCCGTGCCCGGCTTCGAGTTGGGCGTAGTCTCGCACGGGGAAGCCGCGGCTGATGTACCAGTCGTAGCGCTGGCGGGTAAGACCCGATGCCGTGACGTGGCCGCCTTTCTTGAAGAAGTCTTCGAAGACGGAGGCGAGGAAGTCGCGTGACTTGACGCAGTCCGGGGCAAGCCATTGCCCGAGACGACCCATCGTGAGCGTGCCGACGCCGGCGCTGTATGTCCTGCCCACAGTCAGACAGATCATCTACGATGGATAGGATGAGAATATGCTTACCAATAACTCTTGCGCACTGCTGCATCGCGATATGGATTCTTAGGGCCATATACACCCTCAGTCGTCGGAACGGTAATTATCTCCTTGATCCACTCAAACAACTTAATATTGATCTCGTTCGCGCCCTCCGGAATCCAATTTTCCACGCTCTCTTGAAGCACGTTCATCATAGTCCTGTTCATCTCATCCAGGAACTTCCCGGGAGCAAGCGCCTTGAACGTCGTACCCGCCGGACTAGACGCATTTGCAGGCCCAGCGAGCCACTTATCAGACTCCTCCTTCTGGACAGCGACCGCCGTTGGACTGAGATCGCATATCAGCTGCGAGAACTTATCCTCGATGGCCTGGAAGGTGCAGATCTTGTGCTCGCGCTGGACGGCCGCGATGAGCTTCGGGTCGTTGATGACGTAGAGACGGCGGCCCAGGCGACTTCCCGGTAGGCGCAGAGTATAAATTGGCAGCTTTCCATAGCGCTCCCTGCCACATTATTCAGCTACACGTGGGCGTATAAATGGGCCCGATGCGAACGTAGTCTCGAACCGTGCGCTTTTCGTAAATGGTGCTTACTTACCGGAGCGTAGTAAAATACCGATTATTCCGCTTCATTCCCACCGCGGGCGTGATGTACGGGATCGTTGTCTCAATCATCGGCGGCTCCCGCGGATCGTGTGTCACGTACAACAAGACACGCAGCGCGATGTAGACAGCCGCCAGCCCGCCGACGAGTGCGACAAGGGTAGAGTTCAGGCCAGCCATGGCAGTCCAATATATGAATTCTTTATACTGGCTCTGGTGTGGGGAAAAGATCAGTGTGGATGTTAGATAGATCCCAGAAGTCCGTCGTGGGGTAAATTTGTGCCTTTTTACAAGTGAAGGATCGCACGCGCCCCCCTTCGCCCTGCAGAAGAAGCTCGTCTGTGCTGCTGCTGCATGCATGCTGTGCCGCGCGGCAATATAGATTAGGTACGTACCGACGAATGCTGACTTTTGCCGAGAGGATGCACTTCCTATTCGGGAAGCTGGTAGAGGCTCGAAGCGAGAGCGATTGTCGCGGGTTTTGGAGGTGCTGCTGCAGATTTGTAGAGTTTTTGGCGTTGTACGCAGTGGACGGCGAGCTGTCAGAGGTTGCACCTGCATACTTGAGTTACCAGTATGGCCAATCACATTTTTGGAGGGCGTGTAAGCGCTGTCAACGGAGGCAAACACGCAGATGCTGATGACCTTAGAGATTACACAGGCTCGGAACCAACGGATAGGTATCGTGTACATTGATCCAAACAGTAGACGTGAACCAAGACGTCAAACTCCAATCCAAGCCGTATCCGCCAAACCGCCAAACCGCCAAACCGCCCGAACAATAGACCTTGACGCCACACCGTTCATATGAACGGAGCTCCGGTAAAGACACCGTCCAAATCCTTGTGCATCTTGCGTTCATGGTCGTTTCTCTTGTCCTTCCGTGAGAAACCTCGCACCGCTCTCTGACACCCAGCGACGCGACACGTGAAGTCTCTCATACCCTCATGGCTGCCTCGATGGTGGCGATCAAGATCAGGGATCCGCGAAAACAGTTTGTTGCAGTTGCCATAGGTGCATCTGTAGTGCGTCTTGGTTTCGGTTCGGAAGCAGATGCTGGAGCGCCTTGTGCGGGTACTAGTCAGCTATGTAGTCCTCGATCAGTAACGGCGTTGGCTTACTTTCTGCGTCGACTCCGCGCGATCGTGCTTGGCTCCACAGGAGAAAAGGACGTTGCATCGGACCTAGATGCTTCTCCTGTTGTATTTGGCTCAGTGTGCTTGTTGAGCGCGTGGCTCGGTGGAGACTCCGTTCCGGAGCGAGGATTGGATTTTGCTCTTGGCAACGGCGGTTGTTCCATGAGTAGCCAGTTCTGGGAACTTCCCCAGTCGACTGGTTCCCCACTTGGGAGAATAGGGCATCCTTGGTGCGTTCCGGCTCCTGAACTTGCATGCGGAAACGGACCTGGCGGGTTGATCGGGGTCTCGAAGCGATACTGGCGATCGGAGGGGTAAAGGTCCTGCGTGTTCTGAGTTAGGAGTGCATCTTGGTCCGGGAAAGTGGGCAAATATTCCGGTCCGGTTGGCATGTGTAATTGTGCAACTGGCATGGCTCCAAATGTCCAACTTCCGAGTGGTATGGCTCCAATTCCTATTAATGGCGGATGCCTGTAAAAAGCTGGATGGGGGCATGAGACTGACATAGACGTTGACGGTACCGTTACGTGGTGCCTGCTTAGCAGGGGTTGGACCAAATCAGTGCGTAGAAGGAGTGCACACCCAGTCACGGGGTCGAAGAATTGTGTACCAAAAATAGAACATTGGCAACGAAGAGGAAGCCAAAATGGATCAAAAAGTGTACCAATTGGTGTGCTATCAGGTGGGTATGGTGCTAGCCTCGGGGAAAGCAATAGGGAACAAAATAATGAAACTATTTTCGAGAAGCACTTACGCGCAGATGTCTCAACGGTGGCTTCAGAGAGGAAGCAGAGAGACATCGGTGAAGGAATCGTTAGTATAACTGCTTCAAAGAATATGAACAAATGTATGAGATGTCCGATCCAAAGATCTGATTCAAGGTAGATATAATCCATCGGACTGACAAACAATAGAATGAAGGGGCAATCTGAAGAAAGGGAAATTCCAGGGAGAGCAGTCGAACGGTTGAGCCGCATAAGTCATTGTAGTCGTGCCCCCATCCAGAGTAATTAGCCTGCGTTTTGTAATTAGCTAACCTTGGATTTGGACTTACCGCTGTCCAAATGTCGCCATCTCTTCAGCAGTCCTTGGGCCTTGGTCGGATGGACCAAATTCGCTAGGGTATGTGGACATCCCATCATTGTAAGTTTCCGGCATGACGGAATCGAACGTCATGGAAGGTCCAATGACATTGAAATCGGCAAAGCTCTCCAGGTGGTCGATAAACACGGGATCTTCGAATGCTCCCACGACTCCGTCCATTTCGCTGGGTAATATCGGTAGAGGAGATTGGAATGGGAAGTAGGCCTGGCTCCGGGGACCTGGTGAGGCAAACTTCGGCCTGCGCCTACCTGGCTGTTGGGGGAGATCGCTCTCTCGACGTGTACGATGGACTCAAATTTGACGGGCAGTCAGGAGCGCTGCGGGGACGGGGCTCAAAGACAACCTTTCGCATTGGGATAAGTCGAAGCAGAGGAGACAGGGACCTGTCCTTCCTTTTATCTTTCAACCTTGGTCGGCTGAGAGGAATGACTCCAGGCAGCGACGTGCGCCACATGTGGGCAGCGCCCTTCAGGCGTTCAGCCACAAGCTATGATGAGTATCGGCGCCCTCCCTCAAACAGCCGACTCCTCTCGTGACCCAGCGAAAGGGGCGTGTGTGGTGGTTACACAATTGGTGTTTGGTCAGCTGAAGTGTGTTCAGACGTGCACCCAAGCTTTTGGCGCTAGCCCGAATGCGGTATAGCCCAACACATGCTTCTCGCCCTTTCAAAGTCCCGTTTCTCCAGGTCTTGACGAGCCTCAACTCCATGCTGAGCACAGTAGGTTGCTCTGTTCGTACACACGTCCGCATCAACAGCAAGTCCTTGATCGCTTGCATCCCCGCCTCCTTCCCGCAGCCGGCAGGCGGCCCTATAGCCAACCGCCTATCAGCCCATCTCACTGCATGCACGCTGCCCGCTTCTTCTCGCCCTGTTCTTGGCGCCTTCCAGCCCCTCCTATGACCAGGCTAAGATGCAATTGCCCCTCCAAAGCCCACTGGCGCCCCCCTAACAAATTCCCCGGATAGTTTCTAGTCGAGAAAGGGGAAACGGCGTCATTTTGAGGCTGCAAAGGCACCTAGCTAGTCACGATCTTTCCGTGATCCTCAGGCACCTACCCAGTATAAGCAAGCAGGATCAGCATTCCCGTCTTACCATCCTCGTTTAGCATGCATCGTCCAGCAGCATCGGATCCCCAATAAGCCTTAGCGCCTCATCAATATGCGGTGTACCTAAGCAGTACGTAAGCCGGGCATACATATGTTTGGTAGAACCACCAGACAGCGAGCGCAATCTTCTATCATTCACCAACGTCAACATGTCGTCTTCTTTCCTCTGGGGAATGGGCGCTATAACAGCGGGCTTCTTCAACGCCTTCTCGTTCGGCGAAGGCTCGATCCAGTCAGTCCTAGGCCCATCGTTATCGGCGGCCGCAGAAGTGTATCTGCCAGGTAGTGCAGGGTTCACGAATGCGAGCGCGAGATGGAGCGCGGCTGCTATGCCGGACTTTGAGGCGATTGTGAAGGTGCATTCGGAAGAAGACGTGCAGCAGACGGTATTCCGCCTTCGCGGTATAACAGCCCACGACTGATCATAGTTAGATCAAGTACGCAAATAAACACGACTACCCCTTCCTCGCCATCTCAGGCGGGCACGGCCAATCCTCAGCATTGAAGAACTTGCAAAACGGCATCGGCATCTGGATGCGCGGCATGGGCAAGATCGAAATCGTCGACAACGGAACAGCCGCGCTGCTCGGAGGCGGCGTGCAGAACGGCGAGCTCATTTCAACACTTTGGTCCCACGGAAAGCAAACAGTAACCACCGGCTGCGACTGCGTCGGTTTCATCGCGCCCATCCTTGGAGGCGGACATGGCTGGAACCAGGGCCGGTATGGATTGCCAGCCGATCAGCTTCTTTCTGCGCGGATGGTGCTTGCGAACGGGACTGCGATTACCGTGTCTGATACCGAGCATCCTGATCTCTTCTGGGCGATCCGAGGCGCGGGCCACAATTTCGGCGTAGTCACAGAAATCAAAGTGAAAGTCTACGATCGAGAGCCGGAGCTGGACCAATGGGCAGCCAGCGGCTTCGTCTACCCCGAAGACAAACTAGAAGCAGTCTTCGAGATCGCAAACGAATGGCTACAAAGGCCCAACCAACCTATGGAGCTCGAACACTACGGCGTCTTCGCATTCAATCCCGACGTCGATCCAGACAAAGTAAGCAACTCTACCACTCAAATGTCCTCCGCATCGCTAAAACAAACAGCCCATCGTCATGTTCTGGGTATACTACAACGGCGCCTCCATCCCCTCAGCTTTCACCGACCCGCTCTACGCACTCGATCCCATCGCCGTCGACAGCAGCGTGACCGACCTCGCGGGCGTGAACACGCACCTCATGGCCACCGTGGACGGGGCCTCCTGCGCCAAAGGCTTCTCGCGCGTCTTCTACCCCGTGAACCTCATAACGTGGTCGCTCACCAACCTGCGCACTGTGCTCGACATCTTCGCCGCCATGCCCTCCGCCTACCGCAACTCGGTCGTTATGCTTGAAGGGTACCCTGTGAATCGCGTGGTCGAGATCCCGAGCGATAGCACCGCGTACCCTGATCGAGAAGGGCGGCTGCTAGTTTCGCCGCTGCTGACGTATGCTGCGAATGCGACGTTGGATGCGGAGGCTTTCGAGATTGGAGAGAAGATGAGGGATGCGTTATTGGAGGGGACGGGCTTGAAACTGAATGCGTATGTGAATTATGCGAGGGGGGATGAGAGTTTGGAGGCGGTGTATGGGTATGAGGAGTGGCGATTGGAGAGGTTGGGGAAGCTAAAGAAGGCGTACGATCCAGAGGGGAAGTTCAATTTCTTTGAGCCTATCTCATAACGCATCCCGCGCCCGCGCCTGCTCCGGAATCCACAGGAAGCGAAACCAACATCGATCCAAGAGTGCCTCCTGGGATTACGTAGAGCATACTTTCCCCGTTTCTTCCTCAGCCTGTTTCCATGTCTTTCCGGCTATCCTCTTCTCGTTCAAATTTCCCAAGACGACGTAAAGATGAATGCTGTGTGAGGGGAGCAGGAGCAATTCGACGTAGCGGCGTCACGAAGCCCTATCAAAACGTCGAGAAAAGACGAAAGCGGCCAAAGCAACTAGAACTAATGTTAGCGCGAGTGTCCCAAAGTCAATGTTTCTAAACTGATATACTGACCGACAATGGCCAACAGCACACACCGTCGCCCAAAGCCGTGCGGCCTTATATAGCCTTTTCCCGCGACTGTCGACATTGGTATTCTCGATGGAACGGTTTTGTCATGGAGCGCGGAAGCTGGTGTGATGGTTGGGTCTGTCTTGAATGCTGCCTTTTCCGAGGGTGTCGACTGCTCGTCCGTGATGATCTGCTGCCTGGCATCGGGTTGCTCGGTTTTCTCGCCGGGACTGTCGCTTTCCTCCATCTCATCGATGAGGAGCAGGAGGTCTTCTTTGTTGTCGAGAGCCCACAAACCAATCAAGTCACGCAGCCCAATGGGCTGACGTCCAAGGCCTAACAGCGATGTGGTTGTTGGGTATTGCTCACCGGTACTTAGGGACACATCGGCCAGTTTCAGTCCATCTTGTGTTATCCAAAGTCTCATTTTGCCTTGCCCACTATCTCCTAGCACACTGGTAATCTTATAACGTACAGCCCAAGAAAGGTGTTTGCCACGGCCGGCTTTCTTCAGGAAAATCTCGAAGACCCGCCCGAACGTCTGCGAACAACAACACGACATGCTGTCTGACCATTGCATACGTTCTAGGATGAGTTCTTGCAATAGGAGGCGCGAGTATGTCGGAACGCCGTCTACTGTCAGGAGCTTGAAACAGTCGATAGTCGCGTCCCGCTGCACTGTGAAACAGGCCTGGTACAAGCTCTTCGTTAAGCATACCAGCAAGAGGGATTTCCTGAATTCAGTCTTCACTAAGTCCGGGTCTTGTCGAATTTTCCAATTGACGTAGTTTGCCGCGCCGAGCCTTGCGTAAATGTAAGAGGGTAATGAGAGGCGAAACCGATATGCTTCCCCCGGTCTCCGCTGTTGACGGACGCTCGGCGTCATGAAGACTTCTATTCCATACTCTACAAGAGTCATGCCTTGATAAGTGAATCGAGCGTCGAGATCCAGAGGTGGTCCCAGGTTCTTTCGCTTCAACTCCTCCTCCAGGATTGTTAAGTACGAATAAGGCACCATGTCCATCCCTGCATAGCAGCGGATGGCAAGGGCAGCGAAAAGGGTCTTTCCCCAGTACTCTGGATTTAGAAAAACCGAATCTGTCGACCGTATCTCGGCAAGGAGAAGTTGGGCGATGCCATCTTCGAGCTTGAACCCTTCTAGGTGGAGAGCCATTTCCGTTTGAATCTTCGAACGCTGTAGGAATTCCGGTATGGTTCTATGTGTAAACATGACGCATTTGACATCAAGCCGCCTTGTATCCATCTTAGCGTCTCGGATCTCCACCAAGCCTTTGCAGCTTCCCTGCACGAGCTTCCGGGCTCTTGCTAGCTGGACTTCTCGATAGTGGCGCTTATCCTGTGTTTCCCCCATTATCTCGAGATGGCGACTTGTTGTTTCGACTGCAAAACCAGGGTTCCTTGCATACTCATCCACGAACATGCAGGAGAGGAGAGGCAATTGTGCTTGCCGCTCGTTCAACTTGGACACCATAGCAAAGATGCGATACGCTCTCTCCCTCGCTGATCGACGGATTGAACCAAGTAAGTGCTCGAATAACGCTTCCAGCTCGTTTGGAAGCGAGTGAAGCTCTTTCTCAAATGCTTGTAGATCTTGACTCTCTTCGAGACACTCACGGAGCGCCTTTACAACTAGAACTGTCCAAAGAAAGATTCCTTCAGATCGGCTAGCAATCTCGTGTACTAGCCGACCTCTGACCTCCAAATCTTGCACATCTTGAAGCTTGTCTTGTACATATCTTGCCATGTCCCTTTCAGTTAGGTCCTGTAATCGAAGCCGCTTTTCGGGGGGGAATGAGTTCTCGAAGACGTTGTCTTCTCGGCTCGAGACGCATATTTTCACGGCACCTCGAGAAGCCGAGATCCAAAACTTGATGGAGTCGAGCATTTCTTTGCAGTCTTGCTGGGGAGGTCCTTCGTATTCGTCCAAGGCGTCAAGAAAAAAGCAGAACCGATGCGAGTTATGAAGATCTCGGTATTGTATCACTGTTTGAAGCGCCGCCTGGATTTCATCGTCCGCAAAATCCCCACTCGTTATGAGTGAATTGTTCAGAGTCAGCTGTGATATTACCTGTTGCCATTGCCGAGGAAATACGACCCGGACAAGTCCAGGAATCGCCTGAAGCAGGTCGTGAAGTAGCGACCTCCGTAATCCTTTGAGGGATTTCTGCAAAGATGAACCAGGTCTCCAGAAGAAAAAGCTCGCGAGTACCAGTTTTCGATTTCCTGAGCAGAGTGAGTAAAACTGTAGACGGGTGTCAGCGCAGCGGAACAGGATACGTACCAGCCCACTTCCGCAGATCCGCTTTCGTACGCGGATGATCGCGTAAAAATTTCATCAGCGTCGACTTCCCTGAACCCAGCTTCCCGGCAATATGAAAGATACCATCTCCGTCAGCCAACCAATCAGTGAACAACTTGCGAGCGTCTGAAAGGCGTTGAGAGTCGTTATCCATGCCTTCTTCAAGAATCCAGCGAAAAGTTTGATAGTGGGTCTCGTCCACCATCTGGAACCTCTGCCGCATATTGGTGTAAGCAAGTCCGTGCACTATGAAGCGGTGTGCGATTCCTTCTCTTGCTGCTTGCGGAAGTTCGAGGAGGCTCTGAAGCTGTTGCTGGGCCCTAGCGCTAAGAGAAGAGACTGTAATGCCTCGATGTATGTCGTCAACATGGCTCTGGATTGCTTCCAGGACTCGCTGTTGGGATCCGCCATCCGATGCAATTGTTATCAATCGTTGCTTGAGATCCTCACTAGCCATACATTAGAGATTTCCCAAGCGTCCTAAATCATCACCGACCTTGAAATATAGCTGAGCTGCAGTGAAAGTTGAGAACGGCAGTGGGCGAGCTTTTCCTCAAGTGCCGCTTTTTCTCTCTCATACATCACGTTCTTCATTGAGGACAAAACCGCCTGTCGTTTAGACTTGGGATCGGTCGGGATAATCTTCTTGAGTAACGTGGTGATTTGCTCGGATAGCCTGCAGCACTCCGAAGCAAGGAACTGCAAGGCTCTTTCGTCTTCGGTCTTCGGCTGTACGGCTGGATCTGCCAGCTTGCTAGAGAGGCCTTCCATTTCGCGAACGATATCTTCCGTTCTTTTGTTGTCCTGCGTCACTCCAGACGAGGACTGGTGGATTTCCTTGGCAATACCGAGGACTTTGCTGCCGAGTTCCACGAACTGTACGATATTCGCAACGAGGCCGACCGCTGTGATAGGATCCATGATGGGAGTGTCGTGAAGTGCATCAGGCTGCTATCGTTTTGTCCATGGAGATGAATTGACGTAGAAAGCGCCGGGAGCGAGGAATTCAGAGGATGTCTCGAAGGACGTGACGAAGGAAGCATCGTGACCAATTCCCCTCTCTGTCCGACCCTTCCTCAGGCGCACGAGCTGCCGTGGTATATTAGCGTACAACCACCCCCCCTTCCATAGCAGCTACTCACTGGCTGAGCCTGATCACTATACCCGCTGTGTTCGCTTGATGTAGAAGCTGCCACTCAAGCTAGCGCCCACAGTCGCGCAGAACGGTTCTTTAATATTAGCATGACGCGTCGACATAATACAATGGGTAACTTGTGGGCGCCAAAGCTGTAGCACTGCTGGCTGATCTGTAGGCGATGGTGTGATAGGGAGAGAGGCGAGAGAGGGCCAAGAGAGAGTCCATCGGTCAGTCATGTGGATGATGCAATTGACGAAGGAGGAAGGCGCGGCCGCGCCTTCGCCAATTAGAGGCAATGGATTGATGCAATGAAATGAATCACCGCTTCTATGCAAAACAGATTTACAGCTCAATATCCGGAGCTAACGTAGGTGACACAGGCACCTTCTGTCTCTTCACACTCCGCTCCTCTTCTGCGCTCTCGTCGGCATCTGGTCCCCGTCTTGCATTTTCTCCAATGGCACCTCCTGGATGATTCCTCCTGAAGATGTGCCCGGTGTTATGAGAGTGTATAGCCTCCGCCGCTGTGAGTGCCAACATATCGCCAACCGCGATTGCTACAGTCGTAGATGTCGTCGGCGCGCACACGCCGAACGACAGTTCCTCCGATTCATGTATAGGCGCCGGTAGCAGAATGCCGTCTGATCTTTCGCGCAGCAGTGGGCAACCGGAAGGGTGCTTGTGGGCTGTGATAGCAATAACCGAGGTCGAAGATGGGATGTGCTCGAGGACGGCCATGAGCTCGGCGGTCTTGCCGGAGAAGGATATGAACATGACTGCGTCATTCTGGGCAGCCGTGTGTCAGTGAATGTGGGGCAGTCGAAGGGGCAAGAATGTACGTACAGGCCTTATATCACCCAAATCGCCATGTAGCGCCTCTGATGCATGCAGAAACGAAGACGCTATGCCTAGACTCTTCATGGTGGCCACCGTCTTCTTCCCTACCAGTCCGCTCTTGCCCACGCCGCAGATGAGGAGCTTGCCACCCGCTTCATTGACCCTTGTCATACACTCCACTGCCCGAAGCAGTCCATCCCGCGCAATCGGGTCTGACTGGTATAGAATGGTGACTTGTGAAAGCGCGGTTGCGGCGGTGGAGAGGACGTGTACAGCGCGTGAATGGAGGCATGAGCCCTCAGGGTCGTCGACGGACAAGGGCGGTGTGAGTGCCTCGGATCCGACGCGTTTTCTCTTCATTGCGGGCGACGCTCGCCCGGGATTGATAGCGGCTTCCATCTCCAGGGATTGTAGCATCTTGAGGCCGGCGGAGGACTACAGAAAAGCAATTTAATAAGAGTGCCCGGAATACGAGGCGCTGCGATGCCGGGGTAGGGTGTTTGCGGTCGGAAAGTGTCGGCGCGTCACCGCGGTGCAGCAGGGCGAAATTTGAGATGACAGCAGTGACAGGACGAACGAGGGCGGATAGGGGAGCGTATTAACAATGCGGCTGACTTCATGGTGGTGGTTAATGTAGGTAATGTAGGCTTCTAGTCTGCGGTGACGGCCGGATAGGACCCGTCGGCGAAATGATCCCTTGAGATAAAGAATGGCGAATTCACGCCAAGAGCCCCGCACTAGCCCGAATGGGCCGCCAGTGCCATCATGCATCTACCATTCCGCCCACGTTTTCCTCCTAGGCACCACCCTTCGCCGAGACAGCGCGGCGCCTGCGATCTGACCGCCGTGTCTATGACCCGGGAATCCATGCTTTCCGCGCGCCCATAGCGGCCAGTGTTTCCTCCGTCCCCATCACCTTCATGCCGAGCTCGCGTCTGTACAGCTGCTGCGCCTGCTCAGAGCCTGTTAGGAGAATCATGAACCGCAGCTCCGGTATTTCCTGGACGATTTCCCTGCAGCAGTGGATCATCCACCGTCCCAATCCGAGACTCCGGTACTCGTCCGCCAGATAGACGTCCGTAAGGTAGGCGAGGGTTACGTAGTCGGTTATCATGCGCGCCATGCCGACGGGAGTTCGTTCATCGCCGTTTATTAGTTTGTACAAGCCCAGAGTGCATGAGTTGTCGAGGAGCGTCTTCATGTTGGCGGCCGAGATGGGCTTGGCCCAGTACATGGCTGGATTGTCGAAGGCTTGCTGAACAAACTCATGAGGGAGATCGCGCGCTGTCGATATGAGAAAGGTTTGCCCATTAATGGACTGTTTCCACTCTTTCGTGGCCATACTGAAGGAATCTGAGGAACGGTGTTGTTGAACGCGAAAGTGGTCCACATATACTTCCTCCGGGGCGGAGGTGAGTCATAAGGGGATCGTAGTCAACATGAAGGGCGCGATGATTACAAACCCTACCCATAGATTGGCTGCGAACGCTAATAGACCCTTGACGCAGTACTCGCCCACTCTCATTCCGTCTTGGTTCCGACGATCGGAAGGGTCCAGCACGGACCACTTCCCGAGGCTAAGGAAGGCAATGCCGATCTGCCGGTCCGATCCAACATCAGCTCGGCCCGGCCCAAGGCCTTGGGCTGTAAGTGTCCTGGATCCGTTCTTCGGTAATGCTTTTTGACGGCTCTTCTGACATCCATCTCGCTCCGCCGGATGATGGCGCACGGCTGAGACGCTCCGCCTCCACGCCCCCATTCATCCTCTCGCGCACGATGTATCCACAGCCACAAGACCAAGCGAGGATGTTTACCCCGCGATGGTCGCTGGTCTTCTCTAAGGGAGATTCTACTATCTCGTAGACTGTGGCCTTAGCCTCTCCTAGATCCAATCCGGTCAAAGTGAGTCCGAGAAACCTGTCTTCCGGCGCCAGGCTGAAGGCCACTAATCTCCCGTGGATAGGACGGTTTTCAGTGGTTGCCATATCTCGAGCACTACATCTGTTATCCTCGTAGTAGCGAATTACCATTGGCTGGGATCGATGACGAAGCATCGCAGGCCGCAAGGCAGAGTATCGGGCACTCTCCACCAAAGGCCGGATCGAGCTTAGTGGGCTGTCTAAAGATATACGAGCTACAAGCCACATTCCCTACAGAGCAACTTTGATGTGTGGCTGCATGTCACTTTTGAAGAGGCATGTCAGCTTCTCAGCCTTTTCTGAATGTTGTCGAGAAGGCTATATATGGGAGATGAAGCCTTCCCAGTGTGCTTCAAATGCGACAATCCCTACCCTTTCGGCTTTCTTCACGTCCCTTACAAGACAGCTGAGCCTTTTCAAGTACTCTGCCGTACCTATTCTTCATCTAGAAACCCGCCTGTTCTTCTCGGTGTTTTCTTCCAAGGGTAAGCAGCCTCTCCGGTTTGGTTACCCATATTCTTTCCACAGACATTCTGACGTTTATTAGTCCACCTGCTCCCTCTCCGGCATCTCCTACGAACGTTATCACAGTCTCCTCTCCGTTCCAAGTTTGTGGCCTCACCAACCTACATATCGGTGTCATTTTCTTCACAGCTGCCGAATCTTCTTTACGCGCAACTATAACGATCGCCGATATCCGCCACCAGCACAAAAGCCAATATCCCCAAGCTGCGCTGACCACGTGGCATGGTTTTCTTGGGTCTAACACCATCAAGCCTGGCACTCGTACCATGGCTGGGCGTGGTGCTTTCGGTTGTCGCGTCGAATGCAAACATTGCTTCCGCTAGAGCACTCCCGAACGCAAACGTCCTTGAAAATATCCACGACGCGATCCTCCCGACGCCTAATACAACCGAGGGGCCATTAGGCGAGATACAATGTTACGCCCTTCCGTACGGTGCCATCGGCATCATCTCCCATCTCCTAACATACTGGACGATTGCCTGGGTCGCTGTAGGAAGGAGCCCGCTTTGGCCCGTCCACCGAATCGAGTCGTACGGGATCGACATGTTCCTTGCGGCCATTACCTTGTGCACATGCATTCCGATTGCCTCTCTGACAATCCATCGATGCCGCCTCAGTTGGCACTTCGTCCTTATCGCCGTGTGGAAGCTCGTTACATCTGTATCGCTGGCTTGCCTCACAATACACCGATGCATCATCACCCGTCAAGAAATCAAGAGGAAGAAGGCTGGCAAAGCTCACACCCCTATCCCGATGCAAGATTCTGGTGAAGCCGCTCACGACCCTTCCATGCCCAGCCACCGGCCCGCGACCACTTCAAAGGACCTCGGTCCGCTCTGGTGGCTTCTCCTCTACCTCGCAGGGACCATAACCGGCATGGTCGGCCTCTGCTCGCTAATCTACATCTCGTTCCGGCACGACACTGCCGTGCGGAACCTCACGTACGCCTTCGCGGCCCCGATGATCATCATCCCCATCCTTGTTGCCATATACTGGTATGTGAAGCATTTGCAGCTGCCCGGCGGCGGGTTCGACGTGTGGATGTCCGCGAATACGCATGTGATTGGAGGTGCGGCAATTGCCTTCACGGCCGTGTTTGGGTTCTTCTCCGCGCTCTATAGCGACTTGGTGTTAGGAGCTATTGCAGGTAATATGCTTGGGTTGCCCAGTGGAGACTTTGCGGTGCTCTATTGGGCGTGGTTCATTGCGAAGCGGTTCACTTTGCTGTCGTTGTAGTTGCATCGCGGTTGGTTAGCGGCTTGTTTTGTATGCATTTTATATGGTGTTCTAGAATTATATCGTATTTTCTCTTTGTTTTTCCTCTTCAGTATAGACATAATAGATATTGTCTGCATTGGGTTGTGGCTTTGATATTGAAGAAGCAGGGTTAGTTCGTTGGTAGCACGGAGATAAGAACCCCGAAATCCGAACCGCACCGTTCTCTTTCTAACTCGTTCACGACTTTCGGCCTTAGATCCAAAGCTGTGCCCGGCTATCCAGGCCATACTCACTCTGAGTCGTTTGCATTTGCATGCTTCCAATAACGATGGACCTTGACAGCACGATAATTTTCGGAGAAGTTGACCATGATTGTCCGCTCCTCATACTCCCTTCGCCTTCGCCGATAACAGTTCCACAGCCGTAAAGCCCTAACTTTCCGGTGTTGCACTGGCAGTTCATCCACGAGTAGGCCTGAGGACCTCAATTTCTGTCATTTGCTGAAGCTCGTAAGCACCGAGAAACAAATCGAGCAGCTGGACGCTGAGTTTCCTTCTCTGGTGTCTTAGATTAAGACAGAGATGGAAACCACCATCGCTCTCTTTGCCAACCCGCCACCTTTGATCCTACTGCTTAGCACGTGAATAAATAGAAGCAAAGGCTGCCCCCAAGCGGTGTTTTCAGCTTGGGTTAGAGCAGGCAGCCAACAGACGAAGACAGAATGGCTTACTGAGACAGTGCTTAAGCATTTCGACGCGTAAGCTACACCAAGATGCCCTGAACTCTGCAGCTGATGCTAACCGCGTCTCCCCTAAGAACTAGGGACTCTCATATACGAAGCCCTGCTCGGCGTGCTGCGTTACTCAATTAACAACCACTTGCTCTCCAGCTTATCAACGATAGTAAATAACAAGCTAGCCTTGTTTCTGTAGATAGATAAATAGTGTTTCGGTGAAAGCATATGAAGAAGCGGACCTCATGCATATGTCGACTAAAATATTGTACAGCCGGCACTCTCTACGGAGATTATCCCTTGGAATGGGCGACACTGTGCATTGCCTCAGCTCTGTCTTCCAGTAACGGCAGTTCTTTCCACTCCCGACGTGGTTTTACCCATCCTAACTTTTCCTGTCCGTTGCCAGTTCACTATCTTAACGCTCGCTCCTAGTCCCCAGGACAAGACTGCTCATGGCCTTTTTGCCTATGGATACGGTCAGACAAGGAAAATCATCAAAGGTCTCTCTCCGCTTACCCGGACTTCACGGATCTTCTTCAGCCACCCATCTTTTGAGCACTCCACGATCGTAAGATCAACGCGGCGCTGATCATTGTAGCCCCACCAGACCTCGAGGTTCCGCCCCGCGTCGTTACACTCTCGCAACCCGCGAATGAGTGGCTCCAATCCTTCGATGAGCCTTTCGCTTTTCTGGTCACTCCACGCATAGTCCCTATCCCAGTACAAACTGTTCGACCGTATCCAGATGATGACCCGGCAACTCGGTTTGAACCGGCGCAGAAGCACTAGTCTGCCTCGCAGCAGTTCGCAATCCCTCTCGTCTACTGCGATCTGCACATGGTTGACCAATTCCGCAGGTTTCAGACCCTGACCCCAAGCGTCATAGCGAGTGAACTGTTCGAATTCGTGATGGCGAATCCCGAACCTCATTTTCCGATACCATTGCTCAGCGATCTCTTTAGCCACGGGTTGAGAAACGAAGTCCGGATTCGCAATGAAGCGGAGTTGCACCGTCTCTGACCGGAACGGGATATCCTTTGCGTTGTAGTTCAGAGTCCACATAAGCGATTTCATAAGGGCGGGACCGGCTTCGCCCACGAGTAGGTCGTAGACTTCGTCTCTCAGCTCACGAGGAAGCTTCGTGGGAAACGGCTCACAAATCGCGCGGCACGACAGCTTGCCGTAAGTCTCTACAGCCTGTTCGACTTTGGCTTTGAGAGCAGTACCCGGGTCGTCTAGATTCCATAGGACCATCCTGCACTCATACACCTGGTTCTTGAGAGCGGAAAGCTGCTACAGCTGGTAAGGCGAGGCGGGGTTGTGGAGATCGCCGATTTCCTTTTCCAACGACCGGAGTGAGTCCTCTGTTTTCTCTTGCTCATGTTCATGTTGGCGGTACTCTTCATCGAACTTCTTCTCGGCCCTTAGCATGCTGGAAGTAGACGTGAGTTGCCGCGGTATCAATTCGAAGTAGGCCGAAGTGACTTACGCAATGGCCCGGAAGCGCCAGATCTCTATGTCTGCTGCAGAAGGCTCATTCATAGCGACAACAGTCGGGCAATAGCTTTAGCTACACCGCACTCTACCTCGCCGACGGACTTCGAGGAATGCGTGGAAGGGACTGTTTGCCACAAGTCAAGAAGTCGTTCTGTGAGGTGCTGCTTCAGGAGAAACCGACCCGCACGTATGGTCTACAAGCCAGATAGTGCCGTTGCCAGAGGAGCAGAGGAGGGTGCTTTCGATCGTCGCCGAGGGTCGGAAGGGTGATGTTTGCTGTCCCACACAGGGTGGACGTAGCGTCTTGGCGGGATCCCAAAGCTTACCCCTCTTTCAGAGCTGGGAACATCTTACATATTATGAGGGATCCGAAAGCTAGAGCGCAAGGCCTCTAGTGGATTTTCTAGGGGAATGGATGTCTAAAAAAAGCTCTTTCATACAGAGGGTGGATGCACCATCACGTGGCGTCTCATTCACTCTTGGCAAGGGGTAAATACAGAGGCTGCAAACTAGATGGCCCGGAGCACGCAACAAAAGTCTTCAGTCAGCATTGTGCAAAGCTGCGAGTAGATATTTCCTGAAGATGCTCTGATAGGCTGTACTACTGAAAGTAAGAGATCGTTATTCATCCAGAGACATGCATTTTCCGTCCCCCACGCCCCGACTCGATCTCCGACGGTGCAACTGTTGAACGTTGCATTTCCGTATTCGAACTGGGGAATTGCATGGTCGGGCACCCATGTGAGTGCGAGAGAGAGCAGTGCCAGATTTCTATTGCGTGGCGAGATACGTTAGTAATGCCGCGAGAATTATTCCATAACGAAATGAGCGTTAGGACCTCGTGAGGGCTAGCGCGAGTTCGCTCTAAATGACTTTTAGTCAAGATATGGTGTAGCTAGTCTCTTGCTGTTAGAGTGAGGATCGCGGGTGCAACTTTCACAGTGAAGGCGGCTGAAGAACGCGTGGGCTTCCGAAGTGAAAGCAGCAGCGCCGGCACCAGTATAAAAAGTTTCGTCCCCTGCACTCCACAGTCAATTCGCGTCTCCTCACGAACCTAATCCGCAACCTGGTTCGACGAGCGGCCAGCGAACTCAGCCCTTCAACAATACCCTCCTGCTGAGAGATGCAATACCAAGAAGGAAACGCTCCAGCCCTCCTCACACACGACTTGCCTCCTCGCCCGTCGGCCTGCCTCGCCCCACTTCCAACCAACACCATGACGCACTTCGCCGACCTCGACCCGCGCTCGCAAGCCCGCGTCCTCCGCACGTGCGCCCAAATCGCCGCGACCTGGGGCATCCTCTCGCCTTCATCACCCTTCCCGATAGAGTACCACCCGGACCCGGACACCTGCGAATGGGGCCTCGAGCTGCTCGATGCAATCGCTAATCTCGCCATCACCGAAGCTGACCGGAGCGTCGCCGTAGGCAACGTCATCAAGAGCATCAAGTGGAGGAACTGGGACGAGGAGAAGGGCGGGCCAGAGGGTTTCATGGAGGGCGATTACGTCATTAGGGTCGAGGATGTGGAGTGGGCGATTGAGGAGTCTAGCAGGAAGCAGTTGGCGAGTTCCTATCGGCCGCGAGAGGATAAGAAGAGGAACAGAAGGCGTCGCCGAGGGTAGGACATAACTGCACCCATGGAGAGGATTCTGGGACCGTGGAGGTAACTGGGCCTGCGGCTGACTCCGCCATTTCAAGTGTGGGGTTGGAAGGCTTCGGTTTTCCTCGCGAGGGCAGGGGACATCTTTTCGACTCGGGTCTCCTAGCATCTGGAGTCAGCTAGTCAGCTACCATCAGGTTAGCTAATGCAGCTGGTTCATTCTAAGTAACCATATGGTGCTATGCGCAACGGTCAACGGAGATGACTGCGGGTGAAGTTTTGATGCGATTGGTGCTGCATATCGAACCAATGCTGCTGGGACATGGCTTGCATGGAGTGAGATTTCATGCGCGAAAGGAGGATGATAGCAGATAACCGGATGCATCTAAACAATAAGGTTTTATACTGAGCGATTCCGTCCAGTGTTTACCTTCGCCACATCAACTTACCAGGGTGGACCTGCTAGCCATATGGCGTAGAAAAGGGCGACGTCAGGTGCATTCGACAGCGGTAATGGTTTCTAAAAGAAGTTTACATCTCTCAAAAGTCTTAGATAGCCTGTTAGGAGTCGTTGGCGGCCCTGATGCTGTTTATCAAGAAAGGCGAATTGTAAGGGTGAAAGGTGTGTCCCAACAACGGCATCCCCTGCTTTAAGTGTTCTCTCTCCAATCCGCGAACTCACCGCTCGCAATCACGAATCGTAACCGAAGCAAGCGAACACGGAGCTCCGGGTGGGTGATGCGACGTCATCTTCGTCGTTAGAGTTTCGGCACTAGCGCCTCGCTTAACTTTCCTAAAGAGTATAGGCTCCTGATCTCGATCAACGGCTCCTCCAGCGGTGAATGAACCACTCAGCCACAACATGGATCAGACGAATATAGTGATCACTCCGAACATCACATCACAACCCCACCACTGCTTTCCTACGTGAAGTACCCCAGCGCGATGCCGATGATCCCGCGTGTGCTTCCTGTGCCAGCCTCTCTAGCGCGATGGAAACAACCTTGGGATAACTTGAGGGATTCCACTGCGGCACGAGAAAGAGAAGGGAAGGCATGGCTTGCAGTCCTATCTGCTCGATGGACGCAACATCAAGTCTCAGATGCAGATGCAGCTAGTCAAAGGACGACCCCAGAACCGTCTCAAACGCGTTACCTCCCTGCCATCTCAACTTCTTTTCGCTCCGACAAGATCATGGATCCCGTCTGTGTTTCCTCAGTTATCATTAACCGAAAGGGCCAAAACGCTCCAAGGAATCAATGAAAAGATCGATATCGGCGATGGACTGTTGCCCTTGTCACGCGTGCGCCCCCGGTCCGGCTTTCTCTTTCGACGACTAGTAATGATGGAAGTGGTACCATTGGCCTGCTGATTTAGGCCCTGAAGTCTTTCGTGATCCCCGGCTTCATACTACTGATTCTTCTGGAATCAAACACACCAGTCCCTCCAACAAGACTGTCACTTGTATTTACCGTTCACGCTTCGTCAAATTGAGGGGATATAACGGTTCGTCTCTTGTCTCTCCTGCCTTGGTTTGCACCTATGCGGGTGACTATTCGTATGATGAAAGCTTAGGAAGAAAGCATTCACCCGTGATACGTAAGGCATTCTGGCCTGAAATTCACTGGTCACGCTCAGCACCAATAATTTTATGTTAAACTTTCTCTGGGCTTCCTCTACAGCTGTCGCAGCCATCGCCCCAACCACACCCTCAAACAGAACCCAACAAGAGACGACCAGCCCCGGACAACACACAGCTAGATATGTCTCGTACATTCTCTAGCGCGAAGCCGGTGCCCATACGCCAGGTCGATGTCCCTGCTCTTGCAAGACGTGGCCTTGTACGAGATCCAGCCGAATCCCTACCCAGCAAACGTGCCCGAGACGAAGACACGCTCGGTTCTGACCGGCCATTCAAACGACCAAAGTCGTCGTCATCGTACACGGAAGATCGCGGGCATATCCTCTCCACTTATAGTCGCAAGCGAGATGACATCCGCAAGCAAGTCGCCATCCAGCAAGGTTTGACCCGCGATTATTTCCGCCGCCGCGAGCAGAATTTTTGGACCAGAATAGAGCGTCGATGCCTACCCGTGGAAGTGGTGAAATGGAACATCCAAGAACTTTGGGAGGAAGAGTACGAGCGAATGAAGGAGGATGAGGAGTTGAGGGCCATGGTGCAGCAGATGATGGAGCGGGTTGGGGAGGAGCAGGCTGAAGCAATGAGACGGCTAGATGTGGAGTATGGAATGGATCAAGCACCTCGCCGATGCGATCCAGGATATGAAATGCTCATGAATGAGGGTCATGACGGTCATAAGCATTTAGCTCTGCAGTACAAAGACCAGCCATCGCCTCCTGGACAAAACCGTGAGCGTTCAGAATACGGTCAGGAGCAGAACTCCCAGCCAGGTCCCCGCCATGGCAATCGCCCAGGCTACGACAATCCTTTAGAAAGTCAGTCTCAACTAGGCCTCGATGATGAACACTCATCCGAAGACCGAAGGGCCAATTATTCCAGAGACTCTCTCGACTACTTCCCAGAAGAGAATCTCTCTTCCCATACCACGTCCGCGTCGCACTCCCGGTGCAATTGTGTCGGATGCACCAGCGCCGCTCCCAACCGCCCACCACCCGCTAATCCTACCTCCAACACCACACCCCAACCCAGCAACGCCCTATCCCGGAAAACGGCCACAGGCATGCACAGCCTCAGCGGCGATGGCGCGCCTCTTCCGCACCAACAGATCACCGGAAATGCACAAACCGCCTCAGAGGCCTTGGACTCTCGCGACCGGTGGACCAACTTCCCTACTCAACGAGTCATCGGTAACTGCCAGAACTACTACTATGATTACAGAGAGAGTGTATCGCGGGAACAGACATTCAACTTCACGACGAAGAACTTCTTCAATGGCGGTTGTGGGTCTTTTGATATACAGGTCAACGGCAGCGGGAACAACGGGGCCACTATTAAGATGAAGGATGCTGCTCGTGGGATGAAAACCCTACGCTGAGTCGGCTAGAAGGGAGGGCGATGGTGAGGTGCCTAGATACGGGATGTCGAGAATATAAGGCTGCTGGGTTCGTGGGGTGAAGAGGGCACTGTTTGCCATACGCAAAGTTCACCGTCCGTGCGAGCCGATTATCACCCTCGTCATTGCGATTATCCGATTTCTCGCCATCCCGCATGGTTGCCGTGCACATTCCACTCAGCTTGCTTCTGCACGTATATCTCATCTCTATCTCTCGGGGTAGGCGGTCAGTCGAGCTTCGGCAAAGAAAGATATGTGCCGCCGTCGAAGGCCTGTTCAGCTAGATTCTAGGTGTCAGCTAAGTCCTGTACCCATTTCAACAGACCTAGGGTTAACATATTCATTATCCATCCACTCCTTACCATCCTCTACTAGGAGAGTTTCTTTTCCTGCGCTCAATATAAGATCCCAATTTCCAGTTGACAACTACCCATCCGCAGAGGTTCTACTCAGTTCCAAGAGAGCCTTTAAAATTCTTTTCAAGAGTGCGAGAAAAGAAATTAGTGCAATCAAACAAGTTCCCAAGGAAAGTTCTACGATGTTGTGCGTAACGATGCACTGTTGCGACATCCCTCTTATGCTTAGAGCACAGCTTCACAACCCCTACTTTTTCTTACTCTTCGCTCCATATAGCTGACGTACTTTGAAAGGGTGTTGCAGAACATACAAGACAGTTATCGACGTTTCGTTCTGTCGTATTTGCTGTCATTTTCTCAGTTTCGCACACGTTCGTAAAAGCTACCTGGTTGTAGCCATTCGGCCAGCACACGCACGTCTCTCTCCTAGCGTTCCTGTGCCAATTGTGACTCAGCGAAGAGACTGCTCTATCAGATCCTGCAAGTCGCCGTCCTTCTGTGCAGTAAGACGCCACGTGCCTTGACCGAGTGGTGAGAAAGATGAGTAAGGGCTTGGAAAGAGAGACAAGAGGCAAGGCTGAATTCCAACGGATAGCGTAATGAGCAAATGCGGCGTGACCGCAGTGAATTCGGGTTTTTGACCGGTTAACCGGGCGCCAAGCGTCGGGAAGGTTACATGAAGGTAGCAGGGGGCTCGTATGGTGATGGGTTGAAGCCTTCTGGAGGTGTGGCTACCTTTCCGGTACTCGCTTCGAATCCTCGCGATACCATCATCCGAGCTGACGTCGGTGACGCGCGAATTTCTTTTTTCCTCCGCGCATTTATTGGCCAGAACGATACATTACCGGTCTGTTGCGGGGCGGTTTGGGAAAATTAAAAGCAATGGCGGAAGACGAAGTGGGATTCAAACAAAACCTAATCTGGGATTTCGGGCATGAGCCCTGTCAATAATGCGGGAGAGAAGCAACCTACAAATAGCAGCGTAGCCACGAGAGGGGAGCAGCTAGCAGGGTTAGTAGAGAATATGTAGCGGGAGCTATAGCACGGCGATATAGTTTACCGTCGTGACTGCTGACTCATGCTCGTATGACATAGCCCTGGTGTAACTCCCGTGGAGATCAAGCTCTATCCAGGGCGACGGAGGATGACTGCATGAAGACTCTGCATGACCGCTGGCCAAGGGAATTTCATATAGTATCGAACCCGGTGGGACGATAGTGATGGGACACGAACGCGTAGCTGATTGGTTGCGTGAACACGTAGCTGATTGGTTGCGTGTGTCGAACGCGTAGCTGATTGGTTGCGTCCGTCGAACGCGTAGCTGATTGGTTGCGTGCCGAACGCGTAGCTGATTGGTTGCGTCCGTCAAACGCGTAGCTGATTGGTTGCGTGCCGAACGCGTAGCTGATTGGTTGCGTCCGTCGAACGCGTAGCTGATTGGTTGCGCGCGCCGAACGACACAGCCTTCCGTCTGCGCACCCACCGTCGAGTCCATCGGCTGAACGTCTGTGAGCAGCAGGCGTCCTCGCAATTGCTTGATATAAAATGTCTCTCTCATTTACCTCCATTCGATCTCAGATCCTGCATCATATTATCTCTCACACTCTCAAGACCAATTCTGACTAGTACGGTACCATGCCTGTCCTGCCTCCAACCAACGGTAGCCTAGCCCTTCAATGGCCTGCCGCGGCTGCTGAAGAGGAGGAGCCACAGCTCCAACTTTTCAACATTATCACCGTCTGTCTTGCTGCTGCTTCCTTGGTTGTAGCATGCTTCCACCTCGCATATCAGAGAAAGGGAGCAAAGGGAGAAGTAGAACGTCAACGGGGTGAGTGTTGGTCCATGTTGTACTTTACGCAATAAGAGTAGGCCTAATAGTTCCGTAGATGAAGGGCACCCACGCAATCCCAGCGCTGCCGCGGAAGGTGTCGACGAAGGGCTCGAAGCAGGTGTTCTGCACAGTGTGGGGACGGAATCGGCGAGAACTGCTTCCATGCAGCCGGGGGATTTGAGTGGAGGGTTTGAGCTGGGAGAAATCAGGACCGGCTTCAGCAACTCGGACAGCACCATGGATACTCTCGTCGATCCTGAAGATTCTTAGGCTGAAAGGGAAGCTATGAGAACCGCAGACGTGAACTGGACCGGTATACCAATCAGCGGCGGTGAAGCGAAGATAGAGGATTACGTCTTTGCCTTCGGTCTCCTTTGAACGCTTCTGGGTGGCACCTTGCAGACAACGCAATGGCGAGCATCATGTATGTTAGCCATCTTTGATGCTCTTTGTTGGTGTACGTGTAGAGAGCCTTGTCGTTGAGAGGGCGACATAAGCGAGACAGTTGCGAAGGTTTCGAGCTCTTTTATTTTGCCTCCGTGGCCGCACAGGCTGATAACAGCCTTTTCCACGTACGGCCCAAGAGTGTAACCCGTACCCATAAGCCTCCAGATCCTCTGCCTGCGGCAAAAGAGATCCAGTGGGAGGAGCAGAGCTTGAACCTCGTAATGTGAACTCCAGTGTTCGATATTGCTCTCAAACGTCAAGCCATGGGTCTTTATCTTGCATCTCCTTGTCGAGAAGGCCGTCTAGAGCGGGCTCGCAGCGATCCCAGCCGAGCTTAGTGACACTTCTGATAGACTTCGAGGAGGGCAGCAGACCGATTGCGTTTTCTCTTGTGCCGGCCAAAATAGGGCTCAGAGCAGTATGTAACATTGAGGATGGTCCGAGTGATACGTGTACCGGCTGCGTTATGAACAAGCGTTCACTCTTCGCGATGTCCAAGGGCACAGTAGACAAGGCTGAAAGGTGCACGTGACTTTTCGGATAGAGAAAGCCCGACGGGCGCCCCAACGGCGGGGTAAGTGGCGTCACTCGGAGTCAGCCTTGTTGGAAGGATATGAGCTCGATCGCATCAAAAAATGCTATTCCGTGACGTGCGTGCATCCGCTGCTTAGTCCTTCCTAGGTTTTCGAATCAGTGGACTGGCAAATTTGCCTACAACCATCGAGCTGTGGGAACGTTGTCCAGGCGCCCATTCTCCGGATCTTCCGCAAGATTGGGGCACATAGGTACATGCAAGCCACACACTTACCAGGCCATTTGGGTGTGAAATTTGGGTGTGGAATTTGGGCGTGAACTCTCCCAATCAGTTTAGTCCACGGTACACCGAAAAAACTAACGCGGCCGAGGTCGCCATCTAATTTGTCGTCGAACGGCAGTCCCGGGTTTGGGTGTGCCATCCAGGCCACGCCTTCCGCCCCGAGTGGCCCGTCGCCTCGTCGCCCTTACGTTTGTGGGCGGACAATAGATCCCGACTACGCCATCTGCACGTCTCCTGCCTATGACCACATACCTCCCACCCTCATCCCATCTGTCGCCTGCATATCGCTTCTCCACACTCTGATACACAAACTCTCCCCCAATCACACCCTTGACGACAATGGCCGTCTGAATATAAAGTGCTCTGCCTTCTGCATCGGCACCAGTTCAATCTTCTTTGCATCTCTCCCTCTTCACAACAATATTCTCCAGCCATAGCCTTGCTAGCGATGCCTGTCCTCCCAAAAACAAATACGACTTACACCGCCTCACGGCAAACCAATCCCATGCCTGAGGCAGACGAGCCAAGACTTCAAGCTGTGCTCTTCAATATTCTTACTGTCGTGCTTGCTGCCGCATCGTTAGTTGTAGCATGTTGTCATTATATGCATCAGAGGAAAGGTAGTCGACGAAAGGAACTCGAGCGTGGTATGTGTAACAGGAAGTCATATTGGGTGTAATGAGTCTGATCATGTATACAGCTATGCACCGTGCTTCGGAGTTGCAGACAGACAACTGCCAGGAGAGGACTCGCGTCGAGACTGTATCCTCAAACGATACCGATACCCTGGTGCTCAGGGAGGAAGAGGCGGAGGAAGTCGAGCTGGAAGATGTCAGGACGGGTCGCCGCGATGCGTTCGGTAAAGAGGGCGGTGGCATTGACCATGAGAAAGAGTCGCAGGGCGGGAGGCAGACTTGAAGAACGTTGGTAGAGTAACTGGTGGGATACTGCAACCAACAGGAGAGGACGGTGCCGGCGGCATCCGTGTCTCCGGGTTGCGAGGGCGTGGTAGGGCGAATTTGGAATGTGTGAGATGGATGTTCGAGAGCACTGGGACATATTGTCTAACTGTGAATGAAGCATGCCTCGAGAGTATCCTTAGATGAGTCAGCGTTCACTGCCACACAAAATTACCACCCATGTGCAAGACCTCCCGTAGCCTATATGCGCAGTCTACATGACCACAGACAGTCTTATCGAGGTTTCTCGGGGCGTCCATTGTATTGTTAATCGACTGGGTGTGGATCCCAGCTCGATGTCTTCGAGCAGTCATGGTAGAGCAAAGACATTTCGGGTTCAAATCCACGTGATCTTCCCCTAGCGAGAATCGGCTTTTCAGCCTTGTAAATCTTATCGATCGGGTCAGCGACGGCCGTCAAGCGGACGTCAAGTAGACAGACCGCTCGATGCCAAACGCAATCAGTGAGAGATAGAGACCTTACAATGCGATCTTCTGTGATGTTTTGATGTTGTGAGCGATCTCTGATTCACCGGCTAAGGAAAGTCTCCCTCACAGTGCGGCAGCAGAGATATCTAGGCACAACATCCCAGCAAGGACAAAGAAAAGCTGCCTGACGCAAGCGATTGCACCTCCAGGGGGACGGTCTAACCCGTCCGGCGTGCATCGGCGAGGTAACATCATGTTGCCGTATATGGTTACTACTTCACGTGACCTGGTCATGTATATATATAACCATATTTCTCGTATTCTCAATCAATCAACTCATGTCTCAATACTCTGCAATTCATCCAATACATCAGCATACGGAAAGGAGGACGTTCCCTGTGCGTTCCTAGTGGTTTGGGCCTCCAGCAGCTGATGGCGTTCGAGGGGCGGTGACCCAGAACAAAATGGGAAACCGACTTGCTGTCAAACCCGGCCCAGCGCCGACAAGGTCGTGTTAGCAGACGTGAAGACGTGTTTTGTGTTCTTGAAGGGTTATGATCGCCATAATACTTGCTAGTGGTAATCCCGAGGTCGCCAAGGCCGTATCCGCCCTAAAGTTGCTACACCACGAAGGCCCGACATTGCTGGAAAGCCCGTAAGCCGCACCTCCGCAGCAGAAGAGAGGACCAGTTGATAGGGTTTGTTGCAGCTACACCACCTTGTTGACAATGTTAGCAAATGTATTCGATTAGGTGCAGTACTTACAGAGCCATCTGGCCAAGAATCATGAACGCCGATTGCACAAGGCTGAGACAAAAAATGGCTTGGAACACCAGGATGGGAGCGAGAAGGCAACGGCTCCACCACGACTGGACCGCTTTTGACCACAAGTCACAAGTACCTCGCGAGCGTGACCTCATAAGCGAACAAGTAGTGGTCGTCGGACAAAGAGCCTGATTGCGAGGTGAGATGTTGCGGCGGGGCTTGATCTAGAAATGAGTCGCTGTTCGTCGACCTGCATGCGAATGATTCATTGCGCGGAATTTTCCTTACCGGAATCTGGTCTGTTGGGCGCAAAGAAGGCAACGAGGTACAGCGCCACGTTCCTTGAGCACCACGTTCCTTGACGTTGTTCATTAAGCATCTGCACGTCCGATTTGTCTGGTACTCTTCCCCTCCAAGATCAGCATCCGATTCGTCTGAGGGTCTTGTGAGGCCTGAGTGTAGCTCCAGGACGTGCAGCTCCAGGACGTGCAGGTCCAGAATGTGCAGCTCGCATGCGACTCTTGCGTTGGTGCAACGGTTGACAGTGCTTGTTCTGGCTTGCAAAACGCGCGTATAAGATCCTATAGCTCCCGCATCCGAACGTTCCCAACCTTGCGTCGTCCATCTCCCTCTAAAGCTTTCTATAGCGGTGTTCAGCCATGCCTGTCCTTCAGGAGACCAATGTCCTTCAGGAGACCAATGTCAGCCATGCTGCACAATGGCCAGCCAATGCCATGCCTCAAGCTGAAGAGCCAAGACTGCAATCCCTCCTCTTCAACACGGTTACTATCTTTCTAGCTGCCGCATCCTTGGTTGTGGCATGCCTCCACTTCCTGCACCAAAGAATGAAGAACAAGAGAAATGAACAGAGGCGCGGTACGTGTCACCAGTTCCCGTGAAAATGAAGATCCTGACGACTTGTGCAGGAGAAGATGGCGGCTTAGACGCACAGACGGAAAGCAACATTAACGAGAGAGTCGACTCCGGGATGAGTGGGGATACTCTGACCCCGATGGAGAGAACGAGAGACGGGGTTGAGCTGGTCGAAATCGAGAATGAGCCTCAGCAGGATCAAAGCGCGCTCCATGCTTGCGTCGCACCAAGTGCCGGCACAGCATCGGTATAAGGAAAGTGAGCATAGACGCAAGGTACTGAAGGCAGACTCAGCGTGGTGTATGGTAATGTCTGATGGCGGAAGCTCGCGTGCGATTCATTCGGACGCTCTAGTGGATGTTAGCCACTGCCCGTAGCGGAAATCGTAGTTAAAACGAATAATTCAAAAAGACGTGAGCTTGAACATGCTCTGCCCCATATACCGTCTAATCGCTGAAGCAGGTCGCCGCTCAGAGACAATTGAGAGAAGACATGGACACACGTCTGCTTGGCGTAAGCGAGGAGGGATAGAATAGGCCTTCGAATATATGTAGCACACGAAGAGCAGCATTGAGTGAGATATGCCGCTAAACTCTAGAGCGCAATACTGAGGAGACATCTGCAGCGTACTTACCGCAGAACTGTTGAAGGAATATCATGATGGAGAGAGCAGTGAGGGCCTGCCTGTTCCTACCGATCGTGAAAATCTCCGTAAAAAGCTTCTGCAGCTTCATGATCTCCTCTTCGCCCTGCAGCAAATGATTGATTAGAAACAAGCCTCGGCCTGCTTGCAGCTTGGTGTCCATCATTCCGCAGACGGTCGCTTTCAATATGATGACCCATGGTTATGCATCACGCTGCCGATATCCGAGAATAGTCCAAGCAACCGTTGAAATACTCCGGCGCTCTCTCGGACTATTGCGCAGAACAGGGCAGATTGGCGTTTCACCCAGCTGACGAGGCTATTTAAGCGTTCCTATAGTCGTTTCTTGTGATAGATGTTAGTGATAATGAAAGGCTCTAGATGGCAGAAGAGTATTGACACATTCCTACAGGAGCCCGCTTACTGCGAGCTTTTGTATGCCAACACAGCAAGAACATATTAAATTCTCGCGCTTCCTTCGGAGCTATGGGTGACGCCTGGGACCTATTCGTAGGAAGACGGCCCTCGAGGCATGAAGAGCGTGCGAATCCATGATGACGGCATGATCCCATAGTGGAATAGGACGATTATGCTTCTGGAAGGGAGCCGCGCACTCAGGAGATGTGTGGTGTTGTCGTTCGAGGTGAGATCTTCATGCCTCAGACATGGAACGTGGCACAACCGTTCTGGGTAGCACAGCTATGCAGGAGGCGCTCGTGCTACGGAACACCTGCAGACCGTCACAAGAATAGGGCTGTCATCGCTGAGCCTCGAGGATGATGGTGTTGGTGCCAAAAGAGGGAGATGGTTGCTGCTGGAGTGCGGCGACAGCGAGGCTGTCAAGCCCTTGATAGGCCCGTCTGTAGAATAATTCCAGCAATCTATCTCAGGGATATGGAGCGAGGCTGCGGAAGGAACAGGTTAGCCAGCTTCCCTTTTGGGAACGCTGAAGCAAGCGAGGACCACTCTGCGGCGCGCCATTGGCCGGCGGGGCCGTCTCAAACGCGGAGCACGGAAATTCGGGCAGCCGCTGAGCACAACGGGCAGGAGCGACAGCCACCACCGAACCGCAAAGGGAGTCGTCGTCGTTGTCGTTCTCCATCCGCTCCCTCTCACCACTCGTGTCCGCCTTTGCGACCTCGTCGAACACGTAGACGCCAGCCCTGCATTCACTTCCAGTCTCTCCTTTGCGCCATTCGCACACCGTACGTCTTGCGCCGTCCTCGGGCCGCACCGTCGCGCCTGCCTCTCCTTACACCTCCGCCGCAGTCCAATTGTCCTCCAGCGGTAGTCGCATTCACCGCAGCGACCACAATAGGGACAACACCACGCCAGCAGCGTCAATTGTTCGTATACATATATCGCCCGACGCACCCGGGTGCCGTCCATCCGCTGTCGAAACATTTCCGGCATTGAGCGCCTCAAACACGACGTGCCCCATCCGTCTCCCGCGTCATGCGCAGAGTCTCCTGCTAGCATACCGGACCCGTCGGACGACCTGCCCCAGCTTTCAGCCTCCTGTCTCCACCCGCATTCTCCGTCTAAAGCGCCTTCCCTGTCGCTCTTTTGATCCGCTTGCCAGTGGTGTGCAGCGGGCCTGTCACCACCACCACCACCACCACGCTCCTTCCTCGCCCCATTGCCGTTTCCTGAGCGCGACTCGATGTCAGCACAATAGCTCCAGTCACTCGTTACACCACAGCTGGGCTGGAATCCACGATACCGTTGAGCGGATTTGTACATAGTAATACCGGCCTGCAGCAATGGGGTGCTGCGGCGACCGCGAGAAGGGGCTCACCGTCACCGAGCAGCAGAAGTGGGACTACATCGTACGTAGAACGTCACAATCGCAGGAGCAGGATCGGATGCTGACTTTGATAGACACTCTCTGACTTCAAGGCGACGTCGTGCCTGACGCCCTTCTCGTACGTTTGGTTGTGGATGCTCGTCCTCATCTCCGGCGCCGTCTACGCTGCCGATGCCTTCACCGCCGTCAATCTGCTCGCCTTCAACAAATGGTCGAGCCAAGTGCGTCCCAAGGTCAGCTTCGATGTCGCCAAGTGGATCTTCGCCGTCTGCATCATCATTTCCTACCTTTTCCTGATCTACCGATGGATTAGAGCGGTCCGCGTCATAAAGTCAGGCGGTGTAGCTGAGTGCTACCTCGAACCCCTTGCGGCCATTTGGCAGAGTATGCGGTTGACGAAGGAGGGTCAAGGATGGCGGCGATTCTTGGTCTTCGCCGAACTGACCAAAAGTAAGAAGGGCAAGGATTACATCGCGCTCTTTGTCTACTTCCAGTTCAAAGGTACCGCCCGTCAACGCTGCTGCAATAACGTTTTCTAAGCTTCGCAGGTGCTCTGATCATCGTCCTTGCCCAAGGTCCCAGAATCGTCATCAATGCATTGACGCTCTGGGCCGTCGTCGAAGCCCAGATCATCCCCGTCGGAGAGCATGCAGCCCCAAAAGATGTCTCGCCCGCTGCGCAATTTTTCATGAACATCGAGACCATGGCCAAAACCGGCAACAAACAGGAAACCGTCATTTACTTCACTATGTTGTTTTCCCTGGTCATCTGGGTTATTGCCGCTCTCTCGCTCCTCCTCTCGGTCATTTTCTACCTTTTTCTATGGCACGGTGTCTCCAAGTCGGACGGCAGCCTCACCCAATACTGCCGCCGAAAGATTGAGACTCGTCTTGAGCGCATTGTGGGCAAGAAGATCAAGAAGGCTCTGGAGAAGCAGGACATGAAGCGCCGGAAAGAAGAGCGCATGGGAATGAAGAAGGGTGACAGCGAGGGCACCCACCGAATGCCTACGCTGCCCAAGCTCGGCGGAAAAGACGATGATGCCTCCTCTGTCTTCTCTATAGCTCGATCCGACACATTGAGTACCACGACCACGCTACCTCCATACTCCGCCAATGCACCCTCCCGGACCAACACTATGAACACAACAAGAACGTTGGGAATGAAGCCATCTCTACCGTCGTTGAGCGAGAGGCCAATCCCGAGCCGATCAGACACCCAGGGAACCAACTACTCCACTGCGAGTTTTGGCTCGAACGCACCACTTCTAAGCCAGGCAGGTGATATGGGCATGTCCTCTCCCGCTCCTCCAATGCCGCCCTTAGATCGCAACACCGACTACTTCAACGGACCATCCGGCTCTCGGCCACAAGCAAATGGGCTGTCTGGACGACCATACTCGCCAATGACACAGGGAATGCCTACATCTCCCCGACCTTCCCGGAGCGTGCTGCCTCCGGTCGACACCACCTATAACGGCAGAGCCTCCCCAGCGCCGCAGTTGATCTCGCCCTTGCCCAACGATGTCCGCGGCCCATCGCCTGCGCAAGGCATAGCACCCTATCCAAACCGCCGCCCTGGCGCGTCACCTCTTGGGCCCACATTCTCACCTTTTGATAATCGTGTGCCGGCAAGGGGGCCATCCTACGAAATGTCTCCCGTTGACATTACACCTTCCGACAACGGTTCGCAACAGTACTACCCTACCTCCAACGGCCCGAACGGTTACCGTCAGCCCCAGCTACCCAATACTCTCCGACCCGGATCTCCCGCCTTTTCGCAGAGCTCGGGGCCGCCTTCGCGAGCCGGGACTGCACCTCCATCGAACCCTCGCGCCGGGCTACCTGCAACATTGCAGTCAGCCATTCAGCGGCGTGAGGCTTCACAACCTCTTCCCAACCGAGGCATGAATGGCCCTATGCCTCAACAACGTAGCGCTACCGCCCCCCTTAGGCAGCCCGGATGGGGACCTGAACCTTCGTTCAGGAGTAACACCACGTCGCCTCCAAGGTACGACGGTTATTAAGCCTTTATTGGCGATTTCGACTCCACATACCGAGCAGAAGGTATAGCTGGCAGACCACTTTTTCCTCATCATGATCAATACCACGACTGCAATTTTTCGATTATTTCCTTGCATTATGCATTCAACGGCGTTCGCTTCTCTCTTTGTTGGATACAGAGGACCCACCCTTTTTACCTAACATTTTATCTACTGCACGAGGCTCTCATGAAGTTGCTCTGGGAGGGTTTGATGATGATTTTACTATTTGTTCGAGATACCCACGCCGCTGGTCTCGGACGTCCATTCGCTACCGCTGCTGCTTGGGGGGCCTATTTCTGGATGGTTTGGGAATGAAAGTATTTTAGAAGATTGGTGATCTAGCTCGCGAGGAGCAGTGGAAGGGAGCACTGCCCCTGGGAGGGATTTGTGTACGATATACTACGGATGTCTACATTGAATCGAGTAGTATGGAAGCTTCAACATTTGCGGCCTAAGCCTCGGTGATTCTTGACGATTATATCTCAATAACGCGTACGTGTGCGGTTCATGGGCTATGAGAGCCCCATCCAAGAGCAGGGTTGACGACTTCGAGATGGTGACACAAAGGAGGGGGATATGCATGCCAAGAGCGCCTATCGTACGTGTACGTGTGTCCAGCCTTATGCAAGAGGAACCATCGCATCGCAACTCAGTCCGTATTCTCGCCGCTTCATCTGCCGCTATGATAGTTCGACATGGGGAAGCGAAGAAACCGAAGGCGTAAAGCCAGAGAGCAATCCCACGAGCCGCCAAAGGAAAACGACCAGGATTCTCTCCATACACATCTCGCCGATGCAATCAGCCTGCTAGCCTTGCTCAATCCACCTCTCCCGCACGCGCACCCGGCCGAAGAAAACCCCAATAGCGACAACCGCCCAGATGCAGACTGCGCAGCGGGTAACTTCAATATCCCAACGGAGGAGGACGGCAGCAGTCCGCCTGCTTCCGAAGAGCCCGAAAACGAAGATGACGAAGAAGTCGATCTAGAAGATCTAAACACCTACGACCTCCCCCCAGAATCCGCAGAAAAAGAAGCTCTTTCCCTGCTCCAAGACAAACTGCTCGACCGCCTCGCCGAGACTCTCGCGCGCTATAAATCTGATCCTAAGAAAGCCGATCCCAGGACCCGCGGGCTGGACGCGAAGCACGTGTGCGCTGCGATGATGCGCGTGCATGCGGCGGAGGAAAGGGCTGAGATTGTGTGCGCGAAGAACGAGGGGCTTGATGCGGTGGATCGGGTGTTTTTGGAGGGTTGGAAGAGAGCGGTGGAGGGGATTGCGCGGAGTGGCGGGACGGACGGGGGGCAGAGGGAGGGGATGGAGAGATTGGTGAGGGAGCATCAGAGGCCGAGGATTGAGGCGTATGTGGGGAGGCTGAGGGAGGCGTTTCGGATGCAGGGTGTGGAGAGGGCTGAACGACGTCCTCCAAGAGCGGCATCGCTGTGCAAGGTCGAGCTGGATAGGGTGCCAGTATCTGGGACCCTCGAGTGGGAAGACGACCATGGGCTGCGGTACACGATTGTCCGGGGCCCAGTCGAGAACATGGAGCAATTTTCTAACGCTGCTCATAGCGGAGAGACACTCCAGGGCATCAGTGCCGACATCGCCGCTCTCGAGACTGACCTCCGAGCGCTGTGTGCGGATCCGGTCGCAGAAGAGCTGGCGTCGTCTGCGGCTTTGGCAAGGCTGATGTCGAGCACGTATCGCCTCTGGAGAGGGGTGAGGACGAGATCCGCTTTCCGGACCTCCCTGAGCGGCATGTTCCCGATGCCGAAAGCGCGCGGTATGGCAGAGAGGGCGCTGCTGTTCCTGTGTCGGATCCATTACAGTGTTGCTGTTTTCGTGGAAGCTGCTGAACGGATTCCCGCGCTGAAGTCTATCACTTGTATTCCCGTACCCTGGAACAGAATATCGATTCGCGCACCCGGACAGGTGGTGGAGCAGATGAGCCCGTTGGAGGCGGCGGCGCGATTACAAGTTCCGATCTCAAGTCATGACCTAAGATTGGAGCTGGACACGCCTGAAAAGAGTGCACGGTACGACGTGCTACGAAGGGAACAGCGCCACGTGCATGCCGAAATCCAAGTGCTTTTCTTCCGGGAGACAGTCCTTGGATTCGCGTCAGATGGTTGGACGGAGCACCTGTATATCGGATGCAGTAAGCTGTGCTGTTATCTTTGCTGCTGTTTCCTCCTGGCTTGTCGACGCTTTCGATTCCGGGGGACGCATGGGGCGTTTATGAATCGATGGGCTGTCCCGCCGACGAACACTGAGAATTCGCCGCTTCACCTGGCCACGGAAAGGCTCTTCATGTGCTTGAAGTTAGCGCTTCGAGAATCGTTTTCCGGAAATAAAACCGCGACGTCGAGCCCACAGCGGGCACAGTCAACAGCGGACTTGTCCACGGCAAAGGAGATGCTTGAGGAAGAAGTTGCGAAGCTGGAGGAGTCGATGCTTCCTTTACGGTACGGTGTTGTACTGTCCTGCTCTTTTCTAAATGACTTCCACTAACAAGAGTAAAGCCAGACCATGATGATGCATACGGTATTCGACGACGCGATCTGCGTTATGCCCGTCCCAGGCAAGCCCGAATTCGCCATGATAATGGGAGAAGGAGGGGGCAAAGCCATGCGAAAGGAAAAAGCCGAGAGAATACATCTGGAGCATTTGCGAGAAAAGGCTGGACTCGAAGCCCTCGACCAGATGCCGCCCAGCAAGCCTCTCGGATCCGCCGTCACGTGCAGGAGATGCAAGCAGCGCGCCTTGAGACGTTGCGCTGCCTGCAAGACGCCGTATTGCTCCAAGCTCTGCCAAAAAAGAGCGTGGAAGGATCACCTGTTCGTGTGTCGTGTGCCCGGTCGACCGAACGACATAGACACCCTCAGAATTTACGTGCGACATTGGTTCCGTGCGCGCACTAAGGTTGAAGCAGCACCTTCGAATGAGTACTCTGAGCGTGTACTCAAGGCACTGCTTGCCGACGACCATATCTGCAAGACCTTTGGATTCAATGCTTGCGAGACGCAAGACGAAGCCGGCGGTCTCTTGTGTCTCTATCGACATCTCATAGAGAGATGCGGCCCCGTTACTCTCCAGAAGGAGCTGGCCAGCGGTGATCTCGGCTCTTTCATGGAGTGGTGGGTCCGGATTCGTCAAGGCCTTGGTCTGGACGTCGATGCTGGCTGCATGAAGTGGTTCCTGTCCATGCGGCAGATGCCAACCCGGTTTCCCATTCCTAGTCAGAACGAGGAGTACCAGACACAACTCACGGCCATGTGTGCCGCGTATGATGTCCTCCACATAGACGCTGAGGCTAGTGAACGGAAACCTCTTTCTAATGCGGAGAGGAGAGTCTTTCGCTTGTATACGATCCTTTGCCGGGATTTTAACAACCACCCAGATGTCTACAGTGCCCAATGGATCGGTTTCGGCTTCTGTTTCTGCAGGAGTGTTGCCCAGCGGGACAGCTTGCGCAGAGCATTCCTCGCCGTCGCCGAAAGAGGTGCTTCTCTCAAGGACATTGCTCAAGCTTGGGAGAGCCGAACCCTATTGAGTCTGATGAAGCGCCAGGGAATCGGTATCGCTCAATTAGTATCCGACGGCATCGACCCTCACGGGCCCGAGATCGAGGACCTAGGAATATATCGGCTCATGGCTGAGGTTAGCCATACGTTATCCGGACGATTCTGTCCCTGTTTCAAGGTCCAAACTCCAGGCTATTGCCACCCAAAGTATGAACCACACCTCAGCCTAGAGTCGGATGGTGACTACGGATTTCACGCATCGACTCCCTGGGAGCGGTGGCAGCTGTTCAACTTCTACTCATATGTATTCTGTCACCGGGGCTTCGACGCCCGAAGCATGCAGTTAGCAAAGCGGGATCCCGATCCAGATGCGCTGGAAAAGTACCTTGAAACGATATATCCGGATTTACGGAGAAAGTTGTGGAATAGGTACTACGCAAATGGCCTGTTCCCCAGGTTGAAAAGTAGGGTAAGATTTCCGAACGGGAGGCCACCGTGCCAATGCGTTGTGCATGGCGTATGCAATCCACCGGGCTTGAACTGTGGTGAGAGTAGCCCACTAGATTGGTTCCCGGAGTATTCAGGGCGGGCTTTTGAGGATGAAATGCCAGAGAGCGATGATGGTGGAGCTACCTGTCGAGAAGCGTAAGTTGTGCCACTAAAGGAAGGGCGGATTGAAGAGGCCATTGTTCCGGAGTACAGAAGGTGGTATAGCAATGCCACTCCTTTTTGGCTGGGCTGAAGTTGACTTGTGAGGCGGTGGCGGGTTAGAATGCTTACCTGGACGACGCGTCTGCTGGGGGCTGAGTTGATGCATTCTGCCCGACGCCACATACCCGTCGTCGTTACGCGCAACGTCTTGCGGCCGCAAGTGACAAAATTGCGCCGTACAGTAGGACGGAAAAACCTTTGTTCCCGTCGAAGATCTACCCAGCCACGCTTACGCCACCCATTAGCCCCTCGTATAACCCATTGAAAGAACGACCGTTCTCTATCTAAGACATGCCTGCGCTAGACACAGCCACCGCCCCAAAAGCCTAGAAAAATAAAATCGTCTATCCAATGCTGTCCTCGCCGGTCGTACAGCACCCTCTTCCTATTGGCCGGCGCCACAATCCTTGTCGTCATCCATCATCACTGATTCCGAAACCCACCCAAGACAGAGCTTGTTTCCGACTGCAGACATGCGGCGCTTACCGCGAACCAGGACGGCCGCCCCTGATATACCTTGGGCGGTCGACAGCTTTTGGTAGTTTGTGTATTTACTGCCAACACTTTTGAACTCTGGGCATTCCGCCACGAACATTCCTGTCACCGGGGCACATGCATTCCGTCTTCACATGCGAATCGTGATCTGCGTGCGTTCCTGCATTATCCACACCAATTCCTGCCCGCTCCAGTCTTCTGCTCTTTCTTTGTCTCTCCTCGTTGCGCTGTAATCTGTCTCCCTCACACAACCCTCCAATACCTCGCAATGGCGCGTCCAGAATCCGGCGGCGTCGTTGACCCAGCCGCCCGCGACAAATATCTCCTCCAAGTAACCGCCGGACCCTCCTACGACACATCGACACACCGGGAAGTCACAGTCAACGGCACAGATGCCCACATGATCGAAAACGATGTCATGACATGCTGGCTCAAAGTCCGGATACGCGACTACCACGGTCTACCCCGCGGATCACCCTCCACCTCCAATTACTTCGAACACCCCCTGCACACGTCGGATCGCTATTCCATAGGCTTCTCCTTCATCCCAAAGAAGGATATCAAGGGCAACGACCTCGTCACGGGATTCGACTTCGACCACTCGATAAAAGATAGATTACCGCCCGGGTTTCGCTACGCGATGAAGATCGTCACCACCATCCTAGACCCAGGCATCTACTCGGACCCGTACTCAGACAAGCCGTATCTCTACGGCCCAGGCCTCTCCTCGTTCTTCTCCTTCCGGATCGGCGAGCACACCTCCGAGGCGTCCCCAGACGAGCAGCTCGCAGTCCACGACTCCGACTTCCGCGGCGTGATCGAGGAAGGCGCCGACGGCAGCGGGCAGCGCATCCGCGCGGACCAGCAAATCCCCGCCAAGACGTCCAAGCGGCGGAAAAACTTCCTCAGCCCCAACAAGCTGGAGAACTTCACTTTTGAAGCTGGGAGAATGTACCAGGCAGATTTCTTCAACCCGTATCTGGACTTCGCGAACTTCGCGCTCAGGATACCCGGGTTCTCGATTTCGGTGGTGCGCTATATCGACGATAAGACGCACCAGCTGCGGTTTGTGCTTAAGAATAGAAGCACGGAGGAGGTGCTGTTCGTTGTTATCTTCACGTTGCTGTACGGACAGAAGCTCGAGGATGTATTGGAAAAGCGGGACCGGATGGATGAGAGGGAGGCACAGTCTACGCCTAGCGGGTCAGAAACGCCTGAATCGCTCTCACGGCCGCAAACGTCCTCTTCCAACGAGACACCTGCGGCTTCTTCTCGGTCGACTCCGTCGTCTTCAGCTCCTGAATCGGATGTTGAGGATGCGGACCGCGAGACGAGGGCAGAGAGAGCTACAACCGCATCGATGCTGGCGAATTCGATCTACTCAGGATTTGCGGCACTGGGCTTTGGCAGGTCAGCGAGCATGTCGAGCTCGGAGCCGAGTAGCAAGAGTACGAGTCCGGAAAGGAAGAGGAAGGAGCCAAGGAAGACGTTAGATGATAAGGTGGATGAACTGGACGAGGTGAAAATGGGGGAGTATTTGAAGGCGAAGTCGGCTCATGCGTAATAAGGGGCCGATCGTTCTCACTGGGTTTTGGATAGACTAGGCTAAGAGGCATGAGAGTAAAGTGGGCATGAGCAGTTGCATAATACGGTGTACCGTTGTTAGAACAGTAGACGCGGCTGGCATCCGTCCTGATATACCCAAGAAGCAATTTTAATTATCCAATCGTCTACAACTATCTCACTTCTTGTGGCTATCAACATACTGCGCAACCTGATCGCCCGCAATCCTTCCATACACCACGCATTCCAACAGCGAACTCCCACCCAACCGGTTCCCACCATGCACACCGCCCGTGACCTCCCCCGCGCCCCACAGCCCCTCGATCGGGCCATCATCTTGGCGGATAACTTCCGCTTTCTCGTTTATGAGCACGCCGCCCATGGTGAAGTGGACCACGGGGGTTACCGTGCCCACGTAGACGGTGGAGTCTGGGGTAGGTGAGGTGAGCGTCCAGTTCGCGAAGGACGACCGTCCGAATGGATCTTTCTCCTTCCCTGCGGCGGCATCCGCGTACTGTTGAATGGATGCTAGCGCTTCGGTTCCCAGCTCCGAGATGGTGGTTTTCTTCATCAAGCCCTTGAAGATGTAGAAGTCGATGTGGGATTTCGCGGCCTTGTACACACCCTCGTCCAGCACGAGCTGAACTGTCCACTGCTTCGGCGATGTCGAAGTAGGCGGTGTAGCTGTGATGACTTTGGTCACATTTTCCCGCGTCTCTAGTTCATCGAAGAAACGCTTCCCGTTTAGGAGGAGAAGACCGCCTTCACCTCGCAGCACTTCGGCGGCGAGGAATTTCAGGGGTGAAGAGGGATTGGCCGGGTCCACGAAGCCTGTTGGGTGGACTTGGACGAGTTCCATGTCGATGAGCTGCGCGCCGACGGCTGTGAGAAGGGGCTGAGTGCCAGGCCGGGGGTCGTTCGTGGAAGGATACCCTTTGAGATCGGGGCGGTATTTTGCTAGTAGCCCTTCAGCATCGCCGCCGAAGCCACCGGCTGCAAAGATAACTGGACCGTGGACCTCTTCCTTCTTGCCGTCTTCGCACGCATACTCGACGCCCGTGACGCGGTGCTCGGACTGGAGCACTTTGGTAACGGTGCAGGAAGTCTGGAGGTGGAAGATGGAGGATTGCTTGAGCGAGGTAAGGAGCGTGTTTACGATGGCGAAACCGGGGGGTGTTTGCCCGGCGCCGCGGTGGGTGCGCGGGTAGGTGTGGCCGCCCAAAATGGCGACGACGCTGAGATCGATGCCTTTCTTTTCGACGAGCCATTCGACGGCGTCCTTGGAGGAATTTGTCAAGGTGCTGATGAGCTTTTCCCGGTGGGTGGTGGAAGAGAGCATAGCTTTACCCGCAGAATGAACGGTATCGGAGTAGAAGGCATCGTCGTGTAGGGAAGGAGGTTGGTACTTTGTTGGTGCACCGTTGATGCCGGAGGAGGCCTTGATGGAGTTCCCACCGGGTTTTGCTGCGCGTTCGAGAAGCCGAACAGGCACATTGTGGGCTACCAGCTGGCTGGCTGCGGAGAGCCCTGCGAGGCCTGAGCCTACGATTATGGCGGTGGTCTGTGGTGGCGTCGAGGGCGGCATCTCGGTAGACGGAAGACGAGCGTAAAGGTAAGCTGTCAAGAGTCCAAAGCAGCCAAGCGAGAAAAGCGTTAGTATCCGCGTCCGGCTCATTCTCATCAGGGGCAGAAGAATCGATGGAATATGTATCCTGAAGTCGTGTTAGTCGGTGTTGGAGATGTAAGCATTCCGAGGTCGTCAAGCCAAAGTCAGGCCACGGTCACGCCGCTGATCAGATGAAGCTCAGGCAGCGAAGGCTCAGCGTGCGGAGTACGTCTTCCATGATAGGGGTCGCCAAGAGGGACACGAATGTTTCTGTGAGTTTATCATCGTATCTGCACGCGCTGGTTCACTCATCATGAACGTGTAGTCTTGGGTTGCCCCGCACGTCTCGTCCGCGAAGGCACGTGTGTGCGCTTGTCCCATAAGGGCTAGCGCATATTGCTAGCGCGAGCACGTGCCGCCAGAGCGACCGCGAGGCTGCTGAAACCCACGTCGTCCATCCTGACACGCGCTCTGCTTCCACAGATTCTCCACACAGATTCCGGCGGCAAGAATACTCGCTCGGCCTCTGAGAACAGCAGTTCCAGTCGACTTGTCCGATCTCTGGCGCTCTGCACGTCTCGCGGCGTCGTACAGGTGCCAGCACTTACCCGTCAAGCAGTGCGCTTCCGATGACAGATCGCTCTCGGAACAGCAGCTTCCATGGCCACGCACATATCCAGTAAAGACGTCAGAATGCGCTCTTTTCGCTCGCTAAAGCCAGCGCTCGTCTATCGGGCTATTGACATCCGGATTGAGGAGACGGGTTGGATAGGTTCCTAGTCGGAGGGGGATTCGCTGGAGGGGGAAAGCCGTGCGCGGCAACCTGTGTTTCCGAAGCTAGGTGGTACTCTCAAATACTCCACCTGACCGCTCAATTGCCCATGTACTCGCACCTTTTTCGCCTTTTCCGCCCTTTCCATCCTTATCTTTTGGCAGACTTAATCAATCATGATGTTCAGTTGGACGTATCTCGACGTTGCGCTGCTCTGCCATCCTCTTTTCGCTTTCGTTACCGTTCGACAGACCAAAATGCGTAATAAGCAGTCTAATCTGCAGTACTTCGCGTTCTCGTTCCTCGTACTGTTTGTCCTGCGATATGCATTTTCGAACTATTTCGCCCTTCCGAGCGAGCTTCTGTTGCCAGTATGCAATACAGTGGACCAGCCAAATCCAATCGCATCGATATATCCCAACAACGCTACTGGCACCCTCAATGGAACCATAGCGGTCCTGCCCATCTCTTTGAAACTAGCGCGACAGCTCATTCCTCCGCAATACGGAATTCTCGAGCATGCGTACCGAGCTCTGCTACCGTCCTTCCCCAAAGGCATGTATCCGGCAATCGTGCAAGCGCTGCATGACCACGAAGTGCAAGCGTTCGGGTATAAGATCGAGGACTTCACCGTATGCACTCTCTTCACGAAGCTTATTTGCATCACTAACATCCATAGCGCACTGGGATCGAGTTTCCCTTCGTCGATATGCTAAACGACAACCACACATCCTTCAAGTGGGCGCCCACACTGCTCATGACCGCCGGTCACGAGATCGCACTGAAAGGAGCCGAGGACTATGGCACTAACACCTTGCCCGCCACATTTGAACCAGGCTGCGACGCCTATCGATCCGTCCCCAATTCCAAGAGAGCAGGCACGACGTACTTCGGCGCACGGAGTCTGGAGGCGGGCGCCGCATCCCTTAGCACGCTATTCTCTTCGACTGAGGAAGAAATGTTCCCATTGGAGTTCTTCAAGAACTTCACTAATCAGCCTACGTTTGCTGACGGCAAGACGTGCGACAATATGATCCGCCTTTTCAACACCTCGGTCTCGACGGCGCCCAATCGCATTGAACGCGTCAAGGGCACCGTGCGAGCGCACATTTATCCCTTTTCTGGCGAACAGGAGTGGAGAAATGTGTACGGCCTGCGATTGGACACCTCATTTATCGAGAACAATTACCTGAGCTGCGAGAGCTTCCGCGGATACGGCGACCCTTGAGCGCTTGAGAGTCGTTCCAAATCACGGCCTCTGATAGACATCTGTCTCACTCAGCAACTCGCCCCGCGCCGACCTCTGTTTTACGGACTTCCTGGTGACGCTCTAGTTGGGCGCCGAAAGCTTTAGCGCTTAGTAAAGGTTCCATTCACTCGCACGGGTAGTCGTGGAGTCGAGTTGGTATCTCTCTCGGCTCATGTACCAGGTTGGACACATCATGTCAAAAGCAGCGCGCATCCTGCAAGCCAAGCATGAACCAGCCTATACAAGCGGCAGATCGATGCGTAGCTGTGTCTGTCCGCAAACAGTATTGAGCTCACAGGGATCCGTATGTTGTGCTACCATGCCGCCAATGGAGACTTAAATAGCTCGACTTCCCTCCTCGCATCACTGCTCGTCAGCCTACCTCGCCCACGTCAACATGTCCACCCAACCCCGCGGTGTGCATCTCGTAGGTAGCATCAACCTCGGGACAACATCTGACGTCTTCACCCAAATCCCTCCTCTTCTCGCCGGCCATCTGCGCCGCCTGCCCGATGGAGAGCCAGCGCCCCGGAACATCTTCACTCGCTGGCAGAAGGAAGTCGCTGCGTCGGCGCCTGAAGTCCTACTCAAGCGGGACGAGAGAGGATACTTTATCCCAGGACCCTCCGGCCTCAATCCTTCTCAAGTCTCATCTGCGCTCGAGAAGCTGCAAACACTACATACCGGGTACGATGACTACGCGCTGGAATCCTACGCACTGTTCAAGCAGAGGAAGGACGAGGGAATCATCCCACCCCATATCTGTTTCCAAGTCTGCCTCCCAGGCCTCGTCAACGTAATGACGATTTTCGCAACCGACTTTCAACAAGCCCTCGAACCGCGCTACGAAGACGCGCTCACGCGCTCTCTCAACCGCATCCAAGACTCCATCCCGCACTCAGACCTGGCCATCCAGATAGACGCCGCGATCGAATTCGCGTACCTCGAGGGCGTCGAACCCTTGGTCCCTTACTTCGATCCCGTATTCCCTGGAGTAGTTGACCGCCTTTCACGCTTCGCGAACCGTGTGGCGCCAGACGTGGAGCTCGGGTTCCATCTCTGCTATGGCGATCTCAATCACAGGCACTTCATCGAGCCTAAGGATATGGGGCTGCTGGTCAAGGTCGCGAATGCGCTGCACAAGGAGGTTGGGAGAAGTATAACATGGCTCCACATGCCCGTGCCAAAGGGAAGGACGGATAGAGAGTATTATGCGCCGCTGCAGGGTTTGGAGTGGGAAGGGGAGGAATTGCATCTGGGCCTGGTGCACGAGGGCGACGAGGAGGGGACGCGGGAGCGCATTGAGATGGCGAGGAGCGTGTTGGGGGAGAGGGGCTTCGGCGTTGCGACGGAGTGCGGCATGGGCAGGACGCCGGTCGAACACTTTGGTAATATCATGGAGACGCTGAGGAGTGTGAGTGCGCCTGTCGCATGAGTAGGAAGGATAGCTGCCAGCCTTGAGCGGCTTTGTTTGTCCCAAGTGCGGACAGTGAATACAAATTATTTAATGTTCTAATACACATTCACTGCACCCTCTAACTTGGCGAACCTCGCCACCAACCTTATCAGACTTTTGGCTAACATACACGCATGCAATCCTGCACCCCGTGCAGTGTCCTTGTTCCCGCCCGCTTACTACACTGGGCAGAACCACGTCTTAGGAATTTAGCAAAGTAGTAATATCAATCCCAGAAAGATGTATCGGCCCCATCTTGGGATCTCGAGCAATGATATGCACCAGAGGATGAAGCCACGCGTAGTGTCTAGAATGCCTATGTCTCTCGGCGCGTAGGTAGAGAGAGCGAGAACAAGGTCGAGCGACTTTTACGAGCCCGAAGAGCTGTGAGGAAGCAAGGTAGAGGCTAGAGTCAGTGTGTTGATGTTGTGGAGAGTTTATGGCTAGTTCCTGTGGTTCCGTCGTATTCACTCAAGCTTCGAAATGTGTCATCGGCACGCGTCCTTTGCGCACAGGGAGTTTGAACAAGACATGTTTCATTACTTCAACAAGGAGATTCTACGCTCTTCCAAGCTTTGCCTTTAGTCTCTCTATCTTCCCCATTATGACGCCTTTCAGCCCCCCGGCGCCGAGCGCAGGAACCTCGTCTACGCCGACGAAGCGCCTTACCAATAAGTTAAATATATTACCAAAGCCAAGCGCCATGACGGTGCTGGTCAGGATGATGACGTTATACGGCATGCTGAAGTCGGGCGTTGGGAGAGGAAGGAGGAGAGAAGTGGTGCGTAGGTAGATGCCCTTCTTATCGACGGATTGGTACGGAGCCAGGAGACGGATGACAGCGGGCGCGACGTCGAAGCCACGATTTGCATCAGGAGGGTATTCGGTATAGCGGAGGATGGCTTTTTCGAAGTCGTAGGTGAGCGTGAGGGTCGAGCCAGCGGGGATGACCATGCGCAGCTCGAGATGAGTGCCTCGGCGCCGATCAACGGCCGGGCGGTAGTATGTCTCCCTTACGGGGTTTTCGGATGAAGTGTCGACACGGGCGCGTAGAGTGTGCAGGTAGGGCTTCATGAACCAGGGAAGCGACTCCAGGTATACGAACTCGACGGCATCAGTCTCAGAAGGGTTCTTAATAACTGCCTGCACGCTTCCACGCTCCTGCCCGTGGCCGTTGATGGAGCGAGCGGCGTAAAGTTGAGGCTCAGCGCGGACAAGTCCAGTCGTCATCTGCTGCTCCGGAAGAACGAGGTCGAATTCGGCACCGATTGGAAGCTTGTAGCATCGGAGGGTGTCTGACGCTGATCTCGTTTCCGCATACTTCCCGGTTGTGTTGACCTGTATGGTACGCTCGGGAGGAGTGTTGATGCAAAGGGTGTTCGCATCGTCCCCAGTCTCCTCGGTCAAAGGACACGCGCCCTTCAAAGGCCGCCCGAAGAGCTCAGTCAGGTTCCAAGCCGGCTCCGCGTGTTTGTCCAAAGGATAGCAGGTGTCGCCCGAGTTGTACCCTTTGCCGGTGTCGCACTCAATCTCCTCGATGGGACGAGCTCGTGGAATGGGGTCGTCCCGAGGCCGCTTTGACCGAGCGATGTCTAGAACCATGTCCACTGTCTGCTCCATCTCCAGGACACAGCTCCCGCCGGCGCCTTCACAGACAGGCCGCACATCAATCGCCATGGTCTGGAAAGATGCATCGAACAGCTTGTGTCCATCTAGCAAACTGGATATGCCTGCCTTGCCCTTACACGGCAGCAGCTTCAAGAAAGGTGTCAAGTTTTCCGTGCAGACGACTTCGTGGGGCAGCGTGCCGTGTAGAAGGTGAAGGCTGGTTGAGTTGGCGTGGTCACCCTCCGGGACAAATGACATGACGGGTCGTATCGTCTTCGTGGCATCGATGAAGTTTAGAGAGGCGCAGAATAGGCCGGAAAGCGAGTTGACCAGAGTCAGCCATCGTGAGAAGGCTCTGCCGCAAGTTAGCCAAAAGTCTTAGAAGCACAGCACTTGGCGTACTCTTCCTCACTCTGCGCTTCTATCCATGCCCAGAGTTCGACACCAGTGCCTCCTTCTCTCGCGCCATGCCACGGTCGCTGTCCCCAGTTGTCCGCATCCCACCTTCCTACGCTGAAGCGTACATGTAGCTCCTTGGTGTGCGCATGTTGCAGTATCTGGCCGAACGATCGGGGGAAGTAGCGGAAGTTCTGCTGCGCGAATGCTACCGAAGACTCCATGCTCCGGAAATTGAACGAGGCGAGGAGGGTCGACTGGGGAAGGGGCCGAAGAAGGAGCCGCTCGTGGTAGTCAGAGCTCGCGGAGGCGCATGCTACGAGGGCAATGAGAAGCAAGAAGTGAAGGAAAGAAAGCATTGCAACATTGCAGCAGCCGAATGCGCGCCGGGAGCTGTGATGGCCGTTTGGTAGTGAGGCTGCAGCGGAGGACGGCGTGCGTGTGATTGGCTCGCTGACTAAGGGCTTGGCACTCCTGCATCGTAGCCGCCGTGGATTTCTGCGGGCGAGGTCGAGCTCTCAGCCTACAACATCAACAACAACCCGCACCAGCACAGCGCGCAGTCAGCATGGCCGCCGCAGAGACGCGCAGGCTGCTTGGTACGTCCTGGTATACATCTCCTCACCCCAGCATGAGTGCTAACACCCCCCAGAGCAGCTCATGGGCGAGCAGCTCATGACTGGCACCGACCAGCGCGCGCCCCAGCTTAGCATCACCGACCCGAAAGTCTGTCGCTCGTACCTCGTCGGCAACTGCCCGCACGATCTCTTCACCAACACAAAGCAAGACTTTGGCCCGTGTCCCAAGGTGCACAACGAGGCGCTCAAGGTCGAGTATCAGGATGCCGCACCCGAGCAGAAGCGCAAGTGGGGCTTTGAGTTCGACTACTTGCGAGACATGCAGAAGCACGTTGAGGAGTGCAATCGCCGCATTGACCAAGCGCAGCGGAGATTGGAGAAGACCCCTGACGAGATTCGCCAGACTAACGCCTATGTGAGTGTTTTGGTGGCCCCTCCAGTCCCTTGCGCTTGCTAACCATCGCCAGCTCAAAACCATCAACGAGCTAACCAAGTCCATCGAAGCCGGCATGCTCGAAGTCCAGATCATGGGCGAGGAGGGCATGGTCAACATGGCCGTCCAAGAATTCTACAAGGTTCGCATCAAGAAGCAGGAGAAGGAGGATGCTGAGAAGCAGCTGAGAAACTTGTCCGACACAGGGGGGCCATCTGGCCATCAGAAGCTCCAGGTCTGTGACGTTTGCGGTGCTTATCTCAGTCGTCTTGACAATGATCGACGCTTGGCAGATCACTTCTACGGCAAGATGCATCTTGGATACGCTCAGATGCGGAAGTCTTACGAGACTCTCCAGAAAGAGCTCAAGGGCCGTGCTCCGCCACCGCGCGACCACTACCCGCCATCGGGCGATCACGACATGAACGGACACCGAGGCGGCCCAGGAGGATGGGGTGGAGGAGGTTACGGCGGCGGTGGCTTCGGTGGCCGGGGCGGACGACGTGGTCGCGGAAGGAGGGGCGGTTGGTAAGGCATTCTGGATCCGGCGTTCAAGGTGTGTTAACGATGAGATTCCCAAAAGCTCGACTTACTGCAGCATCTTCGATAGCGATTCTAGGGCCGAATTTCTCGGTAGTCATGACCATGTACAACAAAAGGGCGACAGCGGTGGAAGTTTTTCGAGGCACTTCTTGCTCTCTAGTCCAATCAGACCATGTACGCCCACACCATGACGCGGTTGATGCTCTCTAACGTTGTTCAAGGGATGTGAAGGCCGATTCTACCTCACTTGTCTTGACTGCTTGGCTTCGTGCAATTGACGCTCCTTTCGGCCATGGAGGTGAGTCGTGTATTCGTCCATTGCATTACTGAACTTGATGCGCAACTTTGTGCGTCTCACTGCGGTAGTTTCGAGGTCCATGTGCCCATATAGTCCTTGCAATGAGGTAAGTGCATCCTTTCCCTTCTCAAGTGTCAGCACGATGGGCCGTCTAGCTCTCGTTAGAGGTGGAGAATCCGGCATCTACGAGCGTCGACGGCGTATTTTTGCGGTATTGTGAAGCGTAAGTCAGCTTTCTCGCTCCGACCCTAGCAGGGAGCCTCGGAAGCTACCGTGACATCTGAGCGTAGAAGACGCATGTCATCTCAGGAATGCATTGCGGCATTGACTGTGGGATCTGCCTTGATTGCCGAGACCACACGTACGGCATTCCCGTCCCAGAGCAAACCTGCCGTCATGACTTCGGTAGCTCCAAGCAAGGGCTAAATGTACCATTTATACATAACTAGAATGCTATTGCTTCATCGTAACTCCATGCGCCATTCATCCAGTTTCCTCCATTCCTGTCGTTCAATATGCGTTTTCCAATATCCGCCGCATTTCTTTTTATACATAGCATACGCCATGTCCACTCTTTAGAAGGCAGAGCACCGTCTCGCATTGCAAGTACGTGGTCCGACACTGTCTCAATCATACTTGCAGCGTCTGACCCTTCGCAGTCACTTCTCACGTTCTTCCGCTCGTCGCAGCGCCGCATCCCCATCCCATACTCCCATCATCACAGCACCTGCACAAACGTCGCAACGGCATCATCTCCATCCTCAACGTCTCGAATCTAGATGACGACGAAACTGTCCGGGAGGATGAGCTCGCAGACATCCAGCAAGACGTCCTCACCCTCGGCGGCCGTGTCTACATGACGAACATAACGCTCGCCTCGCAGCCCTACACCGTGGTCATCGACACCGGTTCCTCAGATACCTGGATTGCGTCTTCGACTTTCCAGTGCGTATCCCGCTTCTCCTCTGCCGTACTCTCCCAGCCCGCCTGCGGCTTTGGTGCCTTGTTCGATAAGGATGAGAGTAAAACGTACGTCAAGATCCCGACGCATACTTTTGGCGTTAGTTATACGGATGGCGAGTTCTTGACGGGTGAGATGGGGACGGAGGTGCTGGGTATTGGTGGGGCTGAGGATGGCGGGCAGGGAGAGGGGTTGGAAGTCCGACAGACGATTGGCGTTGTAGAGCAGGGGTGGTGGATGGGAGACCGGATTAGTAGTGGGTTGATGGGATTGGCGTATCCGACGCTGGCGAGCAACGTGAGGGATCTGAATTATACGAGTGTGGTGTTTAGTTTGTAAGCCCGCAGTCTCCTTTCCTGAATCCAGTTGTCCATGTGCTAATGCGAGGTATAGGTTCGAAGGCGGCACCGTGCCCCCAGTCTTCAGTCTCGCCCTCAGCCGTCCTACGAAAGAGAACCCAGTTGCTGGAGGTCTCCTTGCCATAGGCGGCATCCCGGATATCCCGCACGACGGCGACTTCGTCAGCGTGCCCATCCGCCCCATAATCTCAAACACATACGCCTTCTACTCCGTCCCCGTAGACGGCTTCGACATCACGCCCCCTACCCCAACCCCCCGCCACCGCGCCGCCCGCCAACAGCCCCAAACCGGCCTCACAAATGCGTCCAACGCCGGCCTAAACATGATCATCGACTCCGGCAGCAGCCTGCTCTACATCCCGGACTCCACCGCAGACTACATCGCCTCGCTCTTCTCGCCGCGCGCCGTCTTCGCGCCCAGCAGTAACACGTATCTCGTCCCGTGCTCGGCCAGCGCGCCGCGCGTGGGCGTTATTATCGGCGGGAAGAGCTTTTGGATGCATGAGGATGATTTGATGAATAGGGGACCGGGCGCGGTGGGGACGGGTGGGATTGGGATTTGCACGCTGGCGGTGCAGAGGCAGGGCGCAGGCGATGCGGTGTTGGGGGATAGTTGGTTGAAGGGGGTGTTGGCGGTTTTTGATGTCGGGGCGAATGAGATGAGGTTTTCGGGGAGGGAGGGGTAGGGGATGTGGGAGAGCCTTTTGGGCTTTGAGTCGAGAAGCATTACGTTCTAGCCTGTCAAGTGCCGTGGTGGGTCTCTCCCCAGCTCTTCTGGAGAGTGATACGGCTATCTCAGCAAGACGATTATGCATTCCGCTCAGAAGCGGAACCAGGCCCTTCGCCAGCTGGTTCATCCCCCCTTTCCTCGAATTTGCGAAGCTTCTCCCTCCTCCCCTTAAAGTACCGATCCAGACTCGCAAACTGCCGCTTCAAATCCACCGCCAACCCATCGACGTCCGCGAACACCCCAGCACCGCCCTCCCCGACTCCGTTCCCCTCTTCCTCATCGTCATCGATTTCCCGCATCCCAACCTTGATCATCTTGCTGAACTCTTCATCCGAGCTGCCGCCCTCCGCAGTCTGCGCCGCAATATTCTCCATCAATGTGCGCATCCGCTCCGTCCGCTTCTTCCGCGCCTTGAGCGTGCTGATGGTGTCAGCCAAGGTCGGGGTCTGGTTAGTCGTCCTCCTCACCGGGCGCCGCGTTCCCTTGGGCGTGCTGCGCGCTGGCGATACCAATCCCACACTCCCAGCAGCCGCAGTCCTGTGCTGCTCCAGCGCCGCGATGCAGAAGTCCAAGTCCTCGATCCTGCTCTCACACGAGTTAATCATATCGTCTAGCAGCCACTGGCGGTCTTCCTCTTCGTTTTGGCCCTTCAGCGCCGCGATGGCCTCCTCGCAGTCCTCGCACACCCTCTTCAGCTTCTCGAACCCGTTCTTGTGGATCGTGACCTCCTGCAGCGCGGCCTTGTGGGTGTTGGAGAGTTCTTGGAAGCGGCGCTCGGCGGCCTCGGAGCGCTGTTGGTAGTGGCGGATAGAGTAGATTAGGAGGGCGATTTGGACGGCAAACAATACGAGGAGTATGTTGCGAATGCCGAGATCTAGAGTTAGAGCGCGGATGTACGGCCAGAGGAGGTGTCCGATTAGGACGAGGAGGAGCGTGGGGAGCGTATCGCGCAGGGTCCAGCCTCCGGAGAAGTGGATGGTGAAGGGCGGCCAGGGCTTGTTGATTACTATGTCTTTGGTAGCGGCTTGCGAGACCATAGTTTGTGGGGATGGTGGAGGGGGCGGTTGGGTTTCGGCGTTGCATTGCGGAGTCCGAGACGCCATAGTCTGCGATGCTAATTGAGGTCGCGGTTAGGTTGTGGGATGGTGTGTAGAGTAAGAAGAGATACGCGATTACTGTGTGGGGAAAAGGATGGCAGCGGGCAGAAATTTCTACTCTTTTCACTGAACGCGTCATACAATGCTGTTTTCGCCTTCTTTCACTCACCTGGGCAAGTAGTGAAATATCAGTTATCCATGTTTTGGGAAATTTCTCGTGAGCTTTTGGGAGAACCACAAGCTGAGAAGAAGACAGAGCCCAACTTGTAGGTATATCTAGATCTGTTCTGTTTATCGAAGGCCTCTAGGATAGGCTTTCCCTTGCTCAAGATATGGCATCCCAATACACGTGTTGTTACCTAAGATCAAACTCCAGAATATAGACCAGATACATGTGTCTCTATCACGAGGTGTGAAGTCATGGCGTATAAATAAAACTGAAAGAATGATATCTTCAGGCTCTGATGCTCCGCTCCCAGGGAAGCACACTTCCATCAACCGTCTCGGCCTGCCTTTGCACTCCATCAGACACATCCTCCGTATCCTCACCGTAAGCGTCTAGATTCGCCTCAGATCTCTCCAAGTCAGCCTTAGCCTTCGCAAGCATCTCCAGCAGCGCGGCCGACCGCGGCCCCACAGCAGCAGCAGCATCGATGTCAATACGGCCTATTTCCTTCCTAGCCTCCTTGAGAACCTTTCAAGCCTTTCCTCATTCTGCGCTTATTCCACGTTGTGGCGCAATTGGCGATCCACAGCGACCAACTTCACGTAGCCTGCTGCATTGCGTCAAAGCCGTGATCTCCTCGTTCGCGCTCAGGACCTTACTCTAGTTTATGGCTTAAGGTCCTTCTCCAGATCCGCTAGTATACCGATGCTCCAGTCCTGCCCAGTCTACATTTTCTGTACGCCTCCAGTTTCCCGTTGGACGACATTCTTTTTGTGGACTTTCACCTGCTCGGTAAGAGCTACATTGGACTGGCTTATAGGCTATTTGATTCTCTTCATGTCCTTCGCTGAGACGGCATTGTGCGGGTGGCGCTCCTGGTCGAGCTTGCTGATGTTGCTGGTGATGTGTATGCCGAGTGAGACCAAGGTCAATATGAGCGCGAAACAATTCGCGAAATCCCATGCAACCCAGTTGATCGGAGCTGCGATAGATCGCTCATAGTCGAGTAAGAGAGTACGTGCAATGGTGATGGAGGAGAGGGGTGGAATAGGACATACTTCTGGAATGAGTAGCATTGGATTTCATGAGCTTTGTGTTAGAAGTCAATGAAGCCGGTCAAATGGTTTCGAGTTCCACCACAGCTATGTACGGCTGACGGAAGCTGGAAGCAGACAAACGAGTGACGAGAAGTATCATAAGCGGAGAGATACAATATCGAGCTAGGTCTTCACAAGGAGAGCTCAACACGCCAACGCGAACGCGTTCTTACTCACAAACCTCGATCCAATATCGTCTGTGGAAGTCCCAGCCTGTGGCCCAAAATCTCCGTAGTAACAAACCCCAGTGGCCAATTGAGCTACGGGTCCGGGAGCCTGGAGCCCTTCAGACGCTTTTCCAGCGATCGAGTAACCTGTACGACGTGTCGCAAAAGTAGCCAGCCCACACACAAAACAGCTCCTCCATTCAACCCTCCTCCAGCCCCGCCAGCGTCGTCGCCGACGGCACAAAAAATACCGATCCCGTCGTCGCCATCGAAAAATCCAATATCCTATCATGCATCCCCTCGGGCTCCCCGACAAACATCCTCTCCATCATCTTCTCGACGACCCACAGCCGCCTCGAATACCCAATAAAATACGTGCCGAACACGCCCTCCCCAGGCGATCCAAACGGCATGTTATCGCGCAGGATCTCCAGCTCATTCCCATCCGCGTCTTCGATCGTCGCGAGGCTCTTGTGGCTCTGCTGCTGGCCGTCTGGCGCATCGTCTAGTTCCACATTGTCTAGCTTTGTGCGCCCGATGACTGCTTCTTGTTGCTCGGTTGAGAGCGTCCGCCAGGCTTGCAGATCGTGGACGTACTTTTGCACGACGACGTAGCTGCCGCCCGTCGCGCCTGCGTCTTCTTCCGCGATCAGAACCGCGTTATCGACGGCCGGGCCCACGGGATTCGCGGTCCCATCTACAAAGCCAAGCAAGTCGCGCACATCGAAATAGCGGAATCCAACAGTTTCGTCAGCGACGCTGACGCTGGTCCCTAGCATATCCAGCAACTGCCGCTCAAACTCGAAGTTCAGATCTCGCCGTTCCGAGCGGATGTGGAAAAAGAGATCTCCGGGGGTTGACACGGCCGTGTGCTTGCTGCCTTTGATCTCCTTGAAAGGGTGGAGTTCTGCGGGTCGCGGGAGGCCGGTCACACGGTCCCAGACGTTGCTGCCGATGCCGGCTGTGCAGGCGAAAGAGGCGTTTAGGTCACGGATAGCCACGTTTTTAGTTAGATCTGCGACGCTGGCGAGGGTTGAGCGGACTGTGGAGACGGAGTTTGGTTGGTCGTTGATGGTGAGGACGAGGAATGTTGCGGAGGATGTAAGAGGGGCGTCCACACTTTGGGACTCGATTGGGACGCGACGGCTCATGCTGGCCCTTCTCTCGCTCGAAAGTTGTGGTGGAGGTAAGCGTCTACTCCGGATAGCTGGGCTGCCTGACTGTTCTACTATTGAAAAGGGTCGCCGTTGTACTTTCGAAAATGCTATTCGTGCTGAAGGCTGTGAGATGAGCGAAACTCTAGGAAATGCCTGTCTCGCTGGATTGCAACAACCGTAGAAACTCCTGCCGATGGGTTTCACATTCATGATAAACAATGCCCAATGTCCTGGGAATTTATATGTAGCACGGATAAGGTGAGGTGATGAGGAGCACGCCTCTGGTGTTCTCATGCAGTATGATGTGTAAGCCATATCCCTATGTCTCCGATTGGCCGAACGCTCCCTTCTCAGACGTGCCTCGACGACCTTCGTTGATCTTCGGCCGGGGTTCGGTCTAAAGTTGGGGAGCGCTTTTCTCCCGGGAAGGAAGCAGAGAGCAAAGGAATATGCGCGTAGAGGGTTAAACAAGCCGAATTGGCTCCATACTGTCCGAAAATCCGATATGCTATGAAGGCCTTCGGGAAGCCAGATCCCAAGCCGCTCTTCCTTGAACGGGTGTGTCGTTTCGAGTCGTCTGATCTTGTTCAGGTTGGTAGAGGTTACGAAGTCAGGCTTGACGTTGAGACATGGTTGGCGAAACTTGACAATTGCTTCGTCATCTCTCGAGATGCGAGAACCAGCACACGAAGTCCGCGCTTTACAAGTAGGTGATAGCTCATTGCCTCTGGGGATTGTCAAATTGCTGCGGAAGGCAGATAGAACGCTTTGTTGCGAGGAGCGGTTCCGACTGTGACGGTGCAGGAGTTGCGAAGCGCTCGTTCCGAATCGTGGAGACAAATACAAGACCGATCTTATGTATGGTTGACGTGGATTTATTCAAATTTTTGGGCTGCTTTCAAACAGTTAAGCATCTTCATCGAAACCAAGCGCGCCCATATTCCCCAAGAACTCGACATTCCCCTCACCGTTCATGAGAGCATCGACATCGATCCCGCCGCTCGTTAGATACCGCTCGCTGACTCCAACATTCACCCTCTGGGCCAGGAGACCCTTCAGCTCCGCTCTTAAAGCCTGCATCTCCCCCTTAGTCATTTCTCTTGCCTCCTTCTCCTTCTTCTTTCTCCCGCTCCCGCGGCCCCTGCGTCCCTTGGCCTCGTTCTCAAAAGTCTCGCTATCGTAGTCGACACCCAGTTCCTCGGCAGCAGCACGCATCCAGTCGTTCTCGCTGTGATTCTTCTCCTTGGCACTTACCGCATCTGCAAGCTTTTTCGACAGCGTCGCTCTCGGCTTCAGGCGAGACACAATACGCCTATCAATATCCAGTGTCCGGATAAAGTAAGCGGTTTTCTTTGACTTCGTAGCTTGCTCCGCTCTTGCATGCACTTTCGCTACCAATCTCCTTACACCGGCCACTTCCTCGGGAGCACAGATGAGGATGCTGGAACCAGAAGATTCAGCACGCGCAGTACGGCCGGACCGATGCACGTAAGTATCTGCCGCGCGGGGAAGATGATAGTGAATAATTAGCTCCACCCCCGGAATGTCCAAGCCTCGGGCAGCGACGTCGGTGGCGACGAGTATAGAGCCAGGCCGTTCCGTGAAGCGCTCGACGGACCTGAGGCGCGCCTTCTGCGGCATTCCGGAATGTAGTGACAGAGCTGGGAGGTCCAGATTCTGGAGAAATGGAGTCAAGCGGCGAACTGCGGCGACGGAATTTGTGAAGATGAGCGAACGCTTCTTGGGGTGGAACAGGAGCAGCGCATAAAGATAGAGGTCCTTCTCCGTGCCGGCGCACTCGATCAACCCTTCCCTAAGCCCTGTTGCCATCTGCGAAGTAGGGTTCGCGTCAATGAACTTTGGCTTTTCGTCCTTGAACCGCAGCTTCTTCAGAAGATACTCCATCGATTCTTGTTTGTTCATGAGATCGCCGCCCTTGGGTCCTTTCCCTGCAAGCTTCTGTTGTAAGCCCTTGTGGAATGTTGCGGAGAATACCAGGGTCTGCCGTTGCGTTTCGGGTGCGGGAGTAGGTTCGGCGCCCTCTTCAACCTGATCATCGCGATCCAGAACGTTGAGAATTTCCCCTAACTCCTTGTAGTGGCCCTGGCTCAGAAGTCGATCAGCCTCATCGACAACCAGAAACCGAATCTTCTTGAAGGAGACCACCAGACCCTGACCGCTGCTGATGACCTCCCATAGTCTTCCCGGGGTGCCAACAACGATGTCCGCTTTCTCCAACAGTCGACGCTGCTTTTGCACGGAAAGCCCGCCGGTGATTGTCGCAATGAACGGCGTATCGACGTCACAGCCCGAGCATAGAGCATTCAGATGCGCCAACAGCTGATGGGCAAGTTCTCGGGTCGGTGATATGATTAGAGCAAGGGGTGATCTGTCTTCCGTGTTCCTTCGCGAGGCGAGGTACGACTCCAGGATCGGTATGCCAAAAGCGAGTGTCTTCCCGGAGCCTGTGGAGGCTTTCCCAATCACATCTCGCCCGGCCATGATTTCGGGTATTGCCGAAGACTGAATGGGCGTCGGCCGCGCGAACTTCAGCTTCGATAGCGAGTCCAGAGTTTCAGTGGAAAGACCTAGCTCGTTCCAAGCTGACACATCTGCCTCATCATCGTCGGACGGGAGATCCGCCAGTATGTCGAAGGCATTATTTTCGGATATATCCGCATTGCTCGACTTCTCCTGGGGTTTCTCCTTCGTGTTCTTGGATTGCTTTGATGTCGGAGCAACCTCAGGCTTTGCCTTATCCGCTTTGCCTTTCTTATTGCTCACTGCTTCCACAGCTTCCCGTTCCTGGGCGTGTTCTAGGTCTTCGACGTCGCCATTCGAAACTAGACGTCCGTCTGAACGCGGTTGTGCTCCCTTCCCTTGCGTCTTTCCATCCTGCGCTTCTTCTTCCTCGCTGAAGCCTTCCCAAGACCCCTCGCCGTCCTCTGCATCTTGATCCTCGCGCAATGCCTCTTCTAGTTCACGCAACGCCTCCGCCTCTGCGCCCTTAGCCTCCTCCTTCTCCCGCGCGACCTCTGCCTCTGATTTCGTAGTCTCGAACGATATCTGCCCAGTAGCCGAATCCCTCACGACTTCAACATCTTCAATCTCCTCCAGGCCATAGAAGCCCTCGAAATCCTCCAGCCGATCTGGCATTGGCACTCCTTTCCATGGTAGATCGCCGATTCGTACTTTTCGCCGTTTCGCGTTGGAGGGAGGCGCTGGCGAAGCTGGATCGAGCTTTTGGCGCTTTTGGACTTTGTGCGCCGCTTTTCGGTCGGAACGCGGTCTCTTCATCGTATAGTACGCGCGATTTGGCGCTTTGTGATTGATTTCTGCTTGCGATGGAAATTTTCGAGATGTCGGTGTTCGGGGGTCGCAAGCCCCGCGCTCGGGTAAAGTTGCCCTATGGGTTAAGCGCGCACACTTCACGCCCATTCGACTGCATCATATCTATGGATTGCTCCGAGCACTGCTCACAAACCGTTTGAAAGCTGCATAGGGGAAACCGGCTAGAGGACTCGGGCTTCGAATTCTTGGCAGTCGATCATCCAGATGAGTTGAGAAGTAAACCGCCAAAATCAACATTAGACTCACTTAGGGCACAACAGTCCCATCCACATCAAAATGGGCAAGTCCTCAAAAGACAAGCGCGATGCATACTACAGGCTCGCCAAAGAAGAAGGCTGGCGGGCGCGGTCAGCATACAAGCTTCTCCAGCTCGACGAAGAATTCAACCTCTTCGACGGCGTCACCCGCGTAGTGGATCTGTGCGCGGCGCCTGGCAGCTGGAGCCAGGTCCTGTCTCGCGTGCTGATTAAAGGCGAGAAGTTCGGCCGCGCCGGCTGGGAAGAGAAGCAGAAGGAGGCGAGGAGATATGTGCTAGGCCTAGATAAGGAAGAAAAGGAGGTTGCCGGAGAAGAGGCGAAGGCTACAGAAGAAGAAGAGCAGGACAAGCACCTGAAGCCGCGAGAGGGCGTGAGGATCGTTGCGATCGATTTGCAGCCCATGAGTCCGCTGGAGGGGGTCACGACGCTGCGGGCGGATATCACACATCCCTCGACCATTCCGATACTGTTGAAGGCACTGGACCCAGACTCCTTCGATCCGAAAGCTACGTCTGCGTCCCATCCCGTCGACCTCGTCATCTCCGACGGAGCTCCTGATGTCACTGGCCTCCACGATCTCGATATCTATGTGCAGAGTCAGCTTCTCTGGGCGGCGCTGAATCTGGCCCTGTGTGTTCTGAAGCCCGGCGGGAAGTTTGTAGCCAAGATCTTCAGAGGCAAGGACGTGGACCTCCTGTTCGCGCAGCTGAAGATCGTGTTTGAACGTGTGAGAGTCGCCAAGCCGCGGAGTAGTCGCGCGAGCAGCATCGAAGCGTTCGTGGTGTGCGAGGGTTTCTGTCCGCCGAAGGGATTCAGAGCGAGCCTGGACACGCCGCTTGGCACGGAGACACAACTCTCCACCGCTCAGAAGCCTCGATTAAAGAAAGAGACTGCGGCAACACGCAGAGTGCGGGAGGACGGTGCGATCGAGCTGGATCTTGGGCCCGAAGAGGAGGTCGAAGACGACGGAGAGGAAGGTGGCTCAAGATGGATAGCTCCTTTTTTGGCGTGCGGCGATCTCTCTGCGTATGATTCGGATGCTACTTATCACCTGCCTAAGGATAGAGTCAGCTTGGATCCCGTGCAGCCGCCAACTGCACCGCCCTACAAGCGAGCTCTGGAAATGAGGAAGTTGGCTGGAGGCGCGTACGGGAAGACCAAGGGCCAGGAACGTAAAGACATCACTTGAAAATGCCAAAAGACTATGACTACACATACCACCGTGAAGAGCGAGCGATTGAGGCGTTCGAAACTTGTGGTAGCTTGAATTGTTCCCACACCATCATACGAGTCCCTCTGTAATTATTCTCTTGCCTCCCCCAACCAACCAGTCTACCGGCGATATTTCGCATACCGCAGGTGCGACGACTTCAGCCGCCTCTAGAATAACTCAACGACGGCCCCAAACGCTGCTGGAGTAAAGGCGGGGGCTCGCGGACGGATGTTTATTACAAGAATCCCCAAGTATGTTGGTTCGTCAATGACGCACGCGCCTCCATTCACCAGGCACCACTGGAGTACAAGTGAAAACGCAAGAGCTGCAGAGAAATCCTACCTCATTTACGCACTACCTCGAAAACATACTACTACCGGTCCCTCTCTTAGTTAGCTAAAGTCTCCTCACCATCTCACCGCAACCACCCACCACACCATGGCATCCCAAAAACCCTCTCAACACACCGCCGCGACCATAGCATCCCCGCTATCACCAAAGGCAATCATCTGGCTCGCCGTCATCACCGCCAGCATTCTCCTCGCCATCTACAACCTCCCTCTCTGGGTCCTAAGCACGCGCACCAAATTCTGCGCCCTCACCATCACCCTCCAGTTCACAGCCATCCTCTACTATCGGCACTACTACATCGCCGCCCTCGACCTTTATGCAGACGAAATGCGCGCGCACACTGCCTCCATCGACAAGCACAATTCCGACCTACGAGTCTTCGATGAGACGACTCGGGCCGCGCAGAAAGGATGGAGCGAAATGACCGACGGGTATAAAGGCTTGGTGAATGAACGCCGCAAGGACGAGGTCGAGACTACACTCGCGTACTACAAGACTATCGCGCAGGTGCATGGGATGTTTGCCAAGGCGCTCGAGCGCACGCGTGGAAAGGATGCTGGGAAGATTCTTCCGCGCGTAGTGCCAAAGGGCACGAACGCGAAGAGCAAGGCGAGAAAGAAGACGAATACGAACATGCATCCTCTCGATGAGTACATCAGCATGATCAAAGCGCGGCAAGCTAGGGCAGAGAAGCATATCGAGGATATGGAGGGGTACGCTGGGTTGTTGGAGGCGGGAACAGCAGACGAGGAGCTGGAGAAGATGAGGGAGAGTATGGGGGATTTCATGGACATAATTCTTGGCACTGGTGGAGGGGTCAGTGAAGAGGGGAAGGATGAGTATGAGGGGGTGAGTGTGGCGGATATTGATGCGCTTCGCGGAAGTCTAGAAAGCCATTTGGCAAAGCTGGATGCGTATTCCAAGAAGACGGCTGCGGGCTCCATGAGAAAGGCGGCACGAATGGAGAGCGTGGTTTCGCGCGTGAGCGCTTCTGTGCTAGAGTAGGGTTTAAGATGACGCGGAGACGTAAACGGGGACTTGGAAGGGAATGCGGAATAGGTGGAGAGAGCTTACACAGAGCTGCGAACAACGACTCTGAGAATGTCGTTGATCTAAAGGTTCGATCTTCAAATGCCCTTCTTGAAGGTGGACACGAATTTGCGGTGCGGTACAATGTGCGAACGAGGTGGAGTGGCGAGCATGCACTTGGCGGATTGAGAATCGAGAACTCGTCGAGGGGTTGGAAGAGCGTGAGAATTAGAAGCAGCTACCACATTGCGCAGAGTACTTGGATGAGAGTGGCCGCAGTGTCACCTGTTGCTTTTACCTGAAGAGCGCCTAATGATATGGCAGAGCGAGTTATTCGAATGGTGAGTGTGAGCTGAAGATGAGGGTGCGTAACTTGGCCGACGATATCTAGACAAGGATGAGCGAGTTGGCAGAGAAAGGAAGGATGGTTCAAGAAGCATAGCAATATCGTGACTTCCTTCGAGAAGGTCCCTGTAGCTCTATAGCACCTGAATATTCGTTACTTGTTGAGGGAGTTGTTTCTTCAACGATCCTTGGGCTCTCGTCTTCTCTCTGATTGAGAAAACAGGCGCGGCCCTCGGGCGCATCTGATTGTCTGTCACGGTCTCTTTTCGTGCAGCGGTAGCGCAGTGCATGGCAGCACGGACGGATGTGCCGCAGCCGCGATGGGGGAGGGATGATGCTTGTTTGGTGGTGCTACTGAGACACCATCTGGGCAAGGAAAGCGCAAAATCACGGGTACTGGGGGCTGCGAAAAGAGATTGGCCCTGTGCCCAATTCGGATCTACTCCAACAGAGAGCTCGTTGAAAGGGCAACTCGAGGGGTCGGGCCGGAGGTCCAGCAGGATTGCCGTTCAACTTGTACGAGTGTCTCCTGTCTGTGGCGAGAGAATCCCGGATGGCAACACTCGAGCAACACCTCACGTGGTAGCAAGTGTTCAGCCTTGTTCTGCCATCGGAGCTGCCAGGTAAGGTTGACGTGCTGAACGTCTCCAAACCAGTGCCCCGATGACTAGATCTATCGCTCGCTTCGGCATTGGCTACCGTGACAGGCCTCATGCCGGGAGCGTGTGCAACAGTGAGCTTGCCGCTGGCCGTGGAGATTTAGATGGCGCGTTTCATGTGAGGACGAAAGTGTTGAGCGTCTGGTTGCTTTTGCTGCTGTTGTGCCTGCAGTCGTGGGCGGAGGCTGCTGTAACGACCGAGCCAAGCGGCTAGACGGAAATAACAGACCTTCCAAGGTTCCAAGGTTGTTCCTTTCGAGAATACCAACCTAGGTAGGTAGGCTTGGCGTGATGCTTTACGCAGTACTGGCGCGGGTGGAAGCGGCGATGTAAATAGACTACAGTGCTCGAAGAGGGAGGAACTCGAGGTCGCTCTTTCCCGAAGCTGGCATCTCCACGACGAGGCAGGGCTGGAGGGATACATTGGCCGTTTGTGTACTGCAGTGACTGTAGCACGGCGCCTTGAGAAGGGGGCATGTGGATGAGATGGTAGCGCTGTGTGGGGTCAAGGGCGGTCGTTCACGGGGGCTGTTGCGAGCATCCATGGCCAGCGAGAGCTAACAGGAAAGAAGAAACCGCTGGTCAAACGCCAAACTGTTCCAAGGTTTCCAGAGAAAGGAGCATGGCCTTCGAGTGGCCGCCGGGGGTGACCAAAGGCGCCGGATGGGGAATGAAATAGGACTTCTCCATCGGAAGGTGTAGCAGCGACGCGATGGTGAGGACGCGGGCCAGCTGCATAGCCGCCCGCCACAGAATGGCCAAATTGGCTCGCCTTACGCGGGCGCTGCCGTACGCAACGGCCGCGGTTGCACGAGGAGCGGTGCAGATGAGAGGAGCCCGGCTTGAAACAGGCATCCTGAATCCCGGGCGCTGGGCCAGACGGCGGAATGCAAGACGGGACGGATTGAGGGCGACGGGCAGAGCGCCGCGAAATTTTGCACGGCGGGGATGACGACGGTGGGCGTGCGGGCGGCAGGGAAGACAGCGCGGCAGGCCTCAGCCAGGACGGCGTCGGGGAGGGCGCGGAGGGCTCGTCGCTGGGTAAAGATAGCGGGCAGGGCAGGGTTCGTTCGCGTTGTCCCGTGCATCATTGCAGAGGCAGCGTCGTCGCCAGCCCTCCAGGACTTTTCATGCATGTCGAAGCTGCCGTGCTCCAAACAATTCATCCTCTGCCGTCCATCCGCTGCGCACCCGCCCCGGCATTCATAGCAGCCCCTGTTATTGCGCTTTCACTGCTGGCCCGTCGCGGTCGCGAGACGAATAGCGCCATACCCGCCCATGGAGCCCTCGCAGCCTGTCACCGCACACGCACCTCGACGGTTGCTCAAGAAGGCGAAGCAGCCGCCGCCCGTGTCCTTTAACAACCGCGCAAAGCTGAGCCGCACGCCGTCCGCGCCCACGTACCCGTCCTTCTCGTCGACCGCGAGCGTCCACCGGGCCCCGTCGAGCAACCCCAGCGTGGAAGGAGGCTTGGCGGCCTCTACTCCTTCCGCCCCCCCAGCGCGACGTCAGTCCGACTCGCACTCGCCCATCCTCCCGCTCGACGCTGAAGCCGTCGTCGCTGCCTCCGCCGCCAGCTCGCAGGCCTCGCTATCGCTGCGCGTGGGCTCGCCCTTCGACGCCGCCGCCATCCTCAACGCGGCCTCGGACGCCAACGCCAGCACCGCTCACATCCCACCGCGTCCGGCCCCGCAGCACTCCCACACGGCCGACCCGCCCAAGTACAAGTCGCCCAAGCTGCGCCAGAGCGCGAGCTTCACGGCCCTCGCCCGCAAGATGGACACCATTACCCCGCCCCGCTCTGACGGCGGCACCAAGTCGCCGCGCCAGCGGTACTCAGACGAGGCCGACAACTCCAAGAAGCGCAAGTCGGACGGCGGCAAGAAGAAGGGCGCCTTCTCGAGCTTCATGAACAGCATGCTGGGCTCGCCGCGCCGCCCGACCATCTCGACGCCCACGAACCCCATGCACGTCACCCACGTCAGCATCGACAACGAGACAGGCGAGTTCACGGTGCGTGACACGTCGGCCCCCCCATGCACCTCCCCTGCCACCCACGCCGCGATTCGGACGTGTGCCGTCCGTTATCGCTGCCCTTTTCGTGTCCCCTCTTCGCTGCTTGCCATTGTGCTTCTTTCGCTGACCGTGTCTAGGGCCTGCCCAAGGAATGGCAACGCATGTTGCAGCAAAATGGTATCACAGAGCAGGAGCAGAAGCAGCACCCGCAGGCTGTCATGGACGTCGTCACCTTCTACAAGGACAGTGCGGAGAAGAATGGCGACGACGCGATATGGGACAAGATGGGACCCGCTCATCCCCAGGCATACGCCTACCAGGCGAACCTCACGCCAGGCTACGGCACGCTTCAGCCGCTCCTCAGCCCTCCCCAGAGTCCTCGCTTCCCGCGGAACGACCAGGACAGCTTTGAGAACCCGCGTGCTCCTCCTCCGATCCCTCGTAGCCATACTTCGCCGGGTGTCGCGGCTCCGAACTCGCCTCAGATCAATGGCGCGCTCATTCCGAACCGGCCAGCTCCAAGACCGCCAGGTACTGCAGGCTCTGCTAATCTCGTTCCAACTCGGCCCGCTCCTCCAGCTCCCAGTCCGATAATCACACAGCAGCCAGTCCAGAGCCCACGGCAGGAGAACGACTTCCCGCAGGTTGCATACGCTCCCCCAACGGTTACAGATAGCGCTCATGGGCCTCCCTCAGCGCCGCGTAGCCGTGCCAACACCACCGGCGGCACGCCGCCCCGCTTCGACTCTCCATCGAGCGCCACAGCTATCTCGCCCGCCCAGCAGTATCAGCAGCAGCAAGCCCAAGCCATGGCCGCTGCCCAGCAGTCGATGTCTGTGAAGCAGCCCCAGCTCGCGAGAAGCGTGAGCCAACGAACACCGCAGCCCCAACCTCCACATCTTGCCCCTGTCGCTCCCGCGCCGTCACAACCATCACCACAGCAGCAATTTGCCCAGCAATCCGACCCGCAGAACATTCCTCTCCCGTCACAGCAAGCTCGCGTTGGCCCTGCCCCTCGACCACGGCAGAGACCGCGACAGAGCCAAGGCCCGGATATTGTCGCCAAACTCAATGCTATTTGCACAAACGCAGATCCCACCCTCAGATATCGGAACTTGAACAAGATCGGCCAAGGCGCTTCCGGCGGAGTTTTCACCGCATACGAGGTCGGAACGAACAAATGCGTGGCGATCAAGCAGATGAATCTAGAGCAGCAGCCCAAGAAAGACTTAATCATCAATGAAATCTTGGTCATGAAGGATAGCAAGCATAAAAACATTGTCAACTTCATGGACAGTTTCCTTGTAAGAGGAGATTTGTGGGTAGTCATGGAGTACATGGAAGGCGGTAGCCTCACGGACGTGGTTACTTTCAACATCATGTCAGAGGGCCAGATTGCAGCAGTTTGTCGTGAAGTAGGTACCTGATAATACTCCTTGAAGCTCTCTATGCTAACAGCCCGCAGACCCTAAATGGGTTACAACACCTTCATTCGAAAGGCGTTATCCATCGAGACATCAAATCTGATAACATCCTTCTTTCACTCGAAGGCAACATCAAGCTGAGTATGTCGAGCAGCAATGCAGCGTTATCTTCCGTCACTAATAGCCTGGACAGCCGATTTCGGGTTCTGCGCACAGATCAACGAGAACCATAATAAGCGGACAACCATGGTTGGCACTCCATACTGGATGGCCCCTGAAGTCGTCACACGCAAGGAATACGGCCGCAAAGTCGACATCTGGTCGTTGGGCATCATGGCAATCGAAATGATTGAGGGAGAGCCGCCATACTTGAACGAGAGCCCGCTCCGCGCGCTCTGGCTTATTGCAACCAACGGGACCCCAACGATTAAAGAAGAGCACGCGCTGACACCAGTATTCCGTGACTTCTTGAACTTTTCCCTCAAGGTCGACCCGGACAAACGGGCTAGTGCTCATGATCTTCTTGTGGTGAGTTTGCGCTCCCTATATTTGCTTCGGTTATCCGGATCAGGAGGGCTGACAGTGTCGCAGCACCCGTTCATCCAGACGGCAGAACCACTGAACACACTCGCCCCACTAGTTCTAGCAGCGAGGAAAGCAAGAGCTGAAGAGAGGCGGAAGAAGGGCGGTATGTAGATTGCTTCTGAAAGTATTTCAGAACGCATCTCATCCGAGGGGCTACAGGTTCGGAGGCGACGCAAGCCAGCGGCAACGATTCCTCGACCTCGAGTGTAGCCAACTCGTACGCCGAATGGTACCGCAACGTCACGGAGCTGTAGGACGTCATGGATGCAAGAGGGCCATGGCAGTGATCTCGCCGACTCCGTTCGACCAGAAAAATAGAAGTACAACGCACTCGAGCCTCGATGCATTCAAGGGGATTCCTCTGAGCTGCAGCCTCCGAACACCGCATCAAGTTTCTCTATTCCGACCGTCGGGCACGGAGTTTTTTCGACGACGGTTGGGCGATCTGACATTTGTTTGGTCGAGTACATTGCAACACCGGCAAATGTGTGCAGTGGCATTTTCATATACGGTTTCCGGGCCGGGTCGCATTAACCAGCGAATCATATCTCGATGATCACTCAATTTCTTCAATTCACCCCCGACTGCTCGGCGATTGGTCATTTCGGGCGTTCAGTCGTGGCAGGCAGGCATGCGATATGGAAGCTCGTGCGACCCAGGTTTCTTCACCTCCGGGATCTTTTCCTTAACTTCAGTTCTCATTTGGGACGGTTAAAGAGATGTTGGTGCTTTCTACACTCTACACCTTTTACATTAGTGTCTATACTCGGTATCAACACAGGGCAGGGCAGGACTACGATATGGGATGGTTCTCATTCGGCGGCATTACTGGGATACAGAAAAGTCGAGTCCGGAGAAATACAACTTCGTCGAGAGAGGCATTTCCTGCCTCTTTTGCATGTCACTGAGAACTTGAGCCGCACTCTTTCCAGTCTTGTGAATACCCTCAGTTCCTTTCACAATTGGATACGCCGGCTTCAACTCTACCATGGAGTTTTTCGGGCTTATTCACCACGTAGGGCTTTCACGAGGCTGCGCACGCGATTCACCAGCTGTGGCGTTGGGCGGCGCCACAGGAGCTTCGTCATCCAACCACGCTAGTGGGGGAGCGGGCGCAGGCACCTGGGCAGCTCGACCCACGACATTAGGTTGCGTCAACCTCACAACTCACCTCAGCAGGCCACCACTCCCTGACCTCTCTCCCTCTGCTCCCTCCCCCCACGATATATATTTGCGCCGCTGACTGCACGTCTTTCTGGATCTTGGACAGCGGAGCAAGCAGGCAAGATGTTCCGGGCCCAGTCGAACGCCTTCGACGACGTGGTGGTAAAGGCGACGGACGAGAATTTGACGAGCGAAAACTGGGAGTACATTCTCGTAAGCCTACTGTTCTAATTTACCCACCTAATCCAGCTCGCTAGGAGGCTTCCCAAAGCTCTCGAGCCCTTCTAGGCCTTTCTTGCCCCCCTCAGCCTGAAGCTGTCATGCTCGAGCAAGGCTAACCAGCTGCCGTAGGATGTATGCGACAAAGTCGGCGCTTCCGACACAGGTGCCAAAGATGCCGTCGCCGCGATGATCAAGCGGCTCGCCCACCGCAACGCGAACGTCCAGCTATACACGCTCGAGCTCGCGAATGCCCTCAGCCAGAACTGCGGGATCCAGATGCATAAGGAGTTGGCCTCACGGAGCTTCACGGATGCCCTTCTAAGGCTTGCAGCGGATAGAAACACACATCAGCAGGTGAAGGCGAAGATACTCGAGCGCATGGCCGAGTGGACCGAGATGTTCTCGAATGACCCGGATCTTGGGATCATGCAGGGAGCTTATGAGAGACTGAAGACGCAGAGTAGGTGCGCTCTGGCTGCTTCGAGGATCGCGTGCTAAACCATGATAGACCCGAACCTACGCCCTCCCTCGAAACCGCAGAAGACGCAGATCACCGAGCTCGACCGCCAAAAGGAGGAAGAAGAGCTTCAAATTGCGCTTGCCATGTCGATACGTGAGTCAAAAGGCTCAGTGCCGGCGGCTGGCAAATCGAATACTTCCCAAGGCGCCGGTGTTGGCTCGAGCTCGCAACCCACCCAGACATCGCAACCCGTTTCCTCAGGTACCACCGCGGCTACCGTCTCACGAGTACGAGCTCTATTCGATTTCCAGCCTTCCGAGCCGGGAGAATTGCAGTTCCGGAAAGGCGATATCATTGCTGTGTTGGAGTCGGTATACAAGGATTGGTGGAAGGGTTCGCTTCGCGGGCAGACTGGCATTTTCCCGTTGAACTACGTGGAGAAGTTGCAGGATCCGACGCCGGAAGAGCTAGAGAGGGAGGCTCAGATGGAGGCGGAGGTGTTCGCGCAGATTAGAAATGTGGAGAAGTTGCTCGCGCTACTGAGCACGACCTCACAGAGCGGTGGCGGCGATGTCCGGGACAACGAGGAGATTACCGAGCTTTACCATTCGACATTGGCAATCCGCCCGAAGCTGATCGAGCTCATCGGGAAGTACTCGCAGAAGAAGGGTAAGTATGCTAACGGGCGTTTTACGATTTCGAGGCTTACCGCCAATAGATGATTTCACACAATTGAACGAGAAGTTCATCAAGGCTCGACGAGACTATGAATCATTGCTCGAAGCTTCAATGTCTCAGCCCCAGCAGCCCGCTTACGGCGGCCGTCCCTATGGAGCATATAATGCGCCGCCTCCGGGCGCATACGGAGGCTACCCGCCAACATCACCACCACCCCAGCAGGAGCCGAACCGCTATACCTATGCTGGCCCCCCTCCAGCACAATCGCAAGCTCCTCCCTCCCAGTACCCGCCCGCAGGCGCAAACCCAGCATTCTTCATGGTGCCTCCTGATCAACAGCGACCCCAGCAGCAGACACCAAAACCCGCCCCGCCCGTAGACCCCTATGCACCTCCTCAAGGTAGACTGGCAACCGGGCGGCCGCAAAGCTTCGCACCGCAAGAGCTAGCAACCGGTCATTACGATTCCCCTGTCGACAAGCGTCAATCCTTCGCTCCCCAAACCCAACCCCAAGGCGCTCCCTCCGCGCCACAGGGTTACGATGCTTATCCTCCTCAATCACAGCAACCGGCAAGCGGGTATCCCCAGCAGACTAGCGCGCCTCCGCAAGCACCACCGCCGGGCCCGCAGAATCCGTATGAACAGGTTTCCTCGCCTTATCAACAACAGCAATCCCCCTCGGACCCATACTCACAGCAGCCGCCGCCGCCGCAAGCAGGATATGGATACCCACCACAGCAGCCGAACCACGCTCCGCCCGCGCCTCCAGGAGCGTCAGCCAGTCCTCCGCCGCAGGGGGGCCAGCCATATCTTGCATATAGGCCGGGTGGACAAGCACCGAGTGCACCTGTGGGTGGCGGCGACGAAGGCTATTATCGGTAGTGCGATAGCGTATGGGCTGGCATTTCGCATTTGGAGGGCATGTCTATGTACTAGTACAACGTTACGGGCAGAGATTGGTACAGGAACAGCTAGGTTGAGCGAGATACCATGGCATTTCTAGTACGGGAGGGTTCCGGCAAGATTGATCGTTTGACAACATGGTGTTCCGTAGCTTCTAGGGAGCGCTACAGTGAAGCAACATATAATTGAACTTCAGTTCCACGGCTAAATTTGTAGGTGGGACATGTTTGTGCCGGTCGGTATGAGTCTTGGCGTGGCTGTGTTCGTGCGAAGGAGCTCGGCCGAGGTACCCTCGAGTGCAGGGAAAATACTGTGCAAATGGTGGGTCGTCGGTCTATTGCAAGGTAGTAAATAAGGGCAAATGACCGCAGCAAAGATGCCGGGGCGCAAGTATGGCCATGTACTAGATGAAACTCCAAATCTCTAGCCAATGTCCTCGAAGAAGAAGAGGAAGAAAAGAGGACATCGGCTGCAATGATCCATCATCGTCCACATGATGCCTTGTCATTTCCCTATGCTCTCCACCTCCGCTCGCCTTTCGATATTGGCTTGCAAGGCTGCTGGAATGTGGTTCTCCCTCCACCGTACCATTATACTGTGTATGCCAACCCATCCTAACCTGACCTGACGATCCACCCTCTCACGACATCCCATCTCACTGGCCCCCCTCCTGCTGGCTCTGCAGGTACTTGTAGGCGCCGAAGGCGAGGATGCCGCCGATGAGGATGATGGCGTAGAGGCCGACGCCAGCGGACGCGCCGTCGGTAGTCGCGGTCGAGGAGCCCGCCGCCGAGTATGTCTTGGGCTGGGGGTCGCCTTCCTGTGGATAGCGAGATCTCACATCAGCACGTTTTTCTCTCCTGAGGACGTCGTGTGCACATGCGTGATTTGTGATGGGAGCGCGGAATGGGTTCCGAGCCGAGGCTGCGCTGCGCTGACACGGGGGAAAGTCGGAGGGTGGGGATGGGAATTGGGAGAGGAGAGGAAGAAGGGGTGGATGGATATACCTTTCGCTTCAGCTTGCCCACAAGCAGACCCTCGAGGATCTCGCGCGCCTCGTCGCTGTGGCCGACGTCCTCGAAGGCTTCCGTTGCGTCCTGCCCGCCTACGTCGAGGAGCACTTCCTCGCCTCCCCTACACACACAATCAGCATTAGCAATCAATCTCTTCCCCAAATAACCCAGTAGCAAGCTAAAGCATTGGAAGTGGTGCAGCGAGGCAAGGGTCTGGAGATTTCGCGGGCGGCGCAACATCGCATCAAGTTTTCTGCCGTGTGGGACGTAGTGCAGCAGGAGGGAACACGTACGGATGCTCGTCGATAAAACTCGACGCATTGTACACCTTATCGTGGATGACGACGAACAGATCCTTCTTCGTCGCGTGCTCCGACACGTCCGAGTACGTGAAGTCCTTGTCGGCCATTGTGTGTCTTTTGCTGTCTTGTCTCGCTCTGCGCTAATTCGAGGGATGGGCCGGGTCGTCTCGCTCAACAAAGTTGTGTAGGTAAACAGTAGCACCGCAACGCCGATCGCACGCACGCGGGAAGGAGGGTGGGTAGTCGGAGGTGTACGTAGGTAGGCGAGGTGAAGGAGAGCAAGCAAGCAACAGAGTTGAGAACCGCAGCCGAGACGAAGGATAAGAGCAGACAGATGGTGGTGCCGAAGCGTCCCTGTTCTAATCCCCCGGCGCCGATTGGGTGCGTGTGCATTTCACGCTTGGCAAGCGCTCACCGCACCCGAGTCGGCGCCCCGAACAGGCAACAGGACCCTGACGGAGAGGCAGCGCGGCTGTGGGGAATGGGTGGCATGGCGGGGCTGTTGAGAAGTTTGGAGCAGTGAATTCCGCTCTTGCGCTTGTTTGGACCTCGTCTAGTGTACTTGGTATACCTACCGTCTATCTACTGAGAAAAAAAATTTCGTTACTTTTGTGATACACACCTGCACACAGGCTGCTGGTATTCCGCGATGCGGAACGCGTAGGTATCATACGTGAGCGAGCAACGTGGGGTTTACGATCCATGCATCTCTCGTGATATCCGCCTGAGATTCCGCCAGCGTGCGGAAGGTGCGGGCTACCATTGTGCCGGGTATCATCATCCACTTAGCAGGCCAGACCTACCTACGCTACAGTCGAAGCCCTCTTGAAGATTCCCTCTCGGATATTGGGGTACAGACTGCTCGAAGGTATTCCTAGCTGCTTTCGTGAGCGAAGAATAGTACCCCTCATGTGGGACCTAGAGTCGGCAACTAGAGTCCCGAGCGATGTCCGACGATGCCTTCAACAACGTGCCGACTTCTAGGACCGAACCTCGCCAAGGGAAAAGACATCTACGACTTGGAGGGTATCACTTCTTTCTTCGGTCTAAGCAGCCAATCATAGCCTATGGAGTATGCTATAGAGTCCTCATCACGTTCCCGCTCGCACTCCGCCTATCCTTCTTCCGATCATGCCTCTGCCCATGCATCTCCTCGCTAGCCTTCTTCTTCTGCTTCTTCTCTGGCACGAACGTGATCTCCCTCTCGCCCACCACGGTTGTCGTCCCCCCGCTCGGTGCCATCTTGCTGTCCTTCAGCTTTGACACCCTAGCCCCAAATGTTCTATTCCGCCCAGCATCCACCCTCCTGTTGGAAGACGAAACAACCATCTGCGGACCCCGCTGTGACTTCTTTCCAGCTCTTGTATAGGAGGACGTAGATATGCGATTCTTGTCACCCGTAGGTCCTTTGCGGATAGGGCGAGCTTGTTCCGTCTCCGATTCGGACGATGATTCGTCTGAGGAGCCTTTCCGGGACTCGAGCTCTTCCTGTTCAACGGCTGTGAGGCCTTTAGGTAATTTGGTACCTGGATTGATAGCCCCGAATTCATGGCTTTCCTCGTCGACTTCGAAATCTTCATCCTGGAACAAGCGCGCGAAACGAGGATCGTTAAGCACACCGCTTGCTGGCCTAGAACCCTCTTCGGCCTCTTGTACGGCGGGAGCCTTCTCGCTCTCAAGCATGTCGTCGTCGCCGCCCTTCTCCAGCACGCGTCTGGCGCGTCTCCGCTCTGCCTTTTCTTCGCGCTCAAGGATCTTCTCAGCGAGTTTACGATTCACCTTGACGGAGACCTTCTTATTACCGCGGATGCGAGATTCACGCTCCTTAGCAATTCTCTCTTGGATGCTCTTCTGTCGTTGTTCTTGCCACAGGTCAGGATTGGATATTAGTCGCGCTTCTTCGTATAGTTTCTGTGCAACAAAGTAACCGTGCATGTATGGCCTCAGTAGGCCTGTGGTCCCCACGAGGTGGTCGAGATTCAGCTGCCGTAGTTGAGGCAATGTGAGGAACTTGAAGTTATCGTAGACTTCACCAGTGGAACCGTTCCCATACGCATTCGGGTCTTCAGGCCTCTCGGCCATTTCCTCGACGATATTGTCGAGGAAGGAACACCACCGTGGCGCGGGACCAAGTTGAGGGATGAAGAATGAATGTTGCTGCTTGCCCTCGTTGGCCGTAAGCAGCATTCCGCTGTCTTTACACCATTCCACATGATTTAGGTCCACGGCAGGTTCGACTGAGGTCCAATGGCTGCCGTCTCGTGCATCCCAGATCTTGATGATGCGCTTATCCATGGAGAGAATCTTGGGTTCCGATGTTTGTGCACGGGTGGAGGTGGATGAGTTTAGGTAGATTAAGTTTTTGATTGGGAATCCGTAACCTTGGTCCTTTTTCAGCAGGGGAACTGGAGATCGGAGATCATAGAGATGTATTAGTCCAGTCGAACTGCCTGTGGCAAGCTCTAAGCCAGACCGGTGGAACTGGAGGGCCGTAATCTCTGAGCGCCCCTCGAAAGCGTCTTGTGACGGAGATAGGATGCCAACTCGATTCCTTGATCGTGAATCCCAGAACTCCACCGTCCCTAATGAGGTACCGAATGCCAGGAGGTTGTGGCTGTCCTCCGCTATAGATCCTGTGTTAATGCTACCTGCGTTTATTCCGCCCTGCAGCGAACCTGCGCCAGCTGTCGTAAGGTCGTCGCCGCCTACATCCACTTGGTAGGATTTCATGAACCTCCCAACCTCGAGGTTCAATCTGTAGACCTCTCCTAGTCCTTCGGCGTTTACACCCACGGACGGTATGAGCGCCTCTGCCGAATGCCTGTCGTACAAGAGATCTCGTCCAAATCGTGGTATTCGTGCGGAGTAGTGCAAACCGCCAGCTGTATGAAATTCGACAACCCTGTCCACCTGTAGATGGATCGATTTCCTCCAATCGGATTCTAAGAGGAGGAAGGTCTGGTTCAGGGTGTTGGTATGGCGGGCAAAGGCCAAAGAGAGCTGTGATAGAGAGTGAACATGGATCTGGGGTTTATAAGTGCCCGTTGACAGGAGCTGGGGGCCCATTAGCAAGTTCCTAGAGAATGCGGCGCATTGAGCAAGTCTTACCCAGTCGCCGTCGGGAGAGACGCGGACACACTGGCTGGCCTCCTCGAACTCAAAGTCCTGGAGCAATTCCACTCTGCTTGCAAATTCGGGGTCATTTTTCAAGCTCCGCTTGCGTCTCCTGACAAGCCAGTCTGGCAGCGGTCGCGCCTCCGCCCCGGAGATTGTGTATCTGGCGGCGTTAGCGTTAGCAGCGGCGCAAGATTCGCACCGCGAATATCGACTTACACGGGCACGGTCGAGTGGTTGGAAACCTTCATCGTGGCTGCGGCAGGCGGTAGTTTCGTGAGGGGAAGGACGAGGTGGGGTTTGCGGTCGCTTCGAAGGGGCAGGAGCTTCGGTGGGTGGCCGAGGTGCGTTCTGTGTTTAGGGAAGAGAGAGCCGTGGACAAACGTAGTCTCCTTGGCCCCCGGCGCTGGCAGCTAAGGAAGATGTGGACGGCGGTGTCCAGAATGTTGCGGCGAGGCCCTCATCGCAGAACTTTTGGCGTCGAGAAATATTGCAGGGGTTGCACGGACCGCCGGCCCGCAGAACGAGATCATCTCGTCCCTTCCACTTCCGCGCCAGCCATCACCCTCAGGCTTCTTCGCATGTGGGGAGCGCACTACCCTTGTCCGGACCACATTCCTTCATTCTGTCGCCTTCAGTCCTTCCAACGGGAACCTATCTTGGCTGGTCGGCGCCGCCTACACCTTCCAGCCGGAAGCCTTGTCCTGCGTTAGCCCCCGGAAGCATCTCTCGCGCCATCCGCCGGCTTCGTTGGGCCATAATGGTCCGAACACGCGCCTCTCGAACGTGCCATGCAGTCCGCATAACCGTCCTCTCGCCGGCCGTGTCTCCCCAGCCTTCCTCGCTCCAATAGCCTCGCTCGCCGCGTTAACTCAGAAAGAGCGGAGTTGATGAAGCTGCACAGCGCGGTTTTGGGAGTGCACCTAACGCAACAATATCACTTGAGCGTTCCATAGAGGGACCCGTCTCTCTAATGGAATTTCTCAAGACCTGCAATACCAATGCGCAAGCTATCGTACGTATTCACATCCGAGCGGCGCCTGTTCGAGCTGACACAGCGCAGGGCGACTTTGAAGCCATCATCTTTCAAGCCTTCTCTGCCACCCGCAATCCCCCTCGCACCTCCTCGAGAATCTATGACTGGAGCCCAACGGACGATATACGCGAGGCGGAAGCTGAACTACGGAACGAGGAGCATCTGGTCGTGCAGGATGTGTCGAAGCCCTCCTGGCTTTGGCTTTTCCGGCCGACAACCGCCGACCAGGCGGGCCAAAAGCCGCCAGACCTGCCGGTACTTGAGGGATACCTCTTCCAGCGTCAGTACAGCCCTTCTTTCTCTCATGAGCGTACTGACTTTCCAAAGGTGAACAATATGGCATCATGAAGGCTTCGGATCTAGCTCGACCGCCGATGAGAAACGCGAATTTGAACTCGAATTCATCCGGCTCTACAAACTCCCCGTTGACGCCTGGGCCCGCGAAAGGTCTTCAGCCTGGAGGTGGACGCCTCGCGCAGGGCACCGCTCAAGCTAATAATACTGCGGACCAGCAGCAGTACGATAGTTTCGCCATCTATGACCTATTCACGTCTTCAGTCGTTGCTTTGATATCTTTCCATCTGGTGAAGGACTACAAGGCGGTTGCGCTGAACTACAGAACCTTCATATCGAAGCCTACAGCTGAGCAAGACTCCGAAGACGGCGACTCCAAGACCTCAGCGGTCCCTCATTGGTTGACTAATGTAAATGTTTATTGGGCTAGCTCAGGTACGCTTGTTGTATCAACATTCTCCCTGAGTAAGCCTGAAATTCACTGTTTGGACGAGGTTGCGACAGAGGACGAGCAAAATCATTTGCTTGGTAAATGCGTCCGTATTGCCCCAAACGGTATACTAGCCAAAGTTGCAAGCTTCGACGATCCCCTCGATGCCACCACGGACGACATCAACCAAAGGTTCCAACGGAAGAGAGCCAGAATCGCTCAAGCAGAGCAGGGCATAGAGAGGTGGAAAGCTACCGTCAAACGCTGGTTGGGCTGGAAAGGCTACTCACTACCCAACCTTGCTGATTGGAACTCTTGGGTCAAGATCCGGATCTCGCAATGGGGTCATATTGCTACCCCCAGCCCGGTCCCCAATCAAGCCCGAGACATATTGTGGCCTCGCGCATTATGTTTCTACTACAGCGATCTAACTACAGAAAGCCATATAGAGACAAGTCAAGGGAACACGTCAAGCCAGGCAGATAGAGCCCTGGAATGGTTCGAGACGTCTGACTCGTCTGGATTCAGAGATCCTATTGACTTGGCCCAGCAATGGTTCCTAGGGAAGCCCGAGCGGGACAGGGTCACAGAAGCCCGTCGACGAGCAAAAAAGGCGGAAGAAGATGCTACGCGAATCAAAGAGGAGAATCACGGACTATTTCCGTCATCCCCGCTGAATGCTCGCACCGGAACCTACGGTGATCTCCAAGCAGTCAGCGGGGTCTACCCGACGCCTCCTGATGGGATTCTTCCAGGGACCGCAGTTTCCAGCGGCGACACTCCGACCGTGTCTGGCGCTGCGACGAACATCATTCTTGCGCCCGGTGGTAGCAATCCTGCAATCAATCTTTCCGCGCCACAAGAGCCTACTCATGCCGAAGGGCATCAACAACCTCTTACATCCCCGGGGTTTGCGGCGCCTTTCGATCATTACCACTCGGGTGGCGGGAACGATGATCTTTTCGAAGACATGGACGAAGATGGTTTCGATGGCAATGACGTAACAGATGCTGACTTCAACTTCTTCGACGAGCCTGACGGTGAAGATGTGGATATGCTGGATGCTCCAAATGGCGGCGATAGCAAGCCGACGCCCGGAAAGCAGCCAGCAAACGAGAACTCTGTACCACTTATTCCAGAGCCGGAGATCAAGGAAGAATCGTCAGATCTAATGGATGCCTTGGATAACGCTCTCGCCACAGCATCCGGTCAGACAGAGACAGGGGATCGAGACATGAAGACGGAGCAGCACATAAAAAAAAAACCAGCTGCAGACGCTAAGCAAGCAGCGCCGGTCTTGATGCAGCCCACAGTCTCCCTGAGTCAAGCCATCAATCCGGTATCAAAGGAGCCTACACCACCTCTGAGTCCGCGTTTCATCGAGAAAGCTCTCCTACCCTCTCCAAAGAACAAACTTGCTCCACAAACTCCGCATAAGCAAGTGCCTGTTCACCATCGGGACAGCATCTTCAACCCACTCAGCTTCAATCGGAAGATGAGCCTCTCGGATTCGAAGTATCAAGGCGGTCGTTTCAGTTTTCCTTCCGAAAAGGTCAAAATGGACGACGACAAAGATCAACAAGCCCCTCGCCGCCCAAAGAGCCTTCGCGATCTTCCACTACTCACGAAGCTTCGATACGCTATCGGGGTGGCTTCCACTAAAGGCATTCCTGAAGTATCTTCGCTAGCCCGCGAAGACAGTGATTTGTCTGACACGTCAAGCGAGACTTCTTCGTTGGCTGATGAGGACATGGATGAAGACATCTCCATAGGACCTATATCACTCCCGGGAGGAATGATTATACCAGCAAAACGGAAGCTACCGACTGAAGGCAATGCCACGCCATTGTCGGCGACGTCGTTCGGCTCCTTTGGCGGAGAATCTCAAGACAGTGCTGCTCTTCAGGTCGATGAAGTCGCCTTAACCGCCTTGGAGCCTACTTCTTGGGATTGGTCATTAGTGAACGTACCACCTCCGACAGAGGTATCAGCAAGCGGCTCACGCTACAGCATTCCTTCGTTCTCTCCAATACTTCCGTCAATGCCGAACACGCCAACCTCACAACCAGACCTTTCCTTAGAGCCACTAGACGAGAGACCCCTAAGCGGAAAGGACAGTATCGCGGTGGCTCAGATAGTCACCGATCAAATCGTTCCGGCGACATTGGATATACTCCAAGAGTGCCCACGTCATGGAGTTGAGATGGAATCGACGCCGTCACCTTCCGAAAGCAAGTGGCAGGCTGCCATAAAACACATTTTCTCCAAAGCGACCGAGTGCAATGTGACGGCGCTTGCTTCAGTCTCTGACGTATTCCCGGACCTACCACCGCAGGCAAAAGGGCAACAGAGGCCTCCGCCGCGTATGCCAAATGAAGGGCCTGCCACGTTAGGACAGCATTTGCATCAGATCAATCCGCCGTTCATCAGAGTCCGGCGAGCGGACATTCTGTGGGACTTGCTGCCGCCTGCTGTACCTTTCTGGGAGCCCCTCGGGCTTTCGCCCTGTAGTTCGGGCAAGAATGTGGTGGGTTTCTGCGTCTATCCCCACAGCGGTTCCTTGAGGCCTTGTGTGGAGAATTTCTTGCTCAATGTTCAACTGGCATATGACAACTGCAGACTTGGCAATCACACACGGGTCGAGACTGTCCCCGAATACGAAGGAGGTCTCGTTCCGTGTCAGCTAAGCACGTTGGACTCTCCACGTGCTGCGTTCAAGGCGCTGCGTGACACTTGCATTCAGCTTGGCAACCTCCTCGCGGCGAAGCATGCTCAAATGCGGGACAAGGACTCCAAGATTGATGCGTTTGTGATCTACATGGTAGATCCATTTGAGAAGCCATCTTCTATCTGGGAACTGTGTTCAGCTTTCTGGACACTTTTCCAAGCATACGGTCAAGGGCCACCGGGCCGCCCCGATCAGATCCAGAAGCCAGATCTCGTGCTTCAGCTCGTGCCCATAAAGTATGTCGCTTCGTTCGAGGCTCCAGTCATCTTAGACTCGAGCACTTATGCTACACTCGCTCGGGAGGTGTACGACCGCTGCCCACCGAGCGCTCCCAGCGAAGACAAGACCCCTCTTAGCATCTATACTGCGCCAGCTTTCCAACTCGAGGAGCCCATACCTCGTAGCATCCCGTTTAAGCTGAATGCAGAGCCTCCACAGGATCTACTCCATGAGAATTCATACATCCATCTCGGCTACGCCATGAGTCTTGATGGTACGTGGATCACTGCAGCGTGGACCGACATCTGCGGGAAGTCTCAAGCCGTTGTCTCATACAATCTCGGTACGCGCATGTTTGGAGAGGTGGCGAAAGAGATATGGCACACCACAATCGAGATTCTGCAGTCGCGAAGGGTGACCTGGCGCGTCTGCATTACCAAAGCCGGAGTCATGGATAGAGAGGAGATGGAGGCATGGGTCTTCCTCGTCTCTTGCCCGACCCAGCTCAACCTGTTTGTGACATTGCTTGCGGTGGACACTGAGCCGCCCTTGAAGTTTACACCTCCGATGCCTCCCACGAATGCCGCCAACGCATCGACAGCAAATCCATCATCAACCACGCCCGTCTCCACTCCACAAGCTGGCGTCTCACCCGAGCACGGCCTCACTCCCGCAGCAACGCCCTCCGCAGACAACGCTGTCGACCCCACCACCGATCCCGAAGCTAGACTAGTCGACAGCACTGACGAAACATGGGGCATCATTCTCGCCCACCGCCTTCACAACTCTAACTCAACCAACGAATTCCGCCCCGCCCTAATAAGTGGGCTCCTTGTTAAACGCGGCCTCACCTGTATACCGATCACAACGCCTTCTGGTATACCATTCACTCCCGACCCCGAGCGCGGCCCTATCATCGTCACCGTCAACATGCTCTGGATGGGCGCCATAAACCCAACTCGCGCCGCCACTTCCCCATTCCCACCAACCGCCAGCGCAGGGGATGGCATTAGCCCAGGTGGCGCTGGACCGGGACCGCAGGAACGGAGCTATAGTAGTTTGACGTGGACGCCGACCGTGCAGACAAGGGCTGCGGCGGAGAATCTTATGAAGGAGGTGCTGGGGCAATTCAGGGGGTTGGGGTTGCTTGCGCGGTTGAAGGGGATGCGAGGGACGAGGCATGGGACGGTGCCGTGGCACGTCGCGGCTGCCACGAGAGGAGTTAAGGGCTTGGGGAAATGTGTTCCCTCGTAGCGATTGCCCCTTCTTTGCTATTTTGTACATAGTTGTTTTGGAGTATTTTGGTGTTCAAACCGGCGTTCAGGGGAAAGGCTGTATAAAGACAGACGAAGAGAAAGGATCTATGATTATACTCCGGCATAGCGATACGACCCATCATTAGCATAGCAGCATTACATATCCCCACAATTTCAGAACATTCAGTCATTTCAATCACAGATTGCATAATCGTACAAGCCCTCCTTTAACGCCGTACTCTCACCCCAGAACATCTCTCAAAGGAAAATCTACCCCTCAATCCCCAAATGATCAACCGTCTTCTTCCCCTCCACCCGCCGACTCTGCCCCTGCTGCGCGCCCGCCCCGATCTCGCGCGCCTTCTGCTTCTTGCTGCCCTCGACCGCGTTGCCCTGCGCGTACGCCGTGCCCTGGCCTTGCGCGTAGCCGTTCGCTACGCCTGCGCTATGCGTTAGAAATTCGTTGGAACGTGAACGTAGCGCAGCGAGGTGGAAAGAGGGAAGGGATGGTAGAGGGGACTTGGCGCGGACCTACCTTGCTCGTGCCGGTCTTCTACGCTGTGGGACGAGCCGTCCGCGTTGCGGTGCGTCGTTTTCTTGCTTTTGGAGGAGAAGGCGCCTGAGAGGGCGCCGAAGAGGTTGAGGTTTAGACCGGCCTGGGGTGGGATTGGTTAGCGGGAGAGTTGAAAGGGAGAGGGTGAGTGCAGTGAGTGGATTGTGGGGAGGGGGCGCGTACGGAAGCGTTGGCTGAGGCATGGTGTTCTTGCGTTTCTACATCGCGGGCGTATTGCTGCTGCTGTTGTTGCTGTTGCTGGAGGGCTTGTTGCTGGGTTTCTTTCTTGGAGAGGGCGCGGGACATTGTGGTTGGGTGGGGATTTATTGAATTGGTTTGTCTTGGGTGTGGGATAGATGGCTTTTGGAACGAGGAATAGCTTTTTTCTTAAATGGCGCAAAGGGTTCTTGTGAGCTTGGTGAGGTACCTGCGCCCTTCGTATATACTTGTGGTGTTGAGGTTCGGGTATGATGTCATATGCAGGGCGGCTTTCAGGGCGTGGGCAAGCGAACCGGTTTTGCGAGCACAACCTGGCGTCGATCTAGGACCCTTTGTGGGTTCGGTGTCTCACGAGCGTCAATCGGACAAGAGAATTAGTGAAATATGTATCGTGCAAAGACTGGAAAATGTGTATTCGAGAAATCTAATGCCTCAATATGTCGAGGAGGTTATCGAAGAAACCCAGATCATACACGTTTTCGACGGCGCCAAGATCCCAGACGCGCTCGAAGCTGTCCTTGTCCGCAACGGAAGCTATCCGACTCGGCAGGCGTGTCGGTGGCTGCCCGTTCGTGGTGCGGACGAGTACGTGTCTGCTTTCCAGCGGCCAGGTGGTGCGTGGTTCTTCGTCGTCGGGTGGGGTTGGGGGAGGTGTGGGGATGGGCGATGGGGAGGATGAAGAGTCATCGGGTGCGGTTACTTTGGGACGATAGTCTTGCATTGTCTCTAGTTTCCGTTGGGCGAGGAAGACCACACCGTCTGCCATGTCGTCGCGCCAATCTGCCCATTTGGAGGATTCGTTGGTGGTCATGCCAGCGTAGACGAGGTAGAGCTGGTAGCCCAGAAGACCGAGTGGAAGCGGCCAGGTAAGGAGGGCTAGTAGACCGACTCCGGAAGCACTGACTCCGCCTGCGTCGATGTATATGCTGGTGTACATGAGAAAGTAGTGCAGTTTCATATCTAAGTATGTTCCCCAGCTCGTCATGTCTGCTCCTGGCTCTGGCTTGTATTTGTACCAGCGCTCATACTTGGCGTAGTGCTCGTGGACTAAGGGTGAGAGTGTCATGTATGCGAGGTAGGCGCCATATGCGAGCATTATGCTTGTGGAGAGCAGGAGCGCGAGGAAGTATTTGTAGTTCCCGCGACCGAGGCAGTTGTTCACCCATACGCAGTGGTGGTCCATTCGCGATACGCAGCTTTTGCATATGCTGCAGTGCTTGCTCCGTGGCGGCTTGAGGAACCTGCACGTCTTGCAGTACGTGCCGGGGTAGTATAGAATCCTATCGTACGGGTAGTGCCGCATTTGGGCCGCATGGTTGAGCCCCGATATGAAGGTCTCCGGGTTTCTCTTCGCGCTCAGATACGTGAAGTAGTACGGCTGCGGTAGTATAGCCATTACGAGGAGCTTGTGGTGGAGCGGGAGGAGGTGCCATATCGCAGGCAGGAACAAGCCGGCGGATGCTGTTACCAGGCCGAGGAAGAAGACAAGGACGACAGGATGCTTCTCGTACATGAGATAATGACCCAGACGGGCACTTCCATTTGTGACGCGGCCATTGCTGAGCTTGAGGTCGAGGTTCCGGAGGAAGGAGGGAATATGGAGGACGAGGAGGCGGTGGCAGAAGCCTATGGGCGTGTTTCTGTCGAGGTCAGCGACGAAACAGAAAGATTGGGGCGGCTTGCACTACCTGAAGGCCGGGAGACGTCCAAAGAAGGCGATGAAAGTAACCACCGAGACTGTAATGGTGAATATCGCGATAGCCTGTGCGAAGGCCATGGTGGATCGTGGTTCAGCGCGGGGGCATGGCGGGAGACGAAGGGAGGCCCTGGGCCCAATTTACGCCGTCACTGTGACAGAATGTGTAATCCCAGTGACACTCAAGGCTCCACGATACTCGTGCTCTGTCTACTGTTGTCGTTCCGGAGTGTGAACGACAGGCGCTGGTGAAGGCCGTTGCCAAGCCTTCCCCACGCCTCATGAGCGCGCGCGGTCGGCGCGTCTCGAGTCCCCGTGGACTCCCCTCCAAAACATCTCTCCACACCCAACTACAACACACCGACCACCATGGCCGCGCCGGTAGTCTACGATGACGTCGCAGAAGGCGCAAACCTCGCTGGCCAATTATTCAGCGGCAAGAAATTCTGGGTCGCGCAGCGCGTTCCGTCTCGGAACCGATATCTGGATCTCATCCGAAGCAATGGCGGAGAAGTGGTTATGCTGGAGAAGAAAGCCGACTATCTGATCGCGGACCATTTTCGACGCGATTGCCCACCCGGAAGCATAAGCTATACGTTCATCGAGAAGTCGATTGAGCACGGAGAGATCCAAGATCCCGATCAACATCGAGCCGGACCGCCGGTGGGGGTGGTGCGCGAAGCTGGGTCAGCATCCAGACCTACGAAGGGCGGAAGAGCGGCATATACCGCCGAAGAGGATCGGATACTGTACAAATGGGTGCGCGACGCTGAGGCGCAGGGTGGACTGGTGGCCGGGAACGAGATATACAAGCAGCTGCAGGAGAAGGTACGTACTAGTCTTTGAGGCAACGAGGACTTGAGCTAAGAAGATTCAGCATCCACGACATACATGGCAGTCGTGGCGCGATCGCTATCTAAAACAGCTGCGCGACCGACCTCCATCCGCCTTCAACATTCCAGATAATGCTCCTCCGTCTCCCCCCACCGACGAACCCACCGAGCCAGCGGCTGCGCCAACGAAAGCAAAGCAGCCCGCAGCGAAGACTGCAGAACCTTCAACATCGAGAAAAGTTGGCGGACTAAGCAAAGCAAGGGCCAAAGAAGACTACACCGTGCACGATTTTAATACAATGTTTGACAAGGAAAACTGGGAAGAACTATATGCCTTTGTGGAGGAGATTAATAGCTGCACTGGCGAAAGGTATCTGAACGCGTGGAAAAGTTGGGCAGAAGGCAAAACGCAAACCGCCGAGCAGTGGAAGCAATACTTTGAGAAGGTGATACGACCGCAGTGGGAGCAGGACCCAGTTTCAAAGCGCGAGAAGATAAGAAAGATGGTGGAGAAAAGACAGGAGGAAGAAGCGATCCAGAAAGCCAGCCAGATATCTGTAGAAGGGGAGGAAGCACCAGGCCCGGCGACCCCGCGGATCTTCAGTCCAAAAGTGCAGAGAAAGCGGGATGATCCCGAAGATGCATGCTTTGAGAAGTATCTTACAGAACGGCAAAAGGGGAAAGCTCCCACAGCCTACGTGTTCTATGCCCGGGAGAAGAAGTGGTCAGTCTGGAACGAACAGCCAGGTTTGGACTATAGTACGTTTACGTTGCATGACTTTCATTTGGAGTCGCTAACACTGTATGGCAGCTGAACTCCATGCACTCCTTATGTCCCAGTGGGACTCACTGTCAGCCGAAGACAGAGCGCCCTACTTCGCCTTAGAAGCTGCCGAAAAAGGCCGCACTGAGACGGCTCGGAAGTCGCCGCAGGTATGCCCATCATCTTCGACCGCTGTCCACGAGACCCCGCATTACATTACTAAAGCATACGAAAAGGCGTTGAAGCGAATACATGAGGGTGACAAGGAGATAGAGGAGCAGGAAGAGGAGCAGGTTGAAACACCTCGACCCTCAAAGCGGCGAAAGAGTGAAAACCTATCACCTGCGCCGGAAGATGGACTTGAGCAGGCACCTATTCCTGGTACCCAACAGCAGCCGGTTGAGATATCTTCAACAGAAAGCTCATCGTCAGAATCACAGCTTCCCCAAGACGAGGATATGGAGGACGCTATTCAGCCGCAATCCCATCCTCAAGAGAGCGCAGAGGCCGACAAGGATGCTGAGTCCCTAGATTCGGTGGACCTCGGAACGGACGACCTTGCGCCTATACCTCCGCCAAATGGAGATATCGAGCCTCTAGCTTCGAGCGACTACCCATCCAACACGCCTACCCCACGTGCGCCTCGTCACAAAGCGCCAGCATTCGATACGCAGGCTATCTTGTCTTCTCCATCACAAGGCTTCTCTCTTACTGCACTCCCGCGGCCCGAAGGCTTCACCCAGTATGCTGAAGCAGAAGACGAGGCATGCAATCAAACCCCTCTGTTAGAACCCTCCTCTCCAGCCCACAAATCTGAATCAGAAGCTTCCACAACCCACTCCCTTCAAGAATTTCGGCGCTCCCTCGATGAACCCCTCCCGCCTCCAGAGCGCTCGTCCCCCGCTCCCTCCTCTCCCTCATCCACATCCTCCGGTGACCCCGACCCACCTCTTACGCCCTCCGAATTTGACGTCTTTTTCGAAGAACAGCACGACGAAGGTTTCGCGGATGAGCTCATTACCGAGGCTCTCAAGCACACGCGGTGTCGACCTGAGCTCGCTATGAATATCCTGGTTGCGTGGAAAAAGGACAAGCCACTGCCTAACCAGCGTGGCGTGTGGAGTAAAAGTGATGATGAGGACGTGGAGAGTGGGGATGGAAGGGCGCTGGCGAGGCTGGAGAGAAAGCATACGTGTGATGGTTGGGGTGGGATTACGGAGAGGCTGAGGTTTTTGGAGCAGTATCGGAGTCGGGGTCAAGGATCATGAGCAGATGTTACGTATCTTGGACAAGAGATGGCGTGTTAGCACGAACTATGACATATCGAAGATTTAAGGATCTAATGAAGAATTTGTACCGAGGGTTGAGATACGGATTCTCCCAATAGTGAGTGCCACCCCGTCTATAGTCTGTCTGAACCAAGTCGCGCTTGTTTGAAAGCCGTTCAACCCGCCATTGATGTTTCAAGCCCTCACATAATGCCTCAAAATACTGGCTTTTCTCATACTCTGCATCTATAAATTCACCACGCCTTGCCCTTGATTGATCCATCTGCCGCAGTCCCTCATTTCGACGCTACGAGGGTCACTTGTAGGTGTAAGACCCCGAAAGCGAAATAGGGCGAATAAGGGAAGGACGACGGACGACATGCGGATGGAGCGGCACGGAGAAGAGATGGAGTGAACGATACATACGGGTGTGTAATCGTAAAAGCGTCTCCATGTTTTGGTTCCGCGCAGTCGGGGAGAAAAGACGTGCTAGACCCTTTCACTCTAACCGACTCCGCGCTCACGCTAAGCCTTCTGCACCCACCTCGGAGAGATGCCTCTTCGTGCTCTTCACTCTCGCTAATCCCGCGGCCCCGCTCACCTTCACCCTGTCTTGCTCTTTCCTAACTTGCTTAGTGGAACTTTCTTGGCCCTTCATCCCGAGGTCTACTTGATCTATCCCTTCTTTCTTCTTAATCTGCATCCGCCATCCACCATTGTCCCGCCAATCCCTATGAATCTCACCGGTTCCTCCAGCCTCGCAGTGGTCCTGGTGTTATGCCTTCTTGCTGGAGCGAGCACCTTCATCGCCGACCTATCCGCCGCTTCGAAAAACTCTTCCGCAGGAGGATCTTCGACGACGACCTCAACCGGAGCCGGAAGCCTTCACCGTCGAGCCAGTCAGTGGGATGTTCCACATCCAGCTGATGATAAGCTCTGGGACAAGTCTGTCTGCAAAGGTGCAGCTCTGATCGAGGCCATAAGGGTGCCGGAGGGTGCGGCTTCTCATTTCTTCGACAATCAACCTAAGAGTAAGTACGTGGAAAAGCGATCTGTCTGGCCCAGTCACTCTGAGAGGTCACTGTTGTAGCAATTCAAGGACCTTCGCTGCTAGAAGGCATTGCCGGTTTCCATTCTCTCCTCAGCTGGACTTTCGCTAATCATGCCTCTCCACCTGTAGCCGTTCAAAGTCCGTTTGTGGAATTTCCGCGTACGTCGTTCGATCAACAGAGCGCAGGCCTACACGCTAACTGCCATGCTGTTGCAGAATCGTTCGAGGATTGGGGCTGGAAACTTTACGACGGCGACGAGCTTAACCCAAGGAACGGAGATTTCGAGTGGAGTGGCTGGGGCATCGCTGATGCGCTAAGGGGCATAGGGGTTTCAGACAAGCCCTACAATCATCCTGATGGAAAGATCCGGGTCTCTTGGGTGGTATGAAGGCCCTACGACAGCCATGTCTTATGTCAGGCTCGATGGACTAAGACACCACGTATCTCAAGTGCGAGCTTTGGATAAGACAATTGGTACCCATTCCTACTTAAAGTTTGTGCTGACTCGCTTCCACTCTTGTAGCACCATGGGCCGGCTTGGGATGACAACGGCGATCATAACGAAGTCAGAGGTCAGACCTACGCACACAATGGTAGGCAGTATCCGGTACGGTGAAGCACTTAACAACCAGTGGCCTCAGGTCTTAACGATACTAACATTCTCTCAGTTCACCGATGCCCACTTCCAATATGGAATCAATCCTGAAGAAGGCGGTTAGTATCCCCCAGCCTTCTCATCGCGCTCGTCGTATCTAATGGAAGCAAGTTATCATAGCTTTGAACCTAAAAGCTCCGGAATTTACGAAGGATCTCAATGACCAGGTTTGGCCAAAAGATCAGCTTCCTGAGCTCCGTCGGTGCTCGGATGTCATGTATGGCCTATGGAAGTTTTGGAAGAACATGATAGGGCAAAAGGATTCTTTCAAACGTCTCCGCTACTACGCGGTCGCGGCGATCACCAACCAGGATTCAAAGGAGATCATCGTCCGCGCCGTGGGAACCGATGACATTCCGGAATGGAAAGAAAGTATATGGGTCGGCATAGGCACGTACGACCAGCTGAATGAGCCCGGGGTGGCACTTTTGGGTACGTACTTGGCCTCCACCAGTAAGCAAGCGCTAACAAGAATTACCATGCTCAGGTGCACCATCTTCCTGGAGTCTGGGATATCTGCTCATACAGCACAAGGCAGACTTCGGGGATCTCCGTCCTGTTGGCGTTCGGGTCTTCATGTGTAATAGTGAGGCTGTGGGCAGCACTAGGAAGGTTTGCCTGCTTTGGTATCTTAAAGACGCGCCCCCTCCGCCCCCGAATACCTCGACTACCTCTTCAGCACCAAGCGCCAGTGGTTCCCTCCGTAGAGTTAGGCGAAATTAGTCTACAACAGAAGCGGAAGCGGGGTAGAAGAGATGCTGGTTACGTTAGACTATCCGTAAGAAAATCTCTTTCTTCAAGGTCTTCTCAACCTTTTCGTGTTCAAAGATATTCATTTGTCCTCTTAACTATCCTATGCTCGCACCGCGTTTGAGACCACTCGACCATTAGACTAGCACCACGCTCGAACCGGATGTTGTCAACTATTCCGGGTACCGCGTCCAACAGTGCCTTATACATTGTAAACCCGTATCCCCATTGACCGCCTAGCTTTTGCCAGGAAAAGGTCAGCCGGAACCTCGTCAACTCGTCGACGATGAACTTGATCGCCGATCTTTTAACCTTCCTCCAGAATCCTTTCCTGATACGCCCCTACTCCGGCGCTTCCTAATCCTCCAGCATGTACTCGTTATAAAGAGAAATTTTATTGCGCTCAGCTCCGGGGACGCATCGCGCCGCTCAAATGGGAAGCATCGAACCATTCGAAGATATCTTGGTCTGTGTCAAAACCGTAACTGCGCGAAGATTAAGGTTAGTGAAGAGCAACTCGACAATGCCGAAAGAACATAAGAGCAAATCTAGAATAAAAAGGGCAATAGAATGAATAAGACCGTAATTCCCGCCCTCTCGACCAGCTATCTAGATATCTAACAGCGAAACGCAGCAGCGGGAGAGATCTGGACCCAGCAGTGCCTGAATATTACCTTGAAATTGGTAAGAAATAGGAGTGTTAGATGTAGAGCTAGACTTATGATGAGAGAAGCTAGGAGCAGGGGAGCCGAAAGTAGAAGCTTCGGTATCGCCCCTAAAATTGGTAGGGAGCAGAAGCGCTAGCATCAGAGCCAGAAGCAGAGGATAACTGAAGACGCCAAGTTGCCTCTAGAGTAAAGCTCTGTATAGATTCCATGAGGTTTTCCAAGCGAGGAGGCCGCCTATGGAGGGAGTCGTCACCGCCGGAGAGAGTGAGACAGGGCTGACGCAGTTACCTCGCCGTATGTACTTCAGGTTCCCGCAGTCCCGCTCGTGCGATGCATATTCCTCGCGTCAATAACCGTTCTAGAAATATCCGGTCTGAACCCTGGAGGCAGACAGAGGAACAGTGAGCGAGTTCAAATCTATTATTCGTCGAGGGGCCTTCAGGAGGAGATTTTTCAAACGCCAGAGCGAAAGACATGCTAGTAGACATAGCGCAAGATGCGCATCGGCATAACGAGATCGAGATACTAATGCCGGCCGACAATGGGCTAGCCTGTCATGTTTTGAATGACATGATGAGGCGGTGTGAAGTGATCTGAATGAGATTAGAGTTTTGCGTGGAGATGCGAGGAACTCGTCAACCGAGCTGCCTCAATTCTGGTTGAGGCTTCTACGGTAGGTCATTCCCTATTATGGTGGTTGATTGATTCAAGACGGAGGATGAGCAGAGTCTCGTTGAGAAGGAGTGACTGCAACCGGCGGCACCTTTTTTGACATCCCGAGGCGGAATTATCTACGCCGCCGCTTCAGAAGGAGCAGCCATATTCTCTAGAGCTCCATACCGGTATTAAATTATGCTGCATGCCATAATGAAGCACTAGAAAGCCTCACCATGATCGCGATTCCATATGCCCTCATTCTCATCGGTCACCCAAATTCATCGTCCTGAGCTCCTCCTCTAGTGCTTCGGCGGGCGCAACACCAGCAGCAGGCCGATGATGCCGTCCTCCAATAGTCTCGCCGCATTGAGGGCATTCCGCCTCCTCCATGGGTCGCCCACATCGATCGACGCAGAAAGGATGTCCGTTGGCACATACATACCAACGGCCCCTGCCACGCATGCCCTTCGCCATAGCTGCTAGCACCGAGCGACGCTCCTCTGAAGTAATCGTGACTTGTACGAAGCCTGAATCCAAGTCTCGTTCAGCTGCATCCACTTCCAAGATAAGGGAGTCCAGCTTGCCGCCGAACTGCTTGCAGATAGCGCGGGCTTCTTGGGTGTGAGCCTTACCGTCCTCTTGGAGGGCTTTTGCTACATGTACGCCGCCTGTGTGCTGAGCCTCGATACCGCAGTACTGGGCGTAGAATATGTGACCTTCCACCTCGCGCTCGTAGTCTTTAGTAGCTTTCGAGTCGTTGATGAAAAGCACACATTCGTTTCGGTTTTTTGAGAGATCCATGTGAATCTTCCTGGGCAACGGGCCTTTTCGAAGCTTGCCGAACTCGTGGAGCACGTCTGCGAGTATAGCGATGTCGCATCGAATGAGCAACGCTATGGCCATGATATGGAACGTGACATTCGATACTGGGTTCTGGAAGCCTCTAATCATGCTCGCCTGTCCGCCGCGACGACGAGCAACTTCGGCAAGGCTCCAGAGCTGAGCGAAGGGTGTCGCATCCCGATGAACTTTCTGGAAATACTTCGCGATAGCTTGGCGAGTATTGATGATCTCAGAATAGCGAACTGACCCTGCTGTAACACGAGCGATGACCTTCAACTGGGCGTCTCGATCTCCTGTGAAATTTAGAGCAGACGGCGCAGTGATCTTGTTAGGTTTGGATGGTGCCTCAACTAGTTTCTTCTGCGCCGCAAATAGTCGCTCGGTGAGCGGTCCGAATACCATTCCAGCGGAGCTCACGAAGCGCTTGGTGCTCTCGTCAAGAAGAACACGACGGATGATTCGGCCGTAGCGGTTTATGCTACGCAATGGACCACGACAGAGGGCACATCCCGGGAGATTCTTCAGCTCGTCAGAGGAGAAGGGTGCCGACGCTTTGATCGCTTTCACCGTACCGTCGGTGTTCATGTCGTAGACTGAGGACATGTTCAGGTTGCCGTCCATGCTACTCATAGTCATTGCATGACCACAGAGTGGGACAATGATTGGATCTTCGTCAAGATTAACGTCCTTGTACTGGGCCATCCCGACATAGTCCACAATTTTGGCTTTTGTCGACTCCGGCGCGCACTCTTGGCAATATTTAGTACCTGGACAGATCTCGCCACAGAGGGAGGGGCCTAGCTCTGAATTAGTGACGTCCTGTTCTACCTACATTCAGTACGACACCTACATTGATGCCCACAGCGCAGGATCTTGGAACAACGCTTGGAACATGGAATCCAATCGCACGGTGCGGCGCAAGGCATGGAGCTGGGGAATGTTTAGTACTCCTAGCTTAGGCTACTTATCTCAAAGCAGACACATACCATTTAGTGTGAGGGCAAGCCGATGCGCAGTCTTCCCGAGCACATGGATTGCATGGCTCTCCGCATCGCTTGTCACATCGAGAGTGGCTGCAGGCCACTTCACATGGCTTCTGGCATGTCCCGCAGGGTTTCCCATTGTGGCAGGTTGCCGTGCACTGATGGCTGCAATTCGAGAAAGGCTTATCGCACTTCGCCGTGCACTGCGTGTGGGCTCGCTCCCCGCTCCAATTTGGACACAGATAACAAGGAGTCTTGCCTTTACAGCGTTAGCATGAGCCAAAAACTTCGAACCACATTCCGCCAATGTATCGGGGCACCTGAAGGCGTTCAGGGTATTGTCAAACTTACAGGAATGCCCACACTTCAGAGCGCCACCACATGGAACTCTACACGTGTAGCCCTCCGCATTGACGTCCACATGGCATTTCACCTTGACGGTGTGCTGGCAATCCACGACTTTTCGCTCTACCTGGACTGTGCATTTGATAGTGTCTTGGGACTGAAATTGCCAGCAGAGTAAATCCTTGACGATATGGCCGCAAGGCAAGACGACGTTGATATCCCTAAGTAGTTCCTGGCACATCGGATCGCACTGCTCCCCGCACACCTTCTTGCAGATGTGCTCGCAGCCAGCTTTTGTCCGGGGACACGGCTCGAGACACTTGACGTCTAGAAGCATGATTAGTCAAGTAACTTGGAAGATTCCATCCTGACGGGCTTCAGATCCAATCGATCGTCTGCCACGGCCATTCGAGTAGTTTGGCCTGTGTCCGAGGGCTTCCTAGAGGGAAGGGGAGACGACTTACTATCGTGTCGCAAGTCAGAATGGCACCTCTGCTCGCAAGGATGTCCGCATTTCAACCGGCGATCGCACCGTAAAGCGCATCCTCCTTCAGGAGCGTATCGCTTGAAGTCATCAGGCTGCGAGACTTCAATTGGTGTATCAGGATGTCTTGGGCAACAAAGTGCAAGGCTCATTCCAACGTTCCCTTGCTCTTGGAGCACTTCCAACACCTTTGACCACATTGGGACGCCGGCGCTGGTTGTACTATTGCCGATAATGTACATCCCGTGTTTTGCACGACTCAGGAGGACATTGATCCTGCAATAACTCAGCGAGTTCTCTTCGAAAAAAGATGAAGAGGTAGACTTACCGGTTTGAGGTCTTCAGAAAACCGCACTTATTCTCTTTGTTCGACCGCACGAGCGAAACGACCACGACTTTTGCTTCCTCTCCTTGGAAATTGTCCACACTGGCAACTTTCAGGGCTTGAAGCAGGGTTGTCTTCTTGATCATGCTCCCTTGGCCATTTATCGACCGCCCGTCGTCGACAATACCCGCTTTTTGAAGCGCCTCCTCATCTCGATCATCAAGAGCAATCTCAAAGATCTGAGAAAGTGCCTTTCGAAGTTTGAAAAGCTGGCCCAGGTAAGGCGTAATGACAGCAACGTCTTTCGGTTCGTAGACACCTTGCGATAATAGATGCGCAACTAGGCAGACCACAAGCAGGACTTCGAAATCATTAGATTTCGATGTCGCCACCTGCTCATCTTCTTCAACGCCTGCTTCCGGTGAAGAATGATCGAGCCAAAAGAGGCGTTTCTTCATCCCAACGACTTCAGGGTAGAGTGACACGTTCGGCGCATCCTCAAGCGCGGGATACAATGTGTGGCGAATCAGGGCGGAAATTGAAGGATGCATGCGACGTTGCGTCTCTAACGTGCTGAATGGTAGTTTGACGCCGGGAATACCCTTGGGAGGATTGACCTACAGACGCGGTGGTACATATTAGTAGATGGCTTAAACTAGAGGGAGAAGGAATTGACAAGCAAGATGACTGTCTAGTCTCGCTTCGTTGAAGGCCTCGGAGAATGGCTTTCCGGATCCAAAACTCAGGTACACCAGCACATGGGGGCAGGTCATACGTACCAGACGTTCGAAAAGCGACATGTCAAGGGAGTACCGCTTCCCTCGATAGCTCTCGGAGGTCAGATCGAAATTGCTGACGGAAGGCTTAAGTTGAAAATGGTCACCGATTAGGATGGCGTGTTCAACCGATGGCAGAAGAGCAGTCAAAGTATGGGCTTCCAAGACTTCGCCGGCTTCCTCGACTAAGAGGGCTTTGACTGGCAGCCGCCTCAACAAGTCCAGATTCCGAGCGAGGCCAGAAGTGGTGATGCCAATAATGTCAGCCTGCTCTAGGCAACGCAGATCGACATCCTGTCTCGCGGCTTCATCACGGACTTTACTCTTCCGATACGCCTTCATGGCCGCTAGAAACCTCCGCTTCCTCAGGGTCTGGCAATCGTTCATCCAAAAGGCGTTCAGTGCCTGTCGCTCAGCGGAGGTCATGCCCCAGACATCAGCCTCAGTGTCGAGCAGCTCGGCGACTGGACGATTGGTACGGCCACCGCTGCGCTATACGTTAGCGAATGTCTTGTATCGAAAGAGGGCTCAACGCCTAGATAAGTGCTGGCTATGCCCTGCTGAAGGCCTCCACAACGGCGCAAGCTGGTATGAATTTAGACGTACCTAGAGGCATTTCCTCGAAGCCAAACGTGGATAGCATGCTTTGAGCGGGCGACTCTCTTAAAGCCATCCTTATCCTTGCCCCAGAACTGACGGTGAAACTTAGGGTAGTTATCCTTCAGATACGGGTTTAGGCTGTCGAGTGCCCCTGACGTGATGAGGTCGCCAATGGCTCTGTTCACATACGCTGCATCATCTCGTAATGCTAGAGATAATAGATATCCTTCGTGCTTCTCCGTTCGCGTGCGCTCCATTCTTTTGCTGACGATTCGTAGATTCAAGTCTTCGAGTTGTTCGCTCTTGGAGCGACTGCCAATCCGAATGGCGCGCGCGATACCGTTGTCCAGAAGATGCTCCAAGGTCTGATCGAGTGCATGATTTGTGTACGTTACGACTAACATCGGACCCAGGTCCGCTTTCTTCTTGTTCGAAAGAAGAACTCGGGTCAGTGCCACGCTGGTATAGCTCTTTCCCGTTCCAGGCGGGCCTTGACAGAGGGCCAATCGACGTGTGAGCGCATGAACAAGCGCTTCTGCTTGCTTGACATCTAGGGTTGAACCTTTCGTGAGCGTATCTATGTCGAAGGGAACATTGGGAGAAAGAGCTAAGGGCTTCTGATTGGTCATGAGGCAGCTCAGATCAAACTGGAAACTTCGCTGTTGAGAATACGTTGGAGGTCCCACCTCTACCTCGCCGGATACTTCTTCCGAAGGTACGAGGAAGTCCGCGAATGGTAGGTTCTCTTTGCCAAGCATCGACTGCAGTGCAGCCAGAGTTGGGTAAAATGCCTGCAGAAGGGTCTTAGGGAACTCCAGCAGAGTCATCCTCAAGGAGGACTTGCGACCCGAGAAATAATCCGCCATCGTGGGGAGATCCCTCTCATCCGCCACAGCGACCGTTACGAGTGCTCGCCTAGGATTCGAGCTTAGATCAAGCCAGGGATTGTCCTCGTTTCGACCTGATCTGACAGCGTCCTCGTCGTCTTCACGCTTCTTCCGTTTGTCTATATCAGCGACGGTGCAGAATAAGACGTGTCCAGCGGGATCCAGAAGACAGACGAGAGATCCCGCTTGCAAACGGGCGTTCGACTCCCACCATTCCTGCCGCTGCTTTGCGGTCATGACTTGTAGACCCTTAGGTTGGTCGATCGAGACAGTCACACCGAGCCCTTCCCAGCGGTCGCAGTGCAGGGCCTGGAGAGAGACGTGGGTATAGATGTTCATGCGTATTCCCTGATCGGATCTTGCCAGCTTCTTGCCTGAGCCTTTCTGTCGATCCAACTCAAATTTTACCGCGTCCCTAATCTCGCCAATGGCTTCTTCCCTGTAAAGGCGGAAGTGTCGGTCGATGAGGCCGTCAATGCCAGGCAGATGGAGCTGGGAAGGATCGAGAACGGGGAGATAGGGGTTCCTCTCGCTTATAATTTCCTGAAATGTTGGGAGAATCTGGATTTGTCGAACGTCTTCCGAATCATTGTCATGTCTGGGACCCGCTTTGGAGAGATGGCCTGGAGCATCATATAACAGGCAGAACTGAGCTCTAGGTCCGCTGGACTTATATCCCGGATGTGCGATCCCAATAGCCGGTCCTCCTATTCCCAAGCGGATCTGAGAGCGTTCGATCCATTTCCGTGCATTCACGGCCGTGAGATCGCTCCGGTCGTCTGTAGCACCCCCAAGGGCGGATTCAAGGCTAGCGAGAATGGATTTGAACTCGTCGATGAGCTTGACCGTTTCATTCAAGTCAAGAATCTTAGAGAACGTGGCAATGGTCGGCGCGAGTTCGTCCAAAGAAAGTTCGTGGGCGAATGCGGCGATGAGCTTAAACAGCTTTAATGTGTGCTGACCGCCCGGACCGAAGATCGTGTTGTATATCGTGGCAACTGACGATTCTAGGAGGCCGGAGCTTATAACCTTGGGATAGCTGAGTACCTTCAGGAACGGTAATACGGTCGATTGGAAGACTTCCTTCTGGTTATTGATCGGGCTCGGGATATCGTCTTTAACCAGTTGAAGGACCCTCTTCAAGCCACCATCGGAAGCCAGAGCCTGAATTACCTCATGCATGCTTCCAACATCACCGGCTAGGAGTTCGAAGGCTTCTTGAAAGAAGGTACTGCGAGCGTGCTTCGTGAGCGGTCTCTCGGGCACTGAGTCTTCAGTGGTAGAGAAACGCCAATGGCGAAGTTTCGAATCCTGGGGATTGCTGTTCTTGTTTTTCTTCCCTCGATCACGGTCGCGACCGCTACGAGGAGGAGCCATGACGTCGTACCTAGGGGTTGGTTCATTAGCCCGCGACCCTCTTCAGAGTGCGCAATGCTAAGTCGGGAAGTTACCTAGCTGTTGTCGGCTTCGGTGATGCGGTTCGGCCGAAACACTCCGAAAGCGATCGTCGTTGCGACGGATATACGAGACGTCGATGGGAAGGAGCAGTAATCGACAATACTCGAGCTGGTCGCAGAAGCGCGACGGTGGTGAAGGCGACGGCGGGTTAGAGTTCCTCCGGTGGATAGGGTCAGGTGAAGGAAGGAGCGACGTGCTGCCCTGTCTAGCGGCCAACCTCTTAAGTGAAAGTCGGAAGATGGGGATAGGCCAGAGTAGGTCCCGAAGACCGCCAGCGAACAATGCCATGTGGCTGCGAACGTAAAAATAGGAATAGTAATGGAAGGGATAAGGTCTGGAAAAGGGCGTATGAGAAACGGAGGGGTGAGGGAAAAGAGAAAGTTTACATCATGTAAGACGGATGGCTAAGAAATCCGAGGGCGACTTCATCCCAATGTCTATCGTATGGTCATCATATGTTTTTCCGCCCCGTATACCGCTCTATCCAGCCACCCACGGGTTTCCCTCATCTCGACCTTCCACCCCCAATATCCTGCCCCAACCTATACCCACTAATCTTCTCCCACTCAAGCTTCTGCCTCGTAATCGGCAGTTGCCTCCTCAGCGCCTTGAACGCTCCCTCACTCATGCTGCCGAACGCCTTATTCAAATCCTCCTGATATTTCTTCTCCGCTGTCGCGATAGCCCTCACAATCTCGCCCGCACCTGCATTGCTTCCCACCTTGAGGCTCACATCCTTGTTTGTGAGCAGCCGCACGTTACCGTCCTCATAGTAATGCACGTCAACCTTGATGGCGCCGGTTAGCGTGCCTGACGAAGGCGTGTAGATGTAGTGGGAGCGCCAGCGTCCGTTCCAGAAGTTGGACGGCGAGTATTTGGAGGCGACGGTTAGGATAGCGAGTTGACTGTCGTCGGCGGTTGGGTAGACGCCGAGGCTGGATTTGGGGTAGTGTTCGGTTGCGTGTGTGCTTAGGCTCTTGACGAGGCTCTTCCTACACGTTGATCAGTATCCTCCTCTTTGAGGAATTGGGCACCGCATACACAAGGTCTGAGTGATTCGACTCCAACACGTAGGACTGCACGCCGCTCGCTTTCTGTGTTGCATGGTCGAACGCGAACGAGCTCTGACTCTCCACATCATAATATCTTCCATCCCCTAATGAGTTGTACGAGCTGACCAGAACCTCTTCGCTGCCGCCGGGGAGCTTCGTCGTTGAGAATTGCTCCTCGTTGTATTTCTCGAAGGCCGGCGCAAGCTCGCTCTGAACAGAGTCATCGCCGAGGATAGATCTAATAGCTGTAGAGGGTCAATCGATGTCGAAATAGGCGCGAAAGAGGCCCCGAATTTATGGACATAGGAGCACGGTTGCGGAAGGCGTACCTTTTGTGACGTCGGTAAGCTGGGAGGCGTTAACGTTGCTCAAGCGGGGCGTGAAATGGTACGTACCTCGCCTGGAGGAGCGCTCTCCACGAAGGAGGAGAGTGCTGCTGTTTTTGACATTCTGGGTTATGGACAGACTCGAAGGAACAGAGGAACTTTGTGTTTGAGTAGCGGTTCGTAACTTGAATTCCTGCGCCGTTTGGCGATGAGGTCGGAGCTGAGGCTGAGACGTGGGATGGTCTTGGCGAAGTGCAGGGATTAGCTTGCTATGCCATCTGATTGGTCACCACAGTCATTCACGAGCATTGCCGTATACGGATCCGTACAGCTCATTAAATTACTATGGCCGTCACTGCTATTCAAGCGTCCGTCCGAATGCCTTCCCATGCGCCACGCTAAATCCTTACTGAATCAAAATTATAATACAAGGAATAAGGGACATCCTCATTCGATACTCATCTTCATGAAGCCGTCGCTGGTATCGGTCATGCCCTGTAGACCGATCCTCTTAGGACCCAATGAAGGAGTCATACTCACACTGCCTCCGCTATTTGATCTTTCACCGGCAGCATGGCCCCCAGAGCCCTGCCCGTTCGCTTTCGTGGCCGTACCCCATAGGCTGCCGTCACGCTGTGCCGGGGATTGTGATAGTACCGGGCTGTTCTGGACGCTCACACCTGGAGAGACAGCCCGTCGTTTGATGGAATGCCCGTCAAGGTCGTCATCCCGCCTGCGCTTGCTCGATTTCTTCAGCGCATCGGCTGCAGTCGGCGGGGCGAGCGGCTGTGGTGTGGAGGACCGAGATATGTACCCAGAGTGATTGTTATTTTCGGATGCAGTTATATTGTTAGCTGAGGTCGAGGACACTGTTGGAGAATCCATGTTGACGTCTTCGCTAATTGCAGACGACCCGGCGCGCGGGAACGAAGGTGGTGGTGGCGTCTGCGCTGGAGCATCGCGTTGCCAAAAGTCTCTTCCATTAGTGTTTCTAGAAGCGCCAATGTTGAATGCTCCGAATAAACCCCTCGTCGTTGAACTGTCCATGCTCATGCCGCTCTCACTTTCTTCTTCCGGAACGCCCTCCAGCGGCCCCTCCAACCCAGGCACAGCTGGTAACAATGTCGGTGACGATTGCGCCGTAACTGAAGGTCGCTCGAAGTCATCGCTCTCTCGTACCTGGCGTATGATTTCGGCCTCGCGCCGGACCTCGCTGTCGATGGGTGCCGCTTCTTCGAGGAGTTCAGCCTTGATCCGTCCAAATTGTCTCGATTTTGGCTAGGAAGGTTAGCATTCTAATTTTGTGAACGCGTGCGGTTGCCACTCACTAGTAAGTTGCCTCTTCGTGTGACAGGCCTGCGAACGACCCCGGGCGTCTGTGGCATTGCTGCAGCCTCGTCGCCGCTGTCGTTTCCCGAGGAGATGTGAAGGTCGTTGGTAAAGAGCGAGAGGCTCTCACGCCTCGATCCCGCCTTCCGTATCACCGCTTCCCTTGCGAAATAGCCCTCGCCCCTCCCATTCGGCGGAGAAGCTGGCCCCGGGCTCGCCATGGAGCTATGTCCGCTTGCCGAGCTTGAACTCTTCCGACTCCGACCTTTGCGCAACCGTGCTCGTTGTATGCTCATAAACGTAGGCATCCCTCCAGGCGAGAATATGGTGGGTGGCCAGGCGCCAGGATTGCTTCCCGTGGGCGCTCCCCCAAATGGCGTGTTATTCTTCATTGCTTGCGGAGTCATCAGCATCGGGTCATCGTTGTCGTCTGGATCCATTGGGTCGCCTTCGTCGGAAGTGCTACTAGAGTCCTCAGATCCGAGCATATTGATGCTGCCCACAGAACTAGAAGCCGCAGTCCTATCACCAGCACCCCACGCAGCATGCATGTTCACATTTGGCGAATCGAATACCATGGAGTTCCCCCTCGGTTTCCTGGGGATCATCATGCCCTTTTGTGTGATTGTCGGCGAAGAATCGGGCGAGGACTGGTCGGCGAGGGTCGAGTGGTGGAGGTTGGTGCACGCTCTCGAGAATTCGGCACCGCGCGATCGACGAGGCAGGAGAGACGCCGGGGATGCGTAGGTGTTGCGCGCATCTAGTTGCGGGGAGAGAGGGACGCGAGCTGCGAAGTGAGCTGGACTGGGCATGGGCGTCTCTCGCGATGGCATCTGCAGAGACAGTCCTCTTGAGAGGAACTCAGGGCGCCTGGGCGTTCGCGGACTGGCAATGATGGTGTGATCATCTTTGGAGGCGCGCAGGGGCTCACGGAACTTGGGCGATGGCTCGAGATGGGGCGTGCTATCCGAAAGAGATCGGGCTTTGGGCGACTTCGACTTCTGCGGTGTGCGTACAAGTTGTGAGCCGGATGCTGCTTCGTCTTCGTCTTCGGTCGGTTCAGTTCGACTCCGCACCACCTCAGGCGTCATGATCGGAGTCAACATTTTCGTGGCGGATTTAGCCTACATCAGTAAAGATGTTGCTAATTGAACAAATCAGACATTCGAAGCTGATCTGTCGTTGTCGCGGTGCTTGGGGTTTCATGTTGGACGGTGAGGTGAATAGCGGGGGAGCGCTTAAACCTATCCAATCACAATCACGTGTAAACCCACAAAGAAAACGGACATCTCGGAGAAATTTAACAAATGGATGAAGAAATTTCGGACGATCCAGCCTTTTAACCCATACAAAGAGAGACACCGTTATTATTGCGTCCGCGGCCCAGTAGATTCAAAGCCTAGAATTCATACCTTATTCCCCCTGAATACTGGTACATGATCAGCGCATCTCCCACGGATCATTCTCAGATATGTCATCCCCAGCTCCGCTTCGTATGTCTGATATCACTCCTAGTCACGAATTGACAATCCCTTCGACCCAGGCTATGTCCTCCCAGGTTGCCTCCCAGATATTGAGCACAACCATGACCCATTCCGTTCCGTCACGCTTCATCTTCCCAATGCATCGACACTTCCTGCCCTCTATCAAAAGCCGACCGCTATCGACTTCGTAAAGACGGACTTGCTTCCAGATCGCCGCATCGTACGTAGCCTTGATATATGGAGGGTTCTTGTGGAATAGGTCGCAGAAGACGAAATGCTGTCTAGCTTCATTCCGTGACGAGCGTAGGACTCTAGCGTATAACTCGAAGATAACATTCTGCCCGTGTTTAGTTGCATGACTGGCCTGGTTGATGACCTCTCCGACACGGAAACAGGTCCTCAAGAGCAGGTCCGACGAGAGACCGACAATAGGTGAGCGATCACGAGCTGGGGCGGGAAATGGTGACCTAACGATGGGTTTCCGATCGCGGCTATAGCCTGCCTTGACCTTTTCGATGAGCTGGTGAGTCTTTGGTGTGAGTGGGGAGATGAACTGCCTGGTAGGACCCCGCGGCTTGCTGGTTTGGAGAGAATCAGGCGAACATGCAGTGTCTGTTGAGGCTGGCGGATGTGCAGCGGCATTTCCTTGTTTGGGTGCAGCTGATCGAACCGGTGAATTGTGTAACAACCCTTTGTCCTCGGGACGCCCGCGGAATGAATGGCGAACACCCCCCGCCTCAGGGTCCCGTTGATGAGGGACTTCCGGATGGTCTTCAGGCTGGATGTCAGTCGAAGGGGAGTTAGTGAAGTGATCAAAATCGATGGAATTGAAAATATCATCGAATTCATCATCAGCGATGGTCTCTTGACTGCTGTGTCCCACAGCCGGATGGACGGTGCTGGTATCCGAAACAACACTCGAATTGGAGACAGAGAACCGGTTTGCAGACGGAGTCGGGACGTTTTGGTTCGTTGCTACAGTTACCTGTTTCGGGGGAGCCTGCGCCCCGCCGCCTGCTGACAGGTTAGGTCGAGCCGACGCGAGCTGGTCTAGGGCGACATTAGAAAGTATATACGGTGAGTACAGAACATCCTGCGGATTGCTTGGGCGAGAAGAGTTGGCGGCATTATTTTTCCGGGCAGATTTCCTCGAAACTGGTTTTGTGACGCGAAGCCCATCAGACACGCGTCTCTGCTGTGGAGCTTTCGTTTTGCCAGTCTCGCCCTTCACCGGGTTGTCCTCATCCTGCTTCTTCCGGTTGCGCTTGCGCCCTCGGGCAGGAGGAGGCGGGGTAGGTAGCAGAGCTGGTGTGCAATTCTCAACATGTGGTGGCTCGGCTTCAGTGCCTAAGCCTAGGTAGTGGGCAACGGCAGGGTTGCGCGGCTTTCCACGGTTTGCCTGTGTTGGGCCGGTGGGCGGTGAAGATGCCGAAGGCTGGGGAGTAAGGAGCTGGTTTGGAGCCGGCCTGTTGATGGCTGTGAAGCTTGACGGGGGCACGGTCGCATCGCTCTGCAACGCCCTATATGCCGTGTCAGTGGTTGCGGACGCCTGAAAGATGACGGCCGGCAGCGGGAGGCGTGCGCAGTTGGGCTGCTCACGCGTTGTCACCAGCAGTCTGCATAGCCTCCAGAGCCCAGCCGCGATAGAGGGCCATTGCTCGGCGATAGGCCGAACCTTGGAAGTGAGGGCAGCTCTTCGCAGAAGGTGAAACGTGAAGCCTGAGGTGCAGGAGCAGTGCAGTGGACAAAGGTTGAGAAGTGGCATGTGCTGCGCTTAGTCAGAAGCACTCCCCGCTAAGTGCGGGACGCGGCTCTTCGGAACATTGACGCTATGAAGGCAACACTTCACATGCCGCGTTCGCTGCGATCGCCACAACACACGTAGCCGTTACTGCAACTGTGCTGCTTCTCCCAAGCGGAATATTCTTCGCACTTCGCACGCTTCTGCTCGCCCTTTCTCTCGTCCTTGACGCCTCACTAGCGGGGTCCCGCTCACGGTCCTGCACCACCGGCTCTCCACCTTCCTCCTACTCTGACCTCATCACGAAGGCGGTCTAAGCCCCCGCTCCTCCCACGCCTTTGGCTGCTCCGCAGTCGATCCAATCGAAAAGCTCAGATCTTCTCGCCAGGACCATACTACTTCGAACAACAGTCATTAATAGCAACCAGCTGACAGCTACTTTCTATCTTTCGATCCATCTCAGACATGCCGGTAAGCCTGCTCAGTTCTCTATACCATATACGCATATCTTCTCTTGTGACCCGTTCTTGCATTCGCCCTTGCGACAGTCCTTGTTCCTCGTTTTCCATCTTCATTTCTTCAAACTTTCGTAGCTCGTCATGGCTTTACTCCTTTCCCTAGCCCAGGAGCCGCTGCTGTATGGTGGAATGCATGCAGCCCCTCCGTCGTACTCCACATGCGTCAACTACACCCCCCGAACACGCCCATCGGACAACAAAACGCCAATCACCCATTCCTTGTCTCTCAGATCCAAGTTCTCCCGCATGTCATCCCTCAGATCCAAGTACTCCCGCAAATCATCTGTTCGATCTAAATCGTCTCGCAAATCATCTGTCCGCTCCAAGTCGTCTCGCGCAACCTCGTCTCTCCGAACCTTGTCTCTCAGATCAATATCGTCTCGTAGGACTTGGTCTGTCAGATCTAAGTCGTCTCGCATGACCACAACCTCATCCCTCAGCACATCAACCCTCAAGTCTACATCATCTCCTAAAAAGTTACATCGACACAAAAGCTCGGAAGCATACGAAGACTTGCCTCTTTCTGAAAACCCTTGCCCGCTTTGTTTCGTGGACCAATGTCGAACTATACTGAACAAATGGGTTCGCACACAGAGGAAGCCGTTCTCGGCTGTTACGGTCCAAATCGATCGCCTGACCAGCGAGCAATACGAGGAAAATGTAAGTTCTCTTTGCCATTGTCTCCATAATACTAGTAATAACTAGCTGTGCAGGACCTCGGTGGCCTCGTCGACCTCATTGAGGTGATCCGGATCCAGGATTCGGGCCCGACTGAAGCGGCTCGGGCTATCCGCAAGAAGCTGTATGCTACACATGTTCGACGGTTCTGGCCCTTCTAACATGAGGTCAGCAAGTACGGAAATGTGCATCGGCAGTTGCGTGCTCTCATCATTCTGGACGGTCTGATACAGAATGCTGGAACACGCTTCCAGAAGAACTTCGCCGACGAACCTCTCCTTGAGCGTTTGAGGCTATTGGCCAAGGATGATATGGTAGACGCCGAGGTGCGACAGAAGGTCAACGTCCTCTTCCGACAGTGGGCCGTAGCATACAAGGGCACACCAGGTCTTGAGCGCATCGCAACTCTCTACAAGGAGCTGCCTCGCACGAGACGTCCACAGCCGCATCAATCACGCATCGTCCGGGAGAATGAGGCTGAAGCGGAGCGCGAAAATGCAGCTTCGCCCCCGGCCTCTCCGACTACGACCAGGCGAAGCCCGCCGCCAACACAGTTTCCACAACCTTCCTCGTCTACGGGAAGGACAGTCGCTCTTGGGTCCGCACCCACCCCAAGCTCATCCCTGTTCAGGAAGGACAAAAAAGACAAGAAGAATAGGGGCAAGGCTTTCAATCTCGAGAAGGAGAAGCATCAACTTCTGGAGACGATTGCTTCAGCTTCAGTGGCCAGCACCAACCTAATGAACGCACTGCAGTTGATCAACCGTGAAGTGCAGCGCGTCAGCGAGAACCCGGAAGTCATGCAGCGATTCGAGACATGCAAACTCCTTCGGCGCCAGGTCCTCCGGTATATCCAGCTGGTGGAGTCCGATCAGTATATCGGGAGTCTCTTGAGTGCGAATGATGAACTCGTCAAGGCTCTGATGGCTTTCGAGATTATGGACAAGAGTATTGATGACGATAGCGATAGCGAGGCTGAGGGACTAAGATCCCCTACCACAGCCATGGCTGGATTGAAACTCGATAACGCACCGCCAGCGAAGCCGCCGAGGCCCACGAGCATTCCAGTGCCCCCACTTGCCGCTGCTGGAAAACAAAAGGCGGAATCTGAGAGCGAACCCGAAGAGGAGGATGATGAAGACAATCCCTTCAGCGATACCAATGGTGAGCACATGTTGTACTGTTCTAAGGACGTTGCTGACCCCATCATAGCCGTTAAGACACCATATGAGCGCGGCGAGCCGACTTGGAGAGACGTCTAAGGAACGATCGAGGTGATATTTATGATTTTCTTGCATTATTGACAGCTTTAATGATGTTGAATGTTGGGTATACCCTTTGATGCTTGGGTAGTCGGGTTTTTGGATAAAGGCTCGACAATGTCGTGGTTAGAACTGGACTCTGTGTGATCATTCACGATCAACTTGTGCAAATTGATATATTCAACTTTTCATTGCGTTTCGGGAGACGCCAGCATGTCGCGCTCAACCCGCGCCACGCGGCACTGCCACGAAATCCACGAATGGCGACGTCATCTTTCCCGCCGCCAAGCCGTCTCACGTTAGTTCGGTCGGCGGCAATCAGGACGGAAGCGCCTCAGCTGTCTTCCCATATTCCTATTTCTTGCTTGTGCTGCCCTCAATTCTCCTCCATCCGTACTACCGCTTGTATCTTTCGACATCACGTTCGCATATTGTGAGTATAGATGGTACTCGTGCTTAATGAGTCTCGAATCTAATAGATCTAGAGTCTAGCGCATCGCATTTCAGACGCCACCCCTTACGTAGTCCGCTTCCATTCCTATACTTCGCTACACCTCCTCACCCGACCGCTTCAATAAACCGAAATGCCTGCCTCGACCAAGGGCTCCGTTTCCTCCGCCGCCTCCTCTGTCGCGAAGCCGGGCCCCGTCAAGATGCCCTGCTACTGCGGCGATGACTGCAGTTTCTGCTGCATTCCTTGCACGGTCATGTAACGCCGACCTTTTTGGGCGAGATGATATCACGACGGCGCAATTGGTTGGATACTGTCGTTCTTTTGGACACGGTTTAGCAGAACACGGACATGCTCTACATTACAGGAAGGTCCTGAAGCCTGCACGGAGTTCTGTTGGATGAGGAAGGAGAATGTTGCTACGGAGATATGTGCATGCGGAAAAGGGGTTTGATTTGCGAACTTGTTAGGTACCTATTGCTTCGCCACGTCCCTACACGAGCACCGCCACAACAGCATGAAACCAGCAATTCGAATTGTCTTTCCGCCACGTCTCTAATTTGCCTATTTGCCCCTGTGTGTTGGGTTGGTTTATGTCGCCTCAGGACTCAGGTGCGGGCTTCCTGGGCGCTTAGGGAAACACTGAAGATGAAGGCGGCACAGCACCCTATCAGCGATGCCTGGAGTGTCAAAAGCCGAAGCCTCCCCAAATATCATCGCAAACAAGCCACTCATCCCATCTACTCATTTCTTAGACGTTCCTCCTTTCGTGCTTTTGTATCGCGTTCGTTTCGTTTTTCATCGTTTCCATGATTTTACCACTCATCCATCGCGACGCACCCCCTTCCATCCCATCCTCGTCCCAACTCTCAACATGCGGCTTCCCAGCAAACAACGACATATACGGCATCGGCATCCGAATCGGCATCTACGCCCAAATAATCGCCGTCTGGTTCGCAAACTACTTCCTACTCTCCGAAGTCCAGGTCCTGCGCGACACGGTCAGCATCTTCAGCGTCGCGGTGTTGATCGTCTCCCTGATCTACGCCTCGAACCCATCCTCCGTACACGCCGTCGAAGCCTTCATCCTGCTGCAGATCCTCGCGTGGTCGTGCATAATGGGCGTACGGGCGAAGTCTTCGTATACGAGTGTGAATTTCAAGAGCACGGTGGTGCGGAAGGTGATTAATGAGGCGATTAATCTCGCGAGTTTGTGTCTGCATGTCTGGTTTTGGTGGGAGGGGTTGGATCGGATGGTGAAAACGCCGTGCGGGACCTTTTTGATGTATGTGGTTAAGACGGATATGTTTGGGTGGGCGAGGAAGGTTATGATGGGGTTGAGTGTTTTTGTGTTGACGGCTACGGTGTATTGGGTTGGGGTGGAGGCGTTAAGACCTTGGGCATTTGTCAGGATGAGGGGGGTTAGGGGGAAGTTTGTGAGGGCTGTTAGGGAGTGGGAGGAGGTGCAGGGAAGGGAAGGAGCTGATCCATTGGGGATTGCGGTGGTGGATACAGATGGGAATGTGGATGCCGACGCGGATGCTGTTCGAGAGAGTCACGAATGCTGCTCTCAGTATTCTTGCTCTCGATGCTCGCCTGTGCAGTCCGAGTTCAGATTGGATCGAGAGGCTACGCTCGTTAATCTACCAAAGAGAGCAGCGACAGCGCCGTGCGGAGATCTTCGACCTTCTCCTCGGATATCTGAACGCGCGACGCCGCACTCAACCCCGGGATTGGCATGGAAGTCACCTCGGCCTCTATCATTCAGCAACCCTGCCGACCAGCTCTCTCATCCGGACTTCGCTATCCTCCGCCAAGTCTACGAGGGCGAATGCTATATCCAACACTGCGTTTCCGCGACTCCTTTCAACAATGCCGGAGCCGGAAAACCCCTTACCCCACTCACAATCATCCGATCAATTCTTTCGCCCAGGAAACATCAATCCGCCGACGAGAAAGACAACCCAAGGCCACCTCCATCATGGCTGAAATGCCACCTGCACATCTGGAAAACCTTCCTCACCTTCCGCTTCCCGCCGCAATCCTTCGTCATCTACTCGGATCTTCGACAGTCGCGACTCCTCGACCCACTCAATGGACCTTTCCAAATGTACGCCTCACTAACCTACGCCTCCTCACTCCCTCCCTGGCCCTGCATATCCCTTGCCTCGACACTCCTCCTCACGGCACCCTCGACTCCAAAGAAAGTCCGGCTAGCATGGTACTACGCGCTCGTCGATCTGTGTGTGCATATCCTGGTTATCTTGCAGCTGGAACTCACGCTGGTTTGGAATAGGGTGAATGGGCTGATGGGGCTATGGACGAGTGTGGGCCAGTTGATTCCTTTTATCATTGGAGTTGGTGGGCTATGTTTGGTTGGGGGAAGGTGGATAGCTAGGTGGTGGGAAAAGAGGAAGAGGAGAGAGAGCGGTAAGGGGTTAGTGGGAAAGGAAGGAGTAGGTGACGAGGAGAGAGAGGGGGCGGTCCTTGGGATTGAAAAGGAGGTTAGAGAGGGTTATGCGAGGTGGAAGGAGACTTATGAGACTGGACTGAAGAGAAGGGGCTGCGGCGAGGTTTGAATGATTCTACGAGCAACGAAAGCATGCATTACTTTAACGTGATTTCTCTCCGCCATCTTTTCCGGTCTGGACCATCTCATCCTCTCCAAGGGGCTCCACTCAGTGGCTTCGCATGCTCGGAACATTCAGATGGATCCGTGGTGGTGATGTTCAAATAAGGTTTGTCGCCACGTGCTGTGATTCTGAAAGCGGAAGGGGCAGACGCACGGGAAGCAGCGTCTGTTGACGCTTGAGACGACTGTTGTTGCTTTCACCAAACGCAATGAGGTACATCGCTACGATGCAGAAGAAGCTCCATTTTTAAGTCCCAGCGAGCCCGTCAAGCCCGCCCAAATGTTCCAGAAAGGTATGCCCATCCCAACGCACGCTATGCATCAAACCACACTCCAAAGACCTCCCTCATTCCCATTATCCAAGCAGCCGTCCCCAATGCAACAACTCCCCCTTTTCACGCCAACGGAATACCCCCTCTAATCAACCGCATCCACGGGCTTCTGTGCATACACCACGTAAAAATTGTGCTGGAACCGCATCTTCGGATTCTTAAACTCTTTCCGCAACTGCGCACAGAGCACCTTGACCTCCTCAGGCTTCCAGCCCCACGCACTCGTATAGATGCGCAGCGTCATGCCCTCCAGGTTATCGAGGAACTGCAGCAGATTGAAGGCGCCGACTTCCTTGAGCGTTTTGTCCTTGGGCCACGTGCCGACGGGGAAGGGGAGCGTGCGCGAGTGCACGTTGGTGAAGCCGGCGTCTTTGACCCAGGTTTCGATTTGTGGGCTAGAAGGGAGTTAGTGAGAGGATGGGGAAGAGGGAATGGGAATGTAAGTAGGATGGGAAACGTACCCAGGATCAGGCTCTACGCCGAACTTCCGCAGCCCGTCTGCGATCCTGTCCGCCCACTGGCCTATTGTAGTGTCTTTGTTGTACTCGCCGCCGCTCGTCGTGTAAAAGCGTGTGTCGAAGTCTTGGAACTCGACCCAGCCGCCGGGTTTCACATACCTATATACGCCATGCATAAGTCCTCATTCACCACCCAAAAGTGCGCGCGCGATATACGGAATAAGAACGGGAGGGACTGACTTGAAACACTGCCGCATCAATTTCGACCAGTCTCTTATCGAACACGCTAGGTACCGGCTGTGGATATAGTCAAACTTGGTCGAGTAGACCCACTCATCCTCTAGGTCGTCGACTTCGAATTTGACGTTCGGCGGTACGAGCGAGGGCTGGATGGGCGAGATGTCGTTCCCGAGGATTTCTGCGGACGGGTACTATATAAACACTTATTAGCTACCGCATACAGTATGGTCGGAATTGTGGGAGGGTGTAATTTACCTTGTCGCCCATGTCGATGGCCCAAATGCCAGTGCCAGTCCCCAGATCCAATACCCGCTGCGGATTGTCTCCAATCGGCGCGAGATGTAGCTCGCCTCCTAGTCGAAGTGTCTGGATATGGTGGTACAGGTCGAGCCGGTCGCTTTCCAACTGTGCCTCTCGGTCAATCGCTGCCTGGAAAATGTAGGGTAGGTTTTGCGCACGTCGTCGTTCGGGAAGTAGTACTTCGCGCCCTCGTCTTTGAAGCCATGGTATCGTCGCCCATTCTCGTACCGGTAGCTATAGCGCAACTTATGAGCTTGGATGCTTTCGAAGTAGGGAAGGAGGGCTTACTTTAGCACCGTAGATTTGAGCGATGTAGTGTAGCTCTCCCTATTGCCCGAACATATATTAGACCAACTATCTTACTGTGCAACGCGATGTTGGTTCGAACTCACAAGTCATCCCCGTACGCAGAGTCGCCGTCCGAAGGCTACAACACTGTTAGCCGCTTTTTCCCCACCATTCATTCTTCGGCCCTTCCTACCTACCTCGGTCGACTCCGCCTCGATCCCGACTTCAGGAACGTCGAATTCCGGACTAGCAGGCGCCTGCTGGCTCGGCTGCGCTGCACCGCTTGACGCCATGCTCGCTCCCTAATGCAACCTCCACTTTTCAAAATCTTCCCGCAGCGTCCAAAAAGAAGTAAACGTTCGTACAGTCCCGTCGGTGTAACTTAGGCCAAAAACCTTCCCCAACGCTCACACGCAGGAGCAACGCAGTACTTGACAGCGGCGAACGCGCGAAAGGGCGGGGTGAACAAGGGGGGGGGCTCCGCTCCATTTAAGTAAAGGCCCAGGGTTCTTTGAAATTGCCGTGCGTGCGCACATACACATGCACATGCCATGCGACTGGAGAACAGGGCGCGGAAGCGAATCCGGGTGTTGCATGCGCGCCGGGGCGTGTGCGTTGCAGCCCATGGGCTTCCCAGCCCCGTCGTCAGATCAGCTCACATCGCGCACTCAAGGACAAAGAAGGGAGAGCCACTCGCTTCGCGGCATCTGCCGATTTCTCCGCCTGGCACACACAGGTTCTACTCTACCTACCACGCGTGCTAAGCGCACTCGTCGCTGACTTTGCGCCAGCACCACGCGAGTTTGTCGACGGGGCGCAGAGCGTTAGAGATCGGTGGATCGCTGAAGGGATGGACTGCGGACGGGCCGTCTCATCGCGATCCCTGCATGTGAGTCAGCACCCTCTCTATTCCAACCAATAACGCGTCAGCGCACGACAGCTCCGGCCGACGCCTTTTTCTCTTCTAGGCGCGGTTGGACCCGCTAGTTCTATGTTTGGCCTGCGGGGGCTTTCCCCTCCTCGTTTTTCCACGTTGTGGGCGGGCGTCCGTCGTATTTATCCTTACGCCTTGTGGATATAGACAGTGCAGTGTAGGCGGAGATGCAGAGAGTCAGGAGGATGGATTAAACCAGCGTGTACGTACTACGAATGCAACGCTGGCGATCGATAATCAATCGATCAGGGTCGACCGTCCGTAGACCCGTGCTGTGCCTCTCTCCCACATACAATACGACACCACACTACTTGTACGTATCCACTGGCACCCCACCTCGTCCCATAGCCAACTCACACATATACCGCAAAACACACCGGACATGTACCGTCAGAACGGCACATTCGCCGAACAGAACAACGCCTCGGTATCCAAGGAAAACTGCGCACGCAATCCACACCCTCCGTTTTCGCTTGTACAACGCTCCCTCGACACGACTCATTCTCACCAGCTCATTCGCCTTGTCCGGTTCGCGTATATATGCGGTGTACCTTCGTACTGTATGCAGAGCGAGCGAGCGAGCGAGCGTTACACGACAGCGTACGTGAGCGTGTGCTGCCAGTGTTCTGCCGAAACCGAGAAAACTCGGGACTTGAATACCGCTCTGATCCAGTTGTGCCGCATCGCCGCATCGCCGCAGGGAGCCTTTTACTCTACATTACATACTCGCACACCCACTTCCAACACAACACAGCAACGCGACTAGTCAATACCTAAAGCTCCTGGTCATGCGCCCAACGTCCAAATTCCCAAGAAACCGTTGCCAATATTAGTCGTTTATCTAAACTAACAGCAAGCTCAAAAAGCAGGAAACAAATGTGGATTCACATCACAGATAAGCTTGGGCTTCGTGTAACAACCCGCCCTCGAATCTCACTCACATCTAGACCCGTGTCCAACTCCGACTCCGACTCCGGCTCCGTCCTGGCGTCACATTCCCAATCCAGCACCAGCTCCCGAATGTGTCGAACTCAGGTCGGGGACTAGAAGGACAGAAGAAAGCCGGCCTCTCCGACCTCATAACAATCACACATAAGAGCACAGCAAAACGCTCGAGGACACTTCTACTTCCAAAGAGCATACATTGAACTTTTATATCTCCCATAGATACACATACAGGAAGAACAAAGCAAAGCAAAGAAAAGATTGACTCCGCCCTGCACCATGGCTAGACGCGGTCACCCAAAAGAAAAAAGAGTAGCTTCCCCTTTTAGCTCAATCATCAAATATCAATCTACCCCTCGCGCTATATTATGCAGGTCTGCCATGCAAATCATGTCATGCCCATATCCCATGCCCAGAGATGCCTGGATACGTAAATGTCCCGCCTACCTACTTGCGGCTTCCGCCTTTGGCCACGATGTCTAGAATCATCTGTCGCGCCTGCTCGCATCCCTCCTTGGTGCCCACAATTTCAATTGCTTCGTCCTTGGCCTGATCGCGCGGGACTTGTACCTTGGTGCCCGTCTTGCGGCGGATGTTGTTGATAGTGCTTCCTCCGGGGCCGACGACCAGCCTGTAACCCCGCGGGTCAGGGAGGATCAGGTAACCTGTCGAAGTAGGCTTCGAAGCAGCCTCAATCGCAGCTTGAAGCGTCTGGCGGGCCTTCGGCAGGTTGTCGGTGGGACCGCGGAGGATCCAAGGAATCGTAGCAGAGGTATCCGCACCTTCGTCAACCGTGTTATTATCGACGAGCTCCCAAGAGTGCTCGTCGGCACCTGAGGTGGTGTCGTCCGTGATCAGAGGAAGAGCACCGTTAGTGCCCTTGCGAGACTTGCCACCTTCATGAGCAGTAGGCTTAGGAGGCAACTGCTGCCCACCGTGGTCGACGGTAACCTTATGCTCATTGCGGAGACGGCGGAAGAACTGGCCATTGTCCGAGATGAGGTGATGGAGATGACGAGGCACATGGACAGTCTCGCCTTCCTGGCCCTTGACGAGATCGAGAATGTGCTCCTTGGCTTTCTCCACTGCACCCGGCTCACCGGTAATCTTGACCTGGTTGCGAGCAGCCCCTGTCACGCCCTGCTTGGGGATATCTAGCTGGATGTTCAACCGAGACTCTAGTGACCGTCGAGTCTCACCTCCCCGGCCGATGAGCATCCTATGCTTATCAGGGGACACGTCGATAGTCTCGGTAATCTGGTTCCCCAGCGAGGCCGCTTGGGCTTGGAGCGAGGCAACGATCTTGTCAACTATGTTCTTCGGACCTTCAACGCGGATCGTCGATTCGTCGGAGTCTGCACGGGGGAAGCGCACCATGCGAGCCAGTTCTCGCGCATTGTCCGGCCCTCCTGCGGCGGTGACGATCTGGCGAATGTTGCCACCACTTCCACCGATCAGGGTCCTATGGTGTTTGCGGTCAACATCAATCGTCCTGACAACCGTGTCGTCAAACACTTTTGCGCGCTCCTGCAGAATCCTCTTCGCCTCTTCGACCTGCTTCTTGGTACCTCTCAGCTTGATCTCGGCACGGCCGGAAGGATCGGCACCTTCACGGGCACCTGGGACGTCGATTTGACAGCCGGTGCCCAGCCGGAGGTTCTCCATCTCGCGTCCGCCGGATCCAATAAGCTGAGGAACCTGGCTCTGGGCGACGGAGACGCTGTCGGTGTAGGAATTATCGATTGTCCATTGGAGCAGGTTCAGCAGCTCCTCACGCGCTTCATCAGCGCCTTTTCGAGGACCGCGGATAGTGACTTCATCAGGAGCCTGCGCGCGGAAGTTGCGCTGCGATGCTCCTCCTTCTGTAGCTGCATCATCGTCGTTGTGCGCTGACCGAGGGAAGTTAATCCGGACATTGTAGCGGTCCTGCAGGCGGTTGACCTGGCTGCCCTTGGCACCAATGAGGTCACGGTGATACTGAGGCTTGATCTTCAAAGTGTGAGTGGCCTCGTCCTCAAGTCGCTTGGCCAATGCGAGGATGTGAGCTTTGCAAGCGTTGGCCTTAGCCTGGGGACCCTTGAGCTCAACCTTGCCGTCATTGACCTGAATATCAACATCGAACTCTTCGCGGAGCTTCCGGATGTTCTCGCCGCGCTTGCCAATCAGATAGTTGGCAAACTTCTGCGGGAAGTCGAAGGTCGTAGTGTAACCCCGCTCAAGCTCATCTTTTTCCTCTTGCTCAATGAAGGCGAGGATCTTGGCGTAGAGATCGTCCACAGCGTTGGAAGGTCCCCGCATGGCGAAGTTGTTACCGGAGGACCTACGAGCCTGCGGTAGCCGCTCACCGAAGAGCATTTGGACGGGGATCTGATCGCGCGGCAGAGCCTGTTGCTCCTTCTCAACGAAACGCTGGATTTTCAGGTGGAACTGAGGCTTAGCCTCAACGTCGCGAGAGACGATATCCTGCTGGCTGTTGGTGATGCCCTGGATGAACTGCTGAGCCTGCTGCAGGGCTTGCTGGTAGGCCTTGACTTCGGCGGCTGGGGGAGCACCACGTGGGACGGTATATTCGCTATATGGGGTATTGCCTTCATAAACGAGAATCAGCTCCGGTGATTCCTCTACTTCCTCCGGGAAAACAACGTGCACGCCCATGTCATCACGAATCTGCTGGGCATTCCGCTGCTGAATGAACTGGTGGTAGAACGGGTCCACGGACATGGTGGAGAACCTGCTAGGTGGGTGACCGGCGAAGACGCTCATGATGTCGCCGCGCGCCTTCATGCTGTTCTTGCCGTTTCGAGCGTAGATTTCCCAAGCAGTTGGGCCATCACGGTCGGTAGGGGTGACAATGCTCGCCTCATGCAGACGCTCGAGCTCGGCCAAAGCAGAGCGCTGTCGCAGATAGCGCGTCAAATTGTGAGCGTGCGCCTGGGCGTTGGCGCCCCGATGCTCTCGGGCACAGTCCGCAGTCGCCATGGTCATGCTTGCAGCCAAATCCTCGAGCTTGTTAACACCGGCCTCGATCTTATCCGGAGGTCCAACAATATAGATAGTCTCGCTGTCATGTGTGCCAGGAGGCATGATGAGGCTGCAGCCGGTCTCTTCGAGGAAGTCAGACAACGATCCGCCCCGATCGCCGACGATAAACTGGTGGCGTCCCCGCTCGATAGATCGCTGTTCCATTGCTAACTGCTGGCGTAGCTGCTGGACGCGGCGCTCTAGCTGAGCTTGAATCTCCTGCGCAGCATTTCGCTCTCCTGAGATCTGAATAGGGTACTTCGCTTGTGGAACAAAAGGAACCGGCTGGTTGCGCGAAACTTGCGGAGGAGCTTGAGTATCCCAGGTGTGGTAAGTGGGGATGTTGACGCGGACTTCGCGATCCTTTTCAAGACCACCGATGAGCGAGTTGTGAGGCCCGGCAAGGAAGGGATAGTATTCGGCGGGGATATCCTTGACGCGTAGGTTCACGGTAGATGTTCGCTCGTTTACAATGGCCTCGATCTCGCGGCGGGCCATCTCGGCGGTCAGCGCATTGCCCTCGATCGTCACATCGATCATGGAGTCCTCGTCCTCCCCGATCTCTTGTTTCGGAACCTGGATGCGCGCCCCGGAGCGTTTGCTGATTTCCTGGATCTTGGAACCTTGACGGCCGATGATGTAGGCGCGGACGGATGAGGGGACGGGGACAGTGACCGATTGCTACTTTTGGTCAGTTATACGGCAGCAGTAACAGGGGGAAAATGGGAAACGCACCTTAGAACCAATCTCATTGGCGATATCCTTGAGAGACTGGCGAACAGCGTCGACGGGACCGGTGGCCTGGAAAAGAACCAACCCGCCGGGTCCAGACTTATGCTCAAGCTTGGCCTTGGAGCGCTTGTTGATGTCCCGGATGATGTCGTTCAAGGGCTTCTTGAGCTGCTGGCGCGGGATAAGCTGCGATGGGTGGAACGAGATCTGCTCCATATGTTTCCCGGGAAGAGCCATCGTTGGCAGAGCAGGACCACGGCCAACAGGCATAGATACAGGAGTACCCATACCCGAAGCCGGAGTCGAAGCGCGAGAGGTCGTGGTGCTGGGCGTGAGCCCGCTGCCGTTGACTCCATTGGTGCTGACCGAAGCTGGCTTCTTGCCCCAGGCAGGCGGAACAGACGCAGGCGCACGCGGCTTGACAGGACCTAGAGCCGGGAAGGCTTCCTCAGACGCAGTGTTCAAAGAGACGTTCGCCGGCGATTTCTTTGACGGAGCAGGCGCATCCTCGACCTTTTGCTTTCCGGCAGCCTTTTCGCTCAAGGTCGTAGCCGGGGCGTCGGATGCGTCAGTTTTGAGAGGGGCCGATGGAGGAGGAGGAGGATGAGCAACGTCCTCCTCGTCCACAACATCCTCGACCGTGGGATGGTGTTCGTGCCGCTCCATCAGCTTCTGCGCCGGGGTCAAGCCCTCAGCAGCAGAACTGCTATTAACAGCCTCCGATGACATTTTCAGAAGTAACCGTTCGAGTTAACCGTTCGAGTTGTATCGCTTAGACGGTGGGTGGGAGGGGTTAGAGTTGGGGCGCCAGGATGGGGGCGAGCGTGTTTTGGATGCGGTCGATGTAGCTATATAGTCTGTAAGGTGAGCGTGTGAGGAACCGAAAGGCGAAATCTGATGGGTGAAAAAGGGTCTCGAGCGCCTCTACTTACCACTGTCACTCGGAAGGAGCCAGGAAAAGAAAGGCAAAAGTCGGAAAGCTTAGGGGCAACCTCAGCAGGCCATAACGATGCAGAGTAGGGAGATGCGGGTACAATTGTATGCAGAGAAGGCTTTCGACAGACACAGAAGTCCCCGAAAGGTGGTGATGATGCTGGCGGCGTTTCGGCGATAACTGCCCAGGCGTAGACGGTTCCACACGGTTCGAAGTCGAGTCTCAGATGCCAAGATTCCGCACGCTAACAGCGGATGCCTGTCCCCGCCAAGCACAGGGTTCGGCCACACAACCTCAACCACAACCACCAACTTGCTAATTGGCATATCACCAGGATCATATAGTTTCATCGAAAATGCAAAGACTTATCTGTGACGGGTCTTCCGTGAACAATCCAAGTGATGTTGCCGGATATTTATATTTGACGCTATGCGTATTCGGCCATCCGTAGCTCGCAGTCTGTCGTCCCAAACTCCCTACCGATGCGGATGCTGGCCAATTTTTTATCCGTGACGCCGAATGCCTTCCTAGCAATGCAGCTTTGAACCATCGAAACGTTGTGCGCCAATACACTACGAACCTAGGACTTTGACCCTCATCCACTCGCTCGTGCCAACGCCCAGATTCAGGCCGTTCAGGGCCCACCACCTTCGCACGCTTTCCCCTGCTTCCCCTTCAACACCATCCTCCAGAGCTTCTTCAATATCGCAGGTCTTATATTCAACTGGCAGGCCACTGCGTTTCCACCACTCCAGGACATCCGCATGGCCCATTTTGGTAGGCCCGACGAGGACCTGGTTGTCGAACAGCATCTTCTCGCCCCGCAATTTGCGCCAATAGTCGAGAATATGGGTGTGTCCATGGGCGGATGCAAGTTTAGCGATTGTATCCTCGTGAGAGAACGGGATGCCAGACTCGACCCAGAAGTGGATCGCTGGGAGACATCCAGATTGCGTCGCATACGTGATGGACTTTCCGACTTTGAGATTGAGAAGGTCACGCTGGGTCCTAGTGTCGTCCTGCTGTTCTCCCGGGGAAGGTGGGGTCGTTGGCTCTTTCCGATATCTGCTATGCTCCTTCCACCAGTTCAAAACCTGGATGTGACCCTGAGAGCTTGCTGCTTCAAGCGCGGCCTCCGTATATTTGAGCGGAAGGCCGGACTCGTACCACCACTCCAAAGCCTGCACTGAACCAGACCGACTGGCGTTGTCCATCGCCTCTGCCGAGTATTCTTTAGTGAGGAACGTAGGAGAGGTCCGCCAGTACTCCAAAATCTCTGTTCGGCCAAACATCGAGGCTTTGTGCGGGAGGAAGGCATGGCCGAAGGTGCCCCAGAAGAGATCCTTATGCGCGCTCTCGAGGTGGGTGAGCACGGGCACCATTGCGAAGCGCATAATGATTTCGATACAGAGGCGCGATATGCGAGTCGGCTTGTCAGTATCCAGGAGCGCCTTGATCTCGCCATAGGAGCCTGTCAGCAATATCCACTCAAGCTTCTGCATCTGGGTCTTGGGACCCTCTTCGCTAGCCGACTGTCGCCACTCGGGCGGGACAGGCAGGTTCGTATGGACATTCAGAATGGTGGCCAGTTCCCAGTCTTCAGTGAACTCGAGAATGATGGACCACAGCTCTGGCGGAAGGCGAGGGCCTTTGCTCTTGGTAGGCGTGAGCGTCGGCATGTGGGCAACGGGCAGAGCAATTGTGCGGTCGCCCACGGCCATGAGATCAACCTGCGTCTGAATAGACTCGTTGAAGGCCTTATGTCCCTCCCACGGCTGGTATTTCCTGCCCATATGATCGAACGTCCACAGATATGGCGGCAGAACCCGGATCCAGTTCCACTTCCGCCGGATCTTGCTGATCTGCTTCTTGGACATTGGGTTCTCCCACACCAGTGTCGACATGGCCGGTATGAGGAGGATCTTCTTGGACACATCCCAGCTCCGTAGTATTTTCAGATGCAGATTGCTTGTGAAGCCATGCAGCATTCGAGCGATGTTCTCGGCATCGAGGGGCGCGAGGACGAGCAGGTCAGCCCACGAGCAGTACTCAGCGACCTTGGTGTCGGTATAGTCCTCATGCTGCCATGCGGGCTTGGCATTGCTTTCGGCATCATAGCGGTGCCAGACAGGCTCCAGGGCGGGGGGCACCGTTGTGCCAGAGAACTTGGGAAACTCGTGGCAAGCGATCACCTTAAGCGAGACATTGCCAGCGCGGTGCAGGCGGGCGACGACGGAGCAGCCGAATCTGAACGACGAGGGGTCAGTGATGGCGACGAGGACGTTGAGGGAGCGCTTCATGAGGGGTGGAGATGGCGGAGAAGATGTGGTGCGCTCGATGGGACATGGACATGATTTCTGTGGCGCTTTTTGCGATCTGGGCAGTTGCGATTGGCCCGCCCCTTCCCGCTCCTTCCCCGTATTCGCATTATCTTATCGTGTTCACCGACGCCCCGACAGCGACATGCAGGTGTTCACGTCAACGGAGCAAGCAGAAAGAAGGGTGGAAATTAGGTAAGAAGGGCCGTAGCGCACCCCTCTTCCAGGGTTCGACCCGTTAGGCATTTCGCTTTCAAAGACGTTTGCCTCCTTCCTCGGATCTGTTCCGAAGCCGACGATGCCCGAACGACGTACTGGACTCGCATTGGTTCAAGGGACCCAGAGCTGCCCAATAACCCCGTGCCCATCCGGAACCGGCACTGTCGCCCCTGCTCCAGCGTTGCAGACGAATCCGTCGTCGCGACGCCTCTGCGTTCATGCTGCAGACGCGTGCATCTGACGGCGCAGGGGGTTGGGGGACTTTTCGCCCCGTCTGGGCAAATGACGTAGCCACCGAGATCACAATTCCCCATCCAATTCCTCAAGTTCCGCATGTGCCAGCCTCATCCTTCATCTGCCCCAGCGTGTCCTGTGGACTTCGCCGGCCACGGGTCGGCCACCGCTGGCTCAGCCGCTATGCTTTTCGCATCCTAGACAGCGCCGATCGGGTTTTAGCAGATACACCCTCACAGCCTGAGTGGTTCGCACAGAGATCGGCGCTGTCGACTTCAAACAAGCCACAGCCACAGCCAGCATAGATCTGAGCGGGACATCTGCACGACCCGCTCCTCGTTGTGGCGGATATTCGTCTCCATCCCTCCTCCCTCCTCTGCTCTACCACAACCCTCCATGATTCTGCCCCGTTTGGCACCCGGCCCAAGCACGCCTTAGCCTTCGTCTAGCGGGCCGATTGCTGGTGCTGTCTCCGCGCCTACCTCTGGCCGGAATATGCTGTACCTGCCCGCAACCTCTCCACCACCACGCACTCCCGCGCGCACGCCTGTCCTTTGAATGTCGCCCTTTTGCCCAAGCGGTCGACACGCAGCCGAGAACAACTGAGAGGAGAATTTTGGCTCGCCCTCTCTCGCCCTCCTTCCCTGGCGACATTCTCTATAGATCGCCCGTTTCCGCGAGCGCGTTCATATTAGTAAATTGCATGCGAATCTGGCCCCTAACTCTACGCACGCTGCCATCGGAACTCTCTCTTTTCGATGGATGTCTGAGGGATTGGATTCCTTTGTGCGTTCGAGACATCACGTCCACGGCCTCACTTCTTCTCAGACCCTCATTACCTTCCACCTCCACGCCGCCACGGGCAATCGCAACCCTTCGATTTTCTACGGGCCCGACCGAGGCTCAAGAGGCGGCAATCGCGGCCCATGTCTCAATCACCGAAGCAATCCGTCGACATCGACCCTTCGGCTGCTGTTGACGCCACAGTAGAAAATTCTCCCGCCCCGCCAGACCAGAGCGAGCAGCAATGGGCATCTCTGCCTGAGGCTGCCTCCAGGGCAGCAGGCCACCCCTCCTCCCCCCTTATTTCCGCCGTCATGTCCCCTTCCGAGGGTATGGGCTCGCTCAGTCCCTCTACCACCGATCGCGTCTTTCCCATTCGCAGCGCTATCTCCGTAGACCCTACGCCGACGCCCACGCAGCGCGGACAGGGCGACTACTTCCACCCATACTCCCGCGCCAACGATGCGCGCTTGCCGACCGAAGCCCGTCGCCAGTCCCAAGGCTCGACCACCTCTCAGTCGTCGCAGACATCTCAACGCGGCGTCACCCATCGACATAGCGTGGCTGCCACTCCGAAGGCGGAACCAGCTTCTGCGTCGCGCAGAGACTCCATAAGAGGGCCACAGAGGAGTGAGGGCTCTAGGATGGGGCCGCTGCAGCTCCCCTCGCAGCTGTTCAGCGACATGGTGTCCAGCAGGTCGGGCGAGAGCGCAAGTGTCGAGGGAAACGTCAGTCGCCCACCTTCCGAGAAGGTGCAGCGGCCCCCGTCAGCCGGCGGAATTTCTACAATGAGCGCCGGGAGCAGCCTAGGGGACATGACGGGCCTGGTCACGCATCGTTTCAAGCATGTGGTGACCGAGGGTGGGCATGCCGTCATAACTGGTCGGGACGGAGACACACTGCAGCGATGCGAGGACGAACCTATACATATTCCCGGTGCCGTGCAGGGCTTCGGCCTGCTGATAGCGCTGGCGGACGATCCTGCAGGGATCGGAAATCTGCCCGTCCGTATCGTCAGCGAAAATTCAAAAAGAATTATTGGCCGGTCGCCAAGGGAGCTCTTTGCTCTAGAGAGCTTCACGGATATCCTTTCAGAAGAGCAGGCGGACAACCTGCTTGATCATATCGACTTCATCAAGGACGAAGATGCTGATGTCACTACAAACGGCCCAGAAGTCTTCACCATGTCCATTAAGATTCCCAACGCACGGTCGCGCAAGCTTTGGTGTGCGGTGCATATAAATGATGCCAACCCCGGATTCGTCATTTGCGAGTTCGAACTCGAAGACGACCAGCTGTACCCGCTAGTTCCAGCGGCTGACCTCACTCCCGAGCTTCCGGAAGATACTATGCAGAGCAATCCGACTGCAGAAGAGTTCCTGGAGAGCACAGAGACCGGGAGCCGACCTTTGAGGGTTTTGAGGAGGGCAAGGAAAAGGAAGGGCGAAGCCGCGGCTATGGAAGTATTCAACATCATGTCCCAAGTCCAGGAACAGCTCGCGGCGGCTCCGAATCTAGACAAATTTCTGAAGGTGTTGGTAGGCGTGGTCAAAGAGTTGACGGGCTTCCACCGCGTGATGATATATCAGTTCGATCAGTCTTTCAATGGCCGGGTGGTAACGGAGCTCGTGGACCCTAGAGCGACAAAAGATCTCTACAAAGGCCTCAACTTCCCGGCATCTGATATTCCAAAACAGGCTAGGGAATTATATAAGATCAACAAGGTACGCATGCTCTACGATCGCGATCTGGAGACAGCCCGGCTCGTCTGCCAAAGCCCCGAAGATCTGGAAAATCCACTTGACCTTACCCACTCTTACCTCCGCGCCATGTCACCCATCCACCTCAAATACCTTGCCAACATGGCAGTGCGGTCCTCCATGTCGATATCCATCAATGCTTTCAACGAGCTCTGGGGCCTCATCGCCTGTCACTCCTACGGACCTCGCGGAATGCGCGTGTCCTTTCCGATACGAAAAATGTGCCGCCTGGTGGGCGATTCAGCATCAAGAAACATCGAGAGACTCTCCTACGCGTCACGGTTGCAAGCCAGAAAGCTCATAAACACTATTCCCACGGAGCATAATCCGTCTGGCTACATCATTGCCTCCTCTGACGATCTGCTGAAGCTTTTCGATGCAGATTTTGGACTCCTGTCGATTCGCGACGAGACGAAAATACTCGGTCATCTTGATAACTCGCAAGAGGCCTTAGCGTTGTTAGAATATCTCCGGATGAGAAAAATAACCTCGGTTATGACCTCTCAAGACATCACGCAGGATTTTCCCGATCTCCGATACGCTCCTGGTTTTCAGATCATAGCCGGAATGCTCATCGTGCCTTTGTCCGTTGGCGGCAGCGATTTCATTGTGTTCTTCAGGAAAGGGCAGCTCAAAGAGGTGAAGTGGGCGGGAAATCCGTATGAAAAGTTTGTGAAAGAAGGCACCGAAGGCTACCTAGAACCGCGGAAGAGCTTCAAGACATGGAGCGAAACGGTTGTCGGCAAGTGTCGGGAATGGACAGAAGAAGAGATTGAGACTGCTGCAGTCCTTTGCCTTGTCTACGGAAAGTTCATTGAGGTCTGGAGACAGAAGGAGGCGGCACTACAGAGCAGCCAGTTGACCCGGTTGTTGCTTGCCAACTCGGCGCACGAAGTCCGTACCCCCTTGAACGCCATCATAAACTACCTTGAGATAGCCTTGGAAGGCACGTTGGATAACGAAACGCGCGAGAATCTGGCCCGTTCACACTCTGCATCAAAGTCCCTGATCTATGTCATCAATGATCTCCTTGATCTAACAAAAACGGAAGAGGGTGGCCCGTTGATAAAAGGAGAGTCTTTTGACCTGAAGGCTACTTTGAAAGAGGCTACGGATATGTTCAAAGGAGATGCAAAGCGGAAAAACATCTCTTACGATGTCATCGAGCACCCAGGCTTGCCTCAGCACTGCATTGGTGACCAGAGAAGGATACGCCAGGCAATATCGAACATCACAGCTAATGCCATTCAAAACACAACCCATGGGGGCGTCAGGGTCGAGATGTACGTCGCGGCAAGACCAGCAGCAGATCATGTAGACGTTGAAGTTGCGGTCTCAGACTCCGGGTTCGGCATGAATTCGAAGAAACTCGATCAGCTGTTCAATGACCTTGAACAGGTTCACTCGGAGCCCGCTGCTATGCTGGACGATGCCATCGTGCCAAGCGCCCAATTGACGGAGCAAGGCGAGAAGACAACTTTAGGTCTGGGTCTTGCCGTCGTTGCTCGCATCATCAAGAACATGAATGGCCAGCTACGGCTCAAGTCCGAAGAGGGGAAAGGCTCACGCTTCGTCATACAATTTCCATTTGAGCTACCAGACGCTGAAAGCCTCGGGCCCCTTCCCAAAGTTTCACCAGAAGGAAGCATCACTCCTCAGCCTGAGAGTCCTATGCCCACACCAGAAGTTGGCGAGCGCACATTGGTCGCACCGAGCCTATCACGCAACGCCTCGAGTGGTAGTAATGAGGTGGAGAGGAAACAGAGCGCAGAAAGTTTGAACAGTAAAGCAAGCCTTCGGAGCTTCAAGAGTGGTTCAAGCCAAAGGAGTAACCGGAGCGACGTTGACAGGCTCATCGAGGCAATCCAAGAACCGCATATGGTGGAGAAGAGACCGCCAATGGAGCGGAGAGGCAGCCCGCGATCCGTTCGGCCTGCTCTCACGAAACGCAATAGCGCGGCAGAGAGCATACCGTCCTCGCCGCAACGAGTGCGGTCCAAGAGCCTAGAGCCGACAGATACGCAGGCAATTATCCCACCCCACCAACGATCCATGGAAGTCCACGCGCCTGGCGAGGAGAATATAAGCTTTTCTGGAACACCGCTCAAAGCGCTAAAAGTTCCAGACGAGACTGGCTCACCTATCGATCCACAGCCGAAGACTGGTTCGATTCTAGGAGAGATACATGACGAACCCAAAGAGATTACTACCAGATCAGAGTCTCTGTCGCCAGAACACATGCGTGTCCTTGTCGCGGAAGATGATCCTGTCAACAGTAGAATTGTGAAGAAGAGGCTCGAGAAGCTGGGCCACGAAGTGTACCTGACAATTAATGGAGAGGAGTGCGCGGGGGCATTTGGCGACAAACCTCGAGACTTTGATGTCGTCTTGATGGATATGCAAGTAAGTTGAGAACCAAAGCACGTGTCTGGACATTTTCTCACGGCTCTGCGCAGATGCCCATTGTCGACGGCCTCACCTCGACAAAGATGATCCGGTCTTTCGAGAAGACTCATTCGAACTCATGGTCTTCCCGTGCCGCGCTGAACGGCCGGGTGCCGATCATCGCTGTATCCGCATCCCTAGTCGAGAAGTTGCGGCAGGAATACATCGATGCAGGTTTCGATGCCTGGATCCTTAAGCCCATCTCGTTCGCTCGATTGAACGACTTGATGACTGCGATCGTCGACCCTAATCTGCGGGAGGCCTGTCTGTATCAACCAGGTGAATGGGAGAAGGGAGGCTGGTTCCATATGGGGCAGAAGAGCCCCAATGAGACTTCTACCGCGCCATCCGGAAAAGCTCCACAATCGAATCTTGAAGAGGCCACAGAAGAGGCTGCTCGTTACTCGGATGACCCAATAGCCGGCGACGAGCCAGGGCAGATACCAGAGGAACAAGCCCGGCTGCTGCATGCGCAGGACAAAGGCGAGGGAACGCATGTGCACTACGAAATGGGTCCCGAAAAGTCTCCCGAATCACCTACCGGCGAATCATGATAGCGCCTACAACTGGCCGGTTTACGCATTCCAATCTGGCCCATAGCTCCTATGCGCATCCCACAAGGGACTCACGTCACCTCTCATCGGGGCTCACCCTCCTTGCCATTAAGGCTGTCCTCGTCCAGCCCCTAATGCACGAAACATTTCCAATTCGCTTTCGATGTTGAAACATGCATCGCTCGCTATAGAATTCCGCCTACGTTTTCACTTCAACTCCAGTCAGTCCATTTGGACGCCTTCACCGTTCCAAATGATTTTCTTGCTTCTCCTTACATACACGTGCATATGATCTCTACGGTTCGATAATGATTTTCCTTTCGGTGGGCTGCTTTACAGTAACGACACGACAGCAACGTGTTTAGAGAGCGAAACGGCGCATATATGCATATCATACACACACGGCTCTGGCTTTATCATGCTTCTTCTAGTGCGGGGATGGCGGTTGGGCATTGCAATACTTCTTAGAGCCATGATGCGTCATGTTTTCCGAGTGGCGGGGGATGGGGCCGGTGGTCATTTGCAGTACTTTGGGAGTCATCATGGGTCCTTGGCCTTACAGGGTTCGATGCTTCTTCTCCTTCTCTTCTAACGTCGCGCTCTTGATGGGCCGGGACGAAACTTTGCCCATGAGCTTTCTCCGATACGCATCAATGGTTCGGCAACGGTATTCATCTGGCGGTGCTGTACACTTGCTTGCTTGCTTGCATGTTGGGATACCCGCGTATTTAGTTTTTTTGCGTGCGTGTGTGTGATGAGATAAGTGCGCAAGCGGGTCGTGCATCTGCATGTATGCATGGGTGGGAGAGAAGGGGCGTGTCTACCTGCTTTTTGAGCGTGAAAGTAAGAAGCGCGATAGTAGAGTAGAGCATGATGAGAAAGAGAATAAGATGGATCTGTCGGTATACGCTGATGCATTTCTTGCGTATGTGTGTGAGGGTTATGCTGCGAGGTTTCTTGGCATAGGGGAGAGAGACGCCAGGACGACGAAGTGCTTGCAAGCGTCTGGATAGTCTCGCGTTACTGTGTGCTTTCTTTCTATTCGTGGGAGAGTATACATACAGATAGGCCGCCTTTGCGGTGTGCGCGCATCATGTGATCTATGTGCTTGCTCCCTCCTTTCCCGCTTGTGTATAACATTTCGTGTTCTGGTCAGTATATCTCTGTCAGTCGTGTCGGATTAGCGCAAATTAAATTGTGTCCTACCCTACCTCCCTACGGTAGATACATATGGGCTCGGGAAAATCTGGTATCCGAGCTGGCACTGTCTGCTTTTGCTCTCGATGCTTTATTTGTGCTTGGACCTGTTGGTTGTCAAAGCAGTTTGACATGTCGTGGGCTAACTCGCGCGGCGGAATGTTGGAGTGGCAGGGGAGGAGATGCTGGGTGGGGTAGGATGAGATGGAATGGCAGAGATGGAGACTGAAGGGGTTGTAGATGGTTGGGCTCAAAGAAAATACATCCCGATACATTAGGTGCGGTCTGCAATGCGGAATACGTCTAGCTAAGCCTGGGTATCTGACCATTCTAGTAGGAAGGAGTCTGGCACTCTGTTTCCAGCGTGAAAAAAAAAACCTAACTGAACTGAACTATATCTGATCAATTCCCGTCCTCCAGACAGCGGAATCCGTTCATATTAGCCTCCTCTTATCGACATATCCCCCTTAAATCCCTCCACAAACCAGCTAGCGAGCCAGCTATGTCCCAGCCCACCTTCCCCCTCTCCCAAACTTACTCAATACCCCATAACATCCGCCAAAAACTCCTGATACAGCTCGTCCCCCTCCCACTCCCTCTCCATATCCCTCTCCCAGTCCAGAATCTCCCTCTTCTCGCGCTCGATCGCGCCATCCCCAGGCGCCATAGCCACCGCCTCCATAATCCACTCAAGCGCGCCATCCAGCGCGGCCTCGCGCGCCTCCTTGTCGTCGGTAGCCTGGCCCATCATGCGGAAGCACAGGGCCTGGCGGTATGCCAGCTTCGCGGTGAGCGCGCTGGACGGCACCCAGGTGCTGCCGAAGTGCTCGAAGAAGTGCTTGCCGTCCATGGCCTCGCGCAGGTCGCGCATGACGAGCGTGCCTTCCTCGACGATGGCGGGCTTGGGCGTGCGCGGCGAGCGCATCACTTCGAGCAGGCATTGCGCGTGGTTGAGCATGATGGTGAAGTAGAGCTCGGATAGCTTGGAGGCGAAGGCCGCGCCGCCCGCTTTGGCGAGCGAGGCCCACGTCGCCGAGCACCGCATGCAGCGCATGCGCGTGATGGCGCTCATCCAGCACTTGCTGGCCGCGTCTAGGTTGCCCTCGGTGTAGAGCTGGTTGCCGAGGGACTTCATGGCGGAGAACTCGTTGAGGATGTCGCGGGGGTTGGTCCAGGGGGGTGTTTTGACTTCGTTGACCGCGCGCTCTGCTACGGCGGGGTCGACGGCGCCGGTGACTTCGACGTGCTGGAAGCCGTGGATGTGTTTGCGGAGGGGCCTGAGGAGCGCTTCCTGGGTCTTCGTGGTGAAGAATTCTTCAATAGGGTCCTTGAAGTCTGGGAGTTGAGCTGGGTATCCGTTGAGCGTGAGAACGACTTTGACACTCGTGCTGAAGCCTTCCATCTCCGCGTCGACGTGCGTCAGCATCCGACAGAATGCGTCCCAGTCCCTTCCTAGAATCATGAAGTTGAACCGCGGTCCCGTACCCGCCGGCGGCGCGCGCGCATGCGGATCCCAATCATCAGCATCCATATCATCGTCCGAATCAAGCGGGTCGCCGACCCAGCCGCCCGGAATAGCAGACATATTCACGCTCATAACGTAGCCCTGGAACTGCGCTGTATGTGCACGATCCATAGTCACAACGGGCAGATTCGACGAGATGAGCAGCTGAGACAGCGGGATGTCCTGTGTTTGGATGTTGACGAACTGGTTTGTTTTGACCATGATATCGTACGCCTCGCGGTGGACCTGCTTGCACGTGCGCAGGATAGTTGTTTCGATAGCGTGCGTAGCGGGGGTAATGCTATTGCAATAGAGGTGGTTTTTCGCATTGCAGTTTCCCGGCGTGCATGGCGGCTCCACGGGGTCGAAGCAGCAGAGCATTTCCTGATAGATGAGGTCCCTGATCTCCGCGGGGAGGTCCATGAGCCGGAAGGGTTGGACCTGTTCCACCGTCTCCATGCTGGCTCGAGTCTGCAGACCGCTTGAGCGCTTTCGAAGAGCAAGATGGACCGGGAGAGCGAAGCCTGCTTGCTCTCGCGGGGTAGAACGGGCGTGGTTCCACCCAACCGTGTGATGAAGCATAGAAAGGCTGAGAAAGCAATTGAGGCAGGGTTTCGCCTGGAAGAGCTAGTAACGCCGACTGGACGTATAAAAGAAAGGCCAGAGACAGAAGAAACAAGGAAAGGTGCGTTGTGGTGGATGATAGCGAGGGAGGAATCGAGCATTGAAGTGCTAAAACGAGCTGACGAACGTCCAGGCGTGTCACGGTCTAGCCCTTTTCGGCCTAGTCCGACAGCTGGCTTTGGTCACATTTCGTTCACGACTCTGCCGGTCAACTTGTACGAACTCATATATTTCTATTGTCTATGCTGTATCTGAGGCATCGTCGCACGATTCATCCCATCGCAGTATGCTCCAGCGCATCGACCGAGCGGATGTTGAGGTCGAGGTCCTTCACAACGACCCCACCTTGGATATAATATCGTCCTACCGTCCCGTCTGCCATGCAATCCGACACTGTGGCAACCACGGATGCGAAGTTGACAAGTTCCTGAGATCTCTCGAACAGCAGCATCATAAGACGCACACAACGAGGCAGAGAAGAAAGCATCCATGATTCAGTATTCCGGGCCGCCGCTCTGTTTTCGGGAAACCTTCTCAGCCTTTCCGCCAAAGGCCAGTACAGAGGGACATCCAGAAAATAGTCCCTCGCCCTGTATTGTGTACACGGTGCCTCTTCATCCCACTCGGTCGGCGTGTGGCCGCGATGCTCATGCCACTCTTCCCGACGTCGGAAACTACCATAGCCGAACTTCGGATGTGCCGCGGATCCGGTCACGCTCAAATCCTCACACTTTGTTGGCATTATCAACACCTTGAACATTCAATACTTCCATTCCTCATGCCTACGTACAGGCGCTCATCCTTCATGGAGAGCGCGGGTGGCGTTTTCATCCTATCCCATCCCATCTCAAGAAAATAAGCACATCTGCCATGGACACACGCCGAACGCCCAAAGGAGAAGGAAGCTCTGCCCAAGATGCCATGGCAAGGTATTTCGAGACGTAGAAAAGTATCAACAAAAAATTCTCCATCCATATCTAGCTTGTTCCGTCTGCTTTTCTCTACTTCGTGATAAAGCCGAGGTAATCCGCCACGATGAGTGTCACCATGCTATTGCCATTGTTAGTTTCTCCCACTTTCGAATTTTTATAGAGAGGGTACTTACGCATGCGGCGCGATTCGTACATAGTACGTTCCAAACCCTCTGTAGAACCTCAGCAGCCCCTCGTCCTTGGCGACCTTCTTGAAGCAGTCAAACATGCCCTTGTACGGCAGCGTGCCATCGGGTGCCCTTGTCTGCTTCTGCAGTCTCGTCTTTACGAAGTCGAACGGCAGGGAGAAGAAAGAAGCGAAGAAGCCTGCAACGGCCGATGCGGTGAGCGTTTGCGTTCGGGATGATAGTGAGGTGGTCTTGAGCTGGTTCTTGGCCTCGGAGAAGAAAGCTAGTTGCCCGAAGTTGAGCGCCATGGCGCGGACTACTGTTGGGTAGCAGCCGGCCCAGAGTCTTGTTATGCCTTCGTTCTTCGCAATGCGGGCCAGCGCGTCGATGACGGAGGAGTAGTTTGCGCGTTGAGCGACAGGCTTCAGGCCATCGGATTGCATGCGGATGAGCGCCAGATCTGCCGGATTGCCCACCATAGCAGCGAGGCCGCCCGCAGCCAAACCAGCGCCCGCTCTCTCTTTGAATCCGATCTTCGAGCCCTTCTTTTCCGCGCTCGCAGTTAACGACTTCATAAATGTGTCGAAGAAGCCCAACCGCGCTGTGGTATATACCGCCTGCCTCAGCAAACCCGCACTCAACCCGGTATACAGATCCCGCACCTTGCCCGCAGCCACGATTTCGCGGAACACCGAGATGGGCGTGGGCTTCGGGCCCGTCTTGACGCCCTCGCCCGCGAGCTGCAGGCGCACCTTGATCATATCGACGGGCTGGATGACGGTGGTAGCAGTCATGCCGGCGAGGCCGCCATTGATGAAGGGCAGGGCGGCGCGCATGAACGGGGTGTGGAGGAAGTTGGTGGTGGCTTGCTTCGGGTTTTCGGCGGCGGACTTCATTGTTGTTGAGGCCTCGGTGAGGACGGTCTCGGTGGTCTGCTTTGCATTGTCCAGGGCGCGGGAGACTCCCATTTTATAGGGTACTGTTGTTGACATGGCAATTAGAAACGTATGTGAAGGGTGAGGATGGAGGAGCGGAGTTCGGGGAGTATGTGGTGTACAATGCCAGCAAACAGACAGACCGACGTGAATGAAAGAAAGACACGAGAAAGGATAGGCAAGAAAAGGCCGATCAAGTATCCGCAGCCCTCCCGTAGCTTTCGCACAAAAAGCCTACGTTGCTGGGCCCGAAGGTATCCAGCTTCCTCCCATCAGCCATCACGCCCGCGGCCGTAATGGCATCGCATCGGTACACCGTTCGGGAGACGCAGCGGGCACATCTGAGGCACGTCTCAACGCGGCCCAGCCACAGTGCTCCCGTGCGGCGCGCCCCTCCGCCTCCGAAATATCCCGCATGTTGAAATTGGAGTTCGACCAGAGATTGAGAGAGACGGTACGCACCTCGCGCGCGCAGCGTTATGGGCGCGCCAAGTCGCGGAGCCTGTGGGTCGCAATCGACGCAACCGATATCGGTTAGGTTAGCAGCCGCCTACTATGGAGCAGGTTCGCCGGATTGGGGGAGTGGAGCACGCCTGTCCGCAACAGGCGGAACCCTAATCGCGACGACTCGTCAAAGACTAAGAGCGAGGACGGGCAGAATACAGAGGCACGAGAGAAGAGTGTTTGAGAGATGGGACGAAGAAGCTCGGAGATCGAAGGTCCCCTCGCCCGCCGTGCTTCCCCTCATTCTGGTTGGACGCACCCCGCACCTCAAAGAAGCCTGCTGCGGAAGCTCCCACAGGTGACGTGAACAGATGCTGGGCAGCATTGAGCGAGGTGCCGAGCGGCCAATCACGGGCGCATTATTTCCGTGTCGTCCCGGCGTGTTAGGACGGGCCGTTGTTCCTTTTGCTGAAGATGGGGATCTTGCGGGTGCTGTCGCGTGTCGTGCAATAATCGCGCCCCGAGGTATCACCAGACCCTCTCGAGACATCTGTCAACTGAGAATTGGAGGCTTTGAGGGGATCTTCAGGCACGGAAAAGTAGCCGTCGACGCGGTATTCCCGTTCATTGCGCTCGCCTGCGGATCCGCGTGCTACACTGATGGTGCGAGCTAGCGTTCCACCGAAACAATGACGTAGCTGCCGCTGGAACAGCTCAGGACTCAACACCACAACACCAGCCTCAACGTTGATATACATCACAGGCGCCTAAGCACCGATCCTATAACTCCCGATACTAATGCCATGACCCGCCATTCTCCTTGGCGCTTCAGCGTTCCTGTGAACCTCGTGACTTTGCGGGAATAAATCCCCCAACTGAACAACCAACCTCGGACGGATGAACGCATCTCAACACCCGCGCCTCGCTCTCATCACAGCCTCAGCCTCAGCAGCTGCAATGACCTCAATTCACATAACTATAACTACCTCCTAACCTGAAGTTTCTCCGAAGCCACACGTTCCCGTCCGGATGCGCTTGTGCCTGAGCGAGTGACGTGCATCCCGCTGCCATGATATCAACGCTAGCTTCTGATTTGTTGACCACCCAACAAAATTTCCCCGTTCCACATTTGTTCCACGCCTACCTACTGCAGGGTCCGGTCCAGTGTACAAAATGAAGCGTGGGATGCGTGCGTACATCGGGGCATAGAAGAGGCTCCGGCTAGATATCCGCGGCCGAGACGGACAAAGTGTTGGTGGAATTGAGATGGGCGCGGGCCGCAGGTAGCCTTGGGTAGCAGGAGTAGCCGCGAGAAATCCGTGGAGTACCGGAAAAGGGTTTGGATTGGGTTGGGTACAAGTTGGATTGGGCTAGACGTATATTAGGGTTCGTGGTGGAAGAAGGGATGTCGAGCGAGCGTCGGGGGTATCTCTGCGTTATTTTCGAATTTTGATGGGTTTACTTCCATCTGTGTAGCGATCCTGCCAAAGTCGTTTTGCTTGGGGCACGGCTGTATGGGTTCAGGACCGCTACGCTCCTCTAGATATTGTGCCATGCCATAGCATCGACCCCTTACTCATCATCGTCATCGTCCTCACTCGGCGAACCTAGATCCTCGACTATAGAACTCCGCGGTGGCTGCTGCGTAGCCGGAACTTGAAGGCGTGATGAGGTAGGTTCCGCCTTCACATTACAACCCCCTTGCTGCTGGCCGCCACGCTTAACAACGACGTCCTCCTCTTCGTCCTCACTCTCTTCTGCTCGCTGAGCTTCGGCTTGCTGCATGCGCTTGATCTTTCGGACGACGATGGGATCGTGGCGTAGGTCGCCGGCAGTTAGCATCTATGCATCCGTTAGCCTCTATACTCTCCGAAAAGCCAACTCTAGTAGCATCGCAAAGAGAGGTCCTACCTGACTGCATCCTGTAACCGGACACTCGACTGCCCTCTCTCCACCCCTCCCTGCCCCACCGCCCAACCTTGTGTTACTCCTCCTAATCATCTCTAGTATCGCATTCTTCTCGAACGTGTGCGGACACTTGCCGCTGCTATACGGCTCCTTGAACTGCTGGAAGGTGAGCGGGCATCTCGTACTGATCGTCGCCCTGTCCATCACGATATCGTCATCGTCTGCGTCCCTCGCATTGGTAATGCCCGGTGCTGGCGAGCCGGTTTCCGTAAACCATGTATCGGGGTGCGGAAGCGGCCGATCATCTTGGTACTTCGCGTCGTGCACCATTTTGCGGAAGCCGATGTAGTCGTTGTTGCTGGAGTAGCGCGTGCCGAGAGCGAGGGAAGTGTATTCGTTCTTTTTGCGCGTCATGCGGTCGGTGAAGAGGTCGGTGGGAGATGTGAGGACGGGGCGGGAGCCGTCGAGGGGCGTTGGGCCTGGGGTTGGGCCTTCTGGTTCTTCGTCGTCCTCGTCGTTGTCCATGTCCTCGTCTCCGTCCTCGTCTTGTGTACGTCGGCGACGCTGGGATTGCGACTGCCGCTCTGTCTGCTGCTGGCTCATCTGCGTCTGGTACTCCTCTGCCAGTTGGCGCGGAGCATTCTGCCTCAACCACTCCAGCGACTCTTGAATGCGCTGCGCAGCTATGCCTCCGTCAATGACGGCCCTCATGCTCTTCTCAAGCTGCTTAGTCGCTTCGTCAACCTTCTTTTGTAGCTTTGTCAGCTTCTCTTCCTCCGCATCTTGGTCTTCATTATCGATGCCCTTTTCCCACCTCTTGCGCCGCTTCGCCGTGTCCTCGTCGCGCTCTCGCAACTTATCGTTGATAAGACCCGCCGCGTCAGTGATCAGCTTTGCGGCTTTCTGATTATGCTCTTTCAAATGGGTGATGTCGCGGTTGTTCAACGTGCGAAGCCGCTGTTGAGCCAGGTCATTGAGCGGGTGGGACGGTTTCTTGTACGGCGGGAGTTCGAGCGCGGCGGATGGGGTCGGTTGGGCTGTGGAATGCCGATTTTGAGACGCCATAATACTGGCTATATATCGGTAGCTTTGAGATGAGAGGTTATGTGGCTATCGATTGGTGGTGTTCGAAGTAAAATCGCTGGAGGTTTGGCGTTCACGCGTCAAAGTGGCCCGTGCGCCAACGCGTCCCGCATGTGACCGCGTCTTTCACCTCACCTGCAATTCCTATACTCGCTCACCTTTGGGCATTGATCGATGAGAACATGGATTATTCGATATCACTCACAGGATAGTTACATCTTCTTATCCTGTATCAACAACCATTGCTTCATTCTTACCCTATTCCCCTCCCACGAACGGGATTTATCACGACATTTCTCTCAGTCTCTTCAGCTCATGTTAGCAATCTATACCAGTATTCACATCTTTCCGTGTAAGGGGCTGCTCTGAAGGGTTACAAATCTCAATCTATTCATTCCATTTCCTTAACGCCTCTTTTTGTAGCTGTCCAAGGCGCCAAACAGCCACTCCAAGTATTACGTCCCAGTACGCTCATGTCATGTCCCAGCTACACCTGCACAAAGCCTCAGTCTCCCCACTCAACGATCCAGCCTCCAAACTCTCTGCCTCTCCCCAGGACTTAACATCCTTATCCCACCTTCTCCTCTCTCCCTCGGACCCAACATCCTCCCATCCCCATCCCTCTCTCCTCCACCCCGCTGCTCCCCAAACACCCTCGGCGTTCTCGGGCTACGCAAATCCAGCCCCTCACCCCTCCCCTCTCTCCTCGCGCGCTCCAGCTCCTCCAGCTTAGCTTCGAACGCCGCGCGGCCCGGCGTCCACGTGAAGAAGCGGTTGGGGATGCGGAGGCGCAGGGCGAAGCGCGCCTCAAGCAGCCGCGCGACGACGTTGAGGACGAGCAGGAGTAGCAGGATGGCGGCGAGGGCGATGGACCACGGCGGGTTCCAGCGGGCGTTTGCGGCGGCTTCGATCAGAGCGAGTTGGGAGGGGGTGAGGGTTGCGAGGTTGGGGGCTGTGGCGCTGGTGGTGGTGGTGGTGGGTGGCATTGCGTGTTGTGTGTTGTGGGCGTAAGGTAATGGTGGTGGCGGTGTTTGTTTTGGTTTGGTTTGGTGAGTTGGCGGGTTGGTAGGTTTGTGAGTATGGCGTTAGCGACTGTGTGGTAAGGCGCTGGGGGTTGTAGATGGATGGGTTTCGTTTCGCGCAGTGCGGCATGAGAGGGAGAGCTTTTTCGTCGCTGATTTCATGGTGGGTGGTGCACGGATAATGGGGGCGCACGATGGGGGAGTGAAAGGGGATGTGTGTCTTGTAGGTTCGCCTACAGGTGGCTAGTGAACCACGACATGTTCCTAGCTAGGGCTCGAAAAAGGCGTGCCGGCTGCGGAAGAAGTCCTGTCGGAATTCCAGCAATGGATATGTGTGTTAGATGGCGTCTATCATGGTTCTTCAGTGAGGTACAAGTCGTTTGTCGGCTGCTACATTGTTGAGATGAGGGAAACATAGAAGCTGGCACTCTCGTGACAGGCAAATCATTGTGTTTGCCATGAGTGTCTAGAAAGGTTCAGTTCAACGCTATCGAGATGGACACTTCATACCTAAGGTAGATCGCCGTTGGGTAGTGAGCCTTGCCTCACTCTACGGTATAAGGATCAAATACCAAGCGCATCCTGACACTAGGTAGACAGGCAATCGCTGCTCCTTTCACGTGCCTCCCCTTCGCCCGAGCATAGCTTCGGCAAGGCCCCAGCTATCAAGCCTCCACACTCAATACTCCTGAAACCAAACACAGAAGGCGGCTACAGCGCAGATCCATGATGAATGCCTTGGCGGCAATCAATGTTTCGGAAGTTTTGGCGCCGTGGCTTAAATCATGCTAAACTCGGCTCAGACTCGGATTTGTTGGTGGAGTGGTGGAGCCGCATAAAAGCCCGGTACACGTGGACGCCTGTCGTATACGGAGCAAAAAATAGAGGGAAAGGAGTGGTCTCGTGCGAGTGCCATTGTCGATCCGATAATGCGTGCTGGTCTTCGGATGCAAGGCTGGTTGGTGGCTGATTGGTAGCGAGCCTACGCAGCGCGTATGTCCCGAATTAGGAGAGCGCGAATGGAAACAATGGGGGCTTGGCTGCTGGGCAGGACCTGCGATGCCTAAACGGTTTCCGAGCTCTTGCTTTGGAAGGCTTGGTGGAGTGATTAGACGACCAAGGAAAAGAGGTTGTTATGCTTGGAACAGTGGTGGGGGATCAGTGAAAAAGACGATGCTCTGAAGACGAGGACTCAGATGATGGATGGCGTGAGCAAGCTCATGCTGTCTAGTAGTATTCTCAGAGCGCCCACCCACTAGCTGATATGACTAGAGTGCCCAATGACCCATTCTGTATAATGCCGCTACACCCAACACGCCCGAGCAGCAGCAGGATATCGTAAGATCCAGAAAAAAAATGACTAGAAGGAGAAGGGAAATTGAGACCCAAAAATATACCACGGAGCGTCACCAAGCGTTCATCGACCTACTTCGTGATGCGAATGCCCGCCTGCGAAGGCTCGAGGTTCGTTGGCTTCTAATATGAAAGCCTCGTGATGGCGGGAAGGACTGGCGGGTTTTTTTGCATCCCTAATCGAAGAGAGCCGGAAGCCGCCCGGTCAATCGATTCTCGGAATCGACGATGGAGGCGTATGCACAGGGAGCGGAAGGCGAAGCTCCTGCGCATGGGAATCGATCGATGATCGCACCTTGCCCTTATTTCTTGCCTCCAAGCACCGACGATTTCCAACCCTTGGGCGTAGGCGTATCCACGTCAAACGTGCTTGTGATGGTCGTCGTCGTCTTCGCCTTCTGTGCATTGGATCCCAAGCCCTTCTCGACGTCTCGCTCTGGTACCTTTGCGTTCCTGGCCGGAGGAGGCGAGTTAAGTCGCACGCCAGTTCGTCGGTTCTGGCGCTTGGAGACGTCTGAGCGACCGGTAAGGCGGCGGGAGGCACGACGGATCGACTGCCGGACGTCCCATTGTCGCTTCTTTGCAAGCCAGAAGAGTACAGCGGAGCCAACTGTGACACGATGTTAGTACAACTGTCATCTGGAAGTGGGAGGAATATTGATGCTTACCTCCTCCGACAGCAACGAGAACGGCTACGACAATGATGGCTATCAGCCCTCCTCGTGAAAGACTGAAGGCACCTTTGGAAGCACCTGCTGCTCCGGCGTCGCTTGGGTCCTGAGGGTTGTCCACGCCGCCATTGTATCCCGTGTTGGGCGTCTGCGCTGCCGTGTCCGATGACGCGGTAGTAGTCGTCGCACTCTGAGCAAGAACGTCGTGTGCGAGGACAAGGAGTGACAGAAGGCAATGCAGTAAGATGTTCCTTCCCATGATGGCGGCCTGAAATGCAGCGAAGGGATTCAGATGGAGTTTGGGGTGGTACGACGGCGCACCACAATCGCGTGTTATGTGTGCGCAGAGATCAACTCGTATCGTACAGAGACAGGTAGGTCAGACTGCAATCAGCGGAGCGCTGGCTCACCTCTATATTTGCGCCATGTTTATCCAGACCCCGCGGCGGATGGGATCCTGGGCGGTTAGCCATCGTACGGCGTGTGATGGACCAGGTTGGCTGCCGGCACTCTACATGCTTAATTTTGGCAATGGGCTTGAAAGCAGAGGGCTTGGTGGCATGTGGCGTCGCTATTGGTGAGAAGGATGAGATGTGGGCGCGTATGGTGTTGAGGGGAGTGGTGGAGCAGCGATCACAGTGCAGCGGGACGAGCCCTGAGGCGGCTCCGATTGGGCGGCGGGCGAGCAAGCGCCGGGGCGCCAAGTGCCTGCATATTTTTGGAGCCAGGGGCAGAGCCGAGAGCGGGTACATCCTCTTCGTCTCCAACATCTTGTCGCTCCGTGCCTCAACACATGGCGGCGCGGAAAGCTTGTTTCGAGTGATAGGTGCAGACGGCCGGAAAGAATATCGTTTCATGGATTTGTACGATGCAGCCGCGACGACGAGCCGGAAGCTGTGGGCCGAGGGAGCCTTGGAAAGACAGCGACGCTGAGAGAGCATCGCGGTCTCGAACACGCCGCTTGGCATGAGCGCGCGTTGAAGACGGAGCGGGCGCTGGTGAGTTCTGCCTTGCGCCTTTTGCTGGGTATTGTGGTGGCTCGAAACTACAGCAATCAGCCATACAGCGACATCCGGCATGAAGTCAAGTAAGACAGGGTAAGAGAGGCTCATCATTCCTCGGAACAATGAGTGCTTCTCTACGCCCTTGGTCTCTGTAGGTCCTTCACGGCTTACGCGGTCGGCTTCGTATCCCGCGGATTTCTATCAATGCTAGGCTGCGACGGCGGAGTGTTCGCTTTCGTGATACGAGTTGTAGGTGCCGGAGTAGTGAGGTTGTAGAGCGTGTCGATGCCCGGTCGAGATGCCCCTCGCGGCTTCCCTCTAAGATGGCGGAAGGTGCAGAGTTTGCCTCGACCGCTCAAGCATCACTCACCACCATCCCTCTTTCTCCCATCTCGCCTCCTTCCATCTGCACCTTTCTGACTTCAATCCATTTCCTCCCTCGCTCGTTCTTCACGTATCCGTGCCAGCCTTCCGGGCGCCATGTCTGAGTGGGCAGGCCCGAAAGGGAAGCAGCCGGCCAGGCCTCACCCTCCCTCTCGCCTCAGGCAGGAAATCCGCCTCGAGTCGACTGATGACGAGCGAAATACCGACAAGAGCAGAGTCGAGGTGCCAAATAGCGATATTGTGATCCCGGAGACGCAGCTTGAGGTCTTGGGGCATAGCATGAGTGGTAACTTCGGGCCCGATGACGGAGTACCCAACCATCCAGATCAAATGAGTCCTAAGAGTCGTGCCCTCCTTGAACGTACCCAGGTCTCGAAGGCGCATAGTGCATCGGCCTCCTTTTCCCCTATCAAGTTCCTTTCGAAGCCAGCCCTAGGTGGAGACCGACCATCGCCACCACCCTTCATGTTCAGCCAGGCTAGAAAGGCACCGACGAAGACTTCGCCCAAGGAGGATGCAGGACGCGCTGAGGCTTTTCCTGCCTCTGCCGAAGCCGCGCCTGCTTCTGATCCCCCGATGGAAGAAGCCGCCAACGGTAAGTGTCTGAACCCCGGCCCACCTGCAGGTCGAACAGCTGGCCCACCTTCCTCCCTAGATGGCGCCTTGGACGGACCTAAGCTCGGCTCTCCTGTTGGCCAACGTGACGAGGATTCTGCTCGAGACAGAGAGGAGTCCTTGCCTCTTCCAGAACCGGAGAACCAGCTCCCGAGTGAAGCCTCGCACACCCTCGCCACAGACTCGGCTGCTTTTGGTGACCAGTAAGACATCTGTTATGGAACCCTTCTGGATCATGGCACTTGCTGATCAGCAACATAGTGAATTACCAGAGGCAAGTGCTGCGCCATCGCCCCGGCCCTTCCCCCGCCCGAACGGTCCATTCGGCCCGTGGCGGCCACCCAGCAAGAAAGGCAAGAGGCCTCGAAGGATGAAGGGTCCGAGGCATAGTGGAATATCACCGGCAGGACCCATGCACGCCGGCCGTGAGGGAGCGAGTGCAGAAGTGTTGAACTATGAACAGCCCATCCTGGACGTCTCGCCAAATACGCCTGACGATTCGGCTCTTCCTGTCACTCCACAAGAGGGTCAGCACAATGACGGCGATGAGGATCTTCCAGTAGGGCCCGCTGCTTCCCCAGCGACTTCCCAGAGCGAGCACGTAGAAGCGTCCAATGATGCGTTCAACATCCAGGAGGATAACGCGGGTGGCTATCGAGGCAGACAATACGCCTCACCCCCAGCTCCTCATCCTGATCGTCAGATCGCTTATCCACCAACTGTGAATGAAGCGCCAAAGGCCGTCCAGCGACACCCGGACTTCGAGGAAGCGCTTCACGGGACCTCATCGCGTGGCGGCTCAAACCGTGTTGACAAGCCACGGAGGAAGCCGCGGCCTAATGGTCCTGCTTATCCCCTTTTACCCAGGCCTGGTATCGGCGCAAATGTTATGAATCTTGCCCCCGAGAATGATGCTTTTCTCGGCTTAATGGGAATGGCTTTGCGTGCTTCAGAACTGAAAGCTCGGGATATCGTCGACTCCAAAGCCCAGGCGTACGAGACCGCAATAGCGGCACTCCAGGAAACCGTTACCCACCAGAACAATGTGATCGAGGATCTGAGAACGAGTAATGGTGGGCTCAACAACGATCGTGAGCGCCTCAAGGAGCAGGGAATGACTATGCAGAAATTCATGAACGGCATGGATAACGATTACAGGAGATTGAAGAAGGACACCGAGACTCACCATAAGAACTGCAAACAGGAGCTAGAGAAGAAGATCAAGGAGATCGAAAGCGAGAAGACAACCTTACTTCAAGAGTTCTCAACAATGATTGGCTCGTTTGACAAAGGACAAAAGAGCATGAAGGCAACTTTGGATGAATGCTTCATCCGCTTGCAGCTCTCCGACTTTAAGAAGAAAAATCTGGCCGAACAGCTCAGCAAGCAGAATGCACTACTCGAGGAAGAGAAGAAGAGGCGCACCAATCTAGAGCAGCAAATTCTGCCCTCTTTACAAAACTTTCAGCGTCATCTCGAAGACAGTCATGCCGCGCTCTCCGAGAAGCTTGGCAGCATACAGACTTCGGAGGGCGATACAGCCGCTGACAAGGAACGGGACGCTTGCCTGAAGGAGTGCATAGATTCCTTGCGCAGTCTGCAAGCGACTCCGCTTCTCACAGCCAAGGATTTCCAGAAAGCGGAGAGTATGCTTCGCTTTGTGCATGAGAGGTGAGTTTGAAGACATTGTTATTATATAGTCTACTAATCACCTCGCAGCATTGACACAAAACTCGTTGGACTGATGGACTCCGTTGAGGCCAGTCGTTTCCCGGTAGAGGGCGTTCAGACCTACATCCACAACCAGTTACAAAATCTCAGCGCCGAGGTCCTCAAATACGATGAAGTCGCCGCTGAGTACCACAAGGCACAGCGGTCAAACGAGATTTTGAACCAGCGGCTCGAGACCCAGAAAGAGCAGTGCGGTAAACTGGAGGAGCAGATCGGGAGCTGTCGCCAAGATGAGGCCGACCTCAGATCGCGCTACTCGCAACTGGAGAATGAGCTGAGCGATCTCAGACAATTAGCACGCGATCGAGACTCTAACCCGGATCTCGAACAAGAGATGACCAGCCTGCGTCACCGGGTGAGGAAGGCTGAAGATGACTTGCAGACGAAGATCACAGAGCTCGACCAGGCCAATCAGCATCTTCAGGGCCAGGCAAGTGAGGTCGCGAAATCGAAGGTGAGTGATCGTTGCACCATCAGCGATAGAGTCTAAACGTATGTAGCAAACGGCGGAGGAGCACAAGAAGAAGCTCATACAGTTCGCTCGCGACGTCAAGAAGAGCAGGAAGGCATGTTGGTTGCTCTTTGGAGTGATAATTTCGCTAATCTGTCTGTAGGCTAACGAGACTGCCGTCGAGACACAGGCGAAGATCGAGGAGAAGTATCAGAAGGCTATGAAAGAGAAGGAAGTATCCTTGAACGACGAAATCCATCGCCTGAGACGTGAGCGAGACGGCAAGGATGCAGCTCTCGTTGCGTTGCAGAAGGATCTCGAAGAGACCCGAGAAAAGCTGCAAGCCGCAGATTTCGATGTCCAGAGCTACCGCGAGGAGACGAAGCGGCTCGAGAGAGAAAATGTTGATGCTGAGAAGAAGTTGAAGAAGGCGCAGCAAGTGGTCGACGAGGAATCCAGTTTCTCCTCTGAGCTCGCAGACCTGAAGGAGCAACTGGCACAGAACACTGACGCTCTCCACTGCAAGGAACGCGATCTCACTACCTTGCGAAAAGACTATTCCGGACTGAAGAGCAAGGTTGCTCATCGCGAAGACGAGAAAAGCCAATTACAGATGCAGTTGACCGAGAGTCATTCTGCCATCGAGAGGTTGCGGAAGGAATCTGATGCTCGTGTCGAGAAGCACCAGAAGGATACAGCGGCCTTGCTGGAAGCGCGCAATCACGTAGAGTCCTTGCAGAAGGAGAAGCGAGGCTTGGAGTCGAGCCTGGAACGATCTCGCCTCAGTGAGTCTAAGATGAACGATGCTCAGGCAAAGTTTTTGGTTGAGCGAGAGGGTTACCAGACCGAGATCGCTGAACTGCAAGCAGCCATTGAAGCAAAGGAGCGGGAAATGGGTCGAGTGCAGGCCGAGGCAGCGGAGAAGTTGGAGAGAGCCGCGGAGAGTCATCGCCTGGAGGTTCGCGAGTTGAGACACCGTTTGCGCGAGTCTGAGAATGCCTTAAAGGAGACTGAAACCAATCTTCGCCGCTCCGAGATCGAACACAACCGACAAGTCGAGGAGGTCAAGAAGGGCTTCCGAAAGAAATTCGATCAGCTTGTCCAAGCCAAGGTGACGAGGTCTCAGGAGCAGAGCGGTCAAAGCATCTTACCTGGCAAACCCCGAAACCCCCAACCTTTTCCGACGGTCTCTAGCACTTCCGTGGACACGTTACACAATGTCCAAGAGGATAATCCGAGGAAGAAGGTCAGCCGACAGAATAATTCGGTGCTGGGCAGCTCAAGTGCATCCCACACGTTGCAAGGCCCGGTTCCTGACTCAGCGACGGCGCTCAATGCTTGGTCAAACCATCGTGAAGAAGGTCCTCTCAGCCTCGACCTTATTGATCCAGCTCTGAGAGATGACCTGGGAGCAAGGGGATCACTTGACGAACACGGCGTCTCGGTCGTAGGTCCTGCCCCTGCAGTGGTTCCTGAGACACAGGAATCACTGACCCACAGTTTCGACCTGTTCAACTTGGACACGAATCAAGCGTCGGGTAAGGATAAGAGTTCTAACAGCATTCTCTCTGATATTCCCTCGGAAGAGCTCGACACGTTCGAGACGGAGCATTGGCCGATCCCGGCACCGGTTGGGGCGGTGCGTCGCGAACGCCCTTTGCGCGAAGAGCTTCCTGTTCACGGAAGAAACATGGAGACTCCAATTCGGGCCTCGAATGTGCTATACCCTGACTCTCAGTATTCTGGCTCACAGGATCGGCCAAAGTCCCAAGCTAATACAGCCTCTCGGATCATGCCTCCTCCACAGCAATTCCCATCACCCGGACATGGTACATCCGGCCGGGTGACAAACTCTACCGAGTCTCGGCCGCGACTCTCTCAGCGAAGCGGCAGGACGAGCGCCAATGCCACAAGCTCTCCAGACTATGTCCATCAACCAGCCTTGGGGTCGATGACCTACAGTCTTCGTAGCGGGAGGAATGCGATGCCAGCAGTTCTCCAGCGCGATGGTACCCCAAAGATTCCTGAACAGCCGTCCAGTTATAAGCGGAAGAGCTCCGCAAATTATGACAATGAGAGTCCGTCTTCGAAACGTTACCGCAGCTCCTCCCAGTCACTTCTACCCTCGGTCCCGAAAGTATACCAAGCACAAGCGGCCGGAGTATCCGATGCTCCGTCACGTCTTCGGGGCCATCGTCGCACTCCTGACCCTGCAGAGGGATCCCAAGGTCCAATGTCTTACCCAAGAAGGTCTAGTGTGGGTGGTCCGGCTCGTAAATCCCCCGCGCGTTCTTCCCAGGGTGCTCGAGGTCAGCTTTCCCTTGTTCTTGGATGTGGATCCATCGTGCTGACTGAGGCGTATTAGGTCGTAGCAGGCGCGGTAAAGGCTCTGGGAACTATGAGGACCGCTTCGCGCAGGAGCTAGAGAACGGTCGCGCGCGGGGCGGGCGCTGAGGACGGAGGTCTCGAAAGGCGATAGTCGATGCTGGAGGGTGTGTCCTACCGCATCCTTCGAGTAAGCGACTTGCTGAGATGGAAGCCAATGCTCGCTAGGGTTGCAAGCAGCGTTATGTTCGGGTAAGTCCTGAATGCAGGAGCGGCTGCCACACGTGCTAACGGTTCCTAGATGATTCGCGCGAGGGTCTGATATGATATTCGATTCGGGAGCACAATGTTATTGTAACGGTCGGCGGTGGTTTGTAGGTAGTGGGCGGCGGTTATCTGTTCATTATCTTCATCACGTATACGGTACTCGAGACTGGTGTAGGTGGGAGTAATTGGCTTCGCCTTCGCCTCGAGGAAAGCAGGGGAAGCGCCGTTCGTTACGCAGGGGCAATGGAATCAAAGCGATGCTATGTGTGGTATGAATATGATTGCAGCTGGTTAGATAGTATCCAAAGACTGTATCAGTTACCTTTCTCCGAGTCCGAGTGGTGTGGGCACTATGCACCGGAGTACTCCCTCGCCACACTACGAGCAACCGGCTGTGGCCGGTGTGGTTGCTATGCTGGGGGCTGCGGCTAGCCTTGGCAGGGACTTTGCCGTTGTCTGGTGTGAGGTCTCCCCTTCGCAAACTTTTCGCTCGACTCTTCACCCCCATCTCTCCCTCCTCCCTCTCAACACCAGCCACCACCACATTCCATCACGACATTGTACTTCGCTGCTGCCACTATTATGAGCAAAGAGATGAAGCTCCGATCCTTCTTTTCTTTCCTGCTTCGTCCTGCGGCGCGCGCTGGATCCTCGGCGGTGGCTTCTTTTGGGAGCGCCGTCCGGGATCGGGGGCGGCGACAACACACCTTCGCGCGACCTCCTTGGGTATAGTGTCTCATCTCCCTCACTAATAACGACAGCAGCAATGAGCTCCAGCTTGTTGCTTGTTGTTGACTCCCCTCCTCGTCGAGATATTGGCGTCGACGCTTCGGCGGCGCTTCGCCTGCTCGCGTCGTCGGGCGCCCACAACAATAACTCCAACACCAGCAGGTATACAGCAGCCGCTTTCTGAGTAAGTCACCGACATATTCATTCTCCTCACCCAACTGTCTGCGGCGAAAAGACGAGTTTTGTTGACAGCCAGACATGTGTGCGGCAGGCGGCTTCGGCGACTCGACCGCAGGCAGCTCACCGGCAATGACAACGCGACCTGGTACATGCCAGCAGCTCCCTGAGTAAGTCCTCACCCTATTCATCCTCCTCACCTACTTTGCTTCGGCGAGAACGTTGGCGTCGGCTTGCTGGGTGTCTTCGTCGCGAGGGCGCCGGCGAGCGGGCGCGAGCTCGCATTGTGCCGACTCAACACCACAACACCACGCCAACTCCTCCCTCATTCAGCAGCCAACACATCTCGCAATGAGACTCCTGCTAATTGGGCTTACAGCTGCTCCTGGTCGCTATGGGATTCGTCTTCGGGTGTCTCTTGTCTGTCTTGCGCGATTCCAGCTCAGGCGATCAGAAGCCCGCATCGCCACTCCAGCAGCGTCATGGCCAGCTTCACGCTGGTCGGCAGGAGACATACACATATCAGCGAATCGACTCAGCTCGTTGGCTGCGGCTGCTCGACTTCGACTCTCAGTCTGCGACCCTCGACCTTCGACAACGACATCACGGGAGCTGGTCCGTGCCCGGCCGTGAAAGTGGCGATCTCTAGGGAAGCAACCGAGTCCAGACAAGTATTAACCCTTGTACTCAACCCCTCTATTCTTCTTCGTCCTAGCATGAGATCAGTAACTTGGCTGACTTGGACTTAGACAGGATACTTCTCTTTGGGGCGTCGGCACCACACCCCGGTCTAGCGTCCTGCGCGGTCTCCTTCCTGCGCGGCACCGTCAACCATGCACATACTCAGACATGTTTGGTGTCTGTACTCTCATGGAGCAAGTACCTCGTATCATCGAGTCCCTGGCGGCTTACTCGATAGTCGAAGTCTTCGTCGCACTCAAGATGTCGCTGCCGCCTTCAGTCCCGACCTGCCGGACGTCCCAGTCAGACTTACAAAAGGTACGGTCGCCTTCTTGCTCTTCTCTATTCTTGTCATCATCGCCTTCTTCTTCGTCTCCTTCCTCACCATCGTCTCTACGTCTTCTTCGTCGTCATCGTCATACTCTTCCCCCTCTTTGTTCTTCCATCTCTTCTCCCTTCGACGGCCATAGAGCGTCAGGTCCGCTTCCCCATAGCGCTACCCACGCTGGTCTCATCTCAGACCACTGGCCCAGAACAACATCTCCCCAGTGGAGTCGTCGTACTCGAGAGAGAGCAAGCGCCATCCTTCGGGGCGGCAGGGCGGCTAGTTCGTGTCAGTTTTATTCCGCAAGTCCTGTCTCGGGCAAGGGACGGCACCTGGCTTCGGCTGGGTAGGATGTCCGCCCGTGCTAGCTCTTTGCCTCGATACGGCGGGCGATGCCGATGTTTTGCTTCCGGGACTGGCTGAGCACCGCCTGGTATGGGCCTTGCCTGGTGTTATTGGACGTGTCTGTGGTTGCGTCGAGGTCGCACATTCTTCTCTTCTTCCTGCTTCATGCTGCGCGTCGTCTTTGGGCTTTTGAACGTCGCTGACTCTTGATCGCAGAATATCATCGCATCACCGAGCCGCCCTTCTTCATCGCCCTCTAGCCTACCATCACAAGGTGAGCCTCATCCACATACTCCCCTCTTCTCCCATCCGGCTGACGGTCCGTCGGTGCGGCATCCTCATTGCCGTATCAGGACGTACCAGCCCAGATGAACCAACCCATTCGTCGACAGGCAGAAGCAGGCACTCGGCTGGCAATCCGAGTTCAGGGACACGGACCCAAGAGGAGGGCCCATTGGAGGGTCCGGCGTGACCCGGGTATGTCATGTGGGGGTGGTGAGGTAGACCACCTTTTGTGTGCCCTCGCCAGCTTCTTTGCCTCGAGATGAGCGATGCCGACGTGTTTCTACCGGGACTGGCCGATGGTATTGCCTGCCTTATTGTACATGTCCGTGGTATTGTCGAGCTCGTACATACCTTCTTCCGTTGTGGTTTCGCTTTGGCAGTTGTCGCTGAGCATTGCTGACATTGATGGCTTCACAGGTTCTCGGGTCGTCGTCCTCCTCCTCCACGCCTCTTCTTCGACCACACTGTCTTCCCTCGCTCTTCGGTACGTCACACTATCCCCTTCTCTCCCTACCCTGGCCTTTATACACATTTCGGCCTCAAACAGCTCAGGTCCGCTTCCCTATAGCGCTACCCAGCTAGCTCCTAAGCGGAGCAAGGGCCCACAATAATAGATCATCATCCAAGATCCGACGGTGTCCGGGCCGCAAGTAGTATCTGGTCTTTCTTGGGTGCGGCCCTAGACATGGCTTAGACACATGTCTGGTTGGATAGATGAGCGGAACTCGACACAACCGTAGCCGGTGGGCAGGGACCGCATTCCTGATCATACGGCGGCTGGTTGTCGGGGGCCGCACATACTCGCTTATCATGTTTGAAGCTGCTGCTGGCTTTGTCGGTGATTGATGGATTTTGCTGACTGTCACAGTGTTACTTCTTCTCAACTGCCGAGAATCTGAAAGGTAGGTCCTCCCTGCACTTCCAGGGACCATCACTGACCAGCTCATCCAGGCTCTTTTGATCCCCTACCTCTTCTGCACCGTACGTCACACACACACACACACACCCTCTTCTCTCTCCTCACAAACGGCCTTCTCAGCCATGGCTCCGACCATCCCATGTCGGACGCATATCGAAGAGCGCCCAGATGAATATCACACCGCGATCAGTCCGGACAAGGAAAAGACGCTCTTCGCCTCTCTGATGAGTAGCGAGAGCGCCGTCTCTGGCCCGGGGGCGTAAGTTTCACGGGGAAACAATTATCCTTTCGGACGGTCGAAGGGCTTGGGGCGTAAGATCGCGTCGATGCAGGTTGTATCCGCGGTGACGTTGACGGCCGCTCCGTCGTGTTGCTGGTGGTGGACCGATGCTCGTACATCTATTCCCTTCGTCGTATGTTGGCATGTCTTCAGAGCAACTGCTGATCTTGATACAGACTCTTCCCGACACCAGCTTCGCTGGTCTTCATCCTGTAGGTGAGTCATCCTCTCCCTTCCTCTCCTTCTTCTTTCGTCTTCTGTCCTCCACGGCTCTGGTGTTATGGCTACGACTTTTCCATGTCGTTTCCATGCAGCATAGAGCCAAGATGAACGTCAAAAGCGCGGTACTGTGGGTTGTTGGGAGAAAAGGCCTGCTTGGGGCCCCAAGGCAGGTCAGTCGTCAGTCGACGTGCTAAAGAAACGGTGTGCCTAAGAGGCAAAATAGCGAACGAGTAACAGCTCTCGGACGGATTCGAGAGCCGGGGCGATACCGCGATCGATGCAGGAAGTTTCCGCGGTGACGTTGGCGGCCGTCCGCTGTGTTGCTGGTGGTTGTCCGTTGCTCGTACATCTCTTCGTTGCTTTGTTGGCTTCTTCGTTACTGAGAGCACTACTGACTAGAGCTCCAGGTCCTTCTTCCGATCGCATCGCGGCTGACGTCGAAGCTGGTGCCCGTGGAGGTAAGCTCGTCTTCCTTTCCTTCCTCTATCTTCTTGTCGCACTCTCCTTCGGCCACGGCACCTGAGCCTTGATCCCACATATCGCTGCTCAGCTGTGCCTTCGGCCAAAAACAACGTCACACCGCGGTACTAGTGGGGAATCCTGGGGGAGCAGCCTTTAGGCTCTCCAAGCTTACTCGGAGCCCCAAGGTGAGCGCCTATGCTGGGCGGTCGGTCCGTACAAAAAGTCGTTTCAGGTGGAAAAGTGCTCCTGACGGTTAGGGAGCTGGGGCGTATGTACCGCGGCCGATGCAGGATACACCCCCTAGCGACGTTGGCAGCCGTCTGCTGTGTCGTTGGTGGTCATCCGTGCTCGTACATTTCTTCGTTTCTTCGTTTGACGTTGCTTTGAGCGTCGTCCTTATCAGAACAGCGCTGACGATTTACCAGGTCTTTAGTCCCATAGGATCACGACTCAGATTGACTCAGCCAAGTGTTCTCCCCGGGTTCGCTCGTTCTTTCTTCCCAATCGGCCTGCCCGACGGACTGGACACGACATCCTATTCGCATCCAGTGCAGTTCCTGTCTGTAGTCAGCTGTGCTCGATGCGAAAGCGGTTTATGGAAGGAGGGGGCATGTGTGGCTCAGACATGCGTGTTATTGTCGTACACCGAAACCACAGGGTGTCCCCCAGGCTTTCTGTACGCAGGATCTGTTCACGACGAACCGTGTTCGCCGTAGTCATCATCGCCATCAAGGAAAACAGAGCGCAAATCGAGCGACTTACTAAGCTGTAGCTTCTCTAGAAGTGGCACTCGGCTCACATGAAAGCGATCACGCTTCCGCTGCTTTCGATAGCAGTATCAGGACTCCAACCTGGTAAGTCGAATCCTCTTCCTTCTCTTCTACACTGTTTTGGCGGTGATGAGTGGAGGCGCCTCGATAGTCCGCTTTCGGCTCGAACATTGCTGACAGGCTCTAGGCAGAAAAGATCGCCGCACTTTCCTGGATTCCTTCAGGTCGACACCAGATTCAGTAGGTCAGCATCCCTTCTCTTTCCCGATCTTGTTGGCGATGATGAACAAAATTGACCAATCGTACGAGAAAGCCTGGGCTTCGGTCTGCGGTTTCGATGTGCGAGCATGAACAGCTCTAAGCCACCTCTTTCATCGTCCACTTTCGCCTTTCGCTTCTTCGAAAAGCTTCGCTGACATATCGAGAACCAGCTTCTTCGCGTTCATCTCGGTCGTTCGACGACCACAGTACGTCTCCTCACAATCCCCAACCTCCTTCGGCCCTGGTAAACGAGCACGATCCTTCATATCGTGTTCGCGAGCCTCGTCTCCCTCAAGATGACAAAGGCCTATATGAAAGACATACGCAGGCTGGGGAGTCTGAAACTTATTAAAGAAGTATTCTGCCTGAAATAGGCAACTTTCCGTCAATCAAGAAGAAGCTAGTCCCGGCTAGGGATATCAACAGTAAAGGCTCCCCAGCCCGGCGTCAATGCCAGACACTTCCGAGGCCGGTAGCGCTCGCCCCGCTTGATACGGCTTGTGGTAGTCTGTGCTTGTACATTTCTTTTCGCGGCTTTGCTTGTTATCGGTGCCTGCAAGGGTGCTGGGTGGGCCTTCGCTGACTCGTCCAACAGGTTCGACTTGACTTCGCAGGGAGTTTCGGCGCGCTCCATTTTCGACGACGCTCGCTTCCTGTGCCGCCGTCCGGCGTATCAAAGGTCAGTGCAGTCTCTATCACGTTCTAGCCCTCTTCATCCAAGGATGACACATCTCAAAGAGGTATACTACTTCCGACTCATATGACGATAAGAGTATGACTGACTCTCTGGAATCGTTGCTGCTAGTGCACAGACTGGTCCCCCATCGTCCTTACGAGTTTTGTTGCTTACGTTCGGGATCATGTTCAAAGGTCAGTACAGCCCTATCAGTCTCCAGCTCCTTACTCACCTGATGATACCTAAAACGTCGATCTGAACTTCACTGAAGTCGACACGGGAAACTTCGCCTGACCACGCAGCGTTCCGCTCCGGCTTCGACATCCGTCCTCTATTCGGAGTAAGGCTGACGAGCACACAGGCCTCTGCTACTCGCTGGTGGTTTCCCGCCCCATCCTGATCGCAAGAAGTAAGTCCAGCATCTTCGTCTTCCGGCTCTTACACACCTCTATGATGAGACCTCTGTATCCCCGGCCGTCCATGGCGATCAACTTCACGCGTGAGGATAACCTTCATGCCTGATTGCCAGTTGTTCCCCTTCGCAGCTGCCGTTCTCCTGCTGAGCAAGGCTGACTACAAAGAGGTCCGATATAAAGGATGGGGATCATCGTACGGCTCGCCTATGAGATCATGTGTGCCCACGTCAGTATTGCACCATCCTTGTTCTCGGGTCCACTTACCTCTACGACGGTATCCCACACCGACCTATCAGCCTTTGAAGGTCATTAGCATCCTTTTCAGCTCTGAAGCCTCGCTATCGCTCATCCGATAGAGCACATGCTGTGCACGCGTCGCGCTTGCCTGCTCACACGTAAGTCACTCCTCCCTCGTCCTATCCTTGCGATGATGAAACAACCACGAACCGAACGGTTCTTATCCTAAGTAGTTAGTTGCCGGAAAAAAGGCGGCACTGAGCACTCATCTTTGCGATTTTCCCTCAGCGAGACTTGCGACTATAGCTGACATCGTGCATCTATAGGGCTTTCTGGAGTCGAGCTTCGAGCCAGAGTTTCTTCGATTTACAGGCGATCGTCTTTGAACGCGTTCGGTCATCAGCGTGCAACCTCGATACGCGCGGCTTCGGAGCCTGGATGTTCTGTGGCGCAAGGTAAGCTTCCCTCTCCCCTTTCTCTTCCCATCTGCAATGATGAAGCAACCCAGACCCTTTGGGTCAACTCACCAATTAGTCGTTGCGTGACAATCCGGCGGTACCTGAGCTCCTTCGTCTTTTGTCTCTTTGACATCTGCGCTTGTTAGCATCTCGCTGACCTCATTTGAACACAGGACTTCCCTTGACGAGCGAACGAGGACCGGCCCGCCTTTCGGAAATATATACGCCTTGCCAGGTGTAAGACATCATTCCCTCTTCCCTCCCCTGGCGATGATGAAGCATATATCTTTCCTAAGGAGCTAGGTGCCGGACATGAGACGGATTCTGAGCCCTGAAAGCTTCCCACGGCCCTTGCATTCCACAGTCGAGAAGTCAGCTGACATTGAGAGTACAGATCATCGATCGCATCCGGTCGGCTTCTATATCAAGGTAAGCTCATTCTTCCCCAGCATTCACGCCCCGCAATGATGATACCCACATGATCGGTTCGCCCATCAACCTGCTCCCCTACGTGCCTTGGCGCGTAGGGCGAGTTCCTAGTAGTTAATGCTGGAACGGTAGCCTCCACAGGTCTGAGCGCTCACGCTTCCCCCAACTTTCCGTCGCCGCTGCATGCAAGAGCTTGGCTGACATCCAACATAGGTGTGATCGCGCGAATCTCATCGGCTTCTACGAAAAGGTTAGTGCAATTTCCACCGCCATACCCTGCAATGATGATACCCACTCGATCGGCTAGCGGTCAACCTGCTCCCTTGCGGTTGGGCTTATCCTGGCCGCAGGGCGAGTTCCTAGTAGTTCCTGCTGGAGATGACGGCCTATACAGGTCTGAGCTCTCACCGTCTCCAACGTCCACGTCGATGGCTTCAGAGGTCTTCGCTAACCTTTGAGGGACAGGCGCTCTTCTAGGTGCTCGATCCGTCGCTCGCCTGAAGGCGAACATCAGCTTCACGAGATACCGCCGCCATAAAGGCCGTTAGAGTATCCTTCCCCCTCTTATTCCCCAATAAGGATATCGATCTGACGGACTGATACCTCAATCTGTGTACAGATTCTTTCGCGTATCGTGCCCGGGCGGCTAGCGGATGGGGACTCGCAGGATAAGACCGGTTCGCTCGCGCTCGTCAAGGTTCCTATTTGCAAGGTCAGTACCCGCTCTCTCTCTCTCTACCGACATTTCGTGTAGATAACCGCTTTTCCGGTTGTCGCATCGATCTTCCTTTGACTAGGACTGCACGCTTCCGCGAAAGACGCCAGCCAATCTGAGGGTTCGGGGTCTCGCCGCACTCAAAGCGCAAGTATAGCAGAGTCAGTAAGGACGCCGTAGCTGCCAGATGGGTTATACGTACGCTGTCAACTTCCCTCTGCAGCTTATCTTGTCGCCTCCGAGCGACTCTCGATTCCGAATTTGCTCTCGATGCCGGTCCGCATGGTATAGCCCACCTACATCAAGGTTAGTTAATATCCCCACTCCCCGATCTCATGGCAATGATGAAACCCTTCAAAAACAAAAAAAAAAAGGGATTGAGCGGGCCTTGAGCAACGCTCAAATATCCTCAAAAGAAGAATACTACACGGCCCCCACGTTGCTCACGTCGTACCGTTTTTCGAAACGGACTGACGATATTCTTTCATCCTGAGCCATCTCTCTATTCTGCGATATGCGTTCTCGTATGGAATTGTAGCCGAGGCTAATTCACGTGCAGGTCGGTCGGTGTTCGGGGCGCGTCGTAAGGACGTGTCGCGGTCGAGAAACGAGGAGCAGGGATTCCAAAGAGCATGAGGAGAGATCATCTGTAAAGGTCAGTATCACCCTCCAGTAGAGCGGGATATACGCGCCTCGTATTCCGCACGTGATTCCACTTCTTGTCGATAGGTATGCGCTTGCGGCTTGCCAGCTGCCGGTTACCGCCAGCTATCAGGTATGTATCGCCTTCCCGTTCTCTCCATTTCAGAGCCGCTGTATCTGTACCTCCGCTGATGATGGTATCGGTTTCGTGCGACGCGTGCTGTTGAAATACAGCTCGTATTCGGCTGCGGATTACATGGGTCGGGCAGGAGCCATGCTGCGAAAGGTTAGTCGCCCGCCGAAACAGACGTCGCGAAAAAGACGGCATGAACTCGCCAGCTTCCGCCACCACCACGGACGACATCGCTTACCTGCGTTTTCAGCGTCCGCTGCGGCTCTCTGGTATCCAGAAAGCGTTGTCGCTCTTGTATAGTGTCAGAGACGATCGTAGCGTTTGCTCCTGGTGATCTCTGAGGCTTGGCCCATGCCACCGCCGCCGTGCGCGATTGAAGGTCGGAAGGCCACACCGTCGCCAGATTGACAGAGTAAGACCAGGTAGGATTCCTCTCCCCTATACCGTTGTCTCTTATTGTCCCTTGCGTCCTTGTGTGTGTTATTGCCGCTTGTTCTTCCAGCTCTCCGTCCGCCGTTATCGCCGATCGAGGTCGGGCGATGCGCGGTTCTTGCGGAGCTTGTCAGAGGCGGTCGAAAGAGCAGAAAGAGAAGCGCGACAGCGATCGTAAGTATTGCGGAGGTTGCTGAGTCGTCTGATGCCACTTGCCGTGTCTCGACTGCGGTCGCGGTTCTTGTGTGCAGCGTCTGCGGAGGTCCTGCAAACCCGTCAGCGTCGCCCACCTGCTCCCCTTTGCGTTTACACGTCTTCTATCCGTTTCTTTCGGGCGATTATTAAGAAAGCTGCCTGTTCAAACCCTTACATGTCAGCGGATACTACCCGCCCTACATTAACCAAACCGGCACCTGTGTCAGCTGGCGCGCTTCCCCTGCACCTTCCCGGATAGCTGCGCCGCTGTGGGTCGCTGGGGAGGAGACGGACCGCAGAGTTTTGCACAGACTGGCTCTTTCATGCCTTTCTGGGCTTCTGCAGATGGTCTGCCTACACCCCTTTGTTGTCGCTGTTGGTGAGGTGGGTCGGTCGACGAGTCACGGCGGGGCTTTCGCGGTCGGCGCGAAGTTTCGAAGGGCGAGGCATATCACCGTGCGGAGGTAGTGGGATGTCGGAGGAAGGGGGTAGTTGCCCCCGCAGAGATGTTCACGTCGTCGTCGGCGCAGGTACGTAGCTCGGTCACCGTTACTGTCAAGAACTCATTTCATTCTCCCCGCTGCTAGATGCAAACCAGAGCTTTCCACCTCACCCCGCCCGCCTCTGCTTCACACCTCCTTGCCGTTGACGAAGGTCTTCATTCGGCGGCCCTTCGCCTTCTCCCACTCCTCCTCCGTCACCTTCTCTTCTCTCACGTCGACCGTCACCGCTTTGAGATTTCTGTCAGCTCCCTGGATGCTCTGTGGCGCTGTAGTAAGTACTTACTCTTCGTGCCGCCCTGCCCGGCAGCAAGAACCCGGCGAGCGTGCTCGCGCTCCTTCTGCTCCTTCTTCGCCTTCCTCTCCTCGGCCATCTGGCGGCCGAATTGGCGCCCTTTGTTGATGAGGCCCCGGAGGGCGGTGGTGGCGTACTGAATGCTGGCGGCCAGCATGATGTCGTTGCCGTAGGTGATTGTGGGGGTTTGATGGTGGTGGTATTCAGATGCCGTATGGCGAAGATCTTGATGGTGGTGGAGGGCGTGTATGGTGTTGTAGAGAAGGGGAAAGCGGCTTCGACACCAAGGCAAATCTAAGCCGTCTCCCTTCAACACTCTTCACTCCAAGCCGCTGCATCACGTAACAACGCTTGGGCCCCTTTCCGCAAGCGAGCGCCGCTGTGCCCATTTAATCCCCTCCCTTCCATGACCTTTTCCTCTCCTCCGCTTCTCCGCGATTCGCGGTCCATGCTATGCGGAATGCTTCGACCTCGGCGGCTCCAATAGAGGAAGAGATCTTCTCGCATACTAGAATAACACACCAGTCCTGAGGGCGCGTCTCGACCAAGGGCGCGTCTTCAATACCACACAGAGAAGCATCAACTTTCTGGGTGGAGGGACACGGTTTACATATTTTTTTTTTCATGTAGCTATTATGTCAATACAGCTACTCTATCCTACTACGCATATGTTGTTCTTGTCGTGATGTTGCCTCTGTGATACTGCGATTCTTGCTTCTCTCGCTGTTGCCCGCATCCGCTTGGTGATTCCGTAACGCCCCCGCTATCGCCATCGGCGTTGTTTACGTCCAGCTTCACGTTGCCCTGTGGCTCACCGCAGAGTGTGCACAAGGGCAGAGCCCTTGGTCTCTCAAGAGGGTTCATGAGAAGCTGATCCTGGTGGTGAGAATGTTTTGTGCTGCCGCCATGCGGGGCTTGGTGGTGATGTTTTGCCGCTGGTGTTGCAAGTCACAAACCGCTTCACGCCCGCCATCTACCAGCTTAAATAAGGTGACGTGTATCTGTATAATCGGGATAGCTTCATGGTGTTGTCTATCTGCTAGGCAAGCTGCTCGCCGCCCTTGGTTCGGTCACTGCGGAGGTGGTACTCCCGCGCTCTGCTCGCTCCACGGCGATGCTACTGCGGCGATCTGCGTATTCTCGCGCTCTCCATGGTGTTGCAGTAGCTATAGAAGGTATCCAAACAATTGGACATGTCCGTTCCTCTGCTGTGTTTGACTTTTGCGCCCCTGTATCTTCCTCTGGCGCTCCGCCCTGCCTCATGAACGCGTCCTACATTGGATTAATAACTCTACGGGCTTGAGGAGCTGCCGCCGACGGTTCTCAGGATACTGCGCGTATGCACGCCGTCGACGTACGTGCTCTTTCACCCTTGGTGTTGCACCGGTGATGGTGGGCTGCCGGCGCCGTCTGGGCTCCGGCGCAGAGTTTTCCTGTATGGCATCGCAGTCAAACAGAGAACTAAGCATGCTGTTGCAAGCCGCTGCTACTTGCAGCTCGCCAGAGCAGGTCCAAAAACTTCTTGCCTTGGTGTTGCAGCCCGTCTATGTCCTCATCCACCCCCTGCACCCCCTCCTGACGCTGCGAGCTCCTTCCTTAGGCCCCTCTTGGTGTTTTCCAGCCCCCCGAGCCCAGCCTCACTCACTGCAACTGCCTGTTGTGGCGGGGGTCGGCGTTACCGGGCGCGCCTCCCCTGTCTCCACCCGGCTGGTGAGATTAAATTTTCGCGCCTCACGCTCGACTCACTTCTCTCCTCCTCCTCCACCCCACCACCAACAACAAAATTTTTCTACCCCTTCCTTCTTCATGGCCTTGCCATCCTCCTCGGCCTCTTCAAGCAGCCCGTAAGTATCTCCCTCTGCCTCTCCCTCCACCCCTGGCAAGATTGGCGGCGTCGCCGGAGCGACTCCAAAAGCCTCACCCCGCTCTCCGCAGCAGCGAAGGCAACAGCGACACATTTTACTGACCTCCTCACCCTTTTAGAGCTGCATCAGGCTCCTCCAGCGCCTACGGGCGACCCTCAGCCCGACTTGGGTGAGGGCTCCACAAGACGCCACCACCGAAGAGAAGCGCGGTAAGCATCCCCTCCGCCTCTTGCACTTTGTCGCGACCTCCGCAACTTTCCGAGCCTCGCCTTGGCCGCGGCCATGACGACCAAGGCAGTAGAAGCACCCTTAGCTGACATTCCACCTCCTTAGATGGTGGCTCTGGTGAAGCCTCCGGTATACGTAGTATCCTCATTGAACGTACCCCCCGTGGGCCGCCCTTGAGATGGACGCCAACCCTACAGGACCACGTCAGGTGACCTTATGTTCACGGGTCACTTCGAGAACGTCCCCGAGGCCAATACAAGGTCAGGATCGGCGAGAGTCGTTGGGTTATCGACCATTGTGTGCGAACCGGTAAGTCACACTCGTCTCGCTCTACCAACACCTCACCTCACCCACAGCCAGCTAACCATCCGTAGATACCACCGTTTCCAACGAGCAACGAGTTGGGCCTCACTGCTCACACACTCTCTTACCCCTCCTCTTGAGCAACAGGATGGTGCCAATGATGGGGATAAGCGCTTCGGCAGGATCTTCAAGTCGGTCGAGATGCCGAGCATTCTGCTTAACCCACCAATACGCGCCGCGGGTATGCATCCTCTTCCTTATCCAACACCTTCATCGCTGACGTTGTGACAGAATCCACGCAGTATGCAGCGACTCTACAACTGCCAGTCTGCTAGGATAAATCCACTCGCTGGAGGTATTTCACACGAAGCATCCAGAGTGAACAGACAAAGTCGTCCGCGATGAAGCAGCCGTAATGCGCTTCCGTAGTTTGTCTTCGCCGAATGCCGCAATCCTTGGCTCGGTATGGAATCCTCCTCTTTTACCTCTCCCATCACTGACGTCGCAAAGATACGGTCTCGCGTGTTGAGCAAGCCCTGTAATGCCATCCCAGGCCGGTCTGGCTCAGCTCCACAGGAGAAGACACGACAGCAGACTCAGGCACCTTCGCCCCCACCGTTAGTATCTCTCTGGCAACACGTCTGCGCCTCAGTATGGCACACAGAGTCCTGGTCTTGTCGAAGGCATGGTCTAGTATGCCACTCCCTAGCAATGCCTACACTCTGTCAACAGCGACCAGGATCTAGTTAAACGCGCGACAAGACCAATGTGAGTACCTTACCCGCCAGCCTTTGCTTCAGCTTACTGACTATTGACTTGGCGATGCTTAGGTAGATAGATCAGTCAAGAACTCAGACAGGTTAGTACTTCCCTTCATCACAAAGACAAACAGCCACTGACCTTTTCGCAGTTCAACCTCTCATCCCCTTCCTCCTCGTACCGTGACACATCATCCCCCTCTTTACACCTCATATACATACACGGCCGTGGTGACTGAGTTCGGATGACCCATATCTTTGCTCACGTCCCCTGTCTTCGGACAGCCAGGCCAAGAGTAACTCCCAATCCCCGATCACTCCCTTTTTGTGCTCGCTCCTTTTCCGTCTTCATTACAGCCTCAGGGAGCATTCTGTCGCTAAATTCAAGGAGCGGGAGTGGTTGGGTTGACGCAGGATGAGCTCCGCTGTAGAAATACGCGATGCTCCGCAATGACATGGCAGGTTGTCCTGCATCATACATTCTTTTAGGGTGTCGTACCCTTTGTGGGCCTCGGGGGCTTCGAGCTCGTCGTCGCTGTGAGCGATGGCGGGCGAATTATTCAATGGTAAGTCGTCCTCGGTTTTGCGGTTGTTACTGATTTCGCGCACCCTGCGCATCCGCCCACAGGAACTCTCGCAGCGGTTGGTTGAAATCCATTGCCGAGAAGCAATCGAGGAGGCTCCAATCGATGTTAGTATTTGAATCTCTGCAAGTCTTCATCAAACTCCATGCCGTGTTTGCTGACAGTGGCTGCAGAGATCTTAGGTAGCCAGACCGCGTCCATGAATAGCGTCAGGTAAGTCTCTCCATCCCTTGACAGTTACTGTGTGCTAGTGTGCTAGCAGATCGACAATTACATCCACCGCCGCCGTCCTCCATCTTTTCCCTCCTTTTCCTCCAAGTCGCGACTTTTCATACGGCCGGAGTCACTGGGCGGCCGATCTGTCCATATCGCTTCCCAAACTCAAGTCTGCCAAGATTGACGCAAACCCGAATACTTGTGGGACCTGGGGGCCGTCTAGTACTTTTCTTTTCAGTACTCAGCGGCAAGGATACAGAGAACTCCGCCGCACAACGCATTTCGTATTCGGAATGACGCAGGACACAACCGCGGCGTTGCGCGCAGCAGCACCGCAATAAACGCTGGTGGTCGTCCGTGCCTCATACATATGCTTTGGGGGCTGAGGGCTTTGAACAAGACGTTGCTGAGCGCAGTGGAAAGCAGGGTCTTAAATGGTAAGTCGCCCTTCACGGTATCGATCGGTCAGTGCTAACGACATGGTGTCCTGCTCATACATATCTTCGCTCATCGAAGCCGCCTTTATGGCCGAAGGCGCTTCATAGTCGCGATCATCCTACCGAATAGTAAGTCTTCTTCCCTTTCAGGGCAGAACTGCTTACCTCTTCAGATACATGGGATGCAAAATCTGACTCTACACGTCCTCGTCTCGTGCTCCCGGTAACATCTCTGCGGAGATGGCTAAGTAGAGCAGTGGCTGCCCTCACCAGCAGTCTGGCCTTGCCGCCGTCGCCGGTCTCGTCAAATCCCCACCGGCCGTGACGCCCGCCACAGGATCGCCTACCGTGCCGCCAGTTTTGGGTTTCTAGGAAGGGAGTGTCGGCGCTGTACGTTGATAGTAAGTGACTTCCGTGATTTCTGTCTTGGTATCCAACGCTGACTGGAGTAGGTAGGAGTCGTGGTTTAGAGGGCTCGCTCTCCTGCCGCGTTCTGATGGTGGTCCGTTCCCAGGCCGCATACCGGTAAGCTGTCTGTTTTAGTATAGAAGCTTGACTGTACTGACTTGAACCATGTAGTGGAATATTCTATATTAGCAACATCAACCACTTTGAGGACCAGTGGGCCGAAAAGAAGTGCAGCCTCGTCGCCGACGATCGACCTCACGATGGACTGGGTGTCTATACCCATCAAGACACCGATTTCGAGCGGATGACCAATCCTGGGACAAATAATGGGAAGAGCCTCTGGTATACCGAGGACACAAACAAACACATGTTATGATTTCAGTCTCGCCGTTTGGCCGAAGCGACATGGCGCTCGCTCCATCATTACATCGCCCATCATTCCCGCGCGCTTGTACACTTCACAGGCAGTCAGCTGCCGAACGCGATTCGCCAGCGCACCCCGAATGCGACGCTGAGCGATGAAGCCATGCCGAACAACTCCAACAATCACTGGAGAGGGCTTCGGCGTAAAGCGTGAATAGGGCGGGGCCGCAGCCAAAACATGTCTGGACCCTGCCGGCAGCCCCATGCCATGCGGTCCCGCCCTGCTCTTCCTGTTGAGCGAGGGCCAGTAACACATCGATAAAGGACGTCACAACTGCGTGCTGTATACGCGGGATGGTGACGACTGAGTAGGGCGAGGTCGGTGCCCTACTCACCTAGTTAGCGGTCCCGCTCTCGGCCCCTTGGGCACATGGGACCGCAGCCAGAACAACTCTGGCTCTGCCGGCAAGTGATGGCCGGCAGAAGCGGAAACGCACCCAGGACGAATGGGACCGCAGCCAGAATAACTCTGGCTCTGCCGGCAAGTGATGGCCGGCAGAAGCGGAAACGCACCCAGGACGAATGGGGCCGGAGCCAGAATAACTCTGGCTCTGCCGGCAAGTGATGGCCGGCAGAAGCGGAAACGCACCCAGGACGAATGGGGCCGGAGCCAAAATACCTCTGGCTCTGCCGGCAAGTGATGGCCGGCAGAAGCGGAAACGCACCCGCGCAGGACGAGGCTAAAGAGGCGAAGAGGAAGGGAGCTCGATGTCCGGGACCCCTTTGCCCTCTACAGTTTGCCCCCGGAGTCCCCGCCGGCAAAATGGGGCCTCCGGGCAGTATTTCTTCAAGCCAACGGAGAATAATCGACCGGTGGGTGAGATGCCCCCGGCACCCTCACGGCAACTTTGCCCCAATGAAGGTATGTACTGCTCTTGACTTAGTTGAAGGCTATGGCTGACCGCTAGCTTTTAGGCGGGCTCGTGGTGGTTATAGATGCCGGGTATGGCCGCAACACCCTTACAGGGCTTGCGGCAGCTTTGCCCCCATGAAGGTACGAGCTGATACAGACCTGTATCAAGACTCTTGCTGACTTCTGCCAGTATGGTTCTTGGGCCTTGGGAGGCTGCGCTGCAGGGGCTCGCCTCCCTACCGGGCCTGGCAATTATCGCGACCCAGCCATTGGCGTATACTGTGGCTGCCAGCAATTCTGAGGCAAGAGCAGCGCCGAGCTCCATGAGGCCATCAAGGAGCATCGGTCGAACAGGGAGCACTCGACCACCTCGGGACTATGATGGAGGCGGTCTGTGGCGGAAAGATTGACCGCGACATAATCAAGCAGGTCTATAAGATGCCTCTGGAGCGACACCTGGAGCACCTCAGGACATGATGGAGGCGGTCTGTGACGGAAACATCGACCCCAACGGAGGAAAAGAGGCGTGAGAAGCGTGCGCATGAGATCGAAGGAGAAGACGTGAGCGATGACGACCAGTGAGGTGCCACTTCCCAAGACCATGGAGGCTGCGACGACAGCAAACGGAGCAAAGACCACTGAAGCTCCACCTGAGCAGCCAGCTTATATGCAGCTTCTCGGCAACAAGATTGTCGTTAACAAGACTGAGCGACCTCCCCTGCTCCTCACCGACAACACTGCAAAAGTTCTAGCACATACTCTGCCAATTCGACATCTTGAGGAACAGCGACTGAACACCCTTTCGCGCAAAATCGCCTTTGGCGTCGACACTAAGGATGTTGCTGCCGTCGTCACGCGTTTCATCTCTGGCCGCTGCTCCCGGATGGCAACGGCGCCTCGTTAAAGGACGTCACAGCTGCGTACATATACGCGAGGATGGTGACGACTGAGTAGGGCGAGGTCGGTGCCCTACTCCTCATAGAAGCGGTGCAGAAAAGATCCGAATCTTCCCCCAGGTGCTCTGGGCTTCGTGCTCGACCCCGCACAATTGCTAGAGCAAATCCATGAAGACTGTCTAGATGACTTCGTGGACGATGGTGACTGGGGTAAGTCCGCATTTTGATGTTGGTCAGCGCACTTGGCTCAGCTTCGATGCCCTAAAAATTAGAAGATACGCGCCATTCGTGAGGGCCGCAAGCCGGCCGAAGAAGTTTAAATGGGTAGGTTCGTCTCTTGCTGCGTTTCAACACTCTGCTAACAATAGCGGCAAGCAGACAGGGACAACCCGAACGCGATCCAGCGCGACGTGAACAAGGGACATTGTTTTGTCGGTTGACATGCTGATCCACGATGCCGAGAATGGCCACAGTAACAACAACCCTTCAACATGCCAAATAATCTGGCCCAAACCGCCAGGGGCATTCCAAACGCGCTTCTTCCATGTCGGCCGACCGGCTGATCTCGAAGGCGAAAATAGGTTCGAGCTATTGCTCGTCAAGCTGTTCAGCGACTACAATGTCGTCTGGGGCAGCCACATTGAGAGGCTTTGCAAACAGGAGATACGCGCCAATCGTGAAGGCCGCAAGCCAGCCAAAGAAGAATAAGCCCAGGGGCAAGTCTGAGGAGAGGAGGCTGATTCTGCACAGCAGCGCGGCCGAAGACTGCATTCAGCTTCAGCACAGCAGCAGATCATCAAGAACAAAGACGGAACCGAAACCATAATCACGTACTCGATCCGCGAAGATGGCAAGAAGGTCTAGACCACCATCAAGAAGACGGTCATCAAGAGAGTGGCTCTTCGAGACGAGTGCTGCTGAGGTTTCAGCATCAAGGAGTGCCAGTACCCCAGATCTCACAGCGGTTGATCAAGCTGTGCACGAAGGGAAAAAGTGCATTGGCGCGAGTATCCACACCATGTTCCTGTGGGTGCTTTCTGCCCACAACAAAGGCCAAGTCCCGCCTTTCCGCCGAGTTGTTCGAGATGGACGGCGTTGTCGATACGCTCTACCAGATTCTTACGGGCGTTTCGCTTCTCGCCGGCACCGAGGATGAGGCGGAAAATATATATACCGTGGTTCGTCTTGCATGCTGCGGCAGGGGCAAATGCCTCGAAAACAAGAAGTCGGTTGCTGCGATCAAGGAAATGGGAGCGAAGCCACGCCGGGCTGCGGCGTCAATATCGAGCGAATCGACTTATCGGCAGGGTCAACGTCAACTGCGCTCCCATCATTCCCACTTCATGCTCAAGTCTGACTCTTTGGACGAGATGCCGGCGGACTAAGGGCCAATAATGCATCTGTGTTCTCCACAGAAACTGGCTTCTTCGGGCCAATGGACGACGTGGCCGAGTTAAGCCATGGCCCCCTCCTCTCCCATGAGAGTGGGTTGAACCGCAGTGAGCTCGATGACAGCCCACTGTTCCCATACAGGACGGACATGTCCCGCCCGGCCAATAACCAGCCAGCGTGGGCCGAACGCGGAGATTTTATATGAGAACCGTGGAGGTTGGAGGCTCTGAAGACGCTCAACCTTATGCATGCAGACATCATGGCAGGCAAAATCTACATGCCTAGAAGGAGTGGCAGCCGCCCAGTCGTTCCACTCCGCAGACGCCGTATTCAACCGGGTCGAACTTCCCCGGTCACCAGCGGGGCCATTCTATCGGCAGCCAGCAGCATGGGGGACTGAACCCGCCGCCAATGTAGCACCAGCACTCGGGTCTCTCGACCACGTCCGTCTCGACTGACACGGGCACCAGCTCTAGACACAACACCCGAGTACATTAAGACTCACGAGCGTCGCAAGCTCGGCGAGAGCTCAACCGAGAGGGAAAAAGTCCATGTACAAGAGCAAACCGGGCAACGGAGTCCCTGCGTGGACAGCCGAGTACTTGGTCGTCCAACAAAATAAGCCAACGGCGGTCTTTCCGATGCCGTTCGCGCCGCAATCGATCGTGACTCCCTTACGGACGGCATTGTCTCTGGACAGATAGAGAGTTCCGACGGCTTCTTGAAGTGGATAGTAAAATGTTAAGTAAGCGAGCTTCCCGAACGCTTTGACGAGTGCTAACTTTCGACAGAAACGCTTTAAGCATTATTTTCAGTCGTGGGTTTGTGGATCCATGATGTTGCTTTGTGTCGTGATGTTTGCCGGTGATGTAGACGTTGAGGATAAGTGGCTTCCCCCAAGGTACGTAAGCTCCGACTCCAGGAACAGGGGCTGACCAGCGATAGATCCATGTCGATAACACTCTTCCGGGGGTGATTGTAGCCAGCGCAGCGATTCTCGACACGGTACGTGTCGGTATCCTTCATGCGACAGACGCTGACTAGAACCGTATCTCTTTCCGACCCTCAGGAGGGTCTTCGTATGGCCGACCGGCCAGGATCCAGCTTCTTTACACAGGGTACGCAAGATCCGATTCGGGTCCACATACTAACCAGCTCGCATGCTCGAGCACAACCAGGAGTATGGTGGTCATGAAGACGAACCCAGTGACGCTTCTCCGTTCTATCTTTCTTTCTTTCTTTCTTTCTTTGTTGTTTTATATGCGTTTTGGTCGTTCTGCGTTTTGCAATTTCCAGTTCTGATGCTTCCTCATCCTTTGTATCCGTTCAGTGGGTTCTTGTATTTCCTGCTCCTATGCGTCCTAGCCTTGCATTCCCTCCTCTTCATTACGCATCTTTTCTCCTTCTTCTATTATTCCCCCCGGCAGTGCCCGTCAGAGCGCTCAGGTGCCCTCCACACCAGCGCTCTCCGGCCCTCCTCGGAGCCCTGCCAACAAAGAGAAAACTGCACTGATGTCCTTGTACCGTCACCGTCACCAAGGAAGTTCACTTCTCTCTTCGGAGGGTCGCCCACACCACTACCTTCGGGTATGTGGACCACTTCATGGGGATCTGGGGGAAGGGACAGCCTGAGTTCCGGGCAGTGGGGAGCCTTCGGGCGAACTGCGTGCCTTCGAGCGGCCGTGGCCTATGCTCGCACCGACACCAAATAACAGTACGGACAACAGTTGGTGAAGGGACTGGCTAGAGGCGTCTCCTTTGTGGGGTGCAAGACGTGCATCGCATTCCTCCGCGGACTGTCACGGACATGAAGCGGGTGGTTGGTGTCGCTCGTACATAATATCCTCTGATGACGCTGATGCCCCTTGTGTGGCTTCGAAGATACGCGTCTGAGTTGCGATGTGACATCGCTCTTTGCCGGCTTTTTCGTCCCTGCATTCATGAGAACTGATTCAGTAGCGTCCCTGACTCCCGGCATATCTCTTTGTTGATTGAAACCTGGTCTGTCCATACCATTTCTTGATGTAGAGGATGCCGGAGACTGAAAGCGTATCACGAAGATGGAGGCCTGATAGGCCATTCTACGCCTCCAAAATTGATACGCGACATCCAAGCACGTTATGGCCTTTGTATGATATGTTCGTCGTCGGCTAGGTATCAGGGGTCGATGTGATGTTAGGGGGTCTTTGACGGGCCGAAGATGGTAGTGCTGCTCGTGGATGTCTCGAGGGCGAGTGGGGTGGTACTAGAGGTACAGGTAAGTCCCTCTGCTGTCCGAGGTTTATTCTATTGACTCGAAGGTAGGGCTCGCGCAGGATAGGCTGCCGATGTTGGCGATTGACGCTGTGTCGTCCGAGGATGTAGTAGCTGTCTTGACGCGCAGCGATCGCTGAGCGGACAGCGCGCGCAGCAAGGCTTCAACCTTTGTGCTTCTGTAGAGGTGTTATCAGCCGGCGCATCAAGCATGTCGAGCATATCCAGCTCGCAAGCTCGAGCTCCTCGTGTTGTTTTGCTAGACGCAGGAGCGAGCTGAGACGCGGTGCAGGAGCGCCCGAGATGCGGCGCTCGGAGGCGCGGTGTCACCGCGTGATGTCCAACGAAGTGGTGTAGCGTAAAGAGACGGCTTGTAAAGGCTCGAAACGAGAGTCTAGGAGGTCGAGGCATGCGTGTGTAAGAGACGGAGAAGTAAGGGGGGATCAGCTCGGCCGTCACGATGCAGCCGGCGCTCGAGGGGTAGAGGTGTCGAGGAGAAGAGGGCGACGAGACGACGCTTCGGCGAGTATGCCTAGACTCGAGTGGATGGGGTAGGTAAGGGGTGTTGTCGAAGAGAGGTGGGAGACAGAGTGTGTCGTGGTTGATACTCGGTCTCGAAGGAAGCGGTGTTGACCTTGGCGGGGGAGGTCATTGGCGGTGGGCGTTCCTAGTAAAGGCGTAAGTGCAAGTTGACTGAGAGAACAGAGGACTAACCTTGTCGCAGACAATCGGTGCTCCAGCTAACCCAGCAACTCTAAGATGAGTCTGCAGCCATTCTCACGTGCGCACTCTGCCTGCGCTTTACGAGCTCAACGCCCCCAGCCGCCACCACCCTGATTTATTTCCTGTATATAATAAAAATAATTAAGCTCTCCTTCGCCTTCGGGCACTCTCAAGGTAAGTATTCCTCTTTCCTTTCTTCCCCTCTTTCCCAAACTTGCCCCCTTAGGCAATAGCTCCCGTAACTGAGTTACGATCCGCCTCCGGAGCACTTCTTCTTTTTTGCATTCTTTTTGGCTATGATTTGGCCGTTGTTGCTATCTTCGTGAGTTCGACTCCTGGATAGGGCGGAGTTCCTTTTGCGTCTTCTTTTTGCGTCTTTTGGCGAGCGGCACGTGCCTCCCCCATCACAGCGGCAGGCTCTCGGCTCCTCCTTCGTCAACGGAGCTTCGGCGCCCCGGAGGACGGGTGACGGCGCATAACGGCGTCCTTCCGGATATATGGCAACACGGATAGCCAGGTAGCTGAAGGCCTTGAGAGCACCTTGCAAGGAAGCTATTCGTTGGACCCGAGAGTCGAAGCTCGATGTTGTGGCCATCATCGAAGTGTTTGGCTTCCATTTTCCCCCCTCCAAAGCTCCTCCCTTTGCTACGCTCTCCTATCTTTCAGCATTCCGACATAGACGACGCTCGGTTCCCTTCGTTACTCCACTCGCATGATTGGAGCCGTGACACGCCATCGCTAGGGCGCACCTTTGACACCAGGAAATGAGGCCTCTCACTCCCGGTCTTCCATGTACATGAGCAGGTGGAAAGGACGCCAGTAGGGCATCAGGAGATAGGGAGGTGCCACAGGGTGCGTACGCGGAATGTCAAAGACCACGAGCAGGCTCTGCGAGTAGGTGCCATCGTCGGACATTAGGGCTACAACAATCCTCTTCGTCGACATGTGGGACCTTAGGCTGGTCAGCAGCATTACAGCTCTACGAGTATACGTACATTCTACGAGATCCTCCTAACTCCGCCTCTGCGTCCGTCCTAATATCCGATATGTATTTCTACAGAACTATGGAGTTGGAGAAAATCGCATTGGTCTCTATATAACATGGAACGGGTGAAATTAGGGACTAGACGGAAACGGACCATGTCCCAGCACGCTAGTCTTCTGGATGGTGCAGACAGCGTCGTTTAGTCTGGCACCATAGGGTCAAGGGGGAGCATTTTAGAGGACCTGAAGGCGCCACTACCCTTCTTTGAGGCATCACAGGCGTGATTTACCCTCGAAGGCTTCGCTGCTCTTACGGTTCACCTCAAGATACTTCACGAAGAGAGAGATAGGAGACATGAGTGCAATCGACTAAAGGAGACTAATAGAGGACAGACATGTCTATTTCAAAGAATAGTGGGAAAATAGACGAAACTAGAGGACTAAGAACGAGCACTATAGGAAATCTATAATTTATAATAGACATCAAGGAGAATAGGGTTGACGTGGCATTTCGAAGTACGGAAGTACGGAAGCGCCCAGGCATTCTGGGCATCCCGGAGCAAACCATTTATAACGCCAGATCATGCACATCAGTATGGTACAGTATGACTACAGGCATCGGCGCATGTCGTTTCGGATGGAAGTATGGTGCACATGCGTCGATCTGATGTCCCTCTTATGCTGCCGCCTCGAAAGCCCCTTCCAAAACTTCTGCAGCCGTAAAGTCCGGGTAGCCGCCGCGAATGTGAGTATATGTACACAATTCATTTCGTATGCGTTCGGTCGGCGCGAAGGCGCTATTTCTTGCCACGCTTCTGTTCGAGGAAAAGGACTTGCTTCCTCACTACCCAGCCGTCAGCATCCAACCTCGCTATATCCTCGCTCCTTCGTCATCTCAATGTATTACATGACTCCTCAAAGCTTGTCCATTATAGATAGGAAATGTTCGCAAGTCCAATGATCCCGGAGGGCGTGGACGGAAGGAGAGGGGTTGCGCACCGATCGGATCGTATTTCAGCATGCTCAGCGGACGGTGTGCGCGCGGTCGCATCAGGGTTCGGTAGTAGCCGGTCATGGCCATCGATATGAGGCGCACCATTATGGTGCGGGACTTTGCTGTTCACGAGGCGTGGTCAGCGCAGCTCTGGGAGGTTCTCAAAGCGCGATTGAAGCACCGTGGAGAGGCTAGGGGATCTGTTTGGAGACTAATTGGACTGAATGGAGATGCTGGAGATTGCCATACCTTTCTTCGCCATTGCGACAGCTGGTCGGCGTTGTGCTGGGGTTGATGTCCCAGATGTTGAATCGTGAGGTTTTCGACGAGCGGCGGGATTTCTTCGGGTGGGGAGAGGCTAGCCAATCAACGCTCTGGGCGAAATCGCTCCATTTCAACACCAATGGCTGGAGCCGAGCACTCTTCCTCCAACACCTCACATACCCACAGTTCGATTGGTCCGGATGGTCATATTGATGTCCGGTCTCTGCAGCATTCCGTACGCTCCATTGACATCATAAGGAAGTCACCCCGGGCTCAATGCACGATCGCCCGTCGATTTGCTGGATCATCTTAGCAACCATGAAGCAGCAAAGATTAGAGTTCTTAAAGCTGCGAAAGCAAGACTCGATGAACAACCGAGCAAGCCTCATGCACAATCGAGCAAGGACTCGATGAGCAACCGTCAAGAATGAGCGGCTCGCAGAGTTGGAGGAAGAGCAGGCCGAAGCTCAGGCGGAGATCCACGAAGCAAAACATTAGTGACGGCGGATCAACATTGAATTTCTCATCTCAACCTTGCAGACACTGCTCGCACTACGGATACGCTTCCCGGCCGATGCCTTTCTAGTAGCTATGGAAGGCATTCAAAAATCACGTGATCAACTACTCCCATCAGGCCAGGGACGAGGACTCGAAGTATTAAAGTCGCGGCGATGGCCGATCGAAGCATGAGCCCCCTATAGCCATACTGCTGACTTACTCTAACATTGTGTAGCTATATAAACTCAACCAAAAGAGTAGGAATTCAACCATTGCCCAAGGAGTACCACCACCATGTCTACATTTGTATCCTCGAGCTCGAGCGCAAGTCACCTGTGTGTGACCCCTCCGAAGGATTTCATGTTCTCCTCGGATCGATCGCTTCTGGGGACGCTCAGCTTACTTTGAGACATAACTGTCACGCCACTGTGCTGTGCCGCACCCTTGCTGCGAACAACACCGGCTTCGACCAGTAAAACGAACGGCAGTAGCGCCAGCGTGAATTACACCTGGGACGCCTGCCTCAATGTCTCAAATGGCGGAGTTGTGCCGAATGATCTTTAGTTTCCTCTTGCCATACAGCCTCTCGCTGCCTATCGTGCTCAAGCCAAGTCGTCCGGGTGAGCCTACAGAGATCCTGGTGACGATCTTCAAGGTGTAGGATCTGAATCCATGTACTTTCCGCCATCGTCTTCTATAGCATATCCGCCCCAGAGCATCGTTCGATCGCTCCTCTCAACTGGCAATGGCTACAAACACGACATTTGCGCACATGTACCGTCAGGTCCCGGAGGAAGACGAAATTATTCGGGACTGTTCCTCGTTTCCACATCCTGCAACCGCTTCGGCACCCGGTTGTGCCACCGAAGCCAAGGGATCCTTCGCTTTATCAAAACACCCAACCGATCGCATCGATGGGAGCTCTAGGGGAACAATTACGAGAGAATTTTGCCATTTGGGTTGGTGGTGGGAGATCAGCTCAATGATACTTGGCGTCTGCTGCACAACGTTGATCGCCGCGATTCTCTTTTTCTTGGATGGGAAGCCCTTAACGCGATGGGGGCTCCCCATCCAGCCGAACTCCTTGGTCGCTATCTTCTCCACTATCGCGAAGGCGGCGCTGGTCTATCCCCTGGCTGAGTGTCTTGGTCAGCTCAAATGGCACCAGTTCGAGCAACGACAAGCGTTGACTCGCATGGAAGAGTTTGATAGGGCAAGCAGAGGACCTTGGGGAGCTACTCAGTTCTTGTTCAAGAGTAGGGGTACCGCTCTGCTGGCTTCTTTTGGTGCCGCGATCATAATCCTCATGCTCGGACTGGAACCTTTTACACAGCAAATTCTCGGCTTTTCAACACGCTTCGGTCCCCTATCTAATATCACTGGTTCGACGACCAGGACTGATTCGTTTGTCAATACGGCACTACTGGACAATTCCACCGCAGATAAGGCCTATATGACGTACAGTAAGTCAAGTTTCTACGGGGAATAAGGTATGCTAACTACAAAATTTATGGTGACTAACGGGAAATGCAGCTGATTATCCGTTAACAATGGGTATTCTGGGTGTCGTCGCCCAAGCTGATCAGTTATTGACACCATCGGCGAACGCATACTGCCCGACTACAGAGTGTCGCTTCCCGGAAATCACTTCTTTGGCAGCCTGCGCGAAGTGCGAAAGTGAGCCTGTCCAAGCAACGAGTTTTAATTGCAGTGGAGAGTACATAACCAGGAACGGCACATCCAATTACCAGGATTCGCATCCTTTCAGTACTTATAGCGACTTCAGGAGCACCATTCGGGATTATCTGGATAAAGCACTGGTCGAAGTCAAGATGCAATGTATCAAACAAACCGAAGGTTTCCCTCCGTTCCCAATAAACATATCTTTAGAATTTAGAGATGTCATCCTAGAAGAAATATCCGGACACATTACTATCAGAAACGGACTAGAAGAGGCATCATTGCTCCACCGAATTTCTAGCTCAGACATAGGCCAGGAACGAAATGCGACATCAAACCAAGACGGGGGATATGCGGGGAGTTATCTGAGGGCTTGCGCGAATCCTGGCGACGAATTCTCTATAGATTACTATGCTGATCAGTACGATGAAACCGATCCGTACCCTGATCCGGCCAGAATCGCATCATTCACCTGCTTTAATTCGACGACGGACCTGATGTTGTACAACAATCTGGACCATATAGGCCAGATAAACGGCACGATATCACGATGCAGCATTGACCTCTGCGCTCGAAGTAGCAAAAAAAGCCTTCTCCGCAACGGCGCCATGGAGACTCAGTGGGGCGATGACGTGCAACTAAAGTCTCTGTCCAAATGGGATCCTTCGTCTTCCGACAAGATCATTACTTTGGTTGACCGAGACCAAGACCCCGAATTCGCAGATCGCTTCTACATTGGCGATTTGGATCGTTCAACGTTGCAGTACTCGCTTACAGAGACAACCTCGAATTCGTACAGCTGGCTCCTATACAGCCTGGGTTTTCTCCAAAACACGAACGGCAACTTCACTCAGCTCTTCCACGGCATCGCAGACGCCATCTCGACAGTCATCCAAAGCCCCCACAATCCGAACGTCACGAACATCACCGCCGTTGCATACGGCCCAGAAGTATTCGTGCAAGTTCGATGGGCGTGGTTCGTGATGCCACTAGCCCTAGTCTTCGCGTCGATCTCATTCCTAGTCGCGACCATCCTACAGAGTAGATGCCGGTCCTATCTCTTCAAAACCTCGCTTCTCCCAATGCTGTTCTACGGGGTCGAAGGTCCTGTAGCCGTGGAGGAGAAAAACAAGTTGCATGCTAAAGAGAGGGTGACATATGAGGACATGATGAAAGTCGCCGGAGGAATTGGTGTGAGGTTCGAGAGAGATGACAAGCAAAATTTCAAGCTGAAGAGGGAGTAACGGATCGCAGGAGATATAAGGTCGGTTCGATCGTCCGCTACCATTAGTGTATTGGTAATATACCATAAATGCCCCAACGCCTTTCTTTGCAACCATTCGCAAGCTTTTAGCACACTATCCATGGGGTCTTAGACGCGATGAGTCAAATGGTTGAAACATTCACCTGCCGTGCTAAGATGAAGATATAATGCACCTACTGAACAAGAAACAATTGAATGGGTTCCTGAGATGGTCTGCCATGGGGTATGGAAAGAAGGCTGCCCAAATATGCGCTAACCTCAACACAGCTAGCGCATAACCGCATCCATCAAACCTCTTCTTCACACCACCTCACCCACCATCTCCGTCATCTGCCATTTCCAATCCCCTAAACCAACCCTAAAAGTCTTCTCACTAATCCCCTGATCACATCTCAACCGTTGTGGCTCCACACGCCCTCGACCCACCTAAAATCCGCCTCGCCCGCCTCTGCACCGCCTCAACGCATCCTTCGGACCGCAGCCGCTCCCCAATCCGTAAGCAGAAACTTTCCGAGCGACTAGCTCCGCTCGCTCCGCTATAGCATGTTTCGGAGCGATAAGCTTTTCAAGCCTCCTCTGAAGCTATGCCACACCTGCGCCTGGAAGGATTGCGGGGCCGGGGCTGCGGCCTGCGGCGGCTGCCTGGAAGGTTGCACGCCGGCGAGACACAAGAGTACATACATACGTGTTCTTGTCGCTCGCGAGCTTGCATGATTTTCGAGTTCGTTCTATAGTGTCTAGACTTCTTTCGTCTTTAACGTATTCGAACCCCGCTATTTCTCTTTCTGTTACTGCGGTATTCGTCCCACGCACGACGGGGTGGGTTTGTTTCATGACCGCCATCCGCCTCCCAGACACAAACATAGATACAGCGCCGCATCAACAACAACCCCACCACCCAAAATGCCGCCCATCCTCTCCTTCAAAATCATCTCGAAATCCGTCCCGCACTCCCTCCGCGCATTATCAGTCATAACCTGTATGTCCCTGCTCCCCTTCCTTCCCTTCCCCCTACCCCTCACCCCTCCTCGCCCCCCTTACTCCCCTTACTCCCCTACTAACGCCCCGCACCGCAGTCCCCCCCGCCTTCCTCTTCCTCCTAATAACCGGCATCGCCTCCTCGCGCGTAAACCCCGCCATCTGCATCCTGCCGCTCTTCTTCTCGTCGCTCTGGTCGCTCTTCCTGCTCGCCAACGAGCGCACCTGCGGCTGCGCGGCCAGCGGGCTGACGGGGACGCCGATGCACCTGCTGGTCGACCTGGCGCTCGGCATCTGGCTGCTGGTGTGCTTGATCGTCACGTGGGTGGTTTTCCCGCAGCGCTGGTGGCATGACTATGTCGGGCTGGTTATGCTGGGGTCGTATGGGACGGTGTTTGTTATGTGGAATTTGTGAGTGGAGTTTTTTTTTTGCGGTTTGGGGGAGGGGGATGGGGGGATGGGGGTTTGATGGGATGGGGAGCTGACAAGTGCGTAGTGCGGTGCATTTATATTTCGTCGCTGGCCAGGTTTACGAGGCGCTTGCGCCTGGGGCTGGAGCGCAGTATCCGAGTGCGTGTGCGCAGTGCCGGTATGGGCCATTCCCGCTGCGGATACGGATTGAGACGAGGAGTCCGGTGGTGGCGGAGGGCGGGTATGCGCCGTTGTTGGATGGTAGGAAGGGGAGTGTGGAGCAGGAGAGGAGGGATGTGGGGGATGAAGTTGTGTGAGGGAATAGTAGCGGGTGATAAGACGGGTGGGCTAGATGGTGGTTTTAGAGTTTCAGGGGTCAAGAGGAGGAGGGATTGCTGGTTGAGGAAGGGCAAGTCCTAGGTTTGCTTGCGGCGTTGAGGAGTATCTAGATGCGGAATGAACATGCGCAGTTCGCCTCGTTAATGGGGACGCTTCGACTCGTTGCATATCTCAATCTTCTCATTGGTGACTTGAAGGATACCATGCACGACATGTCTACGCCCGCGCATTTCCTTTCTCTCTACAAGCCCGGACGCAGTTCTACGACGCAGCATGCGACCTCGCGCTCATGATAACGAAGTCTTGATGAGAACGTAAGTGCGTCGCGTCTCGCGCAGGCAGTCGCTCCTCTCATCCGCTCTAATCAAGCCGACCAAAGAAAGATAGGAATTCCGGTCGAGCTCTCGGTACCTACTGAAGGGCCTCGAGCGAGTAGATAGAGACGGTGATAAGCTCAGAGGAAACGCTATTGAATATGGATGCCCGTCCTATTTTGGCAAGGTGAATGCTAGCCAGTCTAACAATGTCTAAATACCGCACAAGAACGCCTCAAAACGCCATCCTATGCTGGGGGTCCGCCTAATACCTAATCCTCCCTATCCACCATGACCCAATCGCTCGCCGGATCGGCCACTTTCTCAAGCCCATAGAGCGTCCGCGCAACATTCCTGAACTGCTCCAGCACCCCAACCCCATACTTCTCCCTCACCTTGTCCACATCCATCTTCCGCGTGATCTGGCTAACGTCAAACCGGAACTGCGACGGGTCCTGATTACACATGGCCGGCAGAATCATCTGGCGGTAGAAAGCTGAAAGAAAACTCTTGAATTTGTCGGCAGGGCTGGGTTTGACGAATTCCTGCGGGCGAGCTCTGGTCGTGACGATATAATTGAAGCAGTCGATGAGAGCGCCATAGAAATCGTTGGGTGTCTTTGCGTAGAAGTGTATGTAGTGTCGATTGGGGGCCAAGGGGTCGTCGCAATTCTACTGCGGGTACGAGGTGGCAGGGGCCCGATTACTTTGACCTTGCTGCCGAAACACGTAGGGATCGCCATACTGTTGCGCTAGAGCTGGTGTAGAACCGGCGGGATATGAGGCGGTAGGAGCCGGATTACTTTGACCTTGCGGCCGGAACACATATGGATCGCCGTACTGTTGCGCTAGAGCTGGCACAGAACCAGCGGGATACGAGACATTGGGACCCGCGATACTTTGAGCCCGCTGTTGAGCCTGCTGGTGGAGCGGCGATGGAGTGCCGTACTGTTGCGCTGGAGCTGATGCATTGGCGGCCGGCTGTGTAGGGCCCGAGGCTGTAGGAGATCCTGGAGCAGAAATGTCAGGAGTGGCTAGAGCAGAGAGCGGACTGTAGCCTGCAGGCGGCTCGCAGTCATGCCTGTGCTGTTTCCAGTCGTGCCTCTGGCAGGCTTTTGAGCAGTAGTATTTTCGTTTGCAGCGAGAGCAGCGCTGGAGAGAGGCGCCTTCCCGGGGTGGCTGAGCGCAGCTGCCGCAGACTGTTGGGTTGTTGGTACGGTTCGTACGTGAGAGAGTCGAAAGAAAGTCGAGGAGCTGGTTGCGCGTCGAAGACCTTCAGGAGAGGGAACCCGAGAGCAAGCGATGCAATTTTCGAAGGGTAGAGAGAATAGGGAATGCAGAGACTTACCTTGCGTTTCCTGAGCCCGACGTCCTTCACGCCCAAGCGGAGCCCCGAGGTAATCCATATCGTCAGGGAGAGAAATATTGGGCGCAGTAGCGAAAGTTGAAGCAGGATTTGTGGTAGCGATAGGGGATTCCGGATGCGCAGCGATGGAATCTGGTGCTGTTCAGCAAAGGGTTCCAGAGTGCAAAGGGTTTAGAGTAGGCAGGCGAGATTTTTAACCACCCAGGCCGGCGACAACAAACAATCCGAAAAGCGGGAAGGAACTCACCATTTGGACTCCATTGCGCACTGTCATGCCTTCCTCTGTCTTCCACTCTCTCTTCCTTCTTTTGCTCAACAACACCCTCCATTCTCTCCCCGTCGACTTCCCTCACCGACACACCTGCCTCTTTCCCATTGCCAAGGCTAGTCGTAAACACATTCAAGCAGACGCTTCGCGGGGGCATGTCCCTCAAAAATTACCACCCAGGGTTGCCTTGGTGGGAATCTGCAGGAACGAGTGAGTTGGAAGAAAGAAAAAAGCGAGGGAACGGTTCGCAGAAATAGTTTGCGGCTCGACGGGTGCAGCGTGAAAAGCGGTGTGAAGTTTGACAGCTTGAGCGCGCACGGAGCAGCCGCTAACGCGATGCAGGCTAGGGCTGAGGCACTCCGCGCCGACGCGCTGTCAGGTGTCTCAGCCCTCACGTGCGGGCAATTTGCATCGAGATCGGTTTTCCTGATCGATATTCCGTGGTGAGCAGACCAGAAGAACCCGGCAGTGGAGAAGTGAAGCTTGCTGCAACGGTTGCAGCCGCGCGCAAGCTCTCGAGCATGTAGAATGGTGTTTAATGGTGCGGTCAGAGAAAAAAGCAATTGGCAGGGTGGTAGTACGAGCTGGGTGAATAAGGTGAGAGCTGAGAGTGAGAGGCAAGTTGCAGCTGCAGTCTTACCCTTTACCGGAACACGTGCGGTGGAGGGGAGTAAGCAGCACCAATGATCTGCTCTAGCCGCAACGCGGGGTTGCATCTATAAGCAACTTCGGTGACGAAGGTAGCTTATGTCGGTGTATAATAACTGAGGGTTAGATGTCGAATTCGGGAAAGTTGGTGCGGCCACCGCTATAGACGGCCCTGCGTGAATGCTAGACTCAACCAAGATGCTTGAGCACCTCTCCGAGGCATTTCTAAGCATCATCGTGATACTGCTTAGTAGTCAAGAGGTGTTTCAAGTCGACTGACCGCATTGAGAATGCGATCGAAGCTAAAAGAGGAACGCCAAGAAGCCTGCGTAGCCTAGCACTGCTCCTCACTTATTCCCGTCGACATGTCCGTGGCACGCGGGATGCTCTCTTGAAGTTATACGAACGCTGGGAGACTACACCGCTAGTAGTACGGGTGCGTAGAAGCGTGACCACAGTAGAGCGCTGCATGGCCTCACTCTAGGTGTGAATATATATCGGAATCAGTCCACGGAGAGCAACCCGCGAAATGGCCGGCTGGCTTGGATTCACCGGAATCGGCGCCGACGAAAACCGACCGTCTCATGACCTCGTGTGGGTATGCCTTGGAAGTGCCTCGGGTGCCTCGTTCAGAATTCGGAGAAGAGCTCAGTATGTCCGACGGGAAGACGAGGCATCCATGGCTAAGAGGTTGACGACTGTGTAGATGAGAACTGGGTAATCCAGAGATGTGTCACGGGGAATAGAGGGTATGCTGAGAAAGGGCTGATATTGTGGGTGGTCAGGAGAGTGCAGCCTAGTCGTTCGCTGCGGCTTAGTCATCGGGTGCCTATAATGATGAATATCACCGACGACGAATGCTGAATCAGCAGCGATCGCAATTCCTAAGAGCATACTAACTTGAGCGTCTGATGCGGAGAAGACTCGCTTGGTTACCGGAATTGAGGCTCTTCCTTTCGTAATCGGCGAGCAGCTGACTCCACGTCGCCCTTTTTGCCTTCGAACTGCCCTACTCTGGTAGGACAATGTGGTAGCACGGATAGCGGGAGATCCACGGCGTCAGCGGGCCATGCGGCCAGGTAGTATCCCGGAGTTTTGGCCACGCTTGCCATATACTTGAAGACGTTGCAGGATCGTTCGCCGAGGACATGGAATCAGGCAACTGAAACAACGCCGGGGATAAGGTTATGTACTCCAGAGTGTCGTAATGGGAATCCTCTTGGCCTTGCATCCCAATCTTATCAGGACACCTTGGCTTTCGTCGCCTGCGGTGCCGCCGTTGGGTTCAACAGCGGATTCCGGATAAGGCAACCCTTGGCATGGGTCTAGAAGGTTGGCCGGAGCAAACTCAACCCTAAGAAGACGGTGGGGAGACCCCTAGGCTTTCCGTGTGACGCAAGTGCCTTGCGCGAACCATCCGCGAGCCCCGCGTTGGTAGAGGTCCAAGCAACTGTGACGTGCGCAGAGCCTCAGTAGTGAGCGAGGCAGAAGTCTGGCGCCAAGACTCATGACTTCACAATCAGCTGTATCTGGACGTCCAGGCCTGGACCAGCTCCCGGCTACAAGTGGTATTATGCGGGGACGGGCCGAGTTGTGGAAAGTTGGGAGTCATTCCACGTCGAGGCTCCATACGAGACGCGTTGACTCACCGGTGCCCCAAGTCAGTCGACGGATTGAGGAGGGGGATGCGGATTCAGAAGAAGGCATTCCTTGAGATTGAGGGCAGCTAGAACGGGGTGGATTGATTTTTCAGTGTATCAGCGTACGTATGCCCCTTACGCCCGCGGCCATGGCAAGTAGGCAGAGTGCAGCAGTTCGCGCACCCTGCCGAGCTGAGCTCCTGCAGTGGAGGGTGTGGCGACCGCGGGTCCTATAGGGCGCAGGCTACCTGCAGATAATTGGCGAATGAGGGGTTAGGTGGGAAACCGGTCAGACTGAAGAGGATGGCCACAATGGGTCTACCAACGATAGCATGCAAGTCACTGCAGGGCACGGCCGGCTCATCAATCAGCAGGAATGAGCCGATCGACCCGCGCGCAACAGTGTCCCAAGCTTCCTCGACGCTTTGCCGCTCCCACGTTTCGCGCAACCGTGTCTGTAGAGAAGGGCGCAGCGCTCCATGGGTGCTTGTTGCGGAAGCGTGGCCAGACTCATGAGCGTGCAACCGCCGACCGCCGCGCAGGCCTCAGCGCAGGTCGAATGGATCGTGTTGAGGAAATTGCACTGGACACAGGCGTCGCGCGAGCGTGCTCGACTTGTGCGCAGGTGCAATTGCGAAGTGCAAGAAGTGCCGGGGGCTGTGGCTATGCGCAAAGTCGTGGTGCGGTGAGCGTCGCGGAGGGTGCTGCGCAATTGAGAGCAAGGTGGGGAGCAGCGGCGCTATGCCCTACTGGCCCGTGGCTGGTGCCTTGCGCTCCAGGCTGCGACCGCGCTATCAGACGCCATCCTGAGGCGAAGCCGTCGAATCACGCGCAGAGTGCAAATCGGCGGCCCGTCGAGATGTGGTCTGTCTGGCGCCGTCGTGCGGGACGAACATGTTTGCTCTCGAGTACCGTGTGCGCCCCAGGAGGGAGCGTCGCGGCTGCTGGCGCGACTCCTCGACTGCTGCCGCGTGCCGACGGCCAGTCGCAGGCCAGCCCTCGCGCCCTTCTGCGGCCGGCGTCAGTTGTCTTCTGACGTCCCGGCATGCCAGACACGCCCAGACATGTTTCTAGCGGCGCCGGCCCTTTTTGCGTGCAATCGTCATATGAGGGTGGGCGGGCTCTGGTCACCGCCCTCGCTAGTGCCCTGAGCCCTGCTGATGGCGCCCCCGGCATGGGTGACCCCTGCCCGCCCGCATCGCCCAAGGCATCCATCGCCAACCCTGCTCCTACAACGCCAGAGACATATAATCCTCCCCGTCCGCTGCCACCATGGCCTCTCCTCCCCCAGGACACTATACCACCAAAAGGTTTAAAGACTCCCGGATCCCCAGCTGCTGGACTCTGACCACCACAACCAGAGTACCCAAACACCACTGCACACCAGTCCCTCTTCTAGGGACACCCACTTCACCATACGAATCCTTGGCACCACCATCACGTTGGCGTCCAAGCCCCGGTCCATCCTCAAGAATTCACCGACTACCACCAGAATGCCGTCCATATCCCGTCAGCACCCCATGCCGACCGTCATCCACTCCAAGTCCTCATCCTCCTCCTCCAAGAAGGAGCGAGTGGTGGGCTTCCTCAAGGATCCCGTGAGCGCTGTCTCGCGTCCCATGAGCGACAACGAAAACTGGGCACTCTCTGACTTCGAGATGCACGCCCAGCGCTGCACCTACTGCCACGACCCGTACGAGGTCCACCGCAACCACGACCAGCTCTGCGAGATTGGCCATCGTCTTGCCCAGGAGGTCGCCGTCTTCCTCTACAACCGCGACGGCGAGACCTACAGCACCGTCGAGGAAAACAACAAGCTCGTCCATGTCGAGATCCCTGCCGGCTTCACCCAGGTCCGCGATCTGCTGAGAGCCATCGAGCGCAGTCTCCGACACCGATCGCGGACCCCATTCGTCTCCATGGACCGCACCTACTACGTTGCTGCTCGCGTCCCCGCCCGAACCCACTCAGTCAAGATCGAGCAGGGGCCCAAGACCAAGACCAAGTCGCGGCCGAAGGCCGAAATCGTCGACTGGCCGTCTTCCAAGCCCACAGTCACCACCGAAGTCAACAACTCGCGGCACTCCAAGCGCGGCTCGCTCTACGAGCAAGACCTGGCCATCCAACGACGCAACGCCAAGCAGTACACCGTAGAAGTCCGAGAGCCGTCCGGCCGACGCTCCGGCTACTACAGGTGAAGCACATTCGAATCTTCTACGTTTCTCTGCGATTATCCACGAACTCTCTACGCCAATACGACGAGCCACCACCCACGCTACGCGGACGCTGAACAAGCCTCTCCGCATCTATCTACCGCTGCTCGAAATCGACTCAGCACAAACAAGTCTGATCTTCTCTGGTCCTTGTTTTGCGCTTGCTTCCAGGAACAAGCATTGCGTTTTGCTGTTTAGAACACGGGGAATGGGATGGATTTTTGGGCATTCCATAGCAAATGCCGGGACCTCCACCTGAGAAGGGTGTTGAGGGGGGGGGGTGGAGATGTGATGATGAGCTATTCTTGGGGGCCGCGACGATGACGTTGGGCCCAGAAGCTAGGAAGCTGGCGGATCTGTGACTGCAAGGATACTATAGCTGAAATGCAAAAGAATTCCTAAAAAGTCTATCAATTACTTTTCCTATCCATCATTGCCGAAGTGTCCGCGAATCTGTGATTTTACATGCAAGCAAGCAAGCCTCACGATTGCAAAGACGCTCAATTTCCAGGCCTGGCACTGATGCTCGGAAGATCTTGGGGTAACACAGAATGTATGTACCTATGACTCTCCCAACCATCCACCCACCTAACTACGCCCGGCCCGCAAGAAATCCTACGACATGCACGCCGCACACCACCAATCGGCCACAAGCGAGCCGGACCCTCGTCCACGCAACCCAGGGCGACCGCTCACATGCCCTCTCCGATAAATTGATCGACGGGTTCCGAATACGAGTTTCCTACCACGCCTTTGCATCCTTCGCCGCGGCAGAGCAATGTAATTGCACACTCGCCCGCTGCCTGCCTACGTGCACAGCGGCAGTGCGACCTGACCTGCCCGACCCCTCTATCGCAACGCAGCGGCATCATCGCGCAGCACTCGGACGCGCCTGATTGATTGCATGCGCGGAAGAAGGAAAATAGCGGTTGGGAAATGCAGTCAGATTGGTGGCTTGCGCGAAGTAAATGCCGAAGCGAAGCGAAGCGAAGAGCAAAGAAGGCCGCGGTGATGGATAGGGTTGGGAGGTTGGTGACTGGACTGGACTGAGGTGCGGGGCAGACGTCATTGCCTGTTGTGGCTTAGCGCTAGGCGACAGTCGCTCCCGACGGAGTGGGATTTTTCCTATCGATAGTGCAGGAGCGGCCTGGGAGTCAGTGATACTTCGCCAAGTGTGCGGTCGGAGAGGAGTCATCACGGTTCGTGTTACAGCTTGGTGCAGGTGCTGTGGATATGGCGTGAGAGTCGCAAGCCTGCCTGGGAAGAGAGGATGCGATAGTTGGCGGGATGGTGGGGTACACGACACGGTGACTCTTTCGAGCACGGAAGAAGCACACGATCTGGTCCGGACGGATATGTGGCGCGCGCGGCTTGTTGCAATGTTACAGTGAGAAAAAGGCGGACGTTGTCGAAGAAAGCAGGCAACCTGGCAAGAATAATGTGGCCTCAGAAGTCAGGATGGTAGGATTTCGCAACGCCACTTCCTTATCGTTTCTCAGCTCTTGTCTTGGATGCCATGTTGTTCTCCTATTGATTCGTAATCCGCTATTTCTTGTTCCACGTACACACTACTACTTCCTTTGGAATGGATTTCCTAAAACGGACACCGAGATCATCAACGGCGCCGCGGCGTCTTCGCCGCTACGTAGGATCTCGGCGCTACTAAGACGTCCTTGGATGATACACGCCATGGATCCCGCTGGAAGAAGACACGGTTCGGTATAATGGCCACGGAAATCTCTCATCTCCGTCCTAAGTAGGAAAGCCCAAGTCGCCACGTCTCCACGACAGCCCGGGGTATCGCCGCCTCCAAGCTCTCATCTCGTCTCGAAATGATAGACACGGCATCCATTAGACTAGACGAAGACACGGTTCGGCATTTGAACAAGACCATCAACAGTAGCGGTCAGCCCCAAGCCAACACGTCTCACTGACAGTCTGGGATATCCTTCTTCTCGTCCCCTTGTCCCACTCCCCTCTTGTTCAAGATCCGCGTTGGAGCCTCACGATGCCCAATTCGTCCCCCTCTGCAGTACCGAGTGTTGATCAGGTTCCTCGGCCACCACGGCACCTCCAGGGTCCATGAGCAGGTGATTTCGCCGCCGTTACGTGTCACTGTGGGTTCGCCGGAGCAGAACACCGCGCTTACAGGATGGTGGAGGAGGGACGGTGTTTTGGGAGTGAGGCGCGAGAAGGTGGGGATAATATGGGGAAGGTTCGGTGCGGATCGGTGGCGAGAGTCGTGTGCTGGCAGTTCCCATCTTCGCGGCTGCGTTGCTCGGCTTCGGCCGGAGGGAGTGTGCCGCGCGGAAGAGAAGAGAAGCAGGTTTCGCGGGACGTTGTGATGCAGGGCAGTTTGCGCACGTGAAGGACGTGAGCGCGTGGTTGCGTGCCTGTGCCTTGACACGTCGTCGCGCTTCTGCGGTTGGACCGTTGGGTCGCAACCTTGGAATTCTACACCAATTCCACATGGCGAATCTTGAAAGCGAGCTAGCTCAGGAACAGGTTGCTTGCACCTGCCGAAATAGCGCAGTTTAGAAATCAAGCAACGCGGTCTAAAGGCAAGTGCTGTATGGATTGAACGTTGGGCACCTTCGCCTTGCTGCCGTCCTCAACCACCAAACCCGCATCGCGAACCTGAAACGCGGCACAAAAAAGTCGCCACCACGCGCGGCATTCGCACTCCAACCACGCGAAGTCATCCCTTGGCGCATGCATCTTCAACTGCCAGCTGTCAATCGCGCCAACCGCCTTAGAACATCTCCATATACCTCATTCCAAGGGCGTTCCTGGCGCCACTATCTCCATCCAGCCTCGAAATCCCTGAAAAGCCGCAATTAAAACCCCGCTTCCAGCAGTAGAGCTCCGGTCGAAGACCGCATTGGAACAATTGCGCGCAGGGAAGCCCGTTGCAGGTAATCGACCACTGCATATTGGTAATTCTTTCGCGATGAATATCTTGACCGACTTTCATCACCGGTCGCCTGCATGCTGCATTGCATAGCGCGGCGCCGGCGCACCAAACCTGCGTCGCAGCCTCACCGGTCAGGCCCCGATTCTTTTTAATCAGCACAGCTGCATAGTCGACCAGGGCGGGCGACGATCTTTCTCCCGCTGCCCTCCGTTTCAGCTCGTGCAATTGTTCCTTGCTTCCTGCGTGCTGCGTTCTCCGAATAGCCCACGCCAACGTGTCCGATCCGACCAAGACCCCAGGAGCTTAGCAGCGCACTGTGGAGCCGATGATCTCTCTGCCAGACGCTAGAGCGCGCTTTTCTGACACGGGAGCAGCAGTATTGGGAGGCATGCCACAGGGCTGTGCCGTCTCGAAAAGCGGCAGAAAAACCTCGCGCCATTGGGTGGAGGGCGGGTTGCAGGGTGTTTGCGCTTGCACAGCCTCCGCGCCGCCAAGGTGAACGCTTAAGCCACAAGAACTTCACGTGATGGGGACATGCAGGGAGCGATACGACTGCGGCTGAGGATTGGAAATCGAGGAGAACAGGTTGATTTGACTACCATGGAGGATTTATTGAAAGACGTCATGCCACTGCCAGCTGCTCAGTAGTTTTGCTGCGGCTGCGCCAAATACTTCGGGCATGCCGAAGGGAAAGAGTAGACGAACAGTTTGGGGGCCGTTCGCATGGTCGGAGTTTCTCAGCCTTAACTAGTCGGCCCAGATTTAGCCCCCAGACGCTGCGATGTCAATGCGAGAGCAACTGCGCCTCCCTCGTTCCCGTTTCAAGGTCTACCGATTAGATTCCGATGGATTTTTAAAGTCAGACCCAATGATCGTGGGTTTTTCTGCCAGTCAATGCGCAGATGCGTACAGCCTCAGGTACGCGTCAGTGTGGATGGAGGCTGGAGGATCGAGTGGTGGATTCTTATGCATAGGCAATAGAGTTCTTGTAGGCGTAGGGCTGCAGGATCTGGGAGAGCGCGCTTGATGTGACGTGCATCGGGCGCGTGGGCATCGAGGAGGTGTAGATGCATGAACGGTGGGAAACATACGACGGGTCAGAGTTAGCAATAGATAGGTGGATATGCCTATTCGTGTCTCGACTTAGACACTGTCACCGTATTCATTCCGTGAAGCTGAGAGTCTCTGGCTTTTCCAGCCCCCAAGCCAAGCTTAACACTCCGAAGAGGCGGAGTTCGCGTAGACTTTAGAGCCAGCTCGTTCCTGGGTATTTCTACTATCGTTAGAGAGTACGAGGTTCCGGAGATTTCGTTGAATCGAGACATGTACTATGCCTCCACAATAGCGTCCCACTGAGCATACCCCTGGGATACCGGTAGCCCGGATAGGCAAAATTCTACCCCCGACGACCCAGCGCGTCTATCATGAGAGACAGTTATCCAGTCCTGTCTAAGGAACGGGCCGCGAGCGAAACCGCAGCCGCCGGCACGCGGAAATGAGAAATAGTCGTTTGTTCCTGTGCGGAAGGGGTACGCCAGAGATTGATTGGTCTGGAGCGAGCTTCTAGAAAACCTAGGGAGGAATCTATCGCAGTGAGCGGTTATGAATTGTTTGGACCTGAAGGGATCTTAAGGGCTGTTGTAGTAGAGGGCGCTTCGTTCCTTGGGCGCTTCGGATGCGGCACAGTGTAGAGAACTTGCGGTAGTAGTGTGGGGACAACGTCAAAGGATTTCTATGTTGGGAGGTGAGAAATTAGAGGAAATAATAGAGAGTAGGAATGTGGAAAGAATGTTCATTCGAACGGCCAAGCGATTGAGTGCTCTTTTCAACCATGTCATCATGGACATCCGGGATACCATCTCTCCCAGAATGACCATATAGCCACGAGTGCCAATTCATTCGTCCTCACAATCTTAACTTCTACATCTTTCGTTCAATCATCGCGTCGTCACATATACACGTAATACTACAACCTGCCTTTGCTCTCCCTACTCTTCCCCTCCCCCTCCTGGCAACCACCATCCAGTCACTCCCCCTCTTTCTTATCCTCCGGACTAAAGTTGATGCTCACACTGTTGACACAATGCCGCTCATCCTTCGGATTGCCAAATCTCTCCCCCTTGAAGATATGTCCCAAATGCCCGCCGCAGTTGTTACACACTATCTCCGTCCGCGTCATGCCGAAGCTGGAATCATCCCGCTGGCCCACGGCACCAGGCACAGCGTCCCAGAATGCGGGCCACCCACAGCCTGAGTCGAATTTGTGATTCGCTTTGTAGAGAGGCGCGTCGCAGGCGGTGCAGGTGTAGACTCCCGCGGAGGGGTAGTGTTTGTCGTATTTGCCCGAGCCGGCCATTTCAGTGCCTTTTTTGCGGAGTATGCGGAATTGCTCTGTTGGAAGCCAGGTATGTTAGCATTGTCCTCAATGGGGGAGGGAAGACGGCACATCCGTGCGAACGTACCTGGACTCAATTGGGCCTGCCACTCGCCCTCGGTCTTCTGCACTGGGTAACTCGTTTTATCCGCCATATTGCTTGAGCTTGAGCCAAAGAGCGCGCCGAGGAAGGGAATATTAGGCATAGAACGGAGGGTGGTTGCGCGTTGGGGTATGCTGTGGATGCGGAGCGCGGGGTTCGTTGCTCGGACTGTGGTGTTTGCGAAGGTGTGGAATGCGCGGACGATGGTTGGGATGGATGGAAAGCGCATGAAGAGGGGGTTTATATGCTTCGCGCGAGAATTGAGGAATGCAAGCTGTGGTGGGTGATTGCTGTGGATTTGGAAACGTTTTGATGAGGAATCTTTGACGCCGGGAGCTTGCGCCACTTGGAGCTGTCTGTGCGTTTCGCGATTTGGAATTGCGTCATGATTCTCAAGGAGCATCACTATTCCATCTCAGCTTCCGTCATGTTCATCTCACCCATGTCCCTTCCAAGGTTGTATTTGACGACTCTACATTCAAGAATATCCGTGGGATATAGCCCAAAGGAGATGAACGGCTAGAGCCCAGCGAAACAGGCTAACAAGGAGATACAGTGCCAGATCCACTTCGGAATAAGAACCTGTCGTTCCTATCAATTAGACGTGTGCATATGGCATAGCTCCTCTAACTCATTACTCTAACCGGCTGTCTCGAAGGTCCTCAGCGGAGAAATCACGTGACCCTGAGTCCACCTACGCCCTGGGGTGGTTCTAAACATCCGACGTTCGTGTCATTCGATACTAAAACGAAACTTACGGCGTGTCCGAAAATCGTGCAATTACATAAGTTGGCGAATCGGGGCGTTGAAAAAGGGATCCTTCGCACTCGTCGAACCTGTACCAACGAGGTATCTGACGGAATCGACGACTGTTGCTACTCCGTCTTCTCGGAGAAGATGCCTACGTGCCATCGGATAGCCTACACCCATACCGGATAGTCCAGAACGAAAGGTGGCGGCTCATCTTCGTACTGAGGCGGATCCTGCTCATCGACGATTACCCTTTGTTGGTCCTCTGCGGAGATGTCGGAGGAGCTCAAATTCAAAGCCGCAAGGGGACTCTTTGGCCAATTCTGGATAAAGTTAGATAAACGCGTCCGTAGTAAGTACATGTTGTTCTACTTACGAGGTTCATCAGCTGCACATAGAGACCGTCTTCACCTTTCCGGTATCCGCCGCGCACTGTGGGACATCTGTCGAGGAGGCCCTATGGATATGGTGAGTTATTTTGCGCTTTTGCTTGGATGGCTTGTATAACTAACCTTTACCGCAGTTTTGCAACCTTCTGAATTCGCTAGATCATAAATCTCGGATCGTTTGACCTTCAGTTGTGCGTAATTGGGCTTATTGTCTTCTCCGCCGACCCAAACGCATGTCGTTCCGTTCAACGCTAACATATCAGGTCGTGCGGTATCGCCATACTGGAGGGTTTTAGTGACAGAACTCGCAGATGTAATGCAGCGGAGGGCACATACGGTTCCTTCTTCACTCCACTTGCATATCTCACTAACGTTGCAGGCTACTTTTTCAACAAAGTCGTCCACCGCCATCCCTCGAGTGATAGATTTAACAATATCTTCTTTTGCCGGGATATTTTCCCCTTCCCCGTCTTCTTGGCAAGCGACATCTTCTACGACCTGTTCACTTGGGTCGATATCGGGGCCTGTCTCTGCTCCGTTCTGTGGAACCTGTGGAATCACCCACTCTAAGAGGTTAGCGAATTCGATCGCTTGGAGGAAATCGTAGGCAAGGCGAATATATGCGCGAGTATTTGGCCGTATGAAATCTCCATCTAGATGCTCGAGAGTTGTAGCCGAGGCGTGGACTTTCAAGACTTTCCAACCTTGAGTGAACAGTTGGTCTGCAAGAGCAGACAACATTGCGTTGTACTCAACGATTCTTTGATTCAAAGGCCGCCATATCGAACCATCATCTCTCAGTCGCCTCATCATAGGAATATGGCCAAGCAACACGCATGCGGTTGGATCCCGATCCAGGATATCGATTATGATGACGGTCAAACGACGGACGACGTCAACCAAATCGCGACCGTAAAACAAGTCTGTCGTACCGGCCATAATCAAGACGACTTTATCTCGCACACCCAGGGCCTGAGACTCGCGCAGTCTCCTATGAAGTCCGTTGACAGTGACTTGCTGGTAGCATTCGTGCGCATAGGCGCCGTTGTGGTTCGGTCGTTGAGAGCCGATGAAGTCGGCTCTGGGTACAGGTGCACCCCAAGGAACGCCATAAAGGCCGCGGTCGCTCAACAGGGCCGAAAGATGTCGCATGAACCCCTGATAGACGTCCGAGTTCGGGTCCTGGGATCCGAACGGCACGTAATCCCCGACAACCATTATTTTAATAGGTGACGCCGGCAGACCTCTGTGCGCCGCACGGGCGTGCAACTTTGGATATAAGATGACTTCTTTCGTTCTCAGCATTCCTGCAGGCGTGGGATGAAATGCTTTTGTCATCCATAATGGACGCTGCGCGTCTACATCATCGCCATATTTGTTGAGTTCCTCAATGGCCATATTGGCGATTTCTTCATCGTTCTTTCCTTCCAAAACCTCGGGATCTTGTCTTTTACCAATATTGAGATGGAAGAACCAGGTATTGGGGTTCCTGAAATCCAGCTCCCTCACTCCTTCACGACAAAACCTATGCCTGTTGTATCCGACGTCCACGTCCACATATTCGATTGCTGTTATCATTCCCAGGCCGCCAAATTGAGGTCGATCAGATCCAGTGGTATACTGAACATTCTGCACGGCAATTTTGTATTGTAGGACATAGTTAACTGCATGCGTAAGCCTGTTGAGGTCTTTCCGACGCGCTCGCGTCATCGGCGGCCCACGGCTTCCCCAAATGAATCCAGCCTTATCGCATTGAATGGTATATGCATTGAAGAACTGCGAGTATCCAATTTGATATATTGCTGTTTTGTCCCGGTCTCGACGCGGCCAAACCATGCGATCTAGGATCTCCCGAAGGACACGAATATAGTTCGTGTGGAACTCACGGCTGAACAATGCCGCCCAGGACTCATCCATGATGTCTTCACATGCCTTTCCAAGCGGAGGCTCAATCGGGGGCCAATTGTAAACGCATTTCATCAAAATACCAACCAAGGTGATGTCGTTGCCGCCAATGGATAGAGTTACGAAGTCCGTGGTGTCCCGGACGTCGCCCAACTGATAGTTCGGATTGTGGGAGTCCGTCAAATTAGTGGTGACATCTCCAGTACAGGCTTTGAAAGTGAAAGCCGGCGGATCATCGGTGCCAGGTGGTCCGGGCATGTCCGGATCGTCTTGAAGTTGAAATGGATACGCCTGTGCTCCGCGAATGCACTCCGGCTGTGGGTCGTTCTCGATAGTGCCTTCGTTTGAATATTAGCTTTATAGCAACGCAGTGTCAAGATCACGCACCTGTTCCAGGGCCTGCCGCGAACGAGTCCCCCAGGGCCACCCATTCCCTAGGAGTCAAGGGTGGACTGTTTGATAGTATCGTGAGGTTATCTTGAGGCGCTTCGTCTTCGTTCTTCGTCCAATTCCTCCCGGAGGAAACAAACGGCCCGAATGCTACACCAATGTTCACTGGTGAGGACGGGGACACAATGGGTCCGTCATCTCGGGGCAATACTCCAGGGGTGGGACGAAAACTGGTGGATTCCGTCACAGCCAAACTAAAGCTTTGGACAACCTAAAAGGCTAATTCTCATTACCCTTCGTCAGCTCCGTTGCAAACTCGAGTATGATCCTGAGATGTCGAGTCACATACCAAAATAAAGTCGGACGAGCATATCCTCATGGACGAGTGCTGAAGTGCTATGTCGTACAAAATACGAACTTGGTCTGTAACATGTTGTCCTCGATCTAGGTACGCTCGCATTTCCTTATAAAGCCACATCTTCTATGAATACAGACATAATGCATAGGGCACTAGAAGGACACATAGATACAGTGGCCATGAAATCCTAATCAGATCTGTTCAGTCTTGAAACGAAGGAATATTCCATTGGAACTGCTGGCTGTGTGCGCCGCGAACTGATTCCTTCATGGCCGAGCAAATATTGAAGTGCAATAGTCCCTGATTCAAATCCACAAGTTTCAGGCAAGCACAGGAGGAATCGTATGTGAGTGTTGAGTGTGGCGTATGGCGTAACATATTCGTACACGTGAGTCCGCGAATCAGGATGAAACAGATTTCCTTCGCGCCTTCCTGTGCCGCGATCCTTTTTCCACAACCTCAACGACGTAATCTGGCATCTTCTGACCGCCCTCTCGCTTGTCGCATTGTTTTCGCAAATTTCTATTCCGCGATGTTACGTTTTGTGACGCTGGCGTTTTACGCCTCGTGCATCTCATGGCTCATATTGCCGATCACTGCTGCTGTCGTACGAGTCCCGATCCAGCGGAAAACAGCGATATTGCCTTTGGTCTGCTTCTCAAGTCACAAAGAAAGATTTAAAGTTGAGCCTTCTGAGGTGAGAAACCGATACGGCTTTGACGTGGAGTCTACCAAAGCGCATCTGATCACCTTGATAGGAATTGGATCCACGCAAATGGGGCTCGGACAAATCTGTCCAAGCACCCCTTCGTGTCGAGCACCCAGTATTAACAGCAATACCGAGACCGCAACAACAATGAATTGCATATCATATGCTCTTCACTACCAATATCTCCATCGGCACACCACCCCAACCGTTTATCGCATGTGTCGACATCAACTGGTCAGATCTATTCGTACCCTCCTCATCCTGCATGCTCGATCCCGACATGCAGCGATATTGCTCCCCGTTCCGAAAGTTCAACTCGACGCAATCTTCAACCCACGTCCCTGCATCGGCCTTTGAAGACACGCAGTACGAATTTCTGTGGGCACGTGGCTACCTCGCGCATGATACAGTTCACATTGCTCAACTCCAGATTTCGAATCAGACCTTTGAAGATGCTGCGTTCTGGCGCTCCCAGTATCGCAGCGGCTGGGCGCCAATCGACACAGGCCTCGGCCTTGCGCGCTCAAGGCCGAGAGAGTCGCGTGATCGAGACAACACGGCTGAGTGGGGTAGTTCTATACTCCAAAATCTCAAAGAACAAGGAGCTCTACAAGAGAACATCTTCTCGCTCCAACTTCCGCGGGCAGATGAAGAGCTAGGAAATTTGGTGCTCGGAGGGAGTGATCTTCAGCGGGGCCGGCAGAGCCGCATTCTAACACTACCACTAACGAACAAATCCGTGAGCTCAGGACCTAGGCTCTCCTTCCTCGTGAGCTCGGGATGGCAAGCAAACATCTCCTCCATGAGTCTACACTCCAGCATCAACAACCAAGCTCCTCTCGATATCGACCTTAAGGGCGGCACCGCAATCTTCTCCAATTGGCACGACTTCATCTCCGTCTCTCCTCCTATGGCGGAGCGCATTCTCACATACCTCCATCTCTCGGATCTTTACCCCGATCCGCCTTGCTCCCAGATATCCGATCTACCCAACCTTACTCTCGGCTTCGGAGATGTTGGAAAGATTACCCTGACGCCGTCGCAGTATACCGTGAGAGTCAAGAGCGTGTACAGAGATGATGAGGACCGGTGTGTTATCCCGTTTACGGACTGGGCGCACGATGGTCTCCGTGAGGAAGGGGAGAAGTTCGTGGTGCTTGGGACTGCTGTGCTGCAAAATCTGATCACGGAGTTTGATCTGGATAAGGAGACGATTTCGTGTAGGTTCGAAGTGCTTCGCGTTTGGAAGATGCTAATTATGAGCAGTTTCCGCGCGAGATGACTAGGAATATTGGTGTCATTTCGGGTAACGAGTTGATATGTAAAAGAGTGAGATGGAATGCGGAACTACATTCACACTTCGGAACGTCGACTGCGAAGAGCACAATACCACTATGAGACGAGACCTAACGGCTCATACTACTTATCCGAATATCACGCCTTCCTACTTTATCCTCACCGTTCTCTTGTTCGTCGACTTCGGAGCAAGCAACACGTTCATCGCCCTCTTTGGAATCCCCTGAAACTTGCACCCATAAAAGACAGCAATAATCTCACCACCCTCAAACACATACACATCCCCGGCGGTTATATTTCCCGGCTGCGTCATCATCTTGACATAGCACGTGTATTCCTTATCCGGAGATATTGCTCTAGGATTTGGGACCTTGAACGACTGCCACCCATGCGAGATATACGTCATATCTGAGTTATACAGATCCGACGCATTCGCGATAAAGCCGGACAAATGGCACAGATTGTCGATGAAGTACGGCGAGCAGAGGAAGTCGCCATCGGCCCCCGTGGTCTGGAATCGGACCTTCGCCGTAGCAGCTGTATCCTCGCTGTCCAGAATGACTTCTTGCATCCCCTGGTACTTGGGCGAGTAGTGAACAAATGCCTGGAACAGCTTGTATGCCAGCCCTTGGAGGAACTTATGCGCGCGTCCAGTCTCAACCCGGGATTCCAGCAGCGCAATCTGCGTCTCGACGAGGTATTGCTTGCGCTGCCACTCGGATATCCACTCGGCCGGGTCTTCGTACTTGACGAGTCCGTGGCCGTGGTTCTCGATGAGTTTGCCTTCCCACGTCACGCTGCGGAAGCTAACTGTGACTTCGCCCTTTTGTACGTCGGCGTGCGCCTCCATTTGAATGTGCTGGCCATCTTCGGGTGGCGGGATTTGCGCGATCACGGGCTTGTGGACTTCCATGGCGCAGACGTTGAGTCCAACTTCGGGGGCGGAGGGGCAGAGGGTTTTGTAGAGGTAGTCGGAGGCTGTCATCGCCATGTCGGCATAGAGAGCTGAGGATACGAGCGGGACATGATTGCAGACGTGGCCGCTGATGGCGGGGAGGAGCTTAGGGTGGGAGATGTCGGTTTGGAAGATTAGAGTGCCGGTGCCGCGGGCTTGGTCGATGTCTTCGTAGATGAGACGTTGGCAGGAGGTGGTGGAGCACTTCGGCGGACGAGACACGCGGATATCGGATATCATGGTCGTGGCAGCGGAATCAGCTCGCGAAAAAGGGGATAGATTATAATGATTGGTACAAATGAGGTCTTGTACAAACGGATGGAAAATGGTGCGTACTCTAAGACGGATACTGCAGCGCTCGACGACAATCAGAAAGCAAAGCTTGGGAAGGAGCAGCGACGGAGTTATGTAGACTGTAACAGTGTAAGATCAAATTAAGCCTGCGAGTATATAAATAGGTGTTCCCATGGCGGTGGCCGGATAGTCCTCTGGATTGAAACATGAGACAGATCCGGAAATATTGTGCGAGGCCGGAGTTAGTTAGCACCATCTTGGAGGAAAGACTGCCTCCATTTGATGTTGCCAATAGGCGTAATGGGCGGCCTCGCTCGTGGTGGTAAGGGTACCAAGTCGCGTATATAAGCCTGAAAAAGGCGGTGATGTTCTCTCGGCGTGAGATAAGATGCTTCGGAAGGCGGGGAAGCGGCAATCCTCCGACGCCTGGTCAGCTCTGTCAAGCGTACTCGCTGGTCGCCTGTACATACCCTTCCGTTAAAGGGACATCGGGGTTATGCTCCGGTCCATTCAGCAGTTTTGAAGTGGTGACTAGGCGAGAGAACTAGTGGGCTCTTCTCGCTTTTCGGACTTGCAAAGACAACTTCAAAGACGCCATATATCTCCACACGGGCTCCATACACAGAATTTCACGCCAATTTCTGGCTCTTCTTTAGTGTGAGACCTATCCTTCGGTCGGTGCCGCCGGCAACCATCGATGTTCACCGAATTATCAGAGCTTGGAATCCCCAGAGCGCAGCCATCAAGGATTGCACTATGGCGAACTACAGATATCCGGAGTAAGAAGAGTGCAGAAGGTAGACCTAATATAGTCGGAAGATGGGATATAGAGATGTGGAAGTGTTGGTGTGCAGTGGAAAGACCAAGTTGGGATCCCATTACTAAGCGAGTTTCGGCTTTACCTATCTCGGGTAGCGTGGAAAAGCCGCCCAGGTGGAACCGGAGCCGTCAACCAAACTTCAGCACCTCGAACGTTGGAGCACTTGGACCTACTCTCTACGCGCTTCAGCTCGGTTTGTTTGAGTAGTAGAAAAGTACGGACGAGTCCATCTCGCCCTCGATCTTAGCACGTATTGCCCCTCTTCGCTTCGGTGGCGTTCACCCCACCATCGGCTTCCAGCATCATCGACACCAAAGCTGCAGGTGACTACACTAATAGCCCAGTCAAGTGTCAACAGATCCTTCGCGCCAATGAAAGCGTCCACTATGCATCTGGCGCATCATCGGCACAGCGCTCTAGCTTCCGGCCTATGGGCGCTGGTCGCGCCGGAGATAAGTCGTGTGCCTTCCAGTCTCTTTCTTTCTTCCTCCAAGACTTTTTCTCTCATTCCGCGTCATTGCCAAGTAGACCCTGTGTAGTCTGCTTGGAAATTCGGCCCATATTGTTGGCTTATGAGCGCGAACTATCATGCCTCGGATATTTCTCCGAACTCGCCCACGCCATCCGAGGATTCGGACGGTATTTCCTCGGTAGGGTCTAAGTCAGACGCCTTCTCAGACAAGAGCGTCGAAGTACCAGAGCATGCCCAATTTCTGAGACAGACGAAACAATCGTCGAGCACAAGCCTCTTCAGCGACCATGGCGAGGTAGCCGAGGGCGCCGTCTCGGCCCGAGATCGGCGTCAACGGAACCTTCTGATCGAGACCAACGTGCGCGCTGGCACAGCACTACCTCACGTCGATGAGACGGAGCAGACAGAAGCTGCAAAGGAGAAGCCAGTATCATGGCGTTCCTTGCCTCGGAAAGACCAGCTGCTCGTCTTGACGCTGGCAAGACTGTCAGAGCCTCTGACGCAGACATCGCTCGGGTAAGATCTCGTCCGCCCACAAGATAGCTCTGATCAATATTCTTACCTCTCTATTCATACAGGTCTTATATCTTCTACCAGCTTCAATCTTTTGATCGAAGCTTGCCGGACTCCACCATCTCCTTCCAGGCCGGTATGATTCATGCTTCGTTCCCGGCGGCACAGTTCTTAACCGCTATTCTATGGGGACGCTTCGCGGATTCCGAGCTTGGCGGCCGGAAGAGAGTCATCTGGATAGGGCTGCTAGGTACGATGATATCCATGATTGGATTCGGATTTTCGCATAGTTTTCCGGCCGCGGTGTTCTTCAGATGTGTGGGCGGCGTTCTAAATGGGAATATCGGAGTGATGCGCACAATGATTTCGGAGATCATAAAAGAGAAGAAGTACCAAAGCAGAGCCTTTATCATCCTCCCGATGACGTTCAATATCGGAGTTATAATAGGCCCGATACTCGGTATTCTCCCTTCCGAGACAACCATATGCACCAGCTGACGTGAGGTAGGCGGTCTCCTAGCAGACCCTGTCACAAGCTATCCTTCTATCTTCGGACCGGATTCTTTCCTGGGCGGCAAAGACGGCGTTCAGTGGATGATCAAGTGGCCATACGCCCTACCGAACTTGCTTAGTGCAGTCTTCCTGTTCATCGCCACTCTAAGCATCATCCTCTTTCTCGAAGAAACCAGCGAGCTATGCAAACACAAGCCCGACCCTGGGCTGCGCATCGGACGTTGGATACGTCGCCATGTTCTCCGGCAGAACATATCCATCGATCATCAATACGCGGCAATTCCCGGGGACGAGTTTGCGGCTGCAGCGGCTCTCGAGCTCCAGCCAACGCCCACTTCTGCTCATCCGGACACGCCTGCAGCGCGTGACAAACCGAGCAAATCGTTTACAAGAAAGCTCCCCTTCAGAAGGATATGGACGCGTAATGTGATCACCACGCTCTTTTCACACGGCCTTCTAGCAATGCACATCGGAACCTTCAACTCCCTCTGGTTCATCTACCTCTCCGCACCACGCTACGATCCCGCTCACCCGCACCCATCGGGGCTCCAGCCACATGGCCTGATTCACTTCACAGGCGGCCTCGCTCTTCCGCCACCCCGCATCGGTCTTGCGCTCGCCATCCTCGGCCTCATCGGTATTACGCTGCAGCTCTTCCTCTACCCGCGCCTGTCGCATCGCCTTGGCACAGCTCTAAGCTATAGGATCTTTCTCGCGCTATTCCCGATCACGTACATGATCGTGCCCTTCCTCAGCGTTGTGCCCAGCTGGGCGAAACCTCCTGCCGGTGTTTCGGGGCCCTTCATATGGGCCGCTATAACGATTGTGCTCTTCATTCAAGTCCTAGCACGAACGTTCGCTCTTCCATGTACCACTATCCTTATCAACAACTGCTGTCCGCATCCGTCCGTGCTCGGTACCGTTCACGGGCTCGGTCAGTCGGTATCGAGCCTTACGAGGACCTTTGGCCCGATTATGTTCGGCTGGATCTTTGGGAGAGGTCTGGATATGGGTGTCGTGGGATTGGCGTGGTGGATTCTGGCTTGTGTTGCGATCGTGGGGAGCGCGGTGGCGCAGTTTGTGAGGGAGGGAGATGGGCATGAGGTCTTGCTTGAGGGGGAGGTTAAAGGGGAGGATGGGGTCGTCCGGAGGCTGAAGTGAAGATGAGACTGGGTTTGTTTGGAAGACAGTGATATTTATCTCTAAAACGACTGGAAACAAGCGCTACTGACGCAACGCTAAACGCAAATATGTTGCCGCTCAGTCGAGCCGACAATGAAGACCAACCGGTCCATCAACGGGGAGTCCAGCACGTAAATCGCCGCTGTTACCCGTCGCCCATAGATATAACGTACCGCGGTGCTTAAACCAAACACCTGACTGGAATCAAAAGAAAAGATGCAGTGACCCCCTACAAGTCATCGTCCTCATCGTCCGCATCCTCCGCCATTGGACGCAGTATCGGACTCAAAAACATTTTTCGAGGTAAGGCCGGGTGGAATGCCTAGGGCACTCATCGCGTCCGCGAGGGAAGCGCCGGCGGTGCATTCGGGGCCCAGATTGGAGTCAGCGTGTGATGGCTGATCCGCTTCTTCGTCGTTGGCATAATCGGTATCCTCCGGAGTACCCTTTTGTTCGCTTCCCTCTAGATCATTCGCGATGGAGATCAGCTAGTCATTGGATGCTGTCAAGGATTAGCTAAACCAGACTGAGTAAAGCTTAGAGCGTCCTCAACTTACGATTCAGTGCGCCCTGGACACTACCAAGGCGTTCCAACAGGTCTCGGACAGTTCCTGGCTGCTTTATCGCCCAGCCGTGATTCTGCTCGAGGTCCTTCCTCAGAGCCATCATCGACGCAAACCAGGCTGCAGCTCCTTGGCGAACGATTTCTGGCTTGAACCAATCCTGAAACTCATTTTCGGTGATACAGCGGCAGCTCTCATCCAACCACTTAATTTCACCCGCTGTCGGAAGCTGTCTGCTGTTGAGTTTGCTCAATAAGGTTGCTTTGTCCTTCTTGATGGAGCCCGTGAAGGAGGGATGATTCAGTGTGTCGCAAGTCATTTTGTTCGACGTGAGTTGGGTAGCTTGGACGAGGGGTGGCGAGGAGACTGTAGAGATAGGGCTGCTTGTGGTGGGCGTCTGGCTGGTGGACGTCTGACTGGTGGACGTCTGACTGGGGGCATTGCTGGATCCTAAAGATGTATCACTCTGGACGCTCGAAGACTGGTCGAAGGGCTTTGGGTTAGGTAATCCGTGAAAGGCGGAAGCCGTTATGCCTGGAACGAAAGCAGAGACAGATGGTGCAGTGTTGGAAGCTCCGAGGGAGGGTGAATCGCCTCGGATGTCCGAAAGTACGTCGAAGGGCTTCTGGCCCTGTGATACCGAGTCTGACACTACTGAGTCGTGGGGGGCAACCTGAATGGGCTGCTCATCTGATTGCATCTGACGAGCTGCTTCAGCATCGAGGTCTCCCTTCGACACCCCGACCAGCTCAGATACTTCTGCGATGCAGTTAAGCAGAGTAACCACATTCACCGGCAACTGAGAAGGCTGGTTCCGCAGGAAGATATATGCCCATTGCATTGTGCCCCAGTCCCATCCTAGGCCCATGTTACCGCACAGAGCGGCTTTGTCGATCCCGCAGTTGGACAGCGTCTTCAGGGCGTCCGCCGTACTTCGGAATCGCTCGACCAGAACGATAGCGGCAGCTTCGAAATCATCTCGGTTGTTCCTAGCTTCCTTGAGGGCGGCGAGAGCAGCATTGATGCTGGACTTGTAGGCGAAGAGGTCGTCGTATAAGGTGCGGAAATCTTGGGTGACAGTAGGGGCAGTCTGGGCAGCGAGAGCCTCCCACACCATCTCTTCGGTCAGACCGGGCATGTAGTAAGGAAAGCGGATGACCTTGGACAGCGGACCGTTGTAGAATATGCCGGAGGGGTTGCGGTTGATGGTATCGACGAATTTGGCCCAACCCTCGGCGGCCTCGACGGCGTCCTTTCGTGCCTTCTCAGCACAATATTGATTGTGCCGCTCTTCGTTCTGCTTCTCACGTATCTCCCGCTCGCGGCGGGCTTTCCACGCAAGGTGCGTATCCTTGCGCCATGTAGATCGCGACTGACTAGAAAAGCGGGCGGGAGGCTCGTAGCGACAGGGAATGAATTCGTGCGTTGGAAGATCGACTACACTGACGGACAGGCCACGACGTACGGCCTTGCCTGCTTCACGGCCCTCGACACGTCGCTTGACCAAATGATGGAGGTGATGTCGCAAGCGGGGCGAGACGAGGCCAAAGCGGCTCCTGCCGGTGAGGACCTCCATAGGGAATGTCGGGTTCTTGATTGCGAATTCACGCGTCGTCATCGTCGACGAGATCTTGACGGTATGAGGTAGGTTGCGGAATGAGGGCAACGGCCCGGTCAGGTCGGTGTAGCGGGGCATCTTTATCTCGTTTCTGGGATGCCTTGGGCGAAGGGGAGAGTGGAGTGTAATAGGGGATGGCGCAAGTGCAGGGCGGTTGAATTTCTGTAGCGTGCGCAGAATGGAGAGCGAGAGTGGAAGAGGCTTGGAAGCGCACTACCGGGGCTTTAAATTGGGAGAAACGGGCGGTGGAAGTGAGGGGTCCGAGCTTTCGAGCTTTCGAGAAATCTGCGGTGAAGGCGGGGATCAGGGAAGGTGAAGGCGGTATCGGGACAGTCATGTTCCTGATACCGTCCAGTGAAAAGCCATTCTATGAAAAGCTCGCTGGCTGCGCGGCCCGCTGAGAGGGTGACCACCGTCCCAGGAATGGGAGCGGGCAGGTCTCCCGTCTCATGGGTCAGAAGAGTCTAGGGTACTGTCCACTTTCCGCCTCCGGCGCTGGTGAGAGGGACCATGTCATTCTGTTGAATACTGTAAGTAGAGCAATCACAAGCAGGGTGTTCCGCAATACCGAACTTCGCAGTTAACTTTTGAGCAGAGCTTCGGAATTCGCGCATCCCTCGAGGGAGGTTCCCTCTTGGCCGGTGGCCACCACCTCGTCCAGTTTCTCTTCTTCGGCATGTGCAAGTTGAGTCGCGGTCCTCGGATACGGTTGGACGAAGTTGGTGGATAAGAGTAGTAGGAGAGCATTGGGGAGAGAGACTTTATAGAAGCTTGCAGGAGGCGGCCTGCCCTGCAGTCCAAGGTAAAAGTACGGCGACACACATTTTATCATGGCTGCGCAAGTAAAGGTGAGAGAAGTGCGTATTTTCAAAGGAATCAAGCGGGAAGCTGTATCAACTCACTTTCTCGTGGCCTCTCTGCGGTTCTGTCCCAATGCTGCCTGAAATGCATCGACATCACTTCTCAGCGACCGCTTAAACGTCCACCCTTCCCACAATCTGATCTTCAACCTTCCCATCCTGGCCCAACACCGTCCTCACCTTAACTTTCTTCTTCTGGATACTCGCCTTCCTTGGGTTCTTTGACTCAAAGATCTCATCCATCTCTTCGAGAGTGAGACCCTTTGTCTCCACGAAGAAGAAATACATGAAGGTAAACTCGAAGCAGTCCCAGAAGACGAAGAAGACGTAGAACCAGTAGCCAATCTGACATACATCAGCATTAGTCATATACGGAAGGAAAGATGGCGGATTAGAAAGGTACGTACGTTAGTGAGTGCGATGGGTGCAGCGAAGGTGTTAACAAATCCAGCACATCCACCGGTTATCTTGTACGTCCCCATGCCCTTCGCGCGCATATCATTGGACATGACCTCCGCTGGATAGATCGGCTGCATTGACGTATACGCGAAAGCAAAGATGGCGCCGAACACGAAGATGAATGCGATGGAAGCAGACGAGGCAGCGTGACTCCCCGTGTGCACGTACCCCGCTGCAGTTCCAGCAGTGAGGGCCAGAGCGATGATCAAGCCTGCCGTGGCACCGAGAAGCATTTTGCGCCTTCCGAAGACATCGTGCAAGCGGGCGCCGGCTGTGGCAAAGATGTAGCCTTCGAGGGCGTACATGATGTTGAGGAGGAGCTTGGTATCCGCGGATGTGATACCGACATTGGCTAGTAGGTAGGGAAGGTAGTATGAGATGACGCTGGGTTGTGTTAGGACTGTATCAAGAAGATGACCTGCTGTTGAAGAACTCACTTGTTGCCGGAAAATTGGCCGAACCACGCGAAGGTCATATTTAGCATCGTCCTATACCGCCTTGCCCTCGTCTTGAATAGAACGGTTAAGTCAAAGAAGTTCCGCCAGTTGGTCACTGGCTCACGTCTCAACGAGTCGATCATCTCCGCCATCTCAAGCGCTACGAGTGGATGGTCCGGGTCGCCGTTCGCGTGATGCTTCACGAGAAACTCGCGAGCTTCTTCATGCCGGTCCTTCCCAATGAGCCATCTAGGTGACTCTGGGAAGAATAGAATCACACAGGCTACGAGGCTTGGACAGACCATCTGCAGCCAGAGCGGCAGTCGCCAGTCGAGGTTAGTGTCGGAGAGGTGTTTGTGAGCGCCGTAGACGGATGAGGTGGCGAGGATAGAGCCCTGAGGTTGGTTCAGCGCATCAACCATATGCACACGTGTCGTATACTCACGAAGTAGTAGAACGTGTTATACAAGCCGGCCAATGTACCCCGATACTGCGGCGGCGCAACCTCCACAAGATACAACGGGCTCGCCGAGCACGCCAACTGCGCAAAGAAACTCAGCAGAAATCTGCCCCCGATAAACGTTGGCAGCGTCTTCGCCGTCGCAGTGACGATAGTTCCGATTGAAACCCCGGCCGCTCCGATGAAGATTAGGTATCTACGACCCAGCCAATCTGCGACCCACACGAAAAGTGCCGCGCACATCTGCCCTATCGAAAAGATCGCGAAGACAATGCCAGTGGATGCAGTGCCAGTGCTAGGGAGTCCGTAATAGCGCGTGTAGTTCGGGAGCACGTTGATGCTGCCCATGAGGGAGCTGTCGAAGCCTGGCCGTACGTCAGTCTCTGCGATCCGGGAGACAGAGGGGAATGGACTACTTACCACTCATTGTTGAATTCAGGAAACAAATGGTAGCCAGAGCGTACAGCTGAAGGTGGCCCTTTCCCCAAGGATTGGGCTTATGTTTCGCCATGATAGCTGCGAGCGACGCGTTCACGCCCTCCACCTCGCTTTCCTCGACGATCTTCCTGCCATCCTCCGTCATGGTCTTCTCGCCCACGTACTCCGCGTTCTTCGTCTCTTTCTCAGCCATGCTGCTCTTTCTTCGGATTATGCGGCACAAACGCGATGCGGGGCGAAGAGAAGAGGTCGAAATAGAGATGCTTCCCCACCTGGTGCGACCCAGGAATTCGGTCCCCCACTCTTTATACCAACACAATGTCGCATTTTATCGTTGCAAACGAGCCGCTTATCCAGTGAGCAAGGCTATCGGTAGGGTCTTGCCCGAAGACAAGGTACCGGTTGGAAGAGAGGTGGCCTGAAAAACGGTGATCGTTGCCCCACGCAGGCCAGGTTGGGTTCCCCGCATCCCGCTTTCAATTTAGGTTGCATGCTTCCTCCACGAATTTCGGAGAAGTGCCGAAGCGTGAAGCGTGGCGATGATTCAGCGCGGGTTACCTCTTTTGCAATCCCCGCTTGAGGCTACTTCAACGTCGTGAATTCGGAGCTGGGAGCTCGACAGGCTACACGCAAGATGGCGGCCATACCATACAGCTCGCAATCCCTCAACTCGAACTGGACCTTCAAGCAAGGCGACCGCTCTTCAACCTCTGAATACCTTTCAGCCAACGATGTTCCTACTGAAATCCACCGAGATCTCATCAAAAATGGGAAGATCGAAGACCCCTTCAATGACCTCAACGAGCTGTCCGTGCGCTGGGTTGCCGATGTACCGTGGACGTATCGCGCGACGTTTCTCGCTCCGCCAGATCATGGCAAGGCTGGTACGAAGACAGTCTTGAAGTTCGAAGGATTAGACACTTTTGCTTCGGCATACCTAAACGGGAAGCTGGTTTTGGAGTCTGACAACATGTTTATCGAGCACCGTGCTGATGTTAGCGAGAGCCTCAATCAAGGGGAGGATAATGTGCTGGAAATCGTGTTTGAGTCCGCGAGACAGAGGGGCCTCGAGCTCGTGAAAAAGCACAAAGAGCATAGGTTCATCGTGCACCAGACGGAAATCTCAAGAGGTCCGGTGCGAAAGGCGCAGTATCACTGGGGCTGGGACTGGGGTCCGCTTCTGCTCACTTGCGGACCGTGGAAACCCATCTCCATCGAGACGTACGCCGCTTGCATCGACCATGTATGGGTGGAATATGAGCTTAGCGACGATCTTCAAGGGGCGAAAGGGACGGTTTACGTGAACGTGCAAGGAGGAGCAGGCGCTGTGGACCTCGAGATCAGCAGGGAAAACGAAACTGTCAAGAGGCTGACCCTGAGTAGTGCAACTACTACCTCTGAGGGAGATAAAGTGTCCAGCTTCGAGTTCGAACTCTCCAGTATCGCGCTCTGGTGGCCGCGCGGCTATGGCAGGCAGTCCCTGTACACGGTCACCGTGACTCTTCGCGCTGCAGAGAAGGAAGAGAAAGAGAAATACGAGAGTGCTCAACCAATCGCTCTTGACCAAACGTCCAAAACATTCGGCTTCCGCAAAGTGGAGCTCATCCAAGAACCCGATGCTCACGGCACATCCTTCTACTTTCGCATCAATAACGTCGACATCTTCTGCGGAGGCTCGTGCTGGATCCCTGCCGACTCCTTCCTCTCGCGCCTCACACCTTCCGACTATCGCTCCTGGCTTGACCGTGCAGCAGAAGGAAACCAAACCATGGTGCGCGTCTGGGGCGGCGGTATCTACGAAGACTCTTCTTTCTACGCCGCCGCTGACGAGCTCGGCATTCTCATATGGCAAGACTTTGCCTTCGCATGCGCCAACTATCCCGCTTACCCTTCGTACTTGAAGAGCGTAGAGACCGAAGCGCGGCAAAACGTGCGGCGCTTGCGAAACCACCCTAGTCTGGTCATCTGGGCGGGCAATAACGAAGACTACCAGATTGTGGAGAGATACGGGCTTGAGTATTGCTACGAAAAGGATAAAGACCCGCAGTCGTGGCTCAAGACAAACTTCCCCGCTCGCTACATCTACGAGCACCTCCTCCCCAACATCATTTCAGAAGAAACGAAAGGCGTTCCGTATCACCCCTCCTCACCCTTTGGCAACGGGACGTCCACAGTGCTGAAAGTTGATCCTACGGTCGGCGACATCCATCAGTGGAATGTCTGGCACGGGACTATGCAGCCATACCAACATCTGCCCAGCATGGGCGGCCGCTTCGTCTCCGAGTTTGGCATGGAAGCTTATCCGCATCTCTCCACACTCGAAAAATGCATCACCAGGGAAGAAGATCGGTACCCCGGCAGCATGGCAATGGACTTCCGCAACAAAGCCGTCGGGCACGAACGTCGCTTGATTTCCTACGTCGCGGAGAACTTTCGCATACGATACGATCTCCCATCCTTCACGCACCTCACGCAGGTCATGCAAGCAGATGCACTATCCTGGGCGTACAAATCCTGGCGCCGAGACTGGGGCTCCCGCGGAAACAGGAAATGTGGAGGCGTCCTGGTCTGGCAGTTCAACGACTGCTGGCCGACCATGAGCTGGGCGGTCGTGGATTACTACGGCGTCCCAAAACCGGCGTACTACGCGATCAAGCGTGCCCTGGAGCCGACCGTTGTGGGCGTGCGGCGGAAGGTGAACGAGTGGACGATGCGGCCGGCTGATGAGCTGTGGCAGCGAGATACTGGACATATTGATATGCGGAAGATATGGGAAGATGTAGAGTTTGATGTTTGGGCTGCGAGTAGTAGAACGGAGAGATTGACGGGAGAGCTGGTGGTTAAGTTCATCTCGATTAAGAGCGGGAACGAGGTTTTGCCGGCTTTGAGGGAAAAGGTGGAGATCGAGCCGAACGGGACGACTGATGTTATCAAGGCGCATAAGGTTCAACTTCCGAGCCCGCAAGATCCCAACAACCCCTTTTCTACCTTAGCTGCGGACCCGTTCGTCATCTACGCCACCCTCCTCATCTCAGACAATCAGATAGCTTGGGATGTCTCATGGCCAGAGCCAATCAAGTATCTACGATTCCCAGACAGAGAGGTGGAAGTGTTGTACGCGAATGACAAAACACAGGCGTTCGTCTCAGCTGGAAAGCCAGTTAAAGGGTTCGTGTTCGACGAGAGAGAGGGCATCACGTTGAGTGATAATGGATTCGATCTCGTACCAGGCGAGACGAAGAAGGTTTCTGTGAAGGGCTGTGGTGCTGATGAGCTAGGATGGAAGTATGTGGAGATGGATTGAACAGAAAATTTCCAGTACATTACTAGACAAAACCAAAATGCATATCCAGACTCCGAGGCCTACCTACCCCACGAAAGACATACATGCATAAGCAGAGATACGACATACCTAGCACCTACCCAACAACTCACTCATGCAACCATCCTTCCTCTGTCGGCTCACTATCATCACTCTCCGACTCATCCAAACAACGACTATCGCACACTTTCCAGAATGCCGTCGGCCCCGCGGGTCCATGCACGTCGTAGTCCTTGTCGAACCACGTCCCCACGACGCCGCGCTTTGAGTCGACCCCTCCAACTTGGATGCCTTCGCTGCGCCAGCGTTCCTCACCGCTAGTCTGTTAGCAAGTCTCCCATCTGATGGGGAGCAGTGCTTACCCATAGAATATCGATACAGTAGTCCAGCGGACTTCACCTTCCGGCGTCAATCGCACCGTACCTGCAGTGCATTCCTTAGCGTTGTCCTAAGAACGGAGAGAAGCGGGCTTTGCTAACCTCGGATCCGGGAATTCGCATTCGGATCCCAGGATGCGTCGACGGAGCGGGAAGACCCGCTGAAGTGTACGACAGGAAGAGCAGGGTTGTCGAATTTACCCGGAGTTTCTACTTTAGTGACCTTGAGATGCATCATGATGTGGCGGATGGCTTCTTCGGTGGTGATGGGCTCGCGGGGCTGGTCGGGCGGGATACGCTGGGCGGGGGTGCTGAAGTTGAACTGGTAGAGGGCGTTGTAATCTACTTCCGCATTAGCAAGAATTGTACCGCGATGAGGAAGCAAAAGAGTACCTAAGAAACACACAATTCTCGACCAGATTCCCGAGACATTATATGGGTCTTTGAGTGCAAGTGGGATCTCAGGTTCGTTTGGCAGAGACGACGGGTAGTCCGGTAGCACGCGACTACGTTCCTTGATTACGCCTTCAAACGGCTCGGACCACGGCGGCCTGAATCTCGCCAGGAACCTTCGACAGCACGTGTTCGAGTTGTATCCCAGAACAACCATGATACTCTCCAGCGTCTCCCAATCCACTCTCATACTTCCGTCGTCGCGGAATGGGCCCCAGCGCGTATTGTCGGTGTAGTTGCGCAGATCGTAGACGCGGGACCGGGCGTACGGATGGGTTGAGAGGGCGCGCCGGCCAGCGGTGTTCGAAGGGATTCCGTATAGGCAGTGGATCTTTGCGCTGAGTTGGCGGTCTTCTTCGTCGTCGGCTTGTTTCTGCGAATCGGTGCCTGCACGAGCATATAGGGAGGATCTATACATGAAGGCGTCTAGGTTCTGGGGTGCGTCGAGGATGGAGCTAAGTTCGGCCTTGTTTAGGGATTCGCCGAGATGTTCCGAGGCGCTGAGGACGAGGCTCTCGACTGTTGAGGCCACGAATTTGAAGTTCTCATGCTGGACTTTGTTTAGATAGATATTTGTTTTAACGGTGGTACCTTACCTTGACAGTTATATCACTTGACCGGAGGATCTTCTGACATTTGACAAGCTTCTGCAGCTCCGGTACCCATTGCGGCTCTGGGTCTGTAGGCCGTTTTCGTGGGTCGTCCTTGGTATTCATGAGCACAATCCGCCGAATGAGTCTGTTTCATAATGCTCACAAAGTTCTTGAGATACTGAGCTTTGTACAAGCGCGTGTTCTCCTTGACGAAGTTGTTGAATGCTAACGACGTCCGCGCACATGCCGCCAAATCCTCCGGCTCTATCTCTTCTAGTATGCGGATTAGGACATCGTAGCACAGATCAAGAAGCTCCGTCATGGCTGTGCAAATATATCGGTAGGTGTTCGTGAGCAGACTGCCTGGAGGTGGATGTTCAGACTTCGATGTCGTGATGGATGTGGGGTTCCCGAGGCGTCGGAGATAAGGGACCAACACCGGTAGGGCTGAGACGCTTGCCGGATATGGCTTACACTCCAAGATGTTGCCCACCTTAATCATTGGGATATTGATGAACTCTGGTCTCTACATCGCGTGTTTTCGGGCAAGCTACATTTATCCTCCTACATGAGATTCCCCGCTCTTTTCCTTGCGTTCGTGTTCACGTGCTTTTCTATCGCACGGACCATGCCCATGTCAATTACAATCCGGCGCGAACCTCGCTCCCTCGTCCTTTATCCCATCCACCACTGGTCGCCAGTCATCACTTTCGAAGCCTCAACATGTAGCGCATCACGATCTCTCAGCAGTTTGTACCAAGAGGTTCTTCGCAAGCCCGGGGCGTTGACGCTATCCCATTGACGAGAGCATGAAAGTCGGGTATCAGCCGGCCGCGATGAAAGCCACAACCACACACACGATGCCCAATGTAACCTTCAAAGACCCCTTCCTCGGGCTTGCGCCGCTCTGTACAGCTTGCGCCAACTTTCCATAATCCACATACTCGCATATCGCCCCCACCCTTGTGTGGTTTGCTTCCTCGGCTGTCCTATTTACGCAGTCCGCAAAGCCCAGGTCTACGTTATACGTCCAGCAATCCGCGTCGCAGCCCCGCCGTATCGACCAGATGTTTGTGCTGTTTTCAACCGGTGGACAGCAGCTGCCGAAAAGGTCGAAATCCTCAGAGGGGTTTCGTTCTTGGTCATCGTTGTAGACGAGCGAGCAGTGGACGGGGATGGCAAGGTCGGGTGCGGGACGATCGCAGGATGTAACATTCGCAATCCATTGTTGTTGCGACTGTGGTTCCCGTTAGCTGAGCTGGGAAGAGAAGGAGACGAGGAGCTTACGCCGCTGTTCCGAGCAGGCGCGATACCGTGGCTATCCATTTTCTGAACGCGAGTATCGAGTCGAGCAGGCGTGCAACTTCGAAGGGTTTGTCGTGTTGAAAGAGAAGGATGCGATCGAAAACACGTCAATGATATTCATATCTCTGAAGCGCCGCCAAGACGCTGGGCATCAGCGTCAAGAACCACGCGCATGAACGACAAATCTCAAACGCAGCCAAGGAAGTATTTTATGTTTGATCCTCTCAGGGATGCATTATACTTTATTTTGGGGCTGAATTTAGCGGCACAGCCTCGTCCATAGCCGGATCCGGACCGGACAACTGTAGGCCAAGCTCGTATATGATCCGATTTCATCCTCCTGCCAAGATCAGTACTGTTTCTGGGGAAGTGTACGATCTGACGAAACAATCGCCCAGGTAGCGAGCCATCGAACTAAGATGCGTTAAGCGCTTGAATCCCACGGAGGATTGCAATCTTGACCGTGGGAGCCTTGAATCCCAATCTTGATCGGCCAACCATGGATCCAACGGCTCATGCTAAAATTGCTTTAGGATTCCGCAGTTTACGTACTGCATGGAAGGCGAAATCCCCGCGCTGTCGTTCTATTCTCGCGCACCGATCCCGCGACCTTCGTGAGAGAAAGAGACGCAAGAAGAAGTTCAACCGGCATGATCTTTCTTTCCGGGCCGTATACTATCGCTTGAACTACGACGCCAGACCTAGTCTTACTTGGCGAGACCATCTGGTCAGCACCCTTCAGTAGATGGGTACAGAAGTGACATCTGACCGACGGCTCTCATGTCAGCCTCTCCAGATTTGGCCCCTCGTCTGGCCAGGTCTACACTGGCACCCTGCAGTAAGCTCAATGCAGCCTGTGAATTTCGAGCAAGAGCGAGATTTGAGGAGAGATGATGAAGAACTCAGCCTCGATGGAATCCTTCACCTCTAATTATGTCCCCCAACGTATCTCAAGTTGGTGATGGAAAAGTCTATAAAGACTTCACCGACAAGTGCCTTTCCAACCCATCATCAAACTCACAGTCTTCCTTTCGATACCAAGCCCACCAGCCATTCTTTCCTTTCCTTCATTTCCTTAAGCACTCACGACTTTCCATTCATTCTGTTCCGGGAGAACACACGTTCATTTCTCGATTCAAGACGTCTGCAGCATGTCGAAGTTTCTTCCTTTCGCTTTGCTCCTCACTGGTGCTTTTGCTGGGCCCTATTATGGGAACGGCACGACAAACGCTAACCAAACATCTACGAGATGTTTTCCAGACAGAGGGTCAGTAGCCCGACCCACCGTCTTCGATACATCTAGGCTAACACTCTCCTTCACAGACTAGTCGAAGCGGACGGATATACCGCAAAAGCTCAGCTGCTCGACTATCTTGAGCAACACCGTGCCGTCCAGCTTGATGGCAAGGGCTGCCTCTATAAGAAAGTCGAATCAACCATCCTGTGGATGTGCAACCAGCAAACCTACGACCGAAACATTACTCTTCAGGAAGCGCAGACCGGCTGGACCGCGCTCGTCGATACCTGCGCTGGAGGCGGGTCCTTCGCGGGCGAGCATCGCGCGAACGGCATCAAGTATGCCGCTTACGGCACCAAAGCTGGAGTGAACATCAGGCCGCATCCGAATCGAAATGACACTATGAGTCCGAATCGCCGCTGGCGTCTGAGTAGCAGAGCAGATTGCAACGATGTGGGCACGACGGGCATCTCGCACTTCGATTGCCCGAAGCCAGAGGGCCATGTTTCTGATGCCGATGGAAACTGTCCTGGTTTCGATGACACGGATAATAAGTGTAAATCGTACTGCGAGATTCGACGGACGGGTTTCCTTGGCCCCGAGGAGATTGTGCCTGGAGAGGCCGGCGAGATTGCAGCAAAGGGGAAGCAAGTCAACGTTGAGAAGGGAAAAGAGATCTCCATCACGCACGGCTTCTCCGTGGGGCTTAGCGCAGAGATCCGGCAGGTCGTGAGCCTGGGTGTGAGCTATGAGTGTAAGGCAACCGCGTTTCCCCGTTCGTTGGGTACTGATGAGGTTCCTAGTCTCCATCACCGAATCAACATCCACAACCATCGTCCACACCGGCGTCGAAGACCCACCCGAACGCGCCCGCTGGGTCTACTTCGCGCGCTTCATCGAGACCTGTGGCGATCTATCCGAGAAAGAGTACTCCGAGTATTCACTCGGAGACCCGTTTTCGCCGCCTGTTAAGGAATGCGTCGGTGATCTTAAGACCACACACAACTTTTGCACCATGAGCCCACAAATCGGGAGCGATGGGAAGCCGATTCTATTTTTGGCCCAGCGTAAGTACTCCTGGTGATGGTAAGGTGAATGGGGGCTAATATTGATGCAGAGTTTGTCGATTCTTCCGGCAATCCGCTGCCCATGGAGCAGCAGCCGACGAGTTATAGAGACGCGTGCGTGAATCGAGATGGCGCGTCCGTAGATGATCCCGATGGCGATGGCGAGTTTGAGTGCGCGACTAGCCTCTAAAGACCTGCGTTGTTGATTGATTCTTCGCGGGATGGCATCGCATTAGACGGGCACTTTGCATTTGCATCTTTGAAGGGCATTTGGCGGTGGGCGATTCTATTTTTGGTTTGATTGCATTGGATGGGCGCTTTGCATTTAGATCTTCTCCCCTCTGTATTTTTAAGAGCTTTATCAATGAGCTATTGATCTATCATATATTCTCTTCACGTGCTTTCGCGCCGTCCACGAGTGGTCGTGACCGCTGTTCCATGGTTGCCTTAGCGCGACGCTAGCGGCTTCTTTCAACGTCATCCCTGCCTCTCTTCACTGTACTTTCATCCCCTCTTGCAGTAGGGAATTCTCCGGATCTAAGGCTCGCTGTACAAGTAAGTAAGATTGGCTGTCCATTGTACGCACCCGCGAAGGCCTCCAGGGTAGCTGTTGCGCACGTCGTTCTACCCGGAAAATTCCACATCGCAGTGGAGTCGGCCTCTGAGTATCGGGATGGGGCCGGCATAAGTGAATGTCCCGGTGACGTGGGATTGGCTAAACCTCGCACGTGCACCTAGTGCCACCCAAGCACATGTTTCCGAAATAGCTTGCGCTCGAGGTCAAGATACTGCGGCTTCGTCATGTCCACCGTCAACCACTTGGAACGCCCCTCCCCCCGCCTCCCCAAGTACCTATTGTCTCCTTTTCAAACATAACTACTCTTTGCAGGAATGGCAGCTCTAAAATGAACGTTACAATCAGCAGGGCTGCGAGGTCGAGCAACCGAATCGCTCCCCGTGGACGATAATGGATAAGGTATCGTTAAATTTATAGCTCGACATTGAACCGTCGAGGTTCTGGCTCGTGCGTTGATGAACTATAGGATTTAGTATGCAAAAGCGTCCCCGCGGACCTTGATGCTGGCGTCGTTAATGCCGCTAGATCAGTTATCGTAGACTCTTAAACATCATAAGGAGCGGGCAGACTGTGAATCAGCGAATAATAGTTCCACTAGGCTCATCTGAGGTTTTGCGTGTTTGATTGAGCAAGCAATGCCAGTCGTAGCGAGGGGTCGTGTACGGGCTCAGCTCGATGGAAATCTGCGAGGTATATGTGACAGTGTACTTCATCTCAGCGTGCAGTTGCCGTTTACCGGTTGCCGCTCGACGCTCGACGCTTGACGAGGGGAGTGTTGAGCGCATATGATCTCTCCAAAGTATGCTTGAAGCCCAGCCGCGGGGTCGTAGGTGGTGAAGCTGCAGTCGTCGGGCCAATTGACGCCAGGCTCTCCAGGACCAGGTTCCTGACTTTCGCGTAGAAGCGTCAGGCATCGTGATGGTCGGGGGTCGTTCAGCTGCGGAACGAGCGCGTTCGACGTCCTGCTGAAGTGAGCCGAATCGGAGACCTCAGCGAAAAGACGCTTTACTGATGCGGCCGGGCCGCATGTTAGACGCGACTTTTGCCTTGTCATTAGCGACGGACCCCTTTTGATTGATTGATTTTTTCTCGTTTTAAGTCACCAACCTATAGAGGTTATGCTGACTAACAGCAAAGCAGAGCTTCTGCCTACGCACAAAAGGACTCAGAAGACGCCAAGTTTGGGATGGAGCTTCAACTGGCGATGCCGTACACTGCGTGAAAGAAGCTACCGAACGAATACGAGACGAGCGACGAGGCGTTCGCAAATGTCGCTTCAAGAAGATGCGACGTGTGATTGATGAAGACAGGGCTTCCCACCGAAAGGAGCTTGAATGCTGCAACAGACGTGCCAGAGAGGTCTATGAGCTGGTGTGTCAAGGGCGCCATTCTATCTGGCAAGCTTGCGCTTTCTCTGTCCGCGCCTCGGTTTCAGAATTACGCCATGAGCCGCCAATTCGATGCCTTCTCAAGGACCACTCCTGCTGCTACTAGGATTGGAGCTGACGTCTACAAATTCGTTCTTGAGTGGAATGGCACAAATCGATGGACGATGCCTTTGTTTATTGAGGACCTCATCGTTCGGAACTGGGGAGACAGTACGATCATCGACCATGGAGATGAGGCAATGTGGGCCACCCTGCTTTTCAAACATGAGCGATCCCGGAGGAAGTTTCTCAAGGCCTCTATGCTATCGCTTGAAAAGCGACGCGAGCAGCCTCTGAAACTCAGCGACTATCACGTGAAGGAAGATTGAGGACGTACGAACACTATGAGCATAAGTCTGCTAGGCACACGGCATTCAAGGTATAGTGGTTATGCGGAAACTCTAGGCGGCTTTACTAACATGCACAGGTGCCCTATCCTACTCGGAAGGCAATGGGCCCCTCATCATTTGGAAAAACCCTCGCAAGCACACAATCCCCCAAAAGCTGATTACACATGTCAACCATTCGGGCACACCAAATATCTTCTTTTCACATATCCTATAGCTTCAAGGTGGAGGTAGCGTCTATTTTCAAAACGATGAATCTACGGTATATATCTGACTTTCCGTCTTCCCTCATATTCAAAAGTAAAAGCCCGAAATCTTTTGCTACTCCTGTGATTGGACCCTGTCGCCACTTGCACACTCATCTCATCATCTCATCCCTCATCTACATTGCCACGTCTCCAAGAAGACGCGCCACCAAGGCATTCCATTCGATACTACCCTTGTACCGCACCTGGCCACTTTCTCATTCCCTCAAGCCTTCATTGCCCTCCCTCTCTCAGCTGGCCTCAAACCTGGATTCATGTGTCAGACGTCCAGCGCATCACCCAATCTAGCAAATTGTCGCCCATCCGTGCTTTCGTTCTCACCGGGCGAGGACGCCCCGAAGCAGGAATCATCGAGAGCCATATGACATAGATACCGTCTCGCACGAGACAAGGGCCCTTGACAAGGCCTGTTAAAAACATTACGATCCGAGTTTAGCGCTTACGCCCTAAACCTGTTTCGACTGAGCGACAGGAAACACCACGCCGCCTAAGAACAGCCGTACATATCCAACAGCACGCCCCTCATCATCGAAAAACATCCTAAAGTCCAATCTGATCTAACTTACACTCTCCTCCACCATGCCATCTCTAGCCCTGCTCAAAAGCGCATGGACGCAATGGTACCCGCCCGCACCAACCTTCACCGAGAAAGACGTAGGAGACCAACGCGGCCGCATCTTTCTCATTACCGGGGCAAACTCAGGCATCGGCTACGAGCTCGCAAAGATGCTCTACCCCAGCGGCGCCACGATCTACATGGCCGGACGCTCCGAAGAGCTGATGCTTGAAGCGATCTCATCCATCCAGCAAAGCTTTCAACCAGCGCCATCGACACCGTCAGCGCTCAAGTTCCTGTATGTGGATCTGGCAGATCTTCCCAGCGTGAAGCGTGCCGCGGAGGATTTTGGCAGAAAGGAAGAGAAATTGCATGTCCTATGGAACAACGCTGGGATTGGTGGTGGGTATGTTGGTTCGACGACGGCGCAGGGGATTGAGGTCAATGTTGGGACGAATTGTGTGGCGCCGCTTCTTCTTACGCAGCTTCTGCTACCGCAATTGCGGAAGGCGGCGGAGGGCGCGTCGGAGGGTAGTGTGCGGGTTGTGTGGACCAGTTCCGCGGCGGCGGATACGCATTCCGTAACCGGTGGCGTGGATTTCCAAGCTATCGAAGCCGGGAAGACGACGGACCCCATGACTGACTACGCGGTCAGCAAAGTCGGAAACTGGTTCCTGTCGCACTGTGCCGCTCAAGAATGGGCGTCCGACAATATTGCCTCGGTGGTGCAGAACCCGGGGAATCTGAACACGCACGCATATCGGTATCAGCCGGCGGCGTTGATGAGGGTGCTGAGGCCGCTGGCTCTGTATGAGCCGAGGTATGGGGCGTATACGATGCTGTATTCAGGGCTGAGTGGGGAGGTGGAGAATGGGGGTTTTGTCTGGCCGTGGGGCAGACGGGCGAGGAGCGTGAGGGCAGATATCCATGAGGCGATTGAGAAGGGGGCAGCGCAGAGGTTTTGGAAGTGGTGTGAAGAGAAGGCAAGGCCGTATGCCTGAGTGACGGAAATTGACCGAAGCAAGTGTTTCGAGAGTTGAGCACGAATGAAGAGATAACCGTGGATGAGAGCACACCTAAAGCTCACCTAGACGCACGCGAAGTCCCAGTGTCATTGCAAAGGTACCCCTTCAGAGAGGTCGGCAAAGTTTCCGCCGTAATCAAAGAAGAGGGGATTGGTGGAGGAAACCTTAGGAAGCTGGGATGTGATGGCAATAGGCTGAGAGCACGGGCGGGATGGCATGCCAAGACAATCACGTGACTCAACCTCCCCGCAACAATTCTCCGTCGGAAGGTAGACTATTAACAAGTACATTTTATGTTAGACGTCATCGTCATCCACGGGTGTTTCGCATCTTCCAGCTTTTTAGTATTCCCGCCGTTCTTCCCCCTTGCCAGCCACATTGGCCAGCCTCGCCAACCAATCCCAACCACCAACGTCCCACCAACCACCCCGCGCACGCACCCCACCACATCTCTACAAAAGTTGCTCCAGCAGCCGCATTCCACATGAATTCCCAATTATACCACCGCCTGCAGATTCCACCATATCAAGCACGCCCCCCACCCCCAGTTTCGCACTTTGAAGTTCTCCAGCCTAAGGGTTGCTTGGTCGACGATAGCTTGAGCTTTGACCGCACTGAGCTGGCACGACTCGCGACGTTTGGAAGAGTACCACGAAGCCGGCGTTGAAGATACGCATTTCGCAGAAAGAAAGGAGAGAGTAAAGGTATGTGCAGCTTCTGGAAGCATCAATTGAGTATCTGGTTGATCATTTCGCAGAACACAGAGCTCTCAGACCCGCGTACACGTAACTCCACCGCATCGCATATTCCTCGAAGCGCACCACACTTCACAACTGCACTACTTCCCACGCTCCGTTGCCTCGCTCCTACAACCCGCACCAGCACTCCACACAAGCGTACACCCGCTGCACATCCCAACCCTTCGACGACCACCAGCCACTCCCACCACACCCCACCCTCCCACGCCGCCAAAATGAAGCGCAACATCGTCATCTTCCTAATCGTCCTCGTCCTCTTCATCCTCATCGCCCTCATCGCATACGTAATCTACTACCTACAAACGCGGATGGCCGTCGGCGCGGGCACCGAGTCCGAAACAACGATGTCGGAAGCGTAGACACGCCGCTCCGCTCTTTTCCCCTTCCTCTGCGCGGCACCACACCACCCGCGTGCCATGTTGTATGAAGAGGAGGGACGCTCACGCAGGAATGACTTTGCATATACAAAACGGGCTGGGAAAGAAATACATGGATGGCATACTGACGGCGTTTTGGTTAGGCATACTCTTTGGCATTGTTGCTTGGGAATTTTGTTTATGAGTTACGTACGCGCTGTATGGATTAATGCGATGAGCGGATTATTTTGGTTCTGTTGTCTTTGGATACCCCCTGAGACGTTATTGTTACGGTCCGTCTGGTTCTTGTTCTTGTTCTTGTAGATAGATTAGCGCATCGTATATCAATGGATGACACTGCATGCTTCAAAATCGAGAATGACTGCCGTGCCGCTTATATTTCCTACGCTTTTTTTGCGACCGGATTTTGAAACCCCGGCTCCGAAGCCATGAATATATATCCCAAGCATCACATGGAGCCAGCAAACGGTACTTCACGAATTCAAGTCAAGGGTGGAATGCAGCGAAATAATAGAATACACGAGTATTTCCAAGGATGCACCACGCAAACTCCATGCCTGTAGGATTTGCATGCCAACTACCCTAAGTGCTCGACGCTTTTCCAGGCAATCACAGAAAAGCTGCCACGTACGCCATGCTGAGGAGTACGTACCGAACCGAACGAAGAGGAAACCAGAACAGGGACAAAAGGGGAATGCAGAAGGTAGCGCGACGTTCGCTTTTGTCAAATTAAAAGTCATCATTGGCTTCCCCCATGGTGATGTTCTCGCCGTTCATCGCGTCCTCATTGTGCGAGAACACCAAATGGGTCTCGTAGTACCCCAGCATCTGCGCAACGTCAGCCACCGCCATGCGTCTACATGTGAGCGCCAACCTACCTTCTGTGGGCACTTTTGGTTGACATGAGGCAGCGGATGTTGTGTCTTCTTATGGTTTTTCCAGACCAGGTAAGCATACCGCACCAGCTTGCCCGTTGTCGGATCTCTCTGCTCCTCGACTGTATCCACGTGGTCCACATCGTGCTCCCAGGAGCCTGGCGGCGGGCTCCATTCCTTCTCCTTCTTCATGCGTTTCGCCGACGAAGGGGCCGCGGATTCGGATGCTGCGACCGACTTCCTTCCCTTGCGCTTCTTGTCCTTGACTTCAGGGCGGCCGCCAATTTCTTCGAGGTATTCGTTAAGCACGTCGAGCGCGCCCCCGCTAGACTGTCGTCAGTCCCGGTTCTCCGTCCTTTGCGCACATTGCCTTACAGATTACTTTCTGGCTCCCATGTCCGCTCTGTAGGGTCCTCATACCCCTGCCACTTCACGTCGTATAGGATCTCGCCCTGTTCATGTCAGTTCCAAACGTGGCATGTTACGGGAGGGTTAACTCACCTTCTGGATGCGGTGGCCCACGATCTTCTCGACGACGTACCTGTCGCGTTGTCAGCGCGATGCGACCGGGATGAGGAGAAAGCATGCGCATACTCGTCCTCGGCCTCTTCATCCTCTTCGTCGTCCTCTTCGTCCTCAGGCTCGACCCGCTTCTTCGCGGGCTTCTTCTCCTTCTTTGCGGGAATCCGCTCGTCGCCGGAGGAGGCGCTCGCCTCTTCGTCGCTCAGGGCAGCTGCGCGCAGGTCAGTAGGCATCCTTTGCGCGCAATGAGAGAAGCGCACTCACGCGGCATAGTTGGGGGCTGTCGCAAGCAGCGCGGGATGCGTGCATGGGGTAATGATAGCTTCTACGAGCTCAGTGAAGGCGGCCACAGCTCAATTGAAGGGCGGCGCAATGTGAGCAGCGGCGGATGGACGGTGGGAGAGCAGCGCGGTGGCTGGTGGTTGCGGTGGTTGGAGTCGACGCGCTGAGCTCCCGCCGATTGGCCTGTGCGCGTCGCCGCTAAGACTGGGGTAGAATTTCGAAAGTTTCGAGAGCTCTGTAAACACACATCAACCCCACCGTCACACACTCAATACCTACTACGCCGTTCTCTCTTACTTCTTTTGAGCTCTGGATAGCTGTCTGCGTCTGAAGTAGTCTCAGCGCAAGACCCTCGGCCAATATGACGATGCGTAAGTGCCACAGGCTGCAGCATAGCTTCACATCCCACTTTTCCCACGTACTATGCTTCTTGAACCTCTTCAGCTAACTGTCTCTACTTGTAGAAGTTGACCTGTCGAACGGTATGTCCATCCTCCGCGTTTCGAGGCTCCCCGCATTTCCGCAGACGAACGGCTGACATGATGGGATTCAGCGCAGGTGATGAAAGATGAGTCCGGGAGGCCGTTTATCATAGTGAGAGAGTACGTGGAAAATAGAGAAGCCGATTGTTGGAAGGACATGCGGGCTGACACAGCTACAGTCAGGGCAAGAAGAAGAGGCAGCATGGCAACGAGGCCGTCAAGTCGCACATTCTGGCCGCGAGGACCGTCGCGAACATCGTCAAGACATCGCTGGTATGAATGCAGAGCATGAGCATGTTGACATGGACTTATTCATATCTGCAGGGACCGCGAGGGCTAGACAAGATCCTCATATCCCCGGACGGCGACATCACAGTGACAAACGACGGCGCTACTATCCTATCGCAGATGGAAATCTCGAATCACGTCGCGAAACTTCTCGTCGAACTCTCCAAATCGCAAGACGACGAGATCGGTGACGGGACGACGGGCGTCGTAGTGCTTGCAGGCGCGCTCCTCGAGCAAGCTGCGGATCTTATCGACAAGGGCATCCACCCCATTCGGATAGCAGACGGATACGACGAGGCCTGCGAGGTAGCTGTAGCGAAGCTGGACGAGATCAGCGACGAGATCAAGTTCTCGCGGGATAACACAGAGGAGCTCTTCAGAGTCGCAAAGACGAGTTTGGGCAGCAAGATTGTCTCCAAGGCACACGATCACTTCGCCAAAATCGCCGTGGACGCCGTACTCTCCGTGGCAGACCTGGAACGAAAAGATGTCGACTTTGAGCTTATCAAGGTGGACGGCAAGGTCGGTGGTTCGCTGGAGGACGCACTGTTAGTGAAGGGAGTGATCGTAGACAAGGACTTCTCCCACCCCCAGATGCCGTCCGAGGTCATCGACGCGAAGCTCGCCATCCTAACATGCGCATTTGAGCCGCCCAAGCCGAAGACGAAGCACAAGCTAGATATCACCACCGTCGAGGAGTACAAGCGGCTGCAGAACTACGAGCAGAACAAGTTCACCGAGATGATTCAGCAGATCAAGGATACCGGCGCCAACGTGGTGATATGTCAGTGGGGTTTCGACGACGAGGCAAACCATCTCCTTCTCACCAACAAGCTCCCGGCCGTTCGGTGGGTCGGAGGCCCCGAGATTGAGCTCATCGCCATCGCCACCAACGGCCGCATCGTACCCCGGTTCGAGGATTTAAGCGCAGAAAAGTTGGGAAGAGCAGGCATCGTCCGGGAATTGACCTTCGGAACCACGCGAGATAAGATGTTGGTCATCGAGGACTGCGCAAACACCCGGGCGGTCACTGTGTTTGTACGGGGCAGCAACAAGATGGTGCGTGGTTGTGTTTCTCCTTTCCATTGGAGTGTTGATCGACGAGATGATCCCTGTTTGCAGATTACATGCATGTCCAAGAAGCTAATAGCACACAGATCATTGATGAAGCGAAACGGTCGTTGCATGACGCCCTCTGCGTTGTCCGAAATCTAGTCAAGGATAACCGCATCGTCTACGGGGGTGGTGCTGCGGAGATTGCATGCTCCTTAGCAGTTGAGGACGCCGCGGTCAAGGTAGGCATTCTTGCCCTCCACCCGAAACTCTAGCCTATATCACATGTGTCTGACCATTCTGTAGAGTCCCGGTCTCGAACAGTACGCAATGCGCGCATTTGCTGACGCACTCGACTCTATACCCATGGCACTCGCCGAAAACTCCGGCTTGAGTCCCATCGAAACTCTTGCCAACATCAAGTCCCGCCAAGCCAAGGAGAAGAACTCTAGGTTAGGCGTTGATTGCATGCAGACTGGAAGCAATGGTGAGTCCGGCATATGCTTTCTTCTTTTGTAGATCTTCGTATCCTGCGCACGTGTGTACGCCTCGCGACATCTTAGTGTCAGCACGACATCGGCATTTACGCCTCCATTTGTTTTTTCGTCTACACCGCCGTTAAGTCTGCCTGCACCGCGGAAACGCCCCTGCAACGCATGGTCCCGTGGTGCATGGTCGTTAGTCTTAACTTTCCGGATTGGACGCCTCTGTGGGATGCCTTCGGAAACACCCCACGCATTATCTCCGCCTCACGTTTGTCAACCTCTTAGTCCCGCGCAAATTACACAATCACAGCAAGGCAGCAGCTCAGGAATAGTTGGGAGATTGATCGCATCCTTGCTGCCGCTTCTTAGATTGTTGGGACTGAGACATGGCTAGATCTGTGCTAACTTTGGCGCTGCAGATATGAAGGAACACTTTGTGATTGATCCGTTGATCTCCAAGAGGCAGCAGCTACTGCTCGCGACGCAGCTGTGCAGGATGGTGCTCAAGGTACGTTACTCATCCTTTTGGTTTCATTTCATTTCATTTCATACCGACCCCTGTTTCTTTTCGCACTTCCCTTTCCGTCACCGCTTCACCCTGTCGTCCCACCTTGCAATCCCAATGCCTTGCCTTGCGCCACTCCTCCTTGCCGCTGGCCACATACCAAGGCCGCCCGGCACGGGAAGCGGGGAAGCAGGCAAGCACCCGCACAAATCGGCTCGCAGCATGTTCAGTCAAGCGTTACACGGAACACACACGACTTGTCTTCGTGGAACGAGACGGGGTAGAGATCGCATTCCAACCAATTCCTGTCCTTCGCGTACTCCCTTGCTTTTCCCCCCATTTCCTCCCTTTGCGTTGATCTCCGATGCTAATGCGTGTCATGTAGGTCAACAATGTGATTATCGCGGGTAGCGACGAGAACGAATTCTAAGCGCGTCCGAATGGCGTTGCACTCCACGAGAGGACGTCGTACGAAAACTTCCGATGCCGGGTGCCCTCTGATTGGGAGGAGGCGGTCCATAGCTACGTCACGTCTTAGGCGGAGTGGCTTGACGGACGCATGCCTTGTATTATGTGCATCATACCATAGCGATTAGCTCCCAATGAAAATATCGCATGAATGATCATTGGCGCGCTTGTAGATCTGTGGTTGGTTCGGATGCGACACTACATAGAATCGGAAAGGTGGTAGCCCACGATGATATGTCAGGACACTCATCATGGAATGCTTTCTAAGGTATGCTACTGTGACTAGGACTAAAATGTGCAGAAATCTACTGCGGATAGGAGAAACAGTATCCCTCGCGCGATCAGTGCCGGTACAGTCGACCGTCTGAACTATACTCTCGCCACGGCCTCAAACCCTTTCACGATTCCAACTCCACCACCAGCTTCGTCGCACTCACACCCGCCTTACACTTAGTCAGCGCCTCTTGGACGTGCTCCAATCCCTTGCCAACAACGGTAGCCAGCGGAAGGCACTGCAGCTTCCCCGCCTGCAACGCGGGCGCGACGTAGTCCCTCCAGACCGGCGTCGCGACGTCGTTGACGGCGAAGATCATGCCTGCCTTTACGTTGGCGGGCACAGAGGCGGGCGGGGGATGCGTGCAGGCGAGGTGGCCGCCGCCCAAGGCGGCGAGGATGGCTAAGTCGTGAGCGTAGGTTGAGGGTGTGCTGATGGCGTCGAAGATGCCGATGAAGGAGTGGCGGGATTTGGTGAGGGATTCTATGACCTTGTCGACGACTGAAGGGTCCGCGTGGTCGAAGACTTCGGCCGCGCCGCAGCGCTTGGCTAAGGAGAAGTTCTGCTTCCCAGCGATGGAGAGCACAGTGATCCCCGCGGCGGTGGCTAGCTGCGTCGCCATGGAGCCGACGGAGGATGAGCCGCCGTATACAACGAGAGTCTTGCTAGAGGACGGGGCAGTGTCCTGCAGCGACGGGTACGGCAGGCTGAGGGCCGGGATAGGCACGCCGGGTAGTGCCTCGCCGGGCTCTTTGACGGAAAGCACGCATACGGCTGCTTCCAGCGCGAAGGGCACCACGACGCCGTCGATGAAGGAGATGCCGTCGGGCAGGATGGCTGCTTTGTCGGCGGGGATGCATGTGTACAAGGCGAAGGCGCCGTCTTGGGGGCGGCCACTGACGAGGTTGATGGTATGTCTGCAATGCTGGTGTTAGTCCTGGGGGGTTCTTTCTTTGCAAACTAGAACAGAATATATTAATTAAGGTAACTCTAACTCACCCAATGACGCGGTCCCCTTTCATGAAACGCTGCACCTCAGAGCCTACTTCATATACTTCCCCGGCGACGTCGCAGCCAAAGATAGCGGGCCATTGCTGGACGAAGACACCCGCATCTTGCATGTGCGTGTCGAGCGGGTTGATGGCGATGGCGGCATTTCTGACGACGAGTTCATTACGGCCGGGGATGGGCATGGGGGCGTCGCCGACCTGTAGGGGCTCGCCGGCTTTGACGAGCCATGCGGCTTGATTCTTGGGGGCGTTCATTATTCCTTCTTCCCTGCGTTCTGGGGAATTGCTTTGTGGGCAGATGTGGGAGGGCGGGTGGAGTAGTGGTCCGGAATGGATTGACGAGACCGAGTGATGCAAAGAAGAGAGAAGAGAGCATTTTAAGTAAGGTTGTCAGTTAAGGAACTGTCAATGTGATTGCAAACCAACGGCATAGTTTCCGAGGGCATTTTTAAGCAGGATTGGAGATGAGGGCAGAGATGGACGAGTGCCGGGCTTACACGGAGTACGAGTCGGAGCCGACGAGAGGAGAAGTTTGGAGCCGGTAGATTGGAGCTTGAGTGTAAGCAACGGGAGCGCCATATAGCGTTCCCACGAGGAATTCTCGAATCGAAACTGAGGTTCTTGCGGGCGTGAGTATAGCGAAGCCACATCTAGATTGGTTCGGGACATTTCCGCTATTAGAACGCTGGCACCCATAAGGTGAATGCAGAGCGAAACAAAATATACTGTTCCCGCCGTGAGCAAATGGGACCTCATATGTCGTTCGCGGGCAGAACCGCATATGCTGTTTCGCTTTAAATCCGCTTAGGTCCGCTGTAGCGCATGCAAGTAGTTTAGCGTCACCTCTGCCCTCAAGAACGTCCACTCAGCCTTCTTCAACACCAAAAACATACCGCACACAATCATTTCACTATTCGAGATCATGTCGCCCATAAGACTGGGCTTGCATGATCTGCTCGAGTATGACCCTCGGTTCGGCGTGCTCATCTGTCGAGAATGCCAGTACGCCATCCAGAAAAGCGCGCTGCAGAGCCACTTGCTCCGGCACAAGATCTACCGCTCCGAAAGACAACGTCTACTGTCTTCTATTGCTCAACTCGATCTTTTCGAGCCACATCAAGTTCCCTTGCCCGCCTCGTCTTCCCCGCCTATCGACGCGCTACCCGTCATCTCCGGCTATCGATGTACCGCGGTTGGGTGTGGGAATCTATGTGCTAGTGCTAAGCGCATGAGACGCCACCAGAGCGAGGTCCATGGGCTCAGCGAGCTTCCTAGTTCTCTTGCTTCGTTTGCCCGCCCGGTGAAACTTCAGACTTTCTTCCGCGGCACGAAACTGAGGTATTTCGAGGTCACTGTTCCTCCTTCTCCAGACGCAGGTCCGGTTGGAACGGCGCCGCTGGCGGTCACCACTCTGGACAGAGAGGATAGTGACCAAAGAGATGATGAGGAAGGGCATCTTGAGCAAGTGCCTGATGCGGACTCAGTGACGCCACGACCACCACGGCGTGTGGGAAAGTGTTCTCAGGCACCTCCGAAGTCCTCACCACCCGATATCGACCTAGAAACGCTAACGTATTTCCACCATTTCACCACCACCACGAGCCTCACGCTTCCCGTTGCCGAACACGCATGGCCCGCAACGCACTACTGGCAGGCGGACGTTGTTCTCCAAGCCCTGCGGCGGCGATGGCTGATGTGCGGTCTGTTGGCCATCTCGGCGTGCCATTTGGTCGCGCTTGCGAATGATGCAACGACCGCGCGGGTTCATCGCGAGCGATTGGAGCAATTCTCTTCGGAATTCTCTATCGGATGGGAAGAGTCAGGGAAGTGTGCGGTGGCCGCTGGGATAGAGGACGATGCCAACATCGTAGCTGGGCAAATAAGGTGTTTGCTGTGTTGTGCGCATTGGGCGTTCGCTGAATCTCCACTGCTTGATCAAGGCATCGTCTCGGAGCCTGAGACTATGCCTTTTCGACTGCAGTCCTTTCTGACGACCATCCGGGGTTTTGTCGTGCCCGATATTACCCTTCATCCTGGCGACCGCGTCCAGACTGACGATGACCATGGCCAAGGAGAAGCATTCGCCCAGGCAAAGGAAATTCTCAGGTTGAGGACCTCGTTTTCAAACGCTAGAAGCTTCGACACATTTACTCCACACGACGGCACCTCCTCCGCTGTTTTCAGCCGCCTGAGCGCGCTCCCTTATCGCATGGCAGAGGCATTTGGAAGACCAGAGAGTACCCGAGATGTCCTGGCCGCGCTGGCGGCCATCGCCGCTCTGGTGAAATGCTGTGCCATTAGCTTTGCGTCCAGTGAGGTGGAAGTGGCGTGGCGCGGTATGGCGACGTGGTTAACAAAGGTCTCGGAGCATTTTAACAACATGGTTTCATGCCACAACCCAGCTGCACTCGTCGTAGTGGCCCATTGGGCGGCATCATTGGTCAGGCGAGCTGAGCACTGCGGATTCTGGTTCTTGAAGGGCGCTGCGAAGACGACTCTGGCGCAAATTGCGGAACAACTTCCTGCGGAAGACCGAGCGGTGCACCGTCTATTTTTGGAGGTCTGTGAGCATGAGCCGTGAATTCTATAGTGAGATGACAATACCTACTCGCACCGCCTACGATTCTTGTGACTTCACCGACTATGGAGAGTCTACGGTTCCGCTTCCCGATCGCCAACGGAGTCTTTCACCTAAGGGCTTCTATCACCCTTCGGTGTCGGCCGCTTCCCCATCATCCCCTCTAGGAGTATCAGTAATCGCTATCGGCCGTAGCCTCGCGAAAGCGATCCACAGTATCAGTGCAACCGCCGCCAGCACAATAACAGCGTACTGAAAAACGCCTATCCCCAATCCCTGAATAACGGCTCCAACAGCAAATGGCAGCAACGCGCCTCCAACTTGACCAAGCGATGCCACAAACGATACGGCTGCGACGTGCAGCTCCCCCGGTAGCAGTCCTGTCAGGACGACAATACCGGATGGGAACAAAGGGCCCATGAAGAACCCAAGCAGAGTCATCAATACGATAGACACAACTGGGGTTCGCACGGTGGCGAATAAGACTTGGAGGAGGAGAGCGCACAGGAAGTATATCACTGTGCCACGTCGTACACCTATTCGGTCCGTGATGTAGCCTAGTGTGAGCCGACCGACGGCCATGCCGGCCCATAAGCCTGATGATGAGAGGCTAGCTAGGTATGCGGATGTGTGGCGAGAGCGCATCATGAATGTTACGAGCCAGCCTGAGATTGCGGTCTCTGTACCCACGTAGGCGAGAAAGTACGCTGCGGACATCCAGGTAGCGGGGAGCTTAACGATAGCTGATGTACAACCTTTGCTGTGGGTCACTTCGGCATGCTTCTCCTGTCTGTACCTCAACGCATTCTCATGCCTGAAAGCGAAGAGGAGGACGGCGAGCTCCAGGACAGATGCTGTGGCCTATTTGATAAACACTGTCATTAGCAACTACCTTGTGGGCCGGAGGATCATCCCTGAATAACTTACCAGCACATAATACCACTCACACCACTCCCCGTTCTCCTTCGCCATCATACTCCCCGCCACAAACGGGCCCGTCGCCGCACCCACCGAAAACGCGCCGTGCAACAGCCCGGACGCCAGATTCGCTCGCTCCATGCTCCCCGCCCACGCGCACCACGATCCATCTACGAGTCCATTCCCCGTACCTACGAGCGCAAATCCCACCAGCACCAGCGGAAAGGACGGCGGATGCGCACCGATAGCCACGGAGGCTAAGAGATGCAAGACAGGGCCAAGGAACGCGATGCCTCGCTGGCCAAAAGTGGAATGAATGGCCGAGTTGAAGTAAGCGCCACTGACATAGCCGACAGGGCCGACGAGGAAGATGAAAGAGGCGAATAGGTCGCTGAGGTGATATTGCTTAGAGATGGGAGGCAGCATGACGCCGATGGTGGATGTGAAAAGGCCCAGGACTACGAAGGAGAACATGGCGGCGGCGATTCTGAGAGTGAGACTTGTCCGGTCTGCATCGGGCTTGGAAGCGTTTGGGTCTTGCGAGGCATCGTGACTGCTGGGGATGGAGTGCGGGGGGTGATGTTGGAGGAGTGGCGAGGTCTCATTAGGTGTGGTTGGAGATGCCATTTGGCGGTCCGTGAGGCTACGCGCGAGTAGCCCAGTGGAGAAATGTCGAGTGAGTGCATGTACATGGACATGGTCTTTGCGCGTGGAAAGTGTGCGTGCGAGAGGTACATCAGAGTCGGGCCGGGATGAAACGTCATGGTCGCAAGGTTGGAGACGGGCCGACTTCCAGCCAATCAAGAAGCCGCCCGCAAGCATCCCCCTCTTTAAAGCTCCGTTGAATCATTCTCAATACCATCAGAATATTGTACTGTAACTATTTCTTCCGTTTGTTCCTTACAAAACTCGTTCGCTTACTGGAGAACCCCCCTAGTCGGCTTCGGATCAAATCTCGCACCAGCACCTCCAGATCCACGGCCGTAGGCGGTGTATCACAAGCCTCGATCCCCAAATCTCGAAATGCTCAATCTAAATGCTCAAACTCGGGAAAATCAGCTTTACAGCGGCAGTCTTTACCGCCCAGGTCGGTATTAACGCCACCGCGCTCTCCCATGTCGAACTGTTGGCTCATGGGATATGCGTCCTGGGCCACGGGCTGTAGAAAGGTGGTGTGCCTTCTATGTCGTACCATTCTGCGTTGTCAAGCAGGGCGTCCTGATGGGATCGAGTGCGGTCTAGCGCGATATTCATCGGATGCTTCAAGGTTAGTTCGGTTCTTCATGCTCCGAGTCGACGCGAATGCGGGGAGGTGGGTTCTCTTCTGGACTGATTGGTAAGGCGAAAGAGCGCTAGGGCATTGAGCCGGAGAGATCCTTTTTACCAAGTTGCTACCTCTGCGTAGTATCTAGTAAGTACTTCCAGCGCTTGACTTCCTAGGCAGTTGGTTTACAGTCCGGAAGGTTTGGCAGGCCGACTTTTGACCAATACGGTCAGTATGCCCCGCCCACGCACAATCTGAGTTACTAATGGTTACATTCAGAATTGGGCGACAAAAATTGTATTTCCATCCCTTAGCTTTTAACTTGCCAATTCTGTATGCATTCCTGTTTCTCGAACTTGGACAACTACCTTCGAGGCCGATTGACTTTGGTCCCCAACTGTCCTAAGAAAATCTGAGTATTCCCTCATCATCACCCTCTGATTTCCCTGCCTAGGTTTATAGTAAGTGCACTTTTTGTCTTCAATCGTCGAAGCAGAAGCTGTTGAAGACGTAAGTGATGAGATCGTGGTCTCGCCCAGCGGGGAAGAAGGAGCCGTGGAGGAGGACAAGGAGGAGGACGAGGAGATGGACGGGGTAGAGGAGGTCTTAGAGTCGCTTGGCGGGGAAGTAGCTTGAGCAGACTTCTTCGGTTTTTCGGATTTGGTAGGTCCGGGGCTGTCCGTGTTCTGATCCGGAGACCTGCTATTGCTCTCGTCGTTATTGCAACTATCTCTATTACCTCTTCTACCCTTTCCCCTACACCCAGGGCCGCCGGGTATGGTACTGAAATCAGCATATATGTCCGGTCTTGCATCGGCGAACGGGACGAAGGCTGTCATGAGCTCCCCGAGACTTGGAACCTTTCCGCATCCCATACTCTCAGATATGCCCAGGCTGCCCAAGAGATAATTCGCCCATTCTCTTGCAGCGTCTTGGCCCTCGTAGGCATATTTGAACGCTTTGGCGGATGCAATAGCGGTACCTGACATCGTTAGAAAGAGTTTTAGGACATATTTGCCATCGATAAGAAAACACTCACGCATCCCAGTAGTGATTGCTTTTCCGACCCCAGGTATAGCCACCTCAGCAACCTGGACGACAATGTCCAGGGCCTTTATGAATGGACACACGTATTGGTCCAACATCTCTCCAATTACCTGGACGGATTCAACAAAGAAATCTCCAAGCTCTTCAATAATGGCAAGATTGCATTGACAGTGGCCGCCTCTGACTCTCTTGATGTCTATCATGGATCAGTATTCATCGATGTCTCTTTAGCTGACGTCTTCAGACTCACTGGGATCATCGGAAGGCTCCCCTGTGCGGAAGGACAGCCACTCTGACTCGCCGAGACAACTGTACGAGCCCTCCACCCATCGGTCTTCCTCCGAATTTGCCGTTTCACCATCGGCTCGACCCATTACGCACACAGACTTGCATTGCTCCACTACGTCGCGCCAGTATTGGTCGGAGAACTCCGTGCATACGAATGTTTGCTGGTAGGCTTGGAGAGCATTAAGGTTGGCATTGTCCTCAGTGAGCGGCTCATCGAATGGGTTGGATTGTTCCCCTTGGCCGGTGCAAATGGACGCAAGTGTCAGAAAAGTTGAGAGCAAGAGGGGCTTCATAACGAAGATTTCGCAAAGCTAAACTTCTGAGAACTTTTCGTAAAGTCAGATGCCTATGACCCCGAAGCACGATGGCGAATGTTGTTTTATGTGCCATTGTGGTCTTACTGCAAAGTTCCTAAGGCTACAGTGGCCACATTGATCATTCTCCTGGCGCCGCATCCCGATGGAATCGTGCTCGATTATGAAGTTTGAGACGATGTGTTTCGGTGACCCTTCGCATCCATGCGGCCTGAATGAACAGCTGGCATCGATCCAAGGGGGTGGCGTGAAACTATCGAGACACTTCGGGCGCTTGAAAGGAGAGACGTGGCGATATACGCCTGTAAGCGATAGGACTACCAAGAGTGTGATACAGCTCAGCCTAGGCAATGAAAAGCGGACGACAGTCGAAGAGCCGCAACAGTATCCGAAACTTTCTGATGTCTGCGATGCCACGTTGGCGTTCGGTTTGCCGCTTGGATGTATCGCCAAGGGCATGGCGCATGGGGCATATGGGGGTGTGTATCTCGAGTCGGTACTGTGCCGCAAGCACCAGAATTAGAATCGATCTGCACGATAGCGCTAAGCGTCAGAGCGTGGAACATTTCCAACCGGAATAGGAGACAGTCCTCGCGGATAGTCGTGTTGCCGCTCACTCTAAGATTTTGGAATGTTGGGCATGCGGATGGACCTTCACTACAAGCTGTAGTGCCTCGTAAAACGGCGCTGTGCTGGCTAGATTGGAGACCGCTACTGTGCCCCGAGGGGGATTGAAGGATGCTTCCTTCCATAAGTATCTAAAGATGGGGTTTTATCTACTTGTCAACATCTAATTCTTGTACCGTAGCGGGAGCTATGTGTCCAACCCTTAGAATATTCTCTGGGCACCGCGTATGCTCAATATAAGTAGCCCCGGCAGATAAAGAGTGACTTGAATTCAGATCGCAAGCCTTCTAAAGAATCATTACAGCATGTACACACTTCCATTCCTTGTCCTGTTGGCAATCATTCCCCTGCTAGCTGGAGGTAAGTAGGCCTTTCCACTCCCATGATTTGTGGTATCTTGCTTGTATTGCTTCTCAGACCAAGCACAACTCCACGCGTCCTCAACGGCAGACGCCAGTTCCGGACCTCACTGCCCCAGCGCTTTGAGACCTTAGTAGCTGACGCTTATTAGCCAACCAACCTCCCAATGTTCTCGAACCTGGACCATGGGATCCCCCGATCTCCTCGCCCGCAGCTCATAGTGAATTCCTTTACATCCTCGCCCGGGCCGTTCGGGACACTCTGCCGGAAGGAGGATATTGCCAGAACACTCTGGATATAAAAAGAGACGAAAAGCAACTGTATTGGAAAAGGGGGACTCCAGGAAGGAATCCGAAGGACGTTGGCGCCGTGATGGTGCTCTACTCTAGCAGACTCGTCTTCCCAAACACAAAAGATGCGTTCACAGAAGTTTTGGACAGGCAAGATTCTCAGTTGAATCTGTTGACGAAGAATGCGTACATGGAGATGGACAGATTATTTACATCAGGAAGGCGTCCAAAAGTCATGACCGCATTAGCGATTGAAGAACGTATCTACCTCTCATCAAGCATTGTCGGCAAGAAGGTTGGTAACCTGATAGTGGATACGAACACATGGAAGTGGAGAGAAAATATTCCAGATGGGTAAGTTTCTCAGATCATCCTTCAAATGTTGTTACTGATTTTCACTCCGAAGTCTTAGAGATTGTCTAGAAAGATGTCAGTATTGGTGGGAATGGGAGAACCCCGACGGCCAGCCAAGTCCCTTCAATCCAGAAAATCCAGGCGACGCGTATTGGACCCCGGAAGACATTCATCGAACAGGGGCTAGTTGTGTAAGTTACAATTTGTACTCCTGTTGGTTCTCCAGAATCTTGGAAGAACTGTGGTTGGGGACTCCCAGCCTACTAGGCATGTTTATTCTTTAGAATACGCTCAATGACTCCTTAAGGTTGGCATTGAGCCAGAATTCCATGGGATGTCCAGCTAACGGGATATGTTTAGGGTGAGTGTGGTGCGCTGTACCAGTTCTTCCAGGACAACCCTACTAGGAAGAATTGCGATAATGCCCTCTTTATTACGATAACCGCAGACCCGGCCAAACAAGACCCGGTCGATTCAAAGAATTGGCCTCTTACAGATAGGCTGCGAGTTGTGGACCCTTGCACTGGAGATGACTCAGGCGACGAAAGGAAGCAATGGGGTTGTAAGCTGCTGACGTCCATGTGCAAAGGCTCGAGGTTCATCTCAGAAGGCACGAATTCGCGTCGATTTTCAGATTACTACATCGGTCCGTGGAAGAGAAAGGTCCAGGTTAACGGACAGGAAAGGGAGGAAAAAGAACCAGATGTCGATTACAAACGGTCTCCAAGATTCTTTGAGAAAAAGCATATCCCGCTCGATGTCGGAGATCTGAGAGTAGTTCCCCCGACCCCGCTGCCGACGCCAGGTAACACGCCTCCTGCGAACACACCTCCGCCAAATACGCCTCCTGCAAATACTCCAGTGGCAAATCCTGCTCCAGCGAGTTCGACGCCAGCCAATGAAGAGGAGCCTGGTTGCTGCTCTGGATGCATTTGCAATTGAGGACTGATCCCATCCTTGGCAAAGAGAGCTCTGGTCGGATAGGTTAGGGCTTCACGATGTTGAAGGTCTTCCATGCTTTCTAAGTTTAACAGCATTTTCTCTCCTTAAAGTTCATAGCATTTCCTTCCAAATTTATTCGAGAGTGGCCCTTGAACCATCGGCTTTGCTACTCTGTTATCTCGCATACCAGTCCCGTTTCCGTGCACAGTTTTTTCGCTCTCTCACTATAGCCCTTTTCCCATATGTACTCTGGATAGTCCATAGCGTGCACATCCAGTTTCAGTCGCTTCATGTGTGGGGTTACCTCTTGAGAAACTGCGACAAACTGCTCGATGAGTTCCAAAATTTCACCGCCACCATATTGGTAGAAGAGACCCCATACTTGCACGTCGCCTGTCAAATGGAATTCCTCCAACCTCGCCGGCAGCATCGACGCAAGCGGCGGCGGTGGCAATCCGCGCTGCGCGTCACCACATAGGACAGGAAGCGCAATACCCAGCCCTCGCAAGGAATGGAAATCCTTCAGTGAACCTACTCCATCACCTAACCAAGTGTAGGGAAATAAATCGAGTGGATCTTTGCCATTCTTGACGGGGGTGAGGGAGACTGTCAAATATTGCAACGTGCCACGCACGCTTTCTAAAGCGTGGCGCAAGTCCGAGCCACGTAGAGTGCCGTAGCGGAACCATTCCACCCGACCAGGGCAACGCTCGTGGCCTTGAGCATAATAGTCGTACACCAGACGCGTGAGACTGGGCGTAAGAGAAAGGATCCTCGTTAACCCTTTCGCATTGATTGAGGTTGCAAGGAGTCGTATTGTCAACAAGCGCTCTGCCTGTGGAAGTTCTGGGTCTGACTTCGACGCTTCGTCCCATCCTTCGTCCACAGTAGGCGATCCAGCGGAATCATGAGTAAAATTTGGAGCTAGATATTGCGCATGAAGCTCCTCCAGGGCTGGAAAATGTAGACATGCGACGAGTACTCTTGGGGGCAGGCGCCAGTAATAGGGAAGCCGCCAGTCTTCTATAGTCGTCGTCATATCCACACGTCTGAGACTGGGGTATCCGTTCAACCGCGTTTTGTTGAGAGTGTAATCAACGTAAGGCTTAGTTTGATGTTGCTCGATGCGTGGTTCGGGTCGACCTCTGACCGTGTTCGGTTCAGATGTCTCGCCGTTACGACGCAGACATTCGAAAACGCGCCGTAATATAGAGCGAGGAGGAGGACAGCTGGTTGTGGCTGTTGCTGCGACGTCGGGTTTACTAGGTTCTATTTCATAGGCTCTATAGTCGCTCGCACCCATCTCTCTGAAAGTGTGCTCAATCGCCCTCGGCAAAGCGGTGTTGTCGACCAACAAGCCAGTGTCCACGTCAAGCCACTCGAGATTGTTGCAGTTCAGAATGAGGAGGGCAATGATCGCATCGTGTTTGCGAAGAGATAGCTGCTCTGTATGTTCGTCCTCGCGTATCCCGGCTTTCTGGAGGTTGCATTCAAGCAACGCTTGAGGAATCGGGTGGTCGTTATTTGATCGAATGTCCAAGACGGCATCCGGGTAAGGATCTGTGACAGGGGGCGATGCAGCTACTTTCTCGGCCAGTAAATGAAGTTGATGGATCAACGGTCCTAGGGAGTTGTTTTCGAGGAGACTGCGGAGGAGCAGACCTGCGGTAGGAGACACTGTTTTGCAACGGCTCCAAGTAATAGAAACATTGCGGTATAGGAAAGGCAGAATAGCATTATGAACGCATACACAAGTGCGCGAGAAGGAGGAAAGGTCGCTGATATCTAATTCGGCGATAATTTGCTCTTGGAGTTCTGTCGGAAGAGTCGCGAAGGACGCCATGGTTAATGGAAGACGTGGCAAGAAAGACAGGAGAAGAAGCCTGAGTCGGCGCTTAGAGCTTCAAATATAGTTCCGGTCGGCGTGGTGCAGAAGAGGATCTAGGCACAGCGACTGTGCCGCAACGCCACAAATCCTTTCCTACAGGATAACACCATGCGCCAGAGTCCGGCATCTGGCACTAGTATAACCCGAGGTGCCTTCTAGGAATAAAATCACCGAAGACAGTCCGATGGTAGGCAGGAGTCCGACGGAACGATTTGCTTTCAGCCTGGCCTGCGGTCACGTGACAGTCGTATGTAATAATGCCTGGAAGGAATAAACTTTGGAATGTATGCGTGGTTTCCGGACGCTGAGGCGAATGAAACAGAAGGAGGTGTTGGTGTTAGAGACACGGGGAATCTGTGGGAGGCCGAATGCCTAGCTAGCTCTATTATTAAGCCAAGCCCCGGCACGATCTTTCTCCGACCTGTCACCCGTCCCTCGTCCCTCATCGCTTCAATTCAAACCTAGGCACTTCTGCACTTCAGGTCAACATCATTTCGTTAATACGATGCTGCAAAACTCTAAGCCCACAGTTGCCGGTGGAAACAATGCAAGCGATAATGGAGGCCGCCGCCCCGCGTCGTCCGACCCCGCGAATTTTCATTGCACCACATCACACGTCCAGGCGACGTTGAAATCGTTCAAGTATGAGCGACATCCTCTCCGCGGATGCGGCTGGGCACAAACGAAGAGAAAATTAATCGATTCAAGCCCGGGGTGGACGAGTGTCTCCCGAGGTCTACTAGAATGGAAACGGCAGAGCTAATCCCTTTTAAGGACCTGTGAGAGATGGCTCATTGATAGCTCCCGATTTTCCTCTTGTCGTACTCCGTGTCGTTCTGTTCAACACCAGTTCTCTTCGCGTCTCATGGGTTCGCCTCGGTTTTACCACCGCAGGTGCAGCCTTTGCTAATTGAGAGCTCTCCCGTATCAGGACGAACAAACAGGGCGCTTTGCTCCGTAGCGCCCTCGCTCAGGAAGCGCTGCATAGGAGTCAACCCCTTTGAAGTAGTGTTCGAATTCATGGCGAGGACGTTGGCGTGGTAAGGGCAGGAGTGGGGGCCGGCGGTTCCATTCGGAGTGCTTTGGGCGGCAGCCTTGGCTGAGCTACGTCTAAACAGATGAGTAAATGGCACCAAAATCTGAAGAAGAGTCAGCATTTGAACATACTGCAAGCCGTGGTTCCCGGAGTTTGATGAAGCCATGGAGATCAAATGAAGGAAGGATGTATGGGTGGTGCAGCAATACGAAAGAGTGGTTGTGGCAACGATGATATGAACTGTGATAGGACCTGGAGAACGAGGAACGCCTACGTCTAGCGACCGATCGGGTGGGTGTTGCGTGTTGGAACAGTGCGAAGGGAGGTTCAAAGTGAGGGAGACGCAGTTATATACACGTCTCGAGTCGGTGGAGATGTTGGCTGACTGAAAGGCGGCCCACAGAAGTACATGAGTGGGAGGACTGGCTCAAGGTTCGCGAGTAGGGCAAAGTCTCCATGATCAGTTCTCGATGCGCGACCATGATTGGGCTTGATGTTGAACGTTTGCTCCGGTTATGCCTTCATGCATGCTCGCATTGACAGGAAGGGAGATCAAGGATGCAGAGTTGGGGCAGAAAGAAAAAGGTAGTCGGACGCTACAAAATCTCCTCCTCAGATTGGGCTGTCTCCTTTTGCGCGGCTTGGCTGCGGGATGCGCATAAGTGGCTTCACATCTTGCGGAACAAGGTGGCCCGACGATTGGCGAGTGCTCCTTTGTAGAGCTGGGCGGATGACGAGTCAGTACTCCATCAGCGGCAGGGAAACACAGCTTGTATGTTGCTGTCCGCACCTTCTCGGTACCCCGCTCATGGATCGAGACACTTCTCCATGCATCATAGGTCGTTTCAACGGGAGCCCAGGCGTGGGCGTCTCACCCTTAGAGAAAGTAGATCCGAGCATCCACCTGACGTTTACGGTGTTTTCATCATGCCAACAAGGCATCTTCGTTATATCAACCCATCGAGATTCACACACTTTCATTGGCCATTACACTTTTGTTCGCCTTGGCATGATGGACACCGTGCTTGCGGCGTTCTCGCTTATGCAAGGTTTGGTCCTGCAAGCAACGAGGCAAGCCCAGCCTACTTTGCGGAACTTTGGATTGGACTTGAGGCCGCTCACTGGCTGTTTTCCTTTTGCTCGGCTTGGCTGCAGCCGAAACGCAGCTAGGCACCAATCTCCCGCCGGAGCTTCCTAAAGACTTCTAAATGCTCACCGCATCCAAGAAAATCGCTCGACTATCCTTCGTTCCTCTTTTCCTCGCCCGGAACCCGCTGCTGTGATTATCACGCCCTTCATCAATTTCTGTCACGACTTGGTTCGAGAGGCTCGCTTGGGCGCCGATATACGCACGAGGCTGAATATCCGCCCGCGAGATGGAGAGTCAGTCCGGCTGTCCTTCCTCGGCCGCCGCCAACCGCTGGGAGAGGTTCAAGGCGGTCATCGAGCGACTGTACATGGTTGAGAAGAGAAAAGTTTCTGAAGTAGTTACGATCATGAAGAATGATCATGGGTTCGACGCTGGGTAGGTGGCTGGACTGCGTGTGTTCTGATTTCAATTGGAGGCGATGCTAAGATATGACCCCAATGCAGTGAGAACCAATATAAATACCAGTTCAAGAAGTGGAAGTGGAAGAAGAACATGCTTGCCAGGAAGAAGACCGAAATCGCGACACAGCTGCAAAGCAGAGCTGCAGCAGGAAAACCGAGCAGTGCAATAACCTTTCAGGGTAGACCAATCGACCAGAATAAGATAAGGAGACATTTGAAGGCCACAGCTCGCCAAGAGTCTCGAGATATGGTTCTGAAAAGGGCTCCTCTTGCTACCGGGCCTGACGTACTTATGGTAGATTCTAGACCTGTACTATCGTTTGCGAACAGCATGTAAGTGTACAAGTACTTATCTACTACGCTTGCTAATCGATCAGATTCCTCAAGTGGAATATGCCCTATGCAGCCATGCGTCGATTCCAAGTGCAATCTTTCAGCCACGCTTCACCTTCAAGCTTCTCCGCACCAACACCTGGTAGCGACATTGCAGTCGTCACTCCCTCCGCTTCCGCCGATCCACCTCGGGACGCACCTTCCCCGACGGCACTACATCTGAAAGAAAAAGTAGCGATTGACCGCGCCCACCTGTTCGTTCAGGGACAGCACGACAAACTGTTGAAGTCCATGGACAAGGAGGAAAGGATGTATGCCACTACCAGTCTCGGTTATAGACCTAGAGTTAATTCATACATAGGGAAATGTCTACATGGCTGTATCAGTATTGGTTTTTTTGCTTTAAGACAGCCAAGAACTGGGGCAGAGGCCCGCGGGTTTGGACAGCCGATTCCTTAGGCTTTGATCGCTTCCACGACCCTGCTCATCGTAGCCTGCCCAGCACCCCTAGCGGTGGCCTAAATGTCGACGGCCCACGGCCACCGGAGGTCTTAAGGCCCAGCAACCTTTGCCGATGGCATATACACGTACGTCAGGATGAAGAAGAGGACTACGAGGAGCTCCCGGAAGAAGAAATCACAGCCGACCTCGCAGCCACTGCTGATCCATACGATGAATCCACTTGGGGGCCGTGGCCGAGTCAGTGGCAAGAGCCACCGCTACAGGCTAGACTCCGAGATGCTCTCGAGCACAACGACTTTAGCACGATCCGGACAGAAACTCTACCCGTCGCTGTACCGCAAATCGCCAAAGCTGCTAAAAGATCTCCCGACGAGCTTCTCCAAGAGTCCCTCGGTTTCAGCATCATAAGCCGAGACGTAGACCAAGTCGAATCAATTCTGCGTCAGGTTCAACGTGAGAAGGTCGACATCAGCTCTCTTCACCCATGTCACTTGGCGACGAGTTATTTGGACGGATCAAAATCTTGCTGCAACATCTTTTCAGCGCTCTTGCATTTAGGTCCAAATCTCCGACACATATACACAAACGACATGGGTCACACAGTGTTGGACAACTTGATGATAGCAATCCTAAAGTCGCACACATCGGTAACCCCTACTATCGCCGACCCTGCGCTACGAGATATGTGCCGCTTCCCCGGAGAAGAAGTAGACATCTGTGGTCGTTGGGACGCAGATTCTGATTGCATTCGACATCTCCTGGCCAAAGGTGACCCTTCCATCCCCTTCTCGTGGAAACACAAATTCTGTCATACTTCCGTCCAAGCGATTTGTCATTGCATTTGCCAGATAAGCCAATATTCCACAGCAATGCGAGGGGCCGCGAGCGGATTGTACGTACGTCGCTGTTTCGATTGCGGCATGAAGCTACAGCTTCAGCCCCTTCACTGCCTCGTGGTGACTGCATATCATGTCGCTTGCCACGGCTGCGAAGACGAAGACTTGTTCGGCATGGTCGCTTGTCTTCTTTGTCTTATCGCTAATGGCTTTGATACTCGAAAGATGGCGAGTATCTCCATTACTGCACTCGTCCAAAATGCGGGCCTGGAGTCACCTTGTGATCATGAGGAACTCTCTCCTGCCGAGCTTTCCCAAAAGCTCTCAGAAACCCCTGCATCAAGCTCCTGGAGTGCCGAAGTTAAGACGGGTTGGTCCGTATTTTGCGGGATATTGTGCCTTGATCAAAACAACAGTGAGGTAATAGACTCTGAGGGCGAGATGAGCGAACATTCAGAGGTCGATGATAGAGAGTTCATCGGCACTGATCCACCTGCCGATTTTTTTAGGGGGGACCATTTCGGGTTCCATAACCAGGCGGGACTCTTCCGTCTCCGCGAAGATCTCGCAACACTTTGGGCTGCCGTTCAAGCAGAGCTCTCAACATACCGGCGCCTGGATGAGAGATATGGCTGGACCTCCGATTACTTCAGCATGGAGCAACTCCGGGACCAACTCGATCGAGGAGAACATGTTTCCGTCAAGTACGCCGATGCTGGCTTGCTCCAAACTCACTGTGTCTGTGGATCATTTTCCACCTACAGAGGAATACCTACGTTATCTGATACCACCACACAGTATATCGCGAACCTTGATGTGTGGCAAAGGGCAACTTACTCGCACCTACCCGACTACTGATGGTTGTTTTTCTTCGCTTGGGCTGTACTTTTCTTTCCAACTCTCTTCACGCAATGCACTTTCTATTCTACCATGTATTTTCCTAGCTCATCTCGTACCTCGCAAAATAATATCAGGCCTTCCTCGGAGCAAACGCGCGCTTGCATTACCATACATCTATAATCTTGCCTGCATGTGAAGATCGCGAAGTCGTATTTCTTCTCTACGAGAGAGGGGAGTTTGTCAAATGCGATCACAGATCGCTCACGCGTCAAGCGTACGTAGGTAGTACGCTCGCTGGATGTAGCATAAAGTCTATTGCCTCTTGTCTAGGTGAAGTGGTTTCCTGTAAGCCTAGTCCATCGACACTGCCTCTGATATAACACAAGCGACCTGCTCTATTTCCCGCACGATCTACAGCCGTCGTAGTGACAAAGGAAGACACCGGTAGTATCCTTTCCGAAGCAATAACACGACGCACGGCGTCTCGTGGTCTAGCTCCTCCAAGGTCCGTCTCGTTGCTGCAATCAGATTCCCATCCAATACTGCTTAGGCCTCCGTACTGTTACCCGAGTGTCGATGTCAACAAGCAGATCCTAATAAAACGCGCATAGTATGGCACCGCTGCACTCGCATAGCCGGCAGAAGCGGACAGCCGTGGTAAATGACAGCAGCCAGCGAGACATGCTGATGAACAAATCTCAGCGGTCGAAGAGCGGACACCCGGAGCATACTCGAACGAAGCATCTCTGGTGTTGGTATGTCGGTGTAGAATACTCGTACCTTCGGTACCACGACCGCTGAACCTTTTGATGATACCCCTTCTGCCTACGGATTTTGGAATATAGCGTCTTTTTTGCTGGTACTGTATATGTAGTATGCTCGCATCTTCTTTGTGACGAGGTCGAGCGAATTTATGACTGCGCGTTCTTTACCACGATGTCGAGAGGGTCCCCACTGCGCGCCTAATTGAAGGGAAATAGAGGAACCAAAGAATGAATGGTAAGGACTTAGTTTGAAAAGAGAAGAAGAGGGAAAAGTAAAAGGAAGCGGAGTCTTCATGACACTCACCGAGCGTGCTACTTGTCCCTAGAAAGTGCCATACTGACGCGCTCATGCTTTTCGCACCTGCCGGCTCATGAATCTAGCAATAATGGATTCACCAGGAAAGAGAACAGAGAACAGCATTCTACCATGGAAAAGCTAAAAGCCTAGACATAAGAAGGGAAAGGCCCCAAAAGCACCCGCGTACCTCCAATACAGCCTCCAATCCCAAACTCCAAACTGCCGACCGCATTCCCAGCTCCCAGCATAAAATTCTCGTACCAGACCTGCAGCAGTAAACACAGGACACATCGAAACCCACAGAAGCCATCAGCCATCAGCCGCAAAAGCGCGCCCGGTAAAAGGTACTTTACACTCCCGCTCACCACGGCATAAGAGCCGTACGAAGAGGCGTCCACTTCAACCGGTCGGTCGCGTCGCATCCTTCAACACAACAGCCCTCTAGTAAAAAAGTGAGCACCGATATCGGCTGGCTAATTCCCCTCCCTCATCCTCCTTCCTTCCTCCTGCACCACCAACTCCCCACCGTAGTCTACCAACCTAGAATCCTCCCAGCGCACCGCGCTCAGCTGGCCATTCCTTTGTACGACATCGGCAGTCCACCCACCCTGAACAACTTATCCAAGCGCGCCTACGCCTCGCCCTGCCATAAGGCTAGCCCCCATCACCAGGACCTAAAACCTTCTCGAACACGTATAAGCGCCCACATTATATTTGGAAGGAGAAGCTGGCTGCCAACGCGTCGTTGTCGCCCAGCGGGTCCAGTCCCGACTAGGCGCAGCGTCGAACAAACCCAACAGCTCGGAATCCGATACTGCAGGCCGCGCAGCGCAATATACACGCACCGGGTCAGAAGACAATGTATCCAAATTAACGCGGGCGGGTTTGATTCGCGCTGGCTGGCGCTTGCGCGTATATCCGTGCGCGTGCGGTGAGCTTCTAGGTACGTAACAGTATAGGTAGGCGGCGTGGAGGAAGGGGTGTTGGGGCGTAGCGGATGCAGGGTCTTGTTGCGCACATGTGAAGGGCCGATGGTGTGTGTGTCTGGTGAGAGCTGCGCAGCAGCAGCGCCAACCGCCGCAGCGGCATCGGCATCCAAAGCCATTCCCTCACAGATACCGAAGCCCTCGGTGCAGCGCGCGCCGAATAGGATTCACGGTGGCGTTGGGGCGTCCGTCGGGACGAGGCAAAGGGACGGCGCGCTCCTACAGTACGATTCGATCTGACCACACAAGCCCTTTTCGCCTCTGCCCCTTCTTCGTAAACGGTGAGCGTGATCACCCGGAATCCTTTAGCATGCACGTGTGTGCGGTCAGCAAGCTGTTTCGTTCTGTGCATACGCGGCGCGGCGTTGGGGCGTTCTCGGTTTCGAAATTAATATGCTTTACCCGGCCTATGAGAAGGGTTGGAAGCGAAAATATCATAGCGAAATAAGACTGCTGTGGACTGTGAAAATAGGAAGCGAGCTCGTGCAGGATCTAGAAGGTTTATGGATGGTAGGGATACGTGTAGGAGAAGTATGGGCGCTGCATGTGATAACTTGCTCGACCCGGTATATCGACGTTAGGGGTGGACGGTTATGGCTGTACGAGGAAGGTTTGGAAGAAAGCAGGGCAGCGCAGCAACGAGGATCATCAGGCTGGAGATCCCTGCCCTGAACTCGAGTACGGTCAGGCTATGTAAAACTGAGATGCAGTCCGTGTATGCTCCAGATGCAGATGAAACATTCGGAATTGCGGAAGAGAGGAAGGCAAAATAGAAAGGTTACTCGTGACCTCCGAACCCCGGACTGTTGCTGCCTCGCCTCGTGGCGGCCAGAAACATTGGGGTCCGATACGGGGGCTGACGAAATGTGAGAACACATCGAGTGTTGAAGTTACACAAGCGGTCACCAGACGGTCACCCTGTCAGCAAGGTTCCAAAGGGCCGGGGGGAAGGGGGAAGTGGAAGAGGATCCGTATAACGGGACGGTACGGGCGTTCGCTCCGTCCCTCACCGTTCAGCTCCCTCGATAAGGTGAACGTAAGTCCACCGTAAGCATCCTATCTCACGAATTGGCCATCTCACCAATCATGGCTCGTGGAGGCGTGAATCAAGAGGGGTGAGACGGGGAAGAGCAAAGCGAAAGGCGTTTCGAGGTTGGAAAATCGGTGAGATCAGCACGGAGAACCTGGGGTAAGTGGGAACGGAGCAGGCGGAGGATTACCGATCCAGGAAACCGTTGACCGATTTTTGCTGATGCGGGACGGGTAGGGGTCTATAAGAGGCAGTGTTATACGTACCTGTGACACTGAGGATGAGAACGGAGGTGGCAACGGGCAGGAGCGGCGTCTATCGTAGGAGTCGAGTGGTGCTACAGCATCGTCAGCAGGCGGCATGATCAGAATTGCGCCTCACTGATGCAGCTCGAACAGCAAAGAGAAAGGCGGCCAAAGGATCATCGTCTATTGGGCGCGTTGAAGCAGACAAGTTGCGAGTTCGGCGATGGTTGCCAGGATAATATGGGCTACTTATCCTATCACCAAAGGCATTAGAGAACGGACTTGGCTGGTGCGCTCCACGGATGGCTTGCTACGCCGTATGAATGCATGATCTCGGGCCGTGGAAAGTTCCTGAGCGGTTGCGCACGTCAATGGCGTAGGCACAAAGAGTGAGATGGAATCCGTTCTGTTGAGCTTTTCGATACATAGCGTATGGTGTACGATGGATTGATTAATTACAGCTGCTGCAGAGAGCACTATGTTCGTGGTGCGCGAACCTGGTCTCAGGATCCAGGCGTTGCTTCCCAGCGCGAAGTCTCAAGCTGCAAGATGCGGTCAACCCTTGGAATGTAGACAACCTAAACGGCCATTGCTGATCCAAATCCTTAAGGGAATCTGCGAGGATGCTGCATTGCGGGTAAATTTGGAACCCAGGAGTAGTCAGACGGTTCCAACAGTCCGGTTCGGAGATTCGTGGACCTATAAACGTGGACAATCGGTGACTATAGGTGGTGGCATTTAATATCGGAGCCGAGTGCGAGCATTACGCTGACCACCCCTTGAACATCGAAGAGAACTGCCGTTCTGAAACCCCTCGAGAAGAGGCGGATCAAAGGGAGTACAAAGTAGCACTACGGGTTGCCCGGCTGACAGGTCAGCACGCAGTGCTACCGGAGTCAAATACAGAACACGAATAGGAGAGAGCCTGTGAGCGACGAAGTCAAATGGCTGGAGTTGCAAAGAACGCATTCTGAGAGCTAGGACCACAAAAATAGCGCTGTAATCTAGTAGTGACATCCTTCTGGACCAGCACACCGCTTGATCCGAGGAAACGGTACAACCATGTCCCATCTTCTCCAGATGTAGAAGGTCTCTTAGGGGCTAGTCGAGGAGAATTCGTGGGACGAAACTCGAGCGCGGTTATCGCGACATGCCTTTTCACTTTCCTAAAAAGGCATAGACCTCATTTCTAGAAGGCCTGAGTAGCAAATGGGGAGTTGGTGGAGGCTGGAGACGAGTTCGAAGCGAATGGGCTCGAGCATGTGTTCCACGTTGCTTCGGCAAGCCAGACACCGGTTGACCTGCCGTGTCGGTTGGAGAAGCTCAACCCCACCTACGGTTCGCGGAAAGGTCGTTGCGATAAGCACGTGGGGGAGCACACCACATGCGCTCCGCAGAGCACGGGCTTGTCCACATGAACAGGTGCCCTGGCATAGACATGAGCTTCGAGGAATCCTGTTGGCTCTTCGAGTCTCTCGCGCGGCAAGCAGGAAAAAGGAACACGGCACAACTCGGACAACAGCATCTTTCGAGATAGGGAGGTACTCGTGGTCGGCCACACATCGGTGCGATTCTCCAAGCCAGTCGCATCGGCTGCTAAGGAGCTGCGCCCAACTCCGGGAGTCGTTTTCCCTCGGTGCCCGGAAATTCCTTCTAAACATCATCATCTGCCTGGCGTTGGTCTTTCCTCAGGGAACGAAATTGCGGACCCACGCAGCCTTCTCGCCGGGCTGTCCCGAGCCCAAGAGTACGGGAAAGAATTGCTTTTCTAGTCGTGTGGGAGCACCCACTTGGGAAATAGACGATGCTCGGCGCTCCAAAGCCACGCGACAAAACGAGGGCGGGTGTCCGAGGCTATGGGTTGGGGACCTTGGTGCGATTCACATAGCGCGTCGGAAGCCCTCCCGCCTGCCGAAATGACTTGACCACTGCGGAATTGACTCCGTTTGCTGTCGGTTCATGGGATAGCATCCGAAAACTGAGTCGCGCACATTGACGGGGCATGGATAGACTAGGGCGGAAGCCAGCAGCAAGTTCCCCCCGTTCGCTAGAGAGTCAGAACGCGGGCGTCGACGACGTGAACGGAAAGATCTCATCTCGAAAAGGACAAGGGAGGCTGGAGCCAATTTCGGGGCGCATGGCAACGGCGGCCGATGCTTCGGTAGATAAGACGGCGAGGGGCTCCTCATGCGGGAGCGAGGGTCATTCATGCCGTGGGCAGCGCCATGGCTGAAACGCCATGCTGCGCTGTGATGAGGGGCTTGCATGTCGAGATGGATCATGAGGACAGTGGGATTTGCGGTGAGGGGAAAGTCCCTGTTGCACTGCGCACTCCAAAGTCGGCAACACCGTGAATGGTGACCGCAGCCGCGTAACGCATGAGTGAGCGATGCAGAGTGAGCTGGTGATGCCGTGATGAGGAGACCGGTGCTCCTCTCATCGGAGAAAGGAGATGGCAATGTGAGCAGCCAGTCGCTGCAACCAACCGACGCAGCAGCCGAACGCCAGACGGGCGATTGGTGATGGGCTTCGGGGCCGAAGCCACGCGATTCGTGCAGCGGCGTGTCCCGTTTAAATCCCGTTTCCAAAGCGGCTTAAGCTGGACGCCAGAACCACCGTGCCGGGTCCCTGGAGCGGAGCCAAGTGCCCGGTGGTGTGGCACTCTCACGCCGCCTTCGTGGGTGCAGTGTGGTCCCCCATGTTTAGCAGCTGCGTTGTCCACTGTGGGGTGCACAGGTTACTTGTGCAATCCGCCCCAGACTCCTGTGCGTCTCGAGGCCGGCGTTGCTTCCACACACAGTTCCTTGTATCCGGGAGGAGCTGGATGAGTTCCTTCATTGATAGATCCACGGTCGCACCGCTGCTGAGGCGTAAGGAACGTTGCGGGTCGTGGGATGCGTGGCTGCTCACACACGTCGGCGATACGGCAACTCCTCTCCTTCCCAATTTCGCTCCGCTGAGATGGAAGCGACTTCCGAGGCTGTTTTATTAGCTCGAAACTTTCGTTACGAGACCTGCTGCCTCGCCGCTGAAGAAGACGGGAAAAGCAAACACCCGCTGGCGGGAGGCAAACCCCGTGTGTCACAATCGATTGTGAGATAGCGTATCGATAGCAAATCCGTATCCCAAAGTCGACGAGCTTGTTCTGATGCCCTCTGAAGGGGACTGAGTCAAAAGACCGAAGGCCGAAGGGTACATTCGACCAGTGTGAAAGTACTTTTCGCATCCCACCGACGAGGTCACATCGTGTTCCGATCGTCTTTTGTGTAACAGCGCCAGCGAAGCATTGGACGATCGCTTGTTCCACCTTAGACGCAATTCAGAGCAGTCGCACGTACACCTGGAGCTTCCTCATCCTGTAGACGGATGCCGTTGTCGTTCGCATCTGTGACGCGACAGACAATGCGAGACGAAGCAAGGTCTCAATAGCAAGAAAGCGTGATTGGGCCCTGGAATAGAAATTCAGGCGCTGGTTGAACAGCGTCCGGGGAAGCTGGAGTAGCGCCCGGTTGCGCTGTACGATCGTTGTCCTTGCACCCTTAACAGAATTCCTGATTAGGTCGTGGGACAGATTCAAGTGTACGTAAAATGCTGGAAGCGAGTAACGATACCTCGTCCATAGTATGCTGCCTGGACCTGAGCGCATCAGCTCAAGAGAGACTGAGGGTCTCGGCTTGTGCGCTTGGCTGCCTTACATGCCGCTGATGCATCCACTGGAGACTCAGTGATCTTCTACACAGTAGCTGGACGAACGGCATCTGGGGCTGCATGATGCTGTTCTGGCCGGATATTTGTGGGATTGTGGGGAAGGCGGCACACGACAGCTGTTCCGGAGCCGCGGTCCGTGAAACAGAGGTCTGAAAGTCCCTGCCTTGTCACGAGTACCTTTAGAGAGCAGCCAAGGTCTTTGAAAAGGTGCTGCGAAAGGCTCAACAGCTGCAGCGCGCTCTTTGTCCGAAAGCGGTACGGAGTAAGGCGGCAAGTTGGGGGATCTTGGTAATGCGTGGTGAGCGACGCCGTGTGCTAGAATCGCGAGCCCGGAGCATGGTAGCGATCACCAGTTCAAGGCAGGCACTGGGTGCACTGGGTCGAATGCCACGCTGTGTTCCCAGTATTGCCGGCAGGGCGTGATGTTGCAAATTGTACAACGCATGAAACCGGCCATCACGCCGCATTTAGGGAAGAGAGACGGTCGCACATGATTCTAATGCGGCACGGTGATTCGACGCAGGCCTCCAGATGACCTCGAGATATTATCTTGTAAACAGTTGACGTAGCATTCAGAGGACCTGCGAGTAACAGCGCGACGGCAGTAAAGATAGTCCCGGTTGCCTCAGGATGCTCGAGTCGATTTCGATTCCCGAGGTAAGACGGGGAAACGATGCTGGCCAGAGTCAAAGCAAGCGTGAGATGGACTCCAGCGTGACCCTCGTGCCGTGTAGCCCACGCGTAGCCCTCCACGGTCCGGAACCTGGCCAACAATGGCACGGCACGATTGTGTGCTGACTGGAGGCGTATCGCGGGGGCTCAGTGTCGATAACGAGTCTTCGCAGCGACGTGGGCCGTCGGGAGTATGTCGAGGTTGAAGTAGGTGGCGGCAACGGGCTTCCCAAAGCGGCATGTCACCAGAACGCGCAGAGGCTGTTCTTGAGCGCGGGCGGAAAAAGTCGAGGACCATGTGACGGCTGCTACAGAGCGGAGCGTTTCGCACAGAGTGGAGCGGCGCCTCTCATATGGAAGTGAGGCTCCCAAGGCCGTCCGGGGCGGAAAGGCCCTCTGACGGATCGTCATGAGGCTGGAGGAGCAATATCGAATTGAAGGCCGGAGACGTTGCGACAATGAAGGAGGTCCAGGGTCCAGAGCAGCAATCACAGCCGGCAGTGCAGCGCAGTACTGCCGACGAGGCCGCATACGATTTGGGCTAGAAGCGAGCAGGGATGCCGGATGAAGCGAGAAGGGGAAGAAGACGGCGGCTGGCTGGACTCGTTCCCCGTGCGCCAGGTCACATGTGGCCGTACCAAACGCTCTCGATACAATACCGTGACTAAGCGGGCAGCGGCGTAATTTTCACCGGCTCAAGTGACCCGCGGATGGCAGTATCGGGAGGGGCGCGAGACAAAACTGGGCCGGCGCAACCACGCAAGACAGGGCCGGCGGCGGCGGCGGCGACGGCGACAGACTACTCAGCTCCTTGTGTGCGCGCGGCGATTCGCAGTGAGCGTGGTCGCTGTGCCGGAGCAGCGCGACGACTTGCAGCGAGTCAGCCTCTGTGGCCGGGGATTCTGGAAGAGCAGCTTGGCGCGCACAGTCCAGGCCGGGTTCGTCATGTGCTGCACCGCTCCCCACGCCCAGACGGCGAGCGTGTTTGAGGGCCAACAGGTCGCAGTGCAGGGGTCGGCTCGCATGGGCGCGCTGCCACGCGGAGGAGGCCAGCGAGCGGTGGCGGGGGGCCCGTGGATGGAGTGTTATGGAGCGTGATGCTGCGCAGCGGCAGAGCCGTGGTGGACAGCCGCGGCTACTATGGGCGGCTTGGTTTGGGCAATATCGCAGTGCTGAGGGCGAGCCGCGGGGGGACTGGCAATAGGGACCGACCGTAGCAGCCGCCGCTGGACTAGCCAGGTCGGGGCGCGGTAGTAGTCATTTCGCACCACGTCGAGCATGTAGGGCGGCGGTGCGCTCGGGCTTGCTCCGGGCGCGGTGGTCCAGCTTGGAGGCGTTTTGCGACAGGGGTGCTGTTCCGCTGTGACGGCTCTTCTTGGGGCGCCAGGGTGGGAGCGTCTCCAGGTCCGGCGCCCAAGCATTTATTATCGCTGGCTTGCCGCCCGCCGCTCGCATATAGTCACTACCACGCCGACCCGCGGACCTCGCCCTCCCACCTGCCCAGCGTCCCAGCAGCTGCACCCCTCGCCCGCACCCTCTCCAGGAAACCCCTCCGCAGCCTGCACCTATGTGCGTCGCCGTCCGTTGTTGACCAGGCGCTTCAGACGAGTGCGGCCGCCCGGCCTCCGTGCCTGACATCACTGCCGCGACGAAAGCGGAACACCACCACCGCCCGCCCTCACCTCTCCCCCGGCGCCCGCAACGACGGTGCAGCCCGCCGCAACAATGCCCCTCCGCTCAGAGCGCCCCATCGTGCGCGTCGAGCACACGTCGATCCGCACCGTGGAGACCAGGAACCCGGAGAACCTCTTCGGCCTGTGGAGCAGTACGTCCTGCCCTTTCTCTCTTTGAGCGCCGCGGCCTTTCATATGCGCGCCGCGCCTTTCATATGACTGTTTGCCGCTGCGCTAGCACTCCAAACCGCCAGATGCAACCCCCTATGAATCATTGCCGCTGACCCGTTGCTGCAACCAGTCTTCTCAAAGTGCTCCCCCGCAATGGAAGACGGGCGCCGCTACGAGAACCTCGCCTGGAGACTGTGGGGCCGCGAGGCGTTTTGCTGCCAGCCAGACCACATAATTCCGCCGCGCTGGTCGTTTGAGAGCCGGCTGTCGTCCTGCGACGAGATCCCCGAGCTCTCTTCAAGCGTGGCCTCAGACGACTCCGCTTCGGAAAGCGCCATCACCGCGACTACCCGATCAAACTCGTCCTCGCGCCCCGACCTCCGCCGAAACGACTCCTCCAACAGCGAGGCCCGCCGCAAGCACATCACCCCGATCGACCTGGAGAAGGTCGTAAACTCGATACAAGAAAAAAAGGCCATTGTACCGCTCTCGCCGCTACCGCCACAGCTCGCGCGGCGGCTCCCAGTACGGCCGAAGAAGGTTGCCGAAGACACCACGCCGCGCCCCTCATCGCCGCCTCCGACCGCCCGCTTCGTCCCGGAATCCTCCACCTCCACAGTTGCGACCGCCCTGGGCAGCGACGGCATGAGTCCCCCAATCGGATCGGACGTCAGCACGTCCACCGATCTCAGCTCGCACAGCATCGTCCATGGCTTCGACCCCGGCCGCATCTCCACCTCGGTGCGCTCAAGCACAAACCTCAACCCTACCCCAATTCTCAAGCCCAGCATTACCACCAAGCCCGCCCCAACCAAGGCAGAACCGGTGAGGAAGAAGGCGCCTATGTTCATGCTCGGTGGATCGTCCGACGAGGACAACAGCAGCTCGTTAGAGGCATACTCACTGAGACAGCGGAGCTCCCTCTCCGATAACATCAAAAAGGCGGGCCTCATCCGCAAGACGACGTCGTTCAAGAACGAAGTCAGCACGCGCACTATCCAGGACGCCACCTCCGAGGAGAGCGAAGAGGCCATTGAGAGCGAGAGCGACGAGGATTCGGACGACAATGCCATTGAAGAGGAGGACTCTGACGAGGAATGGGAGGACGACAATGAGGAGTCTGGCCCTCCAAGCGTGGACGAGCGCGCAATGTTCCAGAGGGTCGACTCCAAGCCGAATTTGGTGTCCCGTCGCTCTCTGCTGACTACTCAAATCCACGAAGGCGACCGCGCTCGGGCGCTGCAGAATGCAGCGTCGCGCTCCTCACCCGCCATCCGCAGGTCCCGGACGTCGACTCCCAATGGCCCCTCGACTGGCAACTCCCCCCAGGAGGACAGCGTTCTCATGATGCGGCCGCAGGTCCCACGCTCAAAGCCCATCATCATGACCACGTCGAACGTGCACCCGCCCGCCTTGTCTCCCCGCACCACCCGCCGAAATATGCTCCAGACGGAGCTGACGCAGTCGCTGCGCCAAAATCTCCTCTGGGAGAGGCAGCAAAAGAATGCGACTACCAACGCAGTGAACAAACGGGCGCAGTCGGCTGTATCGATGCCAGCCCTTCGGCGAGCCATGACCACTAACGACCTCAACGCCTTCCCACAACAAAACTTCACCAAGTCTACCACCTTCAAAGATCCGACTAAGAACAACAACTCTTTTAACGATTATTTCGACCAAGGACTCCAGGAGTACCACCAAAAGGGGTGGTAGCGGAGCCGTCTCTTCCAGCAACTGCACTACAGCGGCATCATACGGAACAGCATCTGGTCATCGGCGTTTTGTGTTTCTTCTTCTTTCTACTACCGCCGCTCCCGAGCAATTGCTGGACGGCCGATCATGGGTAATGTTTCTCCCAAAATCTTTGATACCATAGGGCATCGAGTATGCCTATGAGGCTACGAGTTTCCTTGATCCACTTCATCACATCGGACACTGGGCGGATCATTCGGCTTACAAGATGCGTCGCGGCTCGCGCCTGGGTGGTCTGGGTCTGGCTTCTGCGTCGAGCAATACCCCGTCCACTGGTCTGTACTATTACACCTGCATTGTACTTTTATCGGCTCCCCTGTCCGAAGAGCCATTATACCTTGAGGGGCGTCTCGCTGCGGCATGCGACGACAGCATTACCTCACATCAGATAGCAAAGGTCATCACCTTAGGTACCTTAATGAAGAAAAGTGGATAGTTCAAGCACTAGGCTTTGGTTTCGTGTTGATAGTGACGAGTGACTGGTGCCGGTGAGCAGATGCAGCCAGCCAGCATGCTCGGAGGCCTCATGGACCTTCTCTTCTCATCAGCTGCACCCAGGCCTTCTCAGGGTTCCTCTCCCAACAAGACGCAGGATTGATACGCGAACATGCTTTGTTTGACCGCCCTTCTGAATCATCTGCTTAACTTGGATGTCCAAGACGCGCTTATGCACGCTGTGCTGTAGGCTTTTATGCATGGCCGGCCGGCACCAATGGCGGATGTTGCTTAGCAGTGCCGGCTTATAGAGGGCGGCGCAGACGATGCGAGGGGACTACTAGCATTCTCGAGTGCGTGGGCCGCGGTGCGTGGATGGCGAAGCAACAGTGTCACGATGGCAGTCGACGTTTGCAGTGTTTATTGCTGACCAGACCGGCAAATGCGATAATATGCCCGTGTCTATGCCCGTGTCTATGCCCCCGGACTCGCTAATATGGCCCAGTGTTTCTGAGCAATTCGCGGCTATTGCCCAGCCTGCCTTCCCTCGGGCCGGCTTCCTGTCCACCGCGCTGCCTGTGATGCGCGTGCCTGAGGCGGCCTTCACGGGCGTGACGAGCGGCGCCGCTCCCATCACAGGGAGGAGGACGCGCGCTCGAGGGAGCTGCCTCGTGAGACGTCAGGCTTGAGACAGGCCTTGTGCCGCTGCGGCCAGGAGCTGCCGGCGTGCATCGTGGCGAGCGCGCCATGCTCCGTGCTGCATCGTGGGATCGTCTGGACTCGGGGCGCGCATTCAGCCTTATGAGTCAGGCAACTCCCAACTCCCATTCATCCTCATTCTGTCTCGCGCTTCGCACTCCTGGTCCCTTTCAGCGAGCGATGCGACTCCACGACGCCTCTCGCCAGTCGAGGCGCTGAAGAAAGCCGGAGCACCACCTCAGGTCAGGGCGCCTTATCGTGGGGAAAGGCTTGGTGCCTCGTTTCGCTGTAGCCTCGCCCTCTCCACCTCCTCCACGCTCCGCATTACCCAGAATCAGCTTCGTCACCTCCACGCACAGTCGCCAGCTGACCGCGGGACCGCTGTCGCCTATCTCCCCCATGAATTTCATCGCCTCATCGCTCAGCATTACCCCGGATTGCCCGGCTCAGCTCAGCGCCAGCCGCAACCCTATCTTCCAGCTATTTGCGACGCTCCCCATCATCAGGCGCTCTAAAAACAACCGCCATCCTGGGAGCGGCAAGATGATGCTCCATCAGGCACCGGCCGCCGTGCCTCCTGAGCACAAGTCGGTCTGTCGAGTCGATGCGCTGGCAAGCTTAGCGCCTGCAAAGGGGTCATGAGGGTCATCTGCTCAGCGCTCTCGCCCTCTGAGTTGCCCGCTCCTCAGCCTCATCTACAGGGAGCTCCGCCACCCGACGGGATCGCGCTGGGTATTCTGGTCGAATGTCCGTTGCTGTGCTGACGCCCTCTCGTCCTGTGATCATTGTGATATCGCGACTTTGGGGGCTTTCCGTCACCTAATTCTCCGACTCCCGTGCTTTCATTTGTCGCCCCCGTGGGGGTTCCCGTCACCTGCCTCGACTCTGTCACACAGGAGTCGCGGGACCAGCGCTCTCGCAGTGACTTGTTTCTTTTCGCCAATGCTGTCTCGACGCCGATCGCGCCCATACATGAGCGTTTGAGATACAGCTCAGCAACCATCTGCCGCCGTGCAGCAGCCTGCCCGCAGATCCTGACCATCCAGACCACTTCTACACTCCCCAGCACCTCCGTGGAACACGGGAGCCGACCCTATTGTGCGCCGGGAAGCACAGCAGGGCGCCAGTATGCCTGCCGTCAATACTTCTCGCATCACCCGAGATCCCATTTTCAGTAGTCTCAGCTCACGGCTCCGCACTCGTATCAGCGTCAAGGTCGGCGGAGATATATTCCGAAGGCAGCGAATAAGCCCTGCGATATCGACTCCATTCGCCTCCGCATGACTCTGGTATCGTCCGATACTGACATTATCGCAGCCTCAGGATCCGATTGCTTACTGAATTGGCGGTAAGCGTTCAGGGTATCAAATCCAGATGCGGAAAGGGTCTTATCACCACGACGTCGAACACGGCTACAGCAGCACTACCTGAATCCAACTCCATTGTCCCATCAAATCTGTGCCATTGGGAAGGACGCCCAACTACCGCACAATTCCACAGACCCCCTATCCTCTCTTGGGTGGACATCACCAAAAGAAGGCTGAGTTTTGTTCCCATGCAGCGCTCCCAATTGACGGCAATTGATAGATCCCGTCACAATTTGTTTCGTTTGACGATGCTAAGCTGGATCACCGGAAGGTTCACTCGGAAAGCAATCATGGCTCAAGCTTCCACATTCATGACGGCATCTTCGACGTCGAAAATACCCTTCGATTCCGGGGGAGGGGCCTCTCCATTGATCTAACATGATATAGACACGCTAAATCCCGCAGCGTAGTGTGACGTTACGAAAACCAAAGATCTCGCAAATTATTACGCCGACTGGTGCATACAATCCCTAAGCAGACGCTTTCGATATATCAATTTTCCCTTCGTCTTCCGTACGACATGAGTCCCTCCTTCACGAATTGAAGCCGGAGAGCGGAACCCTCCGCCAATGTTTACGCCCAACAGTGCTCAACATACCGCCAAGACGCTTATAACAGTTATAGTCGCTCCATTTCCGTCCCGTCGGATACAGTTCGAAGTGGCTCCTCCTACGCCATGACATAGTCCACAGAAGCTCAACCTCATCTTTTCCAGACTGAAGGACGCCTGCCGAAGACGCGTCTTGGCGTGTCTTCGATCATCTCCCGCCAGCAGATGGAAGAATCCCGCTTCCTCGTACCGATGTGCCACGTTGCGATAGTCGGCTAGCGTACCTCTGAAGTTCTTAGAGTGCCGAACAGGATATAATCTCACATCTCTGGACGCTATGCCAGTCCGGGCAGTTGCTGCCCATCGTGGGCTTGGGCGAGCTACGGCATATCTCCGATGTAATTTCAACACCAAGGACTGTGAGACACGAACCTGAACCGCTGGATGAGGCACGCAAGTTTGGTTCAGTGTGCGGGATTAGGTCTCACTTCTCGCGCCATATGTACGGTCAGGCCCAAGCTACCCCTTCGCGCGACTCGCGTTCCCCTGGGTTGTAGTATGGATCATAGTTACCATCGATCGAAAGACTACGATACCCTCATCTCGAGGAAGTTCACCCTCAAGGTGGGCCTCTCGTATAGGCACCTGCCTTCTACGTCATTTTTTTCAGAGCGGCATCCCTTAACCAGCCATCTCACACAGAACGAGTTCTCACACGCGCCGTCGAAGCTTAACAACACCACCAAAGTGTTCTCATGAGAGGTTCGCAACCCCTGCGTCCGCGAAATAACCTCAGTAGCCACTGCGAGTCTATCCACGGTACGATTGACCACAAACGCTCTCGTTTGACGTAAGGGGCCTTGGTTCCGAGATCACTGGGAGCACCACGCGCCGGAAATTTTTGGTACATGAGTTTTCCTTACGATACACTCGTCTCTGCAGCTCGGCGGGCGGAGAGCAAAGGCACCTCGAGCGGCGGAGGAAGCTGCAACGTCAGCGGCTCCCCTCCGAAGGCAGAAACCTGATGAGGTTCACCCCCGCACAATCACGAACAGCTCGCTTGTAAATCCCCCGCGTTGGCATCCCTGTACATTTTGCGCCTCAAAAGCCTCGCGCAACGGCTCATCCCTGTGATCCCTACAATCCCTTTTGTCTCCTTTGTCGTCGGCACAATTCTCGGTACTCCTCCTGACAGCGCTGTTCTCATCCGCGCCTTGTCTGGTGTCGTCTTTGGGCGTGCTGTGCACGCGTCAGCTGGACGCAGGAGTTTGGAGGCTTGTGAGATGCGTCCACGGGGCATGTTATTGACATGTGAAGCCCGCCGATAACCTCCATACCACAGCAATACCTAGGTACTTTGGTCCAGGGTTCGCGGGAAAAGTCGCTCTATCGGAAGCAGACTGGATAGGGCAGCGCGGCGCGCTCTCAAACACGAATGCATACCTGAACAGAGACGCGTTGATCGTCATGCGCATGATACCGTACTGTACCCACGGGCCGACTTTCAAACCCAGGTTCGCATCCGACGGCGACGGAAACAAGCTCGGCTTCCCTGCAACCCACATGGCAGTTATGTCCCAGCCCTTATGCCGAGCCGTAGCAACTCGAGTCAAGCTTCCCTCCGCCGCTGTGTCAGGACCACAACATCCGCCGTTCCGCCGTTAAAACAGAAAGTAATCCGCGCGAATTAACGCCGGGTTTCCCTGGCCTGCGAAGCAAACGTTATTTTGCGTTTCAATGCTCCTAAAACAGCGATGACAGTCCGGGAAAGTCTAAGCAGACACGAGGCGGCGAGGGTTCAGGGAAGTTGTCGCCTTTCCTGCGTCATGTGTCTCACTGGGTTTTCCATTTCCCCGGATCGCCGCTTCTACGATGATGCTGCCATCGCCGATAGGGCTGCCCGCGACTCGAAGGGTTCCTGATCGACTTCGCCGGTTGTTTCGATTATGTTCTGAAGAATCACGCGCGCATTCTAGGGATCTCTAGAAACGCGGGGATGCGGCAAAATTGTTGATCAACATCCATACATTCGTTGATGCTTCTTCGTCATCCGCAGATCATTACCGTTTTGGTTGACATCAGCATGACCGATGATCGATGGCGTAATTATCTGGTTATGCAGGTACCAGGAAGATGTCCCAAAAAGGAAATCCGCCTATATCCCAACAACCTCCACCATACGCGCAAGCATCCTATAAACGGTTTTCTCAACGACACTTCGACCCTTGCGCAGCTGAGGGGCATCGATATTTTTAGGCGAGCCGTTGGAGATGTTCATGCTGGAGTGGGTTCGCGTTCCAGCCGAATGTTGCATGTCATCTTCAAAGTGGAGATGTTGGGAGGGAAATACAAGATTCTTATGAGCGTGAGACTCCAGCGAGATCCATGGTCTTATGGTCTCCATAGCGGCCGCAGTGGAGCAGCACCACACCGCCCAGCCATCTCCTTTTTCTCGACTCTTCGTTGGCCGGTGAGTGGACCCTCTACACGACGAAGTCCTTGAAGGCGCATCTCTCCGCCGCGGACCCGCAACGGCGTCAACACCAAAGCAGACTGCTCGCGATGCATCCACTCGGCGCCTCCACCCAGAGAAGTTTTCTAGAAGCTTTCACGCGTCCGGCAACCAGCTAGCCGGATCTGATTGCCCCACATTATCTGCTGACCAAGCTTTCGCAGATCGCCAGTGATTCGCGGACTAATGCAACCTTTTCCCGAGACGGCAGGTCCTTGGCAGACGCGCGGATCCGCAACGCTGCTGCTGCACGTGTCGGCGTAATGTGCGGCGTCTCCGAGACACTTCGAAACAAAAGACGTCGAATTTTCAGATGCTGGCAAGACGTTACTTCAGGCAATGAGTAACGGCATGTGAATCGCCGCAGTACCTTCGCATCAAAACCCTGCGCCTTCCACGTGCGCGATATTCCGACCCGTGCCGGTTCGCCGAGCGCGCTCCGAGGTAGCGATTCGGCTATGTACTGCCCTCTTCTCCACATCTCCTCCTCTCGACGGTGAAGCCCAACCCAAGCCATCTGCAAGGGCAGCGAGAAAATGCTCCTCACGATCCCCCGTTCAAGGTTGCATTTACGACCTGCCTAGCCCTCGTCCAGCGTAGTCTGCAGAGAAAAACCACGCACTTGGGCCCTGGGGCGCGGAAAGCACCGAGGGTCTCCACTTGAACGGCCTGGTCAGCCACGCCCGTTTCTGTGCTTCTAGCGGAGTGTTCTTTTCGGCTCGTGAGCTTGCTTTGCAGCCGTGTTTCCCCGATAGAAGTAGAGTTTTATGGAGCCCCAGCCATCGCAGCAATAATGCTTACTCTGTGCATGGACAAAAGCGGTTCTGCAAAGAGCGGGGCCCACAAACGCGCGTGGGTACTGTTACCCAGCCACAGCTCCAGAGCCTCACCGCCACTCGAACACCGATCCACGTGCTCCTGTTACCTATGCACTACCTACAGTACTAGCTTTCAGGCGCCCCATCAACGCCCTTTCAGGGTCCAGCAATAACACCACCGCCTGACATCTTCCGACGAGATTCTAGAACTTCGCAATGTGGCCTCCAGGCCTAGTTCGTTTCGAAGGATCAAGAAGCATATGCATGGCCGCCGCTCTCGTTGGATGCATGCGTGCGGAAAACTAGACCCTGCGTTTTTCTAGCGCGCGAGCGGGCGCTTGGCTTGGGCTTGAGCCGCTGTTCCGAGGGTGTGTGCTTGTTTGAGGATTTGAGTGTCTCGAAAGGGGACGGCGGGGCTGCCCGGATTGTGGGTCTGTCGTGTGTCGTGTGTCGAGGTGGGCTGAGCATGGACGCTTTGGGGGGAGGGTAATGTTACGGGTTTCGTTACGGCGCTTAGTTATGGTAGGGACGCTGGCAGGAGAAGGGGGAATGGTAATAAGGAGGAGGTTGGTGCGGGTGTGGTGTTGAGGCGAGGATGGCATTGGACATATGTTTGATGTTTGTTAGCGGGTACGTGGTGCTCCGTGTAGGGGTGTGCTACAGCGGTAAGCGCAATTTCTTAAAGTCTCATTGCTTCCTTATTCCTGTTTCCTTTTGCATTTCTTATTAGGTTCAAGCTGCTCATCATCTTTTTTCTTTCCCTCGATCACACGCTCTCTGTCGACGTTGAGGAAGACATGTCTCGCAGCACATTCGCTATCAAGTCCCATTCTGTCTACTGCGGATTCTAACCTTAAATACCCCTGCATTAGGCCCTCAATGTACTCCCGCCTCGCCAGCTACATTTTCACCGGTCATGCCGCGGCATCTCATCGAGACGAGCTCTTATACGCATGCATGCGAACTTTGCTTAAAGCGTCCCATTACCAGCTATATCCACCTCCGAGCTCATCCCTTGTCTTCTTTTATTAGTGGATTATGTTAAACCGCAACACATCTCTATTCACTGGAGCACAGCGACCGTCGTAGACCTACGCCTAGTGCTCTCTCTCCGCACCCCACAAGCAGAAGCGACGAGTCAAGAATGCCTGCTATCATGCGCGCTATTACGGCTGGTAACATCGCGTACAGCATGCGCTATAGTGGGAGCAGTCTCGTCGCTCAGTCTCGACCATGCGCTGGAGAGAAGTATAGTCTGTAGGTATTCAGTACAGATCCCTGAAACCTCGTTTCTAGAGCAAAGGACGGAATGTGACGATCGTACATGTCGCAACGCGATCTACCAAACAAACCCACTGACTTGATAGAGATACATGCATTCCTCCGCTCCGCTGACCAGGACCGTGCATATGCGGACTGTACAACTTTCATTCCACGTTCGCACTATGTACCTCCACACTCCCGCGTAAGGACGCCATGTCTTCCCGCGTAGGCCCGTAGCCTTTCGGAAAGCAGACCGACGAGTCCGTCGTATGTTGACTACGTATACTTCCCAAGCGCAGGATCTTGTTTTCGCGGTCAGATCACGCCATTCGCGAACAATGATTCATCGAGACGTCTAGGGTGTAGGAATGTATGCCGAGCGCGGTGAAGGCATGCGGGTTCCGCGGCCGGGGGTGTACGCGGTTCTTGCGAGATGCTTCCACCCTTTTTTTACGCTGTGTTTTATTCTAACGTTATGGGGACGAAATTGAAGCGGTGCTGTTCTATTCTTCCTTCCCTGCTGTCTCCTTTGCGAGAGGGGGGGAGGTAGCCTGTAGACTGTTTGGCAACTAGAATGAGATACATAGACTTGGACTTGGCGCAAGGTGAATTCGCTGGGGAGGCAAGATCTTTATCTACTTAAGCAAGGGATATGAAAAGCGATCTACACGTCCGTGTTCCACGCATATAACGTATAACAAAAACGAGTTTGAGATTAGCTGAAAGGAAAAGATCATCAAGTCCAGCGGTTTGCTTCGCAATACTGTATCTGCATGGCAACCTTTCTTTCGGCAAGCAGACCATCTCAGCATTGGTCTTGAACCGCATCTCCGCCTTTTTCTTCGAGCGGGAAGAATGAAGCTGGTGTTGGCACCATCCAGAGTAAGTACTACTCAGGGCCTCGAGCTACAAGAAGGAGCTAAGTATCACTAACCCAGCAACAGAGAAGCCGTGAGAACGGCAATTTGCATGGGTAGATAAAGCGCAAGTCAAGCATGAAAGAGTGTGGAAAAGGTGAGCTAGAACGCTCCACTCCTGACTCTAGCTGGCTCTGCCACAAAAACAGAGTAGAAAGCGCTATATATGTACATATAAAATATATCCTCCTCGTACTGAGATCTCCCTATGTCGCTCACTACTGCCGTGTAATCAACAACCTTTATGTCGGTAAAACAGACCAACTAAGTCTTCTACATTGCTCCTCCGCCTCCCGAGGCCGTTTGAATGCAGTCTCTCCTTTCGTTGCACTCTACGTTACTTAGCCGCTATGGAGACATCTTCCAAACGATCTTTCCAGGCAACGAGTTCAACCCGGTCTTTATCACATGGTTGACAGTATCCCACTCTACACCACCCACTGCTACGACCACCACGGTGGCTACCATGTCCGACCGAACAAACGGAACTACGGAACCACCTATCCTAGACTGGAAAACCTCTACAGACGAACAACTCATACCCATAGACATACTAGTGCTTAACTATCTTCAGCACCTCTAGTACCAAACCCCGGCCCAGTGTCCCGTCCTCGCACTACATACAGCATTCGACAAAACGCCGTCTGACCGCACGCCCCTTCAGCGCTGCTTTAGAAATGTGGTAGCTGCTGAGGGTAGCCTTTAGCTCTATTCACCCCTCCCTATAGACACTACGTCGAATCCAGCCATACGCCTACTAGCACTGCAGCTCCACAGAGCCCTCCAAATCCATTAGATTAGCCATCATAGACTTACTCTCCGCTTCAGTGCATCTACTCCACACACTGAGGGAGAAAGAGGTGCGCGAGTCGAATCGAAGCCAACAAAACAAACCAGGATGAAATTCCGTTGTATTCTTTTTCCAGCATTGCAACATTTCCCACCCAGACGCCATATTTTCCGAGCCCGGATTTTCTCGCATGGGGTATCGATGCAAAGTACAAACTCCCCCCATGCAGATGCATGCATGCTACGAATACCTAAAACGCCATAGTCCACATATCGTAATACAGAAACTGGGCCCTATATCCAAGGAACTCCATATCCTCCTTCTCTACTCGTGAAGTCGTACTCCCACGGATCAACATTCTGCGGAACCATCATATCCACACCGTTCACTAGAATCATATCAGGTACAGCGCAACCCGACTGTTGAGCGAAGTCGATTTCCCTGTATGGCAGAAGCTCAGCGACGTTCGGCGGGACGACATGATGCGAGAATGCCTGTCCCTGTTGCTGTTGGTTCAGGATGTCCGAAACGACGGGTGCGATATCCTTGAAGTCGTCCAGAATGCGCCTGGCTATGTGGGGGTAGGTGGAGAGGTCGTGTAATATTGAAAATGCTTCCCGGAAGCCTTCCCCGTAAATCGGTTGTCTATCTTGCAAGCCAAGGGGAGCCAGGTCCCGGACAAGAAGGGTAGACAGTGTAAGCAGGGGTCCGCCAAGTGAGACTGCCATGTGGAAACGGAACGAACTGGGGTGTTTCGCTTCTGGGCTGTGGGCTCGAATGCGCTGGATGACGTCGATGGCTAGATCTCCACAAAGGCGCCCGATCTCGCTGTCGTATTTGAGTGATAGCAAGGTCCGGCGCCAGAGTAGAAGGCGCAGCTGGTCGAGGAGAGTGTGCACAACGACATGCTGACGAAGCTGTCTGACGTCTGGTGGCTGGTCGGAAGGCAGGAGGGGAATCGTTGGCAAGACGACTTCCGTCCAATGTTTGATTCGGGTGTTGAGGACGGCCGCATTCTCTTCATTGACGCTTTGTTTTGCGACCGGCGCAGCCAACACATTATCCCAGATGTCGCCTGCTAAGCGGCCCCAACAGACCATACAGTTCAGGAACGTGTTGGAGGATCGTGAGACATCAGGCTCGGGTAATGGCTGGTCTGGATGCAGGTCCTGGGATTATGTCAGACGCGAAGGTCGGTATGAGGCTGGCTGTCTTACCCTATCATGCAAGTATGTAGGCTGTTCGACATCGATGTCCAATTCACGGATACTATAAGGCCGGCCGCAGCTCAGTGATATCCGTCGTTCGAGGAAATATACCGTCCAGAAGATGCGCTGACGCATGTGTATCTCGAACGGAGTATAATTGCGCCAGGATGACTGCTGATGCAGGTTGAACTGGAAGCATAGCCTACAAGCAATCCCAATCACGTTGTAAGCTGCGTTCGGTCTGTCCGCAGCTGCAAGATAAGAAGCCTGTGAGACTGTGAGCTAAAATTTGAGGGCAGTCTGAGAAGAACTTATACCTCCATAATCAATAATTGTATCAGACTTAAGTCGCCGCGGCCACTGAGCTTCCTCTTGCCGACTAGCTCGTCCGCTGTGTGGAACCATTGCCACCCTGGAGGCTTGCTGCCGACGCCCGATGGTGTTGTGTCTACCGCGATGTCTGAGCAGGCGAAGATGAGGTAATTCAATGCCAGGAAGCAGATGTCACTGGTATGAATCACTCTTGCGACAAGCATCTTGTCGCCCCGTATGCGAAATTCGGCCTCGTTGATGCAGGGGAGGAAAGGGCCGAGGTCGGCGAAGAAGAAGTCGAGGTACTTCTGATAGTCAACGGGACTGGGAAAGGCGAAATTCCGTGCGCCGACGCGGATTGTCAATGGAGAATCGGCACCGCTCGAGGGACTGACCCCGGAGATGGAATGCCGCATTCGTCCGGGAGAGTCGTGGCTGAAAGCGGGCTGACTGAGTTGGGCGAGGATTGGATTGAGTGTATCGCCAAGTCCTTGCAACATGGAGTCGCCTTGGATGCTGTCGCTGGCGGCTTCGTCGCGCTCCATGCTTCCTCTCGGGGTCATGGTCATGCCTCGCTCCTGTATCAGAGTCTCCATCATGCCCTCGATCCTAGCCATGCGTGCCTCCATGGAGAGACCGCCCAGCACGCTTGCATCACTTGCCCTCCGCTCGATGGTGCCTTCATGGCGCGGCAGTAGACTTCTCCGCGCGCCGAGGCTATTGCCGTTTGTGCTAAGTGTCGCGAGGGGGGGTTGTATGGGGTTGGGCCGGCTGAGGTTCTGCAGGGCTTCGGCGGCGGTTTGGTCTTCGGAGTAGAAGCAGCGCTTTCCGTTGTCGATGCATCGCTGGCATGGGTTCTCGCCAGAGCACTGCGCGTCTCGTCAGCATTTCACACGTACTGCACACTACGGGCGCCTGGTGGACGGGCTGCAGTTCTCGCAGCGGCAGCCCAAAAAGAGTAGACAGAGCTCTCTCCATCCCATCCTATTTTCCAGGCCGGCGGGATGCGCAACATAGACGGGCAACATGCGGTGGAGATGCTCGAGGGCGGCCTACCTTGAGCTTGGAGCGGCGGCACGACACGCTGGTTGTGTTGACGTTAGATCACGGAACGGTCGGAATGCGAGGCTCAGATTCGCCGGACGACTCACCAGGCCTTGGGCGCGTACTTGGCGCGCACCTTCTTGCGCTTTGGCGACGGCGGCGTGTCGTCCTCGGCGCGCGTGACGGGCGAATGCTGGTCGTCCATCTCTGTCGCGGCGTGGTGTGGTTGGGAGGAGAGAAGAATGCGCGGCGTGAGGGTGGAAGCTGCAGGGCCCAAGCTTCGGAACAACCTCGAACGTCGGGACGCAGACGAAGCCCGAAACACCACTCTGGCTTCTTCCAGCGAGCTAGTTTCCGATAGCCACAAGTGCGGCGGACCGTTCCACACGGAATCAGGGCGTGTAGTGTGTTGTGCAAGGCTCTGGGGAGGCCTGCGCTCTTGTCTGATGTTCCGCGGGTTACGAGGGAACCGAGCAGGGTTCGCGGATCATTCGATGGTGTTGCGGAAAGACAAGCCGCGACGGGGACGTGAGGGAGACCACGCCACGGAAGGTGACCGTTTCCATGATGTCATATCAAATCGAGCATCTGATTGATAGCTTTGTGTGGGCGCAGAACAGGAGGAGCCGTATACCTTTGCAGCTCGCGGTTAGGACCAGAGAGCAGGAACGCCTGGCGAGCTCCTTCCGTCGCGTGGCCCACAATTAGTTCGCGCTACGAAAACCTGACAGGGGTTTCGTCTGTAGTCTCCACCACACAGAGAGCAATTGAAGGCACCATCATTGCTGATACGGAGCCTTGTCCATTAACGTCACCGGATGCACCCACTTCTGGTGGTGTTAGCTGTCCTATGCCCTCAAGGAGTGATGCTTCAACAGCAATCTTGAATTCGGAATGATGCGTATGCACTCGGCCACGTTCCGATGCTTGGCCGCCTTATCGCGTGACATTGAGCCCACTTCGACGGCTCTATCTTGGTGGACTGGAGGGAACAGCCGTGCTTGGTACGCTCTTCTGAGTGACCGAAAGCACCGATCTTCTTATGCCATCCACTGTAGATGCAACGCGTCGAATGCTCACGGTTACTTCCACAGCCGACAAGCAGGAATCATCATGTAGCGTCCGTGAATGCAACCGGAAGCTAACGCGATCCCGAGTCAGAGTCGACTTCTGAGCCTCTTCAGTCCATAACAGCTGACTCTGCTCGTGGCGCACCAAGTCCATCGTGGTGGGTATGGCGGTGCAGAATGCCTTGTCATCGAACAAAAGGAACTGGACCAAAAATGCAGCGTTTGAATACTGATCATGGCTGAAACCAAGGACCCCTCTGACGCCAGAGGTGCGATAGTCGGCTGAAGTATTGACATCCGAAAACCAACAATGGTCTGGCCTATTACCCATTGCCATGTTGGGCAGCTCTCCGGGATTGTGGTGAGACAAAGCGGCGGCTAACTTGTTCAGACTATGTCTGTAGAGGTTTCCACGTACATTTGGGACCGTTTCAAGCTGGGCCATAGAATATGAGGACGCAAAGGCGCCAAACTTGGACTCCACGACCTCTTGCATGCTAATCCAGGACGAGAAGCGGCATCGTATTGATTCGCGCAAGTACCCCCTTTTTGCAATAAGGAGGTAGAGGGCAGTGTCTGTAGCAAGTGGATTATCCGGAAGTCTGGATGGCTCTGGGTGCACAGGTGGCTGAACAACATATATAGACCGGTATTCGAACCTTTGGCTCGATTTTCCAGAAAAGAAAGACAAGGCCTTCCCTGCACGGCGGATATAGCGTTCTGACGACAGACCTAGCCGATTCAGAACGATACACAGCATGACTACTTCCTGCGCCTTTGAGGAGACCAGGGTCAAGCACGCATAAAATTCGCCTGGTCTGCGCTCGAGCATTGGCAAACAGATTCGGAGCCCACGGCTTGTCATGGAGGGGGGTTCATGGTGTTCAGGCGGAGGTAATAACCAAGAACAATCCATTGTTAGGTCCCGATATTTCCATGAGTGCATGGAAGTGGATTTGGAGAGACCGCGGGCGGACCATCCATTTTGGGGCTCGACAAAATCTGTTGGGGAATTGGCAAGAAGCCCTCCCGATACGTGTGGATCTGAAAAGCCAGTGCCGACCTGTGGGGACCAGGCGAATAGAGTATAATCCTCCTGGGCTCGCATTATCTCTTCCTGCAACCGCGTGAAAGCTCGTTCGCCTTCCCCATACAGAAGGGGCATGTTCACGGCGAACAGACCCATTAGAGAGTATGCGCGGTCTTCAACACGCGTGGTCTCCCTCCCGGCAGCCCATGACATTCTCACGGCCGCATTGCGTTGGAGAAGACTTGTGCCACGAAGAATCCCTTCATCAATGCCTGTGATCTCGGTGATTTGTTCATGGAGGCTGAGTTTCGTGCCAATCTCGATCCAATTTGCGTCATAAAACTCTACAACGGCAGGTGCTAGGAGCTCTTGTAATGTCCACCCTCGCGTCCACCATCGACTCTGGGCAAAGGTTCTGCAGCCATATTTTTCTGACTGAGCAATGCTTTCGAAGTCGGCGAGGTAGGCATAGCAAATTCGCGAATGCTTATACCATTGGTACATCGAGTTGATGGCTTCCGATAGCTCTGCCGAACTCGTCTTGTCGATGCAGCAGGTATCAAGCCAGCAATATGTGAATCCATCGGAAGCCGCTCTCTCGCAGCACTTGACGAGCTTCATATAGCCCTTCTTTTTCCATGCCCTGCCGGACTCCACGTCTTGGAAGGTAACCTCCTCTTCTTCCCATGTATGCGATAGAATAACATATTCAGGAATCTGCGCTTGGAATTCCTCAACCCGCAGAGTGGAAGTATTGAGAAGGCGCATCGTTCGGCATGCGCATCATTGTTGCCTGACAGGACCGCGAAGCGGGTTAGAATGAGCACAGCCGCAAGACTGTCGATAAAGTCTCCAACAATGCAGAAAGAGCCTCGTAAGTGAATAGAGCGTGATACTTCGCCGATGAGGAGAGAAGGAGGTGGGAGGAAAGAGTTATGCGGCTGAACGAAGGTAAGACGCGAGACATCGGGAAGGAACGGGGGAGAAGCCGATCTATTCCTCTGTAGGACTAGCGTACTACTTTGACCAATGACAGCAGGCTTCTCTTATCAGACCTTACACAACCATCGCGCTCTTCAACCAAGACGATATCACACAATATAGTTCATCCAGCTCCGCTCGCACCTACAACGCTCTCTCTCGCCAGCTGGGTTGCTATTTGCAGGGTTGCACGACACCCGGCCCGGACACCGCCACGAGGCACAGCGTCGTCTTCAGACCTCACATGACGAACGGGATTGTGACCCTCCAGCCTCAACCTTAGATCTAGGTAATGGCGTGTTTTTACGTAACCCACGGATTATAATAATAATAGAACCAGCACTCTTTTTGACTCCTCCATCACAACCCATGGCTTCAACACAACCTCCTTCCTCTCCACAGCCCCGGATCACCCCGCGCATCATCATCCATGGCGGGGCCGGCAACATAACAAGACAAACCGTATCGCGAGCGAGATATAATGAGTACCAGACGTCCCTGAGGCAAATTCTAGCAGCTTCCGCTGAGGTTCTGAACCGGCCCGGAGCCACCGCGCTCGATGTCGCCACGTATGCTGTATCGTTGCTGGAGGACGACCCGCTCTACAACTCCGGCAAAGGCGCGGTGTTTACTCGAGAAGGCAAGAACGAGCTGGAGTGCAGCATCATGGTATCGAACGGATACCGGAAACGTGGCGTCGGATGCATGATGCTACGGCATGTGAAGAATCCTATCAAGCTGGCGAGAGAGCTGCTCATCAGGGGTGAATCAGAAGATGGCGAAGCAAAGGATCATTGCCAGTATGCTGGCGCGTATGTGGAAAGTCTAGCGAAGAAGTGGGGACTGGACATGGTGGACCCGTGCTACTTCTTTACCAAGCGGAAATGGAACGAACACTTGAAAGGGCTGAAAGAGGAGGAAAGGCAGAAAGAGAAGGAGAGGAAGCTGAAGAGGATGATGCCTGAGATGAGTGACTGGGAAAAGACGAACTACATTCCTCGTGGAACTTGCGGAGCCGTCGTGCTGGACAGCTTCGGAACAATCTGCGTAGCAACATCAACAGGCGGCCTAACGAACAAGTGCCCAGGCAGGATTGGCGATACGCCTACCATGGGCGCTGGCTACTGGGCCGAGGAATGGTACGAAGATCCACCCGCGCCCAAACACCAAATGTTGTACCAACCAGCTCCCATTTCTCCTCTCGACAGGTTTTCTCGAGGAGACCTTCGCAGCTTAGTCGGCGACTGCGTGCGCTCCATCGGCCTACCAACCCCGACACCTTCAAGCACCTCTTCGATGGACATGGATGAGAAGCCTTCCCGAGTCCGCCACGCAGTGGGCATGTCGGGTTCCGGAAATGGTGACACCTTCATCCGCCTAGCAGCTGCCAGCACCACCGCCGCCAAGTCACGCTTCACTCCCATGTCGCTCACCGATGCCGTGGCTTGGATGACGGGTCCAGGCGGCGAACTGCAAAGGTCCGCTGGCGACCGCTGGGGCCGCTTCCATGAAGGAGTCGGCGGCATGATCGGAATCGAGCTCGTAGGCAACAAAGCAACGGTTATCTGCGACTACAATTGCGGCGGCTTCTTCCGCGCGTGGACAGAGGAGGATGGGGAGCAGCGGTGTCTAATCTTCAGAGAGGACCGGTATGAGAGCGGGCCGGAGGGATGGTTTAGCGACCAAGGAATGACGGCTATGTCTAATATTTTCAGTGCTTAGATGTGTGAAGGGGTCTGGTTTTCCGTTACTGCACGGCGAGGGCGTAAGCATAGAGCTAGGGCGGTGACCCTCGTTTAGCGCTGGAGTGAAAGGGATAGACGCATTAGAGCTTAATACTAATAATTCGCGCTGCCTCACGTCTGCCACTTGCTTCCGGCACGGCGCTACCCCACATCATCCACCAACGGACAAGGTCCGCCAGCGAGAAGCCAACATGGCCACTCCGACCGCGGTCACCAAGTATACCGGTCTCGCCAAAAGCGTCCTACTACAGTGCGTTTAGCACGTCGACATCACCTGCCTCAGTAAACAATGACTGACACACCCTAGTCTTACAAATAGTCCTCAAACCATCACAATTCAATGCCCATCCGCGCAATGGATTCTTCCTCACGCCCTTCTCGCCCAGCACGCCGACACATTCAGCAAAGTCCACGACGACATATGCCTCTCCGACATCTTCAGCGCTGACATTGCCACCGAGAACGCTTTCGAGCTCTTCATCGAATTCGTCCTCACTGGTAACTGGCGCGACCGCGGCCTCGCCGTGAACTGGCAGTCTCCCACTCTCGAGCTCGACGAGACCCTTCACGAAGATCAGCACGACCGCGACTGGAGAGTCAAAGCCTCCATCTGCGCCGCCAAGCTCGCCGTCGCGCTCAAAGCACGTCGCTTCCACGACCACGCCATGACGCAGGTGTACAATTACTTCTACCGCAACCGAAATCTGCTCCCTCCGGACATAGCCGACTTCGCTTGCAGCGTTGCTGGCTCGCCGCTACAGTCGTTTGTGTTTGATCTGGTTGTTGGGCATTGGGATAAAGATTCGGGGATCGTGGATAAGGAGGATGAGGGGTGGGAGGAATTCTTCGGGAAGTATGAGGGTCTGAAGGGTATGCTGGAGATGGGCCAAAGTAAGAATGGGTCGCTGAGAGTGAGGTGGTATATGCTGGGGGAGCCTGGTGAGAATGAGTTCTGAGCTTAGGAGGAGTCAAGCCAAAGATGCCTATCCCGAGACCCGAAGGTAGTTGCACTCCTCGCGTTAGCATAGCATAGCACCTTCCATCAAGCCCGGGTATGTCCCTGGATGATAGCCATTCTGCCTCTGAAGGTCGCAATGCGGCCTTTTCTTTTGCTGCGTTTGCCTACCGGTACGCTCCAATCTTTTATAAGTAGATTAGGCAGAATTAGATGGCTTCTGGTTAGGGCGCTCCTTCTCATCCTAAGGGCCTTCAGTCTGGACTTTACCTTCCCCGCTTCAGGAAGCCGAACCCTATTTCGCGACGAGTGTGCCCAGGTGTCAACCCAGTTGTTGTTACCTGGTATGGCCTGACTAAGCATCTACCAGCAGTCCAGCCCCGCTTAATGCAGGGAGTAGAGACTTCTTGAAGGACGTCGACAAGAAGAGGACGGTCTCCGGGCTCCACGTTGCATAAATGCCAACGCATCTGAGCAGCCCGAGCCTTCACCGAGCAGCGATGGCACCAAGCTGAAATGATTAAGCAACAAGGAAAGCTGACTTGGCAGATGAGGCGATGCAGCTCTGGTCGTGAAAGGCTTCAGAGGGTGTGATGCACTATGAGTTGCGGGGAAGACGGAGGCGAATGGATATGGTCGGGACGAGATGGAGAATATCTGCGGCGTCCAAGAGAAGGGTAGCGTGGTGACGTGAAAGTCGCGCACGCGCCCTCGTGTCCGTTGCCGAGCGCTCAGCCACAGACCCACCGCGTCATCCTCGTTTCGTTTCTTAGAAGGCTGCCTCCGTTTCTGCCGACCCCTCTAGGGCTCCATCATCTGCAGCCGCCGCACCTATCTCTCGCGACACTCTTTCACTACCCGGTGGTTACGAAGCGCTCCAAATGCCTTTCTCGATCAACAACCCCCTGCCCTCCTCCATGAGGAGTAAGTCTCAGCCGAGCCTCAAAAATCGTAGCATGACGTCGCTAACAGCTGAACAGGCGAGTGCAGGAAGGCGGGCAAGATTCTAGCATCCTTCGTAGACCCGCGACAAGCGTTCGGACCTGATAAGATCATCCCGCCGGCGGTTCTTGCCAATGCGAAGGTGCGTCTCAAACCCGGTTGGCCCGCGTTTCGTTTCTGTTGATGCCCAAGGTTAGATTGCTAACGGACTGAGACATATAGGGCCTCGCCATTCTTACCGTTTTCAAAGCCGGATTCCTCGGTACTGCGCGTTTCGGATCAGGCGTCGTCGTTGCTCGTCTCGCAGACGGTACGTGGTCTGCGCCCTCAGCTATCGGCATCCTTGGCGGCGGCTTCGGCGGACAGATCGGGTTTGAGCTCACAGACTTCGTCTTCATACTGAACGACGCGAATGCGGTCAAGACGTTCGCTCAGGCTGGGTCTCTCACGTTCGGGGGCAATGTGTCGATTGCGGCGGGACCGGTCGGGCGAAACGCGGAAGCCGCCGGAGCAGCGAGCTTGAGGAGCGTGGCCGGCATATTCAGCTACAGCAAGACGAAGGGGCTGTTTGCGGGTGTCAGTCTGGAAGGCAGTGGCATGATTGAGCGGAGAGACGCCAACGAGAAGCTTTACGGCAGAAGGTGGACAGCGAGAGAACTGCTAAGCGGACAGGTGGCCTCGCCGCCTGCCGCCGAGCCGCTGATGCGCGTGTTGAACTCGAGAGTATTCGCGGGCGTCGCTGGAAACGTGAACAGTGACCAGATGTACAACGATATTCCCGTGTACGACGACCGGCACGAAGATGTGGTCTGGCAGGGACGCAGGGGCTCGGCATACGGAGAAGGCGTGAGGACAAACCGTACGGGGTCTATGGGCGCTGCGGATGATCCCTATGAGTACCGCGACAGACCAACCCGGGCCAGTACCTGGGCGGACGATGTTTACGACCGTCAACCGACGTCAGCAGGCGGCATTAACCGCTCATTCTCAACCCGCGCCAATCCCAACGAGACTTTCGACCAACTAGATGGGCGCTCTCGGAGTGGCTCCGGATTTGATGACGACTACAGTTATAGCGATAAACCCAGGCCTGGTAGGCCTAGCGCTCCAAAGCCGGTGTTCAAGAAGCAGTCCATGGGTCCTGGTCAGGCAATTGCAAAGTTCACCTTTGATCCAGATCAGCCCGGCGACTTAGGCTTCAAGAAGGGCGAGATTATCACGATCATCAAGAAGACAGACGAGACCGATTGGTGGACAGGGAGGATAGGAGATCGGGAGGGCATCTTCCCGAGGTATGTTGACCTTTTTGGCTGATTTACCTGGCAGCGTGCTGACAGTTATAGCAACTACGTAGAGACAGTCGAGTAGACTCGACATTTCGAACCCAAGTCATATCGCCCACGATCTTTTCCGTACATGCCCTGCCTACCCTATTGGATGATACCTTTTTCTCACCTTCATATATACACTGTCAGCCAAAATTCTGCGACTCAACCGTGTTTTGCTCCACAATCCCACGACTCGAATCAAACTGCGTCTCATCGCGCTTGGATGCTTCTTTCAGAGCATAGCAAGGCGTCTAGGATATCCTGGCTTATTCGCGTCTTGGTCTGCTTTGGAGTACGAAAGAGGATGGCATTACCTAGATAGCTTAACTATGGGATACCTTTGATTTACTTCATCCACCACCGGCATTGAAACCTGAGGCTGCAATGACAGCGTGACAGCTTAACTCCATCTTATATCCGAACCATCGACCCCGCATCTGCCAGAATTCCATTGCGTTAAAGTACGGGTATCTGGTTTGCATATACTATATTCCGAACATCGGAGGATGCTCGCAGTATCCGAGAACCCACGGAAATGGTAGCCGGGGTACTGATAGGGAAGGTCGATAGGGCCAGCTGCATTCCCCCACTTACTATCAAGCCTCCGGTTACCCAAACGCCACCATTGGGCACGCCCCATTGCGTCTGTGCATAATAAATAGTGAGTCAAGCTCCCTACATCATCCTTCCAATCTTCCTCTCCAATACAGAAGCAACAATGTCTAAGTCGTGGGAGCAACGCGCGCAAGAGAAACGCGAGGCGATCCTCGCAGCTATTCCGCAGGAATGGCGCATCGAGAATCCTCCGCTAGTGGAAGAGCAGGTCGATGTCACGGGGAAATTCGTGCAGCAGTTTCTGAGCGAGAGGGAGGTCGAGATTACGGAGACGACGGCGGATGAGATCGTCAAGCGCACTGTGTCAGGGCGATGGAGCGCGGAGGAGGTCACGAGGGCTTTTTGCCATCGTGCTGCGATTGCTCACCAACTAGTAAGGATTCTACTACATCCACCCAGCTCGCAAAAGGGTTCCTAACACACACAAAGCTCAACTGCCTGCACGAGATCTTCTTCGACGCAGCCATCGCTTCCGCGCAAGCCCTCGACGCGTACTACGCCGCGCACAAGAAGCCCATCGGCCCGCTGCACGGCCTGCCCGTCAGCCTCAAAGACCAGTTCCACGTCAAGGACGCGGAGACGACGATGGGCTATGTGGGCTGGATCGGCACGTTTGAGGGGAAGACGGGGACGGGGAAGGAAAAGAGCTTCGAGAGCGAGATGGTGCGGGAGCTGAGGGCTTCAGGGGCGGTCCTGTATTGTAAGACGAGTGTCCCGCATACGCTCATGAGTGGGGAGACGGTGAATAATATCATTGGGTATACGTTGAATCCGAAGAATAGGAGGCTGGCTGCTGGCGGGTCGAGTGGCGGCGAGGGCGCGTTGATTGGGATTAGAGGGTGTATGTCTTTCTTCGCCGTGTGTGTTTCTGGATTTGGGAGACGAGACACTGACGAAAAGCAGCGCCCCTGGGCTTTGGAACAGACATTGGCGGCTCGATCCGTATCCCAGCCGCATTCAACGGGCTCTACGGCATCCGCCCCTCCACGGGCCGCATGCCCTACGAAGGCATGGCCAACTCCATGGACGGCCAGAACAGCATCCTCTCTGTTGTCGGACCGCTCGCCACCAGCGTCCCCTCCCTGCGCCTCGTCATCAAAGCCCTGCTCGCCCAGAAGCCCTGGCTCCACGACCCGCTCGTGCACGAGCTCCCCTGGCGCTTTGACAAAGAACGAGAAATCTTGGAACTCCTCGGTGCAAGCGGCGACGCCAGCAAAGCCGGGAAACTCTCTTTCGGCATCCTCCGAACAGACGGCATCGTGAACCCTCTCCCGCCGATCCGCCGAGCCATGGACATCGTGGTCCAAGCGCTCGAAGGCCTAGGCCATGAGGTCATAGACTGGAAACCCCCCTCGCACAAAACCCTCCTGGACGAAGCATTCAAAACCTGGGTTTTCGACGCAGGGACCGATGTGAAATCCGCATTCTCGCTCTCCGGCGAGCCCATGTCCGACCAAATATCCTTCTACGCGTCGCTGGCGAAGGAATACTCCGCGAGCGAAGTCGCCGCAACGAACGTGCGCCTGCGCCAGCTCAAGAAGGAGTACATGGAGTACTGGAACAGCACCGAGCAGGTAACGAGTACGGGAAGGCCGGTGGATGCGGTGATCTGTCCGCTGGCGCCGTTCCCGGCGGCGAGACCGAAGATGTACACGTATTATGGGTACTCGACGTTTGTGAATGCGCTGGATTATACGAGTGTGGTGGTGCCGGTTACGAATGTGGAGAAGGCGGTGGATCGGGTGGATGAGGGATATAGACCGATTGATGGGCTGGATAAGGGGGTTTATGAGAGCTGTGAGTGTTCAATTTTCTTAATGTCAGAGCCGTGATGTATTGGTGATGGTACTGTTGCTAGCGCGTACGTTGCTAGCGCGTACGTTGCTAGCGCGGATGGTTTTTGATAGAGGAGTCGTCAGCGCTGTTAAGGATGCTATATCGTCGCCAACGTGGTAGCTGATGATACTTTACAGATGATCCCGAAATCTACGACGGTGCACATGTCAGTTTGCAGTTGGTGGGGCGGAGATTGCAGGAGGAGAAGATGCTAGCCATTGCCGAATATGTTGGGAAGGCTATAGGAAAGTGAGTGGAGCTTAGTTGTATTCCTCCTCCTACTACTACTCATATATGCCTCCTCGCATTTTACTAGGAGCGAGGTCATCTCGTCCTAGCGGTCGTGGATGATCCATACAATAACAGCATGTGTACCAAAATGTGCCTAAATTCGCTGCTCCGGGAATCGTCCTCCGCCATTCTATTCAAGGTCCATCCAATTCGATGAGTATTGAGACTGAAATGCCGCTCTTTCTATCGCTCTATCGTATCAAACTGTGGCACTCCGCTCTACAAATCCTTCGCCATTACATACCCTTTTATCTGTGCCAGTGCTCTTGGAAGGTCGTCGTCTTTTTACCCGCGCGCCTTTTACCACATCTAGTCTTTGCCCAGAACCTCAGCCTTGAACCTGCCCTTCATTCCTGACTGCCTCAGGACATCCCCCAAACCGCACTTCTGTGCATCATTCAATGAATCGGGGTAATTGATTAACAGTGACACCCAGAGGTTTCCCCTTGACGTTGGACGGCTCTGTAGCGGTAAACCATGGCCCCAAACGATCTCGGTCCGATCAATTTGCGTTGGCCCGGGACATGAGAATCGGAACTTCGAACCATCAAGGCCAACGAGATTGCGCTCCCAGCCACAGAGCGCTTCACACAATGTTATTTGCAGAGCGTGTCGAAGATTGAAACAGAACTTATTGTCAGGCCATGCTATTCTCTCGAACAAAGCGTGAGGTTTCTAACAATGGTAAGTCATAAGCATCTACGTCAGCGTCATCCTGATGAATGGACTGACCTCTTCCACGATGAAGATTACGTCCTGCGAGCAGAATCCGTTTCCGTTGCCCCATCCTCTCTGGTGAATTCGGCTCTTATTTCCTTGTCCTGCCTCAATCCAGACTGCTTTGACCGTCCCCTCGACGAAGCACGTCCCGTCAGACTCATTATACGCCAGTCTTTTGATCTTAACTCTCTTCATCGCGCCGTTGAAAATCTCTTCAAGTGTGACAGGAAGGGGTATCTCCAATTCAGATTTCCCCTCTCTAGGGATCCACTGATATGGCAGTTGCCGGCCTAAGGTAGAAATGGACCAGGATTTCCGTTGAACTGCGGCGCTGCTATTTGAGTTCGGATCAGGCATTATGTGCTCGGGTAGGGAGTGGAGGGTTAAGTCCACTTCGAAGTCAGCATTCAGCTCTTCTGTGTCGCTTAATAATTCCTCGTTCGAGCTGATCACGGAGTCGGTTTTCTGAATCTTGAATTCCCTGGGCTGTTTCTGAGCGGTGATTGGGATTTCTGCTTCGCTCGCATGGCTGGATACAGATTGCTCGGCATCAGTAGGACTACTCGACTTGTAGCCGGTTTCATGATAAGCGCGTTCTTCTGAAGCCTCTAAAGGACGTAAGTCGGAAGCATTCGTTGCCGCTTTTGGGGCCTTGTTAGCTGTTTTGCGCCTCGGCTGGAAGCTCAGGTCTGGCACCACTGAGCTCTCCCCATCTTCGTCATTCTCTTCTTGCTCGGCTATGCCATTTAAAACGCTGGTGAACTCGCCGTTGACGCGGAGTCGCTCAAGCCACGCTGAGATCTCCTCGCGGTTGACCTCCACATCTGTCTCTGTGATGTTGTCGTCGACTAACTCCTGCTTTATCCAATCGTCCATATCTGTAAGCACAGACGGATCTCTTTTGCCAGCTCGAACAGCTTGATGTACGGAATCTAGCTTCTGTAGTATCTCCTCGAGCGAGTGTGCTTGTATCTCGGCACGGCTTTCGATCCTTCCCAATGAAACAGTATGGAGTCCGTTCAGGAAGCGTTGGAGGCGATCATTATGGGTCGCGATCTTGTTTCGGATATCCGCTTGTTTGCTCGCCCGAAATGCGAGCTTATCGCGAGCCCGGGGATTGGACCTTTTCAGCGACTTGTACTTAGCGAGCAACTTTTCCAACTCTCGAAGATCAGCACGACAGCTCCGTAGTAAACTTCCCAGTTCGTCTCTCTGTCTGGCGTCCGATCGATGTATGAGGGAGTTCCGATTCTCTATCTCCTCGTCCAGGGTGCGAAGGTGTGACCGCAGCAACTTCACTAAGACGGTTTGTCAGTTTCGGCCGCCGCCCGTAGCGAATCTACGTGTGTACTTACCATCAATCGTGATGCCCTTGAAGTCCTCCCCTGCATGCTTACTGACCTTGTACACGTCCCATGCATATTTGCTGACTAGGATGATATCTCCAGCGGAGAAGCCGAAGTTGGCCATCGGGAACGGCGACTGCACCGACTCCAGAAGACCTGTGGGAGAAGAAGGAAAGCAGAAGGAAGAGAACAGAAGGAAACATGACCGTAACCAGGCTTAAGAAGGCTGACCGGTGAGGTGAACAATTGCAAGGCTGAATCTCCATGGCGGGGTTGAGAGCTCAGCCAATGCGCCTGCCATGCAGGCAGATTACGCACCTCATGTAAGGAAAGAACATCAACTCCATCAACCCAGCCTTGGAAGGCGCGAGGGAGGCATCGCAGAGCAGCAGTGCCCGGGTGGATTGAACGAAATCATACATAAAAGAGCAAGGTCTGTGAAATCCTCTCCGTCTCTGAGTCCCAAAGGTTCCTGGGCTGGTGGTCCTTGCATCTTCGAAGCTCTTGCCCGGTAGAACAGTGCGATGTATCTGCAATGTACTTCCTCGCTATTCCGGCTCTTGCGAACCTCTCGTTCTTTGGGACACTTGGCTGGATGCTAACGACGGTTCAGACGTTGTCTTTCTGCCCTGCTCAGTTCTCCACACCTGCAAGGTGGAGAGTACGCTAGCCCAATTCGGAAGAGTGGGTCTCAACAAGGGAGAGCCCGAGCAACGGTCACCGAACTCCCGCTGCAACTCTAAATCGACCTGGGAATGACCTCATCCATGAAAAATGAGGCGGATCATGGAAAATGGAGATCAGAAGGGAATACGTCTGGCTTGCGATGGCACGACTCGGAACCAGTCGCGGGTGCCACTCTGACAATGCAGCGTCCTCGTGACATCGAAAATGCGGAAATCAAATACTGAGTTGAGAACGTTGAAGAAATACCGAAAGCATAGCGTACCACAGAGCTCCAGCTAATGACGAGAAAAGTCGCTTGCTTCTCCGACAATTGTCCCTGGTTCCATAAGCTCCCTCGAACATCGTGCATCGTGCGCATGGAAAGTCTCAGCCATCCAACCCCTTCCAAAAACGTAACGTACCTCAAGACTAGTCGCATGACCAATATTCCACATGCCACGTTTCCCTCATGCTGTCGACATCCGCTCAATAGTCTTGTATAACCCATCTTCGCTTTCCCGTCGCACAACAAAGATACCACCGACTTCGCTGCTCCTCAGCTCCTTACAAGCACGAGAAGACCGCACGACATCAAGAAGCGACGGACAACCATTACTACCAGCGCGCTTATTAACACCTCCAGATAAGACGCCTCTCCGACGCAAGGAACCGCATCGACGAGACGAACTCCTGCACCCCAGGTTCCGCCAGCACCACGTGCATACAGATCTGAAACTCCAGATCCCAAGCGTTAAGCTTAACTTTTGGGCCAACTCCGCGCGCCACCCCGCGCTCAATCCGACGAACTGAAACACGATCTCATCTCACGTCAACTCACGCTCTGTTTCCAAAAAAAATCGCCTCGGGGGAACCATTCATCGCGAACGTCTCCCGACGGCGTTGTTGCTCGGTGACCACACAAGGCAATCCTTCAGCCTTCGGGATCTTGCATCCCCAGCCCCCCCTCCCCTTTTCCCTTCTCGCCCAGTCCCGGGGGAGTCTCCCAACAACAGCAATAGCAATAGCAGCCTCGCGATATTAATCTCCGCGCTATAGAACCCCGAAATGCGTATTGTACCAGGCCTCCCCCGCCAACCAACCAACCAGATTCCTCCCACCGCGCAATCTCGCTTATGTAAAGTGCCTTTCCATTGCACATTGCACGCGACGACCTGCCCTCCCAACCTCAGTTAGGTACGCGAGGGCACGGGGAGCAGGTCGTCGCACGAAATTTCTTTCCTCTGCCAACAATCAAGGCGGAAGCAAACGGCGGGAAGTGGTTGTTGGTTCCCGACCCGAGACCGGCAGGGAAATAGCGACGGCGACTTCGCCGCCGCAGGATTCGGCACAGCATATTTTGCTGTTGAGTGAGCGGGAAAGCCGATTCCCGGCTTGGTCCGTCTGCTGTGATGAGGCGAGGAGGAAAAATTGGTAGAGCGCTTGGGGTTAGGAATATTGGATTGCGGTGTACCGCTGTGGATCGTCATTAAACGGGAGCAATCCAACCAGACGACTACGACTCAGTGTGCCATTTGCAGTGTAACCGGTAACCTCATCAGTGCGCGCTCCTTTTGCGCGGCGCACACAAACCATGGTACGGTGCAGAGCACAGGACACGAAAACAGGTTTTGGCTTGCAATACAGCTTCAGTTATTGCTATCTTCTCTCTCACAGGCTGAATACGGAGAGAGCCAGGCCTCATAAACCAGAAACGTCCTTGTCGCACCGCTACCACAGAATGAACCATCTCGAGAAAGTCTCCCAAGCCTGATGATGAACAATAGCAGTGCTTGCTGGTCTATAACGCTCTTATTCCGTTCGCCATGCTTAGCTTCCAAACTGCTTAATCCCTCCAACCTAAACCATAGAACAGAAAGCAAAGGGGTAATGCAGAAAAAGGGGGTATCTCCAAACTCCAGCTCCACCAGAGAAGACGTTGTAGAAACAGAAGATCGGGAAGGGGATGGATATGCCAATTGAAGCAACGCAGACAACAAAACCAACCGAACAAGTTCGGTATGTGTGCGCATGTAGCAGGTGTGTGTTTGCTAAGCAAGCAGCGACGAGTCCCAGTCGCGCGCCGACCGAATCGTGTGTCCAACAACAAAAATGTTTTGAGGGGGTGTGGTTTAGAAATTAGAGTACCTGACACAGGTATACAAAACGGGGTAGACTCGGCAACAAAAGGAATGTGGATATAGCTCCCCGGGCTCGGACCTCATCAATCGTAAGAATCTTCGCAAACGATTACAAGGCAGTATCCGGATACTAAGGGGTGGGAATGTACGGAGTCGAAGGGGACAAAGTGCTAATGCAAAGAAGAAAGGAATGAATGTACCGAATGTACCGAATGAAGGCGTAAAAGTGGGTGAATGGCATCCTCATGACACGTAAACTTTGGGGTCCTGGTGCGCTCAATGCTAGGCCAGGCGCTTCCTAGAGTATGCACAAGCGCGCGGAATCATAGACAAGCACCAGTCGATGATGCTAGAAGCGGAAGGGATTCGCAGAGAGAACAAGGCCGCCTCAGGACGGTCAGAGGGCCAAGTAGCCGATGCCGGCGGCGAGCACGGCGACGAGCGCGCTGTTGATGCTCATCTGCGATGCGGCGCCGGGGAACTCGGTGGCAGAGGGCGCGGGAGAGGAGGGCGCCATGGTGCCGGTCGGGTAAGGAGCAGTGCTATTGCCAGCGGAGTAGACTGGCGCGGTCGGGACAGAAGCGTGGATGGTAGTCGTAGAGTTTGCGACGCTGCCGGTGGGATAGCCAGACATGGTGACGGTGTTCACCCTGTAGATGGTCGAAGTGACGTAGACAGTGGCATCGTATGAGACGGTGTCCTGGGCGAAAGCGAAAGCCACAAGGGCGAAGAGGAAGACGACGACCTGCTGGAAGGAGCGCATCTTGCTGGAGGTGTGCGAAGTTCGGTGGGGTTGCCCAGAGCTGACGAGGGGTCGGAATGCGACTGTTTCTCAAAGCGCGGAATTGTCTAGCGACGACGAAGTCGGGTGGCTTATCGAAGTGAACGTGTCTGAGGCTGCGACAGGCGAGCGATTGTCTTGGAGCGGTGGTGACGTTGGTGTTGCGATGTCTGAGCGAGCGACGGGCGGGACGCGATGTTGCTATGCAGCAGTGTTTGTTGGGGTTGACAGAGAGTGAATGGAAGTGCAATGAGCGGATGCGCGAGGCACTGCCTGGGAGCGAGCTGGTAGTTGTAAAGGAGTGACTGGGTTGGACTTGTTGGAAACAACGGCGGGTTGGCTGGGGCTGGACGGGCGTTTGGGGGAGCAATGGGGCACACGAGCCTTATATGAGGCGTAATCTCCCATGCGCAATTTCCCGGCGCTGCTAGGTGCTGGGGTCGTGGCATGGCGCTAACCACCGCGCTGGGCGGGCTCTCGGGTACCTGGCAGGGCGCAGAGATTGCCTCCGCCGCGCGCGCAGTAGTCGATCGCTGACGCTGAAATCTCCGGCTGACAGCATCAACTCCAACGGTTGCTATCGTGACCTGCGCCGTCCGCGACACGCACGGGACCATCTGTTTGTTCCCCAGATCCCACTTTTCCTCGCCGCTGCTCCGCGACTGTGCTCGGCACGCTGAAACGGCGCCAGCAAATCACTCGCGCGGTGCGCCGTCGGCCCAGCACCCATGCCCGGCGAGTGTGACGGGCGACTCGGGCAAGATGCCTCAGGCCCTCTTTAGACGTGGCAGGCTCAGAAACCTCTTCTGTCGCGGCGGGGCACAGCGGCGCACACTGCCCAATCGACTCCGCGCGAGAGGAAAACCCTGACAACGTGTTCGCGCAAGAAAGCGCGCACTGTCGCAACACCTTGGCGTCTGACGGCTGCCTCAGCCACTCGCGGCCCTCTAAACTTGGTGCTCTACCGTCTATTCTTTCCAGCTCCTTTGCGCCGCAATAATCAGCAGGGTGCGAACGTATTCTTCGTGACAAATGGAAACTTGGAAGAGGATTGCTTGAAATTTGGTGCTTGAAGAGGAAGAAATTACCATTACGCCGGCCTGGCCTGCTGTGGTGATTGGCTATAGCCCACCCCTGGCCCTATTATTGCGACCCCCAACCCGCCGTCCAGTAAATGCACCGTGATGGAATTGGCCCAATTGCCAACATCCTCTCTGCCCAGAAAATGCGGTGGCCGTTGAATATCGTACAGTGTAAAAGGCGAGTGCCGCGTTGAGCTGGCCCTGCATACCGTCGCAACCAGTGCCCCCAACCGCATGCAGCCCAGTCGCCTAGCTCTTCAACTTAATCGCAAATACACCCCGTCGACCCCAACGCCTATAGGAGGCATCGCGAGCACCGAGGACAAGCTCTCGTCATATCGGTTGGGACGGCTCGCTTCGTTCAGTCAAGCTTCTTCGACACGTGTCAGACGTCCATCAGTCGCCTTCGACCACCTCGCTGCTCTCCCACAGCCGCCGACAGATTTCTTCTGCCTCGTTGCGGATTCTGCCGTTGTCACTCTCGAAACTTTGCCTGCCTTCAAGGTCGCCATCGTCGCGACTGCGCCGCCCGTTCTCAAAGCTGACTCGCGACCGCCGAGTGCCTGAGCCGTCCGTTTCATCGTTGAAACTTGTGCTCAGGCTGCTGCCGCCGTGCACGGTAACGAAGCCATTGGTACCCGCCGACCTCGGCACGCGAGTCTTGCGGGGAGTTCCAGGAATCTGCTCAATTCGTACGATTGCATCTGCGAGGGGATTGCGATACCGTCGCACAACGTCGTATTCGACCGCAACGTGATTGAACTGGTGCTGGAGGCGAGGATCGAGGCGTCCTTCATTATCTCCAGTGTACGTCATCCCCGAGTGGAGAAAGGTGGGACCACCGGTCCGAGGGAGAATAACGGGGACCAGCTTCTGGGGTTCAATGTTTGAAGAGGCTCGCTGAAGCAGTAGCTTCTGCTGTGTCCTCGATGGCGGCAGGTCAGTCGGTGTGCTCGTCCCCGACCGGCGAGATTGCGCTTTCGTAGGTGTGTCTTGACCTGCGACGTTTGGCATAGATTTGTTCCTCTTCGTCTTGTCAAGCTCGCTTCCTGCAGCCTGCGGGGAATTGCGCGAGGGCAAGAAGCTACTGTTGTTCGGTGTCCCAGCTGAGCCGTCTCCGTCCATGAACCGCGACACCAAGTCCCTTCCAGGCGTATCGACCAAGGTCGAGCCTGCGCTCTGGCTCAGCTCGCGCGCATCCTGGTGGTTCGATACCACCGCCGCCGTGATTGAGGACATCTGTGGAGGAGGGTTGTGGTGCGAGCTGCGCTGGAGCAGCCGCGATGTGATCATGTCGGCGTCGGGCGGACGTGAATGGTGGTGGGAGTTGCCGCCGTTCGTCTGGCGTGGATCGCGCGTGCGGTCGGGTAGTATATGAGTGGCGCCACTTGAAAGCGGATGGATCTCGGGGTTGTCTGCCTCTGTCCGTGAACGTTCTCCCGTGTTGCCCTCGGCTCCTCCCGTCATCTTCTGTGGATCTAGTATTACCGAGTTCGAGCGTGTGTTCGACCGCGTCGTGGTGGGTGATTGTGAAGCGCTCTCTTCGGTCCAGCCGTCGTCCGGGCCCTCCTCGTCGTTCCCGACGTCAAAGTGGACGGTGGGGTGAGCGTCCGGTGACTGTTGGCGGCCTTTACCGGGATTCGCCAGCGAACGCTTCGGCGGTGCTATTTCGCTCTTTGATGATTTCAGTGCAGTTTTCGGCCCTCCCTGCCGCGCCAGGTGCCCGCTTGAGTAGTTCTTGCGTATCGCAGCGTGGCCGTGTGTGTGGTTAGCTGCCTTCACAATGCCGCCAGACGATGCATTGCGTTTGAAGCTCGGGCGCGGGCTGCTGGGCGCGGAAGTGGAGTTGCCAGAATGGGAGCGCCGGTGGTGTTTGGCCGCGTTGCCATCGCCGCCATGGGCCTGGGTAGGTTTGTTCAGCTTATTGAGATTCTTGCCAAAGGATGCGTTCCTCTGCATACGGCTGCCGCCAACGACGTGCTGGCGCGGGACCTTCGGTGCAGCTCTCTGGTGGGTGTCGGACGGCGACTGCGACACCTGAGAGGACGTCGAGGATTGTCTCGCCATTGGGGGAGGCCGTCTCGGCTGCGAATGAGCGTCGGCAGAAGAAGAAGCCATGCTTACTTTTGACCGCGTGGCTGCGTCCTGGGCAGGTGAGCTGCGGTGCAGGTAGAGTGCGTATGTAGATGTCTTCGGCCGTGAGGACAGCGGGCGGCCAGCGGGTCAGCGCCGGGAATCGAGCAGCTAGCGCAGATGTGCTGGTGTCGCCGGTCGCATCGTCAACGGGCCTGGGGCTCAATTGCGCGAATGTGGGCGGCGGAGGGGCGTTGTACAGTGTCTGCCACGTTGGGCCCAATGATAGTCGGTGGTGATGGCAGACGTGCGTCTGCCAAATCACAAAGAGCAGGCGGTGAAAGCGCCCGAGCGGCAGCGACGAATTCGGCTGACCGCGGCCCGCTCCTACCCTTGGCGTCGCACAACCTCACCATCACCGTCTTCGATGCATAACGACTTCATCAAGGGGATTTGGCTGGTCTAATTCCTGCTTACAGATCTCAACACTGTTTGATAGTCCTTGTGGTCGATAACATTTTTGCCACTCCTCTTAGAGCGCCAGCCGTCTCCCTCATCCAGGCCGCCCGGAGGGAGTGGGTATGGAACTTGATAGATTATGCACGAGGAAATCGACTGAATAGAATGCCATGTAAAGGGAGCCTTCCGTTTCCAACTTTTGCTCCTCGGTGGCATCGCGCCGCTCGTAAGTATGTGCATCCTATGGACATCCTGCGCTCCTTTGCTCTCTTCTGATACCATTTCCATCTCCTTCTCACCCGTTCACAGTCGCTCCCCTTCGGCCCCTTTTCTTCGAATATGTCTTTCTGGCTGTCCTGATAGCCGTTATTTCGCGAGATAGGCCTTCTGCGCCAATCTTCTGAGCTTTCCCTTCATGCCCCGACGCTGTGCCGCCTTTTGTTGGCTAATCTGTCTCTGCTCCGGATTCATACCATCGATGCAACCGAAAGATGATGTCGAGTGGATAGAGGCGGGACGCGACCGATAGGATGGTGGAGGGGGCCCTGAGAAGTAGGTCGGGGCGTCCGAAAGACTACCCATGGAGTCCTCCCGTGGGATGTGGGCAGCTGCTGTTGCTGGCCGTAAATTGGTGCCGGCCCTGGCGGCCTGGCCGAATACAGCGTTGATGCGTCGCTCCAAGTTGCATTCCGGCTCACCGAACCTCGCGCTTGCTGGGCTTCCTCTGCGCAGAGGTAGACTCAACTGGGACCCTTGGCCAAGCCCAAGCCATCCGCCGGTAGGCGAAGTTTGGGTAGAAGCGGCTGCCGTTGCAGGTCGTGTTGTGGCGCGGGAAACAGACCCCATTCTGGTGAGGAAGGCTGGTGGAGATCCCGCCCGTGTTTCTTCATACGGTACAGCTAAGAGTGGTGTCGACATAGACCGCCTATTCAGCTTCTTCTGAACGGCAGCACGCTGCGACGATGTTCGCCGGAGCGATGGCATTCGAACCTGCATCTTCTTTGCACGGCGGCAGAACGACTTGAGGTGCTGACTGTGGGATGTGGACGGTCTCTCTATGCCCTGGTGCCCTATTGGAATGGCGTACTGGACGCCAGTGGTCTCGGTAGCGTCGGTGTATGGCCCCTCCCTCCAGTAAGATAGACCCGCCATCAATGGCGGTGAGGGTCTGTTCATGCTTGCGTCCAACCATGCATTCACCTCTCGAACGACGCCAGAGTCTGGTCGTGGCGGGCGGGGCGGAGGCCTGTGTGCCTGCTCGAGAGGTATCGGGGGTGGTATCGGTAGTATCACACTGTCTGTTGAGGAGGCAGTTTGCGGTCGCTTTAGGGACATCTGCCTGCTCATCTCGACCTTCTCGTTGCTCTCCTTCCTTTGACGCGACGACGGTCTCAGGATGTGCCGTGTGAGCCAATGCTTTGTCGTCTCCTGCGTTTCGCTTTGAGCGTGCGGGAGGCCAGATGATATCTTCTTAGTAGTCTTTGCTGTCATGACGACTGTCGTTGGAGGAGCTGTTTCTGAGGTAACGAAGGTCTTGTGATGCCCAGGGTAAAGGTGTTGCAGAAGGTTAGAGTGTTGCCCGGCCGAAGAATCAGGGCGTCGAAGCGCACTGTGACGGAAGGTGAAGGTGAAAGGTGACTTTGGGGCAGTCGCAGCGAAAGGCCCCAACAACTGGTCAGTTTGCAAAAGGCAGTCGCGCCTGCCACTTTGGGGATGCAAGTTAACATCTCGTCCACCGGGTCTTTACTGAGACCTGAACTGACTCTTTCAACAGCACGATCGCGGCATCATGGTGTCAGTCGCGACACACGAACCTACTAATTAGACCGTATGGCACTTTTTGACGCACCGGTAGACGGTAAAGGCTTCACTTCACCGCACCTACCTATCGGTCTTCACCGCTGCAGCTTCCGGTCGAAGTCCAGTGTTGCTGCCTCCCTCTCTCTACTCCCCACCATCGAATTCTGGCACTAGAGCGCCATGCCCCGCCGAAAGCAGAGATCTATCGGCACACCATCGCGCGCACCCCCTGAGACCGACGTCGAATTTGGGTTATCAGATACAGTCCTGCAAGCGTAGGTCACTTCTGGCGGCATTTGTACTCTGCTGATTTCAGGAATACAGGCTTCAAGGCCCTTCTGTCGCAGTTCAGGCAAAATCTTCGTCATGGACGTTACCACAGGAGCTCCTTTGCCGCTATTCGAAGTATTTCAGAGATATCCTCCGATGTCAGTCTGAAATAAGCCTTATCAGGCTCCCTGAAGAGTGGGATCCAGAATCCTTCTCGCTTTTCGTCGAATGGGTACTCAGCGGACTCTACCGGAAACGCAGTGGCTACCTACGATGGGATGTGGCGAACCTCGGACGGCCGATCGAATCTAACGAAACGTACGATGACGCTGTGGAATGGGAACGTAAGGCTTGTATATGGGCCTGGGTTGTCGGATATCTACTCGAGGCGCCGGAGTTCATGAACTATGCCATGCGGACGATCTTTCGAATCTGGATGGCCACAGTGGACGACCACCATTACAATGACACCTTCTTCCACCCTCATGCAGGGATATACGCCTCTAAGGAATGGGGCGATCGTCCGTCTGCCCTTCGCGACTTCGTCCACAACTTGGTTCTCATCAACTGGGGTGATGACTCCAACTTCGACCACGGAGACAAGACATGGTTGAAGTTCTTCAATGAGAACCCGGAGGTGAGAGACGATGTTCTCCTGAGTATGGCACAAACTTCCGCAGACCGCTGGAACAGTCGAAGGGACCAGCTCAAGCTCGAAAAGTATCTGGTAGATGAGGATTTAGGCCCGGAGATCAAGAAGGAAGAATAGGTCGTTAACGGTGCCAAACACGCATCTGATATCCGAAGCGTTCATCTACTTTGGATAGTCGGCAACATTTGGGACGCTTGTTGAGTTATACACATGTTTAATCAACGGTCAGAGTGGCACTATTGTGGATTCTGGCACCGACTCCTCCTTTTGCTACTTTTAGTTGGAATTAGCGAAAGCCATTGAAGGTATCCCACGGCAGTTATAGTCAGCCCAAAATTTCTCCAAGGCTTCCGCTTGTTGGATGTATGGATATCAGTTGAAGCTGCCTAGTGTCATGCTCCCGCGCCCCGCAAGTGGCGGTGCTTCACCTCGTCTGTGGTTCCACAAAGACTTCCTACCCGAGCCACTCATGCATCGACTCACTTCGACTCATCCTAAGCTAGGACCACGCAAGCTCTTGGCGCACCGTATTCGTCAGCCCACCACTCTTCGGTGGCGCTAGCCTTTTGTAGTCCCTTCCCTGTTTCTACGGTTTGTATATCAAGTTGCAAGATCACCTCACAAACATCTTAATGCCATACAGACCGTACGCAGTACATACGAATCCTTTCAAGTCTCTTTCGATTCAACACCCAGCAAAGATTATTTGACGTTTTCCCCCATGGTGCGAAAAGGGAAGGAGACAGCCGTGCCCGAGGAGCATCCCGGCGGAGGACATATTGCGGTTACGGCGCAGCAGTCGCGGTATGCGCTGGATGCCGTTGATGCGCCGGCGTCGAAAGAGGTGAGTCTTTATCATCGTGCCTGGGTTGGGCCCTAACTCGATTAGATTCTTGTGAAGGATCTCTCCATAAGTGTGTCGAATCGGGAACTTCTCAGCCACGCGAATCTTCACTTGGTCGAAGCCCGGCATTATGTCCTGGTGGGGCGGAATGGCACAGGGAAATCCACTCTACTCGAAGCGATTGCCGACGGCCTGATCCCTGGGATCCCGTGGAGTACGAGAATTTTGCTCCTGGGCCAGGCGCGAGAGGCCGAGCTTGAAGAAGAGCTTGGTGGGTTGAAGTTGGAGGATGAGACGGCGTTGCAGCATGTCGTACGGAGTGATCGAGTAAGGGAGCGGTACACGCGGGAAGCGCGGATATTGAGCGAGGCCGTGGAGCACCCGACCGACCCGATGGCACCGGTGAGAGCCTACAGGAAGATTTATCATGAGCGGTTAGCGGTGCAGTTGAAAGAAGCACATCGCATCGCCGAGAGAAGAAGCGGGGCAAGAGGGAAGCAGGCCAGGAAGGAGCTCATCAAAGCCGAAGAGCGCTTCGGGGAATCGAAGGCCATGCTGGAGCAGGATGAGAGTGAGATTGGTCTTACGAAGCTGAGCGAGGAGACGCATGCCGCTGCGGATATGCTTACTAGCGTCCAATCTGCGCTCGAGCTGATGGATGCTTCGGAGGCAGAGGTCAAGGCAAGATCTGTCCTTCTGGGCTTAGGGTTCAAGGAGGATCGGATCGACAAACCCTTCTCACAGCTATCCGGAGGATGGAGGACGCGTTGCGATCTTGCATGCGCGCTCTGCCAGTACGCCGACGTTCTGCTGCTCGACGAACCTACCAATTTCTTGGACCTTCCATCAATCATCTGGCTACAGGATTACATCCGCAACCTCACGGGAACCACGGTGCTCATCACCACGCACGACCGAGACTTTGGTGATGCAGTGGCGGAGGAATTGATCATCCTTCGACATCAAACCCTCGAGACGTTCCGTGGCAATCTCAGCCTGTATGAACGAGAGCGCTACAAGAAAGCGCGCTACCTGACCAAGATGAAGGAGGCCCAGGACAAGCAGAAGACACACATGGAGAAGACAGTGGCCAGCAATATCAAAGCAGCGCGAGAGAAAGGCGACGACAAGAAGCTCAAACAAGCTGCGTCCCGGAAGAAGAAGCTCGACGAACGAATGGGTATAGAAGTGGGTCTGAAGGGAGGCCGATTCAAGCTCAACCGCGATCTTGGGGGATATTTTCTCAACAGAAGGGCGGAGATTGAGATTCCAGACTTCGATCCATCGGTCAAAATGGCCTTTCCCAGACAGCCGCCAGATCTGCGGTTCCCCGGCGCGCTGGTGAGCCTCGAGAAGGTGTGCTTTGCCTATCCGGGGAGTAGGAAGGTACCTGTCTTGACTGATATTACCTTAACTATCCATCCGGGAGAGAGGGTGGGCCTCGCAGGACTCAATGGATCCGGGAAGACGACCTTGGTATCCCTCATTATGGGTAGTGGAGATGATGCTGCAGGAGGCCTTGCACCCACGTCAGGCACCATTACTCGGCATTCTCGTGCGAAGTTTGGCCGTTTCTCCCAGCAATGCGTTGAGGAAATCAATGCAATAGCTGCGGCTAGTCCGAAGCTCACGGCGCTGTCGCACTTGATGGAATACTGTGGGAGCGAAATGGAAGAGAAGGATGCAAGGCAGATCCTGGGGAGCCTGGGACTACAAGGACAGGTGGCATCAGACGTTCCGCTCGCGTTACTCTCTGGAGGACAGAAGGTCAGACTGGCATTGGCGAAGCTCCTGTGGCCTCCGCCGCAGTTACTCATTCTGGACGAGGTCACGACGCACTTGGATGCGGATACGATTCTGGGCCTAGTCAACGCATTGCGGGAGTACGACGGTGCGCTCTTGGTAGTCACCCACGACAGGTACTTCATGAGGTACGATTCCAGTAAAAAGCGCGATCGACCCGGGCATTAACAAAGTTTATAGGACTGTGGTGGAGGGCGAGAGCCCGTACAAGCTAGCGCCAGGGGCGCACACGGACGAGCAGCCCGAAGAGGAGGATTCCGACGACGAGGAAGCAGGGGCGCCTGCGGGAACCGTTTATCGGCTCGTCAAGGGGCAGTTGAAGAAGCTGGAGGGCGGCATGGAGCAGTACGGGGAGATTGCCGAGCGCGCTGCGGCGAGGCTGGGCAGGAGACAGGTGAAATGAGCGTCAGCACGGCACCCGCGGCGAGTGTTGATGGGAAAAGGCGATGTCCAGGCCGGGGGACGTGTTCTAAGGTTCCCCCCAAAGTCTTATATGGCGCCCGGCCCAACCGCCCTCGCGGGTGGGACGCCTCCCCGTACCGAGCAGGGGCGCGCCGCGGGCCTGAGCGTGCAAATCCTAGGGGGAGCTTGGGCTAGCTGAGCACCCCAAATCTTTAGGGGCACCAACGGTATTGACGACGAGCGCGTCCTCCTTTTGACAGACAATTTCGATTCCATGACAATGCTCTCCCTTTGCATATACCCGACCGTTGTCATAATTATGCCTTAGCTGCCTCTCGCGCCTTTTGGAACGCTGCCGTGAGCTTGATTGTCCCTCGTTTCCGAATTCCGATTCCCGCCTGCCGTTCCGCGACGCTGTGGTGGACTCCTGAGCTGGCCATGACAGAAGCTCAACCTCCAGCTCCAGCTCCAGCCCAACCTCCGCCCCGCGACACCTCCGAGCCCGCCGACCCCTCGCAGCCCCAGCTCAAAGCGCCCAAGGACAAGCACTGCCCGTTTTGCGGCCAGGCATTCACGTCGAGCAGCCTCGGCCGCCATCTCGACCTCTACATTCGCGCGAAGAACCCGAAGCCGGCCGATGGCGTGCACGTCGTGGAGGAGATACGCAAGATCCGGGGCGGCATCACACGCAGGCAGGCGAAGGGCTCCGTCAAGAGGGAGGGCAGCGGCACGCCCGCAAAGAAGCACTCGGTGACGGGCGATGGCTCGCCGTCAATCGCGCAGAGCCCAGACGAGGACGACGAGCTGCCGGAGCTGAGGCCGGCGAAGCAGAGACAGCAGTTCAAGGACGTCAGCTGGGGCGGGCCGAGCACCGCTGCGCCGCGGGCACTGGGCGCGAAGACGCCAGAGGTGAGGAGAGAGGTGTCCCGGCAGATGCAAAAGGCGGAATTGGACCAGCGGCACAAGCTGTCGGTGGACCAGGAGACGGCGAGGGCAACAGAGCTAGCTTTGCGGGAGCTGCTGCGGAGCGTCAGGGAAGCTAAGTATGGCGGCACTATCACCGCGGATTCATTGGAATGCACACTAACCCTCTCAGCGCGAAAGCCACGGGCCAAACCCTGTTCGACTTCGACCCGTACACTCTCAACTTCCCCAGCCTCTGCCTGCAGATACTCCCTCCGCCCTCGACCCTCTTCTCCCCGACGCCGTTTCCCACAAGCGAGTCGTGGTCCATACAGCCGCCTGGCCAGAAGCAGCTCGAGGCTCTCAATCGCCAGGTACGCGAGCGGTTGCTTGCACACCAGCGGCAGAAGCAGATAAATCACGCCTATCCCTCCTGCTCGCATTCGAACCCCCCGTCTGGCCGCAATTCTCCGCTCCCGACGCCGCCCCTTTTCGACCCCGACCCGCAGAAGCTGTTCTGCCATATTGCGGATGCATACAATCATTGGATACACCAGCCAGACAAGGCGCGGCAGGAACACTGGCAGGTGGAAGTCCTGCGGTCATATGCGCGCGCCAACCATCTACGGCGGGAAGCGGAGACTAGCCTGGAGAATGCACGGCGAGAGATTGAATATCTAAAGTCGAATCGAAGGGCATCAGGAGGGCCGGAGCTCTCCCCGATCAGCTTCACGCTGGGCACGGAGACGGTCAAGGAGCTGGGCAGGCATGGCATGGACTTTCGAAACTGGGACTATGACCGCTTGATCGAGAAGTGGAAGAGCGTCGTCAGAGAAACTAAGAATGTGGCGAGTGGTCTGGCGGCACAGAAACCACTGCCAAATGCACCGTCGAGGAGTTGTTCAATGGCGAGCATACCTGCGCAGCCCTTCACCAGCATCAATACCAGTGCTGCTGCACCCAACGTCAAGGTGGAATCGACGCCGTATTCAGCGCCGCCGACTACAATTGGCACAGAGCTCGGCAGCGATCAAATCGATGCTGAAGGCGAGGATGACGATGCAGACGTAGACCTCGACGTTGTACCCGCTTCGCAAGACGTCTCCATGGACAACACGCCTCTTCACGGGCTTCCGCATCAACCTACGCCCATCCACCCAGCACAGATGCACGCCCATCTTCAATCGCAGGCCCATGCTCAAGCCCAAGCACAGGCCCACGCACAGGCACAAGCCCACGCTCAAGCACAGGCACAAGCTCAGGCGCAAGCTCAGGCATGGGCCGCCGCCCGACAGCACATGAATCGGAGTCGAAACCAGCAGCATCAACAACAACACCATCACTCGCATCCACAGCTATCCCCTCATCCCTCGCATATGGGCTCTGCGACGAACAGTCGCCGAGCTTCTGCCGTGCTTATGGATGCCCATGCCATGAATGCAGGCGGGATGCTGCCTATGGATGGGATCGAGAACCATCAAGACCAGTTCCTGAGAATGGATATGGGCCTTGCGACCGGGTTCGTAGGCTCCAACGCCGACACAGTATGAGGTCCGTTGCAGCCTAGGGGGTTAACGTTCGCTTTGCATCTTCTCTTCTGTTCTGCTCTTCTTCCTTACTTTGTTGCCTTATACCCCATTGCATCATGCATTTCCACTTCATCCATCCGACTTACTTCGGGCGGCTTTTGTCCTTCTTACTCTTTATTAAGTTTCGTGTGGAGCGGAGCTGTGTCATACCTCTTATACCCACTTTCTTCTGTTATACCCCTTTTACATGCGTTCAGTAGCCTCTAAGGCTCTCTAGATATTTCGTCCTTCGTTGGATACCATGGGTGGTGGCTTTTGCGCCGATTGGTTTGCTTTGTCTCTTTATACGAGGAGTTCTGGGTTTCGGCTTTCCCTTTGTTGGATAGCGTGTGCTAGAGATTGTGTTACTTCTATGGGAGCGAGGCTGTTCTATACCATTGATGCGTTATGTCTCCGTTTTTGGAGATGGTGGAATATAGCGGATGAGTAATATGCGTCTCTTGGTTTGTAGAATGGAGACCTGTGGGACGAGAGCAGCGAGAGGAAATGATGTCATGTGATAAATCCCCTTCACTCACACCGCACAGCCAAATCTCTATTTTCGCCCTTCACTATCCCCAATTCGGATTAGCCTAACTTCAACTTCTTCTCCAGAAACAAAGCTACATTGTCGCCTTTGTTCTATTGTTCCCATTGTCCTACCACCGACCTTTTATTCCACTTTCTCCCGCAATCTTCCCGTCTTCGAAGAAACAAACACCAGTTCCAACATCAATTCCGCATACCATATACGTTCAACCGTGAAAAAATATGTCCGATAATTACGACGACCTGCCGTGGCCGCTCGGAAACGCGCCGCCGCCGCCCGCGGATGCAGCACCGGGAAATGAAACAGACTTCGACTTCCTACGCCCGCGAAGAAGGGGACGAGTCACTGCTGCTGCTCCTCCCGCCGGCCCCGCTCCGAGCAAGAAGAGACGGCGCGCAGAAGAAGACGAGCAGGAAGAGCAGAGGGAGAAGAAAGTACAAGTCACGCCGCAAATCAAGGCGCAGAGCAATTCTCAGAACAGGATCGAAGAACTCGCTGGGAATGTGAAGAGCACGGTATTGAGCTGGGCAAGCGGTGTAGGAGCAAAGATGTACGACGGCTGGCTGTGGCTCTGCGAGGGATTGGTCGGCGCGGTGGATGAGCATGAGAGGGAGCGTGAAGAGCTTTTTCGGAGGGAGATGCGGAGACGGAGGGAGGCGAGGAAGAGTGGTGTGAAGGGGAAGTTGGAACAGAGTCCTGTTACCTGCATTAAGAGTCGTCCGTCGCGGGTTATGGCTTTGAAGGCGAAGGCGAAAGCGAAGGCGGTTTATGACCCCGAGGCCTTCAGGAAGGGGTTCTCGGTGCCGGAGCCGTCGACGGACAGTGAGGAAAGTGCGTCGAATGCATCAAGCGGTGCTAGCACATGCACCGATCAGAGCTCGCATCACCCCTCGAAGACCTCCACGCAGGACTCTACGGCTTCGCCGTCCGAGTGCGGTCCTTCACGCACAGCGAGCACACCATCCAGCAGCGACGCCAGCGTACCCAGCTCCTTCACCTACCACAGCACCACCAGCTCACGCACTACCTCACCCTCAGCCTCCCCTACCACCAACACTCCCAGCAATCCTCCTCCACGCCAACCCCCGAAGCGCCCCAGCCTGCGTCTTACAATCCCCGACCACGTCAGCCCCGCAACGCCCAACACACACCCGGATTGGCAGCCCGGCGACGCCGACATCTACGTAAACAGCCACGGCCAGCCGGCGCGCAAGCAGTGCCCGAACTGCGAGCGCAGTTTCGCGCGCTATGGCGAGTATCGCGTGCATGAGCAGACGCATTACTGGATGAGCGGCGGGGGCACGCTAGATGAGAACGGGGAGGTCGAAGTGTTGGGTGAGGCGGAGGTGGAGAGGCTGTGGAAGGAGAGGAGAGCGAGGGAGGTGCAGAGGGAGAAGGTGTTGGGGTGGGAGGGCGCGAGGGCGATGGAGAGGCGGAGGAGGGGGTTGCCGGTTGAGAGGGCGAGGCCTTATTATCGATGAGTGACGTCTAGGAATGGGAATAAAGAAGGAGAGGGAAGGGAGATGGCGATTTGAGCGTGGTGCGGTGAAGTTGGGTGGGGCTTTGAAGGGGGTGGATGGCCGGCGGGTTGTTTTGCTGTGTGTGAAGAGCGCGGGTCGTTCTAGTTGAGGAGAGTGGAGTAGTTGGTTTGGAGAGAGGTTTTTTGCATAGTGTTTTGTTTTTTGCATAGTTCCAGGCACGGGAGGCGTTTGCTTTAGATAGAGCGTACAAAGGTGTTTTTCGGCATTTCAATATCATATCATGACTGCGGGATCCTTGCTTCTCATCCCACAAACCCTCCACCGCAGTCTCCATACCATAACCGCAGCTCACTCCATCCCATCCCCCTCCCCTCCCCCTGCCTCATCCGTCAACCCATTCTCCCCGCTGCGTACCCCGCCCTGGCCCACGCCACCAAACTCCCAACAAGCACCGCACAAATCGCCAGCACAACCTCCAGCAGCCCCAGCGCAACCAGCCAGAAGAAGAGCAGCAGCGCAAACGGCAAGAAGGAGGGTTCCGTCGGAGCCGCGAGCCCCAACGCGGTTAGTCTGCGCAGTTGGTTGACGAGCCAGGCGTAGGCGGCTATGGGGAGGTAGAGGGCGCCGTGAAGGAGGAGCAGCGTGGGGTTTTCGAGGAGCGTGGTTAGGAGGGAGGACAAGGTGGTGGGTGGGGGTGAGGAATCGTGGGCAGCTAGTTGGGAGGGAGACTAGGTGGAGATTAGTGCTGTGTTTTGCAGTTAGAGAGTTTAAATGGGAGATGAGCTCACCCAGTCATGGCCGACGTGTTCGTCGCCAGGTGCGTACGAGGGAGCAATGCTTGAGAGACTGCGATCCCGTTCTTGTTGTATTTCCTCTAGCCGTGCACGGTAATGAGCAGCGAATGCCCTAAGGTCTGGCTGTAAGGAACCGGTTAGCAGTGGGTTGTGTAGTAGAGAAAGCCTGGGGATTAAGACTTAGTATTGGTAATAGTTGTGCTGTGGCGTTTGTACGGGCTCGGTATCGGCCGGCATCGCGCTGGTCTGGCGTTTCTCCTGCACCGACATCGTCCGTGCGTCTGAGCGTGTCCTGCTCGCGCCGGAGGGGTGCAGATGATGCCGCGCTGTCTGTAGTAGTCGCGGGTAGTACCGCTCCTGTGCTTGTATTCGGTTGAACGTGGCTCTCAGCAGCCGGAGGGTGTTGCGGCGGTTCAGTGGCTCTCGGACGTGCATCTCCATCTCCAGAAGGTCGGGATACGTAGCTTGCGGCAATGGCGAGCGCTAGAAGTCGATCTGCAGGCAGTCGTGAAGTCTGAAGCTCGACTTCGGAATGAGGAGGGTCAGGGGCTTGCAACTGGTCGCTTCCATGGAGCTGGTCCAGGTCTTCGACTGTCGCGGACGCATTGGAGTCAGGCCCTAGGGAGGATATGGTTGAGCCTGCTACTGAGAGGAGACTCTCTTCATCTTCGTTCGGAACTCCAGTAGGATTGGCCTGAGTGGGGTCGGCACCGCTTTGTGTGTTTTCGGAGTCGTGGGAGGAGCTATCTCCAGCGTGACTGGCTTGAGCAGGATGGGCCTGAGTGTGGCTTTGGAGGGCATCGCGGGTTAGCTGGGCGCCGTCGCTTGTGTGGTAGTTAGTCATCGAACGGGAGACTTCTATGAGAGGAAGGGAGCATTACTCACTCGGATTCAGGGCTGTCGTGATACATGACTAGGTACGATCTTGCAATTCAGAAAGAGCGGAGTGTGACTAGAGGTCGGCCTGTGGACGATGTAGTGGGCGTTTATGTACATATTCGCAACGTGTTTGTGATAGTTTGGCAATTGTGGATGAGAAGAGAAACAAGTGAAGCAAATAGCTATCAAAGAACCGTGGAGAGTGGAGAGAAAACACGCAAACTGCGAGTTACCCGCATCGATGAGCTTCTGGTGTTTCCGGTAGATAGCTTACACGATAATGATCTAGAGACGACTTGGTGTATAGAGCGAATTAATCGCAATGTGGACCGAGAATGGGTGGATTACTCGACAACGAGATACATTTGAGAGTGTGGAAACAAAATGGGGGGACATGTGACCGTAGCAAGTCCGCCCGTCCATACATCATTCTTCGGGAGACTTAACTTAGAGGATAAAGACTTCATCCTCCAGAGAAATGGCAGTCCGCAAGCAGACCCCAAATGAAGAGGCGATCCGAGCGGAACTACCCGCAACATGCTATGCAATATCCCTTCCAGAGGCACCACTAGTACAGGCCTACAACCTGGCCAAAACGCTACAACGTAGTATCATCCCATGGACCCAAAGGGTCGGCGGGCATGCTTTCGAGATGAGAAATCCGAAATGAAAAGACAAGACTGCAACCAAGAGGGTAGAGGAGTTACTCGTAGTGTCACAGAGCAAGAATGCTACGTCCGTCCCTCCGCTTTCCCGCGCCTCTCCGAACCCGCAGCTTCTACCCCCCGGCACCAATAGCTCCCGCTCCCTCCGTACCTACCAGCGCGGAAACACCCCGCCAAATCTCGGTAGAGGACACACACACACCAAGCGCCAGATCGTGTTGACCTCATCGAGAAGAAACATCTTCAGGAACGCCACGTACAGCACCGCAACGACGAGCAACGACAGCGAGGGACGGGGGTTTCTGGGGTGCACCGTCGGGGCCCCGGCAGAGAAGGTGGATGCACACGGTGAAGAAGACTGAGGCAATGCATGCTGTGAAGACTTTGGAGGTGATGAGGTCGGTGACCTGCATGGCGTCGTTGGGGGCTGTGCCGCGGATCTGAGTTTTGTTGTCCTGTGAGGGGAGATCGGAATGCGAGTTGTGGGTGTCAGAGGACCTGAGGGGAGGGGTTGCAGGGATGAGGTTATGTGAGTGGGGAGGCACGGTTGTTTGTGTATGAGATGTCTTGGTTGTGGTTTGTTGAAGCTTTTCTACCTCTTTCACTGCTGTGTCTTCACGCAGGCGCTGGAAATGCGTGAATACAGGTAGATTCTTTTAGCGCTGTAGCGAAGGAAGGACGAAGTGCGATGAACGAAACGGACACGTGATTTGAGGTATGCGTGATAAACTCTTACCAAGTTCAAATTGGGGGGAGGATGCTGGTTCTGGCTAGAGAATACCTTGCTGTTCGATCGCACACGGGACGCAGTTTTGCCTGCACACTTGAGGCACATGGACAAAGCCGCCATGTCGCAAACGCCGTAAAGGATTTTCGCAACGCTGGCGTAGAACCGTCACCGCCTGCACTTGGTCACGTCGACGCCACGGCGGAGTGCGCAATGCTCTAGAATATGCTGAGTGCTGTTTTGGCGCTGGCGAGGTCGCATTAAGGCTTGGAGGACCGTCGTACTGACATCGGGTAGGAGGTTGCGGGTACGACGGCACGTCCTCGCGAGGGATTCGGGATTCGTTTCACGAAGGTGGGACGTTCCACGAAATTGTACCGCGCCTCTTCGATGTCGTCGTCGGCTGCTGATCGTTGTTGAGACGGGAAGGAGACTTGACTTTGCAGGATCCGTATTCGTATTTAGGCACCGCTGGAGGCGCATGGGGTTGAGTGTTGCTCAACGGCGAAGCTTTCTGTGGATGATCAATGCCGGCGGAGAGAGCTGTCGGTCGGTTGCGATATGTTAGACTATGGCGAGGCATAGGAGGCTGTGGTATGCTGCAGTGGAACAGGGAGGCGTTGGCGAGGGCTATTCAGGAGGCGCCAAGGCCGCAGTGCTCCGGGCGATTTTGCAGTGGGCTGAGATTGTCCCGCCATGCACTCATCTCCATTTTGATTGCTCGACCCGCCCGTTCATCGTCCAGAGCACGCCCCTGGGACCGCGACAGCGATTCCGTCTCGTCGCTCTTCGGGCGAAACAGCCAGTCGCGGATGCCGGCAGCGTCGTCGAGGAGGGCGCGTTTCGCTTGGGCGCGCCATGCCGCCGCGCCTCCACGATGCGCCTCGACAAGCAGTGGCGCGCCGCAACGTCGACGGACTCGCGCGGTGCTCGGCTTGGCCGCCAATCCCATCCGCCATGGGACGCCCAAGACCGACAAGCCTCGAGGATAAGCAACGGCTTTGCAGGGGCTCCAAGGGCTGAGCGCTGGCCCCGAATGCTGATGCCAAGCAGCTCCTGCGGGCGAGATTGCGCTTGGCTGGCTGCTTAAAGGTCGCTGAGCCCCCCTAGCCGCTCACCTGCGCTGTCTGCCGCCTCCCGTCGTTCTTTGTGACTTTTTTCTCGAGTGCTGGCCGACCACGATGCTGCCCACGACCGGCGCGCGCAGCCCGCTCTTCGCCCTGGCTGTTTCTGCCGGTTTCGTCCTGATCTTTATTTTCGGATTCCTCGCTTGGCAGAGTCCGCCGCGGATTCCCTTCCCCCATGGCTCCACCCATGTCGAGATGTACGTTGCGCTCCTGCAGGGTCCTCTGCTCCGTCACAATTGCCTTGGACGCGCGAGACGAAACATGGTGGCTAACCAGCGAGGTGTGTAGGTCCATCACCGACAACAAGGCGCCCATCTCCATCGCCGAGATCGTTCGACTCCTCTATTCGCCGCTCAGGATCGCGCCCAACGAGCCTCAGTTCTCTTTCCTAGACGACGGGACCAACCTGTCCTCGCTCTCACTACCGGAGAATCCGCGGTATACCAAGAAGCTGGGGCGGGATGTGCTCATCTTGGATCTGGAGACACGTCCCTTGAAGTCCACCGAGGACTTCGAACAGGGCGTGTACGACTGGCGCAAGCTGAATCACGTTTCCGGCGGCGTCTTCAACCACTACACGTATGCCCTCATTCACGGCTACGACTACAAGTTCATCCACGCACACGAGTTTAAGGACCGGCACGCAACCTGGATCAAGCCCTCGGCGCTTGCCAACCACATCAAAGACTACAAGTTCATCGTTTTCCTCGACGCAGACGCGACTTTCCGTTTCATGCACCTTCCCATCGAGTGGATGCTAAACTACTGGAAGATTGAGCCCAAGCACAGCATCACCATGGCGCTCGACCCCTGGGATCCCAACGAGCCCCAGTACAATTCCGACCGCTTCAACCGCACATACACCAACACTGGCTTCATGGTGGTTCAGAACAACCCAAATACCATGGAATTGCTGAGAGACTGGCACGAATGCCCCGACGACACACGCTACAAGGGCTGCTCCGAGTGGAAGCAGCCCAAGTTCCACGAACAATCTGCCTTCGGCGAATACGTTCGCTACGATTATGAGGATTATATCAAGGAGCTCCCTTGCGCAGAGGCAAACGGATACCCGGGCGTCCAAATCTCCAACTGCCAGGGCAAATTCATCCGGCATTACTGGTTCGAGAAGCACTTGATCAAGAAGGACTTCCGCGAGAACATGATGAACGCCATTACGCTTCCCATACAACGAATCTTCGCCGAGAACGCCGGAGGCGTCATTGTTGAGCAGCCAGAGAATGTGATTTACTAGAGACGCCATGTTGGTTCCTTTCCAAAAGAGGAGGCAGTGTTGTATATTTGGTATTTGACGCTATTTAATAGAGAAGAGGGGGACAGGGAGAAAGAAACATATTTCACGGCATAGCGATGCATCGTACGGCGTTCACGCGGGGTTTACGGGCTATGGTCATTGCATCTGGAGCTATTTGGGTCGATTGGATACTCTTGCCTTTGAGAGCGAGCGAGATGATACCCCAATACGAGTCTTCGTTTGACGACTTAACAAAAAACTCAACAATTCATCGTTTCGTCTTCATCTTCGTCCTCGATGCGTTTCGCAACTTTGTTGTCGGACTTTCGTCTTCAGCTTCAGACGGCGAAGCGCTTGGCTACGCGCGGCTTGTCTTGGATGCCAACACCTGAGGCAGACATCGTTTTCGCAGCACCGTTTTCGACATACCACCGCATCCTACGGACTCGGCTGCGACCGTCGCCAGAGTCAGGCCGCAGTATTCCGTCATCGCATCCTCTTTCGCGCGGCTTTGCACCCCGATGCAACCTCACCTCAGAAATGGCACGCGCTGCGGAATTTCTCAGGCCCACCATCCGCGCCAATCGATCCGCTGCCCGCCTGCCAAGCCCCGCATCCCTCAGCAGCACTTGACATCAGCGCTGCGACCATCTCCACGATCGCGCAAAAGCCCAACATGCACCGGCTCGGACTCGTCGCGGAGGCCAAACCAACGTTGCTACAGCGCTGGTGCGGTCCAGAGCGCGGTCCCGGATTTTGGCTGCGCTGGAAGATGCTGGGCCGCGGTCCAAGCCGGCTAGCTCGGAAGCGGCTGCGGTCGGTCGGAGGCCGGGTTCCGAGCGTGGAAAGATTCTAGCGGATTGCTATTTTGGAGGGTCGCTGTGTCGATCAGGGTCTGAGCGATGTGGGGCGCTGTGCATCTTTTGAAGGGTCCAGTACCAGCGCGAGGTGTGGCTTCAGAGACGAGAAAAGCAAAAAGGGCTGAGCTGTGGGGTGTTGGGATGGGCGCGTCGCGATCGCTAGAGGATATCTCGTAGCCTTTTCCCGCCTGCCTGTGACTCTATCGAATTGCCAGTTCGGGGGTGAACGCGCCCGGAAGTCTGTGCATGGCGATTGGAAATCTGAATACTACGATAGGACAGACCGAGCTGTATAATGGGCTGCAGGGGGCTTGAGTTGCGGACAGTCATATTAGAGAAGAGTCACAGCCACAACCGCGGACTCATCAACAAAGTTACATAGAGGTAATATCAAGAACAGTCAATAGCAGACACACCCAACAACATCCCACCACCATCTCACTCGTACCCATCCGTCCATTATTTCCCCAATCCGTGCATTCATTTCCTCAACTCAACTCTCCTCGCTATTCCGCCTATGAAACCCCAGCATTATCGACTTGACACCCGGCCCCTTCCGCTCCTCCTGCCTCTTCCTCCCCTCCTCCACCTCCTGCCGCTCTAGCAAGCTATCATGCGCTTCGTGCACCACTCGCTCCAACGCGCCGCGCTCCTCCGCTCGCTGCTTTCCCTCACGTGAGGACCGCGCCGAAGAGCTCGCCCCGGGTTTCTCCTCCCGCGAGCTGCGCGCTGAACCTCCCCCCTCTTTATTCTTATCTTTGTCCTTGCGCCCGCGCAGCGAGAGGCCGCGCTTCGAGGGCTTGGGTTTTAGCGGGGCTACGACGGGGCTCCCTCTTCTGGACGGCGATGCGGGAGGAAAGAGGGGGCTGCCTTTGCTGCTGGAGGCTGTGCGCGCGCTCTCGCCGCTGTACCGGTCGGAGCGGTGGACGAAGGGCGGGTGCTGGTGGGGCAGGCTGTCTATTTGACCCTTCATCCACGCGAGCGTGGCGTGGATGTCGTCGCGCTTGGACTCTAGGTCGAGGGAGGTGATGGCGTCGCGGTCTAGGGCGTGGGGTTTTTCGCGGAGGGCAGGCGGCGGCGGCGGCGGCGGCGGAGATGGAAGTGTAGGCGATAGAGGTGGGAGAGCGGGTGGAGGAGGGAGTTTTGGCGGCGGGGGCAGGTCTTCGTCTGGTGGATGGGTAGGGTTGGGGTGGAGGTCGGTGACGTATTTGTGATTCGGATTCGTAGACGTGTCGGGTAAGCGATACGTGTTGACTGGGTTGTCCGTGGGTGTTGCTGGACCTGGGGAAGAATCCGCACTGACTGCGGAAGCAGAATCCCATTCTATTCCTTCTGGTGGTGGTGAATCGTCGTCATCGTCGTCCTCATTTCTGATGAAGGTCTTCGCCAATGGGGAGCCTGGGAGCTTGAAAGCTGCTGAATTGGGTAGAGGGGGTAGAGGGGGTAGCGCTGGCTGGGAACGTGCTGCAAGGAGGGCAGCCGCTGAGAGAGGAACCTGTGCTCTTCGAACCTTCTCCTGTATACTAGCCCTCTGCCTTCCATTGTCCCCTATCGTCTGCGCCCCCCATTTCACATCTTCAGGTGGCTTGACCATCTCCTCAACCACCCATCGCCAACTCCTGCCCTGCAGAATCTCCGCCACGCCAAGCAACTCGACGACCTTCAGGCTCTCTACTGTCCATTTCTTGTTTCCGTGTATCGACCCTTGCATTTCGACCCTGTCTATTGCGCAACTTATTTCCGAGTGGTCCTTTGCTTGTGACACGGTTAGGTCGCCTACGAACTTGTCATAGAAGGGTTCAAGATGCGCCCACTGAAGGACGGCCTCGAATAACGGCCGAGGAGTAGATTTTGGACGCGCTGGAGGACGTGAACGAGCAGCACGGAGAACGGGGTGTATGAAATCGAGGGTAGGCGCATGCAGATGGTTTGCGTCGCGGACTCCAGGGTCTTGACGCTGCTGATACGGCCCTGTGGCGGCGCGTTGCAATAACCCTGGGCGTGCTGCTACAGGAACAGGATCTGATCTCCTCTCTGTATTCTCCGCAGCGGGGCTTCCCTTGCATTTTACGTTGAGTGGTTCAGGGTACATTCCTTCATCGTCGCCCTGTCGGCTGATTTGGGGTGAGCGGCCGGTGTGCTGTGTATCACGAGGGACAGCTGTGTGATGTGTTGGTGAATGTGCTAGCTCTCGCTTTCGATGCTTTCTTAGGAGTGAGCCGCCTCGCTGAGGTAACTGGTTCGGCTGGGGTGCGCTAAAGTAAGGGTTCCGAGATTCTTGCATAGGGGACCGAAAGGGGTGGGGGTATGAAGATAGCCTTGTGGTGAACGCTGGGGCCTCCTACAGCTGTCTTCGAGAGTGGGGGAGCGGATGTGCCGAAGCTTACGCCGCGATGGGTGTGATATGGGCGCGGTTGTGACTACTCTCGAAGGAGTCATGCATGTACAGTACTCCTGATGGATGAGATCGTACCGCATCTTGAGTTTGATCGGATTCGATGTGCCGTCTGGGCTTCTTCAGGATTTATAGCTGATTCGTTCCGGCTCCCAAAGGACCTCCGGCGCCATGTGCATCATGAATTCGATATCAGCGGTGCTCGCAATGTCGTCGGCAAGAACCTTCACGGAATCCCCCCATGCTGCTGCTGTCGCTTCGACTTCTTTCTCGTCTATCGGCAGCAAATCGTCGTCGATGTCCACGTCGTCATCATCCGATGTAAGCTCTTCCTCGTTGGTGCCTGCGGTGTCGAATTCGTAATCAAATAGCGAGTCATCGCTTTCTATCTCGGCGTCCGCAGTGAAAGGTGCGGAAAGACCTTCTTCGATACCGATGAAGGAGTTGAACGAAGCGCCGGAGTAAATCGGGCTTGCCAAGTCATCTACGTTCGGGAATTGGTCTTCGTGGGTGAACATTCGAAGAGGGGTTGTTGATCGGCGGCCTCGCAGTTCTCTTTCGAAATGTGATACATCTCTCGGACTACCTGTGTCCGGGGAGACAAACTGGATGCACGGGCCGAATGTCGCTTGAAGTTTAGTGGCTACTCCAGCAGCGAACCAAGCGCCATCCAAGCGCACCCGGATAATCTTACAGGCGCCAAATTCGAGAATGCGGCGAAGCGAGGCTGTGACAGGATGACTCATATCCAAGATCGAGTCATCGAATCTGGCATTCAACAACGGGGAGAGGTATGATGCTGCCTCAATATTGAGGTTAATTTCTTCGAAGTCGGCGCCAATATCGGCTAGAGCAGTGATTGCTTCTGCCGTCTTTTGAACTTCTGGACGTGACGCATCACCCACTCTGATATTGATAGTGAGGTGCTTAAGGAAGCGAAGATAGCTATCGGCAATCGGGGAGAGTATTGTTGCGCCGGGTGTTGCCGGGGAGGGAATATCGACGTTGAAGTTTCCGTTGGCGAAGAAGTATGATGCCGTCTCGAGGTGTAGAGAACGGGATGTGCTGAAGAGGGCCAACCGGTTGCTAGCCAACTTGCTGTTGATAGTAGAGGAATTGGTTTCATAGAAGAGAACTTCATCGTATACCAGATTTCGGAGCTCAGGGCAAAGACGCGATAGAAGATCCTGGGAAGTAGCCATTGTTATGGGAGGTCCGTGCGCGTGAATTCCCGGATCGGAAGGCGTGATAATTGGGGTTGTGGTACGCCTATCGAATTTTACTGTTGATCAGCTGTAGAAAGCAGGTCGCGTCGTATATCGCGCTGAGTTCTGCGTGGGTGGTTGTGTTCTCGCGAGTTGGCTGCGGTCGGCTGTGGTGTGGTGCGGTGCAGGTGGAAAGGAAGTGGATTTGTCTTTTCGAGGGAGTGTGAGCTTTTTAAGGTGGATGCGCGTCTTCGGTCCCGAGGGCGGCTTAGACTGTGCACGTGAACTCTTACCGTCTGTCGAATTGAATTATTGAGAGTGTCTTGGCGAAAACGTACAACGAGAGCGCGAAAGGGAGGTAAAACTTACCGTATCGGGCGATTCAACGTCCGACTCTCAACTGACAGCAGGCACGCACACGTAATTTAGCTGGACTCCTCCGCGAATAAACAGTGCGTATAGACCGACGCGTGCCACGCTGTTCCGTTCATGATATATATCAAGTCGCGCACAGACCTCAGGCTCTCAGGCATTAACACACGACGCGGCAGATTTGACCAATCTCGTGGGCAAGGACATCTCATTTGTGACTTCGTGACCCGTGTGTAGCAGACCCAAACAGATGACTATTGGACCGTCCAAGGGGAGAACCGGATGCCTTCAATGTCCCATGAGGACCATGATGGGGGCGCTCCGAAGCGGCGGCCTCCTGTTCCAGTCACGAGATCAGGAAGATCCCCGATAGGTAAGTATGGCCTTTGACTGCAGATCCCATCTGTTCCACAATCGCAATAAGCTTGGAGAGGCCGACGCCAGCGAAGGCGTCATTCATGCCAAACACCTGGGCTTAAAGAAGGATGCGAGACAGGATGGACAAGCCGCTTGAGTACTGTTATACAGGCTTGCTTAGAAAGAGATTGCGTGACTCATCGCAGATATCCGCTTCGCAGAGAGGATTGGAGCCGGAGGCTTCGATGTGTCGTAGGCGAGGATCTCCTGGGACGGCTATTCGAGCACCTTGCTTGCTTCGTGGCAATTCCGCGACACGTAATCTTCTTTGCAGTTCCAAGCAATGGTCTATTCAGATGGCGGCGTTGAAAGGTTGGAGCCTGGCGAGCTGCGGAACGTGCTGTTGCAAGACGTCTGGCGGCGGCTAGGTTTCTCCGCTCCGCTCTTGGCAATCTGCACTATCGATAAGGAACCTCGTTTGCGAAGTTCTCTGCTTCCCTCCTGCCAATGCCGTCAATTCTCTCATTGCCATTAGCTTAGGCATTTTAATTTTCTTGAAGGATTTAGATAATACGAGTATGGAAGTTCAGTGACCTTACCCTTGGGGTGACGTCAACTGATGGTTCCCTGCAGGAGTCACTCGAATCCCTGGCCTTCGGTTGCTCACCTCTGCAGCCTCCAAAGAAATGTGCATCAAGGCGCCGTATACCAGGTATCCGATAGTGTTAACCTGCTGCAGCCGCAGTCTTCCCCGCACTTTGGTTGATCTCTATGGTACTAACTCTAGCCTTCATTCTCCATCCCGGAGAAATTGTCACTCGGCTCAATTCACCACCGAGCCGGATCCCTCAACATTCAGTACATTTGTCGCGGCGCCGTTCATGTCGCTATCTTACCTCTCACTCTTGGCTCTCTTCTAGGCGCGTCAAACGTCAAGGATGAAGCTCTCGGGGATCGATGTCGGCCTCCTATCAGCCGCTGTCTTCACGGTTCAAGCGTCTGCCGCATCGTGCTGGCGTAGCACGGCATGCAGTGGGCCTGATACGGCTGCTTTTCCAGGTTTGATTCAAGTAGGCCGTGGCTTCGATCATCTCCGCTCATTGTACACAGGGCCATGGGAGTCCAATATTTACGCGCCGGCTTCCCGGACCTTGCGTCCAAAGTCAGTCTTCACCACTCAAAACAGGACTGCCACGACTTATACCACTCCTGTAACTCTTCTAGGAAATGGTTCAAATGCAGTCCTCGACTTTGGAATCGAAGTCGGTGGCATTGTTTCCTTATCCTATACCGCATCCGGATCTGGTAGTCTTGGTCTCGCTTTCACGGAGGCTAGCACATGGATAGGAGAGTGGTCCGATCACTCCAACGGAAAATTTCCCGGAATCGATGGAGCGTTGTATGCGAACATCTCCGCAGCAGGCAAGGGGACATACACCATGCCTGACAAATCCTTGCGAGGAGGCTTTCGATACATGACCCTTTTCCTCGTTACCGGTGCCAATAGCAGCATAGAGATCACGGAAATCGGGCTCGAGATTGGCTTCCAGCCCACGTGGTCTAACCTGCAGGCCTATCAAGGATATTTTCACTGCAACGACGAACTCCTCAATCGAATCTGGTACCAGGGCGCCTATACCCTTCAAACTAATGCAGTACCAGTAAATACTGGACGTTGGGTGCCCATGCTCACGAATGGCTGGGCGAACAACGGCACCTTTGGGCCGGGAGATACGATTATTGTCGATGGCGCAAAGAGGGATCGCGCAGTGTGGCCTGGCGATATGGGCGTTGCCGTCCCGTCCGCCTTTGTCAGTATTGGAGATTTGGATAGCGTTAAAAACGCGCTGCAAGTGATGTATAATTACCAGGTCAGGTTCCCTGCGTATAGCTTACTACAGCTCTAACACCCTGCAGAACAGCGACGGAAGCTTTCCCGAGGCCGGGCCTCCGCTCCTCCAACAAAACAGCGACAGTAAGCTATGCAAACCAAGAACGGTAGTCGTCACATGAGCTAACAGCGCTCAAGCATATCATTTATGGACGATGATCGGAACATACAACTACATGCTCTATACCAACGACGCGTCATTTGTACAGCAAAATTGGGCTAAATACCAGAAAGCAATGGAGTACATTTACGGCAAAGTCAAATATTCGAGTGGCCTGCTTAACCAAACTGGCACTCGCGACTGGGCGCGATGGCAGACGGGCTACAACAACACGGAAGCCAACATCATCCTCTACCGCGCCCTTGTAACTGGTGCTTCACTGGCTACTTGGCTCAGTGATACGACCGGTCTGAGTGGGAAGTGGATGCAACGCGCTGAGGCACTCCAGAAGGCTATCAACACTTACTGCTTTGACGAGGGTTACGGCGCTTTCAAAGACAATGCCACGGCTACTGCTCTGCATCCACAAGACGCGAACAGCATGGCGATCCTCTTTGGTGTCGTTAATGCTACATCAGCTGTCGCTTCATCCATCTCCTCCCGCTTGACAGATAATTGGTCGCCCATTGGAGCTGTATCACCGGAGCTGCCGGAAAACATTTCACCATTTATCTCAAGCTTCGAGATACAAGCGCACCTGACGATAGGGGAGACCGAACGCGCTCTCGACCTCATTCGCAGAAGTTGGGGATGGTATGCGAACCACCCTAATGGCACGGGGTCCACGGTCATTGAAGGATACCTTGTAAACGGTACGTTCGGCTACCGCTCAAGCCGCGGATACGGATACGATCCATCCTACGTCTCCCACGCTCATGGATGGAGCTCTGGGCCAACAAGCGCCCTCACTGAATATATCGTCGGTCTTTCGGTCACTGGTCCTGGGGGTCGTACTTGGAGCCTGATGCCTCAGTTCGGAGACTTAAAGTTTGCTGAAGCTGGGTTTATGACGGAGATTGGGAAGTTCGCGGCCAAGTGGGAGAAGAGCAGCACTGGCTACACGGTGACATTAGAGACGCCGAATGGTACGAAGGGAAACGCCAGTCTGCCAGTACTGGAGAAGGGAAAGAAGCCGATGCTGAAGATTAACGGCGAGAAATTGAAAACGGAGGATGTCCGCTTAGAGGAAGGTCGTATGGCTATGAGCATGGATGGAGGTAAGTACCAGATCGAGGTCAGTAAGTAAATATATTTGGCCTGTGCTATGCTGTACCGCATCCCGTTCTCTTCCCCCGTCCGGTTCTAGCTCTGCAAGTTTTAGATTCTCACTCCCTCCGTCCCAAGAGAGGAATGATTTACACCGCGGCGGTCGCTCCCGCCAGACACCACTCATACGAAATGGTAATCTCCGCGCACCCCGTGGGCTTCGATCCTAGCGTAGACGACAACCCATCTCCCACACCGCGCGTTTCGCATTGGCAGCTCGATCCCAACGTTTCCGTCGCCGTTTGTCTATCCGCATGTGAGCCTACTTTCGCGAATCATATACCGACGAGCTCACCGCTCCTCCAGTCCTCGGTCAGCCACAGCGGGCTCCGCTTCCGTCCGCCGCACGGTGGTGATGGTAGTTGCGGTTGCGGTGACTGCGGGGCCCTCAGATGCGCACGTTGGGCAGAAACAACGAATTAAACATGTCGGCATGGGAGTCTCGGTGGAGAGGAGGTCCGTAGCGCTAGTGAGGCTCGGGACAAGAGAGGGAATCATGGAAAGAGTCGTAGAGGAAAGCGCCGTTGGGACTAACGCCGTTGAAGCCATGCTGATAGAGCTCGGCTTGAAGAGTTTGCGCACGACGAGGTATGTACAGCTCTTCTCTTCGAAGTCGCGCCGAAATACTGAGACATGTGCACTGCAAAGCACAATTCGTACCATATTGCATTTATAGGGTGCCAAGTACGATACTCTACCGTGTATTCGCTCTATTCGCACCACTCCATTGGCGGTTGCGAACTTCCGGGTTCTTGGGCCTTCGGCTAAATCGAGTAGTAAAATGTTCTACAGGAGCAACCTGCTGTCTTGAATCTATAACGCTCGGCTAGCAAAAGCTTGTTTCTGGGCTCCTGAACTATGACTGAGAGTTTTGGCTAGGCTCGGCTACAACTCGTGACACCAAGCGCACTACGGCTCGACGCGGGCGCTGTGGCCAAATCCGTTCACATGACGGCAGGGTTACCTAGGTACACATATGGATCTTTATATCAAGCTTGCGTTTGACGCCGAACGTGTAGCTGCTTTGGAGTACTATTTCCAGTATTCGCTTGTTTGTCACGACAATCCCATGATGCGCTCGACTGCGGTGCGTAGCCGACGCTCTTCGTGCGACTGAGGAAGCTGATCCGAACCAATTACTTTCTGGAATTATCGGACATTAACGGTTTCTTTGACAATATGTTGTCTCCGCACCTGCCATCTGTTTGACCTAGGCGCCACCGCTTCCTTATACTCGGAATGACTTCTCGTACCCTTATTTCCTGTACATCCAGGGCTTTCCATACGATTGGTCGTCTGGGCGGTAAACGCTCTGCTTCTTCCCTCTCTCAACTCTCTACTGAGTCTCCAGCTCTCTTGTTTGTGTCACCAACTGGGTTGGTCGGTGCACCAACATCGGTGACTCAAAACAACGACAGTCTTCCCACCACACCAACCTCTTCTTCAACTCAAACAACTTAACGTAATATTTCAGCTACGGTACTTGAAACTTCATCGACCAGGTTTCAACAACAAACTATCAACATCATGAAGCTCACGATCATCTTCATCTCCACTCTCATCACGTACGCCGCCGCCCTGGACTGCATGGGTTGCGTGCAGATGTTCAACGACTGCCGCAAGGTAAATATTCACGCCCTCTCCGCGATGCCTCTCGTAATAATCTGAGCTAATTCTTTCCAGCAATGCGGCGATCCCTTGTCGTGGCAATGCACCGACTCTTGCAACTGCAAAGTGTCCCAAAATGACGTATGTTGACCTTTCGCAAGACGTAAAGCAAGCTAACGAGGTGCTGTAGTTCTGCAAGAGCGCTTGCGGCTGGAACAAATGCTAGATAGCGTCTGGTCCCCGACCCTCCTGCGGCAGTCTTCCTCTCGGACCTGGGCCTCGCGACGATCGTTGGCGGATGGAAAGGAGGCTCGGGATCAGGCATGGGTCTTATTTGCGTTCTGCATCTAGCGGACCATACATGACAGCAATGGTGTCACCGGTTTGTGACTTTTATACATATGGGCATATCTCACTACTTTTTCGGTGGTGAACTCCGGATCTGAAGGGCTGCAGGCAGGCCATCAGACAATCAATTGGCATGACTTGATGAATTTTGCTTGCTTTATGATTCTACCTGCACTGCTGATGCTGAATTTCAAGTTCGTAAGTCTCGCTCCTGCTATTGCGCATCTCGCTCGTCACCTATTCAACGGCCCATGCGCCCGTGTGCCTTCATGCGCAATACAAAGCTGCCTCTTTCTTGTCTGTCCCATACTCAGTCTCCTCACCCTCAACTTCGACTCCTCTGATCTTAAAAACAATGTCCCCTCTCAATCAATCCTCCACTAAGAAGCTCCCGTTTCTCCTCGCATACATCTTCATTCCCACGGTCCCCGCTCAGCCCACCTTCGATGGTGGGGTCAAACTTGACGAAGTAGACGGGTTCCCAAGCTATTTGACGCCTCTTTATCTACCTGCCAAACAATGCATTAAGTCTAAGGGCTGTTGATTAGTCTACGGGAAATCCTTCTACGACGATCACGTGGTATAGCTCTCCAGTCTCGATACTGGCGCGCTCACCAACTAAGCAGTAGACAGAAACTATACTATTAGTGAATGGTGCTATGCATCAAACAGTTTACGGGCGAGACTGCTAAGTATGAGGTACGTTCTTTCCATGTATAGTATTACATGGAAACAACCGCATGTCACAGAACTGCGGTGTCTGCCAGTGTGGATACTTCCGGTACTGAGTAGCATCTGTAACTAGGTATTAGTTCATTTGCCGCAATACTTCACCTTCCGCAGGCTCAGACTTCGTGATAATCGCGATGGATAGGAACGCGATCAAGGATGTGTTGTGGTCAGGCTCAACTTCAACGGGTGTGATGACGGTGGACTCTGGGTGACGACCTGCTAAAACAATTTCATCCGATAAACTCTACTTGCACGAGGCTTCTGCTGTTTCACTCTAGTAGATTTTAGGTCTTTGCCTGCTGAAAGCCTTCAGGTGTAGCTTTCCACAGTTGAAGACTGACGCACGCTCCTCTCACCCAGGCCCGCTGGGGACACCGCTCCCGTCTCCTTCGCTTCTGTTCCGCTCCGCGTTCAGCTCAGCATTCTGCACGTCACCCTAACTTCACCCACATAGTGTGTGTACCTCACTCTTCAACGCTCCCACCATTAACCGCGACTCCAAGCAGCTTCAATACCTCTACAGACAAGCACCAAGCACAAACACACGTGAAGCCATCCCAGCACACCAATACCAAACCACAACATGAAGCTCCTCCTCGTCCTTCTTCTCACCCTCTTCGCTGTGGTGGCTACCGCCGCCCCGCAAGACCTCACCAACGAGGATGCCCCGGTCGAGGGCCCTCCGCCGATGCGGCAAGGCGATTGCGATGACTGCGACGATTTCAAGGACGACTGCCTCAAGGTATGTCGCTTGTAATCGTGCACAGATAGACAGCTGCTCGGCTGGAGCTGACAAATGTTAAGAAATGCTGGTGGGTCACGCCTGCTTGCATCAAGGCATGCTATTGCTCGACTTCTCAATATAGGGAACCGGTACGTGCTACATCCGGATATGTTGGTGGGGTCCGGGAGCTAACGGCACGAAACAGCACTGCAAGAACGACTGCGGTTACAAGTGCTAGATGCAATTAGCGTCCTCTCGCATTGCTGTGGCAACAATCTCTCGACTGTTCTCGACTCCAGATTGGGCATTTTGGATACAAGGAATAGTGGCCAAGCTCAGAGCGCCTCCTGAGGGGAACATGCACTTACCTTTACGGGTATGATACCGCTTGTGTCAACTCATCTTTGAGAGACCTTTGTGGGCATGGGATTGCTACATGGTTGCTGAAGTGGTATGGGGGATCGAGGTAGATACCCACCCAATCAACGGAAGGAACTTCCCCATACTATTCCTTCACCTATCCAGCGAATTTCCTGTCGACGCATTTCCTCTTCAGCATTCTCCAGTCGCGCTTCCACCCTCACACACGGGACCCGTACACTCCCATCCCTTATTCTCCTTCACATTCCCACACAAATAACTCGCCGCGCTCGTCCCATTCGCAAACTCCAGATCAACGTCATACAGCTCGATATCCGTGCAAGGCTTCACAGCACTACACTGCAGACTCGCGACTCTGCTACTCTTCGTCGTCCCCTTCAGCCCATCAATATCCACATCCCTGATCTGAAACTGCGAATTCGTGCAATTCCCCACGCCCGGCGCGCCACTAAACCTCGTGCACTGACTAATCGAAAAGGCAGCGCCCCTCAGTCCCTCAACAGTGAGGTTCTTCAAGTGCATGTTCTGCGCGTATCCCAGGCCGCCGCCACCGCCGTTCGGCGGGTATCCGTTCTGATCGTCGGTCCAGGTCTTGACGTAGAACGTGTGGAGGGTATTGGAGAAGTAGATGTTCTCTGCGCGAATATTTTCGATTGTTTCGAAGCGGCCTTTGTATTGCCCGATGGAGCCGATGGCGATGCCGAGGCCGTTGTAGAAGTGCGAGTTGAGAACGCGGATGTTGGTGCTGTTGGCCTTGAAGGAGATGCTGTCGTCGCCATTATAGACGGTCCAGTTTTTGAAGGTTAGGTTTGTGGAGTAGATGGTGTCGGCGCCGTCGGTGTTTGCTTTCCTTTGACGTCAGAGCTGTCTATGTATAATACCGCAGCTGGGGCCACTTACAGCTTGACACTCTGTTCCCCGTATTATTGACAAGAATATCCTCAAAAACGCTATTGCCGCAGTGAATGATACTCATAGTCCACATCTGGCTCCTAATGAAATTCAAGCCTTTGACTACAGAGTTGGTGAGGCCGTTAAAGGTAATCTGGTGGGGCCGACCGGGGTAGTTGGACGTGTTGGTCTGCTTTTTGATCCACTCATACCAGTAGTCGCCATTGCCATCGAGGGTTCCTGTACCATGTCCATTGATACGGACGTTGTTTCCGCCGAGTATGAACGCAGTGGATTGGTTTTGGTAGCCGACTGCAACGGAATGATTGAGCCAGTAATTGATATCTGTACTCCACTATAGCATTCAATTCAGCCTTTATAACTGCGTTTACTTCCCCAGACGCCTTACGAGTAGTTTTCCTTGTATATCAATATCGACGTCCTCGAGACTCGAGATGTTCAAGATGGAGTTGACGTAGTATGTTGTGGGCGTAAAGACGACTCTGCCTCCACGACCACATTCTGTGAAAGCAGACCGAATGGCAGGGGTATCGTCTGTTGCGTTGCTGCCGCTTGCTTTGACCGCGCATATCTTTTGCCTATTGCCGGGTTTGGCATGACACAAAGATGAAAGAAGTGTTAATGAAATGATTCCCAAAAGACACATGGTGGACCACGATTGCATTGGTTATGAGGAGACCGAGCGATCCAGTTTCTGGCTCTTTCACTGATAGATTGCATCCACGACCTGAACAAAGTAGTAAATACTATAATGCGGGGCAAGGATGCGGAGAGTGTTGCAGGGTTTCGCGAAATATCGCGCGAATCGGAAAGCTCACGAAAAGTGACGCTAGTAGGTGGCCCTGTCGATCACCTCAGGCGTTCGGTAGAACATCGCACCGGGGCATACTTTTCCAGAGGAGTCGGTGCTCCAGGTGGCCATTTCGGAAGTGTTGTTCCAGCTGTCCTCGCTTCCTGACTCCCGGTTCCAAAAGCTGGCAGTAGACTTAGTTTTCAGTATCCCGCCCGCAGGCCACCCTTCACCGGTCTAGGAATACTAGACGCCGTGTACCCTGCTCCAATACTGCAGAGGTCAGTTCCATATCACTGTAAGGCATCTGAACAGAGCACGGGAAGACTCACCTTGGAGAAATCCTCCGCATATTTCATGACAAAGTCCTGGTTGGGTACTCCTGCGTCTTCCAAGCTGAGCTCCCTCCAACCGATCGGGATCACCTTCACGCGGGATCCGGAAGCGGCGAAAGGCTCCAAAGTCGCATACACTGTCCGCAAAGCCGAATGTACCTCGTGAAGCGCTGCCTGCCGGTTCTGGCTCGAGTGCGCGTTGTGAATGGTAACGGAGAGCTTGACTCCTCTCTCGCATCCCAGTAAGAGCCGCAGGCGCTTGATCATGCTATCGACGGTATAGCCCCGTGCATGCGACTCTATCATGTCGACGTCTGCGACCAGGGAAGTAATCAGCTGCTTTGGAACTATACCTAATCCCCATCGGTCCTTGGTGAGGAATTCCTCGAGGAGGTACCGATCGAAGCCAAGCCCGAATGTCGCGGTGCGATACCAAGTCTCAGCGAGCTCTTTTTGCATGCGTGGTCCCACATATTCGACGTTCCAATAGTATTGACGGCCTAGGTAATCGGATACCGGACTACCTGAATTCGGGAAATATCGCGTCGAAAAGTATTGTCCGCGGATTATGATGTAGTCTCGTTGATGGATATGTACGGTCGGTGGATCGAGGATGATTTGATATACAGCATCTCGCAGCTCTCGTGGAAGTCGAAATGTCATTCTGGAGCAGAGATTGCGGCAGGACAGGGTGGCATATCGCTTGAGACGTTGTTGGACCTGGGTCTCGAGCGTGGCCTTTAGCTCTTCTAACGCCTGGCCTTCCTTTATCGCTACTGCATATGGGTCGTACTGAAGCTCTTGTCGTCGATTCCTATTCTTACGTAGTTGGGCTGTCACTACCTCGCTTCTCATGACGGCACTGCAGAAAACCAAGTCAGCCCAACGATTACATACGGATCGAGTAGTACTTACACCGACGCAAGGGAGTGCCAGCTGTTGAAGCCGTTGGTGGGCCTCTTGAAGGTTTCACCTGGCGGCCCCATCACTCGTTGCTGGGCTAAGCGCAATTCGTGGGGAAGGTTTTAGCGAAAGTGAGGTACGTGGGAGTGTCGACGGGGTTTTAAGTCCTCTTGGGGCTCAATGGCAGTGTCTAGTGACCCATGAGTCGGTGTTAGGATGGATAGCATTTGAGGTTGGAAAGACGGTGAGGCTAGGTAAGTCGAGGTGAGAAATCAATCAATCAATCAAGTCGAGGTGAATGTGGGCCTGGTGCGCGGTCCGTGCGAATACAGCGCGTGTTCACCTGACTATACCTCTGTACTTTTCAGGTACATTTATACTTATTATCGATTCTTTGCATTGAAAAGTTGCTCTTAAAAACCTTAAACAGCCCTGGAGAGAGAAAAGTTTTATAAGTCACCTTAGAGTTGTGATTAACCTCGATATTCTCACTTGAATCCAAAATGCGACACCCTCCCCTTTCGATGAAACGAGTTCCGATTATGAAGTAAGGTGTACGAAACTTGCTCAGATTATGAAGACTGAATGCATGCACTAACTCATCGCTGTCATCCTTAAGACGTAAGAGGACAGTCTGGCTTGACTATCGATTGTCAGCGGGCAGCATCAGACAACAAGATCGAAGCAACATATCCGATCTCCTTGCACCCGAGAAGCCACCGAAACCACTCGAAGGCGATCGACATACCAAGAAGTCCAGCTATTCTTCTGGAACGGATAGTATGTCCAGGAGCTGTTCTAGTATCATCCCGTCGTGGCACGAATAATGCACTCCTCAAATCGGAGCGCACCCTTGGTAACATTCAATATACGATCCCTTACAATTATAGTAATGAAGAGACTGGGATCGTGTCTTGAGTCTCCTCGCTGTATATGAAATATGCATTTGAAGCGGGAAACAGCCAACTCTTCCGTAAAGTCCTGCGATTGGTCAGAATTGCGAGTTTTCGTTTCCCCAGCTTTTGTAGAAAGTGCTAATTTCAACATTTCTGGGCTCTACTGCGGGAGCATGGGAAAGTGCCGAGATGCCGGCAATCGAAGAGCGCAAGTTGCATGTTCGTCTCTCGGAGGGAATTGCAGGATATATTTCGCCTTCATTGCCGCGACCTGCCCTCTTTCGCAGCGACTTTCCAGTCCTCGTCACCGCTATCACAATCTTGTATCGGTCGAACATCGCCTCTAAGCATGCTCTGGAAATTAGTAGCAGCCGTCGCGGCCATTGCGGCAGGCGTGGATGCCGGGGCTATGCTGCGCTTTTCGTGTTCGCAGCTCGTCGTTGAGAGGCTTGATCCGTAAGGCCAGCTCTAGAAGTGTTACTGATGAGTAGCTCACTTGGACAGTCTCGTTAACCCAGGAATAATGCCATCTCCTCACCTCCACCAAGTGGTTGGTGGCAACGCCTTCAACGTGACCATGGATCGAACAAGTTTGGACATTCCCTCCACGGCGACGTGCACCAGCTGTACACCCACGGAGGACTTCTCCAACTGTACGTGTACTCCGGATATAGATATTGAACGCCTTACTGACCTCGTCTCTTTTAAGACTGGACCGCAACGCTCTTCTTCCGCGCCCGAAACGGGACCTTCAAAGCCGTCAAGACCAAAGGTAATCCGCTTGGCTACGGCGTTGCGAGCGGTGGCCAGACAGTGTATTACCTTGGTCCGCAAGGTAACGCCAAGGTCACTGCATTCAAGCCCGGTTTCAGAATGACTGTCGGCGATCCGAACTTTAGGACGGCGGCGCAGCTGAAAAAGTACCCGATGCTGACATACACTTGTTTGCAAACGGCGACGACACGGGGTGGAGAGACGACAAATTTCCCGAAGGACACCTGCAAGGAGGGCATCATGGTGAACATTCGGTTCCCGACTTGCTGGGATGGTGTGAACCTTGACTCCCCAGACCATCAATCTCATACGGCGTAGGCGTCTTCCCAGCTCACCTGGTTAGCCTTCTTCACACTAATCCGAGAACAGCTACCCTGTCAGCGGAAAATGCCCATCTACGCACCCCGTCACAGTCCCACAAGTCTTCTACGAAACCGTCTGGGACACCGCTCCCTTCAACGACAAGTCGCAGTGGCCGGCCGATGGCTCACAGCCCTTCGTCTGGTCCTTCGGCGACAAGACCGGATACGGTATCCACGGCGACTACGTGTTCGGTTGGAAGGGCGATTCGCTGCAGAGAGCTTTGGATTCAAACAGTCAGTGCAACAGCGACCTGTTCGGCAACAATCTGAGGTGCCCGGCTTTGAAGGCCCAGTCGATCGAGCAAGCCAATAAGTGCACGAAGAAGGTGAGTGTGAAAGAGAATCTGGAGGGCTGGCTGGCGGAGCTCCCGGGTGGAATGATGGTGAACTAGTGAGATGTGATTTGGATACTCCTTTTAGAGTCTTAATAGTAATGTAGCTTGCTGAGGACGGCTCGAACTTACCCACTTGGACTGTAGCCCACAACAGAAAGGCGATTGTGACAATGACCTCGCTCGATTCAGAGTTGGGTCGTGCGCCCAACTCCCCAGAGACTAAAGGTGTATCCATCTTCCCATCCACGTGTTCACAATCTGTTTGGCTTCATCAACAAGCCCTAAGTCAAGCAGCAATTGCGTCGTACCACGCACAGCTGAATCCAGCGCCGAGAAAATCCAAGCATGCGTGTATGAAGTGTGTTCACCCACGAAAATGGTGTTGAACTCCGTCTTGTAGTAAGCCGGGAGGTAGAGTTCCTGCTGCCCCACAAAAGGAGCAGCCCAGGCCCCCGCCTGATGCTCATCCACCTCCCAGCACTGGCGTTCAAATGCCCCGGTAAAATGCTCGGCCGCAATCTCGCCGTGAACCTCGATCATTGCGCGCTGCACAAGGCCAATGTGGTCCGCTGTGCTCAGTGCTGCGAGTGAACGTGCAGGAGTGCCCGACGAGTAGGATGCCAGTATTACCCCTGGGAGCGACGAGTTGATCTTATACGAAGGATAGCAGACAGAACCAATACCGGCAATATCCGTAGATCCACAGCCACCAATGATAGGAGGATCAAGGTGCTCCCAGAAGCGCGTCTTGTAGTGCAGCGCGACCTTGCAGGACTGCTGGTAGTTCATAGAGCTGATAGCGCGCGTAAGAAGAGATGAGAACGCTGGCAGCTCCCAAAGCCTGACTTTGGAGAAGGGTACTGCGACAACCGCGTAGTCATATTCCTCGCTCTCCGGCTCCATGGCGAGGGCATCCGACCGCCACGTGAGCGAAATTTTACCGGTGATATTATCGTACTTCAAACCGTCGACCTTTCGGCCGAGCGTCAGGCGGTCCTTGACATGTGGTAGAAAGGCCCTAGGGATGGATTCCAGACCCTTGTCGATGGTGCGCCAAGTGGTGGCTGCAAAGTAGACATCTTCGTACAAATCGCCCCAGTACTCACCGTTGTTGCCTGAACCGGCAACGTAGTCGACTGTGTCCGCGCTCATGTTGAGGTGGTACTTAAGGTAGGCAGTTTCAGACCATTGGAAGAGCCCTTTCTCGATGGCTTCTTTGTGGGCCTTGTATATGTTGATTGATATGTTGCGCATCTCCTCCGGCGTATCGCCCAAGAATGCATTTGATGCCTCTTCCGCTTGCTCTGCCGCGTCTGGATCAGACGGTGCCGCTGCGGGCAGTCTCAGTGACGAGTTGGCTTTGATCTGAGAAGCGCTCGGGATGCGCCCATTCGGTAGACGGTATCCGTTGGAGTTTGCTGGTACATTCGGGCTGCTTTGTATCCATGGAATGAAGTTGACTGCGAGCTCGCTGTCATTCCCATTCATCTCATTGAGGGTGGCTCCCAGCTGGAATACCATCTTGTGGTCCTGGATGTCCAAAGTTTCGTTCGTATCTGCATATTTCACCGAAACTGGAAACCTCATTGGTCCCATCTCCTGGTACTGGTATTCGTCTGGTGTGGTCCCAGCGAGGTACTTGGTTCGAATACGGCCACCGATTCGCTGTGAAGACTCCGTGATATGCCAGTCGTGAATGCCCACCGAGTCAAGGAGCAAGCTCGTCATCAAGCCTGAAGGCCCTCCACCGACAATGGCAATCTTCTTGGTTTTGGAGGCGGCCACAAATGAAGCGTTGTTTTGCTTAGCTCGCATATAAGCAACCCCATCGAACCAAGGACCAGTCACATCCGCCACCGCCGAGATATCCTCCCTTTTCCTGAGATTTTGCTTGACGGTAACAGGTGCTGATCGCCCAATGAGGGAAGATCCGGAAAAGGCATGCAGACAGCATCCATGCACCGCATCCTCGGGGACGACCCAGACGAAGCGCTCGGGGCGTATCGAACGGTGTAAGAAAGTCGTTCCAACTTCGTGTTGCATCTCGTTTATTGATCCCATCTCGCAAGAGCCATAAACAAGGCGGACCTCGCCCTCGAAAGAATCATCGCCGTAACTGACGTGAACATTATGCACGGAATCAGTGGTGACCGTCAAAGGCGTAAAGAAGATACAATCCGAGCAATGAAGCTCTGCATTGGCGACGGCTCCGTTGGCGAATGAAAGCAGCGCTAGAGCGGCAGCGAATCCTTTCATTACAACAGTAGATCGAGAGGAGTGAGTGACAGGACTAGGGGAGAGGGGGTTCCTTAGATCAGTTGTTCTTCCGTGCAAGGCCAGAAATCCGCGTCGTCTTCACATTGGGTGCAGAATTCTCTCCTTAAGTATGGGGAGGCTTGTTGTCTTCGAACGGGAAAAAGATCTGGCATGTTTCCCACACCATAACTCCGTCAGGCCAGGAATCTCTTATCTTCGGCTCCCTATATCATCCGTACCGACATGTACATCGCAGGGCGGCGCATCTTCACCGACCATACTCCGAAGACAGCAATAGGCGTGCGATGAGGCCGTATAGGGAGGCGGATGTGAGGCGATAAGACAGTATTTCGTTATGCGTATGAGAAATTTCTCGAGCGAACTACTTCAAAGATGGGGTTCCCACCCGTATCACGCTCTGGTGTCAAGCCACCATTGGCTTCATTGGAGCTGGCTTGCAGTAGCGGCGAGCCACTGCGGGAAGTAGTGTGGAGGTGAAGAGGAAGGAGGATCAACGCCTTATCGATACAGAAATGTCTCGGGATGAATGGAGATGGCGGGGCATGAGCGGTTTCTCGCTCCTGGGTGATCTTGTGGGCGTCATGCTGCCTAGGGGAACAGCGGGGATCTGAAATCACGCCAGGTCTCTTCGATGTATGTTGAGCCGTTGCCGTGGGCCACATCAGCTATACCGACCTCGGGTCGTGGGCATGAGCGGGTGACGCGGTCATATCCGAACGAAACCGGCTGGTCGGACGACAGGGAGCATTTCAGATCACAGGCTGTAATTTGGGTACCGGTAGATGTGAGGCCTTTTCGCAGCGATTCCGAGCGAGTCCGAGCAAGCCGATAGCTGACGCGCGAAGACGAGGATGCGCTGTGGTGGATGTCTGGTGGTTGGCGTGTCTCGACCGCGAAGCGAGAGCCACCCGCGACGCCAAGGCGCCGTTTTGGGAAGGTCCCAAACTTCATGCATGCCTTATCTCCATTCCACGTGGTACGTCATCACCACCTTCAATCCACGCCTCACGTCGTTTGTGTTTTGTTATCCATAGCCCTATCCGAGCACCAGTTCAAGCTCGGCTAAGCCTTATTTCCTATCTCTGCTTCGAACTCCGACTGATTACAAATACACATTCTTCACCGCCTTAGACAGATTTCGATTCGGGTATGCAAAAGCTGGAGACGCTAGCGGTCCATTAGGAAGCATGGTTACGGGCAGTAAATCGAGTGGAATGATGGAGTTTCGAGAAGGTTATCTCTCACCGAGGTATTAAACCTACCTTTGATGACTTCGCCCAGGCGTGTTCACAGAAACCCTGGACCGATCGTCACCAGAACCAACATGAACTCTCGCGAGAGCCTCAGGAAAAGAACCTGAAGTATATGGGTACTGACAAAGAGGACATCCTTTTCATTACACGCCCTGAGAAACTACCCAATACCCACACAACGGTTAGGCCTCTGCCTGCTTCAGTTCCATTATCCGAAGCAACCCATCAGGACGTTACACAGTACGCGAACAGACGCTTTAAGAGACTACTTCAATCAACCCCGAAGGACAATACACCAAACATTCTCCCACGACCCTTCAACGCGGATCAAGCTAATACTTAGATTTCATGTCCTTTCAACTCCTTCTGGGTCCATTCCCACAGCTGCTCGCCGAGCTTCCCATCTCTGACCAGCTGACTCTCGCCCTCCTTCTTTCCAACGGGATCATAATACGCCCCACTCTCCACTCCCTCGGCTGTCGCAGCCCATTCGCTGTTCTTCGCGACCTCCTTAACGGGCATGGCTACAAGAGGTGCAACGACCCATGCCAATAGTGTAATCATCCAACCACCTCCATGTGAGCCCTTGGAAAACAAACCCGTATTGGCATCACCGGGATAGATCGCCACGGTTGTAAACTGTGGGTAACGTTTTGCGACGGGCGCAGCATACACGGCGTTCGCAAGCTTGGATTGGCAGTACTTGGAGACACCGGAGAGATTGCTTTGCGGGGATTTGATCGTCGCTAGCTCGATGCCGCTGGGTGGGAGTGGATAGGATTTGTGGCCTCTAGAGGAGAGTATGACGACGCGAGGTTCGATTCCGATGGGCTGCTCGGCAGCTTTGAGTAGGAGGGGTGTAAGCAACTTCAACAGCAGGGCGTGGCCCATGTGGTTGGTGCCGAACACATTTTCGTAACCCTCCTTCGTCACTCTGGCCACCCCTCCCATTATCCCTGCGTTCAGCAGCAAGATATCTAGCCTCCCCACCTCCGCACTGAACTTTCTCGCAGCGTTCTTGATCGAAGCGAAGGAGGTAAGATCCATTTCGAGGAGCTTAACGGCGGTCTGTGGCGAAGCAACGGTTTTGATCTCGGCTACGGCATCGTTTCCTGACTGGATATTTCGCGCAGCAATCCACAGTTGCGCGGGACTGTGCTTAGAGAGGTCGAGGGCGTTCTGCTTTCCAAGGCCGGCGTTCCCGCCTGTGATGAGGATGACCTTACCAGCCAAGGATGGAATGTCTTTGATGGGATTGAAGGCGTGGCTGCGCATGGCTGATCAATAAGTCAAGAGAGACGGTTGCTCTCGAGAATAGAATGGCTACAAGTGAGATAGACCGCCGGAAAGGTATGTTGAACTCCTTATATGTCATGCTTTGAGAGATAATGGCACCCATCGTGGTGGGATAGCCGGCTTCGACGGACTTGTTCAAGCTGCTCCTTTCGTATGTTTGGTGAACCAGTCAGATTGCACAAGATCCGAACGGAACCAGAATGAGTTGTTGTTCTTATTTTAATGGAGTTAACCAAAGCATGGAAAAGAGGTATGAAGCCAAGCTTTGTCTGCGGATTCGTCCGTGCTAGCCGAACCCCTGACGGCACCAAGCCGCCGCCGCCCCACATCGGGAGCAAATAGCAAATGGGGGATCTTACAAAGCGACCAGTCCAATCCACGCCCTGCGCCTCATCCTGGCGCTGCATCGACCCATTAATACGCAGGCCCATCCGAACTGACGAAACGAAACCGCAACAATGGCGGTGGACCATCTCGCTTCCACTTCAGCAATGAGTAGCAGTTTGCCATCCGAATCACCTTGCCAGGAGCCGACGAAGCGCAGACGGAAGGTCAAGACTGGCTGCCGCACCTGCAAGTAAGTGAACGGGTTGTCATCATATCGCTGGATGTGTATTGGTACCTAAAGGCCCCCAGGCCACCTAATGCTCATAACGAATTCTAACTAGCTTTCTCGCAGAATCCGAAGGGTAAAGTGTGATGAGGGCCGCCCAGCTTGCCACCGCTGCGTCTCTACAGGAAGAGTCTGCGACGGCTACGGGATCTGGGGCGGAGGCGGAAATCGGTACGAGCAACGCATAGGTGCTCCTGTTTGTACTCGGAAGCCTATCAGCAACGTCAATTCGATTAAGCTCCTCATCAAGAAAGTCCCAGCTTTCGGTCCAGTAAAAGCAGCAAGCGCAGAGGAGCGAGAATTCTTCGAATGGTTCAAATGTCGCACATCCACCAAGCTTCCAGGCGCATTTGGCACATCGTTCTGGAGCTCTGTGGTATTCCAGGCTAGCTCAAGCGAGCCTGCAGTACTGCACGCGGTTCTGGCGCTGAGCTCGGCGCATAAACGCAAGGAGCTCGATAGTATCGGCCGCGACAGGTCGCGTGTGCCGCCAGATAAGCAAGAGGCGTTTATGCTGCGGCAGTACAGTACAGCGATCGGTTATCTCCAGCCGAACCTCTTGCCCAGTGGAAAGGGTTCAGTACGAGTCGCTTTGATTACGTGCTTGGTCTTCATTTTCTTGGAGTTCGTTCGAGGGCGCTATCAGGCTGGCTGCGTCCATCTGGAGAATGGACTGCGACTTATCAAGGACCTTGAGCCGGCGTCGCGGTCAAACGGGAGCTTGCTTGCCAAAGGGACAACGCGGAGCGCCGGGATCGACTCTCTCGATACCTCGCTTACTGAGCTCTTCACAAGGCTGCAAGTCCAGGCGGCCATGTTCGGCCAGCATGTTCGGCAATACGACCCTACTCCGACACTCTTGGAAACTGCGCTTCCAACCCTAAAGTTCGGATCAGCGAACGAGGCGCGCAATCATCTTGACATGATATTCAACGGTATCAGTCATATCACAGAGGAATACGACCGGATATCGGAGTCGGGATCCTACGCTGAAGGCCTCCAGGCTCTGTTATGCAATGACCAAGCGTTTATCCACGCGAGCCTTAACGCGTGGCTGCGGACCTATGAGGCCACTGTACCAGACGCAAACTTCAGAAAATGTTCTCTTGAAGGTTTTGCCTACCAACTTCTTCGCGTTTACTACACCATGGCCTCTATAATGACAGCGACCTGCCGATCGCTGCAATGCCAAGTCGTCTTCGATCTCCACACGCCGAAGTTCCTCTCCATTATTGACCACTCGATTCAGATATCCAAGGCGGTCTCAAGCCCCGAGATACAAGCCAGCTGGGGCTCGCATCCCGAAATGTCGGCATCGACGTCTGATATAGGCTGGATCCCTCCACTATACTATACGGCGCTCAAGTGCCGTAACCACTGCATCCGGGTCCAGGCCGTGCAGATGCTTCAATCGCGTTCACACAAGGAGGGCATATGGGACTCGAAGCTAGCCTCGAGTGTTGCCAACGAAGTGATCCGTATCGAAGAAGGAGATGTGTACGGAGAAGCGAGAGATACTTTTCCGCTGGACGAGCTACCTGGAGATGATCACTTGAAGACGCCCATGTTACCCGAAACTAGACGGATGCAGAAAGTAGACGTCGTACTCCCAAAGAACGACACGGACAGGATTGAATTGGTATGTAAGAGAAGGAATGACGGCGAATGGAAAGTTATCCACAAGGCGTATGACGACTCGACGGGGTGTTGGGTCCATGTGCCGCTGAAGAAGAAAGGATAGCAGGCTGAAGGCCACCAGGCTCCACAATGCCTTCGAGTTTCGAACCCAAAACTAGTAGCTATCCACGCTATGGCTTGCATCATTCGACCCTGTAGGATCCTCGAGGCAGGTGGCTGACTCAGGAGACCTCTCTTCAGCCTCTCGTCGAAACCTCTCATCGACGCCTCAGCAAACATCGCGGCACGTATTAGCATATCTTCTGAAAAAGGAGACCACAAGATGTAAAGGCCTTCAAGTATTGAAGGCCTTCAGGACTAGCTTTGCACAGCTACAATCGAGGCTGATGTCACGACGTTCGCTCTTCACGAACACGTGGTCACAGTTCGCGTGTGAAGTGAAGGAAGACCATCTGAGCACAACCCCTGTCCCCATGGGAGCGTTGAATGCAACAGCAAGCGGTGAAAGCTGCAGACTCGATGGGGTTCCCCCATATCGTCACGGGCCGTCTCCACACACCTCTTTTATATAAACATGGACTCTCGCTACCTCTTTAGCACTACCTTATACTCGCCTCGTATACAGTTGCTATACACAACCCAAACACATGGATCAATCAATGCCGACAACCGAAAACGTCGAGCAGTATCGGCTACGTGCTCTGGGGTAAGTTCTCGAGGTTCATATCGTATCCGAGATACTAACGAAGAGCGCACAGCCTCTCGCAAGTCAGCAAAGAGCTTGAACATCGGGTTCATCTCCTTGTCCGTGAACTAAACCGTCTCTATGATGAGATAAAGTGGGCGGAGTCGCCACAGCATGGATGGGTGCCATGCGAACCCGTCACACCACGCACCAAACCCTCGTTGAAAGTCGTCAAACTTCGTGAACAGCGTAGCCTGATGGACAATGAACGCGTAAACCTAACTCAAAAGGCCCGCCGCGTCGAGAACGAAGCCACCCGGATGATCATGCGATATGCCGAGCTGACATGCAAACCGCTCTGCGAGAGCATGCACCGGGAACTACCTCCCGAGCTACGCGATGCCGTGTACGAGCAAATCAGCACCTGGCGCGATCCTGTTGATGTCGACCACTACTTCTCCCACGCAACTGGACAAATAAAATCCTTCTTCTTCATGGCCCAGAAGAAGTGGCAGTCCCAGCAAGGACTCTTCGGCGCTTTCTATTGGGATCCTCGCTTCGTGGGGGATGTCGTAGCGCGCGAGCTCATCGGCAACTGGTATCGGACGTCGTCGTTCCTGGTTACGCATGATAGGCTCCTGGAGCGGTTCTTGAACGGAGATCGGTGGGAGATGGGTGTCGTTCCAAAGGTATGTACCCACTTGAGCTGCCTTCCGCGGCACCCCTTACATCTGACTCCGGAAAGCCACGAAGGCCTTTAACGGACAAAATCCCCTCGATCCTAGACGCTTGCTAATCTATAACGCCACGTTCACAGGACATCCTAACTAATATCACCGTTTCCATTCCCGAGGAGAGTTACGCGAATCCAGCCAGACACGATGAACTACTCGAGAACCTGAGGAGCTTGCTCGGCATGAAGAAGCCAGGGGTTTCCGTGACAATTCGCCTGAACCAGCGCTTTCCGCGTGGTCCTAGGGCCGAGCGAGCCGCGACGGCCTTCCGAGATATTCTCGGGCTAATTTTTCCAGTGTTGCATGCTCTCAATGGCAGAGGAAGCAGGCTGACGCTGGTCGAAACGGACAGCGCATTGCGGTTGGGGTTGTCTTCGGACAAGGGAGAATTTTCGGTGGAGAGGTGGTGCAAGCAGCGTCGGCAGCATCTAGCAGTAGGTGAAGAGGAGGACTCTTAGGGGCCGGACAACTTCTGATCCATCTTGGGTCTTCACTTGCTAGCCATCTCGAGGTAGTATTAGGACGCTTCTGTCGAGATGATATTGTAGAAGGCCGGTCGAGGTGTGGAGATATCCCGCCGTGTGATTGGCTAGCCGCAATGCCATCACCAGGGGCCTGAACTCTCGGAATTTGATGCCCCGCTTCCGAACGAAAATCGCTCCGCGCAACTTCTCACCCATTGATATTGCATGCCTCCTTGCTCAAAATTCACTCAGCCATCCCTCTCATTGCGCGCTGCCTCACTCGTCTTTTCGCGCTCCATCACGCTCCCGTGCCGCAAGATGACAGGCGGACCCTCGACATACGACGGTTCGCTGTCCTCTCTCCCGCAAGAAGCTCCGTCCTGACCGCCCACAGCGCCCGTACACATCGCCGTGATAGGCGGCACGGGCATCCAGTCCCTCCCCGGCTTCACCCTCGCTGCAACGCTGCAAATTGACACGCCATGGGGCGAGCCCTCGTCGCCCATTTCCATCCTCCACCACCCCTCGCCCACCACCGGCAAGCCTATCCCCATCGCCTTCCTCGCGCGCCACGGCCTGCACCACGAGCTGGCACCACATGAAGTCAAGAACCAGGCCAACATTGCGGCATTAAGACACATTGGCGTGCGGACCATCATCGCCTTCTCGGCCGTGGGCTCGCTGCAGGAGGAAATACGGCCGCGCGACTTCGTGGTGCCGGACCAGATTATCGACCGCACGAAGGGCATCCGGCCCTTTACCTTCTTCGAGGGTGGCATGGTGGGGCACGTTGGTTTCGGCGATCCGTTCGATAACAGCTTGGCCAAGATTGTGCGCCGCTGCGGGCACGCGCTTGAGGGCGAGGGTGTGCGGCTCCATGACACGGGCCTGCTGGTCTGCATGGAAGGGCCGCAGTTCTCAACGCGCGCAGAGTCAAACCTCTACCGCTCGTGGGGCGGATCAGTCATCAACATGTCTGCACTGCCCGAGGCCAAGCTCGCCCGTGAAGCAGAGATAGGATACCAGATGATTTGCATGGCCACCGACTACGACTGCTGGCGCGGTGGACCGGACGAGGATGTCAACGTGGAGATGGTCATGGGCCACATGAAAGCCAATTCCGAGAATGCCCGGCGATTTGTGGGCGCAGTCCTGGATGAACTCAGCAAAGAGGAACATGGCGAGCAAGTGCTGGCAAAGCATCTGGAAGGACAGATGAAGTTTGCAGGCGCCATCACCCACAAGCACGCGCGAGGCGAGGCTGAGCAAAAGCTGCAGTGGCTGTTCCCGGGCTACTTTGACTAGGCGCAGACTGGACGACAATGTAGTCGTGGAAATAGATGTAGAATGGGCCTCAACGCCCAAGGGTGTGCACTGTCCTTCCAACCAGCATTCGGCCGTTGCTGCGAGCTGTTGTCATTTATCGCGTCCTTGCCTTAGGTAATGCTTCCCCCAACGCGGAAGGTCGATAACATTGTGCACATTAAAAAGCCATCAGACAGCTACGGAAACTCGATTCCCAGCAGAAGTCGACGGCACGTATCGTCGCCCCGCCGCGGAGAAAATGTCAAGCTCCGCCATTTTCCTTACTCCTTGTGCACCTGCCTAATCGCGTTAGCTCGATTTTCGCCAATCGTCGCCTCCAGGGCTCCGCATGCAGGCCCGTCTCGGTTTGTTCACATCCAGCTCATCACATAAGCCACTCTATTCAGTTTGAGAGCACGGAGATCGCAGTACAACTGACAACGCGACCACGATGTGGCACAAACGTTTCAGGGTATGTTGGGCGGCTTGGCAGGTACGACGCATGGCCGGTCTGTGTGATACTTCTCTGTGGGTGGAGCAACCCGCTGCGTCCTCACGTTAACTGTCAAGCATCGAACCACAGACCTGGCTCTTATCGCATGCCCCGGGGCTTGATCGGCATATTCGTTTCCGTGGGAGGGGTTTCTGTACGAATCCCTGTATGGGCATCCCGGTCGACAGCCATGCCGCAGGAATTGGATTCAGGCACATATGAAATATAAAGCGCGACCGCGTTCTCCAGCTCCCGGCCGGACGCGTCACATTGTCTTCGACTCCCTGCTCGTTGTGGTGACCTTCGCGATGGTGCTGCTTGCTTGCTTCTGGAAGGCTTTCGTGGCTTCGACGGCCGTCGCGACGTTGGTGGCTGGGCATCCCAATCCTTCGACGCTACCTTTCTTGCTGGATGCCACTATCAGCGAATTGAGTGCCGGTCTTGAGAAAGGCACCTTTTCCAGTGTGGACCTTGTCGACGTAAGGGCTCCCCTGACAAGAATTACACTTTTTGTCCAGCTATACTACCTCCCTGCTCGATGGATCCACTAACCGGAAAATAGGCATACGTTGGACGTATTCTAGAAGTCAATTCTACACTGCATATGGTCACGGAAATCAATCCCGATGCCTGGACAATTGCGAAGCAACTTGATGATGAGAGGGCTGCCGGAAAGTGTCGAGGGTATTGCACCTTTATCTAGCACAACTATCGTGGAACTGACCAAGTATCAGGCCCCTACATGGCCTCCCAATCCTCATCAAGAACAACATCGCAACGGCCGACCTCATGAACAACACTGCAGGCTCCTATGCTCTTCTAGGCGCAAAAGCGCCCCGTGATGCGACTGTAGCTACGAAGCTTCGCAAAGCGGGCGCCATCATCCTGGGGAAGACCAATCTCTCCCAATGGGCCAATTTCCGGTCGTCAAACTCATCGAACGGATGGTCAGCCTATGGGGGTCAGACTTATGGCGCCTACTACCCGGGCCAGGATCCCTCCGGTTCTTCATCCGGCTCTGGCGTGGCGAGCAGCCTGGGTCTTGCGGTTGCAAGTTTGGGAACGGAGACGGATGGGAGTATTGTCAGTCCCAGCGAGAACAACAATATCGTTGGTATCAAACCCACGGTCGGTCTCACTTCCCGTGCCCTCGTAATTCCCATTTCCGAACACCAAGATACTGTAGGCCCCATGGCACGTACCGTCAAGGATGCTGCGCATGTCCTTCAAGTGATTGCTGGACCTGATGCGTATGACAACTACACTCAGGCCAATCCGTTCAACGGCACGCTTCCAGACTACGCTAAAGCATGCAACCTCGACGCGCTAAAAGGCAAAAGAATCGGCGTCCCGCGTAACTACATTGGCCTCCTCGGCCCCCGCGACGAGGCGACCGCGCCTATCTTGGACGCCTTCGAGGACGCGCTCAAGATTATCGCAGAAGCAGGCGCCACCATTGTAGACAACACCAACTACACTGCATACGAGCAATACCTGAACAGCAGCGCCGAGGGCATCGTGCTCGATGCTGATTTCGTCGCGAATCTCAAATCCTATCTGGACCAACTGACGTACAATCCGACGGGCGTTGGCTCGCTTGCGGACGTACGCAACTTCACCCAGACGTTCCCGCCCGAGGAGTATCCCAGCAGGGACACCGCAACTTGGGACGAATCCCTTGCTCTCAACTTCACCAACACATCCCCTGAATTCTGGGCCGCCTACCAAGAGGACCTCTACCTAGGCGGCGCAGGCGGTCTTCTAGGAGCACTCGCGAACTACTCGCTAGATGCGGTCGTCGTCCCTACCGCCGTTGCCTCGGGGATCTCGGCCATCATTGGCGCACCTCTCGTGACGGTGCCACTCGGTTTCTATCCCCCTAATACAACTGTGCAAACGAACAGGAGGGGCAATTTGAATGCTACGGCCCCGAATATCCCGTTCGGAATCAGCTTTGCGGGGAAGCATTGGAGTGAGGAAAGTCTGATTGGATTTGCGTATGCGTATGAGCAGAGAACTATGACGAGACGGAAGAGTTTGCCATATATCTTGCCGGGTACGGAATTGGCAACTGTAATGGGCTGATAAAGGATTTGAGCCACGATAGTAATAGGACGATTCGACTACCTTAAACCTTTGTCAGCTCCTCGCTAGTTTGCACCGCCACCTCTCCTCTCTGACATTTTAATAATGTCCTGCTCGTGTTACGCAGCAGTCTCAGCATTACTACTCCACAGAGTCCAATAATGGCCGTGCGTGCCAATAATCTCGGCGCATCGCGCTGGGTGTGGCTTAGGAAGTTAGCGCCCACAACTAAGGCACCTATGGAGCCCTTTATGACAGTGTCCGGAAAATGAACCCATTATTCCGCACTACTGCAAGCGTGGCTAAAACATCTACAGGTACCGAGCGGCAATAAGCTACGCAGCCTGGTTTGGTGGCCTAATTTCGACGGTGGGCCTTGCATGATGATCCGTGGGCTGCATTGACGTGGGTGGTAAAACCACGCTCAAGGCTCTTTCGATGAAGGATGAGAAGAGCGTGATTTCACGGTGTCCAACCAAGTCTGCGAACCGTTCGACATACCTTCCTAGTCGTTTACAATTGTTGAAGCGAGTATATGGCGATGCGCCGTCATGACTTCGGATCAAAATGAGCCTCTTCTCGCACAATATGGCAGCGACGACGAGGGCCTGGAGCATAAATTCCCGCGCGCATGGGAACCTTCGTTGCTTGAATCTCGTTGGAGACAGAATATTGCTGTTCATGGCACGCTGATACTGTTGTACACAGTCATATCGGCTATGGTTGTCTACCGCTATACTTCGCTACCGGATGCTTCTTCATCTTGCAGTAAGTCTGCTACTCATTAAAAAAGATTCAAAATACCCAGACTAACTCACCGACGGCAGTACGTTCCAACACCATACCGATACCCTTCACAACACATCCCGTCACCTTCCACAACTTGTCTCAAACACGCTACGCGGGGGATAAGCCGAAGCAGGACTTGGACGCCGCGTGGGAAGACCTCCTTCGGCCCATGAACATGCGATTTACGAAAGAGGAGCTGGAGAGCGCGAATCAGCACTCCGTGGCTTTACCGGAAGGAGGTGGCTATCTTCGCTGGTTCGGCGTCTTCCACGTGCTTCATTGCACTGTACGTCCGTCCGCTCAAGTTACACCAGTAGAGTGAGATGTTCATGTTACTATTACAGAAGATGCTTCGACAGTCTTTCGAGCGAGCGCGGAAGTGCAACGATTCGGAAGACGAGTCAAGAAAGGAGGTGCAACATGTTGGTACGTCGAGCTCGCAACATTCACCTCACATCGAGACGAGACGAGAAGTATCACTGACTAGATGCAGAGCATTGTATCGAGCTGCTAAGGCAGATGGCGGTTTGTAGGCCGGATACTTCGCTCACTACATTTATATGACATCCTTCGAGGAATCTGCCCATGTTCAATGTGAGCGAGTCGGTGCATACATGCGTGGATTGGGATGCATTTCTAGAGACGACGAAGGATAGGGTGGTTGGAGAGGAGTAGATGTGGCAGCTGAGCAATCCACTGTTGGGCAATGTTTAACAACTACTTACGCCTTTCCCAGTGATATGACACTGAATTATTCCGGTCGGTCGGGCCTTCTCGCCTCACTTCAACCCATCTCATGCACCGCGCTCACCATGATGATGCACATGCCCACCACCATCCTCATTCCCCCTCCTCGGCGCCCCAACATCCTCCCACTCCCCCATCCACTCCATCAACCCACCCCAACTCCGACACTCATGCACAGTCCCAAACCCCGTAACACCGCCCAGCGTCTCATTCTTGACCTCTCCCGTAAGATCCGGCGTGCACATGAGCGCCTGCCGCAGCAGATCGATACAATGCCGCATATGCTTTGGCGAAATCTCGGGCGGGATGGCTTCGGGCTTCAAAGGCTCGGAGGAAGATGACATGGCTGCGTCGAACGCGGTCCAGTAGGAGGCGCGCAGCGCGTTCAGGCAGTGCAGCTGGTGGAACTAAGAGAGCGCTGGGTATTAACATAGGACGCCATCGGTAGGAAGGAAGCGATGGATTGGATTGCTCACTTACCACTGCATATGCGCTCCGCTCAGGCGCGATGTCCGGATGATTAAAGAATCCCCCGCGCTTTGGGAAGAGCGCGCCCCAAGCTGCATTGCTCGCATTGGAAGGCTCGCCGAATAACTGCTCTTGTCGGAACATTTTCTCCTCTGTGGCTAGGGCGAAAGGGGCTGTGGGAGTAGACGCATGCTGTCTGAGCCTGCTTTTGCCAATGAAGATGCCGATGAGTAGGAAGACGAGGGAACACACTGCTAGGTAGATATTTTGGGAGAAGCGGGTGCTGTTTTGATGCCGGCTTTGGTGGTGAGATGGGGTTCTTGCGTGAGGTTCTGCCGGTGGAGGTTCTTCGGTTATCGGGGGTAGTCTGGTGTAGGAGTATGTGCGGGGTTTTGAGAAGGAGGGGAACATGTTTGGGGAGGTGGGCGGGAGGTAGTAGACTGCTGTGATTTAAGAAATTTTAAGAAGTAGTATGATGGTTAGGAAAATATTGTATCTCAGAAACGAACGAAGAAGAACGAGGTGCAATGTGGAGTTTCCTGGATCGAATTCCTGGACTGAATTTACAAGTTAGGGAGCTGGGTTTCGATCGTCTAGTCCACGCTGTACAAGTACTGACTGACGCAACGTGGGCGGCCCCAATTCTGATCCACCCGAAAGCGGAAAATACGTTGATCGCGATACCAGCGCCATGCTACAACGAATTAACATGCATTAGCGTATATGCATTCGGGGTAGTACTCACATTGTAGTTCCCAGCACGCCTCCCAGCATGTAGACCAAGCAAAATCATCGACGAACAATGCCGGATGATGTAGATCATATAAACTCCAATAGGTTGCCTATTTCAGAAATCCATCGTTGCCTATATGACGGCATCGTTGTCCTAGGCTGATTTGTACTACCTACCTAAGGTAAGGTACCTGGGACCTAGCGACTCAATGGGGTTACATGCGGCGCTCCGGCTGGTGGTTGGTACAGGCGCGCATGCTTGACCAAGGAGCTGTCCCGGTTCAGGGCTACTGAAAATGCGCAACGTGGTACTGTCTGCATACCCGATCCCTGTATAGGGTGTTCTCCACAGCGTATCTTTGCCGGGTTGATCAAGTCGAAAGGTAGGATGCCATAAAGTAGACACAGCGCCTCTATGTTAGCCAACGACTTTCTCTCCACTCATCCGTCGTCACCTAATCTTTCCAAGCTCTCTGTTTTCCTCCCTACATTACCATCAACCCATCTAAGAACGCAACTCCAACTTGTCAACATGCGTTTCGCTCTCGCCATTGCGGTCTTCATTGCCGCTACTTCTGCCGCCCCGGCCAGCAAGCCTAAAGGTACGTACCTGCTATTGATTCATTGCGTCAAAGGTCCGGGATAACATTGCGCAGTGGAAGATGCTATCGCCTACGCCGAATCCTACAAGGAACGGTAGGTCACATATCCAGAGAGCTACAAGAGAGGAGACGCTGATATCACCTATCCCGAAAGCTACAAGCGATTGCCTGACGCCGATGCCGAAGCTGAGGTTGCGTATCCGGAGGCTTACAAGGAGAGATATTGAGACGCGATAAGAGGAGGGCGGGACTCGTATGTCGCTATCCATAGAGTCTGTGAAATAGACCAAGATGTAGCTCCTATATTACAGTCGCTTGTTTTTGTTCTCATATTGACCATATTACGTCCGGAAGTCTTTCAATTCGCACATCCGGCATCGCTCATGCAATGAATGGGTACTATAGTTGATGGCGCTGTCTTCCGTGCTCTTCTAATCAGCTTCTACGATAAAAATTTTATAAATTTTTTTTTGGGATGTGTTCCATAGTATCGTCTCCCAGTTCCGTCGGCAGTCCATGTCCCGCTATGGATTAATAGACGTCTCGCTATCTTGTGCTCAGCGTATCTTGCCATGGCGGTGACACCTGCGAGCCTCAAGCTCGTTCGCTAACTAGGCCTAGCAAGAAAGAGGCACTAGAAGTCAGGATCCACTAGAAGCTTGTGGCCGAAATCGCTCCTTGACTTTCGTAGAAGCATGCGATGCTGAATTGCGGGCCGAGGCGGACTGCAGACAACTCCCGAGGTCATCTTATAGTGTGAGATTTTCATTCAGGAGTGCTGTTTCAGCTAAATGATTTATAGGATGTTTGAAGAAATGTTTTGCATATATTTCTCGAGGAATTGATGGGCTGTGGACCTGCGGAGATGTGACGTTGACGTCATCGGGCAGGCTTTTGAATTCGGTATCGCACCACCTCAACAAACCATTACAACCATCGCCCGCATACCTTCATATCAACCTCCTAATGGTTAAGATCCCCAGCTAAATAAATAAACCGTTTACATTGGAATCCATAAGGAAGCAAGGGGCGGCGGAGCTATAACAGTAATAGTCCACTTCATCTTGCGGGGAGTGCGACTGAGTACCTCGCAGAAAATAACTAACTCAATGCCGCACACCAACGGGCATCTTTTGGTTTCTGATCGCAAAGTCCGTTATCGTCACAGAGAGTGTCCCGGCAATGTCAAAAGAGCAAGGGAAATCCAAGTCACCAGTCCGCGAACAACTCGCGTCACTCGTGCACTGGGCTTCGGGCCCGAAATCGAGTTTAGCGATCCAAGGACGGCGACGGATAGTTGGAGGAGCGATGTTAACACCAGACGATTAGCGGCACAATCGAACCGCCAAAATGGATGGAAAGCAACCGCCCCTTTCAACGCGATATTAATTATCTAGCCGGGAATGCTGTATACGTGAATTATGCTCACTCTTCCAAGCAATAGTCTACTGGAAAGAACTCTTGAAGTATCATTGGGTTTGTTTCCGACGTACTCGGGTTGTGTAGAGGACCAGTGGAGCTTCGGCTCTCGTTCCACTCAAACGAGTGCGTGGTTTGTAAATCGTACATCGCATCTTCGGGATTGCGAGTCAGCAATATGGAAAGTTGTTAGGTGGATGGCAGGATCAGAGAGCAATGCATGGTCCGGAACTAAGACGACAGCCTAAACGCCGGGGACAAGCGGACTTACGCGCCAATGCGCAGTTAACTCACACTTGTGAAACGTTCGGAGAAATCAATCGCCCGAAACGCCTTCTGCTTGCACACTTGAAATACGAATTAGAGTTAGCGTCGTAGGGTTGAACTCGCACATTCCACGGGATCCTTCGGACGGACGATGGCACGCACGTATAAAAGAGCTTCCGCATGAGAGTGGAGCACCGCCAGCAGCCATCACATTCGTCTTTTGAGGAACTACAATCGACTTACTACATTATGTCTGGGAGCAATTCCATTAAGAAGGTCGCTGTTGTCGGGGTAAGTCATGCTGCCTACATCCACTTATGCAAGCGCTAACCCATAACAGGCCACCGGTCACGTGGGGGCTCCCATGGTCGCCGAGCTGCTGAAGACAGGCAAACACTCCGTCACGGCCATCACTCGCAAAGACAGCACCGCAAACTTCCCTTCTGGTGTCAACGTTGCCCGCGTGGACTACTCCTCTCAGGACTCGCTGGTTTCCGCTCTCAAAAGCCATGACTTCCTGATCATCACTCTCGGCGTACGCGTGCCTGAAGAAACGCACAGCAACATCGTCAAGGCCGCTGCAACGGCTGGTATCCCTTATGTCATGCCAAACGTATATGGCTACGACATCCTGAACGAGAAACTGTACGGCGAGTCTGTCTATGGCGCAGCGTCCTTCCGCAGCATCAACGACGTCAAGAACGCTGGGCTGAACTATATGGTCATGTGCTGCGGCTTCTGGTACGAATGGAGCCTTGCGCTTGGGGAGCCATGGTACGGCTTCAACATCAAGGACAAGAAAGTCGTCTTCTTCGATGACGGCACGACCAAGATCAACACCAGTACTTTGGAGCAGTGCGGCAAAGCTGTAGCGGCGCTTCTCAGTTTTCCCATCACGAGCGAAGGCTCTGGTAAGCCCGCGCTGGAGGATTGGAAGAACAAGCCTCTCTACATCTCCAGTTTCTTGATCAATCAGCGCGACATGTTGGATAGCCTTCATCGCGTAATGGGTACCAAGGACGAGGAGTGGTCCATTGAGTATCAGCCAAGTGAGCAACGCTACAAGACTGCCGTTGAGGATATGCAGAAGGGGAACATGCTGGGGTATGTACGCTCCCTGTACTCAAGAGTGTTCTATCCGACCGGAGACGGCAACTTTGAAGCCAACAGAGGTTTAGCGAATGAGGTGCTGGGGCTGGAGAAGGAGGACCTTGACAAGGTGACCAAGTGGGTGGTTGATAAGATCGAAGAGCACGGTGGCAGTCCGTTCTCCGTCAATATGCTCTAGAGGCTTCTGAAGACATCGTAGACATATCGGCGTCGTCAGAGGAATGACGGACAACTATCCCTTGTATTTTAGTCTATACAAGCAGTCTTGCTCTTTAGATATATGTTCCTTGCTGAACGCATTATGACCGTGCATCGCCTCTAGACACAGTTCGCGACTGGGTTATCACGAGCAAGTCCGCAGATCATGCGATCGCCTTTCTCGTCTCCATACACCCGTTTGATCTCACTCCTTACGTTCCCCCACTGGTTTCTAGAACCCTGTATCGCAGCCAAAACAGCCTTGTCAATGTTCCCAGCCACCTCGTTCCTCGGCACACCGTCTGAATCCCCTTCGATGTTTCCATTCAGCTCTATGATGCCATGATCTTTATTCATAGTATGGTGCGTCACACGATCCTCGCAGTCGCCAAATCCTTCCGCACGATCTATCAGGACATAACAACCCGTCGACAAGCCCCGTGGAACCTGCCCAGCAATAGCAGTCGTAAGCCGAAGATCCAGGAACGGCGCCGCATCCGTGCGATTCAAACCAGGAGGATTCGTGACCGAGATGGAATGAGCAGAATTGGGCAGATCAGCCCAGTTGCTATGCGCGTAGAAATCCTGGACGCCATGGAGTGCGTGACCAAAGCCCTCCAAGACGACGCACTTGGCATTATCGCTTGTGTTATCCGTCGTCTCTCGATGATCATGGTCGCACTCGTCCTCGTCGCCTAGTTCCGTCATGTCTTGTTTGATGCTATTACTCGCATCTAGCATCCTCACTGCGCCTCGAATAGCCTGGCCGAACCGCATGCGCAAATGGTCTACACAGGCCTGCAGCTGCTCTGTCGCTTGCTGTCTTGTCCGAGGATACCCTTCCACATCCAAGAAGTCCGCATCGTCGCAGTGTGCCTCGGGCCCTTCGGGTTGCAGATCGTCCGGCGAACCCACCATCCCGTTGTCGCCCAAGAAGGGGATGCTGCCCACATGGGTGCCAGCCAGATTGGAGAGGGAAATGGGCTCAAAGCAATCGTATGGTGGCGCGGACACCGTATCAGCGGGGCATTGGAACGCTAGGCGGGTTATCATCTCATGTTCATTGTGCTGCCCCAAGCCATTTATCGTGCCGAACGGTTTGCATGCTACGAGACATAGCAAACATCCCAAGGTAACGATAACCGTCCTGCAGATGAGATGAGAAGTTTTCCTGGTTGATGTTAGTGGTGCGAGGATGGACGATTGGGCCAGTGACTTCCATGTTAAATAAAGGTATCATCACTACACCTATGCCGTCGTGCTTGAAGCGGTATAGCTAGGACAACCAGAGTCGACACTTTGGCGTACAGTGATGGAAGTCTTAGGCCAACTCAGGGCAAAATAGCGATTCTCATCTGAGTACTATGACTGGCGAAACTTGCGGGTGCCCTTTCCGCGGTAAGGACTTGAGAGGGTGGGGTAGACTGCACGGTATATCCCTTCCTTCTTATAGGTTCGAAGACAGCCCCAAACGTCAGAAAGCTGACAATAATAAATATCTAGCCCCCGAGAAGGTAAGGATATAATCTCTTGGAATCTCTACCCTGGAAAGGGGGTCCGCATCTTTGGCGGTCATCGATACCAAGCTTGGAAGGTCGACGAATATTCGCTTCCCATACCATGATTTCAAGATCCCGCGAACACCAATGTCACCCGTGCAGCAGACAGGCGCAGCCAAGAGTCCGCAATCCTAGAGGGAGCAAAAAGCAGGGTTCGCGGGCGGGGCGGTGTCGAAATCGGCTGAAGATATCAGCACGCCTTCGCTTGAGCAGCCCTTCCTTTGTCGGCAACGTATTCGCACCGCGCATAAGACGAGGTAGTGTGATTAGGGCCAGATCGGTGACCTGGTTGTTAAGGCCTTCGGCTGCCAAGTAATGATACAGACTGACTTTTAAAGGGCTGTTGAATAGCTAGCCATGAAAATAGACGTACTAGAGAGGCTGGCGTAGAATTGATTGCGGCCTCGTACCCCAATGCGTGTGCCAGGGTTTGAGACAAGCGGCAGCCACACCTCCAGGCAAGCCTCGGCCCGTCACATGCCTTCGTGCAGGAGACAGCCTTTCGATCGCCGTCTGCTGTTGCAGGATGACTTTAATAACCACCTTGGCCGTCTAAACCTGCAGCCAGTGGATTATGACCTGCGGTTGTGTAACTGGGCAGCTCCACGTACTCAGTCCCTCTGATCCACTAAATCCATGATAGAGATCCTGAGTCGGCGCCGCTGTGCCTCTGTGAGCAGAAAGATGTCTGAAACTAGGCAGTTTGGTATCTCTTTCCTCCACCATATTGATAGAGCTTGCCATATCCCATCATCACGGAGCGCCCATTGAAAGTGCAACATTTCTAAAGATGGCGGTAAACGGCTGGCGAAATCTAGAGGCCTCTCCTGCTCGTAGGAGTACTCATAATAGAATTGTCCCTCTGGCAGTGCTTCACCGTCCTTATCTTCGCTAGCGAGCGTCGTTCAGGTACACCGTGAAGCCTTCAGCTTCTGTAATCCGCGGAGGGTAGGGGGTGGGGGAACCACATGCGCCTCTCCGTTTTCGTATGTATACCTCTCCAGGGCCTTTATCCCGATGAGTATATCCTCCAGCGCCTCTGGGGCAAAAAAAGAAATGCTTGAAAAGAATGCGACAGCAACATGAGTGAGACTCTTGAAGGGTAGGGTGGTCGCTTGGACCGGGACTGTATACGCGATCGGGACGCGCTTCACCAGATCGAACAGCTCCCGGAATATGATTCGTGAATCGGAAGACCCTAAATTTCGGTGCCAGAGCGACCAAAAGCATTGCAATTGATGACCCCCAAGATAACGGGGAAGGGTCTTGTGTGGTAGTCGGATGAAAAGTGTGAGGCATTGCCAAGGCGCTAAATGCGCGCCAAAAAGCCACCTAGGTCAAGACGAGGAAGGCGTCGCCTTGGGGACGTTGAACCTCATGTTTCACCTCTGCATTCAACCGCCCACTTTTCAAAGCACGAGACGCTGGCTCATCAGAATCCCTCGACAATTCTTCATCACTCATCCGGATATGACACCGGCATGGAGACACTCTCGGGCCGGCCGCCGCGCTTACGCGTTCAGCCTTGATGCGCGGGCTATGCGGATACTGATACGCTTTAAGAAGACCTTTCCGCTTCAATGTTCTACAGGTATATCCTCACAAGCCGGGAATTGAGCGGCTACGACGATACCGCAGTAAGGTTGACATACACCTCCACAACAGGTACCTTAATCCCCGAATTGGCCTGTCATGCTCTATTACCGGAATGCGATTCCGGCTCATCGCCATCTTGTCCTTCGACCTTCCATTAAACCCAATAGGCTCATTGCCCTTGGAAGAAGTCATTGCCAAGTTCCCGACGCGTCTGCTACCACCACCACCTCGGTAGTTACACCCTTCGCGTGGCACCTCTTGTGCTTTTATATGCCGACTTACAACTCCATCCCTGGACAACCGAATGGCCTGGCTCAAGCGAACCAGCCGCAATCACGATCCGAAATGGAACCGTTGGGTAGGCAGCTGTAGTCATCTAAGGTCCGTTCTTCACAGCGACAGTCACACAAATGGACCCAAACGGAAAGTCCTCCCTTAGTCACGCACGCCAAAGGATTGATGAACGGCACCAAGCCCCAGAGCATAGCGGCTACTACGTCGGGTCCATTATCTTTCCTAACTTGTAGAATGGAAGCTCGAGCGCGTGATCGTCTGAGCCGGAGCACATTGCACACAACGATATCCATCGACAATGAAGCTGCGTAGGACATCGAAAACTCCCTCAACATACCCGGCTTTACATATCCCGCTCCCATTTTCCTCAAAATTTCATATTCTGCTTGCTGAGTTCTCAATTCGTTTCCAAGCTATTGTGTTGCTTTTTCCACTCCCTTCGGATCTGCCGCTGCTATGGCGCTCTTGTCTCTTCTCCTTGCTTTACCCATCGTAAATGCTCTCCCCAGTACGATATCAAATGCCTCCCTCGAAAGCGGCGACGTCCACACTCGGGATATCACCAAGTTGTGTCTTTGGACCAACTGCAATGGGAAGTGCCCAGTAGGATTCAGTCCGGTCCCACGTGCCACCGGCGGCCAAGGCGAAGTCATGCTCGATAGCACTATTTGCAACGGCCCTGGTCTCTCGGTGTTCTGCTGTCCGAGCGCCTCCCGCTACCTACGTGTACGTGGAGAGGACACAGAGGCTCCGGTGCATGCCGACCCGGGTGCGGCCAAGGCGAAGTGGAAGTTGGCACTCTCCGCAGGGGATGCTCCTCGAAGCACCAGAGCGCCTGCTGCACAGCAAGTCCCGCATTGGAGGCATACGGTCAATGCAAGTGGCACGGCGAAGCTCCGATCTGTTCAAAGTCAGAAAAGTCGAAAACCCCCACTCATGCTCCATGCAGCGATGAATACCCCGAATTTGTCCTCGCCGCGAGTGCTGGGTTTGGGGGCGAACAGATCTGCGACTCTGGTAACGGTTTACGCCCACTCTAATTATTGCACGGCTGATATCAGTGCAGGCGCCAAAAGCTATTGCTGCAAACAGACACCGAACGAATTCACCATGTGTAACTGGTTCAAAAAGGAGACACATTCGCAACCCGACAACGTCTGCGAGCCCTCTTGCCCACCTAATCACGTCAGACTTTCCGTTCAGCGCGGTGACTGTACCCAAGGCCATGAAGCATTTTGCTGCGCTGGGGGGGCGCCACCACCTCCTCCTCCGCCACCGCCGCCGCCGCCTCCTTCTCCCTCGCCTCAGCCTCAACCCCCATCTACCCCGGGTTGGGTCAAACACGTGAGCGATTTTGAGCGTGCAGCACAATTGTAAGTATCCGAGCACTCCCTTCATCTATTGTCCTAGCTGATGAGGGTAAGCTACGTGCAGAATCATGGAACCGACAGGTGCCCGGTGGGTCTTGGACTCAACCTCGAAGAGTAAGGTATCCCTCTCCATTGACATTGAAGCTGTTACTGACAGCTGCGGCATAGTTGGACTGTGCCGGATCTGATTGCCGAATCTGCAAGCGCAGTGGAGAGTGAGGGGATATCTGCTGGCGCGACCGACTTCGACACACAATGTAAGTATGCCCACATCGACATCAGAGCATTCCTTATCCGCGCTCTCGGCATGCGCAGGAAAAAGAAGAGCGAGGAAACTATGCAAGAGATCGATATCTATGACAGGGTGCTAGGGAGATTCCAAGGCTCCTCGTACGCTGATCTGGGCCAATATCTCGACGACCACCCTCTGCAAAACCCCCGCGCCGTTGTGGATGAACTACTGTACGACATTCCAGCATGGAGCCAAAGGATGCGTGCTATGGACGTCTTAAAAACACGGATCTGTCAATATCCTGGTCAATTAGTATCGACAGGAGACACATTTGGAGCGGGATCCGATGGCATAAGTTGGACGAATACTACGACGGCGTCTAATCGCTCCTCTGCAATCTTCCCGAGGCACTTTTTCTCTGATCCTAAGGCGCCAGACATTCCGCCAGCTCCCAATGACGGAGTTCCAACTTTTGGCACTATTTTTCGTGGCATCATCAATGGTGAGATCTCCATACGCCACCATCTGTCACCAGTTCTTCGCCGCTAATCAATATTTTTAGGATACCTTAGTCTCCATTATGCGAGATGGATGTGGTACGCCGGCCGGCGTTCTCGCTGGCCAGAAGGGTGAGCGGATTTCATTATGGCGGGCCCCTTTTGGAATATGGTCGCTAGGCTCCTATAATTCTGCAACTGGCCTTTCTGCATGCAACTCTTGGGCTAACCCATGTGAAGGCCCATGCTCGAAGTCGCGTACTGGATCGGACCGCGTCCTGGCTATACGGAAGACCCGATATCAGACCGGAATATGCGTCTTGACATTTACCGAGACCAGCGTCCATATCATTTACCCCTGGGTGTACGCGACCGATGGGTCGTCCTCCACATTCACTTCCCCGGAAACTCCCCGCACATCTTCCGAGACATCGGTGGTCACACTTATGTCAGTGTGGTACGTCCGGGCCTTCACATTGGCATGACCTTGCACTGACAAGCTGTATGTACAGTCAGGTATCACGATGTACCATGGCCAATACGCGACAAACCAAGAGGGGGCGTACTGGCAAGTCTACAACCGGGAGAATGGACGAGAAAGCAACTTCGATTACAACGCTCGTCTGGTCGTTAATTGCCCGTGGTACTTTGACGCCCAATCAGTGCCCGCCGGCCGAAGGCCAGGCATCATCCCCATTGGACATGCGGTGGACGCCCCATACGCTGACGTTCCATACTGGGGTGATTTCCTGACAGTTATGACCGGCCTCTACAACATGGGTTATCTGTCGCAACGTGGCTTTCGGGCGATCCTAGCTTCACCACATTACAATGACCACGGAGAAATCTTGCCCAGTCCAGCGGCACCCGCTTATAAGTCCTTATCCACTCCTACCGTCCTGACGAATAACATGATGGTTGCGCCCTGGCACACGAACTTTAGATTCGACGAACATGGGCGATTCATCTACAACATTCCAATGCCGCCTTATCCTTTGCCTTTGTTTGTGCCCGGTCCTCCAATTCCGCCTCCACCTTCGCATTCAGCACCTCCCCCTCCCCCGCCGCCTCCGCCGCCTCCGCCACCTGGACCGCCTCCACCACCTCCACCACCTCCACCGCCACCTCCAGCTCCCCCTGTCCCTGCTTCTCTCTGACCGTTCGGTGGTAAGACTACTGAGCACTGGGGTGGATGGAATGATGAGGGCTCCAGGGCGCTGATCGTGAGTTGAGAATGGATGCTATTGCTTGGTAATACGTATATGTTTTGGGTTGGTGATACCGGCAGGTTCACGTCGTGTCCCCCGTATTCTATTCCCGCGTTCGTGTCACTCGTTCACCTTTTCGTAGCTACACACAAGTCCAGTCTCTCATTCAATTCAAGACGGCTTTCCAATCTCTCTTGGCCATCTCATGCACACGATACGTGACTGAACAGAAACCCCACATGATTTGTCTTTATCCCTGCGCCATGCAGAAAGGGGGCCGGTCAATCAAAGGTGATTGATGGTAGCACTACCCGAAGCATCCCTGACGGAATCCGATTTGAGTACTTGTCCGGGACTGGATGCCTACATTTCCTATCCGGCTAAGCTAACATCGAGCTCAGGCTCAACGCTCTCCGACTCAGTCCATGCAGACGACGCGAGGGACACCACATCCCAGTCCTCCACTAATCTTTCACTGTTCGTATCATCTTCCTCTTCCGACTCTACCACCTCATCGCCGCACCCCTCCCACCCTCCATCCCACCACTCCCGCCTCTCTTCAACGTCCTCACCCCGAAACTTCGCACATGAGCACCATCCGCTCTTACATCCCCACGCCGTCGCATACCAGGGTCCACCTTCAAGAAGGCGATGCCAGTTCCATTGGACCTCTCTTTCTTCTCCCGCCCGGCTCGCTCCGGTTCTACCTGCCACCACTATTCTCCTCTCTTCTCCCTCACTAGCATGTCCTTCGTCTTCGGCCTCCGACTCATCCGGATGCCAGTGCATATCATCCCAGTCAAGATGCAAATTATGGTCAAAGCACCAGTCCTCGTATCGGAACCAGTCCAAGTCGCTGATCCATTCTTCGCGGAAGAGGTCGGAGCGAATTGTGCGTTTGGTGGTCTGCTGGCGGTGGTATTTTCCGGGAGGTTGCTTGTGATGGGCACGACTCTTGTTCGTTCGAGAGCGGTGGTAATGTTTGGGGAGCGCTGTGGATCGGAAATCGGCGGCTGGGTTGCCACGGGCATCTAGAGTGCTGAAGAAGGTCTCGGACGGCATTGTGAGGGTCGGAAAGGGCGGTAGTGCGCGTAATGAAGAGGACTGCGCGGAGAAGATGGAACGGAGGCTTGAGCTGTTGTAAGTCTAGACGGTTAGCAGAGATCAAGAGTTTATTTGTAGGCACTGCTTTGGCAGCGTCGACCACGAGTATGACTCCATGACATGGGCGGAGGACGAGGGCTGAAGGCGGAGCAGAGAAGGGCGAACGTTGAAGGGCGGAAGCATGGAGATCAGAACGGGAGGCCTGAGGCTTGGGATGGCGGTGCCTGTGGCTTCTCCGGGTCCGACTCCGTACCGCACTCTGCTTCGTTTCCATCGTTATCTCTGAACTCGAGGGATATTCAAGTGTATCATGATGTAGAATGAAGACCCTTGTTTGCTGGTATGCTTCGAAGGGCTGGCCATCGTCGAGGTTGATGGTATTTCGGAAAGACAATGATCTCTGCGAGAATCGTGGACAGTACTTCGTATTGCGGGAACCTGTAAGAGGTGAAACGCTTAGACTGCGTTATATATATGCTAGCACCTCCTACGGACGGTTGTGAGGCGTAGGAAAGTACATGTTGGAGAGGAGAGGTCTCGAGATCCAACATCAGGGTCCTAGCCTGGCATGCTACTCATTTCATGGTTCGTCAATCCGGATCTTTCCTATTTGCGGCTGCTTGAAGCTACCTATAGCTATCTTAGGCGGATGGCTGCGGGAAAGGAGCTCCGAATATCCCCAGGCAACTTTTCGAAACACAGAGCATTCCAAGTCGCCTGACCAATCACGCGCGAGAGATTTCCAGAATTCCTGAAAATCCGTCCAATCAACAAGCAGAGTTCCACCTATTCTCCCCGCTCCCGCCTCCAAAAGCCTCACCCACCAAACATGCTTCCACAATCTTCCGAAACTACCCTCAACGCATCACACGATACTCAGCTCACGCAGCATTGGGTGCAGCCCGCTTATTCATGCCGTCGGCGGCTGCCGCCCACGCTGCCACCCAACCGAAGGATTTTCGAGGACATCACACCACTCTCGCGAGAGCGTTTCCCTCGCCTCACCACAACACAAACCCCGCGCGCACGACGACTGGTCCAGAAGCGCAAAACGCTCGATCATGCTACCGCATCTGGCAATTTTGCAGCCGCGCCATTCTGGACGCTTGGTCAGGCCCGCGCTAGGCGTTCCGCAGGTCAGGCCAGATCGCCCGGCTGGTCGCCAGTAGGAGTTCCATGAGGGACGGTAATCATTCGGTGAGGAGGCAGCGCTCGCAACTTCTCAGGTGATACTCAGATGGTACGATATGTTTTGTGCGTGAGATTCCGCACACGTCCCTTTTGAGGACTGCCGCGTATATAGAGCTTGCACTCCGTCACAGTGGGATTCTCCATTCTCCACTCAAGTTCCAGCATCTCATCTCATACATACGATATATAATCCAAAAGGGCAAATTGTCCTACGGTCTACGGGGTATTCCACTCTCCAATCAGTCAACGGGTTACATATCATATCTCGACTCTCTTCGGCGTTAACGGTTCTCGACTCTTAACGACCATCGAACGAACCAAAGTCTCAACTCAGTAACGAGTCCACGAAACATCCCAATTCAATCGAAATGCCTCAAGCAACCCAAGTGCGCACTATGTTCCGCACCGCGGCCCGCTACCTCACGGAACCGCACCCATTCGCACGCAACCCGGTTATGCAGGCACCGCACGCAGTGCCCTGGGGCGTCTATGGTCGGAAGCTCGGTCGCACCGCTACTTTGTACGTCCAATCCTCCTCTACCCATCGATAAATAACTAACGCCGCCCAGTGTCGTCCCCACCGGACTCATCATCCTCGGCTGGCCGCTCGCCGCCGGTGCCTTCTTCAACAAAGTTGGCGTATGACTATTTGAAGCCGAGCGCGTACGAGCTGTACCAAGGAATAAGGAGAACGAGGTCGAAGCAAAGGAGGTGGAGGACCTGATATTGAATATGCGGTGGGATGATTGAGCAACAGCATAGTGGGGGTTGCTGCGGCTCTTGTTCGCTTCACTGTATATGTCTTCGGGGAGCAAGTTTGAGGATGCATTGGCATGGCGTTTGGGTGGTTGGGCCTGATTTGCGACTGCATAATAGCGTCTGGATGTACGAGTACATCGACGGCTGGGTAGACACCCGAAAATCAATTTCATTGAATCGACTGCAAGAACCAGTTTCCTCATTGCACGTGTGCCCCAGTACAATCCTTTCTGACGAAGCTTATAGTTCCAGAATGATCCTGCCGATACCCCTCGAGACACAGCTCAGCATCGCCTCGGCCTTCTCCTCCTCTAACAAACCGGTGCCTTTATGCTCCACTCTGCCCCCACAAACTTCAACCCTACAAGTCCCGCAATTACCCACCTCGCACGAACTATCAATGTCCATCCCGACCTCTCTCAGCGCATCTAGCAGTGTCTGCGTTGGTCCGACTTCTACCGTCTTACCGCTCCGCTTCAGCTCAGCTGTGAATGGATCGCCGGAGGTGGTCACGGTGAACTGCTCGAAGCGCACCGAAGAGTCCGGGACCCCGTATTCCTTGGCGGTGGAAGCTACAGCGTCTTGGAGGCGCTGGGGCCCGCAGCAGTAGATGTGAGTGTTGGTATCAGCGCGGGCAAAGACATCCGTCAAGTTGAGTCGCTGACCTTGAGACTTCTTGTATATCTTTGCGTTAGCGCCGAGCACGGCGATATGCTGCTTGAATGGGACCTCGTCTGCAACCGCGAAGTGGAGCTCATAGATCTGCTGGGTGGTCCGCAGGTGCTTGAGCGCAGCAAGAAAGGCCGTAATACCGATGCCACCGGCGATGATGATATGTTTGTCGGCGTCCTTAGCGAGAGGGAAGCTGGCGGTGATGCGTCCAAAGGTCAAGACATCCCCGGGCTGCGTCTGCTCGTGCATGTATTTGGAGCCGCCGCGGCTTTCGGGTTCAAGCGCGATACCAAGCTCGAAGCGCTTCGATGTTCCTCCAACCACGGAGTACGCCCTGACCAACTTTCCGCCCAACTTCACGCGTACATGACTCCCCGGTTCCACAGGTACGACGTCGTCTTCTTTCATCTCCTCCACCGCCTCCAAGACGAAAGTAGTGATCTTGCCTGTTTCCCTCCTCTTCTCAGCAATACAGTACTCCTTCCAGGTGTCGAAGTTCACCGTCTCGTCCCCATACATCCTTCCATTTGAATCCTCAGCCATCCCCTTGTCCAGTCTCTTCCGAAACGTCCGCCTGATCTCTTCACCCAGCGCCGGCAAGGCGACGATCTCCTTCATCATATCAATATTGCCCTTCTCGAGGAACATATAGTACATAATCCTCGCGACAGTCCACTCCGGGCTCGGGCGTTCCAGCAAGCGGATCATGTCCCCGGCATTCACGTGCCCTGGCTCGAGAACGCGATACAGCCACCCACACCTCAGCAGCGTCTGCGTCCGATTCGCCATATTCTTGACTTGGAAACGGTGATTCAGCTTATAACACGGACTCCTTGGCTCCGAAACCTCCAGCACCACCTCCCCAATCGCAACCTTATCCCCGATACACAACTTCCTTTCATCCAGCTCATCGGTAAACAAATTCTCTCCAAAAGCGCCTGGCCTGAACAAGTGAGCAGATTCGGGGATCTCAGCGGCCCAGACAGGGTAGTGCGCAGAGCTATATTGGTGGATCGCTTTGTCCGGGGAACGATGGGGTTCGTAGGCGTGCTCATCTGTTGAGATACCTGCTTTCGTGATTTCGACCGGGCCTGAAAGAGGCGTTTTGTAGATTGCAGAGGTCATCCCAGGCTTGGAGAAGACGGGTTTGACTTTTCCGGCGCGGAAGTGCGGGACTGGGTGTGGCGGGAAGAGAGGGGGGTTGCGGAGGGTGGAGGGGTCCGGGGGCGGTGGTGGGATCCAAGATGGGATGGCCATGGTTGAAGAGATTTTTTTTTACTCCAGACTCAGTGATTGGAGACGTTTGATATGGTGTTTAAGGTGGGCGAGGGTCGATGACCGCCAGCGGCGCGTTCGGGAAGGTGTACTCCGAAGCCTGAGCGGAGTACGGCGTGAGCACATCCGAGGGGAGTGGTTTAGGACTAACGGGCTAAATGCTGCTTACCATGGCCGTAGGTCAGAGAAACATACTTTTGAAGAGGTGGAAGACGCCGAATACCGCGTAAAGCGAGCAGAACGAGGATAGATCCGAAAAGCGACCGGTGAGGATCTTCACGACCCAGGCCTTGACGCTTCACCGAATGTGGCAGGAGATGTGAAGCAAGGAAGTGTAGACAAAGGATGGAAGAAAAGAAGAGGAGTAGAAGATATTGAGGAGGATTAGCTACTTATAGCTGTAGCTCAATTCGACGCCGGCTCGGGATCTAGACTGCCGATTCTCCTACCGAGCCTTTATACTAGAGTATGCCTGGAGATGTCCCGGATATGACTTCAGACGGCTGGAATACCCGTAGATAAAGCGCCGTGGGATCCGCCTGGTCTCTTTCCTGGTATAGTTGAAGGATGGGGCTTCGGCCTGCGAAGAGTGGGGTAAGGAAAGGCGACGGAACCCCCGACGACAACTCTAGTATATTCTCTCTACAAGAGACACCGAAGCTCCGTTCCCACATGATCATATAAATGAATGTATTCCAAGAGTCTTAAAGCCTGAGGTTCCTGGCAGGTTCGACCGGATCACGTGACAGAATGCCCCGGGCTCGGCTAAAGATTCTGGGGTTAATACTCTGACGTCACTTCGACACTCACAATGGCCAGAGCTCGAAACATAACTTCCACCTCTACATCCCTCACTCTTCATCCCACTTGGAAATACCCCCTTTCGCTCTTTCAAGTAACCTTCAATACTGTGACCAATTGAGTCCGACCCCTCTACCAAAGGCCTTGAACAATACGCAGGCCACCCGCAAAATCCACCTCTCGCTCAGCAACCACCACCTCCCACGACCGCAACCATGTTCCGCTGCCAACCCTCGCGCTTCTTCCTCCGGCGCGCAACCGTCTACCGCACGTACTCCTACCACCCCTCCTCGCTGCCGCTCCCACGCTTCCTCTCCACCACGCCAGCGACGCGCTACCCGCGCAAAGACACCATGGACAAGGACTCGCTCAATCCCAGCTCCTCCGAGTACGCCAAGTCCGGTACCGACGACGCGGCGGCAGGTTCAGACGCAGCATTCAACCCTGACAAGACGAGCCCCGAGGAGGCAGAGAAGACGGCCGAGAAGGAGAGCGGTGGCAACTCTTTGAATGTTAGCCCGGGGAATCAGGAGGTTAGCAAGCCGCGAGGGGACGAGGAAGGTGGTGCGCAAGGAAGTCCCAGGACATCGAGTAGCAGTAAGGGGAGTGCACCAAAGTCGGGAGGCGAGAAGAGTGGTTGAGGGTGTGGCACGACTAGGCGGCGGAACGGTAGGAATGTGGAGGTACAGGGTGGATATAAGAGGCTGGGTCGAGCAGGAGTCGTAAAGGACATGATTATATTCCAGCATGTATACGTAGCATGATAAGGCTCATCAAGGTTCGTATTTAAGGACATCTCCTGGGACCCTCACGTGTGCGAATGTGCGGCATGTATACCAAAAGCTCCACCCCGCTCGTGAAGGGGAGGTAAGAATCATTCTCTAAGCAAAAGTCCAAAGAGAGGGTATACTACCGGATTACAAGATCATATCAAACAGAAAAAGGCTGAACACCCTCGTCGTCTGACCATATCCCTCCAAGAAGAAACCTGGATCGCAAGCAAAACCACTTTGACCCTCAATGCCACAGTCAGCTCCAGCTCTGTGCGCACATGAAACACTACTTCTTCTCCTCAGTGCCCAGCTTCACAATCTCCGCCTGCGTCACCATCCACACCCCGTCCTCCCTCTTCCCCTCCAAACACATAACGCCCGCCTGCACCGCCGCCCTCGCAATCGTACTCGCCTCCTGGCCCCAGAAGTTCGTCAGCGCCGGACTAATCTTGCGCAGTGCGCCCGCAAAGCCGCGCACGACCGCCTCCACCGGCCGGCTCTCCGGCCGCGACCCCAAAATCATGCCCGGCCGCAAGATAACCGTATGCTTGAATCCTAGCTCCTTGACCCGTTCCTCTAGCTCGCCCTTCATCTTCAAGTACGGAAAGCTGCCGCTCGCGTTCGCCCCGCCCGAAGATATCAGCACGTATGTCTCCACGCCTGCGTCTTTGGCCGCCTTGGCGAGCTCTAGGTTCAGATCGACGTCGATCTTGCGCTGCGCTTCGACGCTGCCGGCGGCGCTGCGCGTGGTGCCGAGCGCGGAGAAGAAGACGCGCGGGTGCAGTTCGCGTGGGAATTGGGAGGCCCAGGTGGAGGTGTCCGTGGACGTGAGGGGGAAGAGCTTCGGGGAGGCGGTGGGGTTGGGGACGTCGCGGCGGGCGTAGGCGTAGACGGCGGAGATGGAGGGGTGCGTCAGGAGGGTGGAGAGGATGTGTGAGCCCTGGATGGGGAGGTCAGTATGCTTCCTTGGTGGGTTATTGGGGCTTTGGGGCCGTGGGAGGACGTACGACGAAGCCGGTGCTTCCGGCGAGGGTTGCGGTCGTCATTGTTGCTGGTGCTGTACTGTTCTGACGTCGAGGGATGCTAGATGCCTGCGATGATGAGTTCGAGAGCGAAGGTAAGTGCGTGTTATAAAGAAAAGGCGATCAAGTCAAGGTCGGATGCGAGGCCAGCTGTCGGCCGACAGATGTTTGAAGGGTCCATGAATTCGTCCGTTGCCGTCACGTCATCAGATTGCATGCATCCATGGCTTGCCGAGACACGTCGCGAACGCCGACAAAGCGGGGTCACAAAGGACGAACGACAAGGGCGCCGTGCAAAGCAGGTTGATGCGTTGCGGGCGTATACGAAGGCAGCCGCGGGGTGAGTAATCTAAGAGTTGAGTTTTGCGATGTCCGTCAGCATGCTGAGACGGAGCTGTCAGTCAAATTGAGCCAATCACCGATCAAGCAGCCATCTCCCAAGACCTTTTCCAAGATTCGAATGCAGATGGTAGACACGTCTTGATTTTCCTTCTCGGCGTTGAAGCCTTATGCTATGCCCTCCAGCATCTCTCTGATGCAATGCCACGTTGAATTGCCCTTGATGCTTTTCCGAAACGCCTTCCAGTCCCAGCACTCCCTAACCCTCTGCAATGTGGAGAATCACAGAGTAACAACACTCGCCTCCAAGACACCCTCAGGCCCAATCAACCCTTTAACAACATCCTCCTCGACCGGCTTATCGACCCCCAGAATCATCAGCGCCTCCGAACCTTCCACATCACCGTTCTGTCCCTCCTCCACATCGTCGTGCAGCGGCGCAACATTCATGAATTTGATATTGACGCCTGCCTTGCCTAGCTGGTTTCCAACATACCCGATCTTGCCGCAAGAGTCGAAATTGCGGCAGATGAGGAGCGTGCCTCGCGGGACGAATTCGCCCTTGAAGCGGTCGAGCCGTGAGATGAAGGGCTTGTTGCCAGATACGAAACCTTGAATGATTTGATCTTCCTCGGTCTCCTGCGGCTTGAGCGAGCGGGCCGCTGCTTCCGAGTTGGAGCGTGAGACGCCGGGACGGGCCTGTGAGGTTGAGCGGGATGCGCGGGCACGGAGGGTGATGAAGGATGAATAGGCTTTGTCTTCTACGTTCTCGCGACTCCGCTGCTCGTTAACCAGGATACCGCGTTCTTTGGCCAGCTGTTCCGCATTAACGATGTTGATATTCAGGCCGTCACTAGAGGTGATTGGAGTGAGGAGGCCCTTGACGAGGGCAGCGAAGAGAGGCTTTGTGGTGTTGCAGTTGGCGAGCGCACCTTCGTAGGTGATGTCGAAGGTTGTGCGGAAGTGCGTTGCGTTTACGCGCGAGGAGTAGTGTTGCGTGTAGAGAGAGCCCATCTTCTCGACCAGTGTGACAAATGGCTGCAATGTTCGGAACTCCTCCGGAAGGATGATGGGCGCATTGACGGCGGAGCGCGGAAGCTCTCCAGAAAGGATGGATACAACTTGCTCGCAGACGTCGATCGATACATTCTCCTGAGCTTCCTTGGTGGACGCACCGAGATGCGGTGTAGCAACACATTTAGGATGAGCAATTAGACGGCTTGCTGACGAGTCGGGCTGTGGTGGTTCCGAGGTGAAGACATCGATACCAGCTCCCGCAATCGTTCCGGCGTCTAATGCTTCTACGAGAGCATCCTCGTCGATCATACCACCTCTTGCAACATTCAAAATCCTGGCCGTGGGCTTCATCGTCGCTAGTTCCGCCTTGCCTATCATGCCTTTAGTAGACGCAATTAGAGGTGTGTGTAATGTCAAGAAGTCTGCTTCCTTGAGGAGGTCTGCGAGGCTGGGCTTCAGGGTGACAGATGCAGCTGCAGCCAGATTCGGATTTGCGTATGGATCATAGCCGATTAGACGCATGCTGAGGCCATTTGCAATCCGCGCGACAGTGAGCCCGACTAGGTATGCTTAGCAGGAGGATTTGGTGTGCATCAATTTCGGCCATTACATACCTTTTCCCAATCCCACAATGGCGAGCGTCTTGCCCTTCGCCTCTACACCAACCAGACGACTTCGTTCCCATTTCCCGGCCTTGATGCTCGAGCATCCATCTCCAATGTTTCGAGCAACAGCCATCATCACTGCCGCAAGTCAGCACGTCGTTGACTGAGAGATCTTCGTCCGCTTACGTGCAATGGTGTGTTCCGCAGCAGCGTTGATGTTTCCAGAAGGCGAATTCACAACAATGATGCCCAGGGAAGTGGCTTTCTGCACATCCACATTGTCAACGCCGACGCCAGCTCTTGCGACTACCTTGAGCTTCTTGGCGGCGTCGAGGAGCTCCGCGGTCACTTTGGTCTCTGACCGTACAATAAGCGCCTCATAGTCGCCAATGATGCTCTTGAGCTCATCAGGGCTCAGGCCCTTCTTCTCATCGACCTCGAAGCTATCCTTCAGCAATGCCAGCCCATCCGGAGACACCTTTTCAGGAATGAGGATCCTTGACTTCGCACCATTGGTCGGGACGCCCATGTTGGCTGTTAGAAGCGACGTTTGGAGGTTAAGAAAGGGTAATAAGTAGCGTAAAAGTCAACTGAGGTTGAAGAAAGAGGGAGTGAGCCCGTTTTTCTACTACTGAACGGACAATTAGACGGTCCGCTATCGGGCGTGGCTTCCTGCAAATTCATGCATCAGCTGCGTCCTTTGTATGGCACGCCTTACCTGTTCCGGCTTAGGGGACTACCCCGCCCCCGCGTCCCACGGATTACGCCACTGCTGTCTGTCACACTGACTGGTTCCCTAACGCGAACGCCGCCATGGACGTGTAACCTCTGGAAACAAAAATCCTTGTGGGCTTGCGAGTGAACGAACAGTGCGTTGTCAGAGAGGTTACACATTGACAGACGGGTATGAACTGGAGCGGTGAGCTGGAGACTCGATGACGGAGCAGGAAATGGCCGATAAATTTTAATGATCTGATCGTATATTTTTACCCACGGAATTGCCACTCAAAAGCAATATCTTTCAAGCGTATGATGTGATACCCCCGGCATGGGTGTTTGCAGGAGAGTTTTGCCGCGTCGATTGGGCCAAATCGGTGGCTGGCATGTTACACATGGACCTGCGTTACCAGCCCGTCGGTGTGTTCGGGGTTTACCAGTTGGATCGTGTCTTTAGTTTCTCGTTCTGGACAACTTCAATCCAGTAGCCGTCGGGATCTACCGGTTGTCAGTGACGTTACAACAATGTCAGATTATGGAATGCATACCAAGAACGAATGCAATGTTCTTCATCCTGCCGTCGGTGAGCCTCTTCTTCCAGTTGACCTGCTTCTCCTCAAACCGAGCGCATGCCACATCTAGATCATCGACAGAGATGCAAATGTGGCCGAAACCCTGTGGCTCAGCATTGCCGTCGTGATACTTGAAGTCGGCCTCTTTCTCCGTTCCATAATTCCACGTCAGCTCAAGCAAGCCTTCGCGATCCGCCACGGGGTTGACGCCGTTCGGGCTCGTTTCGGGGGCCGGTGCGCCGTACCCCAGAAAGTAGAGGTTAAAGCCGCCGTTCTTGCTCTCGTGCGTGCGCTTAAGCTGCATGCCCATGACATCCTTGTAGAAGTTGAGGGACACCTCGGGATCCTTGACTCGAAGCATCGTGTGGTTCTGCTTTATCAGCGCAACCCTCTATCTGTAGCCTTGCGCACTTACCAAACGATACGTCGCGGTGTCCGACTCCTTTACATTCTCAGTCTCCTCCAGTGGCTTCTGGCCAATGATCTCGACCCAGTAGCCGTCCGGATCGAGCGCAAAGGCAATGTGCCGCATCTTGCCATCCGTTAACTTCTTTTGAAACTTGTATCCCGCATCCTCTATCCGCTGGCACGCAGCCTGAATATTGTCTACCGATATCGCAAGGTGGCCGAACCCCTTTGGCTCCGAATTGCCGTTGTGAATCTTGTACTCCGGGTTGCTCTCGGTGCCGTAGTTGTGCGTAAGCTCGACGATTCCCTCTCGGTCCGTCCAATGGTTGCCGTGCGAAACAGCCTTCGGGCTATCGTATGCGAGGAAGTAGAGGTCGAACTTAGCATCGGGGTTCTCAAGCTTGTTGATAAGCCTCAGGCCTATGAATTCGTAGAACTCGACCGATCGCTTGGGGTCTTTGACCCGGATCCTGTGAGACGTCAATTGCCAGTACACTTTATAGAGTCTCGAGAACTGCGTACATTGAGTGGTTGAGCTTGTACTTGGTTGGGTCGGTTGTCATGCTTGCGAATGTTCTCGAAAGAGTCCGAGGCCTATTGTATGTGGTTGCACGAGCTGCGACTGGGACTGAAAACCTTGTTGTGCTAAGTAGGGCTGGCCGCAAAAGGATCATGGACTTAGGGGGGGATGCTGTGAAGCAATTGGCGAAGAGAGAGGGGAGAGATATCACGTTGGGATTCGAGATAGATGACGTTACCGCCGCTGCCCCTCGTTCGTCGGATAACGAGCCTGCCGGCAGACAGCTGCACCGGCCCTAGCATTGGGTTGTACCATAGCGTGTTCCCCACATGAATGCGCCATCTCAAAGGAGTCGGAATGGAACGGCTACGAAATTCATTTCTGTGAGGCAGCGAAGAAACCTCAGGGCGAGGCCGCCAGCAAGGTGCCAAACGCCGGCGAAACGCCGGTTCACGTGACGCGGCCCGAGCTTGCAACAATCCCTGCTCCGATAAGCATCGGCTTTGGCTCCGTAGCTGACGGCTAGCCCTCTTCGCCCCAAAACGCAACATCATGCCGCACGTCTCAATACACGCTCTTTTCTGCTGTCCAGCACTCGCTCTTGCTCCTGCTATGCTGCACTCCTCTTGACTCTCTTCTCTCACTACGGCAGGTACCCGCCACCCTCGAGCTTGCCAACGTGGCGGGGACCGAAGCCTGCGCACAGACTTCAACATCAAAGGGGAAATTCCTATACCAAGTAGAGGTAGGCATCTCTCCACCAGGGCTCATTGATATCGTTTCGCATATTCCTTTTCGTCTACTCGCTTTCCTGGCTATTGTACAAATTTGCTGTCGCACAAACCTCCTCTCGCCTTTTATGGGCGCATACGATATCTGGACTGTCCTGACGAATCTAAAGTCTTGCTCCAAGCATGCTGAACGCAATCAAGCTCAGCGAGCTGCTCGCCAAAAATGTCGATCCCCAGCTCTATCCACGCATGTTGTAAGCCAATACTTTCTTCTATTCATTATTTCCAGCTGCTCACGTGCTCAGCGTTATGTCGCCCAACGGCACGTTAATGGCGTATTCCACGCCCGTCGACATCAAGGAGCTACGGGACCAAGCCGCTCTCATATCCATGGCGTGGAAGGAGCATGAAGCCAGCCGGAAACTACAAAGCTCAGCCCACGACGGAGCTGAAGACTCTACAGCACCTCTCGAAACGCTCACTATCGAGACGCAGCACAACAATATCATCGTCCGGGCGCTCCAACCGAAGCTGCTACTGGTACTGGTAGGCGGTGTTCCGCCTTCCCGAAAAGCATCATTCAAAATCACCGCCGAAGCACATGGTGACCAGAGGTATCCGGCGTCCGATGTACCCGAGCAACCGCCCGCCAGCCAGCCACAACCCGGCGACTCGTCGGCGGAGAGTTCGTTGCCTTCGGGAGAGGACGGCGCACCCGTGAAACAAAAGGCCGCGTCCATTCTGAGCACTATGAGCCAGCGGGAGAGAGACATCAAAGTTGGCGCGCTCCACATCCAGCGGAAGAAGATTGACGCTTTAACGGACTTCATCCGGGCAGATTTCGATGCGAAGGGCTTTGTAATGCCGGACGATTCTAGCTTTCCTTAGCGAGTAGGGTAGGACCACTCCGGTACCGCATCTCGTTAGTCGTTTGTTTCCGTTTGCTTTTCGCCGCCAAGCGATACATGTAGCTTTTCGTCAATGTTCTAGTTTCCTCGCTGCAAGATTCCCAACGTCTCATTCTTCTTCTGTATACCTGCATGAGCGTATGTATGCATAATAGATTTTATCGTGCGATTGGATCTTTTCCGTTTTAATTCAGGTACGTACTGGGAGGAGGATTTTCTACTTGATTCATGTCATCCATCAACCCCATTTGTGCCCCACGCCATAATGGCTTCACCTTTCATCTAAGTTCAACTTTCAACGATCCAACAACAGTCAAGGCAAGATGCATGGAAGCCCATTTGCGCCACGGAAATCTATGAAAGCGGAACAAGAGCTTCGTCGCTCAGCAAGAGTCAGGGAAAGACAGCCAACAACCCCAAACAACATGTGAACACGTCATCCTTCCTCAAGGCCCCAGCAGCGCCAGGAACCTCAACGAAAAAACAGACGTCCCGAAGGATCTGACAGGTTCCGATACGCGCCGGGCAGGATCCACTCGCCGAGTGGGGCACTCACTGCATCTCCTCATTTTACCCTCAGAGACGGTCGGGTCGGTATAAAGGGGGCACACCTATATACTCTACATGTCCACACACCCAGGTACCTCGCGACACCGCCGGCCTCGGCCCTTGCGGGCTGTCAGAGTATGCAGCCGTCACCCAAGACTCCAGACACAACAGTCAGTGCCTGGCAGCCGGTATGTCAGGCGAGGGACTCAATATCTGTAGGCTTCTTCCGCCCTGGACCCGTTGGATAGAGGCTCCCTACTCTTAGCGATTGGCTCCGTCTAGGTCAACCGGGCTATCAACCACCGCGGGGTCGGGGGTCGGGGAGTGAACCTCCTGCCGTCGAGGGCTGGAATGTGTGGACGGGCCCCGTAGCCCTCGAGCCGGGCGCCGTCGCCGCCGGAGGTCGGTGGGTCGGGGGTCGGGGGTCGGGGGAAGGCGCTGCGCGTAGGAACTGGGCATACAAGAGGTGGTGCAGAGATGTAACGCGAGAGACGAGGCGAAAAGGGAGGAAGTGGGACAAGAGAAGGGTGACGGCCTTGTTGAAGGTCCGTCGAAGGAGACAAGAGATGGGTGGCCGGCTGGCTACAAACTAAGGAGCCGAGTCGGTGCTGTGATGTATAGAAAGGAACAAGAGGTGTGGAACCCAGCAGGCAGAGGGAGTATATATACCCCATGGGGCCCGAGGAGGGCACGGCACGGACGCAGGTACGAGTGGGTCCGCGATGCCGCTATGCAGGTCACGCCCGCAAGGCTGCAAGGCGCGCTAGAGGACTCATTCATCTCCCGTACCACAGTTCTCTGGTCGTCAGCGACCTCAAAGGGCTAGTGCGGCGACTGCGAGCCCCGTCAGGACCGTGCCCTCACTGCTATCGTCGGAAAAGTGGGCCCGGGGTAGCGAGGTCTGGAGTCACACGTCAGAAGAACCATACGATAGTGGGCACGCTTGCCAGCTCTGACGCACTCAGGAGCACAGGCCGGCGATAAGGGAGCTGCTGAGTTAGACGTCACAGGGAGATTGCGTTGAGCCTGGGGGAGATGAGGTATCGTGTGTGGGTCATGCGGCGAAGGGAAACGCCGTTCTGCGATCGCGTTCCTTCCTTCCTTAACGCGCTGTGGGGGTCAGGAGATCGGCCACGAGCGCGCGCCGACGCCCCAGAAGGAAGGAGCGGGAAGGGCAGAGAGGATGCTAGCGTACAAGAGCTATCCCGACGAGTATGCGAGTCCCATGGCGGAGAACGGCACGATACCGTGGGCTGCTGCCTTCTGCACCTACAGCATGAACAACGCCACCGCGACAAGGATGTGCACATGCGTGCGTTGTGCCTCTGGTTTGCAGCACTATGGTGAGGAGAACGAGATTGCAGAAGGGACAGTGCAAGACCGATGCAGGCTGGCATCCAGGACTTGATGACAGGGTTTGACATTTATACTCATGCAGCAATGGCGCCATTCGCTGCTGAGAGCTCATAGTGCGTCGGCGGACATCGAGGTCATACCGGCTGCGAGGTGACAGTGACTGTTTGTGGGGGGGAAGTCGCTGGGGGCATTCACTTGCCACTACTGCCCTGACAGGCATGAACGCCAGCTAGGTCTTGTAGAGGTGTTGTTACGCTAGCACGGTGGTTTTTTACGTTTGAACATCTACTTCTTTGCACATTTCCTGGATAACATTTATTGCGGAAGAGGTTCAGATCTAAATCCGCTGGTGGCTATGACGTCAACTTGTTTAAGAGCATCTTTCTCTCTACTGCAGAGGAAAGCGAAGTCGGCCAGGAAGATAACAGACCGAGAAGGGCAAACACGCATTTGATCTATAAGAAACCACGCTGATCATCCATCTCTAATCCCCACCCATCTCGCCTTCATCACCCATCTAATAAACCTCAAGCACATACCTCCCGTCTTCCTTCAAGGTCTCGATCTCCCTCCTACTATCCACTTTCTTGGGCTTCTCCTCACCCCAATGCTTCGCCTTGTGCTCAACCTCAACCGCCTCCTGCAGCACCTCCGTCACATCCGGGACAGGCCACGTCGGCCCACAAAGATAGAAGCTACCCTCCTTCTGCAGATATGCGCGCCGGACATCCGCCAGCGTCTGCCGCATGCGGTCCTGGATGTAAATCTTCTGCGGCTGGTCGCGAGAGAAGGCCCGGCCGAGCAGCGTGATGATGCCAGCGTCTTGGTACGCTTCCCACTCCTCGCCGTAGAGGTACTCTTCGCGCTGGTGGCGAGAGCCCATGTACAGCAGGACCTCCCCGATTTCGTGGCCGTGTTGCTTTTGGTAGGCGCGCTCTTGGACGAAGGCGCGGAAAGGTGCGAGACCCGTGCCGAGACCGGCCATAATAATGGGCGCGGTGGTCTTCGGCGGAAGTTTCATGACAGAGGGTTTGACGGAAACCGTGACGGGTGCGCCTACCTTGAGGCCGTTGAGGTAGCGCGTTGCTTGACCAAAGCGGTCGCGGCCGCGCGGGTCCACCCAGTTGACGGTGACGATGAGGAGGGAGACGGAGTTGGGAGTGACGTGTTGCGAGGAGGCGATGGAGTACTCGCGGCGCTTCATGGGGCTGACAATGCGGACGATGTCGTGGAAGGAGGGGTGAGCGGAGGGGAAGTCGAGCAGGATGTCTGCATAGGTAACGGTGTCGACCTCAGCACGGCGCTTGAACTCTGTAGCGCCTTCAGGGCTACCGAGCGTAAGCAGCTCCTTCTTTTCATTCTCGTCATCGGCGAACTCTGCAAGCGCCTCGTAGAAGCGCTTGGGCGGTCGGCCAAATATATCTACGTTCTGCAGCAGAGACTGGTACACGGTACGATTGACCAGGACGCTGGGATCCTCGCGAGAAGGCACCTCAACGACCTCTTCAGGGTTGAGGCCGTACCACTTGATGAACTCCTCAACCTCAGCCTTGTCGTTTTCCGCGTGGATACCGAGAGCCTCGCCAATAGCGTACGTAAGACCAGAGTTACCTAGATCGAACTCGATGTGGAAGATGTTTCGGTCGTAGGTGAGTGGCGTGAGACGGCGATGCTCCTTGACATGGACAATGGAGGTCTTAATTCCCAGATCTGGGCGAATCGCATTCGCGGTGCCGTAAGCCTCCTTGAAGGCGAGACCCTTGGCGGCAATAGCCCAGGTCTTGAGCAGAGATGGAGGCTCGGTCTCGGTGCGATCATAGCCGGCGAAGCTGTTCACGTTGACGTCGGAGGGAAGCTGGATGGGCTCTACGTCCTCCTCAACCGTTGCCCAAGCGACCGGCACTTCAATCTCACGAAGGGCCGTTTCTAGTTCCCTGGACAGCTTCTCGAAAATCTCTGGGTTGCCGTTGATGGCAGCCAGCTTGGACAGGCCAGACGTGAGCAGGTCCTCACGCGCAATCTTCAAGAAGGCTATCTGGGTGAGGTACGTCTCCAGGGTCGAGTCTTCGGCAACTGTTTCCGACAGAGTTGGGTCGAGCAAGAAAAGTTCGACGTCCTTGCTCACGATGGCCTTGCGTAAAGCAGGGGAAAGCTTCTTCTCGATGTCTTCGTCCTTTACGCCAGGTAACTTAACGATGATCGAGCTGTCGCACTTGACGCTGTTCAGAATGTCGAACTCCTTCAGAAGCGTCTCGTCACCGATAAAGGTGACATCAGCTTGCTCAACGGAGTACGGCGCCTCTATGGTGTAGGTGGCGTTGCGGATGTCAGTGCGAACAGCGCCTCCGCGCACAAGGTTGTCGTGTCCGGTACGCACGAAGACGTTCTTCGAAGCATCGCTCGAGAAGAGCTTTCCAAGCACAACGGGAGCATTGACAGCTGGCGATTCGTCCAGATCCCAGAACGTATATTGACGGACATCGGCCGTGTTCAGAATATTGACATAGGAGCGGACCTCTTCGGACTGTGTCTTCTCGCCGTAGATCTGCTGGAAGACATCTAGGATGTTGCTCGGGGTCCAGACTTGTTCGCGCGAGTATTTGATGTCTGTGACCGCGATGTTCCTGTCGAAAGCGAACTGGATGGCGGCCAGGACATCAGAGTACAGCCTCGAGTACTCAGCAGGGTCGAACACGGCAGCCTCGTCCTTGACCTGTCCAAGGACTGCGACGTTCTTAGTACTCTTAGGCAGGGTTTCAAGGAAGGCTTCCTCCACGAATGGGCGATACACGCGGACATTGATGACGCCGAGATTGTCGCCGTCCTTCGCAAGCGCGTTGGCGACCTGGGCTGTCAAGGATGCCTCCACGGTACCAAAGACGACCAGGACGGTCTCAGGTTCCTCGTGGCCATAGTAATCGAAGAGCCTATAATCCTCGCCAAACTCATCGTTGAAAGCCTGCAGAAGACGTACGACACGTCCCGCATTGTCCGAATGCTTCTTGTCCACCTCAGAAACGGCCTTCAATACCGCCTGATAGCTGCTATAAAGTCTCGCCTGGTCCAGGGTATCCACTAATCTCGCCGTCTCGCGCCCAACGCTGATACCGTCGTAGGTGTGGAGGGTGGGCAGTACGCTCGAGAGCAAGGTCGCGAAGAGCGACATGTGCTGCGTCTCAAATACAGACGGGCTGCAAACGAGACCGAGCCCCAGATCCTCGGCAAGGGCCAGCGAGGAAACATAGTCCGTCACCAGGCCAGCCTCAGAGTTGGCAGTGTAATCGACAGCGGCAATGTGCGCCGTGAGCGGGTTCGCGACCGAGTAGAGGAGTGAGAGCTGGTCCAGCGCCGGGCGCAAGAAGTGCAGAGTCGCAGAAGACGCGACAATTGACTGCGGGATATGGCGCTTCTTCAGGTCGAAATCTTTGGAGAACATGTACCCCAGCGCAATTGACCCTGCACCATTCCTTGTCTCTAAAGGAGTAACGCCAGTCTGGTATCCGAATGCATTCTTCTCTCCCTTCTCTCGCCAGTCCTTGACTGCCACATCTAGATCGAAGGACTCGGCGGAGTAGGCGAAGATTTTATCGGAGAGCGTATAGGCGACTTGTTGGACGAGCGTCTGCGCGGTGAGATACGTCGGGCCGTTGATTGACTCTAGGGAGATGTCTTGGCCGAACGGTAGGCTCGAGGACTTTTGCGTGAAGCTCTTCGGCTGCTTTCGTTGCTGTTCGGCGCCTTGGCCTGCCGATTCTGTCTGCTGGAAACGCATTTTGGGGGGAAATGCGTTCACGCCTATCGAGCTCTCGAGAAAACTACTCTTTGTGCTGCCCACGAGGCGTGAGAGGAAGTGAGGCCTGGAGTGGGCTTCCTATGCGGTTCCGCGTGGCGGCTCAATCGAAGGAAAAGTGTCTGGACAGAGCGACATCGGCACAAAGAGGGCCGAGGCCAATTTGAAATGCACAATTGCCTCCAGAGGCCATGATTGGCGGGTGAACGGGCATAAGATGGGGTGCGCGTCTGCGTTGAACAAAAAATGTCTCTAGCGTGAAGCACGCAATCCTCGCGTCGAGTTGCGCCTTGCCTCTTATCGCGGAGATAGCACGGCGCTCGGAGATCTGATAACAAGGAACCAGTGGTCCGTGCGCCGTCCTTTCTCCTTTCCCATCTCAAGCTGTCCCCCCTTCTCCGCCCCAGGCCTTAGCATCGCTTCGGTCGCAGGTTATCCCCGGATCCGGCTCGTCTTTTGCAGAATAGAGCACACCATGGCACAAGTGCTCTTAGACTGTACGGACTTTTTTTTCGACGCCGCTTCGTCGAGCTGTCGCTCCTCCTCCTCTGTCTATGTCAACTTCCCCGGCTTGAAGATCCGATATCTAGAGCCTTCGCAGGAAATGCGCCATGATTCTTGTTGCTTTGGAGGCTCTTCGGCTCTGAGGTTAGCCGAGTTCATGCCATCAGGCTTTCGGAATATGCTGACCTCGTGCAAGTCACCCATCTGCGAACGTGGAGGCTCTTCGCGCCGCTAATAATCTAGAGCAGGTAGCAATCAATAGCAGCTAGTAGTCGCCTCATCCAAAGCAGTCTTTCAGCGAAGGACAAATACGTTTCGGCGTCTTCCCATCGCCACCCATACGCCACCATCATCAGCCAGCGCGTTGCCAGTGCATCGTCCGGCGTCAGGGCTTCTGGTCGGTAGCATTCGCTTCCAGGAAAGCCTTTGGTCCCAGGGCTCGGGACGGTAGTGATCTCGCTCTTGCAAAACTTCCGCAGGACGGCGCTTGGGGGTGGCAGTGAACTTTGTCGCCATCCACCTTCGAACAAGCAGACACCGCGAATTTTTCATAGTATCGATTTATTTGGGAACCCGTGAGAACCTGGATGGATTCCTGTCGCTCACACAAGAGGACCGATTTCGCTGCAGAAAAATGGCCAACTTGCAACGTAGTGGCGTTTTCCTTCTAGCTCCTCATCTTTTTCGTCCTCACCTTTTGATTTACTGATCACCGGGCCATTAGGCGGCTTTAATACTTCGATATCGTGCCCAAGGGGTGACACTTTTCTCTCGCGGCTCTCGCAAATGAGGTGGGCAATTGTTACTCGTAACCCGCAAAAGCCAGTAGCAATTCGCGAATTTCCGTACCGTTCAATATACTCCAAACCCAGGACGCCCCTGCGCCAAGTCAACACAGCTAAATTATATGCAACCCTTTTCCACGGCATATATTGCACGATAATCTTCTAGAAGACGCGCAGAAGCCAGCGATATTGGCCATTTAACGCTTGCGGCTAAAGGACCGCCGGCCCGCCCCCTCGCCAAACCCCACGGACAGGGAACTTCCACCTTACACGATATCCTGGAATATTAGGGGAAAGGTTCCAGCACTCTCTGGGTATTTTCGCACAAAGCAAATGGCACTTGCGCTGGGGACGGGACGGGTACGTCCACTCTCCGCCTCCGATAGTCTCCTACCTAGCCTCAGGGGAAATCCCATGTTTAATATCGTTCTCCCTGGACTTTGAGGCCAATTTTGATACTAAGATCTCTTAACGCTCGGCCGTTATTTGCATCGAGATTGGGCGATAAGGAAACGGAAGACTCGTGCTGGAGGTGAAGTCTAGGTATGCTTCCGCCGGGGAGCATATAAGGTTGTTAAGATCACCAGGACCATCCCCACTGCGATATTCACTCTCTCTTAATCCCTTGCAGAGCTCCATTGAGCCAACAGTGCATCCATGGCTCGCACCGCCTTCCTCTCCTCGGCCCTCTTCGCGGCCACAACCCTCGCCCAAGTCCCCGGCCCATATACCCCCGAAGTCCACCCAGCCCTCACATCCTACAAATGCACCACATCCGGAGGCTGCAAACCCGCCAACAGCTCCATTGTCCTGGACTCCGCCTACCGCTGGCTGCACAACGTCGACGGCTACACCAACTGCGTGACTAACGGCTTCAACTCGGAGTTCTGCCCGGACGTCGAGACGTGCGCGAAGACGTGCTCGCTCGAGGGCGTCGATTATCCGAGCTATGGTATTCGCACGAGTGGCGACGCGCTCACGCTAAGTATCTACAAGACGGATCCGGCGACGAATGTTACGACGTTGAGTAGCCCGCGCGTGTATTTGCTGGAGGACGATGAGACCTATGAGGCTTTTAAGCTGCTGAATAAGGAGTTCTCGTTTGATGTCGATGTGAGCAAGGTACCCTGTGGGATTAATGGCGCCCTGTACTTCAGTGAGATGAACGAGAAGGGCGATCGGAATGAGTTGAACAAGGCTGGTGCGAAATACGGAACGGGTTACTGCGATGCCCAGTGCCCATCGCAGAACTTCATCAAGGGAGTCGTACGTATCCACCGAGCTAAGCAGACCTGTACTCCGCTAACGCACTAGCAGGCCAACCTCAACGGCACATACGGAGCCTGCTGCAACGAAATGGACATCTGGGAAGCCAACCGCGCCGCCACCGCCTACACACCGCATCCCTGCGACGCCATCGAAGTCCGCGCCTGCAGTGGCGCTGAATGCGGCAACGGCGACAACCGCTACAGCGGCGTATGTGACAAAGACGGCTGCGACATTAATCCGTACCGCAACGGCAACAAAGCCTACTACGGCTACGGCGCCAACTACACTGTCGACACGACCAAGCCGTTCACCGTCGTCACGCAGTTTCTGACCACGGATGGGACCGGCAACGGCACGCTGAAAGAGATCCGCCGCCTCTATGTCCAAAACGGAAAGGTTATCCAGAACGCAAAGGTCAATGTTCCCGGTCTTGATCCTGTCGATTCTATGACGGATGCGTACTGCGTCGCGCAGAAGAAAGTGTTCGGCGGTACGGACGACACCGCGTGCCAGGGCGGCCTGAAGACTATGGGCGAGGCGATTGGTCGCGGTATGGTTCTGGCGTTCGCTATCTGGGACGATGCGGGTAGCTATATGGGATGGCTTGATCAAGACCCATTCCCCGCTGATGCGGATTCGAGCCAGCCTGGTGTTGGGCGGGGACCGTGTCCGACGACGGGTGGGAGGCCAGCCGACCTGATTAAGCAGTATCCTGATGCGGCGGTCGTCTTCTCGAATATCAGGAGCGGAGATATTGGGTCGACGTATTCGAATAGCACGATGGTGCGGAGGTCTGTGAGGCGGTACTAGGGAGCGGGGGTATAGAGACGAGGATGACGGAGGCATGTACATAGGATCTGTTGCTAGGTGTTGTCGACCTGTATATATTTATGAGATTGTGTAAAAATGGCTCGGAAGAGAAATTTCGTGCTGTGTCTAATGAATGCTTGCTGAAAGTGTGTGCATCTGTTCGGAGTGCTACTTGTGTCTGGTCGCTACAGCTACCAAATGTTGACCTGCGTCACTTAGTCGCCAACGCCGACTAACATCTGCACCAACTGCTGACTGTGAACATAGACGCATCGACCAAGCCATGAATGCTGATGCCCTCATAAGCTGAAGCCCAATCGATATCGCAATCCTCTCTAGACATATTTCGCCGCCAAAATGCAGGACCAGACCCTCTCGAGGTCTGTGCGCGCACAACATCGGACGTCACGGAGGCGGAGCTAGACAGCATGGAGCGGCTGATGCGGTGGGAGTATACACGCGGGAGAGCATTGAAATACGGGAGGGGGGAATCGGTACCGGCTCCTACGAGGAATGCGTTCATAAATGCATGCCACGAGTGGTCCTGAAATATTCGATAGCTTCGATCGGCCTCGGGGCGTTGGCAAGGATAGAGTTTCCAGGGGGAGAAAGGACCTGTGTGATGTCCTCAGCGCAGCCTCAACCGTTTATGGCACCTTGGCGACTCCAGGAAGATATGAATGGTTCACACCCTTGCTGAACATTGGCATCCCCCGTCTTGAATGTAGCATGTAGCCAAGGTCTTTGATCCGGAGCGTGCATCCGGCGAGTGGCATAGCAAACCTTGGGAGAACCGTGGCCACTGCATAGCATTGACCGCTCCGCTGTTTGTAGATCCAGTCCATTGCCCCTTGCCACCATTGCAGGGAGACATGCCATCGTAGCCCGCCCGCTGCCATCCGCCGTCGCCGGTGAATAGTCTGCCTTTACAATCCTCCCAGTTCTTGCCACAGGCCGCCGCTAAGCCGTAGATCTCAGTGTTTCCCAGAGTTTCTCTGTAGTCTTTCTCCTTCACCTCCCCTGCCCCGCTGCCAGCCGCTAGCCCGTTGCCTTTCGCAGCAGCCTCTATATAAGCACGTCCGCCGCTCCGCTCTCTTCTCTTTCTCCTCACCCCGACAACAATTTTCTTGCTTGCCCCGACAGCAGCTCTCTTCTTTCTCTCCCACACAATCTCAGGAAGCGCCAGGCCCTCCGAACCTGGCAGGGCTTGACTCGCTTCCGACAGTCGAACTCTCCGTGGCGCTGGCCAACAACCAGGAACTCTGGTACTCTCCAGAGCGCTTCGATCGCCTCAGCACCCCCAGGTTTCTCGACTCTGACGACGACCTGCCCCCAGCTTCTCCTCCCTCTCACATCAATCCCCGCATGTCGGACAGCGCCGCGCCGCCAGCAGAGTCTCAGCAAGCATCTCCGCGCAACCACTCCAACATTCGCACGTACTTCGACGCCGAACCGCAACAAGAGGTATGTACTCCGCTCCGCTCTGTCGCAAGTGAATTGACTAACGGCTTCATATAGGTCAACATGAATTATGACTCTGCCACACCGAAGCAAGAGTACCAGGGGGAGGCCGAGGGCGTCGACACCACGTCCCCACCCAACAACAATCTCACTCGCCGTGAGTCTAGTGACGACGATGTTCCCCTCATCAATACCCGCTCTCTTCGTCACTCGACTTCGAACACCATGACCACCACTCGTGACCGCCTCCCGGCTCGTGTGCCTGCCAAGGAGTCTCCCAAGGAGCCTGAGAAGTACCGCAAGAAACCGGGTCCGAAGGCGTGGGCTGCCAAGCCTATTGCGAAGAATGACATGGCTGCTAAGATGGAGGTTATCCGCGAGATCGAGAAGCTCTGGGGCAAGAACTTCATCAAGGCATACATCCCCAAGTGCCATCGCCCCCTCGTCAAGCGTCGCAAGGGCGGCAAGCGCTCCATGTTCCGCAATCACGAGACCGATCCCAAGAAATGGCTTCCGTCTGTGCTCAAGGCTGTTCTCATGATCGCTAAGTTGACCAACGACAAGGCGTGGCTCAAGAAGGCGATGGGTGAGGTCGTTCGCTACCGCATCAAGCACACCGGCAACCGCAAGCCACAGCTCGTCACCACCGACTTCGACGTCATCGAGGATATGTGCGTTAAGGGCTGGACCGTTGATGTGAGCTTCCAGATTCGATACAAGCACCTCCTCATGAACCAGCCGAAGGGCCAGGAAGAGACCGACTCGGACATTGAGCACATTCTGCATGCTGGCTCCGGACATGAGGACGGTAGTGAGGAGGAAGACAATGGGGGCGTCTACGATGATGAGGACATGGACGGCATGGATGAAGATGGCGATGAAGTCGACGATGACATGGATCAGGATCTCTCGGGCTCATACCTCCACAAGAGCGGCTACACCCAAGCTGCTCCGCACTATCCTCCCAAGATCCAGCAGCCAACGCAGGCCAAACAACCAAAGCCGGCGAAGCAGCCTAAACAGCCAGAGCAGCAGCAGTGGAACCCCTATGGAATGGGTTATGGTCCTCCCGGCATGAACGGACGCGGTGGTCAGGTGAACGGCTATGGCCCTACGATGAACCCATATGGTCCACCGATGAACGGTTGGCCTCTGGGGATGTATGGCTATGGGCCGTACGGCGGCTATGGTCCCCAGTATCCCGGCAAGCATCCGGGTGCTCCAGGTCACCAAGGCATGCCTCCGTTCAACCCGCACCATCCCATCACCCCACCCTCGAGCTTCGCAGAGTCCAACGGTCGCGGGGGTTATGACAACGTTCATGCCCCGAGCCACAACCAAACCCATCGCGGCCGCTTCTCCCCGTTTGGTCAGGGCAAGCGTGGGCGCGGCAGCATGCAAGATCAGACCCCGGCTAGTGCCCTCTCCCGTCTCGACATGGAGTCGCCGCCACCTTCGAGCCCACTCGAGGATGTTAAGCCTAGGGTTAAGCGCGAGCCGAACTCCGAGAGCCGCGCTATCATGATCGACGACGATGATGGCCCTACCAACGACTTGAGTGGAGCGCAGTATGAGGAGATGGATGAGGACGAGCTTATGGCTCAGGCGGCCGTGGTTGAGGTGGAGCACAAGCGTGCGATGCTGCAGCTCCAGCTCGCTCAGCGCAAGAAGAACAAGGGAAAGGGCGCGCCTCGCCAGTCCATGTAATCGGCTTGGGCTCGACGACTCAGGCGCCTTGACTCCTTGCTCTCTCGATGGTGCAGGACATCTGGGTCGGCAATTGGAGGGTGACGGTTCTTTGATCCATATGATTCGCGGTGTATAGCCGCACTTGATGTTTCGCGATCCTCCACTAGTTCCAGAACATTGCAAAAGTTTCGTGAGAGGTGGCTTGGCGTTGGTTCAGGGAGCGGGAGCTGGATAGATTTCGCCTCATTGGTTTGGCATCAGCCTTGGAAGGTAGCATGCCCGTAATGGATGTCTTGATACAGGCTGCTCTATCCCTGATTGAAAGTGATGTAAATATTGAGGCAATTCCGGAACCCTTGACCCAATGGATGGTAGAACACCTTTGACAGCCTTCCGACTGGAGAATGACCACGTACTGAGGCCCAGAAGCTCTGGAGGAAATAGTGTCGTTGAATGTTGAATGACAGAAACTGGCTCCATGTGCCGTGCGCCTCCCACTAACGCGAACCGCTTCTTGAAGAATACTAAATACGGATTGCGAACCGGCGGGAAGGCACGGCGTGTGGGACAGCAGGTGTTGTGGTCCCCAGTTGCTTCGCTTGGTTCACGGTAATCCTATATCTGAAGCTCTCTAGCAGGCTATTCTTCGCTGCCACCATATCCACCTGGTCTTGGTTCAACGTTATAGACTGCTGGGATCCCCTCAATATTAGCCTCGTCAGACGGTAGGGCGCAGCGGCTAGGCACGGCTCCTTCGTAGACATGGCTTCTCGGTGCGACTGACGATGAAGCCTGTCGAATCTTTTGGTTCACCCAGGGATCGCCAGCCGACGATTGTTCTTGCGGCTCATGCAATTCTGTCTTTTTCGGCTGGTAACTGCGCCTCGATGGCAAGGCATGTGTGACGGCGGTTATTCTTTCTCCCATAGCAAATGGCAAACTCATGAGCAGAGCTCTCATACGGGACCTCCCAGGCTCTTTCACATCTTTTGAACAGTATTGCTGGCATCCGATATCTCCTCTGGGCTTTGCGTGCACTGCGACCGACGGCAGAACGGCTTGTGCACACAATATCCAATTGCACATCTCGGTGGGCTTTCATGGCTGGCGGTAGGGCCACAATTGAAGCCCCTCTCAATAGGATGTGTTTCTCAGCCCCCGAGATCCCCACAAGTTATGGCTGCACCCGACGGTAAGGTACATTCGTAGACGGTGTGCTTTGCTTCTCATGACTGACGGCAAGGGCATGTTTCGAAGCTCCTCAGGGGCCCCAAGACTTTGCCTGGGGCTGCCATTGTCCCCAGAACCCCACAGCTTTAACGACGGCAAGCGGCCGAGTAGAAGGTTTGTGACTGGCGGAAACCACAGTCGTCTGATTAGAAAAAGAGTGATGCTGGTAGACACAAGATGTGAGCGTGTGGATGAGGTTGTTGAACAAAAGGTTGGCGTTGTTACCTAAGCACTTACCGCGGGGCTAACCTGCATGCAGTATCGCTTGTGAACGCACGGCCGTCTCTTGGCAACCTTGACACCGTCTCATCCCATCGCAAACTCGCCCTTCCTCCACTTCTTCACTTTCCATCATCCGCTCACTGAAACCGGCTCGAGTCGTCCGTTAGAGAAATGGCTGCAACACTTTCAGGAGCATATAACGTGTTTGTAACGTTCTTACCGAGCTCCTTCGGGTGATCCAGACGTGGTGACAATCGAAAGCATGAGGAGGAAGATATCGTTCCTTCTGGAAATTGTCCGCACTGAAAGAATCTACCTATTTCGAACATAGTCCGTTTTCTCTTCCAGTTACTCCTAGACGGCCACGGATTTGCCGCTTTCCCCTCACCGCTGTCGGCGCCAGTTGACATGACTGGAGAGGGAACGACCACTGTTTGGGGAGGACACGAGTGTCACGCTAGGGAAGCTTTATCCAGGAGGCCTTTCGAGGATCTTTCACATTACAAACCGGCAAGCTATCTGAGTTTTCAAGAGTTTCTCCGGTGCATGAAATACTACGGGAGCATCATTTGGCCTCAGGATTCTCGATATATATTACAGTCTTCCCGAAACGTACTCCGCCACCACAAACGTCACATCATAACAATACCAGCTTTTCAAAAGCTTCGCATAGGTGCACCAGATGTATATGTAGCGTTTTTGGTATTCGGACTCCTTGGCATATTGGATGATCTCTAGAAGGGAGCAAGACAGTTCAGTGACAGGCGTAATCGGCTCACGCCAAGATACGCTATGCCTCTTCTAGGGTCGACCGTTTGCTACGACTTCGTCAACGCGTCACGGCTAGCAAATCCAGAGTCTAGAGTACCACTGGACCTTTCTTGTTTTCTCTCTACACTGCAACAAAATGGATCGCTTGCCAAGCCAAGGGATAGGTGCACCACAAGATGGAGAACGCGCGGAGCGCATCGCAGAGTGAGTGAGGGCAGTCTCTTCAATTTCTTGCCGCTGACGTTCTTGCAGTCTGATTACCGAGCTGTCCGCCCGCAAGATACGATACAAATTGACGCGCCAGGAGTAAGCCGTGTCTTGCAGCTTCAGTCCTCACGATTTCAACGTCTAACAACCTGTAGTCCCAGATGGAGTATAGCCGTTGCTGGATCTCGAGGCCGCATCTTGAAATCAATACGGAGGGAAATAAGGAAGTTATACCGGTAGGGCTGTCAGCTTTATATTTGTTCTTATGCTAACGTTCCAAGCATGCTGGACAAAGAAATACAAGGGTTCTCCCAAGCCTGGAACTTGCGATTCGGCAACATGATTCTGGCGAAATGCCCGCGAGAAATTAGAGACGTGGTTTACGGCTACCTATACGAGGCTGTTAAACCGCTACCGCTGGTACAGAATAGCGCATGCACGACAGGGACCGCACATCCCATGATCCAGAACTTGTGTTTACCTCACTATATGGATCCCAACTACATGGGTGTCCAGTTTTCTCGGGAGATGGCGGCATTCTGGCACGAAAAGACCAGCTTCACGATCTACGACTATCGCCTTCTCGAGTTGTTCATCAAGCATGATGTCGGACTGCTCCACCATCTTGACCCCCGACTGGCTTTTCCGCCCGCAGTACATATTCGCCGCTTAGACTTACACCTTTTCTTTGACGTCGAGAGTCACAAAATCACTAAGGACAACCGAGAACGTCTACAAGGCTCCAGAGAGGCGCTCCGACATGTCCTAAGCATCGAACGAAAACCCAACTTTCAGCTCACTCTCGTCATGCACACGACGCATCGTCGCTCTATTAAGCACTATCTGAGAAATATGTTCCCGTTGATATATGAGTTCAAACGGGCAGGGATGTTGGTGGATGTCCGGGAGGTTAGAACAATGGCGGGTTCGAAGCCTCTGACTACAGATTGGACGTACCGATTCAAGTGTTCGGAAGAGACTTGGGTCAAGAGAGAGGCTGCACGTGTCAGGCAGAAGAAGAACAGGAAGAAGAAGAAGAGTACCGAGAGCTAAGACCCCTGCTTAGAAAATTGACCGGTCAACAGGGGGCGGTGGAGATGGTCTCCTTTTGACTGTGACTTTTCTATTACAACTGATTATCTACGGAGCAATGATTGAAATTTCCGTTCAAAACCAGTCGATGCCCTTCCAAATCTATGCACGTCTCATCAAGACTGACATTCCTCCACCGCATGCCTCAGACGCTTATTCGCGACCGTGACGCCCATTTCAGCTATCCTATCAGCGGCATCGTAGAATTTCCTCACGCAATCGGCGCCGGCTTCCTCCCTTACTCCTATCGCGATCGCTTCGAGCGCGTCCCGCACTTCCGCTATGCCAGTCTTGACTACACTGGGGACCTCAGCTACTATGGAATTATAAACCTGAAGCTCGTTGTCCCAGCGTCTGAGTCGTTCGCTCCGCCCGTCTTGAGCCCTTGCATAGGCAAGCTCCTCTTTCGGCGGCAATAGGTCGTTCACCGCCTTGAACATTCCCGTCAAATCACGACGAAGGGCGCTCGCTTTGGCCTCTTCATTCCCGTTCCCGTATACAGCTCTATCAAAATCGATTACGCGAATAGGCGGAAAGGAATGCCGTCGGTCTGATGCCTCCTTCGGGGGGATTTCCACGAGGAGATTATTCTGGTAAAAGTCGCCATGGGCTACGCCACAAGTGTTGTGGAGGTGCTCCAGCATGTGGAGGCTTTCGAGGAAGACGTGGGCCCGGAAATATTCAAGCATCGCATCGTCCGCAACCTTCTTGAGCTCGGTGAAGAAGTTCGTCAACGTAATACTCGGCTCGACGGTCCCCATGACGAACCACGATACTTTGGAATTGGCGTCGTCCTCCTTCGATGAGCTCTTCTCGAAATCCACAGTGGGGAGAAAGTTCCTCCGTGCACTCGCATCACCCGGCAAACTTTCGAAGCTTGCGCGGACGGCTTCGAGACTTCGTACTTCGTTCGCGATCATTTTGCGGTTGCCATCGCTCGCTACTTTCGGTATCTTGACAGCGAGCAGCTTTTGACGTAATTTGTGGATCTCGTCAGCTGATACTGATGCGGCGTCTTTTTGTCGAAGGCAATAACACGTCAGCCCGGTGAGGCCACGGTCATTTATCATGCCCACGGTGATATAGTTCTTGAAGAACTCGGCGAGGAATGGATGTAAGTTGGTTGGAATGTCTTCGCCCATGATGTGGCTAGGCAAAGAGGTCTGTGGGCGATTTTGGGAAAGCGTAACAGGCCAGAACCCAGGGAAAAAAGGGGTATTTGAAAGAGCCAAGTTGTGCCTATCTTTACAATGTACTGTGGAAGAAGGGAGAGTGGAATATTAGGTCCTAATTCCCAAATTTATATTCTACTGTTATTCATACACAATGGACTCAATGACCAGCGGACTCAATGCATGACTGCACAAGAGTCATGCGGAATGAGCCATAATTCGGCAAACGTGCTGCGTCCATGTGCGGAATAACCGTAATAACCTCACGAGACCGTCTCGAAAGATCATCAAGCAGGTACTCTGTCATCCGTTCTGGTCACGGCGAGATTTCTCGTCCGGTCTCTGCTATCTGAGTAGATTATTCGTCTCCAGGCAGAATAGTAGAGGCAGTATAGCTTCCATACAATGCTCGATCTTCGAATTTCGTGGTCGTGCTGGCCAGCCACACTACTGCTTGACTACGGCAGTAAGGCATAGCTCAAAACTGCGCCAGTGCCAGATAGTCAAGATTGCCTCCGGGTTCGTGACCGAGTATAGCAGAGATGTATCGTAAGCAGCGGATATGCCTGGTGGAAAATACTTAAAGTCCCAGCAGTGAGACCAAAGAAAGTGATGCGAAGACTTCGAATGTGCTCGTACGGTAGCCAGCTAGCTGAAGGGTATCCGCTGTGAGGAACATCTCTCAGGCGGCCTAAGCCACATATATTGGACGTAATACTAGACGGTATTCGGTTAAAAAAAAGCTTATCCATCTTCTTGGTCATTTGCGTTTCGATGAGGTGTAATTGAAGGTATTAAGGCATGGACAGCGGTTGATGAAAGTTCCGATTGCGTTGACCACGTGGAGTCTCTAGTAACCTCGTGTTTGAAGTTTCGAAGATACAGACTTCAGCGGGATACCTACGTCAGTACCAATGGAGCCTGGCCCTTGAGCCCCAGAGACAATGCTTACACGCGACCGGAACCTTCGTATGACTGATCCGCTGACGGTCATATATCAGGCAGTCCACCCCTAGTCATTCCCCTCATTAATAGTAAAACCCCCATCCACAAATAAATTCTGCCCCACCACCAAACTCATCCTCGGCAAACTCATCAACACAACCACATCGCCCACCTCCTCAAACCTTGCCTCCCGTCCCTGCCTCTCCACAAAACTTCTCCACATCGCCTCCCCAGCCTCCAAGTGCGCCTCGTCCTTCACAAGCGGCTCCAACATCTTCGTAAGCAAGAACCCTGGACTGACAGCATTCACCCTAACCCTCTGCTTTCTCCCTTCCAGCGCCGCTGCCTTTGTGATGCCGGAGCAGGCGTGCTTCGATGCCGTGTAGGCAGTGGTGCCGGGATAGGCGAGAAGGCTGTTGACGGAAGCGCAGTTTATGATGCTGCCGCGTTGCGGGACGCGGCCTTCCTCAATGCCCTCGATACTGGACTGCTGCATCATTTGGCGCAGTTCGTATTTGGTGGCGAGAAAGATGCCCGTGCTGTTTACGTCTTGCGTCTTCTGCCAGTCGGTGAGTTTGGTCTCGGATAAGGGCTTGACGGGGCCGATGACGCCGGCGAAGTTGGCGGCGTAGTCGATGCGGCCGAATTTAGCGACTGCTTCGGCGACGGCGCGCTCCATGTCGGCTTCTTTGGTGACGTCGGCGCGTATGGTGAGGCACTGGGGTTGGATTAGGTCGGGGGCAAGAAGGAACGTAGTGAGCAGTGCGTACCTCGCAGCCAATGTCTTCCACGGTCTTCTTGCCTTCTGCGAATGTGGCATCATCTTGGATGTCGACAATGGCAACGCCCCGAGCACCTTCTTTAGCAAACGAGACGGCGATGGCGTTACCCAAACCGCGGGCGCCGCCTGTGATGAGAGCCACACCTGGTGCGAGAGGACCCGAGCGTCGTGACATTACGGCCTCGTATGGTAAATCACAGCTGAGCACCAATATATGTGTCAATATCCTTCGAGTTCCTTTGGCTTGCCTGATCGAGATAATAAAGAGGCGAGACCGACGTTAAGATATTCCGCGGACCTGTTCGGCATGGTACACACTAAATCGGCTTACTAGGACTAACTTAGTCTGAACGACGCGAGCTTGTGATTGGGTTATCGACAGTGTAACGCTTTCCCCGCACATGATCCCCTCATCCAGAGTTAGTGTGATGGGATGATTCGGGAAGAACGACTCTTTGCGGGCATTTGTCATCCTAGACGACGCATTTGCTGCTGTACGCTGAAGCGACCGAACAATCGCACACGCGCGGCCTAACAGCTGGTATACCCTCTACACCTTGTCTTTGTGGGTTGTGACCATAATTTTGATGTGCTTGTCCTTATTCGTTACCAGCTCTTCGAATCCTTTGGACGTGATGTCATCGATGTGAATGCGACTTGTGACCATCCTTTCTACGCCGTTGAACTTGCCTGGAGAATGATCAGAGACGCGGTTTCATTCTTTGCGCACAACTTACCGGCTACAAAAGCGTCCACTGTCTCTTTGAAGTCCTTGTCATCGTACGCCATGCTCGCCTTGAGCGTGAGCTCCTTCAGCAGCATCTGACTCGAAGGGACAACCATCTGGAGAAGGTCAGCAAACACAGCCGCAGACCATTTATCTTACTCACCTGTGTCTCCCACCCGGCGACATTCATGTACACGCCTCTATAGCTTAGCGCATCCATACCCGCATCCATGCCCTTCTGAATACCAGCGCAATCAAAAACAACATCTACGCCCTCTCCCGCAGTAAGCTCTCGACATCGATTGCCAACGTTCTCTCCGATCGGGTTGAACACTCTATCAGCTATCTCCTTGTTTTGAGCCGCTCTCATTGATGTAGGCTCCGAAACGAGAATCTTCTTGCATCTTTTCGCTTGGAGGACATAGATGTGCGCAATGCCAACAGGCCCACCACCCAGGATCAGAACGGATTTGGAAGTCCAATCGGAGACCTCTGATATCGCGATAGCGTGCCATGCTACTGCAAGCGGCTCAATTAACACTGCGAGCTTCAGGTCCACGGAATCGGGGAGCGCGTAGCAGAGATTGGCGTCGATGGCGACTGCTTCGGAAAAACCACCACCTGAACCAGAATATCCTTTGAAGCCCCAGGAACGGCACGCATTCGTAGACGAAGCAGTACAGCGCGAGCACTTGCTGCAGTAGATACGAGGATCGATCATGACCGCTTGACCAGGGGCAAGGGCCGAGCCTTCCGGTGCGCTCACGATCCGGCCGCAGAACTCATGGCCCAAGGTGACCGGGAGGTACTCGCCGGTGAGCGGATGTGGGCGTTCCTTTCGCGGGATAACGGCAGGTCCTATGAGGTATTCGTGAAGGTCCGATCCGCAAATACCGCACCACTCGATGGCAACCAGGGCTTCATGATCCTTAGGCTCCGGCTTTGGTACGTCGACAACTCTGATGTCTCGTTGGCCGAAGAATTGAGCAGCTTTCATCCTGGCGTCTGCGCTCGGGCGTGTCGAAGGCTACCTAGGTATTCGGAGGCAGAGGATGGAGCAGAGGGGTATAAGCCGAAATGTTGGATCGAATCGACGCCGAACGCCAGTCATAAGGCGGACGATTTACGGCATGCTGCAAGCTAGCTCGGTAAAGCAATACCGGTGGTGATGCTGAGGGCCCTCTGGATCCAGATCTCTGCATCTTCGTAGGATAAGCCGGCACGCTATGGCCGAACGCTCGAGTAGAGGTTGGCATCAAACTGCAGTTAGACACGGCACATCGAGCGAGCCATCACTGCCTCGTGACGCATTCGTGCGAGGCTGGAAAGCGTGGGGTGAACGTGGTCCGGAGAGTGCTTGGCTGGCAGCTGGGCATTGCGGGGAGCGGGTCGGCGCCTTTCCCCTTATAGACTAGCGTTTCGGCAGTAAATCTGGAGCAATTCATCGCGCAGCACAATCTGACGGTTCGCATTCACCACCGCACACCACGTTTTCCCATAGTCTTACCCCAGTCTTACAGCATGCTTGCGTCAAGATGGGCGCCCAAAGCCGACGAGTCGGAGCCGCCAAACCCTGCCTCGCCAGCGCAGGAACCACCGCCTGTTGAGGCGTCGCATGCCCCTCCTGTATGTTTTTACCTTTCAAGAGTGTAACCTTTCCTTCCTTCCATAGCTCCTTTGTCCCTGCCGGGGAGAGCCTCTGTTCTCCAATATCTACTTACACTTCCGCTCAGACTTCCGACACGCCGTACGACTACAACTACGCCGACCCCTCAATAGACCCTTTCGCGCAGACTGCGAGTACCGACGACCTCTTCTTCGACGACGATTTCACACCCATAGCCGAGCCAGTCGTCGAGCAGAACCCAGTCGACGTACGGCACCAAGAGCCTATACCCGACGAAGCTGCACCGCCGAGCGGACTGGGGCAGTCGCAGTACTCTGGCCACACACCACGGGGTCCCGCAAACGGAGAAAGGGGAGGCCGCGGCCGTGGGCGAGGCAGAGTGCGCGGAAGAGGACGTGGGGGCATCCAAAACGTCGAACCACGGGAAATCAAAGAGAAGCCGCAGGACAAGGAAGTCAAGGATGGAGAAACAGCCTCAGAAACCACAGCGCCGGCAGAAGCCACCGAAACTCCCTCGACGCCGACCGCCCCGAAAGACCCCAAAGCCACACATTCCGTCCGCGGCGACCGCACCCTCACAGGCGGCACTCCACGCACGCGCCTCACCGAAGAACAGCTTAATGCCAAGCTTGCCAGCATGCGCTCCAAGAACGAGACTCTAGCCGCCGCACACGCCCGTGCCGAAGCTGACCTCGCTAACTTCGAAGCGCGCGAAGCAGCCCTGGCAAAGCAGGACGCGGAGCGGCGCAAACACCAAGCCGCGCGACAGAAGGAAGAGCGGCAGAACAGACAGCAGATGATGGGGGAGCGGGAAAAGAATAGGCAGCGCAAGTTAGACGCGGTTAAAGGCCGGGAGTGGGATTTCCAGAAGGAGGAGGGGTTTACGGGGACGGGCGAGGAGAGGAGGAGAGGCGCGGCGCGGGGAGCATACGGCGGTGTTGCGCCAAGCCCAAGACCAGCTGGAGATGAGTGGGGGAGCTCAGATCCAACGCAGGAGGAGGCTAGTATACCTACACATCTCGGCCGGGGACGAGGACGAGGACGCGGTGGCAGGGGTGGAAGAGGTGGCCGAGGAGATCACTCCAACACCCACGCTCCTCCGAAAAAGGAACCCGAAGTCCAACACCCACCCAGAGCGTCTGATTTCCCCGAGCTGCCCTCCGCGCCACACGCCGCCCCCAAAGACGCCGAAGCCTCCCCCTCAACCCCCAAGAAACTCGACTTCCCGCTGCGAACCAAGACCAGCGAACTCAAATCCCCCACCGAGCCCGACCGCCCCGGCGTCAAAAAGCAAGAATCATTCGGCCTCCCCTCACCTGCCGGCGCGGGCAAGAGCTGGGCCGATCAAGTGGAGAACTCGTAGAACGAGCGCTGTCCAGATAGATGTTGGTGTTGCAATTGAGGTACATGCTTTGTGCGGGACATTACTGTTTCTTTGTAATATCCGTTCGTGGTTTGGTTAAAATGGGACGGGAGAGAAGACGGAGGGCGGTTGTTGGATAGCTAAATTTGTATCTTCATAAACTGCTTGGGAAGAAAAGGGTATGCTGCGGTAAACCCAATTGGTATACCGGTAAGATGGAAAGAGCAGCACGAGCAGCACGAGCAGCACGAGCAGCACGAGCGTGTGCTGAACACGGCCATATCAGATAGGTGTAGATACTAATACACCACCACATCAATAAGAGGCATTCCGCACAGCGAAGCAATCGTCGTGACTTCTGTACAGGTCCCGTTTTGGCTTGTCTCGATAACGATTACATTCTATACCAAAGGACTATTGCTACTCATACACCCATCCAAGAATCCATCCAGTGCAACCTGCCCTCCTCCTCCTCGCTATCCGTAGACGACTAATCATCACTATCATACTCCTCCTCATCATCGCCCAGCAGCGCAGGATACTGTCGACTCCTCAGATCCTGCTCCAGCCCGCCCTCGCTCTCCGGGTCTACATATCCCTTGCCGCCGAGCAAACTAAGGAGTACAGGGAGCAGGACAAGCGAGTGCGTGGCGGCCCATATCACGAGCGCGACCCAGACGCGGAAGTAGTAAATATCGAAGATCTAAGGCGGAACCGTTAGTATATCCTACCGAGAGATGGTGCATGGGCAGAAAGAGAGACATACCTTAGACCTCGTCCAAGCCAGCACGCCCACGCCGAGAATCTTCGTAATCGTAATCCCACTGATGACTGAGCTCGCCACATTAACCATGCTTGTCCACGCCCTCGCATCCAATCCCCTGAACCTATGTCTCGGAGCGCGTTCCATAGTCGCGCGGCTGGGGAAGGTAAAAGCGCGGGCGATGTGTGCTGTGAACTCTACGCTAATACCCACGCAGATAATCAAGTTTACGAGCGAGACGGCGTTGAGCGACACGCCCAAGACGGCCATGGATCCGATGATCGCAGAGACCGTCATGGCGACTACAAGGGTGACGACGAGCGCGGTCTGCAGGGAGCCGAGTAGGACGGTGGTCACGAGAAGGGTGGCAGCGAGCGCGGAGCCGATGAGAGCGCCGGCGAGGCGGACGATGGTAGTGTACTGGTCGAAGAAGATGTAGTGCTTGGAGTATGGGAAGACTTCGGTATCAACGTCGTTGGATATCTCGCGGGCTATCCTGCGGGCGGCGGCGTAAGAATTGATGAAGTCCTCCTGGGAATGAAGCGGAGTGTGCGAGGTGCGGAAGTGGGAGGTCGGGATAGTCAGATGTTTGTCGTCGATAACGAGGGCGTTGGAATACGCGGCGGCACCACCGAGAGGGCAGTCTTCGTTTGTCGGAGCCTCGATCCAGCGGTCCAGATAGTGGATGAACTCCTGACCTTCGGGCATGCCGCTGAGCGTGATGTTCCATGGTGGCCGACGGTCCTTGAAGCAGGGTTTGCCGTTGTCGACGCAGCATTTTTCGTTTTCGGGGTTGAGCCAGAGGAAGAAGTCGTCGAGCCAGTTGGCGGCGGAGGCAGAAAGGTAGGACACTTCCGGTCGCTTTCGCTCGGCTTCGATTACGTTGGCAAGGCTTTCTCGGTCGCAAGTAGGGAACCGTCCACAAAGCTCCTTCTGCGGTGCCCGCTGCGTGACGTTAAGTTCCTTCGTGACGAAGTAGACCGGCGGGCCTGCATTGAAATAGTCGTAAAGATCGTTGAAGTAAGGAATGAGATACGAATCGCTTGGAATAGCAATGCGCTGATCAAGCCCCAGCTGTACCTTTGGGAACAGCGCGAGGCTAGCAGTGAAGATGCCGAAGAAGATGGCGAGAATCACGACCTTGGCCTTCTTCCCTAGCAGTGCTGGCGTGTATGTCTTGCGGATGAAGCGCTGCAAGCCGCCCTCTTCGCCAGCGCCGTGGCCCATTCCGCCATTTAGATAGCTTGAATCGGCCCGTCGCACACGCACGAAGGGGAAGCAGTCAGCCCGATTCGATTCCACCCGTCGTTGGTTGAGCGCCAGGACGGCAACGAACATTGTGACTTGCAGGATCGCGTTGATGAGCACCGCGCCAGCAGCATAGGCGGCAAAGTTACGCACCGCTGGCATACCTACGGCACATCCCAAAGCGAATGCAGTGGTCTCGGTAGTGGCGGAAAGCAGAATTGATGGGCCCATGCGACCTAGCGCTCGTGCGACGCGCTCTGGGATGGTGCCCTCTGGATGACTGATGTTCACGCGCTCAAACTCGTGAACGATGAGGAATATGTTGTCGACACCGACAGCCAGTACCAAGAAAGGAATGACTTCGGCGATGATAAGCGTGACCTTGATGCCAGCGGCGGAGAACAGGCCAACAGAGGCGGAAACGGACATAAGGACGATGACAATGCCGACAATGCCCAGCATGAACTTGGACTGGACAAGCGCGTTTGCGGGGTTGCGGAGGAATGATCGCACAGTGAGCGTAGTGGACCCAAGTGCTAGCGAAGCATACAAGAACATGATGATGTAGCTCACCACCACGATCTTAGCATCGGTATTTGTACTCTTGTTTAGCTCCTGCTCGAGACTGGCTTCAGTGTTGAAGCTCAGCCTTAGGCCTCGATCCCTGGCTTCGCCCTGAACGGCTAGCATTAGGTCACGCATGCTGTACTCCCAATTCATAGCGCGCTCGAGCTCCGCGGTGCCTTCTTCATAGTTGTTGACCACCCAGGTAACGACTATTGCTTGCGCGTCCAGAACACTTTCGTTGACGCCGCCGAACAGCAGATGGGGGTCGAGGGGTTGCTGGAAGGCCGGCAAGCATTGAGAAGGATTGTCCACACACTCTTTGAGATCCCCCTGCCAGCTGTGGGGGGAAACATTGTTGATATCCCCTTGGAAGTAGCCAGATACCGACTGGACAACACAGGCATCTCCGACGGGCTTGAAGCAGACCTCATCCAGAGTCACTCCACCCTCATAAGACTTGGCGCGGCGAACCCGGCCTTCCACGTCAAACCACCAGCGAAGTATATCGTAGCTCAGCACAGGCCCACCATTGTCATTCACTAAGAATGCTTGCTCGGCGCGATAAAATGGACCGAAATTGTCGTCGAAGAAGGCCTTCTCTCGTGCAGCGGTCGAGTCTGGGGCGACCCATAGTCGGACGGGATCAGTCTCGACCTCGAACCTCAGCCAACCCAGGCTCATCAGCACAACGACCAGAACGCTGGTGAAGATGGTGATATCGGGGAACCTCGCGCAAACATAGCCAAGCCGACTGAACATGCGATCGCACCACGTATTGACGAAGTAGTGCTTCGTCGGCCGATCTAGCATTGACACGTTGTGTACGATATCTCCCTCGTCTTCATCATCGCTAGGCTCTAAGTCCTGCAGGAGGCGCAACCGCTCGTTCTTATGCTTGGAGTGTTTCTGGTATGCAATGTGGCCGGCGACGGCCATGCACAGCAGGCCGAGGAAGACGGAATAGATGACAATGACGGCAAATGAAAGGCAAGGTAGCAGGCCGACGGAGCACTGCTTCGCCTCGGACACTTCAGGCAGTTCGGCACAGGAGCCTCCGCAGTCTAAGCATGCGCATCGGTACTTCTCGTCGGTCGAATTGCAAGGATGCGCCGTCTTGTTCATCGCGTCCATGCCAGGGAAATCATCCTCGCTCGGTCGTGGAAAGTCCATCTGGAATGGGCTGCCTAGTAGCTTCTTGTCCCCTAAGAACTTCAGAAACTGAGTGTAGTTCTTCGCGCCACCGCCGATGAAGTCCATTGCCTTGCCATTTGTAGCTCCGAACTTGACATCCTTGCAGCTATCGTAGAACTCGGAGCCGTACTCGTTCGATACGAGGTGGTCTAGCTCGGTGACGAGGTACTTGTCCGCTTTCGGCGCGGTCTGGGTAACGTTTATAAAGAGCGACTGGTCTGGTGAGCAGGTAAAGGTGCAGAATAGGTTGTAGAAGTTCTCCTTGCAGGCCGGGCAGGCGTTGATGATGGGCGTGGCTTTGTTGAGGTTCGACTTGAGCGCGTCGAGCTGCTCTTCTTTGCAGCACACATCGGTGTCTGACCATGCATCGCCGCATATGTCTACGAGCTTCTGCTTGACCTCCTCATCCGGCTTCGTGGCCAGGCCGTTGTCCGGACAGGGCAGGTCCGACCCGAAGAAGCCCTGCTTTCCGCAGTGTCCTCTTATAGCGCATCGGCCCTTCTCGTGTTTTGTTGTGAGCTCGGGCCCGGCCAGGACAGAGCCGACGAGGATGGACAGCAGTCCCGTCGTTATGGCTCCCCATCCTCCCCTCGAGCACCGCTTCACCATGTCGCTCGCCACGCCACCGGGGCGCTCCGACGTCCGGTCGACTATAGCAGGTAGAGGGGATGCTTACGTCGAGATAAAGCTCCGGATATGCAACCGCGGTACTACGGGAGATGATGAGGGAAATGCGGTGGGTACTGAGGGCTAACGGGTGAGGTGTGGCGGAGCTGGCGCGCCGTGTGCGGAGTGGCTGGGATGAGAGCTGCGCGGTAGGGAGGGACTGTGGAGAAGGCGGACTGCAAGAGTAGCAATAAAAGCGACAGGTGGCGGTGCGGATAGCTGCAGCAAACGTCGTGGGCTCCGGCGGTAGTCTACGTCGATGTTTGTTGGTGTCGTCACCGTGAGCCTCGGCGACTGCTGCCGCCGCAGCCAGGAACGGACCAACCGATCGACGTCACGCGCGGCAAAGACTTGGCGATTCAGCCTTACACACGCAGCACCCCTTCTGCGCCAGAAACACCCTGACCGTCGAGAAACGAACTGGGTATTGCGTCCCCGAAGGAAAATCTATCGACACGACTCCCCTGAAAGCGCCCTCCTCATAATGTCAGTCCGTGGTATCAGTGTGCCATTTTGGTCCCGCCCAACCCATTTCCAGCCCTCGTGATAGCGTTCCCGCTGGGTATCAACGCTGCCCTGCACCGCCTCCATTACACTTCATCTACTTTTGCAGATACTTGACCAGTTCAACAAGCTGCGACCGTGTCTCCTCCTCCAGCTGCTCTTCAGGTGGACCAAGCACCTTCTCGAAGACGGGCATGAGACTAGGCGTGAGCTGCTGAATTGTAGGCTCATTGGCTTGGTCTATGGCCATATTAGCATTCCGTTATAGTTCCTTGGAAGAGGCAAACTTACAAAGCTTGACCACCATGCCAAAGATGGGCTTGTTCTCCTCATAGTCCTCCCTGAGCGGCAGGAGCTCGACTAGGCGAGGAAGAACCTCTGGAATCGGGATCTTGTCGGGGTGCTTCGAGATGAACCTGCTTACACACCCTGCCGTGTTGTCGAGCAAGCGCGCCTGATCCTGAGCATCGAGAAGAGGCTCCAGTTTGCTAAAGATTGTCGGCAACGACTTCAGGATTTCTGTGTCGTTCGTGGTCTTCTCGCAAAGCAGCCCCATGCCATAGACAGCGTTAGACTTCGTCTCTGGGTCCTCGTCTGACAGGCGGTGCATGAGAAGCTTGAGGATTGTGCTAGTGTAGGGTGTGCATCCCTCAGCCATGTTGCCAATGCATTCGGCAATCGTACCCACGGCTGCGCTTCGCTCTACCGACTCGTTGCTGCTCGCGTACTTCATAATGGGCTTCTCGAAGACCTTCCAAAGCGCGGCAAAGCTGGATCCTAGGGCAACCGACAAGCAAGTGATGACTTCCATGGCCGTCTCAATAACCAGCCAGTCGTACTCCGATGATTCATCGAGTATTTCCTCTTCAGCGTCGTCGCCGAGGTCTTGCTGGCAAGGATGTCGCTTGGTGATTATCGACAGCAGTTGCTGCGCCATCTCTTCGACCACAGTGCCCTTCTCCGTCATGAGAATCGCGGGTCCACAGAGCTTGAGTGTAGCCGCAATGTCGCGATTAATATCGGTAACCGTACCCCTAGAGGAAGTCAGCTGCTGTTGCAAAGACCGCCGTTGACACTAGATAATGGGTACAAGAAAGGCTCAGAAACAGAATCGCGTTCGCCTCAACCGCATGTTTGTGCGTCAGAGTGAGCTGGGATTAACGAAATTGGATCATCTTTGCGTAACCGAGGGAACAGAAATGGAAGCTTACCGATCCATCTCGTCTTGCCAGACAGTCATGGTTGCGGTCATGACCACGTTCCCTAGCTTCTTCAGATCTGCCGGGGACTCAGTCTGCAGAGGAAGCCCTGGCTTCCACTTGGTCATGCCGTCGCCCTCTGCCATGCCCCAGAGGCAGGCGTACGTGCGCCAAAGTGTGCCAATGGCGGCCTTCCGAATACCCTCGTATGAATGATCAACGAGCTCGAGGAGTTTTGTGACGGTATTCTCGAGATATGGAATGTATTCCCGACGCGTGTGGGTGATGATATCGCCATACACCTCGGCGGCGATCTCCTGTAATTAGATAAATTAGCATGGTGAAAAAGAGCTGTGATCAGGAAAGCTACCCCTACAGTCCTTCGACGAACCAAGAGCACATCAGTACATGTGGGTGTGGACGTACCTTCTCCATGGCGACAGCAGTAACACCGCCGATGTCATCCCAATCGTCCTCATCCAAGGCAGCCTCGTTGAGGTCACTCGCATCGTCGTCGGTGGCTGCAGCCACCTTGATCTTGCGACCCTGGACGACAACTTCGGCGCCAACTAGATCCGTGGCCTCCTCTCCTAGTTCGACCTCCAGGTCCGTCTCTTCTTGGTCAAGACATTCTTGCAGACCCTTCACTGCGCCCGGAAGATATTTGGCAAATTGCTCTTCGTATACCTTCGCCATAGTGCTCCAGAGGATGTAGCTTGTCTCGCGCAGCCGCGGGTGATCCAAGTGCAGGGCTTCTTCAGAAGCTTCCATAAGAGGGAGCACATAGGGCTCAAAGGGCTGAGCGCCGACAGCAGATGCGATCTTGCCCATGGAATCGCAAACAACACCTCGGAGGTCCAAATCATCCTGACTGTCCTTTATTCGGACATAAGGGGAGAGTGCGTTCATGGTCTGCTCGAAATAGGGAAGGAATGCTTTCTCGGCAGCCGACGCAATAGACCCTACAGCGCCAATGGCTGCAGTCTTGCATTTCAGGTCGTCATGTGGGAAGAGCTGGCTAAATCGAGGAACCAACTCCGGGACGTATTTAGCAGCCTCTTCGGGATCAAGGCCTTCAATAAGAGAGTCGATAGCATGGCAGGTTCCGCGGACAATCTGCAGACTGCGCTCATCATTGCTTCCGTTCTTCAAGCTGTCCACGGCCAAGTCGAAGTTCTTCACCATAGCAGGGATAAGGCGGGCATGCTCTTTGCCAACGTCTTCCGCCAGGTCATCCGCCAGGCGCGCCACACCGTTCAACGCCGCTCCGCGAACTTTGAGGTCTGGGTCCTCAAGGAGGTGCAAAACCATGGGTAGAATCTCATGCAATTGAGTCGCAATAAAATCCGGCGCACCTTCGACACACATACCAAGGGCCAAGATACCAGCTTGGCGGTAGTCAGGATTCTGCGAGGAGAAGTAACCGCCAAGAGCTTTTAGAAGCGGTATGACCACCTGGCTGGGAGGCAGACTCGAGGCAAGAATGTCAAGCAATCCGAGGGCCGAGCGGGCAGGCGTGACGTCTTCGTCCTCACTGGCTAGGTCACCCAGCTCGGTTACGATCTGCAGTGCCTTCAGAGTAAGCTCTTCGCCGATTCTCAGACCTTGAATCTTGAGCTTCCTGCAACGTGTTAGTGATTGATCTGGCACAAAAGACGCAGTTAAGTGCGGTTAACCCGTAAAGCCGGTAATGAAACATGCTCATATATGTACTGTACGTACCTGTAACGGACGCACTGCATCAGGAATGCGAGAGCCTGCGATCGGTAGTCATCATCAACAGTAGTGGTCGCGGCGAGCTCGATCATAAACTTGACGAGGTCGCCAAAGTGCTTCTGCAGGAGTGCGGATTCACAACCCAGGAGGGTCTGGAAGACTTCGAAGGCCTGTAGGGCATGGTCCTGTGAAACGTGGCGGAACACATTAGCAAATGTCGCTGAGGGGCTCCGGGAGTGGTTTTATGTACCTCGTCTCCCTCCTCAACGGTGGACTTCAGGACGGTGACCATGCCGGGAATGGCGTCCTGGAACAAGACCAGCTCCTTGGGATCCTCCTCTGGTTCCAGCAGCATGGCGAGACGGCTGAGGGCAAGCATGGTGTTGACTCGTACCTCGGCGCTCTCGGGGTCTTTAATTGTTGAAGCGAACAGCTTGTAGAGATCCGACTTGTTGCCCGGGAACGCGTCGCCGACCGACTCGAGTGTGGTCCAGATGATATAGGTGCCCACTTCCCTATGCCGCACATTGGAGCCGGTGGCAGCCTGGTGAAGGTAGCCAGGCAGGTCAGCCCACTCTCCATCCTCGAAGTCTTTCGCGGCAATGGCTGAGATGACGCGGGCAGCCGAATGCCGTGTGAGCGTGACGTCCTCGTTGAGGGTAAACTGGAAGAGCTGGTTTCTGAGAGACGTCTTCTGGTCGGCGGGCAGGCTGGTCCAGTGTTTTGCAACCAGCTTCCTAGCCTCGACTGCCGCCAGCTGGCGGAGTTCCGGCCGGGGATGGTTGCAGACGATCTGCAGGAGCGCATTGAGCGATGCTGGGGAGGTATAGTACGTCTTGTTCAGCGTTGCAGTCGCAGACTTGACTCGCTCAGTGTCGGCTGGGAGGGGTTAGCGCCTCATTATTCTGAAGAATTCGGGGAGGTCTTCGAGGCAGGAAGGACACAGAGGGTTGGCAGGCGCGCCAGAGGCGTGACTTACGCTGCAGCAAGCTCTCCAGGAGCTGAACGAATTGCTGCTCGTCCATGGCGACAGCAGACTTCAATCGCCGGAGCGCGGAGTTGAGGAAATTTTGTGGTTTTGTGGCGGGAGGGTCGTGTTTTGGCCGCAAGTGGGGTTTTCGCCCTCGAAAAAATAGTTGCCGCAAGGGTCTCCGGCAAAACCGCGGGCCCGACCTCTGCCAACGAGCCGTGGCGACTGTCGTGCGGCATCGGCTCACTGGATGCCCGTACACCACAGGGTGAATGCTATATGGCCGGCTGGGGAACGATGGCCGCTCGTCCAAGGGGCGCACCGGGGCATCGCTCGATTGTGGGTGTGGAAGGAGGCATTGGGGAGGGCGCGGCACATGCATGTACACACAGTACGAGCGACGAGGCGCATCTGCGGTGAGGAGCGCGCCATCGCGGGCGGCAGAGCGCAATCCGATGTCGCCGGGCACAGGGGCTTTCGGACGGCCAGCAGCAGCAATGTGCCTCGCGCGTATCCGTGATGAATCGGCGTGGTGGACGAGACAGTGAGGTGAAGGCGGACGCGCCGTGTGATAGGCCAGGGCGGCGCGCTAAGGGCTCCCGGTGGCAGGTGCGTTGGAGCTGCAGTTTTGCAAAAACAGAAACGACGACTGTGAGCTGCAGTCCTGCCCTCCGCCATCCGCCATCACCGCAGACCTTGACTCCAGGAGGCCCCCATCTCCTTCTCCATCCGCCCCGCCTACGATACCCCCTCCATCCACCTCCGCCCACCTGCACGCCCACGCTGCATCCCCTCCGTTTGGCACTGGGACTGATATCGCCCTCGTCTCCGTCTCTATGGCTTCTGTACGTCCACATCCAGTCGACTTCGCACCCACGACGCGCCTACTGACTCCCTCCAGCAAGCTCCCAACCAGCCGCGCCCGTACCCCGGCAGCTACCTCCCCAACGGCGGCGCTCCCTCTGGCCCCGTGCCCGGAGCTGTCCCGCTGCTCCCCAACCAGGGCCGCGTGATACAACAAGGCAGCGTCCGAGTGCTATGCATTGCGGACGTGCGAGGTACGCAGGCGGAGCCCCTCGCGGCTTTGTTGAGCCGCACACTGACGGCGTTTAGGCAACCTTCAGTCGCTCAACCAGCTCGCCGCCGATGCACGAGCAAACTACATCATCCACACCGGCGATTTCGGCTTCTACGATGACCGCTCTCTCGACCGCATTGCGGAGAAGTATGCCCACCCCCACACTATCCACATTACACGTAAAAGGTGCTAAGCAGCGCAGGACCCTGAAACACGTCGCCCAATATTCGCCGCTGCTGTCCGACGCCGTCAAGCGCTCCATCGCCTCCGCGCCGCCGCAGCCCCCAATCAAGGAACGCTTCCACCGCGAGAGCCTGCCCCTCTCCGAACTACCCCTCTTCCTCAACAAGACATACACTCTGAACATCCCCGTGTACACAGTGTGGGGAGCCTGCGAGGATGTTCAGGTCCTGGAGAAGCTGCGCTCCGGCGAGTACAAGATCGATAACCTCCACATCATAGACGAGGCGCACTCGCGGTTGCTCGAAGTTGGCGGCGTGAAGCTCCGTCTCCTGGGTCTCGGCGGCGCCGTGGTCATGCACAAGCTGTTCGACAATGGTGAAGGCAGAACGACGATTGCGGGTGGACAGGGGACCATGTGGACCACCCTGCTACAGATGGGCGAGCTTGTGGATACAGCAAACCGCGTATACGACCCGACTGAGACCCGCATATTCGTCACACACGCTTCGCCAGCGCGCGAAGGCCTGCTGAACCAGCTGTCCGTCACACTGAAAGCGGATTTCTCCATCTCGGCCGGCCTACACTTCCGATACGGTAGCTCCTATAACGAGTTCAGCGTCAATCCGACGCTGGACCACTATCGAGGCAAGCTCGCTGCGTCTAAGGCATCATTCAACGATGTGTGGGACACCGTCAAGACCGAGGTCGAACCTGCAGTCGCAGACAGCGACTCGCAGCAACGCCTGTTGAACCTGGCTCTGGAGATCGTCAACAAGATGCCCACTGTCGCTAACGGCGGCAATCCTTTCGGCGGTCCAGCTCCTGGTCCCCAAAGCGGCGTCATCGATGAGAGTGCCTTCAAGAACATGTGGAACTTCAATCTGGCTGATGCAGCCTACGGATGGCTGGTCTTGGACATTGACAATGGCAGGATTGGTACTGAGATGAGAGCCCAAGGCTTTAACTTTGCCCATAGGGGAGGTAAAGTTGCCCCGCCAGCCCAAGCCGCACAACCACTAGCTGGCGGCCCAATCGCAGCTCCTCCAGCAACTGCTCCTAGCCCAGCAGCGCAGCCCTCTCCGGCTCAGGCTCGCCCAGCTGCTCCGCCTTCAGGTACTCCGCAGCAAGCCCGCCAAGCCACTGCCACTCCGCCCGTCCCGCAACAGCAACAGCAGATGAAGCCTGCCCAGCCGGCGCGGACTGGCCCATCTCCGGTCCCGGTAACGCCAAAGGACCCCATCAAACCGGCCACCCCACAGCCTAGCGCTTCGGGTGGACCTGTAAATGCTGCCGCGGAGAAGGCCATCCCCAGCGAGGTGAAACCGAATGGCACGGCTGCACCCGAGAAGACCCCAGCATCGCCAGCACCCAAGGAGCCCCAAGAGCGCAAGGAGAGCAAGGCCCTCTTCATCATCAACGTCAAGGATGAAGAGGAGGCCAAGAACCTGCTTGCCGATGAGGACAAGCCAAAGTGCGAGAAGGTCGAGAAAATTAAGCATTTCTTCGTCGCCCACTTCGCCACGCCCGCCGATATGAGTGCCGCTCTTAACCGCGTATCCTCGGAATATAGGAACTCCAAGGGCCCAGACAAGCCAAGTGTCAAGGTCTACCGTGAGCCTTCGAGTGGTCCTAGGTACGGCGCTGGCAACTGGCAGGCCAGCAGTCGAGGTGGCGTTCAAGGCGGATACCGTAGCGGAGGTGCCTCGGACAGCGAAGGTGGTCGTGGAGGCCGTGGTGGGCGAGGCGGATCCTACCGGGGCGACCGAGGCGATCGCGGAGGTCAGCGTGGACGAGGCGGGCGCGGAAGGGGTTTCAATCGAGGAGGACAGGGCGAAGGTGCTGCGGCAGCACCTACGGGAGGCGAGTCATAAACCCATGACTTATTCCTATGCCCTTGTCCTCTCTGATACCCTTTCTTTGTTGCAGCTGACCCGAGGAACAGCGCGGCCTCGGACGAGTTGGCGGCGAAGTTCTCCACGACGCATGTCGCGGCTTTCTCCGCGGCTCAAGCTCCCCCGTTCCGACTGATTCCTTCTACTTTTCGCTTCAACGGGCGATTGTCCCTTGTCATAGCAGGCGCCGGTCGTGTTTCCTTTTCTCTCTCGGTTCGTTAATCTCAACAAGTGCGCGGGTGACGGTTGGCGAAACGGCGGGCTGATCGATTCGGCTTTTGATGCTCTAATGGTCGTCACCGAGGCTCACTCTAACGATCTTCTTTTCTCAGTTTCCTCCCTCTCGACTAGGGCGGGCCTCCCGTCTAGATGTACACAGCGTATATAGGCTGGGGATGGGTGGTGAGCGTGAGGAGGCGGCCAGGATACGGTGGGGCTTTTCTTCTTGGAGATAATGACGGGAGCAGTGATTGTTAGAGTATGTATTGTAATACACAAAAGTTAGATAACATGTCTCTCGATGCTGTGTCTTTATCATGGCTGCATCGACGTCAACGTGTCGAGCGAGACACGCCCGTTCCTGCTCCCCGGGGCCACTTTGCGTGACTACCCCTTCCATTAATTAAGAAATCCCAGAAACGCCAGTATAGCGCAACATAGCATGGTGTGACCGAAATGACTCGAGAGCCCGAGAGAGAGATATGCCATCATGGGGCCGGCATCTCCGTTCAACGAGCCAACGTATGGAGTGAAGATGAGGGTTCACCGTCGCTCCTGCGCTTTTCACTGCTTTGGGGAAACCCCCTAATTCCTGGGTTGGACCTCCTCCGCTGTCTCGCCACTCCCACTAGCACCCTTTCAATAACACCGCACTGCGCTGGGCCGTCCACAAACCGGCACCATGTCAAGGCTGTACAACTCTGCCGAACGCCTCATCTCGGAAGCTGGGCCTGCGAGCGACAGCCCAGATACGGAAATGGGACGAGTGGAAGAGCTCGCCTATATCCGAGTCACAGGCGCTGCAGAGTACTCTCCACCTCAACGACTGTATAGCCGATACGTGCTAACGAAGTCAGACACGATTCCACCCACGGGACCGACCGAAGTTTCGAAGCCTGGAGGCTTGCATTCTGCGAGGCGTTCACCGCTCGTATGCCGCGTGAACTTCGGGACATGACATACGACCACCTTCTTGAGCCAGAGTACATCGTCCGAGTCGACCCCGGAGAGTCACTTAGGTGGTGTTTGCCCGACCTCCAGTGCGCCTCCAAGATCATCCCAGCTATCGATCCCGTTACCGAATCGCTCTTTCTGCCAGAGAATGTTGGTCAGGAGTTTGCCTTCGAGATGGCCCAGCAATTATATCAGCGCGGCTCATTCGACGTGCTCGATCCCCGGGGCCTGGACATGGTGTTCGATAATGACCTCTTTAGCGTTCACAAGAAGCCCTGTGGTTATCCTCGCGGCCTCCGAATTCACATGTGGGAGAACCTTCAGGGCGGTGTATGGCTCAAAAATATGCGGAACGAGCAAGAGACGCTACAAGAGGCTCTCGTCTGGCGTGTTCTGGACAAGGGACTCAAGACTGCGCAGGTAATCGAACTCGTGCTTCACTTCTGCGACGTTCAGATGTGTAAAAGTCTCCTCAAGAATATCGCACCTCTTGTGTATGGGCTGCGGGCGGAGGGTACATGCGTGAGCGTAGTACGTCGAGTATTTCTTGGGCACAATCTTCGCACTGCAGCATACGGGAGCCCCGAATATGATATGACCTGGCTTTTCAACCAGACAATGCAGGGCTGCCTGACGACCATCAATGAAGCGAGGGTTCACGTGAGTGACCATGATTCACAGAATGGTCATGCGGGACACAGAGCTGATCACATTGTAGGCGCATCTCGGAAAGAGAATGCACCGCGAGGCACCGCAAGATGGTTTTGTTCGACGACTCGCCGGCGCAGTGGTGCCCCATTAACAGTAGCCACGTCTACACTGAGGCGCTACGCACATTTCCACCGGCTACGCATATGCTTGTTGCAGTTACTGGGAAATAGGAATATTGCTCATGGTTGGAAATTTTCTGCAGAATGTATTTGAAGAGTTGGTGTTTGATCGCAGAATGGCAATCTAGCTCTGCATCCTTGCAGCTATGAATACACGCGGAATTATATACTCCACATATACACGTGACAGATCTCAGCGCATACCAAGCAACCAAAGATACCCATCGCCATCTAAAACGAATCTATCTAGTATATATATGAATCCGAGAGCATCGATCGCTCACGAACGGAGCACGTCCATCCTCCCAAGCATCACTGATGCCAATTTTCTACCTTAGCAGGCGGCCCCTGCGCCATCCGCTTGCAGAGGTGACACGAGCTCAGATGCCGCTGGCGAATGATATCTGTGGTCGACGGATAAGGTGGGGTGCTGATGACTATCTGCGCTGGTTGGCGTGGGATTGTGTCTGGAGTGACCTGGTCGATATCGGAGTGCACACTCCTGGAGTCAAGGTCCGCCTTTGCGGCACGTTCCTCGAGTACTTCGAAAATCGTCTTCCCATGCGTTGCATCCGGCGTCTCTAGGCGTGGTTCAAGGCCCGGCGGATAGCGAGGGTGCGGCTCGAGGCCGGGTGGGAAACGAGGCACAGGTGTACGTCCTTCACTCGCCTCCGCAGACGATTCAGGAACCCGAGGAGCGCCTCCGGTGCCAAGCTTGGGCCAAAAGTACTCAAGCTCTTCGCGGTATTGTCCTGCAGCTTTGAGTATGGGAGGAGTCGGGAAGCGGGTCCTAGCGTCACCGGGTCGGATCGTCATATATCCATGCCAGAATTCTGTTCTCCGGTCGATATCGGGGATGCTGGCCTGGCTCTGCGCTTCTTTCTGCACCTGCGGATATGCCTCCCCAGACGGCGGCGCCTCTCCCTCCTCCGTCACCGTCTCGTCATCCGCATCCGACCCGTCCCAATGCCCCTCTGTCTCTGGTCGCTTTCCCGCGGGAGCGCGCTTCGCGTTGTGCCGATAGGTCGGGGTCTTGACGTACATGCTCACATGGACCTGTCGCCCTTGGATTCGCAGCAGGGCTGACTCCCGAACTGCACGGCGGGCCTGCTCTTCCGTGTCGAAGGTGACGATGGCGCACCCGCGCATTGTGGAGGGGATACCTGCCTTGCGGGCGCCTTGGGCGGCATAGAGGGCGTGGATATATTCTTTGGTGGTGCCGGGTGGTATGTTTTTGAGGAAGATCTTGTCGTAGCGCATTGCGGGCGAGTGCAAACCGGAAAAAGGGATAGTTGGGGTGTAGACGTAGAATGAGCCTACGACGTGGCTGTATGTGTGTTGTACGTTTCGGAAGGGAGTTGCGTCGTTGAGGCAGTGTAGTTGGGCTGTGGTGACGTCGAAGCGGTTACGTGCGGACCTTGTTACCGATAGGTTCGCGGAAGAAGCTACGGTGGCGGAGATGGTCAGATTCACTAACGTTCTCGTTTCCGGGTGTGAGGTACATAGTTGCGAATGGTGGAAAGCCGTCGTGCTAATATTCACATGTCCTCCTACATTCCCATGTGACTAGCAGATCTCGCATGAATGACTCCGACAGGCCTTCACTCCACGGGCAGAAGAGCACCCTGTCTCCTTGTGCGGCGCTAAAGTCCTTCACCGTAAGTGACCCTAGCGAAGCAAGAGCGGTATGTCGTAACTTCAACCTCGTCCACAAATCCAGAGCACGGGACGTCCGTAGGCTCTCTAACGCTTTCACATTGCCTTCAACTTCTCATGCTCCTCAAAGCTCTCGTCATGCTTGTCGGCGAAGTTCAGTGCTGCCCTTTGCATAGTCAATCTCCTTCCCATCCTTATCCTCCAGATCCTCCCTATCCCACCCAAACCTCTCCAACAGCTCCTCTATCTCCCTAAAAGTCCCGCCACTCTCCGCCAAATGCAGAAGTGGCAGCTGCCCAAATTTGCTCCTCGGATCCGCCCCGGCCTCTAGCAAAATCTCCACACTCTTTACATATCCCCTCAGCGCGGCGATGAAGATAGGCGGCTCCGGCCACGTCCCTCTCTCTTCCGGCTCCGGGTTCACGTCCGCTCCAAGAGTGATTAGAAGGCGGAGGAGATCTGGATACTCTTTGTCGGCGAGGAGAGCGGTTTGGATGGGGAGCAAGGAGCCAGAGCCGTAGCGCGCATTGACGTTAATGAAAGGGACCAGGCGGGTGACCACGGGAATGCGGCCGCTCCGAATGCCGCTGTTGAAGGCGCGATGGAGGAGCCGCGGTTTGCTAGGTGATGAGGGGAGGTCGCCGAGCCAGTGGACGAGCCGATCGACGATGATATCGTACTCTGCGTTTCTCCGTTTTGTGAAGAAGGTATCGATGATATTCCCGCATTCTTGCTGGGTCATAGGTGCTATGACTGTCATGAAATGCTCGACTAAGAGGTCGATCCTTTCTGTGGCGTCGTCGCGTGATAACGCCGCCCGGAAGAGGTCGTCGAGGTCGGGTCGTGAGGATAGATGGCCGTGGCGAAGTATGAGCTTGAGGATGGGGATGGAGCCGCGCTTGATGGCGTATGTGAGGAGCGTGGAGCCGAAGCATAGGCTTAGACGATCGATGACGACGCGTGGAGATTGAAGTATGCGTATTAGGTCCTGCTCGTTGGTCTTGATAATTGCAAGGCACATGAGACCAAACTTCTGATCCTCTTCAATTTGCATCTCGCGCCATTCCTCTCTCGCATACGACGTCCCATCCTCCCTCGCATTCTCCCGCTCCGCATAAAACCCATCCACCAGGCACTCAAACCTAGCATCCTTGTGCGCAACAACATATGCCATCTTCTTATCATGCAACGGCAGCTCCAGCCATTCTCTGAGCAATAAATTCCTCCTAATACTGTCGTCTTCAGCAATGCCCAGCCCTTTCTCTTGCCGCTCTAGCACGGGCAGGAACAGGTACGCGAATAGACTTGGCTCCAAGTGAGACCATCGTATACGGAAATAGAGGAACTTGCGGCTTATTTCCCAGGGTAAGCTGGACCAGGTGTTGGTAGTGACAAGGCGCGGCGCGTCTTTGAGGCGCTTGTTGGAGAAGTAGAGGGAGAGAATTTCTTCGTCAAACGTTCCTGCGTGTGATAGGTTAGATGGATGTGCATGGATGGGGGCAATGGAAAACGTACGGCTGACCAGCCGCAGTTTGAATATCGTGGTCCGCGCAGCACGGGATCTGTCCTGTCTCGCGGCATAGGTGAGAATAATTCGAAGAATTTCGAGCGGTATTCGCATTGTGATGAAGTTGTTCGTTCTATTAAGGGCTCATGACGGTACATCGAGAGTGTGAGAAGCAACCTGGGGACTTATTTATAACGTGATTGTTCGTGCGGCGAAGGATTTGGAGTCCAGGCGGACACCGCTGCTGGCTGAAACGCCAAGCCTCCGATTCCCAAAGCGGGAACAGTAGTGTATATTTCAATCTTTCGAAGAAGCACCAAGTACGCGGAATGCCTTGACCGTCTTTACGGTATCGAGACTCGCCAATTCCAAAGACCCCTCCGACTGCGTAGCTTCGGTTCCTCTAGTGAATTGTGCCATCACGTGACAATGGACGGCTGCTTTTGAGGTTGTTCTGAAAACATGCGTGAGATTTCAATTGCCTTAGAGAGGGAAAGAGAGAGAGCATCAGGCGTAAAAGATTGGAAGACACCAGCCGGACCGTGCAACTGCTGCTTCGAATCGCTCGTGGAAAATGACGTCATCAATCCGCCTCAATTATCTTCAGTCCCATGCCCAGTCACGACTTCAACACTCACATCATCTTAGGATTTCATCGCCACACCCGAACAGTCAAACAGACTCGCGTATTTCTTCCCCGATAATGAATTTGCGCCCATACCCCGTATTGATAACAGCCATGAGAGCGATCAAAGCGCCTAGGAAACTGCGCGTGCCCGAAACAAAAGACCGCCGATTGCCATATACATCTTGAACCCAGTCCGCGACAAAAAAGAGATCGACTCCCGCGAAGGCACCCTATTACCAGGTAGCCCGCTGTCAGTCGCGACGCAAGCTTCGGTCCCCCGCCATTACACGCCATTTGGCCAAAAACACAGGACTGCTCCAGGCATGTCCTTTACAGAAGACTAGGCACACTGTTGGGTAGGCAGTGATACTAAAGCAGCCCTCTCTCTTTCGCTCTTACTTTCTTGCTACCTGCCAGATTTGCTCCTGGCTACGTGGCTCACTCAATAGGCGCCATAACCCCAGGCGTTTCAGCCCCCGGTCGGAGATGCCCAGGTGTAGCCGCCATGGGACGGGATGTAGTTGAATTGGGGAGCAAAGCCTTGATCTAGCGGACCACAGAACTGGGGATTGGCACCGTTGTAGTACAGACCATTATAGAAGCACTGGCCAACTGTGCCGAGAAACTGAGGACCATAGCCAGCATACTGCGGCGCGTGCTGCAGAATCGGCTCGTAGAAACCGGGGAAGAAGCCAGACGCTAGAGGGTCGAAGCGCTGGTTCGGAATCTGTGGCGCCCAGGTATGGAAGTATTTGAGGTATTCGCCCTTCATCGGCGACGGCGGCGACGTCGAGTGCTGGGTAGGCGGAGTAGTGGCGCTCAGAGGGCGGGACTGGGGGCTATCATCAACGGTACGACGCGACTCCGCCGATGACGGACTGCTCCGGCGCTCATCGGTAGCTGCCTGCTGTGAAGGACCGGATGAGAATGGGATACAGAGGAAGGCCTTCAACTTCTCCTCGTTCTCCTTCAAGACGACCTTATCGACGGTCTGAGATGCTGGATCCTGGGAAAGAGTGACCTGCTTGGTCCCGATAGTGACTGGCGGCGACATCGGCTGGACGGAGTCCTTGGTCGACTTAGAGGCCGTGAGCTTGCTCTTGACGAACAATTCGATGTCAAAAGCTCCAGTCTCGTTTGGCTCGAGGACGGTAGTGGTATTTGCCCTCATCTGGATCTCGATATCCTCCAGCGTATGTGAAGTACGCGGCGAACTGCGACCCGAAGTAGTTACCACAGGCTTGTCTGACGCCGCGAAGAGCTGGTCGATGCTGATGGACTTAGTGGTGGTGATAACCTGCGGCTCGACTTCAACAGGCTGTTCCTGATTGTCGCCTTCCAGAGGGTTGGGCGACGCACGGGGGCCAGAGGTCAACTCTAAAAAGCCGAAAGCCCCAGCCGGGTAGGACATGGCTTGGTTAAAAGTCATGTCGAGCAGGTCTGGAAGGTGCAGCTTGTCGGCTGGCACTCCGTGCTTGCGAGCGAAGGCGGCCAGTTTCTCGGAGATGCAAACCCAGCCGCTAAACGTATTGGAGAAGAACTCGTTATATGCTTCTTCTGTAAGTTCTGTATCAGGGTCGAGGTCGTTCTGATGTTTGCAAGTGCGAGCTTCCAGGTCGATGTCATCGATAGAGATTTTCATGCCGACGCAGGTGTCAAGCTCCGTGTTGATGTCCTCCACGGTCATTATCGTGATACCCGCAGACTTGCGGTTGCGGCGCGCGAGCGATTCCCGAGGACCATCCATGTTGGCGTACAGTTCCGCCTCGAGAGATTCGCGGAGCTCCTTGCAGTGCATGTTATCCGGTGTTGCAGCGCCAGGATATAGGGTGAGATCAAGATTTCCCCATTTGGCTGCCTTTATCAATGGCTTCAAATGAGGGGTAGTCTCTCCGGACATTGCGGTGGTAGGAGGGGTGCATACTGGTGACTGTGAGCAACTCTGGGTAATATGGAAGGATCCGGGGAGAACGTACCGACATTAGTGGGAAGAGTGGGTTCCTGATTGGGAGCGGCATCTTCTACACCAATAACTTTGAGGACCGCACCCAAGACGGTCTTTTGCACCGTCCCGATGGCTGGGGTATCGACTTCCGCCGGAGCGGCAAGTTTGTTCTGAGGAACCTCGACGGGCACCATATTGGCGGCGACGGCCTTTACCAATTTCTTCGATTCCTTGTTCTTGCGAGCCGCCGCCTCCTGCTTCTCTTTCTTCTTCGCCTTCTCGGCGGCCTTGCGGTCCTTGAGAGACAGCGTCTTCTTGGCGACTGTGTTCGACATTACGTCCACGTTGGCAGTGAGCGGGGCCGAACCTGCGATTCCTATATCAGCGACAGACATTAGAGGCAGATGAAAAGGTGATTGCGTACCTTGAGCGGCCTTGACGGAGGCGCGGGTGTTCTTAGTGTTACCCATCTTGTAGTTGCTTCACGAAAGGGGGAAAGCTAGGCGTAGAAAGACTTCTACGTATCGAATTGGATTGTGAGGAAGAAAGAGAAGATCTGGAGGTCGCCGATAGGGAGAATTAGACTGGAGCACTGGGTTGAGGTCCAAACTGACGTTCTGATTTTCGGCAGTGCAGTGAGGGAGAGAAGGAGTTGCGTCTGCGAACTTCCTCAAAAAGGAACCTGCGCGGGGCGCGGCAAGAGCTGACTCATCTACCGCGGCAAGAAACAGTATGCTGGTCGCTGGAGAGACGTGAAATTTTGGTTTGATGTGAAAGAGTTGGCCGTGTTGCGGGATGGTGGGGTATGGTTGAGTTGTGAGGAGGGCGAGTGACCCCTGAGATGAATTCGGGCGATCCCAACGTACCGCAACCGCACTACGGGCTTCCCAGCGCTCAGAGAAGCATTAACATTATCTCCAGCGTTGACGGTTCTATAATTTGACACGGATATCCGCCACATGGCTAGCACACTACTGAGAACAGACAATAGCCATCGGGCCTGGAGCGCAGTATCCATCAAAGGTTACTTAGACCAGGCAAAGTAGCTACTTAGGTCTCGTTTAGGCGTTCAGAAAGCTTGAGATCCATGGCAACCACTAACATCAAAAATCGGCGATTGAAGACGAATATCTGCGGGGTCGTACTGAAAGGAGAGTCGACTACAACTCCTAAATCACTGGCGACAACACAGCGCATAGATTCATAGATAGGCGCCACCTATAGGGTTAATAATATCTCTTAGGCGTCTATCAATTATGGACACCCCAGGGTGCCCGGCCAGGCTGCGAGTTTAAGCGAGTTGAAGTCAGCAGTGCTAGATACCTGGAAGCATTACGCAAAGCCCTTGTAGAATGAAAACAGGTCAAAATCAAAACAGAACAGCGGCCATCAAGACGCAGTGTGCATTGACAAGGAAATAATACTCGCAGTACAGTTCCACCGGCACCCGGGCCTTTAGGCGGAGAGAATATTTGTCGTGTCGACAGTCAAGATCCTGCAAGAACTTAAAGCCAATACTTGAAATAAGCACCGGAGAATGAACAGGGCAGCTTATTGTTTGACTACTCCGGTTTCCGGTTAGACGCCTGTACGTGGTGGTCAACGCTCCGTGGAGATCTTCTTCAAATTCTACCCTGAGCAGTTGAAACCTTACAGTGAAGGTAACTTATGTAACTTTGTTCCTCTCCTCTTCGAGAGGTGTGGGGTAGGCTTAAGCGTGTAGCAGTTAAGGAGGATTAGGGACACGATGAAGAAGTCGATCAAAGGATCGGCTAAACTGAAGATTCATGACACAAAAGTGGGTTCTAGCTATTACAGTTGCGGCTTTGAGCGGGTATTCATGCACTGCTAGGTGAGAATCTTGTCTTTCATCCTATTTCCTTACCATCCTACCCGGAGAATTCCTTTTCCATGTATTCTTCCTCGTTTTGGCTTTCTGTTGCACACGTCGGCTCTTATCGATACCACTGAGTGGGCTTCGATCGGAAGCTCGTGGGTAGGTCCAATTTTTCCTTTTCCAATGCGTTGCCCTTGATTTGCTGTGTTGCTTTCGTCGCGACTGCGCGTTCTTTTCCGGCCCGTTCGCCACAGATGTTCAGTAGGAGAACAGAGATGGGGCCAGCTCTTAGGTTGATGCTTATTGGTGGGAGGCTGAAAAGATGTGTTGCGGCCAGGATGTGAGCGATAGGGGTGGTAACGCTTGTGTTCAGGGCGGGTACCGTACAGCTAGGAAGGCTAACCATCGTGCTCTGAGAGGACGAGTGATATCTCGCTCTGTTCGTTTGGAAGTGGATGTTGGAGATGCAATAGTGGTTTTCTCGCAGGTAAGAACTTAATATGCGCCTCTTAAAGTGATTGTAGGCGAGATGGTCCTGTCTGAGACAGATACGTGCTGTCGTTTGGGGTTTGTCTCGTTTGCTCTTTCGTTTGGAAGCTAAGACTCCCACAGCCTCAGCATTGATAACTCTTCGCAGTATCCTTGAGAATCACATAGTCATGTTCGGATACCAAGGTAATGGCGCAATAGAGAGAGAGCCAAGCCAGCCTTCCGGCCCGGATCGCCCATCAACGTAATCAGCACTATGGAGGGTTAACCGAGTGATAGTCCAGTGAGGAGCAGGAAATGATACCAAAGTCTTTGACTCTATCTGATAGCTCTGGCCAGAGTTCGAGGCGTCGCATTTGAGTCTCAGTTTCTTCCCATCCATCGGAAAGATCTTGTGCCTCCACCCATGCCATCAGATCATGATCTGGACTGTTTCTCATCTTGTAGCCGATATGGACTAGGCCAGTCCTTGGTGTGTACGGTCCGGTTCTGTCGAAAGGCGATAGATTTCCGCAAAAATGTTTTAACGAGACTAGTCTTCGATTTGGACTACGTATATTTCTGCGAGCTCCGAGAACAGGGGATGGTATTGGGATTGCTGAGGTCTTTAAAGTGTAGCTCGGATTTGTATATTAGTGATGACATACCTAAATGGAGACTTGGCGTAGCCGGAGCGGAGACCGCACGTGTCGGAATAAGCCACGAAACTATTCGCTTGCAGCCTCAACGGCTACCTTATGCACAGTGGAGGATGCGTCGGGTGAGCTCAGCCAGTAGGTAATAGTAGATGTCACCTTTCTTGACGATGAACACGGCAGGTAGGGCACCGAAACAGCCAACCAGTGCAGCCTTACTTCGTTGTAGATTAATTGGCGGCGTCTATTTGAGCTTGTGCCGCAATATTTTCACGCTTTAACGGCCATCGCGCGGCCCCCTTGGAGCTACTATTTGGCGCCGTAGTGGACTAAACGTATACGGCTCTGGTAAGCGTCTATGCGCTTATCATACAAAATCTATAGGCGTTTTTGCAATATCAATGCAGTATCGCACCCAAACTCTCAAGATCGAAACATTTTCGTGTGGCTTCTCCAGTTCGCGCCTCGAAGGATCACTTCAACTGCTCTCAAGGAAAGTACTTGGCCCCTGTTTCCAAGGTCCACTCTCAAAGCTGGTCGAGGCGATGTAGCAACCTTGCTAGGCTCCTCGCATTCCGATGGCAAAAGACCGCAACCTTGTGCAAAGTATCAGACCCGTTCGGTCAGCGATTCTAGTCTAGAATCATGGCAGTGTCTTGCCAGTGTACATGGCAGCCGGCTAAGCCTCGTGCGTGCGCTTGGGTTACTATAGCATGCCCCACTTCGTTCGTTGCGTTAGCTGCGCTCGCAATATAGGTCCCCAGACCGGTCGTTGGATGCAGCCTGGATGCAGTCGACGTGTTTCATGACTCGTTAGCCTACATCGATGAGTGCTGAAAGGGTTGCCTTATTTCCCCACCTCTTGACAAAGTAAATTCCTAGTCATTTGCCGAGACTAACGTGCTTATCGCCGCTCGTGGTATAGCACCATGGAGAACTAGTGCAAAGCCCTGGAGCATCACTAAGTCAGCGGGACGCGTTACCTATTTTGGCTTGCACACCAGTACCAAGCGACTTCAAACACTGTCTTCCGTGGTCTGAACTTTTGGGATGAGGCTGTGAGATTCCAAGCACGGAAATCCACCTTAATCGAACCAAACTTCGGGATCGGACAGCCACAAAAGGCAGGACAACATATCTTTATATGGGAAAAGTGGCCCATCCTATACCATCACTCAGGCAGCTGCAGCCATGTTAGATTGCCCTTCCATGCATAGAAGTATCTTCCCTAGTATCGTTGCAAAGATGGGGGCGGTACACATAATTTCGCGCTGTTAAAGCTCGATGAGCTTATCTCCGCACTACGAAATCCCTTCGAAAAGCCTTTTGCAAGCGGATCGTCGTCGCTTAGCCCGATTTCCCTTCATAAACTTCATAACATTCTTATAGTCATGTGACAAGTCCTTCACCGGATTAACACCGTTCACCAACCACACTATCCTTCACCAACACACCCCCTAGCCCAACGCTCATCTGTAACTTATCCAATACCACATCCGTCCTAGCTGACAGCAACCACTCCCAGCAGTAGGCTGTGTAATCCGTAAGCCAGTAAGCGGGGAGGTCCGTGCGTGAGTCGGACACCGAAGCGAATCAGTATCGAGCATGTGGTGTTTAGAATCCCGGCTCGGTGAGCGAAAAGGGGGGCGATGGTCGCAGATGGGGCGGAGTATGCATGGGATAGAGCAGGGATGTGCATGGTTTGATTTGGGGGCGTGTGGAGTTGGTTGGGTGGGAGTGGATGGAAGACAGGGGAAGAGAGGACGTGGCAGGGCAAGGCTGGATGGTGAGGTATGCTGGACAGGGTTGGACTGAGTACTGTGATGTTCGAGAAACTCGCCAACGGCGCTTGCGGCTATGGATGAGGCATGCGGGAATTCACGCGGTGTAATGCGTCATGATGTGATTGGGGAGGAACCGCGCAGGTGTGGTGCACAGGAAAAGCAACCTAACGTCTGTGCAAGTCGCATGCAGACCAAAGGAGAAAAGATGAGCGATCCGCATGCCACTTTCCGCTTGTAGATATTGTTCTGGTCGAGATACGCGAGCGACGTGGTACCTAGACACGAGAACGCGAAAGAGGAGAGCAGAGTACGGCGAGGCTCCCGTCTGGGGATGCACAGGTATGATGTAAGATCTAGAGGGACAGAGTATAGCGAGGCTTTGGCATCGCAACGGCAGAGTGCGTTCGAGAAATATGAGCTTGCAGCTTCACAGGTGCGCATCCTTTGCAATAAATTCGAACTTTCCTCGTGAGAAGCATGAATACGTCTATATATCCCATCTAAAAAACACATTTCGAATTACATCCCCGGCGGCCTCTTCGGCATCTTCGGGCTCGGTAACGGCGGATAATACTTCTTCCAGTATTGCCCATTATCGTACAGTTGATCCTCCTCCGGCACACTTATCACTTTCGATCGATTAAACACATACTCCGAATTTGGGCGTCTCGACGGACTATCACGCCCCGACTCGCTGCTGTCCGTGTCCCAGTCTATTATGGGCAGGACGCCGACCTCGCTGAGCGTCTTGGGGATGGATGGGAGATCTTTCGATGCGGAGGTAGTGGGCCGTGACTTGGGGATCTCGACGTGTCGCATGAAGACGTTTTCGGGTGGTTTGGGGTCGAAGATGGGGGTCGCAATGTTGGACGGGAAGTGGTTGAAGTGCTGGGAGTTGAGGTGGGCGGAGGAGCGGTCGAGGCCGTAGGTTGCGAGAGGTCTGCAGTAGTCCGTCGTCATGGCTTCTTTGATCGGTATGCCGGATGATTGCGAAGACATTGGGTCGAAGCTGAATCGGCCGGTCTTCTTGTAGAGGTATTGCTTGAGTTTCCGTTTCCCATTGCACTCGAAGATAAGACAATCCGTTTTAGTTCGGCCAGCAAGAACGCTGATGATAAAAGGGTGCAGACACGGGAGGCAGGCGGTGATGATGGAGAGATTCTGTGCTATCTGGACGCACAAGACTGTTTTCCAGTAGTCGTATGTGTAGTCGTAGGTTAGGGCACCGTGATTGAAGAAAGCCAATTGCGCGCCAACGGCGGCAACGATGCTGCTCATGGGTCAGCTAGAACATCACAATCTAAGGAGGAATACAAACCAGAGTCGCGCAAGGAAAACGCAAGAAACAGACACCCTCCTCCCAGCGGAAAGGCGAATATTCCAAACAAAAAGGGGTATCATAACGAGAAGCACTTCGACAACAATATTCGTGACCCCAACATAGTTCACCCACTTGATGAGATCAATGCATTTCTTCCCGACAACAATCTCCCACGGATTGGGCAGACTGCACGGAAAAGCGGTGACGAGGACTCCGGAGATGGTCCAGAGAGCGGTGAATCCGACAAATACCAGAGCTGTGCAGCTCGCAGTATAACCAGGAAGGAGCTTCTTGATCAAGAGACAAAGCGATATCCTAGCGCATCCCATGTTGGCGATGTATAGAATGCACGCGGCATACTCGGCCTGAGCCTATTAATGAAGATCCAGGCCATGTCGAAAGCAGTACGTACCTTCATGAAGATTCTGAGTTGATTCTCTTTGAGCTCGCTAGTATGCTGGCCCAAAGCTTGCATCGACTCAATGGAGACCGTTATCGTCTGTCCGGCGCTAAACGTCTGCGCTCATTAGCATACGCTAGGCACGCGTTCTGACTGAGAGCTTACAGCAGCAAGAAGAATAAAGATATCATCCAGCCCAAAGCGATTGGCCTTGTTCTTTATCGAGAGTTTCATGGCGAAGCGAGCGATGAGGGTGCCGAGGGCTGTGACGAGGAGTATCCAAGACACAACATTGATGACGGTGCCGTGGTCGCCCATAGGGGCAGTGCGCCTCCTCTCGAGGACTGCCACGGCGCCATGGGGCATGTTGATAGCCGTCCCAGTGAAATTCAAAAAGTCCTCGACTCAGATATAGGTCGGCTGTCCAAAGTCATGTGATGATGCGGCACCGGCCGGGAGGCCAGCGTTGTCGAACGTGAGATGCTCCAAGAAGTAGCGCGAATAGATCTGGGGCAATGGGGCTTATAGCTGCAAAGGCTGTAGGGCGCTCGGATCGATAAGAGACAAGGCCTGCTGTGGGGCGGTAGGCTGAGGATTTGGTGGATCCGAAAGTGAGAGCTTAATTGTGCTTACGGTACCCCAGGATATAAGGATGTTGCAACTGATTTTGGAGTCAGACTGAGCCCGAAGAGCAGGTCGAAGCCGTGCAAGCCCGGCGGCGGAGTTTGTGGCGCGTGGTACGATGAAATTACTAAGGAGCCGTGCTTGGTGGAAAACGAGCGAGGATTGATGATGGGTGCGTGCATATCATCTCACCATGGTCCAGCGGTCCACGCGGTCCCACAGCAGGCAGCGCACGGAGCCACCAGGAATGCGGAGCGTCGAGCTACGGGCGAAACGCAAGGCGAAAACTGGAGACGGCAGACGGAAGCGCTTGTGGTGCATGCATCCAGGCAGACGAACGAGACTGAGAATGGAGGAGAAGGGGAGGATGGCGTCGGACTTTGAGAGTGATGATAGTCGCCGGTGCACGGGCCGCGTCAATAAGCACCGCAGGATTACTGTTAATATCGGGTTCGGTTGCACTACCTGGCAGCCGGCGACCGGGGGGCCTGAGCCGCGAAGCCATTGGGCGGCGGCTCCATCGAAGACGAATCGAAGCTTCTGCCGTTGTTCTAGCGTGCGTGGCCCGTTTCACGTGGTGTGGCGTGTTTATCCACATAGTGCGGGCTAGTCCGGAAGCGGCTAGACGCAATGTGACGGGCTTATCGCTCGTCTCAACACCATCGCGATTGAAGATGCTCGTCCCCACCACTGCCGTCGCCATCACGAGGCCCTAATCGTCAAACAGCGCGTTGCCTGTTATTCCCGCAGCAGACCCCGCCGTGTGCGGCTCTGGGCAGGCGCCATCACGTGAGAGCGCGGATTGGACCTTGGCGCGTGGGTCGCGTTCAGGGTACCTAGGTATTTGGTGCCTTCTCATGGCTAGACTCGGTTACTCGCAGGGTCTGCAACGGCGATGCTCTTCAAGGGCCTCCGGCACGCAGGAAACCATTCCCAAAGACACCGAGTTACCGAGGCCGAACTGCCGAACTGCCGCTCCAAGACTGCGTCTCTGGAAAATCCACCGGCACGAATCTGATTTCAAAGCCTAGCATTTTCTTTCGGTCCCCTCGGCTATTGGAGTGACCAGAAACGTCTGCCGAAGAATGATCATATCACCCATCATCTGATTTCGAAACACCCTGATATACTGAGCTTGTATTCGGAGAAATACTGCGCGGAGTTAGAAAGGCTCCGAATGGTCAAAAGAGCTTACTCATGCTCTCCTTCCCGGATGCAACAATTATCTCTACCAGTATGTCGCCTCAGATCGCGGATTCTGTAACATCCACACTCCGCTTCCGCAGCATCGGAGGTTCGGTCTGTTACGTGGTGCGGATAGTCTTTATCATGATTTCCATTTAAACAACGCGAAGTTCCGGTGACCTAACATCATTACAAGCTCGTTGCTTCTCCCAACTAGACTGCATCTCACCGAACATTCCCGCATCGCTACACAGTAAGACTCCCCCATCGGATTCTATCAATCCATTGCTAGCTCTCCTAGCGGGCCACTTCAATCATGCTTCCTTCATACACAAAAACCTATCACAGCACGCCATATCCTTCCATCTCGCCCAGCCGTCCCGACCTGTCAGCCAAAGACAAAGTCATTCTTGTTACCGGAGCAGGTTCTGGAATCGGACAAGCAACGGCGATCGCGTTCGCCCAAGCCGATGCCAAAGCTCTCATCCTTTGCGGACGTCGAACTGGAGCTCTCCAAGACACCAAGGCCAAGATCGAAGCCCTGCAAAAGACGACCCATGTCCTCGCCATCCAGCTCGACGTCAGCGACGAAGATTCGGTCGATGAAGCCTTCGCACGGGTGAAGGAAGAAGTGGGCAAAATCGACATCCTCATCAACGCCGCAGGCCACCTTGGCGACATGTCCTTCCTAAAAGACATGTCCCTCTCCAACTTCTGGACAAGTGTCGAAATCAACCTTAAAGGCCCCTTCCTTGTATCCCGCGCCTTCCTGCGTAGCACCATCCCCACAGCCACAGCTCCCAAAACGCTGATCCTGCTAAGCTCAATAGTCGGCGGTCTTCCATCCCCCCAATTCATTGCAGGCCCACAAAGCTACCCAATCTCCAAAATCGCGGAAGCAAAACTCGCGGAGGCCCTAGCTGCGGAAAACACATCGCACTTCCGAGCTTATGCGCTGCAACCGGGCATCGTGGAGAGCGCTATGAGCGAGAAGAGCGTGTCGATGGCACCAGACCCGGAGGCTACGAGGGCAGCGTATCCGTGGGATGAGCCGGAGCTACCCGCGAGGTTTATGCTGTGGTTGTGTAGCAAGAGGGGGGAGTGCGTGCCGAGTGGAAGATTTCTGTGGATTAATTGGGATGTGGACGAGCTCGAGGCAAAGAAGGAGGAGATGGAAAAGGATTCGGGGTTGCTTACAATGGGGCTGATGGGGTGGCCGTTTGTCTAAGTGGCGGATTCTTCGGTTTTGAGCGTCCCGCTTGCGCTCAGAGCCTGCTTGGTGAGCGCCACAGAAAGGTAGTTCAGCAGCAGATAGCAAGCCCAACTGCACCCTGAAAGTTGCCCATGCATGACTGGCACCTCCCCGTGCTGTGTTTACATACAAGCTCGTCTTTCAAGGATACCAACACCATTGAGCCGCGAAAATTGTATACAGATCGTCTGTACGGCCAAAGTACCTTAGTTTCTTGTTGGCAGGGACCACAGAGTGTCAAGTGGAGGCACTCAAAGTGCTGGGGAAAGACTAGCGCTGTCAAAACCGGTACAGGTTGCAACATCCAAACGTGGAAAAGCAGATCGCGAAAACGAGCCACGCAAGACGTTCAGCTTTTCCTACGGGTTTTCCGCAGTGGACTAGGTGAAATGCTTTGCATGGGATGGATATTACCACTAATCTTCTTGCGCTAGCTACTCAGGTGAATAAAATGCGCGAGTTAGCGTTGCGTCATTACTTATTGCGCTCGCACGTTCTCTCTACCTCCACGAAAACAGGATCTCAAGACCCTTCTCGCACAAAGCACAACCCTAACAATCAACGCACGAGAGATGGAGCCATCACTCGAAGAGCTGAATGTGGCATCTTCCCCGTCCGAAGCCCCACCGCTCTTCCCCGACGCCGTCCGCTCCTACGAAAAGTTCGCCCTGTCCCTCCAGGTCCTCCAAAAGTCCGCCTTAGAGAAAGAAGCGGGACGAAGCCAACGCATACTTAGAATACTTGACCGAGGCCTTGAGCAAGGCTATGGCACTCATGACGCCCAATCTCGCTGCGATGACGATGAGCAACGCCACTGGGCGAAGTACCTCCCCGGCCTTTTGCAACATGCGCGGAATTGCTTTGAGGATCTTCGAGCGCAATGCGCTGAGCTAGGGTGGGGCTTGAAGGCAGATTTCGAGGAGCGCAAGGCACAAATCAGCATGATCGAAAAAATCGAGGCGCTTCTAGAAGCCGGCTATAACGTCATGTTGGCTGGGCAAACGATTTTGAACCTTGCACTTGTCGCATTGGATAGCAAGAAGAAGACAAACCTTAGAGTACCCTCGCAAAGCCCGCTCACAGACGCCATGGTAGCCTGCGAGGAGCTCACGGACGCCATGAAACCGCTAGACTCTATCCTCGACACCATACTCGAGGATTCGGCGCTCGTCTACAAAGGCCGCCTGAACGAGGGCGACTCTCAAAAGGAAGCCTCCAATATGAGTATTCGAATGCAGCAACTCCGTATGCTGGAAAGCATGTGGGAGGCGCTGGAGCAGGCGCAGGAGTGTCGGAAAGGGGTGGTACTTTACTGGCGTGCGGTGCAAGTGTTTTCAAGGCATAGAGGCGGAGTGGATAAGGAGGATTTTGAGGTGCTTGATAGGGATAAGGATGACCTTGAGGCGAGGCTGAAGACGATGGAAGATAGTATGCTTAAGGCTGCAAAGGGTGTGCTGAAGGGGTGGGGTGGGGCTTGATCAGGCTGGGTAAACCGATCACCGTCAGGGGTCAGAGAAACGCTTGCTCACGGAGTGCTACATATGTTAGTAGCCATCAAATATGGCATCCGGATCGGAATGACTCGCATACAAGCTCAGATAGACAAGGCCATTAGAGAAACGAGATATTGCGAAGTAGGCGACAGGACTAGGTGACGATTTTCCAATTTTGATTCCTATTTCACGCATGTTCAGCGCCGGACGGCTTTAACTACCCTTCATACGTGAGTCATTCCCCTATTCCTTCCTGACGACCCTCCTGAAACCCTGCTCCTCAACCTGCTGCTGCGCCGCCGCAATCGTCGCATCCGCATTCGGGTCCACAAATCCACATCCATTCTTCCCGTTCTGGAACTGCGCTGCCTCTGCAGAGCAGACGCCAACGCCCGAAGCATCCGCGCAGCAGCCCGAGCTGCAGTCAGCGTCGGCAACGCAGCCGCCGGTAATGAACTGCGAGCCGTCGCCCGCACCGACGCTCTTAGCGCCGGCGTTGTTGGGCGTGATTTGGGCCACTGCCATGGAGGCGACTGCGGTGGAAGTTAGCGTTTTGAGAGAAAAGAGCTGGGATGAGGGAAGACGGTACGAGCAAAGAAAGCGGCGATGGTGAAACGCATGTTGAGCGATTGTGTAGTGTAAGATGAAATTTGGGTATAGAACTGTTGGATCGCAGATTAAAGAACGTAGGGCAATGAACGACGCCGGGTCGGTTTGCGGTCGCAGACGCAAGAAGTGAACGTTGGATTGGAAGTAATGCTTTGGAGGAGCTGATGGTGAGGTCTTTCCAAGCGGATACGAATGTCTTTTATGCCTGAGGTCCCCAGGCCAAGCACTTGGTCATCCACATGGAGCCCCATTCCTGCATCTTCCTATGCCACCACGGCTGCGTGATCGCCTTTCCCCAGTCGCGGAAGAGAGTGCGATCATCCCCACCAAGGCGGCGCTTCTAGCAGAAGCCGTTGCGGGCATGTTGACATGTGGTAATCCTAGGTTTCAATAATGTGCCTGATATTCAGGCACAATTGCCTGATGCAATGCGCGGGACGCGGGAGCCAATCATGGAGCGCGATGTGTGACGAGCATGATCCATTCGCGGATGTTGCGGAGACGGTTTCGGATTCTTCGAACAGCTTCGGTTCCGGGTGCGCACACGTGACGTCATGCACTTCACCCGGCCCTACTGGAAAGTAGGTGAGAAGACGAACGACGGCTTTGGAACTATGGATGAAGCTACATGCTGGGGTTCCACACACAACCGCTCCAATCGGGTAGGGCTGTATTTCCATTGAATCCCCTGGGTAGGTTAGACCAATTCTCCAGCGCAGACTTGAAGCCATCAGGGAAATAGCACTCCATCTTCCTACGCCATACCCATTGTCCTACCTAGCGTCCGGTTTGGGCCCATTCGCCAATTGCCAGTATGTCAGTTTCCAGAAAGGCTTCATTGTATCCTTATGCCTCACCCTGATCCATCACGGAGCCTCCCTCCACACCATGTCTTCTGGCTTCGCAATCATGAAGCGGGTCTTGGTCTTGTCCTTCTCCTCAAATGCGTCGGCAATTATGTAGGTGAGAAAATTAGCGTGCTCAACATCGGAGCCTGTCGACGGTGCTGTGGCTCTTACCGAGGACGAAGAAGGGTCCGCAAACAGCTTTCACTCGATGAGTGACGCTCCGCTAGCACCAGTGCGCATCTCTTGCGACGACGATTAGGTGTTTTCCTGTCCTTCTGCTAACAGGGGCTCGCCACCGGAACTAGCTATATGTTGTAGCCGGTCATCCCTGACAACACCATGCCAAGCATCGTGGATTTTGGCTTGATTCGTCGGGAGCACGACTGAGGTGCTTCTATAGATATCTGCGCAGATTTTGTGCAGCCTCCATTGTCTCTGTATTGTACTTGCTCGTTTTTCTTGATTACAGTCGAATGTGTTATTGTTCACTTTCATCTTCACCACCCAAGTCGCGCGCCTTCCTTGCGAAATGGAGCCAAGCCTAACGGGCCGGATTTCTCCGATGCAAACGCAGAGTCACCATCAGTTCGTACCCTTTGGCCTCGAATCTCTTCCACATCCAGACTGCGACCTCTTGCAATCTCGACTACATACCGTCTGTGACTCTTCCATAGTCATTCCTGCCCGCAGAGCACTCAATCATCCCATTCACAACCGCCGCCCCCGGTTCAGCAATGGCATACCCACTCTTTCGAGCTGCTTTCGTCGCTGTCGCGTCGTGCCTGAGCAGGATGCAGGATGGAGACACCGTGGGTGACCCTGGTTCCCGCATAGTTAGCAAGACTTGCGCTCTGACCGTGAATAGCTGATGACAGAGGTAACTTCCCTCCGGTGGTGAAGCCAGGTCATGTTGCTGCACCAGACCACCCTGCCCGCACCAATCGAAACTCGTTCCGCTCCGTTACCAACCCGAACTCGAAGCCCCCTCGCCGAAACGGCATCAGGAAGACCAAGGCCCAGAAGAAAAAAGCCGTCTCACCAAGAATCGAACGTGAAGTTCTCCCAGAACTTATGGACGAGGACGCCCGCCGGGCGATCTGGGAGCCCATGAGCCTGGTCACTAAAAAAGACGCCGAAGCGGACGACATGAAAGAGCAGTATCGCCAGCATTACGCCATCTTCGAGGAATGGCGCAGCGACCCCGAACTGAGGTCCTTTTGCGACCCGGAAGCAATCGCCAAGGAACACAAGAAGCTCAAGGAGATTTTAGACGACATGGAGCTCCACGACCTGAACAATCCGCGAGAGGTCAGGCTCGCCGATTGCTGGTAAACATGGTACTTCAAGGAGTGCGACGAATTCCTCGAAGAAAACGCCGCTACAGACGCGCAAAAGCAGCTCCGAAAGACAGTACGAAAGATCATCCGAATCCTAGAGAAAGCCCATGGAGCAGCAATGAGGCACTCACCACCTCCACGAAGACGCTAAACCATTCCTCCGCCGCTTCGGGCCGGCTTGGCAGGTACGGATCAAGAAGGCGGGCACGGCGGGGTTCCCGCAACGTCATCGCCAACCACGCTTTGCTGACGCGCCGAGCAAAATTTCGAATCGATGTAACCTTACAACCTGAAGACGAAGCTACATTGCGTAAAAGAGGGGCAAGATGCGGGGTCAAGTTTTCCGAAATCCTAGAAACGGGCGCCTTAAAAGATGGAAGGGCCCTCTCCACGAACGAGGATGATTGAAATTGCTGTTCCGCCTCCGCCATGTTCGTGTTTTTTTTGGGGTTGGCGCTGCGAGCGACGGCACAGGACGTGGACTATGCGCAGTTTGTGAATCCATTCATTGGGACCGAGGGTGCTATTCCCGGATACGCATGTAAGTTCCTTCGCTTCTCTCCGACATCTCCCCGCGAGGAGCTCCACGACTAATCATGCGCAGACGGCGGGGGCGATGTCTTCGTTGGCGGCGCCGTACCATTCGGGATGGTTAAGCTCGGGCTCGATACATACGAGGAGCCCATCAACCAAAGCGCACTCAACGGTGGATACACCCCGCATGGAAAAGTGACGGGAATCAGTCTGATGCATGAGTCGGGCACGGGGGGAGGGCCAAAGTACGGCTTTCCGGCGCAGATGCCATTGACGATGATCGAAGCGCCCGTGAACCTGCTAGACAATTTGACATACTGGCAGAAAAGGGTAGGTGACCCTCGACTCCAATTCAAAGTCCAGTTACTGATGGTTCGATAGGTGGGTGACGATGTCGCAAGCGTCGGTTACTTTCGCACGCAGTTCGAATCGGGCGTCGCGGTCGAACTCTCCGCATCACGGCACGCAGGCTTATACCACTATACATTCCCTTCACCGTCCGAAAAGCACGTTTTGGTAGACTTCTCCCATTACCTTCCGTACCCGACCCGCTCCTGGGACTCGCAATTTTACACCGGCGCTGAGATCGAGATGCAGCCGAACTCCACGGAATACACCGGTTACACCTCCATTGCAAACGGCTGGTGCTTGGGCGCTCCGGTCACTGTATACGTATGCGGCGAGTTTGATAACCCCCCTGATGAGGCGAGAGCATTCAGCGGGAAGAACACATTCCCGGTAGGACGACATTTCCGGACCTTCGACAATGGGACGACTCCGCAGCCTACCTTTACCGGCTCGAGCGCGCGCGCAGGGCCGCTAAGCGATCGTGTTGGCGCCATCTTCTCCTGGAACAGCACTGATGGGTCTGACGAGGTGAAGTCCCGGGTCGGCATTTCGTTCATGTCGGTGGAAAAGGCATGTGCGTATAAAAACACCGAACTTTCTTCCTGGTCGATCGAGGAAACTGCACAGGCTGCGCGCGACGAGTGGAACCGAGATGTGTTTTCGAAAATTCGCGTCGACACCTCCGATGCAGCAAATAAGACGAGATTGGCACTCCTCTATTCTAGTTTGTATTTCATGCACCTCATTCCCAGCGAGCGCGTAGGCGAGAATCCTCTCTGGGAATCCGACGAGCCATATTGGGACGACTTCTATACCATGTGGGATCTCTTCAGGAACCAGGTTTCCTTGTGGCATCTCATACAGCCGTCGTACTACGAGTCGATGATTCGGTCTCTCATCGATATGTTCAAGCATGAGGGCTACATGCCGGACGGAAGATCGGGAAACTACAATGGTCTCGTGCAGGGAGGCTCGAATGCTGATAACGTCCTGGCTGACGCGTACGTAAAGGGACTCCGGGGGAACATCAACTGGACCGAAGGTTACGCCGCAGTAAAGAAGAATGCCGAAGTGCTTCCATTCTTCGACCAGAATCCCGTCGACCCGCAAGGGTCATTGAAGGAAGGCCGTTCAGCGCTGAACGATTGGATCCCGCTTGGCTATGTATCCGCAGATCGGAGCACGCGCGCGGTGTCGAAGACTGTCGAGTATTCACTGAACGACTTCGCTGTGAGTCAAATTGCTGCGGGAGAAGAGCCTGGTGACCGTGATCTGTATCTTCGGCGATCGGCTGGGTGGCAGCTGAGCTGGGACCCGGAAGCTACTAGTCGGGGTTTCATGGGCTTCGTGATGCCGCGGTATGCGAATGGTACCTTCCACAAAACGTACAATATCACCAATTGCGGTGACTGTAACTGGGGAGATGAGAGCTATGAGGGTACAGCTTTCGGTAGGTTGCTCCCTTTAGCTGCGTCTGGTGAAGGCGTACTGACGGATGCTCAGAATATTCTTTCGTAATCCCGCATGATGTCGGCCGAGTGATCGAGCTAATGGGTGGTCCACAACATTTCGAAGAGCGCCTAGACTACGTCTTCCAGCCCAATACTTCAGGCGTAGATCTCGGCGTGAACGGTCTCGGGATAACGACAATCAACAATGTCGCCAACGAGCCGGACTTCCAAACACCTTACCTATACAATTATCTCAACAAGCAGTGGAAATCGGTCCAGAGATCGCGGCAGCTTGCCAACGATTTCTATTTCAACACGTCGAACGGCATCCCCGGTAATTCAGATGCTGGAGCGTTGAACGGGTGGTTGGTATGGCAGATGATTGGAATGTATCCTATCGTGACGACGCCAGTATATTTATTGGAGAGTCCATGGTTCGATGACATCAACATTACGGTGAACCACAACCATACGCTCAGGATCCGAGCCGAGGGTTTGGACGATGGGGAGGGTCGGCAGGGGTACTACGTCCAAGGTGTGAGCATCAACGGCCAGCCCTGGAGCAAGAATTGGTTTGAGCATGAGGATGTCGGCGGGATCATGACAAACGGTGGGGAGATGCTCTTCCAGCTGGGCACCGAGCAGGTGATTTGGGAGACAGGAGAGGTGCCGCCTTCGCCGGCCCATATGGTTCTTGACGTGGGTCAAAGGCGACATTTAGATGAATGAACAAGAAGTCGTGGTGGAATTTCCATACTCTGGCGGTTGCTGGATGAGACGAGGGAGCACTTGTGTGGCAGCGGAAACAGCCCTCGCCGAGTGGCTGCTGAGTCAGCAGAGCCTCACGCACGCTGAAGGATCCACTGCTTCTTCGCGACACCACATGCACTGCCGTCATCAGCGCTCGAACACGTCTCCATCAACCACTTGCCTTTGCTGCCTTTGCAGAGACGTGACACCGCCTTGGGATCAGCTGCTCATATGTACGGTCACCGGGAAATTTGGAAGGGCTAGGCTGAACGCGCCGCGACCAATCGCGAGCGCGCGATGCTACCTTCCTGAACCACACCCTCCAGGATGCTGCCAACTCCTGAAGTGGCAAACGACGACTTGACCTTCAACTTCCGCGCGGACATATTCATGTCTTCTTTACGTTCGCACTCTCGATGGTACTCTTGAAGGTCTTCGTGCTCGTCGCGAGCATCCAGCAGCTTGTCGCCGGTCTACCGCAAGTGCATGTAACGCCAAATTCACGTGCGGCGACGGGATGCGGCAAAACACAGCTGCTTCCAGGCGTCACGCAGTACCGATTTGGGCTCAAGAGCAGCGGCAAGGATCGCAGCTACTCGTACCACCTCCCGTCCGATTATGACAAGAATATGAAGTATCCGGTTGTTGTGGGGTTTCATGGATCGAGTAGCATTGGGCTATTCTTCGAGCTGGATACTAAGATGAGCGAGTCGCGGTATAGCGGTAATGTAAATGAGATCGTCAACCCGTTTGAGGACGCTCCATGCTAATCCTTGACAGAAAGTTATGGTGTACCCGAACGGCATCGACGGCAGTTGGGCGGGGCCAACGTACCACAACGGCTCCACTGTGCAAGAAGACATCCAATTCGTAGCCGACTTAGTAGCGGATCTAAAGTCGAGCGTTTGCGTGGATGACACCAAAATCTTCGCAACCGGCATGTCCAACGGCGGAGGCTTCATCGGCACCCTAGCCTGCGACCCCCTCGGCAGCACCCTTTTCGCAGCCTTCGCCTCCCACTCCGGCGCCTTCTACACCGACACCGACGGCCCCAACAACGGCTGCAATCCTACCAACCCTCCAATCGCCATGCTCGAAATCCACGGCGACGTCGACAAGACGGTGCATTATGAAGGCGGGCAGGGGGATGGCGGGCCCGAACCACCGATTCCGGAGTGGCTGGAGTGGTGGGCGCAGAGGAACGGATGTGAGGGGAAGAAAGAGGAGGGTCTTGCGGAGGGTGATGTGCATCATTTTAGTTGGATGTGTGGCGGGAAGGGGGGGCTGGTGCAGCACTATAGGGTGGGTGGGATGGGGCATTGTTGGGCAGATACGGAGCCGAATCTCTCGCAGATCTCCGTCCCCCAAGGACCTGCCCCTATCCGAGCAAGCGAGATTATTATGGGCTTTTTCGATACGTTTTAACGCGGAGTAAGGTCCCACGGAACAGTGGCAAGAAGGAATCTAACACCTTTGGGCCGCTTTGCGTTCGCGATCTGGATTTCTCACCGAGGGTCCCGAATTAACTTACTATTCCCCAAAGGGCTAAAAAAAAGGGAACCGAGATAGCGATGGGCTAGCTTGTCAATTGGTAAGGGCTATAAGACTGCGGCTACGCCCGATCTAATTGGAGTTCTTGTATATATACGCTACCATGTGATGGAAATGGCGCCAGGAGAGCACAAGCTGAGCGAGGTGGCGGAGATCAAGGAGGTCATGAGGACAAGAACCTATTCAGCAAGCCTAGTAGGATAAACCCAAAACAGCAAGGGATCAGTCCTTAAGTTTTCATAGGCAAGCCCCTTCTGCTAGTACACACTGGCTAGTAGTCGTTTTGTCGCGAAGCTGAAACGAGAGCGGGGTTAGAGGGGAGGGGCCATCTAAACACGGTTTAGCGCCGCGCTAACTCCCGAGATCTTTGCCGGTGCAGTAGTCGGGTTTCCCGCTTCCTCCTCTCATCTCGCCGAACTTCTCTCAACGCCTTTTCGCGCGATGCGCTCAGAAGCATCACTCCCCCACCTCTCCGCCAACGGAAATCCTTAATCGCATCGCCCAGCTTTCTCCCTATTCTTCGTTCCTCAAGCTCACATTTGTCCACTGGCCACGCGCAGCCTGCTATGACAGGCTCGTTTCAGGGGCGGCGCCATCAGTGCTGTCTTCGACGATTGATATCATGGGCTTCCGCAGTTAGACAGCTACGTAGAGGGAAGCAGGAGACCTCGCAGCAACTTTTATGGCGGCTAGCTGAAGAAGTCGACTTCCAGTATCGTGGACGAAGCAAAGCACAAACTCGAAAGTTTTGGCCACGATATCCGCGGTTTCAACTTCACGAATAAGTACGCTCTCGTACTCCTCATCATCTCTTCTCACCTACCATTTTCAGAGAGTTCAGGATACGCCTGTGCTACGTCTTCATCGTCTCCCGTTGCCTTCCTTTGTGAAGCCTCCGTTGCCATTCCGCACACCCCGCAAGCGTCATGCTTGAATTCGAATGGTGCACAGATCAAACATTTTCAAACGGCTACAAGGCAGAGCCGCCCCGAAAAGCATTTATCTTGAATTCCGGAAACCCACAGTTTCGGATCCGCTGGATATCTTATCCACCATCGAAGAAAACCCCGGCGAGAGAAATTTCTTTAGCCCATTCTCACTACATAGAGCCGCCTCCTCAAACAAAGAAGCAAGATCTACCCTGCGCACATCGATGCCAAAGGTAGCACCAAGGCAGAGAACAAAAGCGTTATCACCCCTTTTGGGATCGCTGGAGCACGGTCAGTCGACCGAGGACTCTCTCCGGGATCTTTCTAGATCTGGATGAAGGGTCGATATCGTCTTATAGGATTACAAGTAGAGCTTCTGCGAAATGGAACGCGATGGCCGAGATCCGCGCTTTTCGACTCACGGTTTCGAAGCTTAAGTAGAAGGCTTAATGCAGCTGCACTATGGACGATAGCGGTTTCACATCTTTCGGCCCGAGACTGTCCATGACGATCTTCGAGCTAGGGACATCGAACCGCAATGATCCGAGAAGATGGATAATCCATTATTGGCGCCAGTTATCTTGATTCAGACGCACCTCTGCGCTGGCCATGTTGAAAGATGCTTTTATTTCCGACGTCAGGATCCTTGGCATGGTGTTGCGATGTGACAACACTTCACGTCGCCCACCACGAACGCATATGGTACACATTGCGGTGAAAGTATGTTGCTTTGAGCCGTTGCCTTCCAGTCCGCATGCATAGAAATTCTGAAATTCCTCATGGCTCCGAATACGAGTGCTTTCAAACAAGTTGGTGGCTTCTGATACATAGGACTGCAGGACCCGTACGGAATTTGATCGAAACTGGCCGCCATGTTACTTTGGATCTTTAAGCTGCGACCGACGACGCCAAACCGGAGCATGCCGTCGCTTATTTCAGGCGAGCGATCGCCGTAGCTGCCATATAAGGGCAACCAACCCCAAGCATGCCTCCCTAAAAGGATCATTCAAACATCACATGTCGACATTCTCAGGCAAGAACAATGCGCCCCGCCGGGGCGCATACCCAGCGCCACCCGGTCTCGGGAGATCCTCCCCAGGATGAAACAGAAACATCGGCTTGGCGCGCTCCCGACGAAGCTCGGAGAAGATAAGCTGCGGTCGAGAAGGCTTGAGACCTCGGGAGTGAGCTTATCACGAAAGAGCAACGGTCATTGGATGCAGAGCGTGGGTCGGGCGTGGGTTGGGCGTGGGTCTGACAACAGAAGTCACGGGTCTTCCAAAGTCTTCCAAATCGACACCGGAGGTACCAATGTACCGTTGTACCTCCAGAGGTACCACAGCCTTAACACCCAACAGGCCAGCTATATCAATTATAAGGTTTGCAGCACCTCTTCCTACCTCTCTTCTCTCAAGTCTTTCTGTGCAGGCACGATCGCTTTGATTGCCAGTCTTTTAATAATTTTTCCTTTCTTTTTTGTAATTTTGGTCTCCAACTGTAATTTCTAATCCAGCCAACATGAACGCCTCAGCATCAATCCGGAGAGCCTACGTTCGGGCTTCAGTAATGCACATGCAACCTCCCGTCGAAGCAATGCCACCGATACCTCCTCTTGCGTCTCGACCAGCCAACGAAGACAAGCTCAAGCAGTTCAAGCCAGTGAATCATCTCCAGCATCGGGAGAATTGCCACCGAGAACGCGTAGCTTCAGCAACACACTACGATGTGACTACCGATCGCGACTTGGACCGCGCCTACATCGACAACAGCTACCTCAAGAGTGGCTCGTTCATGGACTTTGACGAAGACGAATCGTTCTCCTCCCGGTTCAAGAAAATGTTCACCGTCTTCCCCTACCGCGATCCTATCTGGCTTGTAGCTGTCGTCTTCGCAATGGGCAGCCTTGATCTCGTCATCAACGCCTTCTTCGACCTTCTCCCTCGTACCGTCCCAGAGACTGAATTCGAGACCGAAGAGACCGTTGCCGTCCCCGCCACTGTTCTCATTGGCTCGATCTTCTTCTTCGGTGCTGGCATCTTCGATACATTTGGTGCGCTCAATGCTGACCGTGGTACACTCGAGACGTCAAAGGAGGATCTGGGAAGCGTCAAATACAAGCCGGCGCTGCTCGGCTCGCCCGAGTTCGCATGGTTCCCTAGCCGCAAGGTGTTCCTTGATCTCACCATGACAAATCTCGCCTTCCAAGCGGGGCTCATCGTACTCTTCGGTGGTATCATTTTCATGTTCGCTGGCATCGTGGACTTCCCTGGCATCGTCTCCGAAGAATCGCCTTTCTTTGACGCCATCGTTTTCGGCCCACAAGTCATCCATGGGTTTCTGTTCTTCATTGCGAATAGCATGCTAGTGATCTCGGAGCAAGAAAAATGGTGGATTCCGAAGGTTCGGGATGCGGATTGGCAGGGTGCTTTTTTGAACGCTGTGGGTGGGTTCTGGTTCATGTTGGCAGGGTTCTTTCTTTTTCAGGAGGAAGAAGTTGTAGCTGCTAGGGCCGCTATGGTTGGGAGCTGGGCTTTTTTGGTGGGTAGTATAATAAGGTGGTATGGGGTAATGGAGTTGTACTAAACGTACTCGGCGGTTTGCTATCTGACTTGAAGCGCTCGTTCCATGTCTACATCTGCTAGCTCTCACATCCACATTCATTCTAGCAAGGCTGCGCATCTACTCCCTCTACAAAGTCGTGTCCAGCAGGCCTCCATAGTAAATAGGCTCCCAAGTCCTCGCTCGCATATTCCCTCCACTGCTCTCTTTCCGCGTCCGTCCACTTCGTCTCTCCGACACTGTTGATCTCCATCTGCGGCATAATCTCTAGTAGCGTGAATCCGCAGTTCTCGTACACGAGTCGCCCAGCAGGCGTGGATATGACGACTGTCTCTAATCCCGCCTCATCAGAGAGCTTTCTGCCCCAATTGAGGAGCATGCCCGCTGCACCTCGGCGACGATGGTCGGGGTGGACGACGAGGAAGTGAAGCTCTATGGTGCATGTTAGCTCTCAGTGCATACCAGACCAGAAATCAGATGGAATAGGACGCTCACCAACATGCGCACGCTCCCCGACACACTTCCTCAGTGGTCCCACCGCAAGCTCATCAACCAACCTCTCCATAAATACCCTCTCCACGCTTCCCTTCTCTGGCAAGTGTTTTTCATCATCCTCCTCTCCCCTATCACTCCTCTCTTCCTGCCCACCCCTCTCAATACTATAACCCGCAGCCCCTATAATCATCCCCCTCTCCTCATCCGTCACTTTCCCCCAATGACGCGTAGACTTGTTGTCTCTCCACTGCCGCGCAAGGTAATCTTTCCAGTATTGCTGGGCGGCTTCGGAAGTGGGGAGTGGAGGGAAGCAGTGCTTGAAGAGTGGGTTGTAGGGGGTTTGGTATGCGGAGTACAGGAGGGGGATTATGGCGTCGAAGTCGGAGACAGAAGTGACGTCTGCAACAGCTAGGGGCATGGGGGAGGATTTGGGCGTAAGCAAAGCGTGTAGGAAGGGATGGAGTGCTGCGATATATGCGCGAAGATGGGATTGCGGTGCGTCAAACATGTGGCCATGCTAAATAACGGCTGGAGCAATGCCTTTGTGGCAACCCCAGCGTCAGGCCATGGTAACTACTAGCACTAGAGGTTCGATAAACGTACGAGTGGTTGCGGGAGATATGCCCAAAGACAAGACGCGGATTAAGAATGTAGTCGAGCTATACACTATGCGCATCATGATTGTTCTAGTAGGATGAGCCGTAATTACCGCAAGGTAGAGACTTCTCCACTGAGATTATCAATGCGCTCTTGCAGTTCCCCAAACAGGGTCCACCCCTCCCGTTTCTTAAGCGCCAACCCTTGAGGCTCGATCTCAACGCTGTGTAACCACGCATCTCACCTCATCTCCGTATACATCTCCGCTACTAAACCCTCCCTCACACACGAGCCTCATTTGTCTCGCAACTCAATACGATCTCTCACGCGAGGGAATGAGGCGCAGCTACCGATATAGCACTACAAAATTACAATAGCAGCATAAAACGTGGACCAAGGAAAGCATGACCGTTTGTGTTATCATAGCGCATAACCACCTCGTGTATGTAATTCTGTAGAAATCAAGAATAAGGAGTGGGTACCCTCTCCGCAAAATGAGAGACATGTCGATCTGATCAGCGAACTGCGAAATAAATGAAAGGAATGGGTATCCGCTGTGAACGAAAAGGAGAGACAGCAATACAGTACCAAAAAATACACACTATTCCGCCCATAGACGAAGATAAACTCGTGCGTGAAGTAAAAATCTCGAAGGAATGGCAAAGAACTCCGCCCAATGCAATATCCGTCCATCCCTCCATAATACATATCATACGTTACCATGCAGACCGCATAGTCGACTACTTAAAAGAGATTAGGCCAATACAAATTGTAAGAAGTAATAATACAATAGACGAAAAATGAGGCCGAAGCCACTTCATGACAGCAAAACTTAAGAAAGCCTCTGCGCCACAATTCGCGGACTGCTCCTTACATCCCTCAGCACGGGCATCCTTTCATCTTCTGCCCAGGGATGCTGCACTCTTCCTCTCTGTGTCCCTGCACTCTCGCTCGAACTCTCATCCCGCCAGAACGTCAGTGGCGTGGGCGGACTGACGGGGCTGACGGGCGACATCTGATCTCTTCGCGAGGAGTTCCGAGGCGTCAAGATGCGCTGGTTGCGTTGCCGCTGCGGACTCGTAGGGACAGCGGGGATGGGGACTGCTTCGTAAGGCTGCGAGTATGCCTGGTAAGGCTGCGAACTCGGCCGCGCGGGAAGCGGAAACGTCGGTGGGTGTGCACTCGGGGGCGTGGCTATATAGTACGAAGGGAGGGGCTGTGGTGGTGAGAAGGAAGAACCATGCGCTGTTGGCGGCGTTTTGACATAGTAACTCGGTATACTCGTATGCGCATCTACTGGCGCTGGAACGGGCACTGTTGTCGTTATTGCAACAGCGGGTTCTCTAGTTCGCATCGGATCTTCATACGGCGTTGTCGTCAGACCATATGGCCCCGTGGCAAGACTCGATGTCCGAGGAGGTAGATGGTGGTGGTGGGGGCCCCGGAAGTCTCGGCCAGATGACGGCGTGCGCGTTTCAGGTGTGACGTAGGTCGTGGTGCGGCGCATGGACACGTTTGCCGCTGGTGTTCTGTTGCCTGAGCGCCAGTGTTCCGATAATGTGGGCGGTATTGACGGCTGCGGATGTGCATTTGCGTGCGCGTATTGTTGTGGGATGAGAGAGTAGCGAGGTGTGTGTTGCTGCGGGAAGAGGGAGAAGCGCGATGGACTAGGGATACTGGGCTCGGGACTGCCGTAATGCGACGAAGAGACTTGTCCTCGGGGACTGCGGGACGCTGGAGGCGGCGATGGTTCTCTCCGTCGGTGTTTTGGAGATACGTTGTGGGATGGAGGAGAAAGGAGTGGTTGTGGGGACAGACACTCCGGAGACAGTGCGTGCGAACTCGCGGTTTGCGGCGTCATCACGGCGCTAGGTCTCCGAACGTGTATTTCTGGCGCGGCAGGTATATGGAGCCTCAGGCCCCGCTCGCTAGGGCTTCGCGAACTGCTTGCAGATGAGTTCGGTGGGGTAATGAATCGTGGAGTCGTCAGTGGGCTTAGCGGTGGAGGACTCGGAATCCGGGGTGAGACATCGGACGTCCTTGTGTGCTTCAGGCTCGTTGCAGCAGTGGAATCCATCGAATTGCCCAGCGCCTTTCTCTTATTCCCTTTGAGGCAGCCAGTCAGCGAGCTGCATCCATACGAGTCATCCATAGTCGCCCTCTTCCTCACACTCTCTGCCCTCCAAACGCCCGTTTCAGAATTCTCAAAAAACGGCTTCATGTATGGGATGCACGCCGTGCTGATACTAAGGCAGGCCTGTACCTGCGCGCAAATAACCGGGATCCAAAGATTGAATGCCGGGTTGTCGTGTGGAGTGATAGGGTAGAGATAAATCAGGCGCGCCAGCGAAGCCCCGATGACCAGCACCCGCGGCGCAAAGCAAGCGATAACGGCAATCTTCCGCGAAAGCCTGACCTTGAGGTATGCGACGAGGTTGACGGAAAGCATGATGATTGAAACATCTGTCGTCATGTCTATTATGCAGTACACAATCCAGAAGGCCCCCTAAGCAAACATTAGCCTTCATGCTTTACCCACAACAGGGAAAATGTTTTTCTACTCACGCCATTGTAGCAACGGAGTGTGAAGGATTCCCACGGCTTCGGCAGTCGGCATTGGAATGCGACTGCCACGAGTGATGCCAGTGTCCACGCAAGGATGAAGAAACCGAACCAGAGGACGAATCGACGCTGCGCTCGCTGGATATGGATGCCATAGAAGAAGGTGACGAGAGATAGCTTTGCAAGACCGAGCGCTGAGACGTAGAGAAATTCGGAGGCGTAGATTCCTTTCATGAGGGTATTGGCGCGTCGTAGCGTTAGTGTTCCGAACACGCCGAGTCCGTCGGAGGCCAGGATGAGAGCTGTTATAGAGAGACCGATAGCGAATACCTAAACCAGTCAGTATTGTTCAATTATGAAATGGAGGCGCTGCCCACTGTCGCGAACAGTATGAGAAGGTCGTCGATAGCAAACTTCCGCAGTACGCGGAACTTGATGGCCTCCCTCGCAAGGAACATGAGAACCAGAGTAACCAATGTCGCCCATGCTGTAATCGTAATTGCGTCCGCTTTGTTATCCGGCGTAATGGACGTTCGTGGAGCAAGAGATGCTGAAGGTATCTTCATGATGCTCAAGAGAAGCAGAGCGAAAGCAAGCTGAACGCCCACCCACCAGACCCTCCCAACCCAAGGAAACCAAGGAAACAAAAAGAGAAAACAGAAAGGAAAGGAAAGGCCACGCAGGTTTCAGCTTATCGTGTGTAAATCAGGCGTCGTCATGACTGTGGAAGAACAGAAATGCAATGCAAGAAGAAATTCCAGTTAAAGCCGGGTGTTGAAGACGGAAACGAGGGTGGTGTGTAAACGGCAAGACGGAAAGGTTGGGCTGAGGTGGAGTGACCGTGCGAAGGGGAAAACCGGAGTAGGAGAGTAAGAGAAGGGGGAGGTCGAACCTGCAACGTCGGAAACCCTGCCGCAACAGTCGTCATATCACACGCACCCGCTCCATCGAACAGCGTGACAAAGCCAGACCGTTGCTATGCCGCAGCCCATTTTCGGGCTGGCCCTACCGCCCGCAGTGCCGTATTCTCGTCGAGGCTGACCCAGCAGCACACCACTTCGGCAAAGCAAACCAGCTGGGCGCGCGATCACGGCGCAGCGGCGTGCCGCTACGGGTATCTACCCGCAGCAAGCCTAGACACTGCGCCCTCTTCGATCTGTCGTGCAACGGTATCCGCGCAGCCAATGGATCGATTTTTGAGCGCTGCAGCTACTCTTGGACCAGCTAAGCGCCGGCGTCAAATATAGGGCTGAGGGAGGCGCCGCTGACATGCGCGAAGGGGACAGGGGTGGGGAGTTTGGCGAGAGGGGCGCAGAGGGGAGCTCGAGCGCCGTCATACAGAGAGCGCATGGGCGGATGGCTTAGAGTGCGGAAGGCGTATTTGAGGCCCTGGCAGGAATCGAAGGAATCGAGCAGTGATTCCCCATACTACCATACTGCCTGCTGTCGCCCTCGTCGTGTCGCTCCAGGTTGGAGTCAGACGCTCGCCGTGAGGAGGACGTCACGCGCTACGCCTCACCCTCCGGATGTTGTTTGGGTATCTCTCTTCGATAGCTGTGTTCGGTGCATGTTTCGCTTGATATTTTTGTGGCTGTATTTCTCTAGCCGCTGCACCCTTGAGATGGCCGAGAGAACCCCCGTCATCCCAACGAGCCCCGCTTACCTCACTCAGGGACCTGGTTAATGAGATCCCCGAATAAAAGTCCCGGCAAGGGGGACTCCCACGATCCATTGCCAGCTGTGTACCTAATGTAAGGTGAGCGTCTGGGAACAGCGAGTGGAAGGATTGTGTGTTCCCCACGTCCATCCTACGGCGATGCGGCCCACAGCTACTTCCTCCTTCGCCCAAGCTTGATCGCGATATGCTCTCATCCTTCCACCGTCTCAAACCATTGCCGTAGAGAAGCTCGCTCAGGACACATTGTGGCTTCCGTGCGCAGGTAGCAGTACGGCAGCTCTCGCGCCACGGCATACAGGTGGAGAGATCCGGTGAGGTTCGACATCACACTAGGTCCTTCCAATGCTTATCGTAACAATGTGGATTCTGGCCGCTCCTTCGGATCCCGATAGTCTCCCTGGGCTACCCCAGAAGCTTCGCAGATGTTGGCTGCATGCGCAGCTCCACCACCAATATGCTGATATATACCGTCAGCGTTTACCTTGCCCGATCAGTTATTCGGTATCATCTTTCAAGTCTATGACGCACAATCGGCGTCTCATCGGAATGCGGCAGTGGAATACAGGGGAAGGAATGAGTGGCGAAGGGGGCAGGATAGTAATACTGTATGGATGGGCAGACAATGCTAATCGGCCATTCTTTTGGTGCTCACTGTCTTCAGGTATTGCCGACTCCCGGTCATGTACCTATACCTTTATTCTCTCGGCTCAAGTGCTGCGAGCGCCTTTTGGAAATCCATCATCGTAACCAGGATCTGACTAGGCGACTGCTGTCCATACTCTGCACCCCCTGCGAACCGAAGCTTTGTATCGTCGTTGTTTGCTGAGAAACATCAGTCAAGGCAATCAACCTTTCACCAGAGCACAATGCTTACGGACGCGGACCTCCCTCGCGGACGCTCTACCCGCTGTCGTCTTTACTTCTCTCCATGTCCCCTCGCCAAGTGCTTGATTTATGAAGACGGAATTCGAACGAGAATCGGAGAGCACGATGGTCCCGTTTACTCCGCCGAGCGGAGTCCACGTCACGAACGGAGCTCCATACGGCTGTGCGCCGGTGTCAACGACGAGTTGGCGCGTGCGTTCAGTCCCGGCGTTTTCGGCACTTGGAGATATCTTGTAATATACGGGGTAGGAGTAGGCCTTCGTGGTGGAGTTGAGCAGCCCGTATTCGAAGGCGATGACGTATTGGCCGTTTGGAAGCTGGTTGGGTTAGCACGAGCGTTCAAATAAGCACGGAGACCATATAGTACCTTCGCGACCGTCGACATGCCCGGTCTATCGTCGTGGAACTGCGAAGCCACCACATCGATGGCGGTGTCCCAGCTATCGAAATCGTCGGCTGTCGTTTGCTGGACGATCTTCTGCGAGTGCTGCGGGTCCTGCTGGGTCGAGTAGTACATTGTGACGGCATTGTTCCTGTAGTTGCATAGTCAGCGCAAGCGCTCCACGTCGGACTCCTGGTAGAGGGCGAATCGACTTACTGCAGCAGCAAGAACGGGTTCGACACCGCCGTAGACGAATTCGCGCCGACGGGGCCCGCACTCACGACCTCGCTGGCGAGTTCAAAGCTCTCTCCCTGGTCATACGACGCATACACCTCGATATTCGTGCTCTTGTCGTCCACCGCATTTACCGCCAGCAGGACCACGCCCGAGTCCCCTCCAAACGACTGGTTTACGTACAGCAGGCTCGGCTGCAGCAGCTTGCGGCCAGGCTCGGACGACGTCGCATTGCCGAAGGAATACCACGAGAAGCCGCTGTTCGTGGAGCGGAACACGGCGATGGAGTCTGCGGCTTGCGAGGGGTCGTTCCAGGCTGCGAGGACGGTGTTGTTGGGCAGGTTTTCGGTGCGCGCATACGTCAGTTGCGTGGCAGAATCGTCGGGCTGGTAGACGGTTACGTTTGCGAAGGAGTCGACGCCCGTCGGGGTGGGCGCTGGGGGATCGGTGTCGTCTGTGGTGGTCTGGGCGATGGCTGCGCGCAGGACGCACCAGGAGGCAAGCAGCGCGTGCAGTCGCATGGCTGAGATGTGCAATCCGCCCGTCAATCGTCCTGGATTGCATCGTGATATGCGCGTGACGGCTGCTATTTGAAGGGCTGGGCAAACGGGCGGGCGCAATGCACCAGGGGCGGCTGTCGAGGGCGCAATTGCCGCAGACCGGGCTGCATATTGGGACTCGTGGCCGTTCAATCAGGGCAATAACGAAGCCCACGGCGTGATTGACCGAGGGTTGATGGGTAATTGGTGATGGAATTCGTGCGTGCGACGAACAACAAATGCTTCCCCTGGCGCCCCTGCGAGCTTCCCCGCAAAGCCACTTTGGAACGCCGCCGCACGTGCGCCAAGCATGCCCGGTTGAGTAGCCCATCCGGCGGCATGCTTCATATTGACGACGCGAACGTTTCTGTCCGACTGCTCCCATTGGTCTGTGGCTAATACGAGCCCTGCCTACGCCCCCGTAGCATCAAACTCCCGAAGCTTCGACATCTTAGCCCATAAAGTCTCCATCTGACGGCTGATCTCCCCTTCTCCACCTCTTCATCTGGAAGCCAAGAATTGGCCCTTCTTCCATAATTTGGGGCAACCTCGAGAGATCACGCACCGAATATTCCACCTATGATTGATGGACATGGACGACATCAGCCAATTCTGAACCCCATGTCCAGGCCTGCGAGTCTATCCTTCAGACCGCCCAGAATCTGCCCGACCCGGCCTGTCGTCTTCTCCTTTTCCTTCTCTTCCTGACGGTTTTCGATGAACCGGTGCTGAGAGCCACGCCCGGAAATGCCTAGGGACAAGATATCCTCATCCGCCTCCATCACATACCCCGCTTCTGGCCGTTCAGTGCCGCCTTCGCAAGTCCAGCTAGACCACCGCTTCGGATCTCCAATGCCCATGTACCTAAGCTTACCGGGCCAAGCACATAGCTCTCGCGTCACCAAATCTCCGTCCGAGTTCGTGCTGGTCGCAGACAGCGTCTCTGGCGGTTCGTCCTTTTCGACCCAGTCGACTAACGCCGCAAGCGCATCTTCTGGAACCGGTCCAGCGCCTCCTGCACAGTGCTCGACCCCGGGTGCCAGAAAGAGACGGTAGAATTTGTCGACTCCCCGTGCTCCACCCATTTCCCTTTCGACCCGCTCCCGGTATCGGACAGTGTTTTGGTATGGGATCACTGGGTCGTTGATCCCATGCCAGGTAAGGAGTTTCGTACCCGATGTGCGCAGAGCGGAGAGATCTGTATCATCGGCGTCAAGAAGCCGACCATATTCATAACTTGCTTGAGCCCAAAGCGCCATATAGCTCGGGTACGTAAGCTCGGATACGTTGAAGGACGGATCTTTGAGGAGCAGTGTCTTCATGAAGTTCGAAGATATCGGAAAAGGTAAGGGGGATCGTATTCCGTCAGGGCTAATCGTGATACTCGCGAGGTAATGGGTACGTGTGCCGGGGGCTAGACCGTGCCAGATTGGTGCTTTGAACGGTGTGCGAGGACCACTCTCAATCTTGCGGACAATGTCAGCCATTTCCGCCGTTACCTCAGCCTCCTTTCCGTCGCAATAGAAGCTCTTCCCAATGACATGCAGAGGGTCGAAGTCGCAGACGTCTGGATCAGAGATGATGCCATCACTGACGCCATCTAGCATGTCACACTCTTCCATGGCTTTCTGTCTGAACAAGTCAAGCTCGCACGTCGACATCAAGGTATTGGCCTCTTTCATCGCAATCTGAGGCCAGTAGTCGCCCATGGCGACATGGACCAAGTTGATGGCAGGCGCATTCGCCAGAATCCCGTCCAGGAGGTGAGGATACTTTTGCGCCATGGCATAGCCCTGGCGTCCACCCTGCGAGCACCCATTCCAGTACGAATATCGCGGTTTCTCGCCATAGAACTGCTCGGTAATGCTCTTGCCAACAATGACCATTTCGGCCAAGCTGCGCGTGGCAAAGATGTGTAACAGACCCCAGTTAACGGTGCGATCTGGATTCAACGCCCAGGAAAGATCGTCGTAATATTTTCCAGCATCGTGCCCACCATCCGTCGACGAAGCAGCGTAGCCATGCTTCAACGCAGGGCCGAGCATGCTGTCAAACATGCCCGTAGCAAAACCGCCACCGCCCGTGGCTTGGAAACGGCCGTTCCAGTCGTTATGAGTCAACGGAAGCCATATTTCAACGAGGGTCTTGTCATTGCTTCCGGCGTGTGCGAGATGGACTTTGACTCGACAGAAGCTGAGGTCGCTGATTGAGGGAAGCCCATGATGTCCTTTAGGGGTACTGTAGTTGACTTGGGGTGTAGCAGCTATTGATAATACTTCCACACCTGAGCCGAGCTTTGGATGGCTGAACGTGGACGCGTCGCAGACAGGACTTGGTGGAGGTGAAGGATCGGGGTCTGGCTCGTCCCTAGCGAATGCTCTTTGGACGTTAAGAAGGAACAGGAGAAATGCAATCCAAAGCATTTTTGGTTGAAAAGAGAGAGCTTCGCAGAGAGGCTTGGAGTGTTCGGAAATGAACGGTCGATTCGTGTGATTCGTGTGAGATGTGAAGGGAGACAGCAGCGGTGAAGTCGGCAACGTGGGATAAGCGCTACATTCTTGGCGCCTGCCGGATTACACCATCATACCATACTTCATGCGCGCGGGAAATACGAGTAAGCTGGTGGTTGGTGAAGCGTGCAAGAGAATCGTGCGAGAAGTTTCGAGTGATGCGAAACGTGGGGCTTAGCCCCTAGCCCAATCGGCACTAGCTCGAACTCGTAAGTATTCTCACCTGGGCACGACGAGGGGCGCTCGAAGAGCCAAGAGCGGAGGAGTAGTCATCTCCTTCAAATTCTGTCTTGGCCATCTTTTGTAAAACTGTTGGAGGCTTTTTCATGAGCGCATCAGACAACCCTAGGAAACGCGGCATACCTACGCTGCCAAGAGAAGCTCCCTCCAAACGATTAAAGAAGCTTGCCAGCACGGGATGGGCTAACCTACGGAGCCCTACCGTAGAGGTTTCCGCGTATCTGATTACCTCTTGGGGTTAGACTAACCGTTCGGCAACCCCGCCTTACGACCTGATGTCGGATTTCAAACGCCGTCATTGCATTCACGCCATGCCGAGGTAAACCGCGACCCCAAACTTCCCACAACACCTCCATCTCTTCCTCCAGAAACTCACCCCCCTCGTACCTCTTGGAAGACCAACTGCACAATGGCGCCGGCACCCCCAACCCTAGAGCCCGAACTCCACTACGTCATCCCCACACCGCACGTCCCCAACTCGAGGCTCCCAATCATTATCTACCGTGGCGTGCTAAAAGGCTTCGAATACGACGACATCATAGAGCTCATGCAACGCAACGGTTGGAAGAAAGGCGGGCAGTGGAAAACTTACAAAACGGCACATTATCACACTAACGTGCATGAGGGGTATGCAGTGATCAGCGGCTCAGTTAGGTATTTACTAGGGAAGGGACCGACCGATGAGGATTCGAACGAGGGAGGGAAGAATTATGGCGTTGAGGTCAGCTTTGAGAAGGATGATGTGTTCATATTGCCGGTAGATGTCCACTTGATTAGTACGGCATGCATTGCTAATGGAAGGGAAGGCTGGTGTCAGTCACAACTCAATCGAATCGGAGGGCGACTTCGAGTATATCGGCTTCTATGTGAAGGTAAATTCTTTCGCGACTCCCCTAGGCGATGGGATGCCGCTATATTAAAACGTGACAGGATGCACCCAAGTGGGACATGAACTACTGCAAAGACGATGCCGAAGTTACAGAGCAGAAGAAGGAAAGGAGCTGGAGCGTCCCGATCCCCGAAACCGACCCTGTGTATGGCGCAGAAGGTCCGCTGCCGAGGGTGTGGAGGGAAGTATCAAGTACAGTATAGGACCTTCACATCGTTTGGCTTAAGGCAAGGAATTGAATGTCGCTACACAATGCACCCACTCTCAAAAGCACGCGCACTCCAACCCGCGCGCCTACATAAACATCCCACCACCAATTCATAACCATAACTCTTGATCTTCAACGTTCTCTCCTTTACCGAATCGCTCCTTCAGGATGAACTCACACACCCCTAGTAACCGCGCCAGCTTCGGCACCATGGCCTCTGTCGACAGCATCGAACTCGCCAAAGTTGCTGCTTCACCGCTCCCCGCAGACTACGAAGACCCAAACCACCCACACTTCCCGCAGAATTTGGAAGCCCAAACCGGCCAGGTGAAGCTGCCTTGGTACACGAAGAAGAAATCTCTCTGGGCTCTTGTCTGTGTTGGACTTCTTCTCACAACGCTGGCGGCGGCAGCTCTTGGAGGTTGGAAATATGCGCAACGCAGGGCTGTGGCCGCGCAAGCTCCTGCGAATGCAAGTATGACGGCGAGCCAGGCAGTCGAGTGGCATACTACAGAAGTCACAGTAACTCATCTCACTACCACGCAACTCAACACCACCACTATTCCACCCCCAACGACCCGCACTCTCAGGCTGACTCCCATCGGCGCGACAACAATCTGGGACACCACAACAACAGTGCCGTTCTCAGCGCCGCTTCCCCCGATTCCAGAATCCGCAGCATCATCGAACGTGCCCTCTTCGAGCGCAACCCCCTCATCCAACGCTCCTCCGCCCGCGACTCCTTCAAATCCAAAGGCCGGGAATGATTGCACTGAGATCGGAACGTATTCCTCGAAGCATATATGCCAAGATCATTGCGACGCACTGCCCCGGGAGGGTAAAGTAAATACATGCGAGTGGAGGAGGTATTTTTCGTGTATTTCGTGTAATGCCGCATAGGGGAAGGGGCCTCAGGTTCTAGGCCTCAAGGACATGTAGTAGAAGCGAATATTCCAGTGGGATCCAGAGCCAAGAATAGGACTCATGAAACTTCCGATTCGCGCCACATTGACGGATCGACTGGGAGACTGGGAGATGTGACCAAGTATGCTCCTATGAGTACATGCATATGCGCACTAAGGGGATACCATTTCTCTGTTTATCTTAACACCCTTACTTCCCTTGAATGCGCAAGTCCTTCGATCCAACTGTCAAAGTTCGCCGCATTGTGACTACACATTCCCCCTTCATTATACCTCCACTTCATCCACCTTCTCCCAGCCACGTATAACTACCGCCGCCAACGCCAATACCGCTTCTCCCTGTATTGCGAAACACACCCGTCCATCAGAACAACTCATCGTGGCCCAAACATCCCTTCCCCAGTTCACGTCTCCGGAGCTCTTCCCCGAGCACCTGCCGGATCGCCCCCGCGAACCGTCGCGCTTCGCAACCCTTATACGGAATCCGTACCTGCAAGCTGTGGTCGGATTCATTGCTGTCCTCCTGCTCATCACGCTCGCGGTCTACATAGGCATCAGGCTGGGAAGTACGCAAAACCAGCACCGACGTTATTCCTCCACGGAAGCCATCGCCACGCAGATACCAACGACGCCTCTCAGGTCAACACAAACGGTGTGTGTAACGATGGATAGTGTAGTAACCCAGCATATCACCGTAGAACTGAGCAGTCTCCAGAGCACGGCGTGGGTGACGAAGATTGTTCCGACGCCTACAGTACGGTGCGCAGGAGGCGCGTTTTCGCATCCGGAGTGTCAGAAAGGAAAATGATGGAGCGATAGAGGGATGGGGACCGAATAGAGGGAAAAAGCGATGGACATAGGCAATAGAAATTACGAGTTAGGACTGTACTGGTGAGCGCTGAAGAGAGTGTAAATGTGAAAATGGTATGGATGTTTTTAGCATATGTATGGGCTTAAGTTCAAAAGATGCCGTAACGAAATGGGAGCGATGCACCTGCTAGGTAGAACTAACTGATTGCTAAAAGAAAGAAAGCGCGGAAACCCCACATATCTATGATGATAATTGACTATCATCAAGGACATCATATTCAACAGCGTGTTCACACTCGCCGGTGTAGAAAAGTGTTGAGAATAGTCTGTCGTCGCCGTTCCTAAGCCTAGGATCCGACCTACTGTAAATAAGATACAAGTTCGCCGGTGTAGTTAAACGTTGAATAATTCCGCCGTAGTCATGTCCGAGCGTGGATCCGACCTACTATAAGCAAAAAATCGTAGAAACAAGGCCGTCATGTTGTCTACATTCGCCGATGTAGTTGTTGACAATGAGTCTGCTATAGTCGTCCCCAAGCCTGGCTCGGACCTCCCATAATAAGGGATTGCGGAGACGCGTGCGTTTTAATGGAACAGGCGAGTTCAACAGGGTGTGACCTCTATATATGCTCACATACCCTGCACCGTGCTGCCCCATACAAACTTCCACTGCGCGGTTCCAGGGTCTTTCCTCCGGGCAATGCGAACTCGTACGTCGTTGTCTGGCTTGGGCATCGCGTTCCAAAGGTCTGCGTTACGCTTCGTAGGCATACTCCACCGCCCCTCGACAGGACGTATTTCGAACTGCAGAAGGACCATAGCAACGAGCGAGAGGATAGTGTTCGTGGAAAAGTGCCGACCTGGGCACATCGTGGCGCCAGCGCCGAAAGGACGGAAAGCCGAAGTGCTTGAGAGCTTCTTGTGTCCTTCAGGATTAAGAAAGCGCCGGTGGTCGAAGGTTTCTGCGCCATGGCCCCATACCTCAGGGTCGTGGTGCACAGCAGTTCCCGGGATCATCAAGATGCCACCCTTCTTGAGATAGTATTGAGAGGCAAGGGTGGTGTCATGATGTACCTTCTTGACGTTGATCACTGTGCTGTGATAGCGAAGAGTCTCGTGCAGCATAGCTGCTAGGGTTGGGCATTTGGCCTTAATCGTGGCCAAGTCGACGACCTTAACATGGCCTGTGTTGGTCTCGGCTTCGTTGACAACAAGGCCGAGGAGTTCTTGGCGGCAATCGCTGAGGGCCGAGGGATTGGAGAGAACGTGAAACATTAGCCAGAATGTCGTGATGGCGCTGCTGCTGAGCATTGCGAGCGATGTCGCCATTTCCATCTTGGCGGCTTCACTCGCTGAAAGACCGTGCCCCTTGTTTGCCTCGAACATTTCGGCAATCATTGGAAATGCTTGGAGGTGGCCATCGGTCTCAAAATACTTTTTGAAAGCATCAATAACCCGGCCGCGGGCACGGAGGCATTTGCGGGCGGTGAGCGACGGGAGCGGGCTGTAGAGGAGGTGACTGATACCCGGGACGAACTCCTGCCAGCTAGCCTCGATGTCAGGGTCGTCGTATGGGTTCTCCGGTCCATACACTGCGCCAGTAAGCGCGAGCGTCAGGTGATGTCGAATGTTTTCCAACAGTCCAATTTCACCCGAGGTGGCGAAGCCGCTCGGAACACTTGCCGAAAGGTTATCGATGGCGGTCCGGGTCGCCACTTGTAGCGTTGGACCAGCCGTGAGGTACTTGTGTACGCTGATTGTGAAGCCATTGCCGTTGATATCGAATGCCCCGCGGAGCACCTTCTGGGATTCCTTATTCAGCCCGCTGAAGAGCATCCCAAAGTCTAGCAGTGTCGGTACGAAGGTTGAGATATTGGTCTTGTTCTGCACAGTCTGAATCAATTGCGGCGATTGGACGATGTAGAATCGTTGGAACGGCATACGCATGGTATGGATGGGCAGGCGATATCGCTTCCGAAGATTGACGAGGTAGTCGACTTTATTCCTGGCTATTCCGATTCCAGGATCCAGGAAAGGGATTGTACCCGGCAGGAGGCGAGGTTCACGCTTGTTCTGGGTAGCGTGTAGTAAGGCATAGAAGGTCCCATACAAGACCACAAGGGCAACACATCCAAGGGTCAAGACCGTAGGCATTGTGAAATGTCGAGACCGAGAGCACAGAAGTATCGTAAAGAGTTAGGAAAAGAATATTGGAGTGCACTTACGTCCCTCCCACTCGACTTGGCCTTCTGTGCCGAGAAACAATATGCCGAGAAACGAGTGATGAACTGACGCAGGTGCGGCTGAGTTGGGGGTGAATACTGGTAGGAGTGATTAGAACCTTGGAGAGAAGAATAGGGAGGCTGTTTTGCGAAACGATTCGATTACGTGCCGACAGTATGCGGCGGTAGTATACCGTTCGGTGGCAAGAAGACTGCTCCTGAGACCACTGCTGGGGAAAACCTAGGAGGGTGAAAGGCGTCAAATTTATATCTGCCATAAGAGCAAGATAGAGAGAATCCGTTCTAGACAGCATCTCAGAAGCCACAATTGTTCGAATGTTAGTCGCCGATCAGGCCCCTTGTTTGTGATTAGCAGAATTGATGCCACTTGAGGGGCCCGTATACCAATGCGACGGTCACGTCGCCTGCAGCTCCCTGCTCTTGCAGCTCCTCCAAGTGTGCAGATAACCCATGCCCGGGAGATGATGCATGTCTCGTGTGGGCATACGCCAGTTGCGCCGTGAGCAGTAGTGCATCGTGGCTTCATAAGCCGTCTCCACACCAGACGCCAAGCTCCGTGTAGTGTTGATATCCCGCCTGCGACTATGCTAGCAAGTCATGTGTATGTGTCCCATTTTCTGACAAAACCGGATTGGACACCTCGAGAACTGAAAGGAAAGGGCTGAAAGGGCATCGCTTGGCGTAGAAAGCATGCCAAGCGAGGGACCATTTGCGCTTAACAGAACACAACTGCAGGCTAGGTCGGAATACCAGCTCTCTCCGTATGGCAATCTACTGATTCGTTGACGTTCAGGGTTCTCCAAAGACTATTGGCATGTGAAGTCACTTAGGCCATCGTGGATGCACGGAAAGTTGACAGGCCGAGAAGCAACGGAAGCGAGGTAACAAAGAGAAGCAACTCGCGAAGACACTTTCGTATACTCAAACGGGAAATATCAACAAATAGAAAAGCCCGCAAGCGTGGATATGAAGCTCATGGAGAACCAACTCCGGCCTCCGCGTGCGCTAAGTATGCGGCATGTCGCGAGTCCTACCCGGGGTTACCGACGAATTGGAATGACGCACAGACGGACGGGAGCGCCGTGGAACAGGAGCCGAAAGACATGTTTGATAACATCATTTTTGGGGGCGTACATGGGGAGTGATGGAAGGGGTCGAGTGGATGGCCCGGAAGATTCAATGGTTATCTAGTCTAAACCATGTACGGACTAGCGGCTTTGCGGAACACCGAACCCGTCGGCACACCACCCGTTTACCCGCCACTTGCAGCATCGTGGCGCGTTAGCTACCGAGAAGCTGTACGAGAAACTCTTTGTTTCCTTTTCAGCTTTTGCGTCGTTTCCCGCATTGACCACAGGTTTGTCAGAAGCCACCAGAGGCGGACCCAAGTGCCCCCCAGGAGACTGCGCATCCGCCGGACAACGTCTCGGATGATGTGTGTGAGTGCTGAGCACACGCCGTGCCGCAGGGCGGCGTCTCGTTTCCCTGGACTTAGAGCTGAGATCAAGGACGTATGAGGAATGTTGCACAAACATGTTCCCGCGCTCAGGGGTAACACTTGTTCTAGTTGCTGCAAGAGAAGGGAAGGTATCTCTCGTGCCACCCTGAAAACGCCGGAACTGTTTCGAGCGGCAGATGGTGGCTTCTTTTCAAGCATCAATTGACTGGGGCCAAGATTCAGTACTTCACAAGTCCTCCATCGCCCTCCATCGCCCTCGCTCATACTCGGCCACGATACGTCAGATTTGACTCAGACGCTGCAGCCTTGCGGCACAGCAGAACCAAAACGTCCCTCAGTTCGCTGCATCTCAAAAGCACCCTACCTCGTTCCCCGTCCTTGCGCTAATACCTCACACCAATCACCTCCCCACCCACCCTCTCTACTAGTGCTCTATGCTGCTTGCTCCTGACCTTGATTCGCACCTCGAATGGCGCCGCCCGATGCTCGGCCACATTCATATTCATCGTATCGATTGGCTTGCCCTTAACCTCTTGGAAATCGAAGCAGTACAGCAACCGCGCCGCAGCGATCCACACATTCGTATCGCCGACATGGTAGCCGGTGCATACGCGACGACCTATCATTGGAAGATCTGGTTAGCTGAGCTCACGAAAGAGATTGGGTTACTAGGATCCTTTGCCGCCCCGTGGCGGCCCGTGACGAGATCTTGAACATCGACGAATCGAAACAGACTTACCCGCGCCGAATGACCAGTGCCCATTCAACGGATCCTCAAGCGCCTTTCGCGCTCCCTCGTCCTCACCGATTTCTTTCCTCTCCTTAGTTCCAAAGCCCTCGATGAACGGATCAAGCCACCGTTCTGGCCAGAACCGCAGCGGATCTTGATGTTCATCCTCGCTAAGCGCGATGCTCCAGCTATTCCACGTAACTATCGTGCCGACGGGGAAGCGATATCTACTTTACACGTCAGCGTCCTATCATTCCCTATAGAGTCATTCGACGCCTGTCGATGTTCTTGCCGGCTCAACAACCCATAAGGTACCGAACGTTCTGAACTGAGCGGCTGAGGAACTCTGTTCGATTGCATGTCCAAGGAGATGGAGTGCTTAGACCCTGCCTTTACATCGCTGGAGCGGGAGATGCAGATAGCCGACTCCTGCAACTAGTACTCACCCTTCATACACATCATCCTTGATCAACATATGCGGCATACCAATCTCAGCGAACGGACGCCACCGAAAACCTTCCTTCGCTACTGCACTAAGATACGGGAGCTTCGGCCGATCAGTGAATTCGGGTAGCCGCGCGGCATACCCGCATACGCGATCCAGCTCCTCCTGCGCGTTCTTGACCCATCTGCGAGGTGAGCGGCCCGCGTCAGTATAAGCTCTAAGCGGCAGGGATTATGATGCACGGAGGAGCTGCATTTACGTACCTACTATCCGTCGCAGCAGCTGCGATGATTTGAGATAGGGTCATACGACTCGTATCACTCCCCGCCTCCATGAGCGACCCGAGCGCGAACAGCATCTGCGCATGCCCCAACTTCTCTGTCTCGGGATTGTCAAGGAATTTGGTCGCAAAACACGGCGGACACTTCCCCTCGCTCATCCTCCTCTTCAAATCTTCAACCTCTGTACTATACACCTTCAACAACCTCTTAAACGCCCTCTCGCCTCTTCCCCGCCACCATTTCAGCGGCTTGGGGATCTTATCCAGCACATAAAACGTATCCACCAGATTCGCCCCCGGCTGCAGCGCCATGATGAATTCCTGGGACGTGTTGAACAGCTCCCTGATGTTCCCCTCCTCTTTATCTGGAATCCTCTTTCCAAACACAACACTCATAATCACGCTGTTCGCAAACCGCTGGTTCGCTTTCCACCACATGTCCGGCTTCTGAAGCACCTCGTATACTAACTGCTTGCTCTCCAGATCTTGAAAGGGAGCGAAGGTAGGCGCGTTCTTGATGTTGAGTATTGAGTGCATGATCTTCCTCAGCGCGCGCCACTGTGGGCCATACGGTTGAACCACGACACGACAATTCCCGCTCATCAGAGAGCTCGCGTATGGCATAGGCGGTCGGGAGGAGTAGATAGCGGACCGCTTTTCGAGCAGGTCGTTGACGACGCGGGAGCTGTTGAGGAAGACCCAGTTGTTGTCGGCGACCTTGATGGTGAACATTTCGCCATACTTCTCCGCCATCTTTTTCGCCCAAGGTCCCTGATGGTACGGTGGCATCTGGAACATGTTGCCGAAGAAAGGCACGCCCTTTGGTCCGGGAGGGAACTTGTATTTGCGGTGCCATTGGTAGTTGCTCCATAGCTTAGTTACAACAAGAATAGCAACCGCGAGGAGGATCGTTGGCAGGAAGGGGACGGTAGACGACGCCATGTTGTTGGGCGCATCTACATGAGCGTTCTAGAGGGAAAGGTCATGCTGAGTACCAGGTGAAGGAATGGAGGAGTATTTATCGAGACGCTGGAGCAGTATCATGTACCAAAACAAGCTCGTGTCGCGCGTGGAGTAGTTAGAGAAACCGATGGTAAGGCTGGCGCACTCTTGCGGTTGGTGTTGGAAGTTACTCCAAGTGGGGTAAGGCGCCACGCGTGAAACAATAGGTGGGGCACGAGCGAGCTTGGGGCATGAATTTCGTGGGTACACGCATTGCCCTCGTTCGCAACAAGATGAGTGTTCACATTGAGCAAACCTGACGATTTGGAATGCGTTTGATGCGACCGGTCGAGCGAAGATTAGACTTGTCAAAGAAACCAGATGATGGCAGGGCGTAAACGCCACGGTGGGGCAGGAGAACTTTCCACGTCCACAATGTACAATTGGTATCGACTACGGCATCAAGGAAAGAGGGAACCATAAACTACGAGTGGCCGTTCACACCAATCGCCCCGTTCGTAGCGCCCTGCTTACTCTTGAAGTACTGCGTAAAGTCGTGCCTCACAGCATGAACGGCCTCGGCGAGAGACTTGCCAAAAACAGGATCATTCGTTGCCTGCTCGCACATCTTGAAGAACTCGTCTCGCTCCTTTAGGCAGTTGGGATCCCAAAGGCGGTGGAAGTTGGCGCGCGACATGGGGTCGATCATCTCCTGCCACACCTTGATGCGGATCTCGCTGTACTTGTCGAGGATGTCTTCGTCGAGCTCGTCTTGGTGGATGCCCATGAAGCAGTCGTAGAGGGAGCCGACATCGGCGAAGCCACCAGTAAGACCAAGACCACCACTGCTATTGCTTAGTATGTATGATGATGATGGGTGTTTAGGAGAGGCCTACAATGGATTGCATAGATGTGCGGCATCTGCTACCAGCAATACCTTGCCTACGCGGAAGCTGGGCGCACATCTTTGCTGCAGTTTGTACGGGCTCATACTGACGAGCTTGTAATCGCCAGGCTTGGGATTGCCGGGAAGAATCTTCTCATAGCGCATGGGTTGGCGCTTCACGATTTCCTCTCGCCCCAGCTCCGCATCGTCGCCATATGTGACCCGCCACAAGCCATCGGTGGTAATTTTAGCGGCCATGTACCAGTCGGTGGGGTGGCAGATGAAGTTGGAGTCCCAGTAGCCGAAGCGCTCGTCGAAGGGAAGGTAGACCTAGATTATCAGCACCGGCGGGCGGAGGGGGCAGGTCGTCGACATACATTGGTGGCAACAATCTGCTGCTTCAGCGTCTCCCCCGGGTATTCCTTGCCGAAGAGCGCGGTCCGCACTCCGCTTGACGCGCCGTCCGCGCCGACAATGTAGTCTGCAGTGAATTCCTTCTTTTGCCCATCCTGCGTCTCCACAATGGCCGTGGCGCCCTTCTCGTCCTGCTTCAGGTCGACCAACTTGTGGCCCCAGTGCACCTCGGTGTTCGGCAGGCTGTTGAAGTGGCGGAGGATGAGGGGGCCCAGGCGGTCAAGCGGCAGCACGGCCATGGCGTACTCGGACTGCTCGGGCTCGCGGCCCATGCCGGCCAGGAAGGTGGTGTCCTGCAAGCGCCAGCACACGCCCTTGGGCGAGAAGCCGTGCTTGCGCACATCGTCCAATATGCCGGCGCGCTTGAAGTCGTAGCAGGCCGAGGGCGCGTAGTGGGCGGCGCGCGGGTTGTCGTTGATCTTGGTGTCGGCGTCGAGGATGGTGACTTTGATGGCCAGGTTGCGCGCGAGCATCACTCCGAGGAGGAGGCCGGACGGGCCAGCGCCGGCAATGACGACCTGCTCATATCAGTGGCAGACTCGTGCCGAGGCTGTGGAGCGCGTACGTGGTTGATCTTGGGCATGGCTGAGGCGACGAGGGGAGACTGTGCTGGGTTGCTGGGTGAGCGCTGCAGTCAATCGATCAATTCACCCATCCTTTAAGACGGGAGCGCGTCCACGACGAGGTGGGGCAGGATTCGGCCGTCTCCATGCTGCAGACGAGTTCCGCTCCAGAGTGCGGGGAGACGACGGCGAAGGGATGGGGGACGGGCTCTGCTGGCCCCACATCCATGTCAGCCGTCATACGATGCCGCCAAGGAAGAGCACGTGACTGCCTTAGTCAGCGGCGTGCCCCAACCTTGGAACCTTTTGGGGGAACAGGGGGGTTGGGGAAGAACAGTCACCTGGTTTAGTCGCCCGCATCCCGAGGTCGCGTCCCAAACATGCGCCAGAAGGGCCTGGCGGGTGTTGTACTACAGTAACTGTTGAGGTCAAGCCGATGCTGAGCGCGGCCCAAAGCGGACTAGCGCAGAGCAAGCTTTGCAGCCTTTCCAGCCTCTCGCCTCCACCACATGCCACTGCCACTGCCACTCCTCTGCCACTCCTCTGCCTGCATTTCATATGCAAATAATCTGCGCCATCCTCCGGCCGGCGGTCACTGCAGTTCCCAGGCAGCCAGGACCGTCTTCGCATCAATTGGCGTACCTGACAGCGCCGCAACGAGCCCGGACAGCCCAGCCTGGGTGGCCGCGCACATTGCCGCTTGGAGGCCCATATATACCCACTGCTCGTTATCTCGGATTGCCCGATCCATAGCTCGCCAAACTGCTGCGAGTAGAAACATGTCCACTTTTCTCATGCAACCGTCGTACCGGTTGCAGGCCAAGCACGCAAATCCTCCTAGCCCTGATGTCGTTCCGAGTCTTCCGTCCACAAGCAGCATCATGTCTTTCATTCGATGCTGCGTGCGAAGAGGGCCTGAACTCGGCGAAAGAAGGCCGTCCCGCTATCTCAGCGGTTCCGCATATCTCCAGCAGCATGCACAACCACGCTTCCTCGTGGCTTTCTAAAGATAATCCGCCGACGCCAACGACTACTGCAACCCACTACTGTGCTTCCCAGAACCAAGGGAGCGTGCTTCATTTGTTGGCGCTCGCCTGCCATTGTTTCGACTTTTCCACGTCGGCGCTCTTGTTCCTGGTCTCCACCCGCGCCCTTTGTTAAGCGGACGAACACCAGCATCGAACCTTCTGGCCAGCTTTGTGTATTTTTCCTGCAAGACAGTAAAGTGGGCCCTTGGCGCCACAAAGCATTACTCGCCGTTAGAGGCGTGTTTTGATCGTCATTTCCGCAGCGGCCTTGCGCGCCTCAGCTTTTCTCCTATCACCGCTAGCTATCGTCACCAGCGTCTGCGAACGTCGCCCACACTCCCACGGCACTCGCGCAACATCTGCCCCATATTTCCACACTCCCAGATTCGCGGCCTGCAATTGTTTGGGACCCATTCCCAAACTCCCTCTCTGCCACTCAACGCTTCCGGCTCCTGTTACAGCAATTGGACTTCCGGGACACCTCCGAGCCCTTATCAGACGGGACTACCACTTCCAAGGTCACTATTCCAAGCGGGGCCCCTCTAGATCCGGCACCTAGATTCTGTGTCCGCGGGCATACTTCGTGCCCCACGAATTTCCGGCTAGGCGCCGAGAGCTTTGGCCTGGCTCTGTTAAGCCCGCCTGCTTAGCTATAACAATATGGATCCCCACGACCACAGCCCGCCAGACGAATCTTCGTCCTCACGCCAACCCGAGGACTCGATGGCCTCAGGACGAAAGCGCGTCGGATTCACGCCTGAAGCAGTCACCCAGTCTCCTGAAGGCGAAACCTCCTCTGGAGGCCACAATACTCCCCTACAGCGATCAGATGTGTCGCATGAGGAGCTGGCAAAGTCGGTTCATAAGGCTCTCGGTTCGTTATACCCCGCTGGAGACCTTCCGGAGCCCGCATACAACGTCCAGAAGCCACGGCCGGCGATTCGGAAACCGTCCCGGACGCCACCCCAAATCCTCGTGGAAGAAGAGCTCGAAGAGTTCGACGACGAGAAGAAGAGGTCAGGGCTCGAGGCGCAAAAACGAGCTGCCAAGCTGTCGAAAAGCGTCGGGACTTACTCAGCACCCGGTTCACGACGCAACTCCCAAGAGCGCTTGATTTCTCCGCAGATTGAGAGAGATCTCCGCCATCAATATGACTCCTCCGGTGGTGAGACGACTGACGACGACGACGAGCCCGAGCACATGAGGCAAGCGAGGCAGCTCTACCGCCACCATACGATGCGAGCCGCGCCCGCCATCCGGCCGGAGGACCTGTACCACTCTGATATCCTGGCTTCCGGGCAGGTAACACCTATGCGAGGCGACGTGGAAGTCGAAGAGGAGCACGTTCCTCGCCCCGCCAAGTTCCGTACAGGCGTGCTTGGTACACTGCTCAAGGCTTCAGCCCCAGTGCCTGCGCCTTCTGCCAGGAACACCAAGGTGACTGGCCACGGCCGCAACCCCTCTCACGGTACTCTGAATACCTTCAGCGACGCTTCCACAGCCGCCAACTCCCCAAGATCGTCGCCGCCCACATCAGGGACCTCAACACCTCGCCATGGAAGACCCTGGTTCGGCAGAAGTGAGGACCGAAACTCCGTGTCATCAATCTCCCGCCTAATAGAAACCTCCTCCATGCTCGCCACTCCAGCACAGAAGGATGTGAGCCACGAGATGGAAGAGCAATATAAGAAAGTCCGCCCTGGCATGGGAAAGCGAACAAAATCCGACACTTCGATTGGATCCGCTTTCAGCAAGCTTACCAAGTCTCGCCGAGATGACGAGCTCAAAATCAAGATACACCTTGCCGGGACACTGGCCCGACAAAACTATCTTCGAAAATTGTGCAAAGCGCTCATGATGTACGGAGCGCCCACGCATCGACTGGAAGAGTACATGAACATGTCCGCACGTGTCTTGGAGATCGAGGCCCAGTTCTTGTACATGCCTGGCTGCATGATAATTGCCTTCGACGACTCTTCGGTGCACACGAGCGAGGTGAAGCTAGTTCGAACTGCTCAAGGCGTCGACCTAGGTAGGCTACGCGACGTTCACGAGATCTACAAAGATGTAGTGCACGATCGAATCGGAGTAGAAGAAGCCACAACACGCCTTGAGGCTATCCTATCGAGGAAACCAAAGTTCGGCGCCTGGCTTAGGGTGCCAATGTACGGACTCGCCTCAGCTACCGTAGGCCCGTTTGCGTTCCAAGCTAGGCCAATCGATCTACCTTTCTGCTTCGTCTTAGGTTGCTTCCTCGGCTGGCTCCAACTTATCGTTGCTCCGGGAAACGAAATGATCAGCAATGTGTTCGAAATCGGAGCGGCAGTAATTACCAGTTTCATCGCACGGGGCCTTGGGTCGATACCCGGTAGCGACGGAGAGCCGCTTTTCTGCTTTAGCGCGATGGCGCAGTCTTCGATCGCCTTGATCCTGCCGGGGTTTACAGTGCTTTCGGCGTCGCTGGAGCTCCAGAGCAAACATATCGTCGCTGGTTCGGTCCGCATGGTCTACGCTATTATCTACTCGTTGTTCCTGGGCTTCGGGATTACGATTGGAACTGTACTATTTGGCATGATGTACAAGGACGCGACTTCGCAGACGCAGTGCAAGGAGCCCATGTCGAGCCACTGGTACTATCTCTTCGTCTTGGGCTTCTCGCTCTGCCTCATGGTCATCAACCAAGCCAAGTGGAAGCAGATGCCGGCGATGCTAGTGATCGCGTTGATAGGTTACGTTGTCAACTATCACTCATCGCAGTTCTTCACCGGCAATGCACAAGTCAGCAACACGCTTGGCGCGCTAGCAATTGGTATCGCAGCCAACTTACATGCCCGGTTCGGCCGCCACGTCGAAAATTGGAGTCTTGACACCTGGGAGACACATCTACGTCCTCGATATGTACGGCTCAGAAAACAGTGGCTTCGTCGCCGCCATGGCCCTCGCAAGAAGGCACTCTACCAGGCGGAAGAGTATTCTCACTCCTGCGCCAGCTCTGTGGCCAGCGATCCATATATCCCCTATACCCGGAAAATCGGCTACGGGCTCGCAGCGGCGGCCATGCTCCCGGCAATTTTCGTACAGGTCCCTTCTGGCCTGTCAGTACAAGGCTCGTTAGTTTCTGGAATTACATCGGCGGATCAAATCGTCCACAACACCACCACCGGTGGGGCTACCACAGTCACTGCTACTAGCGCCTCTAGCATCAATAGCGTTGCTCTCAACGTGGGTTTCTCGGTGATTCAGATCGCTATTGGCATCACCGTGGGGCTCTTTCTGGCGGCTCTGTTAGTATATCCTCTGGGAAAGAGGAGAAGTGGGCTGTTCAGCTTTTAAGCATATACCATCCACGGTCGGAGCTCGAGAAGGGGGGAAGCGGCCTATCAGTCTCCCAGGGTGGAGGAAGAAACGGGGGTGCCAGCAGAAGGGTCGCACAGTAGCCTGAAGGCCTTCGGGCCGCCCTATCCACGAAAAGTATGCATGTCACGGGCGTTCGGATTGGCGCATTTGCAGGAGTTCTTGGGTTCATTTTATCGCATCTTGTGCATAGCGTAGTCGTAGCATTTCGAGTTAGATAATCCTAATCCGCGTTTCTCAGCAAGGCCCGAAGGCCCTGAGGCTCCTCCATCAACTACCCTTCTTTCCTTCCGCTCTCGATGTGCGGTGGACTATACAAAGCACAAATCACATTTCCTAGACGCTCCTGCCCTCCCTTCCGGCATTGTTGCAATCTGTTGGTAGGAGGATGCTCTTTACGCTCTTCCACACCGCCTTCTGCATTGTTAGTTGATATGTCCACAGCGCTAACGACTTCGGGATGAAAGAAAGGTCGAAATACCGCTAATACCAATACGGCTAGCGTCTTTCTCAAATTTTGGAAGTTCCTACGTCGATTTTTGCTCCCCTCCTCACTGAACCGCTATCCCATCCCATTTACGGACTCTGAGCTACTTCGTATACCAAGCGCACCAAAATGCCAACGCCGCTCGCCCCATTCCAGCGAGGTCGGCCAGCCTTGGCAGGGCGTTTTCTTACACGAGTTCAGCCCCAAGCGCAACCATTTTCTCGCACGAGAACGAGTTAGGGCGAACGAAATAAGCCCCAATTGGGCGCTTAAACTGAATCTTTGATGCTTAGTTACCCCGGCCAGAAGGATGTGATTGGAGGATGCGGGGAATGCCTTGGGGGCTGTTTCAGAATGGGGATGGCGAGGCTGTGCCGCACTCGAAATTGTCCGGTTGCTAGGTTTGAGGAGGGGTTTAAAGCGTTGCCATCCTTCGCAAAGGATCTTGGATTTGCTACGTTTAGCTTTTAACGGCTGTTAGGGAGACCCTTTTGGCGGGCTGGTCGATTGGTGAGCTGGAGTAGCATCATGGAATTAAATTACCCTAACCACCTGTGCAGTCTCACCGACCCACAACTGCGACAATGAATAACGTGGGCGTCCCAGCAGCGGACAACGTCTACACCGGGCCCTGGGTCAACTGGTCGCGAGGACGAGTATTTGGCGCAACAATTACACTCGGCGAACGCGATGGCAACTTTCTCATCGCCTTCATCGCTCTCTTCGTAGCGTTCGCTGGCACCAGTCTCTTTCGGATCCTCTGTTTCTTTGCACACCTACGTTTATCGTCAGAAGCACAACGCGATGCTATACACCACCAGCGCCAGGCTGTTCTACGTAATTCCGAGAGTGGGTTGACCGCGCTATGGGCCTTCACGAAGATGCTCTGGTCATGGAAACGGAAAGGGAAGGGTGACAGGCCGTTGAGGAGGGTGCTTCCGTTGGTGATTGTGATTACGGCTATCACATTGGCCCTCATGGCAGCCGGCGTATCTTCCTCAGAAATCAGCGCCTTTGCTGGAGATGAAGTCTTAATCTCCAGTCCGAATTGCGGTACCTTGTCGGTCAAAGAAGGCACGACGATTCAGGAGCTACTGGGAACTTATGCGTCGTACGATAAGCTGAGAGCGCAAGCATTCCGCAGCTACGCTCAGGACTGCTACTCTGGCTCCGATACCCGCAATTGCAACAGGCTGGTGCGTACCCGGTTATCGCGGACAGTCGACACAGACGCGCCATGTCCCTTTGACGCGAAGATCTGCAGAACCGAGAAGAACATCCGCATCGATTCCGGCTTACTTGACACTCATACTGATCTCGGTATCAACGCTCCCGGCAACAAGCGCATCCAGTTTCGGCATGTCATGCATTGCGCTCCGCTGAACAATACGGGATATTCGGAGAGATTCCAATTTCCGACGCCGAACAATTCATCTATGCCTTATGTGCGGCATTTCTATGGGCCTTCGGACAACAAGAATTGGACCTATCTATTCCCGAACAACGCCTTACCGCGTATGTACGCCGAAGGGTTGGCTAATGAAGCGGTATATACGCTTGTGTAGGTGCTACCACTGAAGCTGAAAGCTTGCGCTGAACCACAATAGGACCAAGCTGTGGAGTCCTTCCAAGGGGAACCAAACGGGCAACAACAAAGATTTTGAACCGATTCAAGAGCTTCGGCGTAACGACTCCGATGTCATGGTAGCCTTCCTCTCGCCGAACACCATTGTCTATGTGAACGAGGTCAATGACCCTTGGTATTCGGCCCATAATTTGATCGGAAACATGTGGGACACCACGCTGAACAGCACCATGAAGTATTACGGCCCGGATGATCCGGTTTCTGCTCTTGGCTGCACTATGAAGTACCAAACATGCTTGCCGAGCGTAAACGGAGAGAATCGCTGCTCGAAGCTCGACAGCCTCTACAGTCCCAAGGCTGAGATTCCCGGCATGAGTGAAGATGAGTCCGAGTTGCTAGATGCTGTCACTGGATTCCTGCAGAAGTACCCTCTGTCGGAGTTCATGATCAACCTGGGCCAGGAGAGTCTCACGTCTCGATACACCCTCGGGAGAGGCATTCAGGGCCCAATCAACGACACACAGTGGCAATTGGACATGCAACGCTGGTTCGATATGTCGCTCGCAGCCATTCAAATGACCGCCGTGGATACCGCAACTGGACCGAGCGACCCGGCCCTTGGTAAATTTCTGAATCCGCCTAGCACGACTGCCGAAGACTACTTCTGCAAGAACCAAGTTCGTAAATGCCTTCTGCCTCTTTCACAGATAGCAAACTAGCTAACTCTCATGAACAGAAAATCCGCTCCACCGCACACTCCAACTTTTCTGTTTTTGGGATCGCCCTGACTTTCTCTTTGGGGGGCGTCATCGTGCTCATCCACTGGTCCCTCGAATCCCTCTACAAGAAATGGCTCTGGCGCTTCTGTCACTCCAGGTCCTACGCCACCATCGAGTGGAACACGAACGGCATTCTCCAGCTGCAACGCCTCGCGCACGAAGGCGCCGGTTCAGGAGTGTGGAAATGCTGCGATGACGGGACGCCATTGGCGGATGGCGGGAGCCTCGCGTCCTTGGATATCAGGGACCGCAGCCATCCGGTGCTGGATAATAAGGTCGGGGTGAGCCCGTGGTTTGCGCGCAATAGGAATTCGGCAGCGAGTGGAGTCTCGATCCGACAGGCGAGGAATTCGGGATCCAGACCGATATCGGGGGTGTCAGCCATTTCTGAAATTTCGACGTTGCAGGGCCAGCAAGGGATGACACCTGTTAGACATGGCTCGTCGGCTGCGAGGTCGACAGATGGTCGGGATCCTGCCGCAGAGGCTCAGCAGAGAGACGGGCAGTTCCTGGCTGCGCCAGCGGGGTGTACCTAGGTACAGTACCTAGCTCGTGATGAATGCACTCGCCAGGCTGAATCACCTCTTCCCTCCTCCTGTCCATCATCATCAAGCTCAAGATTGGTGTTGATGCGTGCCCGATGGAGGATGCGCTAAACCGAATCAGCTAGCGCGGTTCGCACTTCTCATGTAACCGCGCTCCTCTTCCCCCACGGCACTTCCTCATCACATCTCCGTCCGCCATCATGTCTACCTTCTCGTATCCGCAAGTCCATGACGTCCGTCAAGCTTCCCAACGTAGGGAAGTAAGCATGCCAATAAGCGGCACCCTCTTGGCAAGCCGGCTTTTATCGCACCGACCCGCATCACCTGCCTCTTCCGGCATCGAGCTCAAGCTTGTCGTCATCCCTGCCACAGCGCCTTAGGGCCATCAGCAACCAAGAGAATCCCTCGAACATCTCTTACGCCCTTTGCGGCCGCTACCCCCCAGCCCGAAGCCGCAACATTGGCATGTTTTGAAGGAATTGCACGTCGCTCAAACCAAAGCACACCATCTGCGCGAAACGCCGCCACGAAAACGGCGCCGTTTCACAACCTCGCACCCGGCACCTCTCCCGGCACCTCTCCCGGCTTAGCAGCTAAGCGGCCCAATATCACATCTCATGCACCGCCATGCGATCACCCAACCCCATGGATCTACTGATAACCGTCCTCCTCCAATAGCGGCCGCCGGCCCTGGCTCAGGAACACCAGGCAGTTGCCTATTCGAGGCTTAACGAGCATCCCACAGCCCGGTAAACAGCGCAGAGTAACTGCCTGTTGACGGCATGTTTTCTCTCGAGCGGGGAACATGGGTGAGCTATGAGAAATGCTGTGCGCGGCTGTGCCGCGGGAAGAACAGGTATAAAAGCCTGCCGGTTCTGCTGCTGCTACTGCTGCCCAGAGGTAGCTGTCGCTTGTCGCTGCTTGTTCTACGATTAAGCTTTCATCATGGCGCCAATTACGAGGCTTTTGGCGGCTTTAGGTGCGGTTGCGACAGCGGTGGCGCGAAAGCTGACGCTTGAGGAGAGAGGCATTCCGAAGGATCCCACGGGCGTCATGACGATTACATCACCGCAGGGCGCGAGCATTCGGTTCAAGCAGCCTGGGAAAGTAGGCATCTGCGAGACGAAAGAGGGCGTGGATGATTATGCGGGGTATATCAGCTTGGACGAGACAACGAATATGTTCTTCTGGTTCTTTGAGGCGCGGGAGAACCCCAGCGACAAGCCTGTAAGCGGTCTCGGTCTTGAGTTCAAGTGTTTTCTAATGGGCATGCAGTTGACCCTTTGGTTGAATGGCGGTCCGGGCTCTGACTCTTTGATCGGCCTTTTTCAAGGTGCTCCCATTGGCTTTCGAACGTCACACGATGCATACTAACAATACTTAGAACATGGACCTTGCAATGTCACCGAGAACCTCACGACGCAGTGGAACCCGTACTCGTGGAACGAAGCCTCCAACATGCTCTACCTCTCACAACCGGTCGGCGTAGGCTTCTCCTACGAAACCACGGAAACCGATGCGGAGGGTCGCTACTCACTTGTTGATCCTGATCGCGCAAACACGACCGATGCTGCAGCTGTTGGTGCGTGGCATATCCTCCAGGCGTTCTTAGATCTATCGCCGCAGTTAGATCCAGACATCACGAATTTTACCTTCAATCTCTGGACGGAGAGGTAAGAGGTGATACTGTACTAGGCTTTGAACCCGAGCTGACTGTATGTGCAGTTATGGAGGTCATTACGGTCCAGGATTCTACAACTACTTCTACCAGCAAAACGAGGCGATCCGCAACGGCTCCGTTCCCGGTGTTGAGCTCCAAATGGACACGCTCGGTATAATTAACGGCATCATTGACGAGGGTTAGTCCCACATTCCCCCTTTCCCCTTACACCCACTAACCCGCTCTAGAAATACAAGCACCGTACTACCCCGAGTTTGCCGTAAACAACACTTACGGTATCAAATCCATCAACGACACCGTCTATACGTTCATGAAGATGGCCTACTACGTCCCTGACGGCTGCTACGACCAAATCCAGTACTGCAAGCAATCCGATCGCTCAACGCCGGAAGGCCAGCTCACCTGTTCACAAGCCACCAACCTTTGCCGCTCCATGGTCGAAGAGCCGTACTATGCCTACGGCGGCCGTGGTGTTTACGATATCCGCCATCCGTATGACGATCCCACACCGCCGGACTACTTCGAGTATTTTTTGAATCTGGCTAGCACGCAGGAGGCTCTCGGCGTGAATATCAACTATACGACTACGAACGCACGGAATGTTTCTGCTGGGTTCGCGAGCACGGGTGACTTCGTGTGGCCAAACTTTATCGAGGATCTTGAAGAGATCCTTGGCTATGGTGTCCGCGTCTCGCTCATCTACGGTGATGCGGACTACATCTGCAACTGGTTTGGCGGCGAAGCCGTCTCACTCGCCGTCAATTACACCAACGCTGAGAGCTTCCGCGCCGCGGGCTACGTACCCTTCGTCGTGGACGGCGTTGAGTACGGCGAGGTCCGTGAGTATGGAAACTTTTCATTCACGAGGATCTATGAGGCTGGGCATGAGATCCCGTACTATCAGCCAGAGGCCAGTCTGGAGATTTTCAGGAGAACCCTGGATCATGTTATCTTGAGTGACGGGAGTATGGTGGTGACGGATGATTATGGGACGAATGGGACGGCGGAGGCGACGCATACAGAGCCTTTTGTGCCGCTGCCGCCGACAAGTACACCGAGTGTTACGTCGGGCTGATGAGTGAGGAGTATTTGGTGTTCTTGGATGATGTACGGAAATGGTAAAGTGCAATGACTTCATGGTTCCTTTCAAACACTAATAAAAGCTATACTGGCATGAGACCGCGAAGGCAGTCATCGGGACTAACGCTTTTATCAGAATGCTTAGCTTCCTCGTCCATACTTACCCCACGTTCCTCAACAGTCACACATAATCCGGCGGAAATTTCACACACGTATGACTCGGCCCAAACGAACCCATCGAGTCCTGCGGCACCTCCCTCTGCTCATTCAGTCCATGATCACACAAATACACTCTATTGCAATTAACACTACACCTCTGCTATCCCTCCTTTTCCCCGATACGACCCACGTGGCTCCCCGAGCTTCCACCTCAGCACATGCATCGCCTTCCCATCCCCGCCAACTTCCGCTCTCCCTGCAGCCCCATCAGCGTCATTGGCTCAGGAGTATCCGAATCGTAATTCTGGGCACAGGAGGACTGGTGGTTTTGCGGCGTGTCGGTGAAGGTCTAGGTGAAGTCGCCACCAGTTGAATACTGGATGCATTGGGTTAGTGCATTTAGAGAGTATCGGCTGATTGAACAAGCCCGCCGTACGTCGACATGAGGTAGTGATATAGTCCCCGTAGAAAGTGGTCTGACACCGGGGCCCTCAGTCTAAAAAGAATGCTCCAAGAATTCCCGATCTAGAGCTCCAATACTTTGATCTCCACAGCTTCTTCAGGAGGCTTTTGCACTGGATGTTTAATACTTCGACCCATCAGTTTGGGCAGGACGCGAGAACGAGCTGGCCAACTAGGATGGCGATGGAGGCTGGTTCAAGGTTGGGGAGCATGGGCGAAATACGTCGACGAAGACCTGATTGGTTCCTAGTGAGGCGACGAACAGGGGGATAGCATCTGCCACACCAGTCTAAGGGGACTAAGAGAACTAACGGCGTATACAGTTGGCCGTCACGTTCCCGATGACTGCACCGCCGGGCGAGTATCTGGTGCGCGTCGAGTACCTTTTTCTGCGCGAGTCCATCAAGAGGACGACTGATTTATTCGTTAACTGCGCGCACCTCGGCATCAAGGATGTTGGTTGCGGTATGTCATTGCATAGGCTGCCCTCTCCATAACCTCTCTCAAACCTAACGTAGTGAAGGACCTCGGGAGGCTAAGGGTACACTAGGCACGCCCGACCCGCCCCGTGAAATTTCCGGATGCGTATGATGACTTTAATCGATCCATCTGGGAGCCGCAGCGCTACGCTCAACTGTATAGTCTGGAGTGCGTATGTGCCTCCAGGCCCGAAGGTGTGCCAGGGTTGAACAATGGCCGAGCTTCGTTTAAGACGAATCTTCGGGATTTACGTCGCGAAAGGAGCTGTGAGCGAGTAGTTAGTGTTGGGTGAAAATCCAAAAATACATCTCTTCCTTACATCCCCTCATGCCGGAGGGTTCTAGAGTGAAAAGAGCTTTCGAATTGCGCGGGTTTTGTTCCTCGAACGAATGGTGACGCCACACAGCGAGTACCGCCCTATAAAGCCTCTCACACCACACGCCCACTAATTCTTATACGCCACCACCCGTCCATATGAGAACACAACCAACTCTAGAGCAAAGCCAAATCCACACACGACCACGACGAAGAGCACTCTGCACTTTCCGTCGCTCCGCTACCAAACAATTTGTTTCAGAGCACCGAAAGCGACATCACTAAAAGCAACATTACCATGGACTCCATAGCCCCCTTCGTCGGCACCGACCCGCTCAAAGCTGAGCTGCACGCCTTCCTCTCGACGCACACAGACACCAATGTCCTCCGCCACTTCCTTGGCACATCTTTCCCCTTCGCACCCCTACACCTCAACGATTGTGCCATCGTCTGCTTGAACCTGGAGTGGTGGCAGAAGGAGCCGCATCCGACTACCGAGATTGGAATCGCTGAGCTGCACCCCACGGGCATCTTCCCCACCGTGCATGCAGAGAATATCCTAAGAGAAATTCGTGTCGCCCATGCGCGAGTCATGGAGAACGCGCACCTGCTGAACCACTTCCATGGTTCGGGAAATCCGGATGTGTTTCATTTCGGAACAACAAAGTTCGTGTGCATCGAAGAGGCGCGGGATGTGCTAGTGAATACTTTTGTTCGGCCAAGTGCGGATGGCACAATGTTACAGCCGATCATCTTCCTGGCGCACGATGCTGACAAGAAGTTCGAGCATGTCAAGGAAAAGTTTGGTCTAGATTTGTTAGCTCTGGGGACTATCGTCAAGGTCATCGATACTCAGACGCTGGCGCGCCAGGCGGGTATCCTTGGTCCGAAGGGTCCGAGCATTAGTCTCCCACATCTGGTGGAGCACTTCAATATTACGCCGCAGAATCTGCATACCGCGGGGAACGATGCCGGATACACGATGATCACTGCGATTCTGTCGTCGTTGAAGAATGATCTGTACGGCCATCGCCCTCTCGCTGAGGCATTCGGACGCCCACCAGCAGTTGTCGGAAGCCGTAACATTCAGTGTGTAGTCGAGGACCTTATGAAGACTAACAAGTCGCTTCCTCCGCCCCCGTGGGGTTACCGACTCTACTGTACGCGCTGTGACCGCATCAACCATGTTCGTTCACAGTGCTTCGCCAAAGTATGGTGCGAGATTTGCGCACATTCTGGGAACGCGAAGCTGGAGAAGGCGTGCCGCACGCATATGACAGAGAGGTGTGTGTACAACTATCAGCCACTTCCACGCGCCTCCCCAGAGCCGAAGAAGGAAGAGCTGAGGGACGAGGTGGAGCGGTCTGTCCCTGAGTCCGATTAAAAGTAGGGTCGGGAAGCAACTCTACGGTATTTATTGATCGGAGCGAGGTGCAACGATGATGGGCCTAGCTACTCAACGGATTTTCGAGACCTGATATGAGTGGCGTGGTGTATTTGCAAGATGGTATTGGTGCACATGTGCATCTGAGCCTGCTATAAGGGATCCTTGGAACGAATGGGCCTACTCGCTAATTGGTGTTATATCTAAAAAAATTTGTAATAAACTTGGAGGCCTGGGATGCGGCGACAATCATGTCCCGCAAACAGCTCTGACACTTCCCAATCTCACCTCCCACTCACAGATTTTCTGACCCCAATTCAAAATGTGCAATGACATATTTCCTTACCAATACACCATATTTGCCTGTGTAATGCAAGGTTCGAGTAGTCTGATGGGCCGTTAGTGGAGGAAGGCACCGGCTTGGGGGCGCGGGTGTGCCGTGAAGACCACCGGCCGCATGCTTGTGGATTGCAGATAGATGATCGCGATTGAGCCGAGACTGTGCCTAAGCGCCCGGGGAGAATGTCGAGGAGCGAATGGTTGTGCGTTGTGTGCCTACGCCGCATACGTACATCGAGACGCTCGGATAGTAATATACTTAGCCATGGCTGCGCCATGACACCCCAGGCCAGTAGCTGCGGCTGCGGACAAATACGAAGAGGCTGGTGCAGATTCAAATCCAGGGCACGCCCAGGCAATCCAGCTCCGTCCTCGCAAGCGTGTCCACCTACCCTCAGATTTTGCAAGGCCAGAATGCTCACCTTTACCTATCTTTCGCTGTTCGCAGCCGCGGTGAGTCTCGCGCAGGAGTCCACGTCACAGAGTGGAGACGGCTTTATTCTTCCGTCCATGGATGCGGCTGAGTTTACTCGTTCGACGAAAGGTACCAGCATCGTGCATTGGCCTGCTTCGTCGATCACTGACAGACTCAGCATCCACGAAATCAACTGCAGCTGCCAAAACGACTAGACGCGCTAGCACGACAAGACATTCAAGCACGTTCAAAACAGCAACGATCACAGGGTCTGACACGCAGTCAGCGAAATCGACACCCCCAGTGTCAGTGCTCGAAGTTGCTTCAAGTACTTTCAGTTTCTCGTCGACAGACATGCCTGCCTCTGAGCCCGTCCAATCCTCGAAAAGTCGTCGTCGCTTGTCCGCCGTTGCGATAGCAGGCATCTTTCTAGGGATCCTTATCGTCATCGGGATTGTTGGTGGGTTGGTTCTGTACCATCGATGGCTTATCAGGCAAGAGAACATGTATAAGGCAAAACAGCAGGATCCAGACTGCGATGAGCTTCAACAGGCGTCAGAGTACCGATATTCGTCAGTACCGGAATCGTCCTTACCAGAGTTTGTGTCTTCTGGATCGGGGAAAAGCAAGCAAGGTTGGGCCCAGAAATTGAGGGGGATCGGCATCCGCCGATAATAACTGAATGGTGTCCTCTGAAATAATGCTTCCGTACAAGCGGGCCAATTTTCAGGAATCGAGAGGTACCCGCCGCTGAATTGGGCGTTGGGCAAAGCGAATAGAAATTGACTGCGCCGCATTCTTGTGTGCAACGCTTGAGGAACAGACCTGCCTACTGCTGTACTTCCTTCAGCGGCGTTTCGCCTTGCATAGCGGATGGGCAAGGCCTCTTGGGTAGGTTCAAATGGAAGCCCTCCAAGAATAGTTGTGTGAGGGTTCAGTGTCAACAACACCCCAATCACAACACAGGAGAACCAACTCTTTTCGACATCCGGCCGCTGGCAACCTCGCATAAGAGCCCGAATTCGATAGGCATAACAACACGCTTGCTCGTAGGACTCCGGTTGTATTATTGAAGTACGTCCCATATCGCTGGAGTGTGCCGATCTGCTGACCACGGTATAAGCGCATCGACGACTGCCGCCTTCTCCAAGCCCGGAAGAGCAGTCCGAGAGACCTTCGCCATCACTGCGCATCCATAGTCCAACACCTACACTTATCTTGTATCCCCCGTTGCCGGAAGCAGGATCACAAAGGCGCTCTTATAGCATGTCCCTGCTCTCTCGAATTTTGATTGGCGGTGCTATCGGTCTCGTCATCTTCCTCATTATCGTGTGCTTGTACTTTGGAAAAGCTGATGAAGTAAAGCGATGTGGAATGGTGGCTTCTCTCGTTAGTTCTTGTCATGTTTCAGGTGCTGGCGGTGATGAAACACCAGACGCTTTACCTCTCTTGGCGTCGACGGTTGACCTTCAACCCTCAACCTTTCGAGCTTCAACATTTCCCCATCTTTCTCTTTCCCAGTGACAGTCGAATGATGATATCGCGTCGAGTGGCCGTCGTCGCTTCGTCCATATTGCTCATCTTCATAGTCGCCATCTCGCTTGCGGCATCGGTCGAAGTACGCGCGCCTCCGAAAAAGCTGGTGCAGATCTCCATAGCGCAAGCCGCGAAAGACGGACAATTCGAGAAACAGCGAGCAGGGAGCAGCATCAATGGCACGGCCTTCGATCGCGTCGATATTCTGAGTGGAACGGCAACCGTTGGCGCTGGAGGGGCTGCGACGTATTATCTGCCCCCTACGCCGAGTATGATGATGGAGGAAGGCATGATCGGACAAACACCAACCCCCCAGCCGACCCCGAGCGCCGTCGATGAGGGCTACATTGGCCCGGTGGAATCGCCGCAAACACCAGGCCCGACACCTAGACCTCCACCTAGTCCACAGTTCCCTATCCTCGCGCTCTCGTACGCCGGCGACGGCGGTCCAAAGCACTGTCGCGGCGAGCTCGTGCAAAAGCTCTCGTTGCCGCCTCCCGCCAGCAGTTGGAAGAGCGGGACATGCGTCGATTTGCCGGCTGACGCGCGGTGCGGCGTGTTCTTCGCCGGGAAAGACGATAATTGCGAGGCGCAGCTGTTCAACATGGCGGGCTGCTACAACACCACCGAGACATACGTCAACACGGTTGTGTTCATGCCGGAGGAGCGGGCGGTGGGCGCAATTTGGAGGAGCATGTATGTGCGCTGTGGAGTGGATGCACCGGCGCCCGCATTGATTGATCCGGCCGTTTTGGGAGGCCTGCTTAAGAAGCCTGGCGGAGGCTGAGTGCGTGACAAGAGCCGACACCGACACGGCGAACGGTCAGTCGAGGCCGTCGCTCCATGCGCACCAGCCCTCTAGAGTGGCAAGCCCAGGCCCAAGCTCAAGCCGCCGCATGCAGTCACCCGGGGGATGAGCTGCCCCCGTCGGCCGATGTGAGCCGGGAGGATGGCCAGGTGCTGGGAAGATGGCATGCCCTTGGCGAGGCCCGGGCGCGGTGAAGAAGATGGATCGAGACGTCAGTCGACTCACCGGAGATGGGATGGGATGGGATGGGACGGGATGCAAGTAGTAGAGGGACGAGAGCGGCGGTGATGAATGCGCTACTATGAGTTGGGCCTAGCGCCGACACCACATTTCACCCACCTGCAGTCCGGGCCTCGACATTCCTTCCATCCCTTCGAACCCCAGCAGGCCGTGTGCCCTAACCGCTTCCACCCGCTCACAACACGTACCTAAATAGCTTATTCTCCTTGTCCGTTAGGTCCATGAACTCAATATTCCCAGTTCCCCTCTCGTCTGCGTCCCGCCTCTCCCCTTGCGTCTCGTCTCTCTGCCCGTTCTCCCTCCTGTTCAGCATATAGAACGCGGCCAGCACCAGGATGGACACCGTCCAAAGCACGATGAGCGACGTCTTCGCATGCGCATAGTACGGCGCGTCTCTAAAAGTCTGCGGCCCCACGAAGTATGCGACGCCCAAGATCAGAAAGACAACCGAGTTGACCGTCGTCTTCTTCGTGGTGCCCAGAACATTACTCGACATCATGCTGATGACGACAAACCACGATGTCGAGCAGGAACCGCTCATGAAGAAGTACGCGACTAGCTGGCCATACTTCTTGTAAAACGGGCTGACGTTCCCCAGTCCCATATACAGCGCGGCCCAGAACAGCGAGAATACGCCCGCCGCAATAGCCGAGCCAGAACGCTGTTTCGTGATGTCTGCAAGAGAGCCGAAAGACAGGTTACACAGGATGGTGATGAAGCCTTGAGGGATGTTCAAGAGCAACGTCTCTTTGGTGGTGAATCCCAAGCTCTTGATCAGGATGGACTGAAGCAGGATAAGGCCGGCCGCTGGAATCTGAGAGGAGAGCACGAAGACGGTGTACATCCAGGTCTGCGAGGCGTCAATTTCGCCGCAGGCTCTTACGAACAAAACGACTTACCCTACAATCCAAGAGAGCCTCCTTTGCCTGGTAGCGCTTGTACTGCGTCGATCCAGCGCCTTGGTGGTTGTCGCGCAACCGTTCTACCGCCAGCGTCTTCTCATCTTCGGTGAAGAAGCGAGCCTCGACCGCCGAAGCCGCCATGAAGAGCCACATGCATGTTCCGAAGATGATAGAAACCAGACCAGTGATGAGCGACAAAATCTTCCAGCTAGAGAGCGCAGATGGATGCTTGGCCTGGCCGCTCACACAACCGAAAGCGATGAGGCCACCGATCATGTTCGCAAAACCGGTGCACGACGACCAGATGCCCGTCCGAGTGCCGTGCTCATACTTGCGGTACCAAGCCGCAGTGATGAGACTGAACCCGCAGTTGATGGAGGCTTCGAGCGCGCCGAGCAGAGTCCGTTGCACCATCAGGCCCGCGAAGTTCTCGCACGCCGCCATACAGGAGAGCACGATCCCCCAAGCGACTACGCAGCATGCGATCCATTTCGACGGTGGATATGCCTGGAACATGCGGTTATGAACGGGGGCGGCGACGATATATCCGGCGTAGTAAATTGAACCAAGCCAAGTGAACTGGGAAGAGCTGAGGCCAGTCTCGGTTTGAATGCCCATGACGCCAGCGTAGGAGATCCTGCGCAGCCCGTGAGTTTTCTGATGCGATACTGAAGAAGCATCAACTACTTACACGCCCTTATCCAGATACTGCAGGACATACAGCAGGCACAGCCATGGGAGGATATGCCAATCAATCTTCCGCACCAATCTCTTGTTCATCTCTTCGTCGATGGAAATCGGGCTTGCGCTTGCATATGCAAACATCTTGTCTGCTCCCTTCAACCCCGCTACGTGGCCAACTTCTATGCCAATCTCTTGCGCCGTTGCTTTCGCATCTCCGAGCTCCTTCTCGATGCTCGGCTTTGCCGCAAGAGCAGGTCCGGCTGCAGCCTTTGTTTCTTTGTCGGTCACCATGTCATTAGAGTCTGGCTCAAACAACAACCAAAGGCGAGGGAGTGCTAGAAGTCTCGAAGCTGCCCATGAAGCGCAGTATATCAGCGCTTCCATAATCGACCCATTACAGGAAGCTCATCGCGCTCGCCTAACTCCGCTGCAAGGTTCCTGATAAACGCCATTATCGACAGGCATCAACACCTACGGATACATACAGCCCGCGGGCTGGGATTCGAGGCGTCGGATGTTTGCCGTAGTGGACATGACGGCAAACTGATAAGAGTGCCGATCGCCGTGCGGGGCATGGAGATGAACGCTCTACGCATATCAATACGCGGCTCCGAATTTCTACACATCAATTCGCGACGAAACAAGACAAAGCCAGCAGGCTATCTCAGCATACCTTTAAACAAGGCGCTAGAGATGACGGTTCCGGAGCAAGAAGTACGATTGAAGCTAATCTGAAAACGATGCCGCTAACGCTCATAGTACGTTTACTACCATGCAGGTGGGAAACGAGGATCGCGCCCTGTCCTGCGCGGAACCACTGCGAAAGAAACATTTGAATCTATTCCCGTGGTTGACGTATCCGGACTCTTTTCCACAAAGCTTGCAGATCGTAAGCGGGTTGCGTTGGACATTGGCAAGGCATGTCGCGACGTAGGCTTCTTCTACGCAGAGAACCATGACATCCCAGACAACGTGATCGAGGAGACCTTCCAAGCGGTTAAGAAATTCTTTGCGATGCCGATTGAGGATAAGATGGAAGTCCATCTGCACAAGAGCGCCGCACTGAGGGGTTACGAGCCGCTCTTTGAGACGAAGATGGAGGGTACCGGACGCGGTGGCAAGTATCTCCAATTCTCCTTGAGGAAGGCATACTGACCCAGATGTGCAGATATGAAGGAGGCCTTCACAATTGGCGACGATCCATGCGACCCGGAACAAAACGCGCCTCGCCAGCCAGACCCATCCACACCGAAGCGCAACTCCTGGCCCTCCGCCTACCCCGAATTCCGACCTCAGATGTACGAATACTATACTCGCGTCCTAGCCTTCTCGCAGAAGCTCATGCAAGCTTTCGCCCTCGCCCTCGACCTGCCCGAGCACTACTTTGACGACGCGACAAGCTTCCCAATGGTCGGAGTCCGCATCCTACACTATCAGCCCCAGGAACGACAAGACGCGCGGGATATTGGCCTCGGTGCGCACACAGACTACTCGTTCTTCACACTCGTACAGCAGGAGAAAATCGCGGCGCTGCAAGTCCTGAACGCGAACGGGATATGGATCGACGCACCGCCTAAGCCGCGCACGTATGTCGTCAATGTCGGCGACTTCCTGTCGCGCATCACCAACGGGGCTCTCAAGTCTACCGTCCACAGGGTCCTAAACACAAGCGGCGCTGAACGCTATAGTATGCCCTTCTTCTTTAGCCCGAACAGGGAGGCCACTTTGGATATCGTGCCTACGTGTCGGGTGGAGGGCGATGAGGAGAAGGGCGTTAATGCGGGTGAGTACTTTATGGAGAGGTTGAGGGCCGCGAGATGGCAGCATCCGAGTAACAATGGAAAGCCGGCGCCGAAAGTGCAGAACGTGTCTACGGGCGAGGTCGCTGTGGGTGCTTGATCCGGGAAATAAAGCCTGGCTTAGCGGTCGTTTGGTGGAGATGTGCGATGATGCAGAAACACGTTGAGCTTGATAAGGCTTGGGTCAATCGCTGAAAGTCTGACAGCATGGCTCCCTAGATCCCAGGAAATTTGCCCTGCGCATATAAGCTCGCGTGCAATGAGTATCTGTTACATCTTCCTAGGGGCTTTGGATCTAGGGAATCTGACCGTGAATGTCTTCGCGTGTTTCCGCGTAACCGATGATTAGCAAGCACAATGACCTTCCAAGGTTTCGTTTCGACGCGCCATTCTGGTCTTTCCACTTCCACCACATCATCCAACTTTACAAGGCCCTGATAGCCCCGCGAAACGAACGCCGATCTTTCACTCACTAGATTTGGCCACTGGGGGTCACTCGCGCCCATTCAAGTAAAAGGTGTCATAGCGTTTTCACTGCAGGATTTTCTTTGCTACCATGGAATCTATACGTATCTTTTTCTTTCCCATTCTTCGCGTCTCCCGGCAACAACGCTCTCTCCTCTGCCCCATCCTCCACGCCTCTCCGCGCTCGCCGATCAAACGAAATGCTGCCCAAGCCTGCGACTAGCAAACGGAGTGCGCTCCCCGACACGCTTCTCAAGCGTTCGCAGACAATCGTATTACAGCATTTCCTTCAGACAAACGGGGTGCAGACGGACATCAATACATTGCTGCGGGACGCTGTTCTCGTTACCATCCATCGAAAATGGCTGGAGCATCCGCCGCACACCCCGACAGAGATTGGAATAGCCACGTTCGACAGGAAGCAGGTCAACGACGGTCAGCCCGTCTTTCCCGGGCCACACGCGGAAGACCTCCTCAAGCACGTCTGGTTCATGCACCTTCGCCTGCGACGGGGCGCTCACCTCCCAGCCGGCCCGGGTGACCCAGACGCGTTCCACTTCGGAACCTCTGTGTTTGTCAGCCATGAGGAAGCGCTTGACATGCTCCATGAGATTTGGCACCAGCCAATCGATGAGAAAAACCCTGGGCTTGGTTTTCGGCCGATCATCTGTCTTTCGTTTGGCGACAATCACAGCCTGAGCAAGACCCGCAAGGACTTTGATTTCGATCCGGCAAACATAAGCACCACCGCGGCAATGCTCGATGCGCAGGTCATCGCTACGCAAGCCAGAATCACCTCCTCTCAGTACCCGTCCATCGAATACCTTCTTCACCAATTCCGCATATTGCCACACGACCATGGCAACAGCGGAAACGCCGCTGCCTATATCACCATGGTCGCCTTTCTATCAGCGTTGAGGAAAGAGGTCTATGAGTCGCTGCAAAATCCGAGGGCGAAGCCGGGCCAGTCGGGGCCGTCGTCGTCGAAACCTGCCCAGCACGTGATCAACTGGCTTATGCAGCGTCCGACACCTGCACCTCCATTCGGAACCACGACGTACTGCTATCGGTGCAGTAACTGGGCGCATGTCTTTGTGCAGTGCCAGGAGAAGGACTTCGTTTGCAGCAAGTGCTTGCGATCGGATTCGACATGGCGACGCGCGAATGCTGCGACGCATAAGGAGGGCTTGTGCATTTTCCACTTCTAGGTTGGGTGTAACCGGGGCGCGGCGCGTGGTCGTAACTGGTGACGGGAAGTGATGGCGGGATTTCGAGGTCTTTAACTACGGATTTGGTTTGCACTTGCGCGGCGCTGGTTCGCATTCCTCTGCTGCCTAGTCCTGGCTCAGCCTCTACCAGGAATGAAGCTCTGCTTCAACCAATCGTAATAGCGTCGCTTTTAGCGAACAAATTTCCAGAAGAGGACATTTGTGTGAACCCATCCTAGATATCCATCTTTACTCGACCCCATTTCGACTCTGTGTTTCCTCCCCCAAGGCACTTCCACATGCTTTCTCCATGAACCGCAAATTTAAATGGCTCCAAAAGATAAAGCACACCCACGAAACTGCATGGGATCTTATTCTGGCGTTCACAATGATGGCCTCTCCCACCTCAACTGCTGCCTTTTGCTTTGTGGCCTGTACCCACAATGGCTATTGTGCACCTGGGCAGGCACACCTCCAAAAACTACAAACGTACTTCATCTAGACGGTCCGCCCGAATTCCCTCCCCCTACTGAACACGAAAGAATTTTGCGCCGGCCCTCAAACGCCGCAAACAATTCGCCGCCGGAAAGCAAACATGTCTCTTCTTCCCCTGCCCGTCTACCTCAAATACCGCTTTTCGGAGCAGGGATTCCGCCAGGTGGATGTCCTCGCTCATTTTCTCGGGGGAGCGCAACTCGAGAACGCCCCGCACACGCTTGACGATGCCGTTATCGTTGGCCTTGACACAGAGTGGTTCGAGCGCGGCTGCAAGGCGGTCACCGAGCTGGGTATCTCGATTATCGACACCCTCTCGCTTTCTCGAGTCGGAAGCCCCTGGACGGCGCTGGCAAGCATGCAAGTCCATCACGCGCGCATCATGAAGAATGCGCATATGGTCAACGGGAAGAAATGCGCGGGCCATCCCGACCGCTTCGAATTCGGGGCTACGAAATTTGTTACGATGGAAGAGGCGCGGCGGCTTCTGCTGGATTCCTTCTCGCACTCGAGAGGGGATGGGTCGTTGAGGCCTGTTATATTTATAGGACATGCGGTGGATAATGATGTTGACTCAATGAAGGAACATCTTGGTGTTGATCTGAATGAGCTTGGTGTTATCGCGACTGCGCTCGATACACAAGCTATGGCTACCGAGCTTGGCCTCGTTCCCGAAAGTCGTCTTCTCAGCTTGAAGGATCTCCTGGCCGAATTCGCCATCCAGGAAGAGTACCTCCATACCGCTGGCAACGACATCGCCCTCACCACGATCGCCGCTTTCCTCCTCACCGCCGACCACGTCGCAGGATCCGACTTCTGGAGGGTGGCCCACAACCGCTCCGAAGTCGCCAGCCTCAAATCCCTCCTCCAATCCCATCCCGCACCCACACAAGGCATCACCACCTTCTGCACCAAGTGCGATTCCACCTCGCACATGTTCGCGCAGTGCAGCGCGGCTGTCTCCTGCACAGAGTGCGCCGCGAACTCAGACCGGAGTCGCTTCGCGCACACGCACAAGACAGAGAAATGTGGCGCGATGCACAAGCGGACGCCGTCGGGGAGTTCGGTGGTTGTGGTGCCGTGCCAGGACTGCGTTGGTTCCCCCGACCCGAAGAAGTGGAAGAATGCGCATACGCATACTACGGAGGAGTGCTACTTTTCGAGTTCGCCTCACTCGTTAGTGGTGCCTTGTGAAGGGTGCGTCATGTCTCCCGATCCGCAGCGCTGGAGGAATGCTGGGACTCATGCTACCCGGGATTGCTACTTCTCTACGCCATCTCGGTCACAGAAAGAGCGTTAGGGCGAGGGGGGTAGAGAAGGAAAACGCATTGAGTATACAACTATAAAATGAGTTTTAGAACTGACAAGCCATCTTTCCAAGTCCTGCTCGCCGTAACTTAACATGAAGGTATAGACGCATTACGTACATCTTGCGCTCTTGCAGGGTAAACTTATCAACGCCGAGATCGAAGCAGGCGAAAGAATCATCTAAGCAGGAAGCACCTCTTGCAATCGCATGTGGACGGCTTATTAGTGGTGCAAGAAAGACGTCTAAATCCCTAAGCCATAGTTCGACCGCAGACTTCGAAGGATCTAGAGTCCCGAAGCCAAGGACCGATTTCCCGGCACTGAATACCCGGTTCGCTGCACGATTGTTTAGCAACTTTCCTTGTTCCTGCTACGGTTCTTCTGCTGGTGCTGATTCAGATAACACTGGTCGTGTTTGAGCGGCCGTTTTCCCGCTAGACATAGTGCGCCCGTATGGTTGACGATTCGGGGATGCCCTGTGCTGACACTGATTCAATAGACAGGACCAACATGTCTAGGGAATCTATGTTGCCAGTTGTACCCACCCGCCATGCTTCTTCTGAGTCAATAGAGACCTCCGCACGTGGCTTTGTCGCCGCTCTCCACCTTTGCCTCTCACCCGAAGGTTTCTTGGTATGTATTCTGGCAAATACGTGGGCGGTAACTGAGCATAGCTCCTCATTATATAATCTGGGCATTGATTTATATGTAAGGGCCACATAATGGATATGGACATCATGGCTTGTAGTGCTGCTAGTGATGGGGGGATGTGCAGGTGGCTCGAGGACTAGCCTGTTGCTGGATTTTGGACTTAAAAAGTGTTCCCTAATGCGCTGATTGTGCTAAGCTTCAACTCTTTGTCTATCATGCACTAAGCCTCTTCAGATCCGCCTGGTTGTATCTGCGCCGCGCACCCATAGCGACAAAAAGAGAGATTTGAACAATGGTGCATTGTGCTCCCCATGTGGGCCTTGCGATCTCCATGCTCGTCCTTGCTTTGACACCGGTTTCAAGGAATGCTCTCGATTGGACGAGGTGGGCCTCAAAGCTAGAGCGCCGGTTGCCTGGTTCTCATGTGCGACTCAAAGTGCGACCTGTTGCTTGCACTGAAGGCTAAAGGCCTCCTTCCCCACACCAACTACTTAATCCTCCGTTTGCGCATTACCGTCGAGCCTAGACTTCTATTGCGGGCATCACGTCAGCCATCTGCAAGCACCCTAGTCGGGGTTGATCATGTACCCAATGGTTCTACTACCTCATTAGCCACCAGCTCCAAACCCTTAGGCCCGACCTCCTGCGCAAACTTCCATTTCACCAGCAGTGGAACAAAATAAACAATCTTCGTGCCGATCGCAAGCGTGACGACGAGAGGAGCTACGGTAGCAGTCAAGACCGCGCCAAAGATGTCGAGCATATGCATTTTATGGTTGGAGAATATGTGAGCGTGGGACGGGTTTGGTATCGAGAGGAAATCGTGAGAACTCATCATGGTGCTGTGAGACTAGGCCGACCTACTTGTACTTTTCATGTCCCGGCTTGCTGACAGCTACGCCTCGTATTACTCAGACGCCACGGCTAGCGCGACTGCGCCCCATCCGAACAATTGGTCAGACTGTGATACTATTTTAGGTTAGCCATGCGAGCACCCATGCCCCTTCAATGCAGGCGGGACTGATGGTTTAAGCATTTTAGGGGCGAATTTCCAGTACGAAACCCAATGTAAACAGAGCCGCGTTCCTACGAATACTTGCCCAACGCGCCAAGGGGTTCCACCCCTTGGCCCTGGACAGCTCAACGCCAAAGACCAGCTTAACGCCAAATTTCATCCCCTCATCATATTTAACACGCGATTTTTCCACATAACGTGATGGCAGGTAGATATAGCGCGTACGACGACGTAGAGAAGCGTATTTAGAAGGCTTTAGAGCATACTAATGGCTAAATTAAGCCAAATTTAAGCAAGCTAGCGCGCGATTTTATTGTCCTATACAACCGCCTTCGACAACGCTTTAAGGGCTAATAGAGCAAAATAGACCGCCCTAGCACAAACTAAAGGCTTAACGCTAAGTAGAAGCTTGCGCTTAGATAGTATATTAAGCGCTATAATAATTTAGGCATGTCTATCTTATTTCTATAGCTATAATTAGCTATCTAACGCATTCTTAACTTTACTAATTTATCTAGTAGAGCTCTAAAACTTAGCGCGCACTTTATTACCTAGTAGCTTAAACGTAATCTAGATTATTACTACGTTAAGTAGAAATATTAGAAAATTAATTAAGTAGCTTAGAACTCTAAGCAAGTATATAGCGCCTATTTTCGCGCGCTATAAGAGGTTATAGTAGAGTTTAGAATTTAGAACTTAGATTACTATAATATAGATAAAACTAGCTTTTAAATTAGCTATAGAGGCTTATAGTAGATTATTATATTTAACTAGAAGTAGTAGTAAAGTAGCGTAAGTAATACTAACTATAATTATATAACCTTAATTAAAGTAATTAGTACTAACAGCGTCGCTCTACTATCTCTCTTAATTACCTAAGATAGTATTTACCTTAAAAAAGTAGTATACCTATAGCGCGCTTTCTAATAACTATAGCGTTAGATTATTCTTCTCTAGCTACGCTAATAATAAGCTCTTATAGAAGTAGCTTAAACACTTTAATCTCTAGTTAGGTAAGCGTTAAAAAGGTACCTAGAGGCTACTTATATTTAATAGATTTAGCTTCTATTCTACTAAGAAATTTCTTAATTACGTAGATAAGAAGAAAATTATCTACTTTATACTATCTCTCTATATCTCTTATAATCTCTAGCTACTTAATATAGTATACTTTTTACTATTTAAGTACTATTATAAAGTAGTAGTTAAGTAAGCTACGCGTACTAGTTATACTAATTTTAATAAACTTAAGTTTTTTAACGTAATCTAAAGTATACGTAAGGTAACTTTTAGACCTAGCATTATTCTCTTAGCGTAGAAGAAGGTAGGCATTTAGCTGTAGAATCTAGAAATTATACTTTAGAAGATACGCCTATAGCTACCGCGTACTTCTACGCTACTACTACTACTACTACTATCTATACCTAGATCTAGTAACTATATAAGCTATTACTACTATAAGCGCAAGCTTACTATAATTCGCAACTAGTTAAGGTAGAGAAAGCTTAATATCTACTAGGTTAAGCGCTTTCTAGTGTGCGCGTTAGTAATAGCTAACCTCTACTAAGTCTATACTAATAAGCTTTATAAAATTACTATAGTAGCATAGGCGCGTAAGTAGTACTAAAGTACCTCTTAGTAGCATATATAGAAGAGAGGCGTTCTAACTATAGTAAAAGCACGCGCTATAGTTAACGCTAGAGTTAAAGCTAATACGTAGAAGGTAGCTAGAAAGGTAGTAAAGCGCTACAAGTAGAACCTTTAGGGCACTGCTAATAACTACTAGAGCTCTAGAGGCGGCTAGTTAGCGCCTTAGAATATATTTAGAAATAAATCGCAGGCTAATTTTATGTAAAAATCGCGTTACTCTAGATAGTTTAGCTTTAATTTATAATTGTTAACCATCTCGTATACAAATTTAGCGTTGAGCTAGTCTTTGGCGTTGAGCTGTCCAGGGCTAAGGGGTAGAACCCCTTGGCGCGTTGGGCAAGTAGCCCTATTTTTATGTCCGGTTTAGTACTAGATGTTGATTTTCCGCCTTTCTAGTATTACCCGGGCACACGTGTGCGCTTCACGACCTCGGTATGTCAACTCACGTGACCCTATCTCCTAAGGCCTTGGGGGAGAAAAAAGGGATGCAATCGCCAACACCGGTATATTTCAGCCATACTGCCAGGAGCTTAGTTTCGAAGACAGTCTCAGCAGATTAGGGCCTTCTGCACACCGAGGTACGCAAGCCAAGTTAGGATGCTGCTACATGTGTCCCGAGATCTTTTCGTGCCAGCTCTAAGGTTCCTATCGGTCGTCTCTTCTGTAGAATTTCCAAGGTCTCCTTCATCCTCTTCCTTGCTCAGCTGCTGACGGTCCGTGAATACGACAGGCGGTCCGCGAATACGACTGACAGACCTGGTCGTCAATAGTAACAGCATCTGGTTGGGGCAGCAGAGATTGTGCACACCGTAGGCCTTCAAGAGACTGTACGGAGGCGCTGGCGCTTGTGGTGGCGAGTAAAGTGCTAGGGCAGACTAGCGGTCTACCCACTCTTTCCTGTGAGCGTCGGATGTCGGTCGCAGAGGTCAATGGTGAAGAGCTTAACATTACGACCTGGGAACAACAAACGCACACTAACCGTGAGTGCTTCCTACCGACTTGAAAGCTTGGTTTCCTGGCCCTGAAATTGCCTCGAACGAAGGACTCTATTTGTCGACCAACAAACGCATACGTCAAGCTATGCTCACCTTAATCGTCGACGAAGCATGCTGAGACTCAATTTCATCTTTAGTGCATTATTCATTCCCTACCTTGTCTATCAATGGCTGTGTTCCATTGCGTTTGAAGCAGCTCATCTCTAGAAATAGTAAAAGAAACGAAGAAGATCGGCATGCCGGATTGAGCACCTAGCGATACCTCTGCTCCTGCTCTTTCCACCACCAGTACCAGTCTTGCTCCGTGATTATGTTGACGCGCCTGTCCATGCTGTCATGTCCGGCGATATTCCAGGGTCTCGGTATGTACTGCGCTTGCTCCTGAGCTATGCTCCGGTCTAAAATCTCTCGTGGAGGCGGTTGCGTGAAGACCTCTTGTGCCTGGTAGGCATGCTGGGCCTGCTGGGCACCATCGCGACAGCCAACAGAAGGACTTCGGCCATGCCCATCTTCGGTTTCTTTAGGCTCTGCTATTCCCCACTGCAGGAGAGGCGCTTCCGGGAAGTCGTTGGTAGGTTCGGGTTCGGCGGCGTACTGGACTTCTTCAAGGTACGATGCCGCCGGCAATTCTCCCACAGTCCAGTGCCGGAACTTCTGGGGCCTGGGTGCAGTATAAGTAGGCTCGTACACGTGTGGTGCAGTGACAGTATCCGCATCCCCATGTCCTCCGCCAGATCGACCTGGTGAGGGGGTAGCCTCCGCATCATACAGTACGAAGCCAGCCTCATTGACCTTGATGCCCTTGTTGCCCCATTCGATCTCAACCGCCCGACCCATAAGTTTTTGTCCATTCAGCTGCTTCTTTGCACGATTTCGCTCGTCGATAGTGGCTAGGAGGACAAAGCCGAGGGGCATCGGCTTGCGGGTCTTGGGGTTGTAGTTACGCTTGAAGGCGATGACATTGTAGTCGCTGAAGAAGAGCTTGACGGCGCTTTCGTTTGCTTCTGGGTGCAGGTTGTTGACAAGCAGAACGCGCTTCTGGGGATCTTCCGACCTCGTACGTGTCTGACGGCGGGGTGTGTATGGTGAAATGGGGCGAGACTCCTGGTCTTCCACATACGGAGGGAGGTAGTTGGTTCTGGCAAGCGGCGCTGAAGAAAAGAGCTCAGGCGGGGGGTGATTCAAGAGGCCGTACTCGTTCACTAACGCTCTGTTGTCAGTCGAATGCTCACATAAGCCCGTTAAGCAGATTTCTTACGCTGGAATCCCGCCTTTGCACGCCAGACTCGCACAGCGCGACCCAGGAGCTCCTTCCCGTCCAGCTCTTTTTGGGCGCGGTTGACATCCTGAAAAGTAGCCATGAGCACATAACCGACGGAAGGCTTTCCGCTCATCGAATTGTAGTCTCGCTTCCAATCTACGAGGCCATAACCGTCGAAGAGAGCTTGGACGTCATTATCTGTCGCGTCATAATGGAGGTTGGTCACGCGCAGCACGCGGTTTTCAGGCCTGCTAATATCGCCGACGGACAGTTGTGCACCTCGCCGCATAGTGGGCGAATGATGGGCGAGGGTGAAAAAGGGATATGTCGGTGCTGATATACCTCGGCGAGCGGAAGTTGTTATAGCGGGCGGTGGGTAGTTGACTTTAGGGTGGCGGAAGGATCGGCGAAGATAAACCGCAGCAGTATCGCGCTTTATCCCTACCTTAAACGGCCTGTGAATGTGGATTGGGCGCACATGTTTCACTCTCTACTACCCCACCCATGGAGAATGATTACTCGATTCCTCCATCGCGCGGCTAAGATCATGTAGCTGCTGCAAAGTTTTCACATGAGCGATAGAGATTGTCCGCCGCCGGCCATCGCTTATTTTTGTGAACGAACTATAAAGCCAGAAACGTAGAGAAGCTACCATTGCTCGTTAGTATAACATTGGACAGGACAGAAGGGTAATTAGAAGAGAATATAGTCACCAGGTATATCGACGTGGTTGTTTAAGCGAATTCGCGACCTTCTGCAATATTAATATGCCGCGGCGAAGGGCGTGGTGATCTCCCGAGCAGGAGCAGGCAAACAATTGTGTCACGGTACCACTTAAGGTTTGGCATGTGCAAGAAGAAGCCGCGAGGAAGTGTGACGATGGAAGTGGGTTTGGGGAGTTGAGACGTCTCGCTCTAACCGAATTAGGACTAGCGCTAGGTCTGAAAGCCGCGCCACGTTCGGGCTGCCGTCACGTCCAACATCCTCATCTTCGCGGCTTTCATATGTGTAGCGTATCGAGTAATACAACCATGAGTACGAGGCCGGACATTGGAATGCCTAGCCCGGAAACAGGCAAGCACGCTTCCGTTGCCCCACCAAGAGAGTCGTACGTACCTCGAGGCGCTCACAGTCGACGACCGACGACGGGCCAACTCCCCATAACCGCTGATGGGTTTTAGGTAGAGTTTGACTTTTACCTATTCCCTTGGGGTTAAAAGTTCTAAAATCGCTCTCGTCACCCCGCCAGGTCCGAACAGCTTGTTTTTTAAAATTCCACCCCCTATGTGTTATTTCGAAACAGAAGTAAGATATCCGCACGTCAAGGGCAAAACCCATACGTCCCTTAAGTATGTGGGGACCTCCGTGCCGACCAGTGCGACCTGTTTTAAAGAGGAGATAGAAGGCACTAACAATGTTACGAGCGTCCTTGTGAGCCCGAAACCTGGCCGACCAAAAGGTAGAAGGTTGTGGTCTGCTTGCCGGCTTCGTGGCCTCCCAGAACCTGCATAGGGCGTCCCCCACTCAGCCTATACCCGTCTAATCGTGCCATCCGTCTTATTTCACACCACCCTCACGAGGTCTCCCGAGGTCGCCTGGCCCATTCTCACAACGTCGAAACATCCGTCAATGCGAATACCGACGACGTCCAAGGAACCTCAAAGCTCAGGGAAATTGTCAAAGTATTCTGCCGGGAGCGGTTGCAGCCATCCATCAATGCACTGAACCTGGATGACTTGGGAGACTTTGCTAACGACGATCCCGCTAACTTCGAAATTTTCGATAACGTAGGGCAACCATTCCGTATAATGATCTGAGAAGATGTTATTCAACTCAGTGGTGACTTTGCGGCACTCGTTCTCCCCAACTCAATCGCTTAGAGTACAAGACATACCTGCAAGTAATGCCGGGAACGATGTAGTCGAGGCGGAGTATGGGTCGAATGTCGAGAAGCTCATCATCCAAATACCCCTAATTCAGACCAACCTCTACTCCTGGCCCCAGATCCCGTGCGACGTCAGCCACTGTTTTATTCTTCTGCTCGTCTAGCGTAATAGATTTCAAAGTCGACAAATCGAATACCACGTTGAAATAATCTTGGTAGTCTACAGAATTGGTGCAAACTTCGTTACGTCTATAGTAAACAGGTTGGTATTCCTCGCGGGGTTGGTGGTATACCTACGTAAAAGTATGGAACTCGCGTCACGAGCCCTTCGTAGCAGCGATGCTGCCAGGTTGAGTAAATGGACCGTAGAGCACGCCTTGGGCATTCTGGGTTAGGTATACGAGTACTAGTCCGTCCTTGCCTCGGGTTTCAACACAAAAGTCATACACTTGGTTCCGGAGCTCTGCGTCATGGAGTGACCAGCCTAGCACAAGGGAAGCAACAGTTGATATTGGGTGCAAGTTATGAAAGACATTACTCACCTGCGGGCAGGTACAGAAAGCAGAACGCCTCAAGCATAGAATTGGTGTCCATGACGAAAACCCTCCTGAAGGGTTCAAGAGATTACTATTTAATAATTAATGAAGAAGTGAACGAACTCCGCGACAGAGGGCTAAAGGTAGAGAGCCGAATGTAGAGGGATGAAGATTGAAGGATGAGACCTATTGTACCAGGCGCTTTGCTGGTGTTGAAGAACGAGGGCAGATGTTGGATCGCTTGGTATAGGGGCCCTCCCGCCAAGAGTATGGAACTCCCCTTCAAAGAAACCAGAGACTAACTTCCTATTGAGCACATGACTAGATCCTCGCTTCGCGTGTAATCCTAGAGGCACACCTAACAATATTCCCGTGAGGGTGCAACAGTAGACCCCATTCCCAACGTCGCTCAACGAATTCACCCACAACTCTGCATCATGTCTACTCAACCAGACGCTCAAATGATTAACAGTGAGCTTCAAACCTCGTATCAGACTGTCGTAGAGTAAACGCTCTCGCTTCCAACCAAAAATGATCTCAAATTGACATCCCCCGTAGGAAATGGCGCAATATGCGTCGTATCAAGGCGGAGAATTTTCCAACTCTTCAGAGAAGAATAAACCAACAATACTGGGACTTGAACGGGTACGTCATATTCACGGTTCTCTCCTGCTGCTCGCGGTCGGAAGCGCTAACCCGCAGCAGGGAATTTGTCCAAGCGGTCAACACCTACTCCAACTCCTGGCACCGGGCATTCAGCCCTCTGCTCCTCGCTTCCCTACCACGCGAACTGCGGGATCTTGTCTACGGCTTCCTCATCGGTCAACCAGAATCCCCTGTCGATATCGTTCCGCCCGACGAGATGGAAGTACCCACACTTTCCGACATGCCCGGCCCGTTGCAATTTCCCATTTCGGAACAGCATGTCCTACCTATTTTATCGGTAAACATCATGGGAATCCAGTTTGTCAGCGAGATCGCCGAGGTATTCTACGCGCGAGTGCAATTGACTATCCACAGAGCGACTGATCTAGGACCCATTCTTCATCAAGGTCCGCTTGACAGCGCGGTCCTCTGCGCTCCTTCGGACTACATCCGGCGTCTGGAGGTTTGGATCACCGAGACAGACGACGTTTATAAAATGGCTGAGGACGCTTCAAGAACAGCCAAGGACATCTACCCCATGGTGGCTAACACCCTACAGCCAATACGGAGGCTGAAACATCTGAAAGGGCTGAAGATCCATCTTGTTGCTTGCAGTGACTTGAGCAGCGTGGCCCAGAAACTTCTTGATGCTGTTGTGCCAGAATTATATCAAATGAGGGCAGCAGGGTTTAAAATCTCAGCGAGACATAGAAACCCCTGGTATCGGGACCACATCGAATTTAAACTCGAGGCTGCATTTTACAGGTAAGAACAGAATACGTAGCTATACTATAGTAACGCTTCCCCCTATATTAGAGGGAAAGCTAGTGTCTCTAATTAGGTAACTCCCCTAGGCCTATTAGAGATATAAGCTCTATTTCCTAATTAGCTATAGAGAGACAGAAAGAAGAGTAGACGTAGGTAGAGTAAATAGAGCTCTCTAGAGAGCTCTCTAGAACTAGAAGCTTTTTAGGCTTAAACCTAACCTAACTTATTAAGTAAAATATATAATAACCTCTCTCTTAAATACTATAACGTACTTTATAGGCGAAAGCCTTACACGTGCAAACTCTCTACGATTTCTTGGCAAGAAAAATTAACGAAAATTAACTCGTTTTTCTTAAATAACTAAGCGCAACTTTAATATTTTTCTATAAAAATTTATATATATATTCTTAATAGTATATTACACCTACTACTAAAGTTATACTAAGATATATTACGTAATTAAAAAGCTATACATATTTAACTAACTTTTAAAAAAAAATCTACTTTTCTTCTAGTAAGTACTATTATATCTCTATAATAATCTATAAAACTTATAGTATATAGTATCTATAACCTAATAAAGGTTTCTAGAAAACTTCTATAGAGCTAGCTCTTCTAGGTATAGCGTAATAAGAGATAGAAGTTAGAAAAATATCTTTTTTAGAGTTTTCTCTTCTAACTATAACGTACTTTACAAACAAACGCTCTACACAAACAAACGCTCTAAAAATGCTAAGCCCTTACTAAATACTACTATCTCTATTATAAAGTCCTCTACAAACGCCTAATTAACTTTAGACAAATTCTAAATACAGCTTGCGCTTTAGGCTATTTAACAGAACCTAGAGCTAAGCTTACGGCGCGCTACAGCTCTCTATAACGTAGAGTAGAAGAAAGTTCGCTGTTAACACTATAGAGTCGCTCTACAACGTAAAAAGACACCTAATTTAACAAAGCTTATAAAAAACAAAGAGTAGGCGATAGTTAAGTATATACTTAACCTAGACGCGTAAGAATTTACTCTCTAGCTTGCTGCCGTTTAAGATATAGCTAATAAGCTACTTACTAAGTAAGAGAGAAAGGTTGTAGGTAAGAACTAGCTAAACAACTTTGTTACGCGCTATTCTAAGCTTAAAACGTAGCTTAATTACAAGTATAACTATTAGAGAGTAAAGTAAGAAGATTCTATAATTATTTAGGCATAGTTTAACCTAGTAGGTAATATAAAGGCGAAGTATAGTATTACTAATAAAGACACGTATAATTTTAATAAATCTAGCTTTATAATAGAAATAATATTACCTTAGGTAGTAGTTACTAGCTCTAAGAGATAATTATAACTAAAGAGTCTTTAACTAGGTAATTATAAGTAGATTTTAGTAATTATAATAGTAAGAGTAGTAGGTAATATATAGGTTCTACTATTTCTTATTATTATTATAAGTAAGAACTACCTCTTAGCGTAGTATAAAGGTAGCTAGCTACTACGTAACTAGGTTATAGCTATCTCTAAAAGTAGCTAGATAATAAATAAAGTTAGTATTACGTAGTTAAAGTACTTTAACACGTATACTAAGAGTCGCGTTATAGACGTATATTACCTACTAATTTTAGATAGCTATAAAAGCTATAGCTCTATTAAATTCTAGTAGTACTATAAGAAGAATAAAATTATAGTTCTCTATATACTAGTATATTTATTATACCTTCTATAGCTACTTAATGTTAGCTACTTCTTACTATTAAAGGTAGTATATAGGCGCTATAAGGGCTAGATTCGCGGTCTCTACTACTATAAGCGCCTCTAAAATACCTAGCTAAGTAAGTTAGCTATAGGTAGTACTATCTCTACAAGCTATAAGAATAAAAGGTGCTAGCAGAGTAGGTTAGGTTAAATTTAGCTATTTAAAGGTAAGAAGTAGAAGGCTGCTTCTAAGAGACTCTATATATAGAGGTGCTAAGCGCTAAGGCGCTAGACTAGGTTACGTAACAGAATTACGTAACCTAAGGTTATGTAACCTAAGGTAAATTCTAAACTAGACTATTATATTACCCCTTCTTACAGAAAGAGCTCGTCTCTAAGCTCTAAAATACGCCTTCTAGGTCCCTCTTCTTCTAAAACTTCTGCGTTATACTTTTAACTATCTCTTTTAGCTTATAGTAAGCGTATTCGTGTTAGTTTTAAACTAGAAGCGCTTTTACAGCTACTACCTTTCTTCTAGTCGCTCTATTCTTGTAGAGATTTAAGCTAGAAGGCTTGTTTTCGCGTCTATAGGGCGGCTTTGTCGTAGGCTCTCTTCTTAGCAGCGCCTTTGCGTTACTCTTATATCTTCTACTCTTGCAAGTTTCAAATTCTCTACTATCTCCTCTAGAGTCTTCTCTTTTTTGTACGCCTTAATCTAAGCATCTAATTGTAATAGTAGCTCTAGCTTATCTAGGTATACTGCGTAAAAGTCTCTTACCTTATAGAGAGTGTTAATAAAGCCTATAGTATTATACTAGATAGAGTTAGAATTATAAGCAACCTATACAGCGTAGTATTAAAGACGATTTTAATAAAGATAGCTATCTAGAATTTTATATACAGGCTATTCTAGATTACTATCTACTTTAATAGGTAGCTACTTAGACTCTACCTACTCTAGTAATAGCTCTAAGACTTTTCTTAACTAATTAGCGTAGAAGACGTTATACATACGTATATACGTAGATAGCTAGAGCTAGAAGAAGTAACTCTTTATAGTAATAATTAGGTAAGGGCTATATATCTATTAATCTAGCTTTACACTAGGCTAATCTATTAAAAAGCTATAAGGTTTAATATAGACAAGGTCGCCTTTTATAAAATTAGGTTCTTAGCGCTTTTTGTTTACTTAGAGCGCCTGCCTAGCTTACGCTTTCGCGATATTACTTTATGTAATTTTAGTAGCTTTTTCTACAGCGTTATATTACTTCTTAGTAAAATTCTAAGCTTTTTAGCGTAAGAGACGCTTACGTAGAGTAGAGGCTTTTATTATACGCTTCTTCTAATTCTAGTAGTATATTAGCTAGTATCTAAATTTAATTTTGTACGCTGTTAGTTCTATAGTTTTATATAGTAACGTAGCTTATACCTAATCTATACAGAGTAGAAGGTCTAACTAATTATTCTAGTAGTAGTTAACGAATAAACGTAGACGCTAATTAAGATATTAATTAACAATCTCTATATTTCTATTAGTTTATAAGTAGTACGTAGTAGAGAGCTTCTACTTAATTTCTATAAGCTAGTAGAGCTTATCTATAAAGGTAGAGGTAAACTATAGGCTATAATTTAATATAATAGACCTAGAAGAACTATATATACGCTAGATATATTAGTAATATAGTTCTACTATACGTTAAGCTATAATTTTCTTATAGTAGAGTAGAGAGAAGCTTTACTTACTTAGCTAATCTATAACAACGTACACGTAGTTAAATCCTTTCTTATTAGAGGGAAAGCTCTTAAAATCTATAGAGACGTTCTGCTATACTCTCTTAGAGATAAGTAGAGGCTTTAGAAGACCTAGCGTCTTATTCTATAAAGTATAGCTCTAGTAGTAAGCCTTATATACTACTACGTACGTATTAACGTCTTCTTATATACCTAGCTAGTAATATTAATCTTATAGTAACTAGGTAGTTTTTCTTTATTCTAGATAGGTAGTTACCTAAGTAGTATATACAGCACGTATTAAATACGTTTATAGATAGTTAATAGCAGGAACTATTAATTAATTCTAATAGGTTAATAAGCCGTCTTCTATTTTCTAGATAAAGCCTAATATAGTAGCTTTTTCTTAAGCTAGCTATAGAGAGTTATCTAATTAGTTAGCTATAATAACCTAATTAATTATAGTATATAGATTCTTAGTAGAAAGTACCTCTATAAATATATTAGCAGCAGCAATTTCCACAGCACTACTAGCTAATTTCTAGGCAGCTAGAACTAATAACTTACCTAATAATTGCTTAATAGCTAAGAGGCTAATTTACTTCTTACTTAGAAAAGCCCTTGTATAGGTAGCGCGATTCTTCTTCTTTTAGGTCTTAAGCTCTTCTTACTTTTGTAATAACGCGTCCGCTGCTATATTAGCTAAACCTAGTTAATAGGTAAGCTTAAGGTTATAGTTAGTAATATTATTCGCCTAGTAGACCTACCTAGTAGTAAGTTTCCGCTTAGTAGCAAAGTACTCTAAGGCTTAGTAGTTAGTTAATACTATAAAAGGTTCTAAATCTTATAAGCTAATTAACTAGCTTCTCTACTTCTATACACTAAGAATAACCGCTAGTATTTCTTTATTATAAATACTATAGTTTATCTAGGTAGTATTTATTATCTTACTAAAGAAAGCTACTAGTCTCTAGATACTATCTTCTTAAAGTTATAAAAGGACTTTAGTAACTATACTATCTAATACGTTCGTTTCTACTCTTATATAGTAATAGAGAGAGTAATAAGCTAGTATAGTATTAGATAGTATAAGATTCTTAACCTGCTAAAATACCGCAAGCTTAATTTCTCTAAAGGTATGCTATACTCTCTATTTTAGTAGCTTAGTAAGGGGGCAGATAATCTAGCCGTAATTCTTTAAGAAGGCTTAGTAGAAATTGCAGAAACCTAGAAACAATTAAAGGCTCTTAAGAGTTGTAGGTATAGGCTAATCCTAAATAGTAGTAACTTTCTTAGAGTTCTTCTAGATTCTATTAGTACTTATAATTAATTCTAGAAACTTAGTACTTTTAATAGTAAATTTAGATTTCTTAATATCTACTTATAACCTAGCTTTATATAATTAATTAAGTACCTAGACGATATAGGCTTTATACTTAAGCGAATTCTCTAAATAAATAAGAATATTATTAATATATACTATATAGAAATCGTCTAGTAAGCTATATAACACTTTGTTAATATATTACTAAAAGGTAGCAGAGCTATTGTAGAGGCTAAAGAGTAGAACTTAATACTTATAGTTACTATACTATATATAAAAAGATATTAGATTCTCTACTAACTTATTAAGCTAGATCTAGTAGAAAGCTTACCTT